TAACACCCTAACACCCTAACCCTAACACCCTAACACCCTAATCTCTCTCTTTCTGATCACCCTAACCACAATCAATCTCTCTCTTTCTGATCACCCTAACCACAATCAATCTCTCTCTTTCTGATCACCCTAACCACAATCAATCTCTCTCTTTCTGATCACCCTAACCACAATCAATCTCTGACTTTCGCCCTTACCTTCTTCGACTTAATATCTAAATAAATGAAACCCCTCCTAAAACATTCTATACAAATCCCTATCATTAATAACACTAATACTAAGTCGCATTCGAAATAACGAATACCATTAATAATAAAATTCATCTCCCCTCTCTCTATAAATCTAAATGAAAATCTTAATCTATGAATACCATCATGAATCTTCCTATCCGATTATTAAATCGAACTCATCATCTAATCAATAACATCAAATTTTCAGATACTAACTCTAATTAACAATATCAAAATCTCAGATACTAACTCCCTATCGAACCAAAATCCTTCTACTCTCCCCCTTCTACTCTCCCTATATATCAAATTCTTATCCCTAGTCATCTATGACCCTAACCATTAGATTCCCTATAATTCCCCCTTCAAACAAAATCATTATACTCTCTATAAACCTCCTCCTGAATCATAAAACACTAATCCAATTATATCCTTAATAAATCCCCTTCAAAATCATCCATCACCCTAACCATCATATTTCTACTAAATCTAACTTACCATCTAAATAATGATATCCATGAATTCCCTTCGAAATCATCTATCTCCCTAACTATTACATTTCTACTGAATCTTCCTATCAATCTAAATAGTTATACTCTATATAATCCTCTCCCTATCATCTATCTCCCTAACCATTATATTTGTACTGAATCTTACTTACTATCTAAACTATAATACTCTCTATAATCCCCTCTATTATCTATCTCCCTTATATGACATTTCTACTGAATCTTACATACTATTTGAACTATAATACTCTCTATAATCCCTATCATCTATCTCCCTAACCATTCTATTTTGAATTAATCTTTCTATCTATCTCAACTATGATACTCTCTATAATCCCCTCCTGATCATCTATCTCCCTAACTATTATATTGCTGCTTAATCTTACTTACTATTAAGATGATGATACTCTCTATAATCCCTTTCCTATTATCTATCTCCCTAACCATTGTATTTCTACTTGATCTTCCTATCTATCGAAATGTTATACTCTATATAATCCTCCCCTATCATCTATCTCCCTAACCATTCTATCTCTGCTTGATCTTCCTATCTATCGAAATGTTATATTCTATATAATCCTCTCCCATCATCTATCTCCCTAACCATTGTATCTCTGCTTGATCTTCCTATCTATCGAAATGTTATACTCTATATAATCCTCTCCCCATCATCTATCTCCCTAACCATTATGATCCCTATCAATCACTGAGTAATCAAAATGGGAATATGGATCTATACATTTGGATTCATAATGATATATCTTACTCTCGACTTATGAATTATGGCTCTGATAATTGTGATACTGACTCCTACTATGGCATACTACTAAACAATTGCCTAAACCTGAATGGAATTGATACAACTATAACACCCGAATCTGGTTGTCTTACTTGGTGTCCAACCGGGTGTGTAATATGGCCTGGTATTTAAACTGGCCTGCTGGACCTCCAAAATAAAAATCGGCTACCGAATCTGCCTCGAAACCGGCTTGGAAATTCCGATCGTGGATATATATCTCTCGACTAAACCCTCCCTCCTACATCCCAACCTCATGATATATCCGCCGCAACCATATGAATGCACGAACTAACTCCGTATGCTTCTCCCACCCCTGGGTACTGCGTTGCCCTAAAAACGCTGTCACCTGCGGCTCATCCTGTGCACTCACCCCCTGCTCAGCTAATCGCTGCTCCCATAATCGCTGGACCTGCTCCTGCTTGGGGCCTCCAAACAACATCATCCCAACCATCGCGTATAATAATCCGCGGTGCGCGCATTCCCCACTGGACCACCCGGAGCATAATGTCTGTGGCATCCCACATTGGAAACAACTGGTATATCGTGCGTACTGGACCCGCCGCCGGACTCGAATCATCCAATCCCGCGCCTGCTGGCTACTGGGCTGGGGACAATGGTATAATTCGTGCTCAGCATTCCGGCCGTCCTGCGCACAAATCCAACAACGATCCTGCCATTCCCGCGCCTGCTGCATTAAAAACTCTTCGTCTGTCAGTTCCTGCTGCCGCGCCTGCTGATGCTGCTCGGACATGCGTGCGCGATCAATTTCCTGCTGCTGGAACTGTTGCCGGACCCCAAATGGAATACCTCTGTGGTCATTGGATTCTGCGCTGGCTGCCATGGTCTGCCTGTGATGACTGGATGCTGTGCTGGCTGCCATGGTCTGCCTGTGATGACTGGATGCTGTGCTGGCTGCCATGGTCTGCCTGTGATGACTGGATGCTGTGCTGGCTGCCATGGTCTGCCTGTGATGACTGGATCCTGTGCCGGCCGCCATGGTCTGTATGTGATCATGAATTGGGCTCTCCCATGGTGCCTGTGACTGTAAGCTCTCGGAATCAACACTGCTGGCCGTCTCGCTGGCTTCTGGGCTGGCTTCTGGGCTGGTTCTCGGACTGGCAGCTTCGCTGGATTCCTGCTCTTCCATCACCTGCCAATCGGGGTCGCACCCATCACATCGTGCCTCACTGGTGACCGAACTATAATCGTGATCCCCACAATGGGATCGCTGGTATCCATCTACCACGCCATCCAAATACCCGTCCAAAACGACCCGCCGGCATGGACTGGCTGACATGTATGCATCCACCCGCTGCTGCTCTGCGGACGGCGTGTCCTGCATCCACGGCGGGGGGTATCAACCCCGTCGGGCTGGATGATGATCGCTTCGCTCGCCTGACCGTCCCGACCCGCGCGCCCGCTCTCCTGCGCGTAATCCAGCAACGTTCGTGGTCGCCCCAAATGGATGATGCTGCGGATGTCGGGGATGTCGACTCCCATCCCCAATGCACTCGTCGCCACGACCACTCCGTGGGGCATACTGCGAAACCGCTCCAACACGCCCGCCTTATCCACCTGGTCATGGTAATACGCCTCGCACCCAAGTATCTCCGCCACCGTTGTGACATGTTCGACGATATGCGCGTACACAATGGTGCGCCCGCCCCGCGATCGTCGGATGCGGTCCCGGATGAATGCTGCGATATGATCCATCTGGATCCAACGATATGGCCCCTTATACTCCCGCTCGATCATCGGACGCCACAAACGATATGCTACGTTGGTCCGGCTGGTTCGACCACGGAATAAGCTGACCTGCTCCTGGGACCATCGCATGCGTTGCCATAATCGGTCCTCTAAGCTGGGGGGCAATGTCGCTGTCAACAAAACCACCTGCGTCCGCGCGATCATCAATCGTCCGAGCTGCTGCATCATGGGCCGGAAATCGCGCTGCTGATTCAATACGATGTGGCATTCATCAATCACAATGCGGTCTAACCGTTTCATGACCTGGGACGAACATCAGCATGGATCCCACGCTCCGTCGATGCCAACCTCAAGCCCGATGCGCGGGCCCGACCTTATAACCTGGGTTTTAAGCGGACCTCTGCTGACCTCTTAAAACCCAGCTTATAAGCTGCGGGCGCGGGGGGCATCTCAGTTGGTGACGGTGGGACATGGGGACATCAACCCTAATCCCTGGGCCCCCGTTTTAAAACCGGGGTTCGAACGCATCCTTACAACCCCGGTTCTAAACTGGGGGCGCCGGCTGGGGTCTCGGATCGCGGGGGGACATACCTGCTGTCGGTTCAAAAACGTGATGAAATCCTCACTCAACGCGGATTCGGGCGTGACGAGTACAATGGCCGCCTCGTCGGGCGGCCGCCGGCTCTCCCATTCCACGCACGAGATGCCGGCCACCGCGCATCGCTGCTGCAAGTCCTGGCGTAAAGCAATCAATGGGACGACGACCACCGTCAGCCCGCCGCTGACCCATGCCGGTAACATGAACAACATGCTCTTGCCCCCGCCCGTCGGCATCACCACGACCACGGGGCTCACCCCATGCTGGATCGCCTGCATCGCGGGCCCCTGGACGCCGCGGAACTGGCTCTGGTCGTCGTTGGTCATCCGCTGCAATGCCTCCGTCATATTGGCCTCGTGGAGCTGCCATCGGCGCTGACGTCGATGGTCGTCCGCCTCGGCCTCCCATGGGCCCTGCTTGCGCTTGCCAAGCACCCTGGCCAAGCCGTCCTCGGCGCTCTCGAACCCTAAAAACCGATGCCAATCCGTGCTGGATAATCGGAACATCTCCCGTCGGTGCGCCGTCGTCCCAGCCTGCTCGGTGATCTCGCGGCCATAAATCATGCCCGCCACATGGGATGAATGCGCGGCTTGTAAATCCGCGATGTGATCCTCGGGTTCATCGTCGTCATGCGCTGGCACCTTGGTCCCGTCGTCCTGGACATTCTGGGGGAAAACGCTGGATACCCGTAAATACCGCCGGCTGATCCCAATGGCGATATTCCGGTACGCGGGCAAAGTCAATGCGTACCTATTCAGTAGTTAGCCATCAAGCTGGGCCATCAAGCTGGGCCGTCAAGCCATCAACAACTCATATAGCTTACCCATTCAGCCCAATCGTCGTCTCGCGCTTCAACGCCTCCCGTAATCGCTCCGACGTCCACTCACGCCCACTCGTTGGGTCGGGCGCCCAGATGTATGCGGCACGGGACTGCAGACCCTGAATCGTCTCGCGAGCCGTACCACGAGCCTCGTGCTGGTACGCCTGTAATCGTTCCACAAATGGTAACACTAACCATAAATACCATACCACCAGCTCCCCGACCGCGCGCGGCAAGTACCGATGGATGATCTTCGCGTCGTTGCTCGCATAAAACCCCTTGTGGTACTTCGTCGCGAATACGACCAGTCCATCCTCGATGAATACGTTGCGATGGGCCCCTTCCGTGTTGCGATGGCGGACACTCAATAGCTCGGGTGCACGGCCGGGCTGGCCCGCGGTGATGTGACAAACGATGGCGAGCTTCTCACGGAACTGGACCACGCTCTGCATGTACTGTTCGATGGCACGCATCCGGAATCGACGCTCGGGCCCGTCGACAAATCGCTGTTGTAATCGGGGCTCGCGCTGGATCCGGCGGGCGAGCCATTGGGCCCCGTCGATGGGCCACGGGGTGCGACTGTCGTTTAAAAAGCACCACCCAGGCTTGGCCTGCGTGGGGTCGTCCATGAGCTGCGCCCATGGGATGGCGGGTGCGCTCGCGGCGTCGCCAATCAATAGCTCGTGGTGTAGTAGCTGGCGTACGGAGCCGACCAACCCGTGAGTAAACCCCCGGAAATCACCCATGGTGAAGTGGATTTCCTTGTATAGCAACTCGTCCTGGCCGGACCAGCTCACGTGGCCGGTGGCCGTACTGCTATAATGGATGCGTAAGCCGTACGTGCGCAAATCGAGCATCCACTGCATCGGACTATGCGTCCCGCGCACCATGAATGTGTCCGTCAACAATCGCAACCACTCGCGAAACGGACGCGGTTTCCGTCGCTGCTGCTGACTGAATTGCATGGGCTCGGGCTGGCGATGTGTGGGTTCGAACGCGGGGCTGCTCGATGGTTCTCGTGGGCTCCGATCGCTGTCATACCCTTCGTCGTGCTGGCCGGAATATATATATTCGGGATCGTCCATCGGGCTTTCGATCGACCACGTACCTAACATCGGTCAATCAATCAAGCATCGAGCCATCGAGCCAACCTATGCACGAAGTCATCCATCGCGATTCTTACTTACCTACTTCATGACGGTCACGCATGTATTGTAAAATCTGCTTGGCATTCGGATCCAAACGCAACGCCTTGTGTAATACCATGAATCGACTGATCTTGATTGTTTTGGACAAAATTGGGGGATAACTGTCCGCGTCGCGCCATCGATCACGGCCCTGGCCAAGCACGGCTAATGCGCATATCAAGGCACATTCGTACTCTTCCGCGCTAGCCCGCTGGTTCAATAGTTCAATGCAAAAGTCCATACATGCGGTCTGGATCGGAGTCATCTGGTATGGATCGTCGCCACCGTCTCCCTGGCTCTGGGTCTGGCTCGGATGGTCGAATGGGTCGGGGCTCCCACGCGTGTCCTGCGCATGCCGCCATAATGCCTGCCATGCCCGTCGCTGGCGGGGGGTGAATCGGTACGGCGGGCTCGGCCAATCGTGCTCAACCTGGGTGCGAGCGAAAAACATCAAGATCTGCTGCCACGGCTCGACATGCCGCTGGATCTGCTCCTCATCCATATATGCCTGTAATGGTTCGTGCGGGCTCTGGTCTTTCTCCGTACGAGCAGCCTCGACACGAATCAGATGGCCCGTCTGCTTGGTGATGCGCTGGCTGATCCGCGCGACCCCGTCTATGGCGTCCCAGATGGCCCGCATCGCCCCTTCTGGGCCCTGGGCGTCCTCTGGGGGGGGTCTTGATGGACTGTAGTATATCGCGGGGGGATGCCTACGAGCCGTTAGTTAGTCAAATTGGGGATTAATCGATCGACTATCAAAGCTGGGGCGTGGGCCCCATCTTAGAACCCAGGTTTTAAGCTCATTCCTTAAAACCCCAGTTCTAAGATGGTCTCTCTCTCCACTAGCCTACCCAACGACGCACGAATCAATACACACCTTGTAAATACACGGCCCACTGCGTCCGTCGGAGCCACGGGTTCGCCTCATCGAGCGGGCCGGCCTGGATCGTACGGTCGTCCGGGGCCTGCGAGTCAACGTACGTCTGTTCGAGCTGCTGGATGAGTTCATTGACCACATTAGCCTGGGGTGGCGGGCGTGCGGGTTCATAGTTGGGTCCGGGTTGTCGGACGTGAATGTAATGCGATCCAAGCCTCCGGTAAAAAACCCGCTGGCACACGACGCGTCGCATCGCCTGATCCCGGGCGTCTTGGCCAGCTGGGACTTCAGATGGCCGGGGCTTCCGACTATGGTCATATGGCGAAAACCCATGCTGGGTCCGCCAGTGCTTCCGGATGCTCTCCATTGTACGGCAAACGTACCCGCAAAACGTACATAAGATCCCATCATTGTAGATAGTCAGCCCGGGAATTAGCTTCCCAACGGACTGTGGTAAGTTGGTGGGTTCATCGCGGACGTTGGGCCATGTATTCACGATCTGTGTAAGTACCTCTTCTGCGACGCTGTGGGGGATAACATGCGCGCCCTTGGGCTTCGTTAAATGGCGAATAATCTCTCTGGGTCTAACGGCGTACTCGCATCGCCGGCAAATGGCGACTCCAAGCTCGTTGTTGGGCTGGAAAAACGTGTTGGCATTGATGGACTCTGCCATGGTATGTTGGATGCGAGATGCGTATATATATCTCAAGTGTGTGTGATGGACGTATATCTTCTAGTGGATGCTATCAATGACGGGTGTTGAATTCAAATCGGATAGCGCTTAAAATCAGCTGGGATATATGGGAGACCCCCTGAATGCGACCCCTGAATTTTCAGCTCAAACTCTGGACTGGGATGTTGGGGATCGCTGGTTGGTGGTTGACCTCTCATGGTCGATGAAGCGTTCTGCTAACCGCCGGTCGCCCCCCATCAAAATATTTACCTGATTTCGAATCCCTGCAACCACCCTTTCATGGGGCGATTGGGGCCTGAAATTTGGGAATAAAATGTGGGAACCAATGAACTCAAACATCACCAATTGTGAGCGTTGGGCGCCGACAAAAGCTCTACTGGGACGTTGATTTAATGTCTACTGGGGCGTTGGTCGGCCGTCCCATAGTTAAGGAAACCCTAAGCTTACGTAATCCTACTGGACCCATAAACGTCCCAGTAACCCCCATGGGGTAGGGTGTCCTAATCTGAGTCCTATGTCCAAATCTGGGCTCTATAGCTATTATGGTTGTTGAGTTATGAAGGAAAACGTGAATAGCGTGGAATATATTCAAGTCGGTTTGATATAACACTAATATAACCTTATCTCTAGGAATGCGGGAACTAATGCTAATCGGGTTAGTATATGTAGTCCGTGCGCAGACGGACTACCCTATGAAATTCTTGATATAAGTACTCTAACATAAAGAATACTAGAGACATTCACTACTATCTCTCACTCACTTCTCTCATTCACTTCTCTCATTCACTTCTCTCATTCACTTCTCTCATTCACTTCTCTCATTCACTTCTCTCATTCACTTCTCTCATTCACTTCTCTCATTCACTTCTCTCATTCACTTCTCTCATTCACTTCTCTCATTCACTTCTCTCATTCACTTCTCTTATTCACTTCTCTTATTCACTTTTCCTATTTACCCCCTTATTCATCTCTCTCATTGAACTCTTATTCAACTCTCCTTCAGCTCCTATATTCACTCTCCCACTATCTCATTATCTCACATCTCATTGTCTCACATCTCATTATCTCTCTTATTTACTCTCCTATTCATCTCTCCTATTCATCTCTCCTATTCACGACGGCCTAGCATTCACTCCCGCGTGGTCCTAGGCTTAAAAGCCTCTGTCCCGTCTGCTCCTTAGCCTCTTCCTTCCTCCTTCTATTCCCTGACCTCCCCTATTCTTTCACCTACTCCTTCTTCTCTCTCTCTCTTTCTCTCTCACATATCGCCGCTCCGAGTTCCCTTCTACTTTTGCGACTTTTCTATCCCCTCTAGACGAGACTATCGACTAACGATGTCGACCCCATCCGGCCCTGCACGGTGGTGCGCGGTGCTCGACGCCTCGAAGGGTCAATATGCTGCGGAGCAAGTGCCGGCATTACTACAGCCGGTCGCCCCTATTACGCTTCGCGCTCGCATCCAACGTTCGCCGAATGACACTACGACCCCAACGGACAACTCGTTCTGGGCCGAGGTGATCGGCCCCTGCCCTGCGGATGAGCTGATCTGGCAACTTTGCTATCAGCTAGGGGAGGACCCGACGGATCCTGCCTGGCGAGCGCATCTCTCGCAGGATTTCCCTAACGCAACGGAACGCTTCTTTACGGCCCTTGAGGCACGTCATACGCCAGCGATGCCCCCCGGGATCGTTCCCTAGTGCGCCTGCCGCCAGCGCCGGCAACCGCTATCCTCGTCCACCCAACTATCCACGGCGAGTATACGGATCCGACGTCGGTCGTAGGGACCCACGGGGGTCCTGGCCGCTAGCGCCCCGTCGTATTAACGAGACGGATGAGTGGCGACCTGCACTTAGTTTGCTATGGTTGGATGCCGCTAGGTTTCCGACCCAGCAGCTAGGCCATGGGGTCGAATGGCATATTATTCTATTGCCAAGACTAGTGGAACGGGTTTCGCAGCTAGAGGAACAGAATACTACTTAGTGGGTACGAGCCAGGGGGTCTACTAATGTATTTTGGGGGACGTGTGTGCGGTGGTCTACTCATGTATTACTAGCACGGTCAGGCATCCTTTGCTAGCGGAATCGGATATTTTCCTATGTAGCATATTCCCTAGTAGTTGATCTAAGCTCGCGCTCAATCTACCACCGACGCACCGAATGCTCTACCTTAGAACTAGGGTTAGAGCCCGCCTAGTTAAAACCTCAGTTCTAAACGGGGGAGCGCCTAGACGTGATACACATGACATAGTTCTTATAAATATATAATTTTACAAACGTCTTGTGCTAAGCCCTATTATTGTGACCACACTTGATAGAATCTTAATAGGGCCGCGCTCGACAGGACCGCGCTCAACGGGTCTACGCTTGACGAGATCGCGTTTGACATCACTGCGATTGAAGACTACGTTTGAAGACTGCGTTTGACAGGTGACATAGGACGTAGACTGTTGTAGATAAATAGAGACTCTTCCTCTGTCTCTTCTTCCTTTTCTCATCTTAGATCTCCTATCGACTAAGTACTCAAATCGAATTCTTTATTGATTTTCTCTCTTGATCTAACATCTGGTCACACGCACTAGATGTTCACGATCGTACGGCTTGAAGTACTTGTTTGTATATTTACTAGATAACGCCCAAGTATAAAGGACCGGCTTTGGTCTATAATAGACTACAACTAGAGGCTATTACTTAGGTAACTACTATCGGAACCCTAATCTGAGAACCAGGGGTACAAGAGTTGTGGGGAGCCTTCGAACCCCGGTTCTAAACCGGCGCGCTATGCGCTAAGCGCCCTCGTCGTCACTCATCTCGATCGTCATGTACTCCCGCGCGCGTTTCAGCGGTGGACCTTCGCCCACATCGCCTCCTCGGCTGAATCGCCGTTTCCTACCCGTCGGCACTTCGAACCCGAGGAACTGATGCCACTCCCGACTGATCCCCCGGAACCGCGTGCGCCGGGACTCGATCACGCCAGGGGCTTCCTTCAGCCCACGGGCGTAGTTGGTCCCCGCGACCCAGGTTCCATGCGCGGCCTGTTGGTCCACGATCGCATCGTCCGCCCCGTAGTCCCGCTTGAACCCACCACAGTCGAGGTGCATCCGGGAGATCCCGATCGCGGCGTGCCGCCAGGAGAGCACGTTCAGCTTCGTCCCTAGGTGCGTGTTCGCCTCCTGCGCCAGGACCACCCCAAGGCGGGACGCATCCCAGTGCCCCTTGTCTTTGGCCCAGAGGAACGGCGACCGCACACGGGCGCTGGCGCCCTTGGCAAGCATAGCCGCCGTCTCCGCGAACGGGAGGATGAGCCACAGGTAGTAGACCACAAGCTCACTCAACTCCCGGGGTAGGTAACGGTGGATGATCTTGGTCGAGTTCGTCACGCCCTGGGACTTGTGGTAGCTGGTCACGGTGCCGACGAGGCCGTGCTCGATGAAGATGTTCCGATGCCGCCCCTCTGGGGTATTACGGTGGCGTAGGGTGATGAGTTCGGTCGCTCGAGCGGGTTGCCCTCCGGTGAGGTGGATTAGGAGCAGTAGCCGCTGGAGAAAACTATCGACCCACTCGAGATACACGGCGACGACCCTCTCGCGCCACTGGACCGTGGAGTCGGCCTGGCGGACCTCGGTGAACTCCTTCCGAAGCTCCTCGTCCGTCAACACTCGGTCTAACAGCCAGCGCTCGCCGGCGACTGGTAGAATGGCGCGGTTCCGCGGATCCTGGAGGAAGTTCCAACCACGTTTGTTGTTGATCGGGTCATCGCTCAGCTTATGTAGCGGGAGCTCGGGGATCACGGCACCACGCTCTTCGTCCTCATCGAGGAGGAAGAGCCGCTCGAGATCCCACTGCGCGATCTCCATCTGGGTGCGGACGAAGCGACGCAGGCCATCCATCGTGAGGGTCAGCTCCCGGTAATGCAGCGTCTCGTGGCTATCGTCCCAGTTCGGGTACCCGAGGCTCGTTGACGTGTTGAGGATCTTCTTCCCGAAGGTGCGTAACCGGGCAATCCAGCCGAACGGCGCCCGAACCCCGTATACCAGGAATCGACCACGCATCTCCTCCAGTGCATCGCCAGGATATGCCACCTCCCCATCGTCTGCCATCTGCACCGCCTTCTGGGCGAGGAGCATCTGTGACATCTTAATGAGACCGGAGAGGTGGCTGGTGTAGCTACCGGGGTCTCGGTACGCCTGGTTTGGCGCGTCGATCCCGAGCGCCGCGAGGAATCCAACGACCGGGCTCTCGAAGATATCACCCCGGAGCTCGTGATCGAGTAGCGACAGCGATAGGTCGAGACAGGCACGGTCAAGTTGCTCTATGGCTTTACTCGCACCTGGCGACTTCCGTTTCTGCGACGGAGAGTCTCGAGGCGCTCCCGTGGGAGCCCCGCCCTCCCCTGCACCGCTAGGAGGCGGTGGTGATCTCCGGACCTGGTCCGCATGCCTCTCCATCCGATCCAATGCGGCCAGCTGGGCCGTGGTGAACTCGTGACGGAGCTCGACGGTCTGGTCGGGGCGGCTGGTCCGGTAGACGAAGCTGAGGAGCCGCACCCACGCCTGCTGATAGCGACGGTAGGTCGAGGGTCGAAGTCGAATCTGGATGGGCCGCTGCCATACGCCCTGGCGCTGGAGGAAGCTGTTGATGCGGACCTGGTCGAACTCGTTGACCCGGTGCGAGGAGATGGATTCGAAGGCGGCCCCGATCAAACGCCCCACGCTGGATTCCACGACGGCGAGCAGGGGCTCCGTCGTGAGGTCGGGCAGCGCAGCCAGGGCGGCCACCGAGGAGAACGAGTGCCCTCCCACGTACTCCGGCCAGCGGGTCAGCTCGAGCCACGGGGAGGCTTCTGTGAGATCTCGGTCGAGCGGTGCGGTCTCATCTTCGGCCGCGGCCAGGCCCTCGGACCGGAGCAGCGCGTCGTTCACCTGCGCGAGCACGAAATCCGCCTCGGACATCTCGAGCGCCTGGCGCGTCCGCTTCTCTTGGGCCTCGGGCGTCACGGTGAAGAAGTGACTGCCAGGGCCTGTAAGGAAGAAGCGCTGGCAGCGGACTGGAACGGTTTGCTTTGGCGCCTGCCCCGCGGGCGGCCGGCCTGGGCGGCCGCGACTGCCATGGTCCACCCGATGGTGATTGCGCATCGTCTCCAACGTTCGCGCTGTGTAGAGGCAGCCCTCCTCCGGGCAGCGGTAGCCGTGGTGTACCGGTATTCCAGGCACGGGGCGCGACTCAGGCGGTGGCGGCGCAAACGGGGTGACGGTCGGGTCCCACGGGTTCAGATGCCAGGCGTCCGCCTGGGCCGCCGCACGGAGCGGATCAGTCTTCGAGGTCGGGTGGTGGCGATGTCGCTTGCTGCGGAGGTGGCCCTGGATCGTCCGCGGTGCCACGCCGGTCTGGCAGCCCCGGCAGATCCAGACCCGATAGGTCGAGTTGAAGGTGAAGAGGTCCATCGCTCCGCTCCTTCGCCGACGAAAGGACGGGGAATCAAGCAAGGAGGGCAGAAGCGGAGGAGGGGGGAGGGGTGGAGAGGACGGTCTGTCTCTCCGTCTACCTCGACTCGCTGGCGCAGCTAGGGAAGGTCAGAGGAGACGGGGGGTGCGGTGCGCACGGGTGTGTCGGCGCACGCGCGCGCGCGCGCGCGTCGAGGGCCTTCGTGGCGCGCAACGCGTCGCCCCGTGACCCTGTCCATCCATCCATCATCTCCCGTCGAGATTCTATACATCACATCCGCGATCCGTGGTGGGTGGGGTGGGGTCCCGTCCCGCCCGGTCCGGTGGGGTCGGGGTTCGGGGTTCGGGGCACGGGGCACGGGGCGCTCGGGGCGGGGCCACGCACGGCGGGCCAATCCGGGGGCGGAGAACCGCAGTCAGGGGCTCAGTGGGATAGACCCTGGAGTATAGGGGAAAACACATACATGGTTTTGATGGCAACCTCACCGGGAACTCGGCCACAACACAGCAGAGAGCCCAGACGAGCGATGAAATACATATCGCTCCACGCCGTTGAAGAGTAGCCAGCTCCTCAAGATTATGTCTACTCCCACGAAAATAATGCATTAACTGACACCGATGTTTGGTCGATCATGTTTAGAGTCCATTGGGGATTCTTTCCATGCAAGACACTATTGAGTTTGACTCGACGACGTACTAGTTGTCAAATTATTGAACGAGAAAAGAAAGGTCGACTTGCGGGATGTTTGGTTACTTTCATTCCCCGAAAAAACGGAATTCCGGCTACGTATATTATTCGCTGGCCACGCCTTGGATGGCTGTGAAGAATCTACTCCACGTAACCTTGTGCATTTTATGCAATTCATTATTTGCGACCATTTAAATGCGCGCTTGAAGTGCGGGAGAATTTCTTTTTTAAAAGCTGGCAATTCTACAATTTGTATTAGCTATATTTGAATTGCTGAATCTCTCCCATTACTTTGTGCCTGATTTCACCTGCGAGTGCTGTGTAAGAGCCAAATTTCTCGGATTAATGATAAATCGACTCGACGTCTCCTCAAGAGTACATTACTGCAATGTCTGCATCTACAGTTATAAATGAGCTGAAAGGCAGTGTGTCTTCGGCGCCAGCAGCGAAACAAAGGCGCAAGCGGAAAAATGCTTGTAAAGAATGTACGAAGCCCATAAAGCGTGTCGAACAAGCGAGGAACGTTGTCTGATTCCCGACAAAGGCAGACAGTCAAAGGTCAATATCTTCCTATTAAGCCAGACCAGACCGCGATCCGTTTCTCACCGCAATGTGGGCGGTACAGCTACGATGCGATGCTCCAAGCGATCAATCCGCGCCGTGCACTCGTTGCCAGGAATTGGAACAAACGTGCGAGATGGACACGAGCTACAAGCGTGTGAATAAAAAAATGTATGATATCACCCTCAAAACTTCAAGAGAGGAATCATTGTTCACTGCTGTTCTTGTAGGAAGCTCGAAGAGTTAAGTGCTCAGGTTGAGCACCTGTTAGCCACGGTCGCAACGAAATCACTCTCTCCTGCCCTGTCTTGGGACACACAGGATGGACTCGTTTTTGACGAAGGTCCGGATGATGATTGTCAGATACGTGACAATGCCTCCTTGAGCGGAACAGATGCAGCCAGACTGCCCTTCGGCACAGATTACTTCGACTCTCTTGACCCACCTTCGGCTTTCAAAGGTTGCGCTGATTCTCGGAACATCCAGCCGACACCAAGTGATGACAACAGATTGCGGAGTTGTGTCACTAGGAAACTAGAAGACGTGGTCGTCAGCATGGAGCAGATTGATCGCTTATTTACCGAGTACGGTCATATCTGAGTGAGGTGTTAACTTCGTTGCTAAACTGTCATTGCTTAGATACTTCGATCATTACCATCGCTTTCTCAGGCTCCTCGATCCCACATGCTCACCCGATCACTACTATGGAAAGTCGCCTTTCCTCTTCTGGACCATAATATCGGTCGCTGCTCGTCGATTCGATGAAGAACCAACCCTTCTCGCAAGCTTGAGAAACTCGGTCACCAAACTTGCTTGGGCCGAAATCTCTTCTCTCCCACACACAATTGATACTATCAAGGGTCTTCTGCTTCTATGCTGTTGGCCTTTTCCAGTGGGGTCCGAGGCGTCCGACGTGACCTCTGTTTTCATCAGTATCGCAATGCAGATGGCGAGAAAGTTGGGTTTGCACAATCCACAAAATTCCCAGGATTTTTTGGGATACAAATTCCGGCCAAGCCGAGAACAGACGCATGATATGATCAAAACATGGTCTGCGTGCAATATTGTTGCTCACAGGTATTTGATCCGAGGGCAATTAAGCAAGACATGTCGCTAAACATTAATTGCCAGCTATTCCGCAAGTTCCGGCCAGTGGTCTTTATTCGCACAAGACTGGATAATAGATCAGGCTTGTGAGCCAGGAAATAGTTTGTCGCTTCCGGATGGCTTACGCCATCGGTTGGTCATTGCCAGATTTGGCGATAGGTTGATGAGTCTTATGTCTGGTAACAGATTGGACTCTAGTGGAGTACCCTTTGAACAGGAAAGAATTCGGATGTTGAAGCAACTGCGTGATGACCTGGATGAACTACAAAGCAGTCTCTATCCTAACCTAGGCTGTAGGTCCTGTCCTAAGCTCCTTTTCTTTCAGTCCTAACTCGGATTAAACAGCGATTGATAAACTACATTTTTGCGCTCTCCGTTTCCAGTTAGAATCCTACTACTTTTATGATCTTGCTGATGCAAATGCACGACGACAAGGATTGTTGAGGGCCTACAGCAACGCCTGTATCTTCATCACCGGACTACTAGACGAAGATAAGGCAACGGAACTGTTCCTCTACAGCTCCTACGAGCTCCTTCGAGTTCTTTGGCAAGCCATGCAGATTATTTCAGATATTCTAATATCTGTATATGCTCATCATGTTGTCTCTGAAGTCGGTCATCGCCTCTTCCATGCTGGAATCGCGGGCACAAAACGCGCTTCTGTTGAAAACAACGACATGCCCGGTCGCCTCTCCGTCATCATGTCCCAGTTGTGGAGGATGAGGAATGCAAGAGTTGATCCGTTACTGGAAGAGCCTAGACTTCGTATCAAGAGTCGGCTGGGTGCTAGCACTCTTTATAATTGGCTCTGGTATTGGAGAGAATCATTTGCAGGTCAAACAAATGCCTACCCACCATCTCCACGTATGTATCTGCGTGCCTTTCCATGATATTGATTCCTATATTTAACCGAGAGATAGCAGTCTCTTTGATATTACCAGGACAGTTCGAAGGGTCAGGAAGCGAGTCGTTTCTCGACATCAATCCGGGGCCACCAAAGGAGCTTGGGGACAATTCTCACTGGGGTATCGACTGGACGAGCAATTTGGGAGCCAGTGCTGATTTCCTTGGCAGCTGGACATTTTGATAACTAGAATTGTTCTAAATAGGATTCAGAATCCTCTGTCTCTTTAACACTTCGATACTGTAACATAGTATTTCGTCCTAGTTTCCTTGCTTAGTCTCAGTATACTTCTTGACCGCCTTTCGTCCAGGATGAAACTGGGAACACAGTATTCTATTCCCTGGCCGCTTGTCCTGACAAAAATCCACGTACTCATTTGGATAGTTCTGTTAGTTTGGTCCGCATCAATATGCAACCCCCTACTTCCGAAACGCTCGTTCGTCCTCGAGATTCATCTTCAATCATTGGATGAGAAATCCGCCTTGGGCTGTATTCGCCGAGAACCGGAATTCCGGGTTGTGCCCCCCACTTTGTTACCCTGATCCACCTTACTCTCTCCTATTAACGAATCAAATTCCTCCCCCCCTTCCCCCGAACAACGTTCATGTTTAGAAACTTAGCTTTGTCACTTTGCACCCCAGTTTCATGGAACCTAAATACTTGGCGATTCTGGACTTAGAATCGATGGACCTCGTTCCACACTGCCGAAGTTCGGCGTGTTCGATTACCCCGGAGTGATAGACGTATGAATCCAGGGAATGCGGAGTCTAGGTTCAAGTATTAGCTTAGCTAGATTCAAAAGTGTTATTAATACGCCCGCCGATGCCACTGTCTACCTTCCGGCCAAAAGTACTTAGTGTGCGATCAATCAGTTCTAAAACCAATATTATCATTTTCGTCCAACCATGGAGGAAGAGAAACCGATCCATCTTGAAGTGGCTTGCCCCGAAGCCGGTGACAAGTCCAAAGTCCCAATGAAGTCAGAAGAAGAACCTAATCGCAATGATGAATTGGATAATTATGTCAGAAATAAAGCTGAAAGACACCTTGTGTGGAAACAAGACCTCTTCATCCTCCCACTGCTGGCAATAAGTACCTTCTTTGGATATCTAGTACGTGCTCCAGCACATGACCGTCTCATAAGTCAGCCCTGACACTCTCTAATCTGCCAGGACCGCGGTCAGATCGGCAACGCTCGCGTGATGGGGATGCAGAAAGAACTTGGTCTTACTAACCAGCAGTGGTACAACTGTATTGTCATGTTCTGTGTGTTGTAACTCTTGACGAAAACCTCTCTTTACGGGCCTTGACTAACGCCGCCGTTCTTCAGTCATAGGATACGGGGCTATTGAGCTCCCTGCAGGACTGCTCCTCCGCTACTGGAGTCCTAAGTACTTGTTCGCCGGTGGTCTAGTCACTTTCGGTCTCGGCGCAACATGTATCGCGGTGGCTAGGAGTTATGCTGCTGTCATGAGCCTTCGCGTCATCATTGGTCTAGGGGAAGTCTTCGTGACCAATTCATATATCTACCTCAGTCTATGGTACAAACCTACGGAGTTGTCGATGCGAGTGGGTAAGAAACTAGAACGTGACTCTCATGGGATTGCCCGTTAACTTCTCATGCTAGCTCTCATGTACTGCATGACACCCATCGCCGGCGCTTTCAGTGGTCTTATTGCCTACGGCACTGCCAAGAACCTTGAAGGAGCCCACGGAAAAGCCTCATGGCAATGGTTGTTCATTATTGAAGGTGCAGCAACTTTGGGCTTCAGCTTGGTGGTTTCGATGCTGCTTCCTGGATTGCCAGAGGTCGTGGCTAAGAAAGGAAGTCTGCTTTTCCGTCATCCGGATGAACGCCAAATCATACACCGAAGACTGGCTGAAAGTAAGACTTTTCTGGCGAGCAGAGCAATTTTTCATACTCTACCTGGAACCAGAGTGTCCGGAACCATGGACTAAAATATTGTTGAATGAGCTTAGGTCAAAACATGCAGAATGCACGAATCCGTCCCCATCAGATCACTATGGCCTTTCGCGATCCAAAGCTTTATCTCGGAGCGGCCATTATTGGAGCACAAGGAATAGGAATCGGCGCTTTCGCTATTATACTGCCCACTCTAATCAATGAATTCGGCTTCTCGGCTCTAGAAACCCAACTCTACTCGATGATTCCATATGCGTTCGGGTTTTTCAGTATGATTACGGTCCCATACATAGCGGATCGGATGCACCGCAAAGGCATTACGACAGCCTGCTGTCTGTGTATCACCTGCCTCGGTTTTATATTACTTCTGTCTACTACGAACAAACCAGCCCTACTCGCAGGAACTTGCTTCGTGGTCACTGGCGCGTATCCCGGTTTAGCTGTCAGTGCTGCCTGGTTTCTAACCTTCCACGGTGGCTACACCAAGCGCGCAACTGCCGTTTGGATCAGCCAGGTCTTTGTACAGGCCTACAGCATCATTTCAACGCAGGTCTACCGGACCCCCCCGCGTTTTTTCTTAGGTCATGCGGTAGCACTTGGGTTGTATGGCCTTGCCATTGCATGCACACTGATTCTCCTCAGCATGCTCACGCGAGCAAACAAGGCTAAGGATTTCATCCAAAACGAATACGAGAGAAGAGGCGAGACGAACCCTCAGAATGAGATTGATTTTGAGGAATTAGGCGACTTCCATCCCTCCTATAGATATGCTCTATGACGGGTTGGTCCCCAAAATGCCAGGGGCATTTCCACCTTCATCTCAGAGGGTCCCCTACAGTATTATATCACTTTCTCCTCACTAGTTAAAATAACTGACGCCTCGGCTGTCAATTCCATTTTGACATTGTGCGATTTGCATCTCCTCGTTTCTTCCAAAAATCTTCCATTTCATACCGTTAGCTTGTCCCTAATGCATGCCCGACGTAGCGGAACTATACCTAGAAGAGGATATATTTCCATTGCGGTGCGACAATATCCCACCAGAGTATCCACCCGTTCTCCGTTATATGTCTGATCTCAGTTTCTCCTTGGAAACGATCCGGAACTGATGCCTCAGGCTGGTAGGCAACAATTTCCTAAATTCAGATCTCGCCCTCTTCACGAGGGCGGCAAGCGCTGGCAGACACGCACAGATGATCCCCAATGCAATTTCAGGATTTGTGATCAAGTCGAGACGTTTAGTAGACCAAGTCCGGTCAGCTGTGTCGCGGTACACAATAACCCATGCCAACCGAACGATGGTCACTGAGCACACCAATCCACCGGCCGCCAGCACAACAATCACTTTCAATTTCTTCTTCAGAGGCATGTTCAGCTTTGATATCAACACTATGGGCAATATTAAGATGATCAGGTCAGTAATAACATTGATAGTGGCGTCTGTGATAAAGATATCGGGCTGTCGTAGGCATGTCCCATGTGTGACACTGACGCCGTACCAGACTGCATTGATGGGATGACAGATGCAGATCTTTGCTGTCGTAACTGCAATCGTGTACGCCGAGAGAAATCCGCTGAATGCATATATGAAGAGAACCCATTGCCGGTACGGATCAAAGAATCGTGCCAACATCGATAGGATCGACAATTTGATGGCGAGGATAAGCGGTCCGTATATCACCATTTGGATATAGTCAAGCTGAATCACAATGCCTAGGTTAGAATTTGGACCAATGGAAATATTTTTCTTCGTTTCCTTGCCTTGTAAAGTAAGATCAAGTCCTTTTGGCGTACGTCCCATTGGTGGTATCCACCACCATAAGCAGCACCTGCGCAAATTTAGAACGTCCTTGCATATCTGGAAAATGATTTTCTCAGACATACTTGCTAACATGAGTGCGAACGATGTAGTTGCCAAGATCTGGTTCATTGTAAGCATGTGTTTGCACCGCTAACTTCATTGAAGGCATCAACCCATGATATTAAACACATCCCTGAGCAGGTCAACAGATTGACACAACAATGGAAGGGCGGGGACGTACAATCCTCAAAGTAGAATTCATGTAACAAGATCTTCACATACATCCTCAGTACAACGAATATCGTGACGACAGGAATACATAGGTACTGAGTCACGCTCACCCAAGCGTGGACGTTGCTCGAGGGGTTAACGAGATTTGGCACTACACCTGGAGGTGGTGTTGCAGCAGGCTCCTGCGACATGAAGGTCCTCTATCCGAATTGCATAGAGGCGAAGGAGTGCGGGCAGCCGACCTTTAAGTCGGTCCAATCTTCAATGATGTAAGATAATTCTAATCCCGACTAAAGTTAGCAAAGCAGAAAATCCTATCTGTGCGAGAAGCTCGGGTTCAAATATTCTACGAATTTTCTATGACGTTTGCCTTTCAAAGTCACAAACCTAAACCACACCTTTGGGGTGGCGAATTTCCGAGTTTCCTCCCATCGTGAGGAAATGCCGGATATGGCTCCCCAAGCTACTGTGACCCGGCTTTACTTAGATTGCGTCGGTAGTTTACGCGTTGTATTAGGCCATGGTCGGTGATCATCGTCTATCTGCATGCAACTTGTATCTATTTAATCTGGTAATCGGACCGTACGTCAACAAAGAGGACGTTCGGACTTCCTGAACCTTAAGAGGAATGTAACCATGGCTTATGGCATACAGTGTAGTTTGTCAGACCACGTGCGTAACGTAATTCCTGGGTGTGGGCCACACAAGCGAGTGGGCCAGTCCAAAACACCATAGTAAGTGCGATATTTTACAACTCGATATTTCAACGACCACAAGTTAATTCTATTTGATTATTGGTATGGTAGTATTAAGAGACATGATAAATAGTATAAATAGCCCTAAATCTGAATTAAAAAAAGTTGCCTTGCATTTCACCCATGAATTACGTTACAGCTCCCGTCGGGCCATTCTGTGGAAATCGTCTGGAGGATGTCAATTCTGATTAACTACTATGATTCGTAATACAATTTAGAGGAGAAGTATGACTACTACAGTACAGAGTAATTTTGAAATGAGTGTACTGTGGGGGCCAGGATGCTGTATGATAACATTATCCTTGACAGTGAAGAACTGGTTCTAAAGAAATGGGGTGTGGAGTGTGCTCCTGGCTCTTTCCTCCTCAGTGTCATGAATTATTTCCATCAAGTCAATACTGTGCCATTCCCGAGACTATGTGAGAACAGAGTGGGCAATGATTCGGTCTTCTTTTTCGCATGTCTCTCCTCAAGATTTAAATATTGAGCCATGCCTCGTTTTGTATACAAGTACAGTTACCCAACTCATATGACGCTCAAGCCTCTCGAGAATGAGCGGAGAGAAATATTGATGAGCACACCTTTCCCAAGGAGGCAGCCTACGTAGCGGATACAGTTACTGGAGTAGAGTGAGGTCTCAGGACACCGCTTCGTCGCATGCTCTGAACTTCTAATACGATGGTTTCCCTATTCTTCATACCTGTGATTAAATAAGAAAGCGTAGTTATAATACGGGCCCGAATGAAGAGACCTACTAGAGAGTAAAAAGGAGCTTCACGAGGAAAGTGTCAACAATTACGCGCCCCGATTCCGCTAAAAGTGTATCCGGCCATTTTAATTCCAACAAACCCGACCGGGCCGATTTCGGCTATTAGTGAGTAATCTCTTCCCATTCAAAAGGCCAAGTTGAGTTGGGAAACGAATAGGAAATATAAAAATAGAGAGGGATCAAACGAAATCCTATACATACATGCGCTTTTATCATCGCAGGATTTCTTCAATCTTCCAAGAACCCTGTTGGAAAACCGAATTCGAAAGACAAACCAGGTTGCGACAAAGTTGCCGGGAAAAGAACAATGTTGGACGAAAAGCGTATCCAGGTCCTGCTTGACAAGCAAGAGATCTATGAACTTCTGTGTCGCTACTGCCGTGCCGTTGATCGCATGGACAAGGAACTGGTCATGTCCTGCTTCTGGCCCGGGGCGACGGATATTCATCTGGGAAAATACGGAAATCTATACACGGGCACAGCCGAGGAGTTCTTTGATGCCGAGTGGGAAGGCTTCAAGGAGTTCACCGCGTCACAGCACTACATCTGCAACCATCTGTGCGAAGTGGACGGGGACCACGCCTTTGCTGAGACCTACCAGTTCTCCTTTTATTGGAAGCAGCCCGGCGATGAGCCCACGCGCAATGTACAAAACTCAAACCGATACATTGACAGATTTGAACGGCGGAATGGCGAATGGCGCATCAGTCATCGCCAATTCATTCGCAATTTCAGTTTTCCCATCCAGCCCAGGGGGTTTCCTTCGGTCGAAAATGGCTGGCCTAGTCTGGTGCAGAGTCGAAAGGATCCGGCATATGCGGGAGTGACCAAGTTTTGATTCTTCTAGTGATTGCACCAGATACACTGCCTCTGATTCTTGTGACCATATTGGCCGCTGTGAATGATTAGTTGATGAAAGGAAATATGTGGATAGCAAGAGCAGCAGAAAGCAATCTAAGCTAGTATTGGCTCCGTTTTGAGATTGCAACATATAGAAGTAGATTCCTCCACGAATTGTATGATCACGCTTCGTTTAACTGTACAACGGTTCTGGCTCTCGTTCAGGTAACTGTCATATTCTGCGATAGATATGCCGAGGCTTGAACGCAAGAATTTTTGTTTAGTCTTCGAACAACACTCCTGAATTATAAATACATGAAAATTCTATTAATAAGGTCCTAGGCGATGAATGTGCACATTTAACATCACTACAATTTTACGGTATCATCACTACCAAGTAATAGTAACAGATAGATGACACAGTGTTGGATCTCTTAACGGTTTTGTCCTGTCACCCTGACACGCACTACTCATGTACAGTTAGACCTGGATCTATAATACTAGGTCGTGACCCACAGATCTTCTTGCGAATACAACTACCATACACATGCTACAAGACAATGTACTTTTAAGATATGTAAACTCAGAGAACGGCTGGAGAATTCGCGGACTGGTACAGGCTGCCACGTTGTAGAACTTCATTTGTTAAACTGCTCAAGAATGTCAGAAGCTAACCAGGTTGTACGGATACAATATCACTGCTCACTAAGGGCCGGCGATTGACCCTATGCCAACATTCTACCACCCTTCCAGCTCGATTGAACTTTGTCATAAACGCCCCAGAACGATGGAGGCTTGGTGTACTCACGCGGGATAATGCCCATGCGAGGAATTCAATTTCGGGGACAGAATCAGGATTAGTTAACAAGGTCGCGGAACTCGGCCAAGTGTTTCAAAGTATGCCGAAAAATGTCGCTCTTTCGCCGATTTAGGACCGAATCAACCATTACAGAAGACTATGAACTTGTTGTATTACTACCGCGGGTGAACAAATTTGAAGTTAGAACTCTCGGCCCGACTCCTCACCGCACAAATTACATTGGGCGAATCCAGTTTCAGAGCCATGCCATTCGCACTATCTTGCGGAGTTGCGCACGATTGACCCTGTTATATAAGCACATGTTTCCCCAATGGTTTGTCTTGCGCAAAGTTTTGATTTGTATTCACCCACTCTATTTTTGCATTAAATTTAGGGCAGCTTCCCCCCTCCTCCCCCCCCAAAAACCACCAGCGATATGAAGTCTGCAGGTCACAGGAAAGAGATGGACGGTACCGACGAGGAAGGATCTCCAACAAAGCTACTTGCTGTTTTTGTTGCATCAACCACGCAAGAGATAATCACTTCTGAGATTGTGAACAAGTTGAAAGTGCTGTTCTTGGATTACCTCGGAGTTTCTGCTTCAGCCGCCTTCCGTGCCGAGTCTAGTCAAAAATTCCTTTCAGCAATGGAAAACTTTGCAGGGTCAGTGGGTGGGAAAGGCACTGTATTAACGAAGGGCTCAACGTTTTTACCACAATATGCGGCCCTACTCAATGGTGCATGGTGCCACACTTACGACTTTGATGACACCCACGCCAAAGCAGTTCTGCACCCGGGTAGCAGCGTGATCTCAGCTGCGTTGGCTGAAGCTGAGACGATACATTCATCGGGATCGGACTTTTTGTTAGCTTTGGCAGTGGGATATGAAGTGGCCTGCCGTCTTGGAAATGCGCTGGGTCTCGGTGGATATCCTCGAGGTTTTCATAATACGGGCACCGCTGGCCTTTACGGAGCGATAGCAGCGGTGTGTAAGCTCCGGAAGTCTTCGCAGCAGGTTGTGGAAGATGCGTTTGGCCTGGCAGTCTCAAAGGCCGCCGGATCTATGCAATTTTTGGAAAATGGCGCCTGGAACAAACGCCTACATCCGGGGTTTGCAGCCCATGATGCACTCTTATGCGTTGCACTTGCCTCAGCGGGGGTTATTGGGGCCACGAAGCCAATTGAGGGTAAATATGGACTTCTTCACAGTTATTCTGAGAATGCAGATTGCTCGCGATCGCTAGATGGCCTAGGCCGCGAGTGGATATTCCTTGAAACGGCTTGCAAACCATTCCCAGCCTGCAGGATGACACACGGACAAATTGAGATGGCCGCAAATATGCGCAAGGAGTACGAACGTCATGGCATACCGGAGCAAATTTTGATCAGCTTACCAAAATCGTGCTTCCCCGTTGTGGGTAATCCTGCCGCCAACAAGATCAATCCACAATGCATCGTCGACGCCCAGTTCAGCTCTTATTTTCAGACTGCGGCAGTGTGGCTCTACGGAGATCAACTTGGATGGGAGATTTACGAGAAAATTCGCGACCCAGCGGTACAAGACTTGTGCAGGCGGATTAATTGTCAAATTGAGGAGTCATACGTGGCTCTTGAATCCAAGGTGAAGATAACGTTCAAAGATGGGCTGGTGGTTGAAGGCGAAATCATCTTTCCCATAGGAGAGAAAGAACGTCCTTTTGATTGGGAGAAAGGGGTGAGGCGAAAATTCATGGGGCTTAGTGAGCCTGTGTACGGCAAGGAAAGGTCCGAGGAAGTATGCAAATTGGTCGGAAGTCTTGAGGGTACTGACGTACCATCTTTGATGATGCTAGTGAAATAATTTATATCGAAAATGCTAGTTAGTATACTATCAGTCTACTTCACGAGAGTTGGAACATCGAGGACCAAAATCCTTACATGGGGGTTTTTTCTGTTCATTCGCGTGCAACGGGAATTACAAAGATTAATACGAAAGGTCAACTTGTTCATTCATGTACGATCTTCTTACTGTTCTAAGAAATGTTGTGGGAAGAATGTTAAATTTACACCAATGAATAATATTCCGAAATGTACTTTACCTCTGATTACCTATTTTCCTAAAAATTACCTGAAAGCCCAAAATCTTAAATTGATAATGCAGTCCGATGAAGCAGTGCGCCGGTAGTGCCGGCCCTAGGGGCAACCTCACCTCAAAGAAATGCCATACACATGCAAACTTCTATTCGATGGCTAGACGTCGTTCTAAGTCTTACCCCGGGGTCAATCGGAGACTCCGGACATGCGGCACAGCCGGAGTGGGGTTCTCGCTTCTAACCCCAGGATCACCCGGATTCTAGTTTCAGGGACCTAGCATCGAAAAAGTTTAAAGCCACGAGTCCGATGATACGTTGAATACGCTAAACTTCGAGAATCGAGATAGCGAAAACCGGAACTCCTGATTTTCGGCGAACCCCGCCCGAGACAGACTTTTCAGCCAATAACTGAAGCTAGAGGATCTACAATACCATCTCCGAGTTCCAGTCCCATATCGTTTTTATCTTAGTCCCAGTACAGTCCTTACTAATTCTCTAAAATTGGCATCTGGAAAATATAAAGCTCGATGCTTACACCTCAGAAACGACACTAGAAGTTTTCATTCACCGTACGATTTTGTTAAATAAACAGAACCTAATCTTCAAAATGTCCCCATCATCGACAACCGCAACCAAGGAGGTCGTACACAACACCCTTGAACAGGCCGCAAAGGTGAATGCTCTAAGCCCGGCCTTCAGATATGGCGGCGTTCCAACTGTGCCGGGTCAGGTCAAGCCACTAGCACAAGTTCGTATCCCAAGATATGAGAATCTCGAAGACGAAAGAGCTTTCCGAAAGTTGCATCATGCTGCTGCTTTGCGGTGGCTGGGAGCTCATGGTTACAACAATGAAGGCGCGGGCGGACACGTCACAGTCCGCGATCCCATCCTAACAGATCATTTCTGGATAAACCCACATGCGAAAAGCTTTTCGTATATTAAACCAGATGATCTCTGCCTTGTCAACGACCAGGGCATAGTTGTTGATGGAAACATGCACGCCATCAACCCGGCTGGATTTTCAATCCACTCTGCCGTTCATCGAGCCCGTCCAGACATCAATGCAGCGGTCCATTGTCATTCGATCCCTAGTAAGGCCTTTGCTGCGTTTGGGAAGCCATTGGATATGATCAACCAAGATGCATGCCGGTGAGAACCTACTAAAATCAGGGCTCTGTGTTTCTCCCACTAATTCGTATTAGGTTCTATCAAGCTCACTCGGTTTACGAAGGATTTGGAGGATCAGCTCTTGATCCTCAGGAGGGCAAGAATATCGCGAAAGCCCTTGGTAACGGGAAAGCGGTGATTCTTCAGAATCATGGTATCCTGGCGGTCTCAAAAACGGTAGACGGAGCTGCATTCAACTTTGGCGCTCTTGATCGATGTATCGAAGCACAGTTGCTCGCCGATGCGGCGGGAAAGAACAGAGGCTGGGACACTATCAAAGTCGGTCACGAAGAGGCTGAGTACACTAGAAAAGTATACTGGGACGAATTGGAATACATCACGTTCCAATCCGCATTTGAAGATACCGTGCGTGCTTCTGGTGGTGAACTAACGATGACGATTTGAAGGCACGGCTGTGGTGAACCAACTGGTAATTGCCAACAGAATACCTTGCTGCGCATGGAAAGTTACTCTTTTGTAGATAAGTATCATATGTATCTAGTCCGTCTTTCGAAAACACGTCTTGAGCTATTGGTGTGAGAGGTTCAATACACGACAATATGCGAGTTGATGGTCGGAGTGTTACTTGGAAATATGATTTGCCGCTTCGAAGAACCTCAGTCGTACTCTGTAATATTCAAGGTAACTTTTTACAGCGAGAGGCAAATTTTAGTACACAAATGTTAGTCTCTTGTAGGATATCTTATGGCATTTACTCTGCTCTCAGGCTTCACTTTGCTAGTCAATGAATTCCATGCATGGCTTGTCCTTCTATTCAATAAATCGATACGGTCTCGTGAGTGACTATGTATGACATAATATATCTAAGTAAGCAAATAATCAATATTTGGCTGATCTTACTCCTAGAATATTCCTATAGTCCTAATTAGGAGATAGCGGAGACGCCCGGAATTGGGCTCGGAATTCCGATTTTAGGCTTACGCACAAACTCCGCCAATTCCATGGAATCCAACCTAAGCTAGAGTTGTGGACCCACAAGATTGATTCAGGTAATAATGATGTTAATAATATTTCGACATTCTGCGGGTTTTCGGATATGGATTATCCTATGACGTCCTTTTCTAACCTATGCCTCGGGCAAGGTGTGCTTACTCTTGAGCAGGGCATCTAATTCTCATACTAAGATTTATGTATATTTAGCTCTTTAGAATTTACTCCTCGGATCTGAAATACTCAAAGTAAAAATACCAACGACAATTTCAAAATATTCCTTCACGGATATTTTACCATGTCTACACCTATTCCTTCGTTCTCTACACTTCCTCTCCGCAAAGGAGATCCTCATTACTCGGCCTGGGGGCTTTATGGCCCCGACGACGAGCGGGGAACGCTCAATCGTCTTACCAAGGATCTAGTCTTGCAAGCAAAGGAAGAAATTCAAACGGGAGAGACAATTTCGCTGAACTTGCCGCTGGATGCGCTGGCGAAGAGTAAAGTGATTGGCCGTCAAGGGTTTGAGATGAAGCAATACGCCAAACACCCCCGGGTCGTTTGCGATTGCGTCTGGACTTTTAACAGCCAAGGCAGCACGCAATGGGACGGCCTCCGTCATTGGGCTTATCAGGAGACAGGTCAATTCTACAACGGCCGGACGCTGGACGATTTCTTCAATGAAGACAAATCCATCAAGTCAACCGTGAACGGAATCCAAAACTGGGAAAAGACTGGCATTGTCGGAAGAGGAATTCTTCTTGATTTCGAGAGATGGCGACGCATCAAGCAGATTGACTTTAACCCACTTCCCTTAAGCCCCCACCCGATCACTCTGGATCAATTAAAGGAAGTTGCAAAACTTCAGGGAACCGAAATCAAATTCGGTGATATCCTGTTCATTCGAACCGGGTTCAAACCAGCTTATGAGCACTTAAGCCTAGAGGACAAGGCTAAAATGGGCACTCTCTGGCAGTCTAGTGGTCTGGTGCAGAGTGAGGAAACACTCGAATGGATATGGAACAACTTTTCAGCAGTTGCTGGTGATGGTATCACTTTTGAGGTTTGGCGTAAGTGTCTAATTCAAGGACTAGCAGTAATTGCTTTCAACGATGCCTAGTACTAACAGAAGAGACAGCATCCAAACAAGACTGGTACATGCACGACATTCTGCTGGCTGGATGGGGAATGCCTCTCGGAGAGCTTTTCGACTTGGAACGGGCAGCAGAGTATTGTGAGGAAATTGATCGGTGGTCATTTTTCGTGAGCAGTGAAGTACGCTCCCTCCATCTCAGACACCATGTGACGCATTGCTAACTTGCCCCAAAGCCTTGCAACGTACCTGGTGCGGTAGCAAGTCCGGCAAACTGTTTGGCAATCTTTTGAGTCTTTTTTCCCATTACGAGAGTACTGCATGGATTTGTAAAAAGAATTTAAAGAAAAAAAAAATTGTTGGAAAGATTTGGTCAGAGCATTTAAGAAAATGAGAGCAACTTCAAGTTCTCTAGCAACACTAGGAGTGGCATTACAGATTAAAGAACTGTTCTCCTTCAAAATTAAACATCTTAAACAGTCTTTGATAGCTATGGTACTCCAGTTCTTCATAAGAATTAATATATTCACTTGGCCGTGAATGTCGTCGACCCTTGGAAAAAAATGCTTTTTTGATGTTTGAGAGCCCTACGACTTGTGAGTGTGTCCATTCGTGACAAAGCCTCGTACGCAGAAATTTCTGTACATCACTCTCTTCATTGCTTTACCAGCATATTTTGGACTGTCTGTTAGTGCCTAAGCTTCCTGAATCAACAGTCCCTCCATATAGTATATATGGAAGGGGCACAGGATATCGAATCGAAATGCACTCGCTACATGCTCCTCGGAGAATGCGGACAAATCGGGCCGAAATCGGCCTTTGGAAAGTGTGCACAACACTACATATTTAGTGGATTAATCGTTGTGTTTTTCATAAATAATATGGAAAGTGGCCTAGTCAAACCAAACCAACACACATCCAAAAATTTCAACGACTATTCTACCAGCCTCTATTGTGGAACACAACCTCGGTCGGTTGGAAGATGGCTACCAAAATGTTCACACCAGTCGAGCATTTCGTTCCAGTGGAACCCACAAGTGAAAGGGTCCCTTTTGTCAAACTGGAATGTGTCGACCTGAGCGATTATGACAAAGGCCTCGAGGCAAAGGCCAACTTAGCCAAGAAAATCCATGATGCGATGACGACTCAAGGATTTTTTACAATTGTGAATCATGGACTCCGTGAACAGGAGATCACTCGTCAGGTTGATATCGGTCATCATATAATAACCAACACCGATATGGAGGAAAAGCGAAAGCTGACGGCGTCGATGATTGAGGAAGGATCCTATCACGGTTTTAAGCCTCGCGGTCATTGGAGAACTGCTGGTGGAATTCGAGACAAGGTGGAAAACTTCAATATCCACCGAAACATGACCCTTCGCGAACAACCGTCTACCCTGCTACCATACAAGGATGAGGTACAACGATTCATCGATTTCACACACAAAGAGATTCTATTCAAGATCCTGCGTCTCTTCGCCATGGCATTGAAGATCGAAGACGAGGATTTCTTCGTCAAACTTCACAGTTACGAAAAGCACGACGAGACATGGCTCCGGTATATGGAATATTTTGACGAATACACGGACGAGGAAAGGCAGCAGACTAAAGGATTGTGGCTAGGTGGTCACCAGGACTTTACCAGCTTGTCTTTTCTGTTCAGTCAACCGATGTCATCTTTGCAAGTTCGCGACTACGATAACAACTCGGAATGGAGGTACGTGGAATATACTCCCGGTGCCATTATCGTTAATGCCGGAGAGGTCATGCTCTGGTGGACCGGAGACTATTTCAAGGCTGCTATACATCGTGTTTTTGAGCCCCCATCAGACCAGAGAGGCCACAATCGATGCGGCGTGTTCTACTTTTGCGTTCCTAACGATGAAATTGTGATCAATACTTTGCTTGACGAGAGTCCAGTTCTGAGAGAAGCTGGCGTCAAAATGGCACACAACCCCAAAGACGCGCCGACATCTAAAGAATGGAGCAATGGAAGGATCAAGATTACTGGACGCAACGCAGTCTGGGATAAAAAGGGAGACGAAAAGGTAACGACGGAGAAAGTAGGCAAAGTTGTCACCAAGTGGTTCAGATAACCGCCGTCGATTCCGACTTCGCTGTTCAAGGCTACTTCCAGGCTGAGGATTTCACCGGTCGTTTTTCTTTCTTTCAATTATGTGTTGTGCGAGGCAATTGTGCGAGTGAAATACGATAGTGCAGATTGATAGCTGAAGATTGAGTGATTGTTCTCTTTAGAATACGTAGAATCATAAAAGAGTGGTTGTGGTTATTAACTGTAATGGAAATGACAGCTATATGTAATGCTAAGGATGTATGGTCCCCTGTCGGTACTAAATGAAGGAATAGGAATTAATTAGTTGATGGAGCCAGTTGTGGATACGTCGGAATGGTGCGTCTGCCTCCCGTGGAAGGTGCTGAAGGCCGTGGCAGCAACATTATGTATGTCCACGCACTCTAATTTTGTTTACGTAATCTGGGGTCCCCAACGAAACCTTAAAACTCGTTACTCTCGCCACTTCAGTCTCGGGAGATTGGCTAAAGGCCTTTTGTTTCACCTTCGCGAGTGAATAGGTGACTATCAAGCCCATTGATACAAGGTTATCTTTGCGGAGTCCTGCATAATGACTGAAGCCTTTGGCCGTGTCAAAGCCTGCACGGAGTGTCGGCAACAAAAGGTCAGTCTACCGTCTGGTGTTGAAACGTCTCCTCACAGTAACAGGTTCGCTGCGATGCGTACATGGATTATACCAAACCATGTTCGAGATGCAAGATGTCTGGACTTCGCTGTGTCATATCGAATAACTTCCAGAGGAGAAAAGGGCAAAGGTATGACACCGGAGAGAAGCATTCAGCCATATATGTAACCCCGCCATAGCAAACGCGACTTACTGCGGGAGATTGAGCATCTCAAGCAGAGCACGAATACACAAGCTAGAACAAACGCCACCAGGTCACTCCACCGGGGTACAATGCATACCGCATACGGCAGCCCCATTGGTGACGATGGGCCGTCCTCTCATATCCCCATGGTGCAGCAAACCCACCAAAGAAGCAATTCCTCATTAGATAAGAGTACTGAGGGCAAAGACACCGCAGCTTTGCACCTTTCTCAAATCTATCCGCCTGCACAAGACTCATTGACGGTGAGCCAACTGTTGCCTGCCAACGATTTGGCGTTCCCGACCATTCCTTCACATTCCAGCCAAAATGACGATTGCCCTGGAACGGAAAATAGCGATACGGTCGCCCGAAACTTATACGATGTGACCATATCTGGAAAGAAGATCGATGAATGCTACTCTCTGTACGTCGTAGTCATTCCCGGTTGAAATCACGCGAAATTGACCACCAATTACCATGTTCTATAGATTCAACAAACACTATGCACCTCTGATAGTTGGTATCTTTGATGCTCAAGTGAGACCCAATCAACGATACCAGCAGTCGGCTCTTTTGTTCTGGGCGATGGTTTACACCGGTGCCAGACGGTATACAAGGGACCCGACAATATACGAACGCTTGTCGAAGTGCATCACCAACTTTGCCTTCTCGTCTCTTTCTCAAACTGCACATGCGGTGCCAGTACTCCAAGCCCTCGTAATTCTTTGTACATGGCCAGTGCCAATGGACACTTTGTATGGAGATCCGTCCCATGCACTGGCTGGCGCGGGAATGCAGATGGCAATCCAGAACGGACTTCACATTTTTTGCCACGGAGAAGAATTTGCGAGTCAGCCATCGAAACGACAAGCCTATTCGAGACCACTATCCACCCATCAAAGATTTTCCCTAAACGGAAGGTATCAGGATGCCGAGATAGAGTTCCGAACCTGCTTATGGATTCACTGTCTTATGACTTTCCAGAGGTGTGTGACTGACCAAGTGATTGGTTCTCTTCGTATGCATTGCTGATTTGGCGAAGCACAAGTCTCGGTGATGGCTTACCCATACTCGTTATCCCAGAATCCAAAAGTCTCGATCGGTATCTGGAACTGCATTCCTTGTTACCGATTCCACTGTCATATCAATACAAAGTTCACAGAATACAGACGGACGCAGTTAACACAATCAGTCAGTGCATCGAGCTGGAAAAAAGAAACGTTGACGTCGCTCTTCACTCGTGGATTCGGAATTTTGATGACCGCATTCAAGAGGTTGATGTTGGAGGTATTGATGATATTTGTGAGCGTGATAACCATTGCAGTGCTTTGCTGAAAGGCTGAAAAAGAATATATACCTCTAATACAATATCGATACAGTTCATCTTGTGCGATGCTGCTCTCGACTTTCAGTCAGGGCTTTCCACTTTTTCGCTTCTCCGGCAGATGTCGATCCGCGTGGGATAATGCAGCTCTACACAATTGCTCGTGACAGCATCAACTGTTGCTCAAGACTGGATGGAGCCGAAGAATTTTCAACATACATGAGCCAGTATTTCATGCGGATCATCTTGTTGGCAGCCTTCTGCATCTTGAGGATAAGTAAAAGTGCTGTCGGGGACAAGCTTCCCCGCGACGAAGCCGAGGAAATATTCTTCAAAGCCGTCGAGATTTCCAAGAAGCGATCAGTACTGGACAACGACCTAGACTCCCGAAGTGCCAAAATGCTCACACAACTTTGGTCCAGCGAACGAATATTCAGAGACGATAGTGGAGTTAGGACTGGGTTGCAACTCGACCTTCGAGGCCGTTTGGTCAGCTTTCAGGTATCTCAAAAGTCGAATTTTATGAGAAACTAACCCGTCTATAGTTTATGAGTGTCATTTTTGACTGTTTCTGGTGGTGGCGAACTGAGTTTGGGGGTCTGAACAAGGGTACAGAAGGTGAAACCCAGTCAGTGTACGATCCAAATAACGTGCCATCTTCCAGAGAGATAGCGCCATGGGATAACGAAAACATGATCGCGGCTTCGAATTATATGGAGGGATATCGGGATTGGGATTGGGCTGCTATATTACAGGATGATAATATGCAGGTTAACCCCTTTGGAACATATTTGGGCCAAAGCTGATCCCGGAATTCTTGTTTCTAAAAAGAGCGACTATGTTATTCCTTTCTGGTTTCTTTTTTGGGGAGAGAATAAAGTATATACCAAGGGACTACAGTTTGTTCAACGCGAAAGCGCTAGGGACACTCACGATATAAGTCAAAGTGTTTGGACCTGTATGTGCACGAGTGAGTACTCTTGAATATCGAAGGCTTAGATTCGAACCAAACTCACCGAGATTGAAAAGTAGCTGACACGAGGCATAAAGAACCACAGTTGCCCAATGCCCAGGTCTAAATTCAGTGGCTACTAGAACACCCCCTAGCACGGCAAACAAAACACTCAGTAGAAGAAACGAGCACACTAACCACGTCTTCCGAGGTATATAATCAATCAAAAAAATAAGAAGCCCACCGCCAACCAAAGAGCCGATAGAGATAGTGTAGATGTAATACCTTGCATTGTTCGATATTTCATCGAGCATGTTGTATGTGGGATCCCAGATATTCAGATAGTCAGGCACATTGAGACCGGAGTAAGTGGCAGGTGCAACAGTAGTCAAAGTGGCTGTCACAGGTGGAAAATCTGCCACACCGGAGGTGGTCAGATTATAGATGCTCCCATTGGCGGTCACTGCTTGAGTAATAGGGATCGTGATGCTAGTGGCAGCTGCCGGTAGCGTGGTGAATGTCGTAACATTGGCAACATGGGACGCCCAGAGAGCAGAATGGGGCGTGAAGAGTTGATTCCAAGTGCATAGAAGCAAAAATCTAGCAATAATCAGCAGATCGATGTAGCTGCAAGATACCTGATATTGCCTTGTTCAAAAAGAAATTCCAAAAACCTAGAGAATCTTGACGGTCGAACCGGGATGATCGTGCCGGGGATGGATAATCTGTTATTGCCCTAGGGCTTAGTTGCCTGGGTTCATAGCCCTTTTCGAATGATGTAGATGTAGATTCTATCAAACGCGCTGTGCGACGAAACTGGCGCTTTGTCGCAGAAAGTGCTTGTAGAGGGTCATGAGCGAGATCCATAGTATATCGAGGGGACTCGGGGATGGAAAATCGCCAGACTATGGCAAGGAGGGCAGGGATGCAACCCGCTCCAACCACCCACCGCCAGACGCTATCCAGCGTCGAGAGAATTAGCTGTTTCTGTTCTAGCGGAAGCTTTTCAAACGCTGGCCCGTGGTCTGGAAGTCCTTGCAGGCCTCGCGATCGCATCAGCCCTGCCATAACCCCCCAACCCACGGCGGCTGCCAGCAATTGTCCCAGTGGCTGCATCAGAAACACAGCTGCCATCATTTTGGAACGATATTTCGTGCTAGCAAACTCGGCCGTTATCACCGCGCTCAGAGGGTACTCGGCGCCAATCCCAATTCCGAGGAAAAAGCGATAGAACACAATCCAACTCAAAATGTGCATATTATTGTACATGCCTGTTGATGCTTGAGCCATTCCAAGCGTGGCAAAGACCACCAGGGCCAATTCAAGTCCATAAAGCTTCCGTCGTCCAAGTCGGTCTGTCAGCCAGCCGAACAGTAATTGTCCAAAGGCTGAGCCAGCCAACGTCGCAACATTGATATAGAGTTCTGGCTGGCGGTTTGTTTGGTCTGGCCAGTACAAAAAAGCCAATATTGGGAGGATAACGTTAGTTGCGAAGAGGGCGTAAGAATCCGTGAGGAAGCCCGATGCAGCGACGATGAAGACCTGAAAGTCGAAACCATTATGGTCAAATATGTTAATCACTCCGGCCCGCCGGAGGCGGGGATTGTCCTCCTTTTCGTCCGGTACACGAGTAGTGCCATCTATCCACCATGGATGATCGCCAAATGGAAATGGCAACCATTTGCTCACTGCCTTCCAGGTTGACACATTTTCGTTGGATTCACGGTCAGTTGGATGGACACTTGCCATGACCGTGTGGAAAGCTTGGAATGTTCCAACATGCTATTAAAAAGACAAGTTTGATTCTTTCTGCAGTTACTACATATTCGAGTGAATACGAGCGCCGCTCAGCTGATTGTACTAATGTCCGCGCCCTAACCACTACTAGCGCTGCGCCTTTCATCGTTATTCGTCTAACTACACAACCAGTCAACGCGTTCAAATGAGGAACGTGTTCTGCTAGTCGGTGGCGCCTCCTTTTATTCACGATCATTATTGCTGCTCAACCGTTAAAGCTCTGGTCTGATTTTCATAACCAGAATTGGTCACTGTCTTTTTTGGTCGAGCACAGCAAGCCGTACTACCATACGGACATTCCACTTGGCATGCTTTCCTAATCAATATACGCAAGTGAATCTAGCAACAAGATCCGCGTTGAATTCTCCTCTCACAGAAAAAATAGAGCTCGATCGTCGATGAGTGATCCTAGCATTATACGGCGTTTGAGTGACTTCTTCCGTTCCTTTGGGGCAATGCCAAGCCCATGTCCCATCATCGATGAAGCACTGGGAAGCAGGGATACTCTTGCAGAGGAGGAGTCACTTATAGATGATACCCGATTCCTGACATCCATGGCTTACTTGAGGATCGCCAGGCTTAAACTCTGGATGTTTATTCAGACTGTGATATTCGCGTATGAGTCAACTAGAGAGAGCCAAGCTAGATTTTTCAAACATAATTTTTGATTAATTGTGCTGGGATTGTTTTGAAGAAAATTCCTTCTTCATTTCGAAGACACATGCTGGTCAACAGCGGCAACTACGGACAATAGAAAATGAGCAACATAGGACAGTGACTGAATTGTAATAATATATGCCGAGCGAGGTCTTGGAAGTCATATTGAAGGAATTTTACAACAGCAACCACCTCAATCTCACGGATGTGGCCTTGCACTATCGAATGAGACGCGTCATTGAATGATAGAACTGTAGTTAGTAGCCTGATCAGACCTGTGCGATTGCGAAACACAAGTCAGAGAGCATCAGGAACAGTTCGACGACTTCAGGGGTTCAAGATCGGCGCTCAACATGCCACTAAATTCATTAGTCTAAACCCTCTAAGTAAGTAAAATGAAAACATACCATCTTCCACGGCGTGTTCCATGCCAGTAGCAGAGGTATAGCCTGCTTATAGGCATCGCTCTTGATTGATGCCTCGAAGTGGTCCATACTATCCCATCCCCTTACCACCAAAAAGCACTTGGCCATTTCTCCGTTAAGACTTTCGTGCATTTGATCTTCCAGCAGCCAACCGGACGCCCAGCTCTGGCTCCCTGTCACAGCCGGGCTGTATATCTCATCAAACCTGAGGAAGTCGTCTTGTACCTGTTTCCGAAAATCTGGTGTGACGCGAGAGACTGGAAAATAAGACAGTACAAACTCCACTACCCTCGCCATAGCAGGTCCATCGGGCCCGAACACCGGCCGATTCAGAGCAACATGGAAAATATTGAGTGGCTCGCCACAGAGACTGCGAACACTTTTCAGAAACGGACTGAATTTCAGTGCAGACTCATTGCCAACGCTGTTTTGAAGATCATCCTGCTCTGATGTGATTTGAATGACATTCTGATCCTGGAGTTGTGAGCCAAGGACGAAGTCAGGGCGAGGATTGACTCCTTTGAGAGCTCGGACAGCCTCTTGAATCGTGTCCTCAACGGCTGTGTTCGGCGCTTCCGCATCGGCAAATGAATTTGCATCAAGTTGTATGACTACGGCGACCGCCATATTATAGATGATATAAATGAAAGGAACAATTGACTGTGGATTGAAGAGCAAGGTGATGTGTGTTCCGGATACAGAAATCTGAGCACCCAGGGACTTCTGAAAGGCCCGATATTGCTTTAAATAATAAAGACTGGTGGAAATTCACAACACGGTCTCGCTCACTCCTTAACGACTGTAATCAGACTCGTAGTTCGGCCTCCAGTAAAGACCGAGGCCGTCTGTAATAGTATGGTTCGGTTAGTAATCCGATCCGGGTTTTGACAAAAACCGATAACTCCGCGACGAGGAAGGGATGGCATGGCCCTGCAATGTGATTTGTGCGGCACGCAGTCGGGTCGAGAGTTCTAACTTCAGATTTGTTCACCCGTGGTAGTAGTGTAATACAACAGGGTCATAGTCTTCTGTAATGATTGATTCGGTCCTTAATCGGCAAATGAGCAACATCTCCCAGCATACTTTGAAACACTTGACCGAATTCGGCGACCTGGATAACTAACCCTGATGCTGTCTCTGGAATTGAATTTCTCGCATGTGTATTAAACCGCGTGAGTACACCGAGTCCCCATGGTTCGGAGGTGGGTATTTACCATAGGATCAATCGCCGGTCCTTAGTGAGCAGTGATAGTGTATCTGTACAACCTGGTTAGCTTCTGACATTCTTGAGCAGTTTAAATAATGAAAGTCCCGTAATTATACATATTTGTAAGTTTATCACTCTCGATCACATTGTTGTCATGGTCAACTGCGATAGGCTTATCTTTAATCGAGTCTTCGGTCAATATCTCAACATGTGATTCGGTCGGAGCTCTAATATCGAACACTGATCGAACCCTGGACCTTTACATTTGGATGTATTGTTTAAAAAGTGATGATGATTGCGATTAGTGGATTGGAAAGTATAAGAAGATATTGTAAAGTAAATTGAATAAAAACGAATATCAATATTCTGTGCTTTATACTGGGTAACTCAGAGAGCCCACGCCAAGTTCAACCAGTTCCGACTCCAAACTTGAGAATTCCGGACAGAATAAACTAAAGTCCGGTGTGGGAATGAAGAAGGGTTCAGGAAGCTGTGTGTCAAATGCCGCATTACGAAAACTCTGCTCATCGACCACATCGCAATTCTGGGGAAGTTCGAAATGCTGTGTTGGCTGTCGGAGACGATTGATGTTGTTTAAAGCGTCGGAGGATGCAGTTCTCCCCGGAGAAGAGCACGGCCTGCCGGAAACCCACATACGCTTTAGCAGACTTGCAAAACGACTAGCAACATGGCAATCACTAAGCGCAGCTTCTTCGAGTGCTTGTATAAATTGCTGTACTAAGTGGGCAATTTCGGCATACTCAGTACTCACTAGGGCACCAAAGACGTCTGCTTTGTATAAAAAGACAGCAGAGTAGACGGTATATCTATCTCAAAAATTAGCCAATCTGTGCAAAATTCCCTGGATTATATCAGTGAAACCGTGAAGCGTACACGTAAAAGCGAAACGGCATATAGCGAATCTGTGCTTCAGAGCTTGTCTGGACAGCTATTGCCAGAATCTTCCGGGCGGCATCTACTGACTCGAGAATATATGAGCCCTCTGGAGCAGACATGATACCCCGTGGGAACAGCGAGATAGCGCCCTTTCGCCCCGATGCTGTCGGAACTGGTTCTCTTCGGCTGGGCTGCACAGCCCTAGAAAGAAGCGACTGGAAAGAGAAAGCACTAGCATACAAACGGACATACTCCTTGAATATGTGCATTGTGCAGTTCAGCTTTGGAGATGCCTCGAGACTATCCCAACGTCCTTCCCACGCCGAGATAGAGTGTCGGAAATCGTCCAGATAGCGATTATAGTCTCCTCGTCGGACCATCTGGGCTCTTCGCTCTTTGGATGCGTATAAAGTGTCGTGCACGTTGTGAAGTAGTTGAGTGAGCTCTATAGTAGCTTGTAATACGTGTGCATATTTATGTTCTGCGTCTGCTCTGAGCTGTAGACTTGGAAAGTCGTTCGCTGTGAAGTTGGTGGAGAGAGATGGACCGCGTGTCCAAAAAGACTGTCCCATTCGGACGGAGATTTGTCGGTCAGATATGTATACAACTATCATGATAAGTTAGTGATGAAGCAAGTCAGCAAGGGTTGTCGAACATACATATCCATGCTAGCAGCTTTCGATTCTCCAGTTCCTGCGTCTCTCCAATCGACGTCTCCCGGAAAGACGCCTTGTCTAGACGGAGCAGATAAGAATGCCTCACTGCCTGTCCAATAAGTGACTAGGCCATATTATCTTCAACGGCACTTAAGTTCCTGGGGAACATGTTGGGATAGGAACATGTTTCGAGCTGCAGGTAAGGAACCCACTCCGCGAGAAGCAAGAGGCCCTCGACCGAGCCAACTCTCAGTGTCGATGGCGTAGCGAGGAGTACGTCTAGCAAATGTCGCTTTAAATATTTCCAGCAAAGTTGGTGGATGTTTCGGTACGCGATCTCGTCTTTGGACGCAATTGTCAGAATGACTGTTAGGAGGAAAGGCTCTTCTACTGCTGTTCTGCGCGGATCTTTTGTTGCAAGAACTTTTCTGGGAGCAAGGGGGCAGAAAGTGTGGTAGTTAGAGTCGTAACTAGCGAGTCAGATGGTACATATTTGCGAGGGGCGAAGGTTTCGCACTGCTGGACTAGAAGATTCACAGTGTCTGTACCTAACACGCCGATCACCAATGTCTCCGTTTCGGAAAGCGGCGATTGCGACGCCGGGGGCTGTATGAGATTCATCGTATTACCTGCAAAGGAGGTCACCATCGGTGCTCCATTCAAGGAGCAGTGCCCCGTGAAGGGATCCGAGGCCATGGAGTTGGTCGGGATGTTAGGAGCCTGGGTGTCGTTCGCTGCAAGTCGGGCAAGGATCTGGAGTGCATCACCCGGATTAGTTAACTCGGCGTAGATAGGATCTTCGTCCCCTTTCACTGGGTCTCTATTCTGTCGACCGCTTGACTTGTGCTCTATTCCAGATCCGCTAAGGGATGGCAAAGAGTTTTGCTTTTGCCGCGACTGTCGAAACCTGGAGAAGTCGCCCCCGCGCCGCGATCCGGCAAGAACACATTCATCTCCGGCACGGAGACACTGCAAGCATGAGGACCTATCGGACAAGTTTGTCCTCGAATATGTTAGCGAGAGGGTACCTCGGGGTTGAGAATATTAACTCACTGGTCACATTTGAGCTTCCGTTGGCGACACCGCTGGCATGCACGGTAGACACGAATGTTTTGACTGCGAGTCATAGTGTATCATACGTGAGCGACAGTGAAGCTAATGCTTTCACAGGGTAAGAAATTTCACTCCGGGGAAATCTGGTCTAGGGGTGATATTGTTGAGAACCCGGCAATAGACGGGATCGGAGTGTGGGGGTACGGGGTACGATGTACATAGCATCCAATAAAAAACGATTCAACTGATTGAACCTAACTATCTAATTACCGAAATCATTTGAAGACGTGCACGACTTGAGTGTTACAATACCCAAGGAACCCGGTAGAACCCCATTCACCCCCAAGTCCACTCTCTTTTTGCCCCGATAGCATCGCTCGTGGCGTCGTTTTCGCCCAGGAATTCACAAACACGCTTCCGGCCTGCATCAACCGGCCAACTCGCTCTGCCCGAGCAACATCAGCACTCCACACAGAAGCTCCTAGTCCGGAAGTAGTCCCGTTCGCACAGGCGATGACATCCGACTCCTCGGACCACTTAAGGACTGGCACAATTGGACCTGATTCCAACAAAATTAGTAAATGCGACCGAATCCCCGCGGTGAAAACGTACCAAACTGCTCCTCAAGGACGATTCGAGATGTGGGAGGTGGGTTGTCGACGATACTAGGTGAGAGGTAGAATCCCTTGCCAGAGGCCATGTGTTGGGGAGCAAGAGCAAACTTGTAGCCTTGGGCCTCGCTGTCGGCAACCAATTCCTTGACCTTCTCGTACTGCATTTTGTTCTGCATGGGACCCATTGTGGTACTGGGGTTTCCCGCCTCGCCAACCACCATCCGAGAAGCTGCATCCACCATCGCTTCCAGGAATGGCTTATAAATGCTCTCGTGTACATAGACTCTCTTCGTGGCAACACAGACTTGACCGGAGAAGACGAAGCAGCCTTGAACGACTTCCGGTGCTGTCTTCCCGATATCCACATCAGGATAAATGATAGCCGGGTCATTGCCTCCCCTGGAGATTGATGGTGTGTGTTAGAAAGCTCTTCGCGGGTCTTTCAGAAGTGAATCCTTACAGTTCAAGAGTCACACGCTTCAATGTCCCAGCCGCCGAGGCCATAATCTTTTTCCCAGTTTCACCGGAACCTGTGAAGGTGATCTTGTTGACATTGGGATGGTTGACCAACGCCGGACCAATAGAGTCATCGCCACCAACAACCTGGACAACACCAGGAGAGAAGATCTTCTGTGCCTGCTCAACCATCTTTAGTGCCGAGTAAGGTGTAAACGGTGACGGCTTAACGATGATGGTACACCCGGTCAACAAGGCAGGCAAGATCTTTCCAAGAGACAGCACGAGAGGGAAGTTCCATGCGCAAATAGCTGCGACGACTCCGACAGGAACATGACGGGTTGTCTGGATGCGTGTCTCGTCCTCAATTCGCTCTTCCGGGATGCGAAGTTGCAGATTGTGATCAAACAGAGCTAATACCTCGTTCGCCTCACCAGACGCCACAGCATGCGGCTTTCCGCACTCCGCAATAACAGCGGGTGACGGTTTCTGAGTAGGCCTTGTGCTTCTCGTTCCTCTTCTCGATAAACTCCCTCAAGCTCTTCGACACCACCGCGCCCGGCGTCAGTCCACTCTCTACCGGTTTCCCAAGTTGCTCCCACATCGGTATCACGCCCGTCCACGGCTGCTGCTCAATGTCCGGCCCATCAAGCCGCGTATTTCGAGGCTGGATCCCAGGAACCCCGATCCGGCTCTTGACGGACATTCTGTCGATGGTAACCTTAATCACGTACACGAGGCTGACCTGTAACGAGGCTACTGGGTTCACCTCCTCCCACCGGTTGGCCACGATGTGGTTCGTAACCGCGCGCATAACGTTTCTCTTGATTGCTTTGTCTTGCACCGGCGCGCATGTCCCATGGATGACCGCCGAGCGGTAGTTGAAGCTGTGGCCATTCGGAGCGGACGAGAGAACCAAGCCGTCCACTGTATAAAGTTATCACGGATGATCCAAGTGTGATGAGCATGGAGGTAATAAAATTTCTAAAAACAATTATCAGACGTACCTTTTGTGGCCGTGATGCACACCTTCACTTGCTCCTTGGGCTTGTTGGCCTCTGTTGTATGGCAATCAACTGCGATGGTACCATTTACCTCTTCGCTCTCTTGAATCGCCTTCTGTACCAATTCCATTAATCTAGTACTAGGATGCCCGTGCAAATATACCGTGGTCTTCTTTGACCTTCCACCGTCGCCGTCTCTTGAAAGGCCGTTGGCCTCAAGATCTTCTTCATTGCTGACTAGGGCAATCATGGGCATGCACGCCGGTAGCCCATCGTCGACGTAAGACACATGAGCAATGAAGCAGTCGTCGAATACCGACTTGATGGACTGGATATCGTAGGTAGCGCGCTCGATATTCCGACGTAGACGAGACTGTTCCATTTTTGCGATTCTGTTGCACTTCCAAGTTTGGCAGATTGTTTTGCTCACAAGGGAAAACCAACAATTTCGGCATGAAAGGGTTTTTATCATCAAGGCATCTGGCGATATTTCAAGAGCTGGACTTCTCTCAGCATCCCCCAATCTGGCGTGAAGAGTAAATAGATTGGTAACGCTGTGAATGGAGCATCATTGCATGTTTGTACTCTTATTACATCAGCTACATGTGGTGAAGTGTGAAACCACGAAGGTGAAGAAAGAAATAGGGTTCCAGCGATAGGGTAGCTGATAGCATAAAGTGGAGTTGCTTTGGGCTCATCACCACTACTAGCCAATCGCACACGCATTTAGACCCCTTCTTCTCCTATGTGTACTCACTATCCCCTTCACCGTCAGCGTAAGCATTTTTAGTGTGTAAATTTAGTGTGTACAACTAGTATAGTAATACGCGCTCTTGTTGGTTTATCATGGCTAATGTTGGTTACGAGGAGTCTTGTGTAATTATTAAATTATGGATACAAAACTCCACCATGGGGCAATATCGTTGGCCCAACCCGTGTCTGGCTGAGCTGGCGGAACAGTGACGAGCGCCAAGGATGCACGAAATGCTGGCTGGTTCAGATCCCACACTGCAATTCAGGCCTGTGTCATACACATGTGCTTTCTCGCCCGTTGAGTTTGACGAACTGCCTTTATTTCTTCCAGTGATTGGCAGCGGTGACGATAGTGACGATGAGAATTGCCACGCAGATGGTAACTCCAGGGGCAATCCACCTGAGTGCAATAAGACCTTCGAGCATAAAGAGCACCTGAAGCGATAATGAGCCACTCCAAGAAAGACATATGTCTGCTGGGTGCCTAAGCCAACCGCGCTTTTCCACGCAGCGACACCTCAACGCTCACTACATAAAAGCACACAGCAGGCCGGGAGATCGCAACCGTTATGTTGTCAGCCTCGATATGAAGAGCCCGGACTACACTCCTGACTTCCGCGGTCTGCTGACCTCTGACGGGTGCCCGCTCTGTCAAAAGGCATGAGAAATCCTCAACTACTAAAATCCTTATCTGAAAGAAATATGTTCCTTTTATGTAGGTCGAGATGAAACTGTATCAGGGCAGCAGTGCTATGAGAGCGAATATTACTACGTCGCTCACATAAGCCACCTAATCATTACTAACGCCAATGGCACTCGGAACTTCTTCCCGCAGAAAAACTGCTACGGTGTCGGATCCGACAACATTTATTTCCTGTGCGGCCAGTTCGCTCCAGACTACCCTAATCGTGCTTCTGAATTTGCGTAGGGTAATAGTTGTTTCCTTGTTGAGTTCTAGGAGAATTGAGTCTAATCCAGACGGGTATGGACTGGCATTTTGCCCTCCATGATCGGTGAGTATGATTCTGATATAATCAGCGAGTCAAACTCTCTCAAGGATTTATAGTACGTAGCCACAGCTAGAATAGATGGCATGGGAAATGAACAAATGCTTTGATTCTCGTCATGGTTTAGTTACAGGGTAAGAGTCAATGATTCCCAAACCGTATCTCTTTCCATTTCTCTTCCGAGGTTCCACCCCGAACGGCAAAATTCATCCAGCAGTCGTGTTAGCTTAAAATAAATGTATGGGGAATGAACAATCAGGTCGGCCCATTTATTAGCCGGAACAGGATTATTTAGGAAGATCAGGCCCTCGAGTTGTTTTTCCAGAACAGGGATCGTCACTTGCAGAGCGTCCATAGCGATGCCGTACCGAGATTGCAACAAGCGAATAATACCGAGAAACTCGGTATAGATTTTGATCCGCATGGGTCCCTCATTTGGGGAACATGGTAGAATTCTGTCTACGCATAGAAAAATTGCTGGGAGAAACAAGATGGCAGAACTGTATATGTGTACGCAATTGAGATTAGTCTGATATAGGGAACATCTGGACGCAGGGAACTTACACACTGTTGGGCATATATCTCATAACATCAGCCTGAGCAGACTGCCGAACTAAGCTTTGGAGATTGATAAATGAAATTTCCAGGTTGCGCTTGACACGGTGTAGTTTCTGTTCCAGCACAATTCCTTCCTTATTTCGCTGTAATTGCAGTAGCATTGCCATTGTATTATACAGGGCAATCTTACTGGCGCTAAAGTTTTCATCGTCAATCGTGTTCCACATCTAGTCATACAGGTTGGAAGAGCTTACTACCAGTAAATGCATATTAAGTTCCTGTGCATCGTCACTGCTTGCCTGAGCACTCCTGGCGGACACTCTAGTGGATCCGGAGCCCTCTTTGACAAAGAAGACAACCATTCATCCAGGTCAGCTTGAAGGAGCTGGATGCGCAGCCACACGTGCACCAAGTTCAAAGGCCTGTCCAGGTCTTTGTATGGCTGCTGCAGAGACTTTATTTGTTGTACGGTCATTAACAAAGGCGTTATAATTTTGGCGAGATGGCACAGCTCAGTGCCCCAGAATCTCAGGATAGATTGGTGATCTGAAGGACACACCATCGAGCTTTTCGTCCCCGACTCAAAATCCACCGGACATAAACCGTACTCGTCAAGATTGAATTGATCAGGCGTGATTAATAGTGGTTGTCGGACCACGAGGGCCAGAATCCGATCGCGAATAATGCATGACCGCCATAACCTCTTTCTATGGGAATCAGATATGACATTAGCACTACGACAATCATATTGAACGCTGCTGCAGAACTTTGCGTTTTCAATCGCTCGTTCTAACCACATATTATTGATGTGTTGGTCAGTGAGTTGGTACTGGTGGGACAGGAGGAGGGCGCCTTGTGCGATGCAATAAGGATCAGCTTCCACTCTGTGGTCGAAAAGCAACTGCCAAGGTCAGCTCTGGCGGCCTATCCATTCAAAGAATGATTGAATTACCTTCGCACGCCCATAGAACGCATTTCGCGCTTCCACGTGATCACAAAATCCTAACGATGAGATAGTCTCCTGCTCGACGATCTTGAATTTGAATAAGTATATGGAGTGGTGGGTAGGAGAGCGACAACAACACACCCCAGCAGCTGCAAAGAGCATAGCTTGTAAGATGAACAGAGACAATGAAGAACCCTGCTCCTCTTCGCCCAGGTAAGTTCTCCAGAACCATCCCTCATCGATCACTGGCAGGAACGGATGAATAAAATAGAAGTATTGCTGGATGAATTCATTCAAATGAGGCTGGCTAGGCATATAGAGCGCTTTCGTATGCTCCAGGTTTGCAATATCGAGGAGGTTCAAATCTAGTGCACTTAGCTGTACGAATGGATAAAGGGAGTATCGCTGGAATTGACACTTTTCATTGCCAGAAACCTGTTGGTTTGATGGCGAGATAGGCTGGTGCGTGTTGCAGTCGACTTGTTTGTTTTTGTCCTTTTTAGTTGTCACACAGACGTAACGTAAAACCTCCTGTCGTAGAGACGGACTATTAAATTTCGGTCGAATCAATGTCGTCTAAGAGATATCTCATGACTTAACTGTTTCTAGATCAGCTGTGAACTGTGGTTCGGAGCCCATCTGCATGTGCTATTGATGATTATTAGCTGTCGTTCTTTCTTGTTTCAAGACAGTACATTCAACAGAAACAGCACAATCGCTATGGCCCTGCTCGCCTGCATAAATATCTATGAGCAAACCTCGGACCTCGGCTATAAGTGATGTTTCGTAAAGCCTTTGCGGTCGAGTTTTCATATTGGGATAACTGACGGTTCGGTACAGATGTAACGCATTGCGTCGGGCCGATTTCGGCCCGGACACCAATAGCGGCGGGCCGCTTTGTTAGGTGTTCGCCGACGCAGAAATGCCTAATATAAGCGATTTCGTAAAGGAAAATGCGAGATCTCTTCAGGCCGCTGGTGTGCGAAATCCTACAATACTCGTTAGGATTTCTTTGAGTGTCTCAGACCTTTCCTCTAGCAGACATCGGACAATCCTAGAGACGCCTGGTATCCCAGATACTAATCTGACCTATACTGTATCAACACACAAAATGCGAGTCAAACCCATCTCAGAACCTCCAACGATCCCAGTCACGTACGTCCGTGGCGGAACCAGTAAAGCGCTGTTCTTCCATGAGGATGATATTCCACCTCCAGGAGATCAACGTGACCGATTCCTGCTGCGGATGATGGGATCTCCAGACCCAATGCAGATTGATGGAATGGGGGGTCCTACATTGTTACCTCGAAGGTAGCTATCATCAAGCCGTCCGATCTACCAGACGTGGACGTGGGTTATACTTTTGCACAAGTCGGGATCGAGACAGCCACGGCCGGATATGCAGGAAACTGCGGAAATATCTCGGCTGCCGTGGGTCCATTTGCTGTGAATGAAGGGTTGCTGAAGGAATCTAGACCCGGGTTGAGCTTAGATGGGAAACTCAAGACAATGGAGGTTCGTATCTATAACACAGGTACCAAGAAGGTCCTAATCTCTCATGTACCGGTGGATGATAGCACTGGAAGAACGCTAGAGAGCGGAGACTTCTCCATTGCAGGTTGTCCCGGTACTGGGGCTCCGATACTCATGGACTATACTAGCGTTTGTCATACTCGTTTCGGCATTTTCATCCTGCTGACTCTGACGTGCAGGTAATCGGCGCAACATTAGGGCAGGGAATATTTCCGACTGGTAATAGGATTGACGAGACTGAGATCAACGGAAAATGTGTTCCATTCACGGTCTGTGACGTTGGAAATATAGTCGTTTTTGCCAGAGCTGCGGATCTGGGAATATCGGGGCATGAGTCTCCAGCCGAAATCGACAAGAACGAGACAGTTTTGGCGAATGTGAAACAGCTTCGTGGAAAAGTTGCATATAAAGTGGGCATGTGCAGAAACTGGGAGAGAGTGGACGAGGAGTCGCCCATGATACCCATGATCGCATTAGTTTCCCCTGCCACGGACGACAGGGCATACCTTCAGTCAAGGCTCTTTCTAGACAACCGGTGCCACTCCAGCATGGCGGGGACAGTTGGCATCTGCACTGCAGCCTGTAGTCGAGCTCGATGGACACTTGTCCATAATATACTTGATCCAGTGGACATCAAGAGCAAGATCGTGAACATCCAGCATCCGTCCGGAATTTTGCCCATTTCTGTCGAGCAGCATCCTACCACCGGAATCAAGCCAAGCGGGGAATTTAGTGCTGCTGGGCTCGTCATGCTCAATGAACACCCTCCCTGTTTTATTGAAGGGATTGTGTTTTGTGCTTACGTGAGTGCACTGAATATTTCCGAAAGTTAACCACGCCAATTGAACGTATTATGTATCACTTGACGATTGGGTCATAGCGATATGTACTGTATGCTTAGATACCGAACGATGAATCGACCATACAGAAATCAGGGAGTCTTCGGTGAAGTTCAGGAGAGGGTGCTACTGGATGATGCATTCCTTCGATATACTATGTATTAACACAACCTATGATCGCGCGAAAAAAGTATCCCAAAGACCTTACAGGCCAGTTTTTTCGTTGATCTGATATTTGAAAGCGATCATTGGAGAGTACCCGGATCGAATTGCCGATAATTGTTATTAGATCACCATCGATGCTTTACACGATAATCATATCTAGGGCGCGACGTACAGAAAAGCATTTCTACCCATTATCTTTGCAGTCCGCTTTAAGGGAATATAAATTAGTCGAAATACTGATCAGCATTATGATCAGTCTCTTGTGCTTTCCTCGCGCTGATACATAAACTTTCGGGAAGGTAGGATAGGCTGTATTGCCATTAAATACAGAAAGCCCCGCAGTCACTTGCGCCACGCGGCACCCTTTTGCTGACAGTAAAATATATTAAGCTTTAAATCCATTCATCATCTTTTGTTGGATTTCTCCTGCCTGCGACCCACCAAGTATAGCAACTACAATCGTATTGACCACGCCATGTCTTCACATACAACGGATAACCCCGAAAGCTTCTGGTAGAGTTCAAATGCTAGCAACAATTATTCCACAGTGGAGAAAATCACGTTGCCTTTCGCAAAAGGACTTATTGGGCAGGCGCGGGTTACAGAGAGTCCTGAAGACTTTCTCGCAATCCTTGATCATGGCTGTGGTACGGGCGTCATCGCACTTGCTCTACATCAGTCTCTCTCTGAAAGGTCAACGACAAGCTGGCACCTGACTTGCATGGATATTTCGCCTTCTATGATCACACAACTCCAAGCACGGATTGATGCGGCTGGCTGGAAGAACACCGAAGCCGCTGTTTCCGACATACAGAAAACTAGCTTGTCCAGTGCATTTTATAGCCATATATTCGCATCCTTTGGTTGGTTCCACAATTAAATTGATAGTGCGTCAAGTGACTTACACAGGCGAATTCAATAATCCAGTTTTCATGGCACTTCCAAGTTACGAAAATGCGCTTGACCTGCACATTTATTTCCTCTCAATATTTATGCTAATTGGAACAAAGAAGCCGTTCGTCTGATGAAACCAGCTGGAACACTTGCAATAACGACATGGAAAGCTCGTAGGTTTCGAAAATAATGCTCATGCCGGATTGAAAAGCCTAACATCCTATTCTGGCGTGATTAGTCGGTTGGTTAGATGATGTGAATGGTGCTTTCGCCGCGGCTTCCAGCACTCTCGCACAGATATCCGCATCCCATTTCATGAAACTGATGGGAAATGGAGAGTGGGATAATCCGGCTTGGATCGAAACCAACTTCGGGTACGTAGGCTCGAGGACGTTGAAATTAAGACCACTGCCAGAAAGATCGATATGGGGACTGTTCAGCAACTGATGCCGGTACTTGACGGCCCTTTGAAGCTTATTATGGCCCGTATTTGGACTGAAGAACAGAGGCAAACGTACGGTACAGATATTCTCGTGAGATTGCAGCAATATATGAAGCAGAGGTACGGTAAGTCTGGAGAAGTTATGAAGGACTGGATTGCCATAATTATTACTGCACGGAGGCCAATCTGAGTGATGTACTTAGACGATCCTTCGATTCTTACCAAACTACTATTATAATCCAACACGGTGCATATGATCTTGGCGAATAGCCAAATGTTGAACAGCGGGGATAAATCCAACACGATGCACATGAACCCGTTCAGACTCGTGCAATCCAACTGCAGCGTTGTTGCATAGATAGTCCATGTTGAACGGTAGAGAGAGATGAACTCAAGCGAGAAGTTACTTGGCGATTGACAAAAAGAGGAAAAACTAACACGCTATTGTTCAGGTAAATCAACTAGAGTCGTGTAATGCCAGCTGCGGCTGCGCAAAAGCGCGCACAAAGATATATTACAAGTCAAATTGCATAGTTTGAAACTATCGTGAACTGAACTATTCTCTGATACAAGACTAAATGACTATGCGGTAGCTCTAGGCATAAAGTCCTTTAACACGACTCAAAGCTGTCTTGGTGCACTATCCCCGCGAATATCCGTCACATCCTAGCAGATCTGATCCCCGTTCGGGAGTGATTAGATTGAGTGGTCACAGAGCCACGGCTCTCGTAGCAGTTCCTTGGCTGTTTTTCTATCTTCTGGTCGCTATTGAAGCATTCCCCTCGTGAACTCTAAGAACATCTCATTATGTTGTCCGCTGAGAAAATCTTCTGAGCTTTCTAGGGAGATTTTTTGATATCTCAACCTCACCTTTCCTCCTATTTGATAATCCCGTAAGCCACAAATATACATGTTGGGATCGGTGTAGTTAACGGAGCAGGGCATACCATCTTTAGTGAAAAACTTATGACTTTGTATTCCACGCTTAAGTAAAGACAATGGAGGGGGCCCTAAAACCCGAACAACTTCAGCTGAGTGTGTTAAGGTTGAATAGCCTTTCCCATTTGGATCGTTGCCATTGAACATGTCTTTGCCCTCAAACAAATTCCAAACTTATCGAATGTGATTTGTGACGCTAATGGGCATAGACAGATGTCAAATAAAATCAAGACAGACCATTACACCGACATTACACATATCAATAGGGTAGTTCCTCTTAGTTTTCAACATGACTTCCGGGGATCTGTAAACATTGGGTTAAGCATCATGGTTTCTCTTTTCATCACCGCGTACTACTGAACCAAAATCACTTAGGACTGCCTTGCCGAATCATTTAGGCAATTCGAACAGTCAGGAAGCATAGACCGGCTTATTATCGGCGAAGTTCCGTCGCGAAGTGGGTACAGCATAATGTAAATCTATTTGCTTGGGTCAGATACCAACACCAATTCCGCGTCTATACGCAAAGATCTCCTCAGTACAAGCGAGTTTGCGCTACCTAGGATATAACAGGCAAAATGAAAACACACAAAAACATATACCACATGATGCAAAGACAATGCCAGAAGTGTTTTTTCAGATCGAGATAGATACTATGGTTATCGTACCGAACCCCCGTATGAGATATTATGGGTCAGGCATAGCAGTAAACATCAGCCCTATTTGAAGGACTCGCGGGTGTTGACACGGTCAATGTCGTACGGGTTACCCTCATAAGTAGGCTGGAGATTCAAGGAGTTAGCGGTGCGCGTGGACGCATGGCTGCGGATGCGCTTGGTGAACGGTAGCCCTTCCACATTAGAATCGGACTGGCTAGCGCTGTCAGACATGGAAGCACGCGGAGCGGGCGCCTCGGTGAGGTCGAATTCCGGTTCCGTTTCATCATCCAACGGGGCAGTGGCGTTCGCCTGTTCCTGAATCTTGTGCATGAATGCATCTGACTGGGCAGCGAACTTGCAGCGTTGCCGAATGGCCGGGCCATACTTGTAGAACAGGAACGGGAAGGGTACACAGCCGAGTGCGAGGAATGCGGGGACTGAAGATGCCCAGTGGATACCCAAGTCGTGGTACATGTATGAGGTGAACATAGGGAACGCGAAACCGAACAACGAACGGAGGACTGTGTTGGCGGCTAGAACTGATGCAGCGAAAATCGTGTACGCGTCGATGAGGTAGTTCACGATGCTCAGGTAGACCAAAACCATTCCAAAACCGAAGGGAATGCCGGCTGCAATACTAGCCATCCAGTGAATTGAGGGATAGTTAGTCCACGCGAACCATAACAAGCCGATGGGAATTGTGATGGAGGCAATCAGGCAGGGCACTAGGCGGGTTTCGGGAGGTGCGAATCCATCGTGCTTGTCTTGGACCTTGACGTATCGCTTGTTGTCGAAAAGCGTGTAAACCACAGCAATAGTCATGCCAATCAGGATTCCCAAAAACGCCAAACCCCCAATTCCTTGGTTCCAGCCGCGACCCAACTGATAGACAATCGGGTAAGCAGCGAACATCATGAACAAGGTACCGTAAATAATAGCCATGTACAAGGACAGAAGGAAGACAATCGGCTCCTGAAACAAAAGAATCCAGGGACGAGACAGCGCAATCTTGAAAGCCTCCTGGAGGGAAATATTTTCTTGGTCAATTTCAAGCTTGCTGCGATAAACTTTGCCGGATATCTTGGACAGTCTCTCGGCGCGTCGACGCAGTAGGACCGGTGCATAAGTCTCGGGGATAAGCAATGTACCTAGGATCCAGACAGCACCCGAGAAGGCACCAAGAAAACCCATAACCCATCTCCAGCTGGTGTTAATGCCTAGGAACCCACCGATGAGCGGGCCCAAAGCAGGACCTAGGAATGGCGCAGCAGCGAAGATACTCATAGCGAGACCTCGCTGCTTGGCATGGAACATATCTGCGATGACGCCACCAGCGTTGGTCAGGGGCGAGGAACCGAAGGAACCGGCAAGAAAACGAAGGACAAGGAGCGTCCAAATATTCTGGGATCCAGCGCTGCCACACGTAAAGGCAGTGAGGGCACAGTAGGTCGCGATGAAGAGGATCTGACGGCCGAACAGTTCACTCAGCGGAGCCCAAGCCAACGGTCCGATCTAGAGATTGTCGGTTTCAATATATTTCATGGGTCAAAGCAAAACATACCGCGAAACCTAGAACGAAAAGCGAAATACCTAGCGTCGCTATCTCGTTGCCGACACGGAACTGTTCTTTAATCTCTTGCACTCCGCCCGTGTACGCCGAGGAGATGAGAGACACGGCAAATGTCGCAAGGGCCACCAGCATGGTAATGGACCATTTCTTGACAGAGCAGAAGTTCATTGGATTGCCAGGGTCCTCGGGGATCCATGAAATCGCGTACGGCTCGTCTTCTGTTCCTAAGCCAGGGTATGCGTAGTCGATGATTTCCTGGGTGACGACGCCTTGGTCGATGACAGATCTCCAGTAAGAGACTGTGGTCGGATTGGACGGTTCGATCTTGTCGGGCACATCCTCTATACCCGTCATGGTGGGCAGGTATCGCAAGCTAGTTGGATAATTGGAATATATGGGAGTGAGAATAAAGTGACCCTTTCCGGGGATAAGAATTCGATGCCGGATTCAAGCAACAGCAGTTGCACACAAGAAGCTCAAGCATCGGGAATTGCGTTCTATTATACTGGGGATCTTTTTTCCCGGTTCTGAGAATTCAATCCCGGTTCTACGTTCAGAGTTAGGAATAAAGATAAAAAGGGGATTATGCACGCCAGCGAGGATAAGAGGTGGAGCCCCACGAGTGCCGACCTACGGTCAACAATCGCATATCTAGGGATTGCCGTATAAATTTCGGAGCAATCTGACCGAGGTTGTGCGGTATATTTTACATAGTAATCGGAATAAATAGGAAGCTACTACTACTTATGCGGCTTTCATCAACGAAGCCGGCCAAAATAAAATTTGTTCGTTATCGGCTCGGGTCTGACGGCATGTTAAAGTTATTGTCAAAATCTAGAGCGTACGATGTCCCGTAATGGACTTTCCATTCACGAATGGATAAATTTCTGATTCAAATCAACCTAGGTATACCCAACAATTTAGGTGCTAACTAACCAATAATCGACTAGTACAAAATAGGAAAGGGCCGATGAGAGTCCAATTCTTAACAGTTCTTACTAGTCCAAGACTGGAGGTCACGAACACCAAAAAAAAAGGGGAAGAATAAAATAGAGAGAAAATGTATAGTAAAGTGCTGATCGTGACTTGCAACAAACCAATGGGCGAAAGTCTTTTTGATCCACCACGGACCGTCTAAAGTAGCCCAGTGGCTATACGGCCGCATAACCAAATCACACCGCAGACGCTAGATCCGTCGGGAATCTGTCATAGGTCTGCAACACGGGTCAGCGATTAGCACCATCAGTCGGCATCTCGGGTTATGATTGCCGGTTTTGCACAGCAGCAAATATGATCGATTGGTAAAGAGCTCATGAATCATAAATCGTGTTTGTTTATGAATTGAATTTTCCAAGTTTAAACGTGGTCCCCTAGCCTGCATAGTACACATGCATGATACGCATGCCAGCATCAGGTCCAGTTACACAATATGCTGTGCTCTGTATAGCTCGGAGTCATTGCTTGGCAGTGCATAATCGCAGTTCTGTTCTAATGGATGTCTCTTTCACAATCGAGTTCCAGGTAATCGTGGCCCGAATTTAAGTAGGGGATGGCCAAGAAGAACTTGAAGGCGGCCGATTATTGGCGAGTCTGCTAGAATGTGAGCTCGTTCACATGAATGCGGGCGTTGTGGAAGCCATGCAGGTGTTACAGGGACACCAACACCACGGAAAGTGTCTTGGCAGCAGACGGACGAGTCACAGAGCCGAATTGGGAGGGAACAACCTGCGGCAGAACGGTGCTGGGCAAGGTACGCCCGGACCTCTGATCCTTATGCAGCTGATTCTAGCTCTAAGTTGTCATGAGGAAGCTGTTGAATCAAATTCCGCTAGTCGGGAGACGATAACCCATCCAGAACGAGATCATAACCCATCCAGAACGAGATCATCGCCTTATCATCTTATCAGTGGGTCGCGAGCTGAGCCACATCGCCGACCTGAACGTGTTGTTGCGTATCCGTCGACTTATTGCCAATTATGTGGCCTTTGGTAGGAATTATGGTCGCGAATTGCCTGTCTAATGTGAATAAAATAACAGATCGGGGTTGCTGGACGAGTTGTTCTAGATGTCCATAGAGGATATATGGGGGTCAGATTTGCGGCGTAATTTCGCGCGTTATTATGGCGAAACCGCCAAGCCCTCAATACATGACCCATGGAATGGGGGTCAGATTCCTGTATTCACCTAGTAAGGGGGGCATCTTGAAATTCCTACGGTCCCCCCCTTCTGCCGGCAGAAAATCAGAATCAATTAACTAGCTAGCGAGCTTTTGAGAGAGTAGCTGAGATAGCTGGTAAAGTGAAAGCTTGCCTCTGCAGCGTACAAGCTCGAGCTCCTCAACAGCCGCATCCAGAGACTGTCCCTTACCATGTCTAGCATATATCTCATCGATGATGACCTTTCGCCTACAGAACATGACCCTCTCGCGAGAGGACGGCCGCCAGGTTGCACCGTATGATCTCTATAATGACTGGACAGATGGATTTGCCCCTAACCCACATGTCCACTCTCTCCAGACCTCTGGCACAGTCTGGATCGTACGAGAGAGGGAGTAGAGAGATCGACAGGGCGACGGAGAAGACAGCTGCTGCTCTTCTGAAGGAGTAGGAGCAAGAGGAGGCTGTATAGCCGATGCCTCAGATAGACATGCTGCTAGCTGAGAAGACGGGGAAAATGAGTCTGGCGTCCGTGCTCCAATAGTAGAGGTGTCTATGGCCCGTACGGCAAAGGTGACTTGACCAGAAAGGAGATCCTGAAGTTGGTGAGCAATCTTCCTAAGCTGTTCATGAGCCTGATAGCCGTGGAGATCAACCGCCTGATGTATGTCCTTCTGGAGGACAATAAGACTATCGGCGATAATAGGAAGGGTCTGCCGGAGCTGAATCTCCTGAGGGGTCTCCGTACAAAGAAGGGACTGCCGTATCTGCTCTGCAAACGTAGTATAGTCCTCTCGTGCAAAAATAGGGTCGTCCCACATTGAATGTTGAGGAAATTGTGCCTGAAGAAGAACTGAGTCCTGGAGGAGGATTATCCGTAGTTGATTAAGCAGCTGTAAGAATCCTTGGGCTGCCATATCATCCCGATCTTCTGGGCCGGTAGCCTCACTCGGAGGCGGCTCATTTGTAGGGTCGTTGGAATTAAACCAGGCAAGCCATTGATCGATCCATGGCCAAAGAGCCCGTACGAGGGAATCGGGAGGTTGAATCTTTGCTCGAGGAAGATAGTAGTTCCCTATTGCCTCAGGCTGGAAACCAGCCATTGAACGAAGGAATTTTCGCGGGAGATGGGTCAAATAGCAGTTTGTTAAGGCATCCTGATTTCATTGACCCGCACGGCGGATCTGGTTCTCTTCCACGCCTTCTAGCTCAGCTTGTTTAGACCCCCAGCATGTGTCTTCTTATCGGTAGAGAGATTGATTGCCTCATAGACCTCATTAGCCCATTTTAGCTGGATCTCGTACGAGATTGGCTTCTCTCGATCTGCGCCCTTGAAGAAGTGGAAATTATACCACTGTGGTCGGCTCCGAAACTGAGGTAGAGGCTCTCCTACTATCTGCCAGCGATAGAAGAGGTAGAAAGCCGCCTGGCTCATAGTGCAAAGGAGTGGATCCTGATGGCGCATTACCCCCATATATTGTAAGCGACCAAACTGATTAGTCTTCCCATTATTCATGATCATGATCATTGGCCAACAAGGGGTCGGTCCTTCGTTAGGCAAAGAGACAGTGAATAGGTCAGGAAATTGGAGCTGCCGGCGCGATTCTCCGCGAAGGAGCATATTGTGACTAAAAAGGAAATCCACAGCTGTCCGAAGATAGGACTGCTGAGCCTGAGGCTTTCGGTGCTTGAGGTCTTTTGTCCTCCATCCTTGCCAGCAGTATCGTACGAAGTCCTTGATTTTGTCCTTAGAATATCCATACTGTAGGGTGCCCGCGGCTCGGTCAAGATACTGCTCGCGCTTTCGCTCACTTTCCTTATGTAGTCGGCCGGCTATTAAGGCCGAAACGGCATATCCGCGGGGGTTTGGGAAGTTATTTGTACCAATGCTTTTTTGGAACTTCCGGAGGTCCACAATAGCATTGATATATTGCGTGATAGAGTTGCTTCCTAGCGTTTGTTCCACCTTTGATCCATCTGGTCGTATACGATCTTTCTTATATTGAGAGGACCGAAGGGGCCGGTTGAGGACCTCCGTATCAAGAAAGTAGACGAGTTTTTTCTCTATAACGAGTTCACCGTCTGGGAAGCCTTGATTTTTGCAGAATCTCTGTAGTAGTATATCCCTTAGCTTCTCGTATAAGCTAGGAAGAAGAAGGTAGTCCCTTTACCTGCCATTCCTGATGCTTGTTGATATAAGCCCTTGATGTATTTTTAGGCCGCTGGCTTCGTATATATTGGAGAGCCTTGACGCTATGGAGGTTCAACCGGTCCTGGAGCTCAATCTGTGCTAGCTCCTGGGTCTGTATCTTAGAGGTAGGAGGGACGGTGGCTGATGCTGGGGGTGGAGGAGAGGAGGGAGTAGAAGATGAGGGTAAAGCCATGTTGATTAGGCGCGGGGAGGAGACGGTATTCTCTCTTGCTCTCCGTCCGTCTCCCCTGATGATGATGATGATGATGATGATGATGATGATGATGATGAGACGCGTGATAAGAAGAGGAAGAGGGAGGAGAAGGACGAGGAGGAAGGGAAGGGAATGCGATGCGGAATTCCAACCAAGCAGCTAAGTCCCTACCGCCCTATCGAGTCCTCTTCTACCGCCCTACTGCCTCTACATTTCCATTGGAGATTGTGCCTATCATTGAAGGGGGGCCGGGAAGGTAAGGTACTGTCATGGCCCGTACGAGGCATCCCTGGCTTCAGGATTACTGCCAAGATTTCGTAGCATCAATCTGGGTTCATGATATCTCGCCTCGGTAGGGGTCAAATGGCCAGGTGCGGTCAGATATGTGGCATATCGTGGGGGTCACGTGAGATTACGCGGAATTTCGTGGGCGTTGATACATATATATACATTGAAAAACATCTGATTTTCTCTGCTAAACCCAAGGACAGAAATGACAGTGGCAAATAATGGACATCTCTCCCTTAAACACAGGTGCAAAGGCGGTGGTTGGCGAGGTAACGTAAAATTGATGGTCGATAGCAATGAGCGAAGATCAGTAAGCAGAGAATGGCTGTTGGAGAAGAGGTCAGAAAAAAGAGGGCTGGCAAAACAAACGTGGGAAAACAAAGAGAAGAGGAAACAGTACAGTAGGATCAAGAAGACAGGGTCAAAAAAGAGAGGGTCAAAAAAGAGAGGGTCAAAAAAGAGAGGGTCAAAAAAGAGAGGGTCAAAAAAGAGAGGGTCAAAAAAGAGAGGGTCAAAAAAGAGAGGGTCAAAAAAGGAGGGTCAAAAAAGCCAATATACACTGAGAGACTCTTTCCTGGCCCTAGTGCCAAGACCTTGCGCGGACCAATTTTTTTGAGTCGGCTGGGTTAAAGTGAGGGCAATAAAATGCGCTGGATTTATGTTCAACCCATAATGCCGATGCTAAAAGGAACTCGCAATCTTGACCGAATAATTGCCTGAGCATCAACATTCTATATTGATCAAAGCAATGAGTACACATTTGATTGACTTCATTGATTCTGTCAACAAAGTTTTAGGTGGCCGAGACTTTTTCTCTCCCAGGGCCTGATTATGAGATTCCAGCATCTTTCTACAGTATAGCCCTCATCATTATATAATCTTCTAATAGAATAGGGAAGGCATCCGATGTTGCTACCAAATCTTTGGACGAATTAAATCTCTTTTCTTCTATAAATTACAAACTATTATAGTATGTATGAGGAATGTCAGTGCTACATAATATACTAAATTCTCTTGCCACACCTATTTCCACACCTTATTTTTTTGGGCTGACTAGACCACTTTTTCGATCTCATTCCCTAAAATACAGCTATCTCTACTGTATCCATATATTCGTCCTGACCGAGAATGAAAATTCTTTATATTGCAATAACGGTGCTTTCCGCTGCGAGATCCATGTCACACAATGTTGTCTTTAACGGGACAGGATTTGGGACCTACTACTACGATGTTGCCCAGGTCGATGTTTGTGGTACCAGCTTCTCTAATCAGAATCTCGGTGATGTAGAGTGCAGCTTCACCACAGGATTATCATTGGATGACATCGCCTCCAATTACGTTGTTGCAATGAACCACACCCAGCTTGTGCAAGATCCAGCCAAATACTGCGGAAAGCGAGTAGTTGTCTCTGTCAATGGACAGCGGTCTTCCCATCTTCTTTTCATTGGTGATGGCTGTGTGCGTTGTGCACAAGGGTCCCATACTACCTGGAATCCTGAAGAGGCCGCAGGTCTCGATTTCAGTTGCTCAGTACTAGATGAATTGATGGATAATCAGGCTTGCAATGACGGATATGCAAGGATATCATGGGAAATTATTGACCAAACCCTCTACCAATTCAATACCACTGACATCGGAGCGTCACGGGATCCTGTATCCGCATCAACCAAATTTTGCTCTTAGTGATAAACATATGGAGACTTCCAATACAGTTCAGAGAATTACAGTACCGATACCAACCCTTGAAATCTATTCACGAGTCATGCATCAGGGCACAGACAGTTTGCTTGCATTCCTCGGGTGGTCAAATCTAAGTACCATGGTCAATGATTGGGCAGTTTCGAGGTTACCTGATGAGTGGTGGATTTCATCCATGTTCAAAGAGTGATGAAATTTAATAGTGATAATTGCGCAACTGTGAAAATGGCCGGCTGCTTAATGGATGACCACATTTAACTACCCCAATCCATTGTTGAGTTGATAAAATCGGAAGAAATGTTATATCCGGGAGACATTTATTAGGTGGTAAAATTCCAGATCATTTGCTGATGGGCAAAAAGCGAGTTGAGATATATATAAGGGTGATCAAATTCAAGAACCTCGATCGATCCCGCAGGTGGTGGAATGGCAGATCGAAATGTGCTTACCTGCCAGAAATTTAATCTCCATAATAATCCTCGAGTGGGGGGAGGAAAAGTTGAATTGTGTGATGTATTTGGTGGACGGTCAAATTTAGTTTATTAGTTCTTGGAATTGGTGAAACGTCGGGAGTTAGTGTGCTCTGTGGGTAGTCAATTTAATTGATGTGTTTAGATAGTCGTGAGATTTACACACCCTGGTCATTGTTGAGGGAGTAGAATGGTGGTTTGTTGTCTTTATCGGGTAGTCAAATCAGCCACCCTGGTCTTTGCTTCTATGAAGCTATGTATTTAAAGCTTTTGCTACCCTCGAAGATTTTGGCATTCTGAGTTCCGGTGTCCTTCTGACCGACAATCCCGGCAGACATCGTCATTTACGGCAGCTCCACCTCTGTTCGCCTAGATTGGAACGCTTGTGGCTATACTTAAATTTCTCGCGAGATTTGCACGGTGGATGGGGTTAGAGTTAATTGAAATCCTTGTCGTTCGTCGTTCTCGCCATGGGGAACTGCGCGTTTTCCAGTCTACCTTTCCCCAGGACTACAGGACTACGAGGTGAGCGAAGTGCAAAATTTGGTCGCTGAGTACTCATGGTCTAGTAGGATGCAGTATTGCCTTCGGAACTCGATGAATCAAGCGTATTAAAGGAGTGGCCGGACATGTCCGCTTTTCAAGCCGAGGAGATTGAATGATGGAGCATTGTGCAACAGCCTAGCTTTACTGTATTAACGGGACTCCGACTGTAAACACTGACTGTATTGGATTGGGGGACGACTGTACGCCAGGGAGTGTGAAAAAGAGAGAGATGAATTCTCTTCGTCCAGACCCCAGGGGTGTCTGGAAACCCAAGCCTCTCTCAGCCCTCCGTCGTCCTTCTTCGCTCCTGGAATCCGCCAACCCCACTACTCCACCCGATCGAACTACCCCACAATCCAACGAAAAACCCCTCCACCAGATACCGATCACGTACTCTACCATCGCTGCTAGAGCTCTCTCGTTCCATAACCAAGTGCTTACCGGCGTCAGCCCTGTCCAACTGGACCAGAATGGCTTGTATTGCAAGCCTCTCCCAGGCTTTGAGGGAACAGCGTGCTGTTTCGCCTGCGGATCGACCAGGCCTTTGGCCACACTCCAGAGAAATCCTATCGAGGAGATGCAGCAAATTTACTTGGCCGACTGTATATGGCAGATCATCTGTCGTGACTTGAAGCCCTTCTTGGGAACGCCCGACAATGTCACACACTCAAGCCCCCCATCTCTATCACCCTCGCGGGCGCTTCCCAGAACAGCGCTAGCATCCATTCTACCAGAGGAACCTTCAACTACGAACGTCGAGTCACCCGCCGAACAGCCGTCTACGATACTAAAACCACGACCGCAACAACCGCAGCCGACCTGCTCTTCTGAGTCTTCTCAGTCTCCCCAACCTCCTCAACCTCCCCAATTTCCTCCACCTCTCTATTCAACATCCACTGCTACCTCCACAAAAAACCAGCGACCTACCTATGCCTCGGTTCTTCAACGTCCCACACCTTCTCTACCGCGACCAATCCCCAGAACCTATCACACCGCACCTTCTCCCAACCGCACACTAACAATCGAAGATCTCTATCGTCGTTTCCACAATAAGCCATCGCCCTTCAAACTCGACAAGAAATCCAGTAAACGCTCGGCCAACCGAGCTCGCAACAAAGCCGCGTCTGCCGCAATGTCCCTAACCAAGGTTTTAATCTCAGCATTACCAGCATTCTCGCAACTTCTAGGGGAGATGCAGTCAACCGCGGACAACTGTTGGCCGCCTTATCTGGGAACTCATTATAGCCGCGCCATTAGGGCAGCCTAACACCACGAACGGCAAATCGGCCACGACAGGCCTTATCAGGTGAGGCTCAAAGTTCACCGTTCAGGAAGTTTGGAACAATATCAGTGGATCAATTATCATGTACTTACAAAGTTGTTGTAGCCTGCATATCGCTTTTCGCGAGGGGTCAGGGTAAATGATATCATCCATCCATCCATCCATCCATCCGGCTGTATTAACGTCCAAAGCCAGATCGAGCAGATGATGAAGAAGACATGGCTTGCGCTTGACCCGATAAACAGCGGAAGCTCTAGTCAATCGGGATGCCTCGTATTACACGCCTCCCGATTCCCCTTACCCCCGACTTTCCGTACACCCGTACACCCGGTATCCCCGAAACATCTCCCGACTGCACAACGAACAAGTGTATGCGACAATTGAGACCGGGGTAAATCACCCCCAGACTTTCTAGAGGGGGAATTTCTTAGCCTGAAGAGTATTCCTTCCGTTAGATCCCCACGGGCCATGCGTACTTAAAACCAGGTCGCAGAAGAGACTCAGTCCGGTCCATTATTGTCTTGTTCACCCACCTCCCTGAGCCTCACTACCATGGATCCACAAAGATTGCATGAATTCTTCAATAGCGTTGCCGAAGTGATAGGGGAAGACAATGTCTCCCGTGATCCCTACTCGGGTGGCTTACAGGGCCCTTCGGGCTCGACTGCCTATGGTGACCCTTTCGCATCCTCCACAAACCATGACCCCAGTGGAGCCACACGTCCAAAGAATGTTGAGGAGGTTCGTGAGATTGTTCGGCTAGCGAATCGATTTTTAGTCGCGCTGTGGACGGTTTCTCGCGGGAAGAATCTTGGGTATGTAGAGACAATGCAAGAGGGGGATACCCTGTCTGCGGTTCCTTACTGACCTGCTCGAGCTTGCAGGTACGGTGGGTCTGCACCAGTAGTCAAGGGAACTGTTGTGCTGGACTTGCACCGAATGGACAAAATTCTCGAGATTAATGAAGAATACGGCTACGCTATTGTGGAACCAGGCGTGTCCTTTTTCGATCTGTATGAAGAAATCCAGAAACAGGGTCTCAATCTCTGGCCCTCTGTGCCAGCCATTGGCTGGGGCTCGGTCCTTGGAAATACTACGGATCGTGGGTTTGGCTATACACCTCTGGGAGACCATGCTCAGGCGCAATGCGGCTTGGAGGTGGTCTTGCCAAGCGGCGAGTTGCTGCGGACAGGCATGGGTGCGATGGAGGGCAGCCAGCTTTTCGCACTTTACAAAGGGTAATATACCTCCACCAGATACTTAGATTCTACTTTCGCTGACCATGCGTAGCGGCTTTGGTCCCAGCGTGGACGGAATTTTTTTTCAGTCTAACCTAGGTATAGTTCCCTTTGCTCGGAAGAGACGGAGTTCAAAAGCGACTACATTCTGTCGTTCTACTCTGAATCTGATTAACCTGTGCCTTGCTCGTGGCTTATTTAGGGATAGTCACAAAATTAGGCATTCAAATGATCCCCGCTCCGGAGGCCTATGCTACCGTCGAAGTTGAAGTGCCCAAAGAGTCAGACCTTGTGCCCCTTGTGGGTATCTTGTCAGACTTGATGCGTCGCTCAGTCATTCTCAATTCCCCGTCAATTGCCAACCTTTTTCGCATCGCCCTCACATCGAGAGTCCCTGAGGTACAGCAGAGGCTGCAAGGGTACATGAAACCGAACAGCTGTGTGCCCTCTGATGTACTCGAAGAAATCCGTGCAGAGCAAAAGTGGGGTTTCTGGAGGGCATATTTCTCCTTATACTCGCAGGTTGAGATGCTTCCCGGGCTACTTCAGGCTACTCAGCGCGCATTCAGCTCCATTCTTGGAGTTACCATCAAATGGCGAAAGTTTGATGGAGCACCAGGACAGCCCCTTACCACTGCTCTCATCAAGGAGGAAGAAAGGGTGTTGTGGTATTCCAACGCTTGCGCCCTTGGCAATTCTTGACAGTCGCCAGAGGCCTGGGAGTCATATCGACTACTCACCTCTATTCCTGCCTTCTGGTAGAGAGCTCTACGAGTGGTATCTCAAAGCCAAGCAGCAAACAATTGATGCCAAGTTTGATTTCTTCGCTGATTTCCACGTGTTTCCCAGACATGTGATAGGCATTGAGCTAGTCATCTACACTGCCGATGAGGCCAAGGAGGTTGATCAGCTTATGCGCCATGTTCTTCACGATGCAGCTGAGATGGGTTACACGGCATATCGTACCCATGTCGATTATATGGATGAAGTTGCATCTCACTTCAACTTCAACGGTGGCGCTCTGCGACGATTCACTACCATGCTCAAGAATTTCCTAGACCCCAATGGGATTTTATCTCCTGGAAAATCTGGGATTTGGCCATCCGGCGGACTGAGCGTGAAACGAAGCCTCGGATGCAGATAGCCTTGTCGGTTCCACTCGTGACTAGAGAGGGTGCATTCAATTCAATTTGAATGAGAAGTTAAGCCATTAAACATGGCATATTGCGAGATTGTAGGTTCAATGATGGAAATATTCAAAATTATCATTGAACTTCCTCGTAGTCTAATTCATTCTGTCATCGACCCTAAAATCGACTGGGAGGAAGAGAGAAGCAGTATCACTGGGAATAGCCGGAGCAAGGCTCAAAGAAGCCTCGGAACTGAACAAGCTGGGGTCCATGAGTTGCCATGACCATGCACTGGATGGTGACCATAAACCCGCAGGAGAGGCTAGCTCTGTGGTATTTGCTGTTTGATCCTATTAGCCTTCATCCTTCCATAGACTTGTATTGCGAGAACAGGTGTAAGCAGACCTCCAGTGTCAATGGTAGTGACCAGTCTCGCGAGCATGTCTCGGCATCGCATGATCGTTTTGTTGCCGCTATCCAGGCCCCGGAGAATTTTCATGGCCATGTCGAGAGACGATCTAAGATCCTCAATGGAGGAAGAAGGGAGTCTCGTGGAGTAGAGGGGGGTTTCGCTTGATAAGGAGGACACCCAGTATGGCGAGGGAGGAGTTAAAAGCTATTTCTCGTCAGTTATGACGCTTGACAGAGGAATCATAATTTGAGAAGATGGGGACCATACTGTAGTAGCAGGAAAACCACCATGCACCAAGAAGATTCTGATTATTCATTGACGCCGTCAGAAGATCTTTGCTTATTTGGAACACCCGGATACATGCTCGCACGAGATCTGCAATGAGTGGAAAGCTAGAGTCCAGAAGCCATTCTGACAGATGCTCATTAGGAGTTTTCCTGCCAGATGGAGGGAAGAAGTGGCTCAGAATTGTCCGCAGAACAAGGATTCTAGCCCCAAGGTAACGAAGTGAAAGCAGGACTCTCAGCCTTGTAGTTTCTAGACTAGCCGACGAGTTTTCCAACATATCCTCTGAGGAAGATATCGTTTTCAAGTGTCCTGGGAGCTTTTCTTGCCATTGATCGAGCTGCGATAGCAAGTCCGAAACCTGGCTGAGGGTCTCGCTCATGTAGACTGACGCAACAGACCCCAAATTTTGCCCGTAGAGTCGATCAATCGCGTCGCCCATTATGTGCGTTATAGAGCTACGATACGTCAGCCAAGTCATCGTTGAGAAATCAACCACACATCATGCATACATGATCGCGTCAAAATATGTAGAAGCTGAAGCAACAACTTCATCAGCTACATTGCTGAAAGCAAGATGAGAGCAGGGCTCTGTTTTCACGTGGGACAATGGAATAAGGGGGGGACGGCCATATCCGACGGACAACAGCCTATGTCACTGTTAACTTCATGACTCCAAGTAAGAAAGCTCGATTGGAATTACCGATCGTTCGTAATACACCAATACCATAACCTCCGTCGGCATTCCCGTTCAACGTGGGAGACGCGCATGGATCCCGTCAAGTGAAGCCCAAGTTGGTAGGACCCCTTGACGGCTAAACTGTGAAATGTCCATGCTAGTGAAGAGGCAGGGGTGCCTTCGAGATAGATCTCCATAAGAAGGAATAATTGCACTATTTTCATTAGCTATCCGAATGTAGTAATGCGGAATTGCAAAGCTCGCCAGTCAATCCATACCTAATTCAACCGAAGGACGTCCCAAAATCTCAGGGCTCACCAGGTCCATGGCCCTCTCATAGAACGTATTTGACTGAGCTGCTCGATCATGTGTAGGCGTGGTAGTAGTCATCACGTTCGTGCTGACGGCAAACATCATGTTTAAAACACCAAGCCAGGATCTTCTCATGCTTTCAGCTCCTTCGGTTTTCATCTGGAATAAGGTTTGTCGAAACGAATCCTCGTGAACACAAGGAATCATAAGATTCACAGTGTTAAAATACAACTGGAGCATACTATTTGCTGCATCTTCAGGAGGGAGCGCAAAAGGTTCAATCATCTCGCGCCGCGAAGAGTTGCCCGGCGGATCCGTGCGAAAAGGCCACATCAGGAATGGATTTGAACAGTCATTGCCAAAATATTCCGAGCTGACAATGTCAGGTTCTAATAATATCTTGGGCCCGAAGCCCGCTGAGTGGACAGTTGCCTGTACGATTGAACGTAAGAAAGCCACATTGGACGAGTTACCTATGGCCGATTAACATGTTATTCAAAGGGCCAACAACTCAGTCCGCCTAGGTAGTCAAGATCATACCAAAGTATTCCTCTTCCTCAGCACCATCCCGAAGTGCAACTGAACCCATCCCATCGACTCCGTCAGGCTGATCAGAAAGCTTCGACATGCCTAGCACAGGGATAGTGTGCGGCGTCCCTTGCTCACTACCCGAGGAACCTGTGTGTGTTACCTTTGATTGTTGCGTCAATTCATGTAACCCATCTTTGAGTGCTTGTGGGGTAAGACTATTCGAATGCGATCGAGTCTCTTCTAGAGATTCCAGCCTGCGCTCGATAGCTTGAAAGCGCCCCTCTAGGACTGTGATTTGGTCCTGTCTAAAGGTTTGGATGCGATAAATAAAAGAGTCTACGGTAAGGAATGGATACGCCAACATACTGAGAGTCAACTATCGCTTCCCTAGCCGCTGGGGCTACCTGGCGAGTGCAGGGCAGATCATATTGGCAGTGAACTTCCATCTCTTGGCACGTAGAGCATGGGTTCGCACCATCGCACTAGACACATTCCGAAGATGAGTTCCTCAGATATTACGTCGAAGAGGGTTGGTGTTTTCAGAGAGCATCTGATAGGAGGAATACTCATTGGAACGGACTTACACGAGATTTGCGTATCCGGCAAGGCCGGCAGGCTACCGAGACTCGCTTCCTTTTGCGGCCCAGAGGCCTGTTTTGGTCAGTGACTGCATCTATGGCAACATATTCATCTGGCATGATGAGATTCCGAGGTGCAGAAAAACAGGACGTAATTGAAGGTGCAGTGCTGCCGGGCACCTTTCTAAGTCGCCTGCTAACGTTACCTGCGCAGGTGGGACTGGGAAGGATGCCGCTCTACACCGCCCTCACGCCACCACCTTCCCCCATTTTGACACGACCTTGCTATTTTTACCAACACTAGATGCTCTCACGCCTGACAAGTTTGCTAAGTTTCAAAACTCGTAACGTCGACAACCAGAGCTAAACGCAGTTTGATCAAGAACACCTAGCGGCTTTCATTAGTACGAGAAAAAAGTAGCCGCTCATGCGAATGGACGCCTAGGTCTAAGGTAACTAGTTCCTATCTCGTTGTGGGCTTCCATAGAAGTAATTCAAGAAGGAACCACAGCAAGTTTCCAAGTCCGACTTATAGACTATCCTAGGGTGTGTCGAGTTACACACATGTATAGCTTGGGGGGGTGGTTGCCCAGTTGGGGGCTAGGAGGAGGAAATAGTTGCTCAAGCTCTGTAGGAATCGTTGGTTCCCCTGGAGGAAAGTAGGTAGGTAGGGACGGGTCGAGATCAGCAGACTGGTGCTCTGTAGTCGAGTAGTACTGATCAACTTCTAGAGTTCGCTGTATAGCACGAGCAGCCTGTCGTTGTTGTCGCTGTTCCGTGATCTTTGACTCCTGTCTTTGTTCGGCAGACGTATATTTTCGAGGTCGCCCTCGTTTCCGCTTTGGTGCATTTAGGGAGCTAGGCGCCATTATGTATAGAGGAGAGCTAGTTCAGTCGCCCAGAGCTAGAGTAGATAGCAAGGAGAGCCATACTTGAAGCTTAGTAGAGATGGTCGCTAAATAGGGGGAATTCTCAAAGAGGCTTAGTGTTGAAGACAAAACCAAAAGGGTTTAGTTTTGAGGACAAAAATCAAAAGGGGCTTAGTTTTCCTGTTTCCCCCAACAACACCAAAAATAACCCAACTTCGACAGCTTATAACTCGACAGCCATACAAAGTAATAAAATTCTGTTTGAAGATTTGGAATCAGCTACTCCTAATACCATACTCTAGTATTTTATTCGGTTTAAAAATGTTGATGTGGCTGTTAGTCGAAGTCGGGGTTTTCCTAATGGTGAGCTGCTAGGCAAACTAGTCGATCCGGTCGATAGCTTTGAGCTACCGCGTAGTAGGCTAGTGCTTTAGATCGATAGCCTGGTTGGGCCGGCTAGTCCGAATAACGAAGCTAATTAGCCGTACCCAGATCTGCTAATACCGGCGGTACGTCTTAGGACGGAGGCGGATGTGGATGGGGCGGTCCCAGACGCCCTATCGCTAGAGAAAGCTATTGATCTTTACCTAGTCGAATTCGTTAATGTGGTAGCTAGTAATAGAGTCGAACGCCGCTTGGACTAGCCGTTGGACGCTCTGCTCAACGGCCTAGAGGATCGGCTCCGCCGTAGGATCGGGTAGGGCGGCGAGCATAGCCAGATCGCGGAAGGCGTGCCCGCGAATGTACTCCGGCCACCGCGTGAGCTCAAGCCACGGCGAGTACTCGGTCGGGTCGCTATGCGTAGGCGCGACCTCCTCGTCGGCCCGCGTGAGCCTATCTGAGCGCTAGAGCGCGTCCGCCACCTACGTCTGTACGAACTCCGCCTCGCTCATCTCGAGGACCTGCCGAGCCCGCTAGACCTACGCAGCGGGCGTCACAATGAAATAGCTACTCCCCCGGCCCGTTAGGAAGAATCGTTGGCAGCTAACGGGACGTAGGGCCGGCTACTGCGACGGTTTCGAGGGGTCAGGGCGCCCTAGACGACAGCGGATGCCATGGTCTCGATATCGATGTTATCGCATCGATTGTGGGGTCCGTACCGCGTACGAATCGCATCCGTCCTCTAGGCAGCCCCAGCCCATGTAGACAGGGAGCTCTAGGAGAGGGAGGGAGTCCGGCGGCGGGGGGCGGAATGGTTCGACGTGAGGGTCCCACGGGTCGACGGACTAGGCCTCTTAGGCGGCCGCGGCTCGTTGCTTGCCCGTTCTCGCAGTTATGTGGTCGCGATGGTTCTTCGAGCCGAGGTGGCCTAAGATCCCTCGCGGCGGAACGCCATGCTCGCAGGTCTTACAAACCTAGATGCGGTAGGTCTGATTCCAGGCGAATAGGTCCATAGTTGTGAACCAGTGGCGTAGGGAGGGAGCGGCCAAAAGGGGGGGGGGATCAGAATGGAGGGGGGAAAAAAAGGATGATGAGTAGATGGTAGAGGAACCAGAGGAGAGAAGAAGAGAGGAGAACGGAACTAGCAACCGCACCAACTACGACACGCGTCTGTATATGCGGTAGCGGCGACAGATTGACGACGTTGTGTTGTGGTGGTGCGTGAGACGCGGCATCGTGGTCATCTCCTATGCTACAACGCGTCGAGAGCGCGTCAAGGTCACGATCGATCTAGGCACCGAGTGAGGGGAGGAAGAGGGAGTAAAAAGCAAGTAAAAGTCAAAGCAAGTAAAAGTCAAAGCCAAAGGGAAAAGGGAAACATCGATAGTGGCATATAGTCCAGTGTAAGGGTGGTCGTTGGTTGGTCGGGTTCGGGGCACGGGACGCTAGGGGCCGGGGGCACGCACCGGGGAGGGTTTGGACCAATGGGGTCGGGGGGAATGTCACTGGGCCCACCTCGTCGAATTGATAGCCCCCAACGTATTCTGGCCAGCGTGTGAGCTCAAGCCAGGGGGATACCTCCGTCGCATCCTTGGTCGTTAGGACGATAGCCTCGTTCGCCTGAACCTCCTCCTGCGAGCCCTGGAGCTGCCGATAGAGCTGGGCCTGGATGAAATCCGCTTCCCCGAGCCGTGTAATCTTCCGCTGTACCTGAGCCGGCGGGCTCATCTCAAAGAAATGGCTCCCTCGGCCACGGACGAAGAAGCGCTGGCAGCTTACTGGCCGGCTTACATAGCGCCTATTTACTGCTCCGCGCGGCTGCGCACCAACTTTCCTAGGCGGCTCCTCCGTCCGATGGTGCTGGCCGCGATGCTTATCAAGCGTCCTTATATCGCGACTAACGTAGGGGCAGTGTGGGCATCGATAGCCCCTATAGACGGGTAGGTGCGCGATCGGAAGGCTATCGGCGGGCGGGAAGACGACGGCGTCCCCCTTAGTAGGGTCTATGCACGGCTGCTTGCTCATTATGCGGTGGGCTACGAGCCGGAGCTGCCCCGTAGATGACGACGGATGCCTCCTGTGGCGCACGGCTAGATGGCCAACGAGATTCGACGGCTGTATAGCATACCGGCACGGGAGGCAGATCCAGACGCGGTAGGTAGGGTTGTAGGTAAAGAGATCCATAGCTAGCTAGTGGTGGTCTGTTGGTCGTTCGGTCGGTCGGTCGGTCGGTCGTTAGTCGGTCGGTCGGTCGTTCGTACGTACGTGGGTGGTAGGTGTAGGCGGGCGCCCGCACACGCGGGGTCAGTGCTAGTCAATGATGTTTATGTTTAATTGTATGTGTGTATGTGTGTGTGGAAGTGATGCTGTGCTATAGGGGTGTCAGGGGAAGGGGAGGGGGCGCGCGTGGCACATACACACATGGCGCGCGGCATGGTCTCCACGCGACGCGTTAGTCCCGGTCGAGTATTTACTACCGTACTACTAACTACCACTTGCTATAGTGGTTCGACTCTACTACGGCCACGGGCCGCTAGGGACGGGGGCACGCACTGTGGGGCGGATGGGACCAATGGGGACGCGTTCCGAATGGACCGGAGTCCGATCCGTTCGCTACTAAGGTATAGAAGGAGACTACGCGAATTACCCGGTCTCTAGTCGCTGCATAGGGGGAAGAAACTAGTAGGTCAATTTATAGCTTTTACGACAATAAGCAAAACAAGGCTGATTTTTGGTTGTGATGCCTCATCGGCTAAAACATCTTAAATTGAGAGAGTAATAGATTTGACTTGCCATCCTAGCCTCCCTATTCAGCTAATGTGATATGTTGACATGAATTTTTAGTCACTTAGTTTCACTACATCGGACATAATTATGCGGTACCTAATCCAAAATAAGCCTAGAATTCAACGTTATAGTAGCCCTTTTTTCTCTCTTTTTTTTTGAGGCTAAGAAGCGCAAGATGTTAGGCGCTCAAAAAAGCCCGTCAAGCCCTAATAGTACTAGCAATGATTTAAAAGCGCCGCGCCCGACCGTCCGCTCGCTATAATGACAAGGGTCTCGATATTTGCCTTAGGCCTTTGAATTTCATCGATGATATTCAAAATTTTGTTCGCGGTCGTTACTATCCTAGGTCAATCTCAGGCCGTAGAGGTTAAATCGCTCGTACAATCGACTTATCACGTAGTTAGCACTTAGGAGCAAGTGCTAAACGGAAATGTGGCCGCCAACTTTTCCCATGCTAGACACATAGAATGGGTGTCGCTATCGCGTGAATATGAGTCTAAGATGGAAGATACACTCGCAAGCTATAAGCGAGATACTACATAGCTAAAAGCTTTGAAAAGATGGCTAATCTTCTTAGGTCTAAATGATTCTTCGATTGTCTACAATGACATTGTGCTCTCGCTCGTAGGCCAAATACCTCTAGGGGTTGCAGCGGAGCCACATGCAAAGAGCATAGCCGGTGATGATGTGGCTTATTAGCAACGGCGGAGCGATTGCGTCTGTGAATCGCATTTAATCAACGGCGAAACCACAAAGACCAAAGGTGTGCCATCATGGACAAGCACACCAGAGACGGTTTAGACCACCCTACAAACAGCGACCACCAGCTACGATTTTGTCCCCAAGAATGCTTCAATGAGCCAGAGCAGTAAGACGATCACGGGCGCACCTAGTAGGGAGCCCAGCCCCTCAACGGCCTTCCCACAAGGTTCTGAAACGCTCAACGAGAACGTTTTTTTGATCAAGTGAGTTCCTCGTTTCCGATATACGAGTTTGATAGCCTAACCGTGTTTCAAGACAAGCGGACTATGATGCTAGCCATCTATGTCACTATACCTACGGACTTCCGAAGGAATTTGCTCTAGGAGAGTGTACTTCTTGGCCGTAAAATGAAATAGTCAACATCTTTCGCGTAGAAATAGCCAACCATGCGGCTCCGCTTCGCTGCTTCTACCGAATGTTTTGAAAGATATAAATCTATCGCAGTTTTTTAACCTAATAAGCCAAACATGAGCATCGGTAGGACTTCCCAACAAAGTAATTTATTGTACTGCATTGTTAAAAAAAAACATTAAATTACTAGCGTGTACACATCGGCATGATTGACATTGACAGACTTCCTGTATGTACGGAAGGGGGATTTAATAATGACAATCAGCCTGTTCCTGCATGCTATGAATAGCACGAGTCTTGTATCCTAGCTTATTTTGGGTAGCTTCCAAGGTTTTATTCGGTGAGCAGAAATGAAAGTTCGACGAGCAATTGTTGTAAATCAGGGGAATTAATTGATTGTTTTCTATTCAGAGGGAAACATGAGGCTACATATACAACGAGAAGATCAAGTTGATTTCCAATCAACTTGGTTCTTCGTATACATACTTCGGGATTAATTCCGATGGTTCGGCTTGGTTCCTGATCTGCACTAGCCTCATATCACAACAGCAAGAACAACCTCCAAACTCTCCACTTGTAACACCGACAATCCACAAACAGCTATGTAGAATCTTCATCAAGCTTTTAGTTACACATCTCGCAGCACGGCCGGAAAGCGAAATGAACCCGTCCTACCCCAACAGGACTAGGCAGAACGGTCATTGGTGAGATGAAAGATCTACGGCGTGGATTGTAGATCAGAAAAGTACACCGGTAGATCTTGAAAAACCAAAAGAAATCTCCGCGTGACTGTCTGAGAGTGAGTGAGAGTACACAAGACCTTTGACGAATTTCAAAACCATCATCATGGCTCTATATGCAATATAGCACAACCCTACTCTATTGTGTCCGGGCCGATCATTGAAGCAATATTTGGGATGTGAAACTCCCGGGAATCCCGGTGGAAACTTCTGTTCGAAGTGGGGATTAAGTTTCCCCTTTTCGGCTTTTCCTTCTCCTCGTTCTTCAGGCTGTCTCTTGATTGTTATGCCAGTCTATGCTAAGTTTTATGAACAGTTTAATTCAATTCATATTGTGTCCATCCATCTCACAGTTAGTCCGTCGCCAAGCCAAGTCGCACATCAACCTCATCATCTAGTACTATAGTAATCCTCTCCTGTATGTTGAGGTTCTTCCTCATAACTTCTTGGGGGTTGAACCGGCGAACAAACATCGATAGGACAATTTTCTGCTCGATGAGTGATAGACTATACATTATCAGCACCAGTGTTTTGTCAAACAGTAGTAGGTCTTACGTTTGTCCAACACATTGTCGCGTTCCCCTCGAGAAAGGATGGAAGTACGCCGACATCTCTCGCTTTTGATCCTCGTCGACCAACCATCGCGTTGGGGTATAGGTGGTAGGAGCAGGGAACATGACCTCATCATAGAGGGCATATAAAGGTGTAGCACTCACTTCTGTCTGCAAGGGGTCAGTCTGAGGAAAGAAATGGGGGGATTAAACTTACTCCAGCTGGTAGGTAATATCCTCCGAAGCTCCATCCATTAGTAGGGACAGTCCGGGGGAGTCGCGTTCGACTGGGACAAGAGATCCGGAGGCCTTCTTTGACACACGCATTGAGGAATGGCAAGGCATCCAGTTCGGGGACGGTTGGTCGAGAGTCCAGTGTGGGCATGACAGTCCGCACTTCGTCTTGAAGTCTCCGATAGATATCTGGTTGTTGAAGGAGATGGTGAAGAGTGATAGCCAGCGCAGCTGCGGTTGTGTCTGTTCCGGCAACGAACATCACAATGGCTTCAGAGATTAAGTGCTCCTTGGTCAACTCCCTGGACTTTTTCTCAGCGGCTGACATCATGTTCTTGAACATAGTCCAAGTCTCAGTCGTATGCATCTGTTGGAACCCTGAATCGGATATCTGTGCCAGTTCCAAAAATCCGTTTGGAACGGCACTGAGATTGTAGTAGCTCGCCCATCGGAGTAATTCTCGCAGGATGGGGAAGTGTTGGAACTGGTTATATTAACATCTTCTTTCGCTTGCTTAGCAGGGAGACGACACTTACAAACGGCACCGAGTTAGTCGCCTTGTCGATGGCTTCAAAAACAGCAGACTTGTAATCTCCCAGCTGTAACGCACCAGCAGGCTTTCCGAAAGCAAACTCGGAAATAGTATCCAGCGTCATGCAACGGAATGCTGGGAAGAGTGGAATTATCTGTCCATCCTTTGCGCTTTGGGTAAAACGATCCATCAAATAATGGCCTTTGTCATATATGGACCCCTCGTGCTGAATGATATTTGCCCTGGAGAAAGCATGGGAGATAAGACTTTTGTCCTTGGCGTGTTGCTGACGGTCGCGGATTGTGAAGATATTGGGAGCCTGGTCTTCAAAAGCACGATAGAAGTACTTGGACTTTTCGAACTTCGATGTTTGTCCGTAAATGATGCTAGAGGCTTCCGGGTCGTTTGTTGAGACTTCGTTGGGTGAGATCCTCAACATCGGTCCTATTATCTGTCAATAAATACTTGATAGTAGTAGCTTACTCAGTGGTGGTAAACATACCATACTTTCGGTGCAAATCAAGTATCTCCACGTGAGGATTCCCTCTCATTTCGAGCCCAAAAATCCACCATCGAGATATTTTAGCCATAAAAGGGCCTGGGATGGCCTTCAGAGGATGGAAGAATACATTATACACACAAGTTCCGACAAACCATAAAACCACCACAATAGCCCCATAGGTAAGATAGACCATGGTGGATAACCAAATGGAAATAATTGTTAACTTTGTATTCTGCTACCCCAGACTTTGGCAGGTGGCTCCTCATATAACCCTGCATGTGTTCTCTCAATATACACTAGCACTAAGCCCCGGAACACCGGGGTTAAGCTACCCGGCACGATCGAAATGAATTATACATTAGTGAAATAATCACCTATATTTCCAACCTCGGGATGTTTCCAAGGTTCCACTGTATGATGTGTAAGCGGAAAATGACCCAGTGAATGCTCCGAAAAGCCCGAAGCCCCCTTCCCCGGGGATACCGGGGGTATACAAGCCGCATCCCCGCTATTCCGTCGGGAGGAAACAAAGTGTAGATCACACGAGGTTGTACTCCCCTCACCATATTCGAGTCCTGTGATGATTAAATACAAGGGTATTTCTTGCATTGCTCGCCGTTATCTACAAAACTAAACTTGAGGATTTCTTTTGCTACACACGATCTTCTTTCCTTGCCTTTGAGATAACAATCAAAATGTCCGTTCTCTCTCAAAAGCCCCGGAAAGATTTCCCAAACCACCCGCAATTTTCCGGGTTCATGAAGCCATGCCGAGTTGAAGGAGAAGTTCTGAATCTGGAAGTGTATGGCGAGATCCCGGAAGACATTGATGGGACATTCTATCGGGTGATGCCCGATCCCCAATTCTCGCCCTTCATCGAGAATGATCCAGTAAGCGAATTGATGCGAATCTTCAATTCCAAAATAGCAGGATAGCTGACATGACAACAGTGGTTCAACGGCGATGGCAGTATCAGCGCCTTCAAAATCAAAGACGGCTCGGTCTCCTTTAAGCAGCGTTTTGTCCGAACAGAGAAATTCGTCCGGGAACGAGAGGCTCAAAGAGCATTGCTTGGTACCGACCCTCACCGTTCACAAGCTCACATAGAACTGACTAACTCGTTTCTTTCTATAGGTAAATACCGCAACAAATTCACCGATGCCGTGGAATTCAAGATCCGCACCACAGCCAACACAAACGTCGTTCACTTTAACGGCAAGTTGTTGGCTCTAAAGGAAGATGCTCCACCATATGCGTTGGATCCTCACACCCTCGAGACAAGCGACCTGTACGACTTCGATGGACAGTTGCCCAGTTTGACATTCACCGCTCACCCGAAATTCGACCCGCGCACGGGGGAGATGGTCTGCTTCGGATACGAAGCCAAGGGCGATGGAACACCTGATATCTGTTATTGCCGTATTGCAGCCGACGGAAAGTTCTTGGAAACCGTGTGGTTGACTGCGCCTGTTGTGGCTATGATTCACGATTTTGCTGTCACGGAGAACTGGGTGAGTTGTGATTCTTGTATTTTTAGCAAACCCTCTTCTGATAGTGTTCCCTCTTGTTATTTTAGATCCTTTTCCCCATCATCCCTCAGGTCTGCGACATTGAGAGAATGAAGCAGGGCGGGGAGCACTGGCAGTGGAGCCCCGAAACTCCATTCTACATTGGAGTCCTTCCACGACGAGGAGCAAAGCCATCCGATCTCAAGGTATGTTCCCCACACCCTATCTTTCTCCTATCATCTAATCATTTGTCACCTCTCCCAGTGGTTCCGCTACCAAAACTCTTTCCCGGGCCATGTAGCCAACGCCTACGAAGATGAATCCGACAACGTCGTACTCGACCTCGGACTTAGCGAGAAGAACGTCTTCTTCTGGTGGCCAGATGCGCAAGGAAAATCTCCTGAGCCGAGTTCCATCCACTCCCAGCTAACCCGGTTCATCATCGACCCCAAATCCGAGGAGCTCGACTTGGTGAACTCAACGGTTCTCCAAAGCGACAACTCGGAGTTCTACCGCATTGACGACCGCTTCGCCACCCAACCGTACAAGCACTGCTTCTTTGACCTAATGAACCCTGCCCTCGGAACTGATTTCCCGACCATCCTGCCTCAGCTGGGTGGTGGACACCCGCTGTATAACGCTCTAGCGCACTTGAATATTGAAACTAGTGTGACAGAGATCTACCTCCCTGGAAAGACACATATGGTGCAAGAACCAATTTTCATTCCGCGACGTGGGTCTACCGTTGAGGGCGATGGGTATGTCATGGCTCTGGTGAATAACTATATTTCTATGTGCAGTGAGTTGCACTTGCTGGATACCAGGGAGTTCACCAAGGCAAAGGCTGTCATTCTGCTGCCGCTTCGGTTGAGGCAGGGATTGCATGGCAATTGGGTTGAGGGCGAGGATCTGTAGGTTGAGGCTTAGGGCAGAGCTTATGGCAGATGGAACAATGGCGAGGAACGTGATCTATGTTTACACGATTTGACACAGATCATGGTCATAAGACCGAACACCATCCGTGGATTGTTTGCTTTAAAACCAGATTGATGATGCGTGTATTTTTCTACTCAATTTCATAGGATGTCAATTTTAGCAACTTTTACTCCCATACGATTCAGACCTTATCATCCACTTCCTTAAGGTAACAACAATGTCACATGGGAAGGAAAATGTGCATTCGCAATCAATTTCGAGTTCAAATTATCTTGGGCCAGCGAACCATGGATATTCCCTAGATACCCGGGTGCAAAAGACAATTGCTATTGTATTGTAAATAGCCTAACATTTGTCAGTGAGGCGCAGAGGAACAAGATGTCACAATATTTCATGAGATGACAGGATACTATTCAACTTCTAACTTCTGATGAGACAGCAGTCAGGTAGCAAACTAGTGATTTATATATGATTATGTGAAGAAACAGTTTCAACTCCTGTCCTCGAACCCGCAATACCATTCCCGCACGAAGCATATGGAAATCCAACGCAAGTGGCAAGGAGAGGTGCAAGACACTGGAACAGTAGAACTGCAGTATGTTCCAACTACCGAGCAAATTGCCGATGGGTTCACCAAACCTCTTGCACGACAACGATTTGAATGGTTTCGGAGAGGACTTGGTATTGAGTGATGACCACACCTTGCTGGCCTTGAGCAGAGACTGAGCTGCAAGGGTACCCTTTCCTTCTTTTCCCTCAAAAGGGGGTTTTTAAAGGTTTTAATAGGGCCCGCCGCAACCGTGATGAATGGTCATTCGCTCCCTTGGCGACGGTTGCCATCGAGTGGGAGTGTTGAATATCACGGCGGCTAAGCTTATGGAGTGGATTAGGGTCGGAGATATAAAGACGGGCTACCCCTCTTCTGTAAATAAATCAATTAGAATCAATCAGACAATCACTTATCTCAACACGAATAAGCGCGTTATTCATATTCGCATTCATATTATTCATATTGTTTATTTTTCGCGTATTAATAGTTTTCCGCTTCACCGGTTTTAGTATTACCGAAATACATGTTCGACTAGGGTTCAACTTCAAAATTTGGAAAGGGATTTATTTCATCACGGCCTCAGCCATGCAGAAAAATATTAAGTTCCTCATGCAAACTATGTCGCTAACATTTTATACCCTATATTGTAGGGTTCGGTAAGGTCTAAGTATTTATGTCATTACTTTCAGCGATTCAACATAGCCAAGTGTCTAGTTTTGGTGACTAGGAAGGTTGTTATAGAAAGTGGAGCGAAATTATATATATCTATAAGGCGTCTTTCTACCTCTTTGCTACTCTAATTAAATCGACCACGAGTGCCAGGAAGGATCTTTAACATTCCCGAATCATCCCAGAGCCCCTGCCATTGGCTAGTCAAGCTTTAAGAATGAGCTCTTCACACCAGCGATAAGAGAGGTATGTGTCCCGAACTCCCCAGACTCCGGTTGGAATGCACCAAGCACGACCTCCTCGATCAACGGCCCTCTTGCAGTAAATCTCCAATTATCTGCCACTTGCAAAAATGCTTGAATCAAAGTCAGGTCGCGCTTGGCTCCAATCAATAGCCTCGAATTCCATACTATTCTATACAAGCTCCAATATGTGCTGACCAGCCACACCTAAGATTTAAAACCTGAGACGGACTCGATCAGTTTTGGAACTCACGCATGTTCTTTCCCGAAACAGATACGATTATTCGTGAGGGCAACTCATGATGACTGTCCGATCTTGGAGCCAAGATACCACGGAATATATGTATACGTGAGAAGACAATATTGAGTTCAAACCCCTCTTAACATGCGACCGGAAATAGACATAGATACATAACCTAGAACTTAAATAACCTTTGCGGTTAAGAAGACCCACTTCATACCTCAAAACACCTATTAGTATTCAAGGTCAATGGTAGACAGGAGCCAAGCTGCAGCCCAAAGAGCTTTTTGTTTGAATCGCTCGAAGTCAACTCAAATCTGCGGGGAGGGTATTTTATCGGATTGATCGAAACCTTACTTAGAAAATCGAAAGATCACAAAGTTTTAAGAAGAAATGGAATTAATGAAGTCTGATTTTAAAAGAGCTGAAGATGAAGACTCGTCTTGATACAGTAGTGTTCATGTATCCCAGAGACATCAAAACCATGCCCCTCTATGATTTCTACTGTTTTATTTATTTCCCTGCTGCACCTTAGACGAGATCATTGAGCCTTAAAGCTTTATTGGAGTGACAGCAAAGCAAGTTGAGAAATTGATACAAGTAGCAGAGTCACAGTTTGTAACACTCCATCAGATCCTTGCCAATTCTATTGAAATCTTCATTGAAATCCTCATGATCTCAGCGAACCAGACCGTGAAGCCACTAGAATCAGCATGATTTAGTAGTCTTCCACATTCCGTCGTTTCTTGGCATCGAAGAAATACAATGGCACGGCAAAAATAAGGACCAGGACATTCAGCATGAACATGATCATGTACACCTGAACATAACCGCTTTTGTTGGCCCAGTCGACCGCCACATATAGGAAGATGAATGTGATCAGATTTTTGAATACATTGATCAAGACAAGAGATTTGGCCGCGTCTCTTTGATGGCGGTGAACAATATATGTGATGGCAATGTTAGGCGTGTAGACTGATCCGAAGGAAAGCAGACCGAAACCAACGGCAATAGCACTCCAGTGGAGCTGGTTGTCACAAGCAAAAGCAAGTAGAATACACCCCGCAGGGCCAAAGGCCATGCCGGGAATGAGGGAGATCAGGCGCTGCTCTGGCCAGATTTTCTGGCTGGAGGAGTGGCGGACGATGTAGCCAGTGATTACATCAGACAGACCGCCACCACCATAGCAAGCAACCACAAAACCAATCATGGCTGCAATTTGCATCAAGCCCACAGATTCTGTCGAGAAGAGGTAGGGAGGGGCTAGGAGGAGAGGAGACATGGTGAAGCTATGCGCACACAAGAGAGGTCAGAACGGGATTATCGTCTCACAAGAATGTCTGGGCCATCTCACATCAGGATTACCTGGGGGCTCAGTGTGATGGTGTAAGTGAAAATCCCCCACAATACAGACGGATGGACCAGGAGCTTGAGCGGGTCTATCATGGCTTTCAGGAGATTAACATCTCGGTCGTACGAGACAGGCGGCAGGATCTCCCGCGCGGAGGGGGTGTAGATGGTGTAATCATCTGATGCTGAGCGAACTGATTTCGTGTCCTCACAAAACTCCTCCTCAGGCTTGCCTTCCTTAAATCTTGTCCGGTTCTGCAACGTCTCCAGCTGATTGGTGGTCAAGTCGAGCTCGGGGCGGGAGAAGTTGGATTCAGGAAACAAGAAGAATATCAAGATCAGATTGAAGATCGCCAGGCCACAGCAGAGCCATAAAAAGGAGCGCCACGTGTCGGCAGTCAATGTGGTCATGAAGCCGGCAATGAGTGGACCGACTGCACTTCCCCCAGAGATGAGCACAACGTAACTAAACGGCGGTCATGATTTTGTTAAGAGGCTTAGTTATCGTATGGAACAGATTGAACACTCACATGGACATCATGGCTCCGCGCTGATGAACAAAGGTAGTATCGGCCACGATTTCGGGAACAATGCTCTGGGGAAGACCAGGATATCAGCTAGCTCTGCGTAGAATGACTGGCTTTGGCTATATTCACCTCGCCGGCTGCGGCAGCAAACCCCAGCAAGCATCTGGCAACGACCAGGCTGTCGAATGATGTTGTCGCCGCGCTCCAGGCCAACATCCCTGCCTGCATCGCCATTGACGAAAGGAGGGAGGCGCGTTTGCCAAATTTCATAGCAATTGGCACCCAAAAGATGTTTCCAATGCCGAGAAAGAGGAAGTTAAACTATGGATATTGGTGTCTACCCATCAGGCCTCTGGCTTCTTTCCTTAGCGTCAAAAGAAGTGGTAAACATACAGTCAGAACTTGGGTTGCCTCAGACTGGGACTTGTGAAACTCCTCCATGAGGAGGGGGAGGGCAACAGAGATGCCAGATCCTCCCATGTTGGAGACAAAGTTGTGCAGAGATGTCACCACGATGGCTGCGATCTTGAGGCCAAACGGCCAGCGTAAGGGATCTTTTGGATCATTGGTTGGGAATGGAATGAGTTGAAGATGATGGTGCGTCATATTTGCGGGAACAATAGTAGGGAATACGATGGCAAAGGAAACCCTGCACGACAAGGAGGCAGATTCGAGAAAGATATGGGGAAATATATGGGGAAAGAACCTTCTGGGGAACGATCCGGGGAAGGTCCGGGTAACAGTCGGCACCAACCCCCCCTTAGGGAGAGGACAAATGCCGGAATGAGAATAACCCAACCCCTCCCGGTGTTGGAGGGGTTGGGTTTCTTGCCAAGGACCGGGTACTCTTAAATTGGTGTTTCTACAACTCAGGTGTTCAATATAGACTTTTAGAACTTTATGCGAGGGCAAGTAAGCAGGTTCGATCGTGGTCCGGCCCGAATGTTTAATATTTCCTGCACGCGGACCCCGGTCTAGGCCATTAATTCAAGTCTTCGCTCCCCGAACTGTTGTTTGACTCCGTTCCTGATAATTCTGTCAGCCAATTGCTCGGTCAGCAAGCCACTACCACCATGTGCACGTCCACCCTTCGGCTACAGTAGAGCATGTGTTTACCCTGCATGTCGATCTCGGTCCTCCCCTTGCCTTATGGATCCACGGCTACTGGAGGTAAACGCTTTATTCCCATCACTGGTGGACGAGTCACTGGCCCTAAACTCGAGGGCACAATTGTTGCCAACACGGGAGGAAACTGGAACTGTGTGCACGTAGACGAGGTAGTGCATTTGTACGCGCGCTACACCATTCAAGCCAGCGGGCGGTGGCACCCTTATCGGCATTTGCAACAAAGACTATGGCCGAGCCAGGCAAGAAACTATGAAAGCCGTCTTCGAGGATCCGGATCCGACCAAGGTGTCCATGACCAACGGCGGCGCTGACTGGTATACACGCACCTCCACGAAGTTTGAGGTGGCAGCCAATAACGAACAATACCGATGGCTACCTAGTTCCGTCTTTCGACGTCTATGAAGTTCTGTAAAATTTCAGCGGGGTACCTCGGGTTGTGCGTACATCGAGAATTCCCGGTGTATTAACATGCTTTGGATCTATGGGCGAGAAATGTGACTGACTGAAACATATCCACGGCTTTGATGTCTGAATTGTAGTGTATTTATCGTAGAAAGATAATTACCGTTTAAACGGGTTTGGGTTTATGCATGTTGCTCCCTATGCCCGAAGAAAATGTACACTGGGCATAGAAGCTCACTAAAGTCATTGTTGTTGAATAAAGGTACATCGGTAGGAGTTTGTATGAATATCTCTCGTGATATGAGGGCTGGTGCAGATCAGGAACAATACCGCATCATCAAAAACGTGTTGAGTTTACAGATAGTGATCTATAAAATGCATGTAATGAGAGCCTGATTGTATATTAAGCAGTATAGTATGGAATAAAAATGTGAATTGTCTAAGTCTCTTAACATGAATAATAGAGGACTTTTATGTGAACATCTTCCAACCCCTATATTACTGTGGGTCCCATACATTATGGGGATCCCTCCGTGCATTTTCAGGAGACAGAAGGTTCCTGGGAGCGAGAAGCTCGGAACATGCATTTGGGCGTATAGAAACGCCGATCCCGATGGGTGCGCATTGAATGCTCCAAGTATGAGGATGATCGTATTTTCCACATAGTTATATGTATTCAAGCTGCAGCAGACGGTAGATGAAAAAAGACAGAGATTGTCCATTTTAAGAGCAAACCCCATACTAGAGGGTATGGTATCTTTTCGACCCGACAGAAAAGTTAGATGTGTCGATTCGGTTTCACCTGCGAAATCCCCTCATTCCAAATACCAGACTTCCCCGGAGACAACACCCCATTCGGATCCAGCACATTTTTCATGAATCCCGTAAACCTCTTGAACGCAGAATTGTTAAAGTCCAGCTTGGCCGCAACCTGGTCCATATACCGCACATGCGTGCGGTACTCCATATGCCCCTGCTGCGCGCCATCATGTAGCAGATTCCTGCACAGCTCGTGAATGCGCGCTTCCTCACCGAGCGTGTAAATCATTAACTCGATGCCAACCACATAGCGCGGGTAGACATGAAAGTCGGCGAAGAAGTCGAACTTGGCATCGATGGTGCGCTGCTTCGCAGTGAGATACCATGCGTATAGCTCACGGCCGGACGGAGGGATGATGGGCGAGTAGTCGATGTGTCCGCCGCCCTTTTCCGATCGACTGTTGATGATCCCCAGCGGGGCAAGAGTTGGGATACCGCTGTGCGGGATTTCTTCTTCTTTGATCTGGGCGGTGGTAATGGTGCGTCCAGGAGATCCAGGGAACTCACGCCACTCGATCTTCACGCCCGGGATCATGGAAAATTCGCGCTGGATGGTCTTCAGGAGCGCAGGGAGCATTTCGACCGATCCGTACAGCGAGAAGTATGCTTTCCAGAAACCCCAATTTTGTTGCGCGCGGATTTCGTCTAACGCCGCGTAGGGCACATAGGAGTTGGGTTTCATGTACTGGGCGAGTTTTGCAAGCACCTCGGGCACTTTAGACGTCAGGGCGATGCGGAATATGTTGGCAATGGAGGGCGAGTTGAGGATAATGGAGCGGCGCATCAGGTCTGACAGAATCCCGACTAGAGGGACAAGGTCTTCTTCTTGTGGTACGCTGACTTCAACAGTGGCGTAGGCTTCTGGGGCGGGGGTGATGTGGATACCGAGTTTGGTGACGACGCCTGCTTCTGTTAATGATTCGAGTTGTTTGATAGATGAGAGATCTTCAAATATTACCGAGGTTAGATTGGAAGAAAAGACCGTCAAGGCTGGGTCCAAAGCCTCTGTTGAACGATGAGTCGATAGCTTGTTGCAAAGAGAACAAACGCATGCCAGTGAACATACCCCTTGTATAGCGGAAATGCTTTATTGTCCTTCATCGCTCCCATGCCCGTCCGAAGCAAATCGCCATTCGGCAAAATAACCTCCAGTCCACACTGCGACTGCGAATGTTCTCCATTAGGCGTATAACCAAAGCCCCGGTCCATGGTATTTCCCAAAACAGAGCCCCATCCAATTGCCGGAACCGATGGCCAGAGTTTCAGCCCCCTTCGTTGGATTTCCTCGTAAAGGTCGAAAAAAGATACACCCGGCTCCACGATCGCATACCCATATTCTTCGTTGACCTCGATGATCTTATTCATTCGGTGGAGATCGAGGACTACGCATCCTTTGACAACAGGGCTGGATCCGCCGTATCTGTGGCATTTAGTGATATGCAGATGGGATAGGAATTCCATCGATGACATACCCCAGATTCTTTCCTCGGGAAACTGTCCACAAAGACACCTTGTGCACGTTTGCAAGCTTCACGATCTCCTGGACTTCTTGCACACTGCTGGGCCGAACAGCACCGCTTGGCTCGTGGGTTGCGGCGGTTGTAAATGGATCGCCGTAAGATTCCCGGCCTTGGGTGTCCGTGAGTGAGCCATAATGAGGAGTGCGCGAAAGATTGTCTTCTCCAATCACACGGGCGGCGTGGTCAAAGAAATTGCCCAATGTCTGGGCGTTGGAGGCTGCAAACCTATTTGTCGACATTGTGCTGTTGTGGCAAATCGAGGATTATGGCATGTCTATGGGGAGCTACGAACATGCTTTATATATCATATACATATGCAAATGTAAATTACACTGTGAAGTATTGGATACCCTTGCGCTCCGAGTTGTGGAATTACTCTAACCCCGCATCCAAAATGTCCCGGGACACTTCCCTTTTTCCCCGGTATCCCCGGTATCCCCATATCCCCGACTTGTAGAGTCGGCCCCAAAAGTCTCCGTAAAAATCGCGCTACAACGCGTCGCGCCCCATCAAATTATCACACCCATAGTTTGGATGGTGCTATGGTCAAACATTAGTTAAATCAGAACTTCCCCAGTCGCATTATAGTAGAGTCAGAAAACCATTCGTTGCCGAACGAGACCACAATGGAAATCACTACTACCGTGCCACTTATCATCGATGGCGAGAACGTTGTCCTTGCTTCCCGCGAGAGATGGGCGGCAATCCCCAATCTCAATAAATCCACCCCTTCCTTTTTCCAAGGTGCGACAAAGGAAATGGCGATCCAAGCTGTAGAATCCAGCGCACGTGCTTTCACAGCATGGTCCAAGACAACACCAGTCAAGCGACGCGAACTCCTCCTGAGACTTGCCGAGGTGAGTTGTCCCTGAGAACCTCCCCACAAAAAGGCAGTCTGACCTTGGCATATTAATTTATTATTACAGGTCTTGAGAAACAGAGCAGATGAGATCAAGCAAATCTGTGCGGAAGAAGTCCACAGCGGCCCATTTTGGGCCGATATTATCACGAATGACAGCATCGGCATCATCGAGGAGTGTGCAGCCCTCACTACCCCGATGACTACCGGGTCGATCCCTTTCACAAAGGGAGAGTCTTATGGATTTGTTTTCAAAGAGCCTCTTGGAGTTATCCTGGGTATTGCTCCATGGAATGCTCCGGTCATTTTGGGCTTCCGTGCAGTCATTGCGCCTATTGCCGCGGGCAATGTTGCTATCCTCAAAGGTAGCCCTGACCTCTTCCTTGAAATCTTGCCCAATTGCCGTTTCCTCTGCTTTTCATCTGTCTTTCCCTATTACATCTGACTTCATGCTAACTATCTATGATAGGATCTGAACTTAGTCCTCGAGTTCATTATTTTGTGGCGTCACTGTTTCGGGAAGCTGGATTCCCTCCAGGTGTGGTGAATTTCCTACTTCATCGCCCAGAGGATGCTTCCGAGGTCTTCAACGCTTTGATCACACACCGCGCGGTTAAAAAATGCAACTTTACAGGCTCCACGCAGGTGGGCCGCATCATCGCCAGTCAAGCGGCAATGGCACTCAAGCCAGTCTTGCTGGAACTAGGGGGCAAGAATTTCACCATTGTGCTGGAGGATGCCAATTTGGATTTGGCAGCCCAAGAAATTGTCAAGGGCGCATTTTTGAATGTAAGTGAAAATAGTCGAAGTTATCGTCGCAGTCGCGTGTTTCGAGGAGCAGTGCTCACATCTAGTGCCCCTCGTAAAACAGAATGGCCAGATCTGCATGTCCACGGATATGGTCATCACCTCACGTGCCTTGGCTCCTACTCTGGAAGCCAAGATCCTCTCCTTGGTGCAAAAGATCGACCGCGCCTCTACAGTCATCTCGCCGGCTGCCAAATCTAAGCTGGAGATGCTCGTGGCGGATGCCCAAGCCAAGGGGGCGAAGATTCATACCGCCCCGATTCCGTCCACCCCACTTTCGCCCCAGGACTTTGTCCCGACTGTCATTACAGGCCTCACCAAAGAAATGGTCTTCTATGAGACAGAATCGTTCGGGCCCATTGTCGGCATTGTAACGGTTGAGTCTGAAGCCCAGATCATTGAGATCGCTGAGCAGGCCACTTACGGTCTATCGGCCTCCATCATCTCCAGTAACCATTATCGCGCGCTCAAGTTGTCTGAGTCTATCAAGGCGGGAGCTATTCACGTCAACTCGATGACTGTGCATGATGAGCCAACTCTGCCCCACGGAGGACATGGGGAAAGTGGCTGGGGTCGGTTTGGGTCTCGGTGGGGTATGGAGGAGTTCATGCAAACCAAGACTGTCACATTACATCCATAGAAACATCTAACGTATTTATCTTCTGTTGCCGGTGTTCCCCCGGCTGTTTCACAGTGGATAGGAACCTCGGCAAGTTTTAGGAAGTAACCCGGATTCTCCGGGGGCTGTTCCAACTTCCCGTTCCTCAGTTCTAAATGTGGGGCCAAGCGCCAGCGGAGGCGAAAATGAAATGTATTTCAACTTTGATCGATCCTGTTCAACCTCTGAGAAAAGACCTGACTTTGTTCACGCCTCTTGGGAATCATTGTATAGCATTCCAGAAATAAACCAAAAATGGCATCCCCCGCTCCCCAGCATTTTCCTGATCGCCCTCAATTCTCGGACTTTATGAAGCCATGCCGATTTGAAGGAGAGGTTCAAAATTTGGAGGTGCATGGAGATCTCCCCAATGACATCGACGGTACTTTCTACCGTGCATTTTCAGGATGTTTTGGAGCACGCCCAAGATGTTGTGAAGACTTTCCCAGATGCTAATACCTGGATCCATGCTCTCGAGAATGGAAACCCTTATGCCTTTGTATCCATTATTCTCTCTAAACTTCATCTTCTTCAATCATTGTCGCTTGATTATTCCTTTGTGTGGCAATCTGGATTTCCCGGACTGATGCTACGCCATGCGCTGTCTTCAAAGCAATTGTCGCGGTTTTATTTGTTCACAAATGTGGATTATGGAGCCAATGTTCGCCGTGATGAAATGAGCTTTGGTGAACCGTTAATTTACGAAGAGCCTGGCTATCCTGAGTGCAACCCTGACCAATTTCCTGCTTGGTTCTACCTGCCAGCTCTCCGGTCTCTCAAAATATGGCTTCGCACCAAGCAGCTGGAGGGCATAGAAATGCCTCATAGGCGTCTGACTCTTTCTCGGCTTGAACGTCTCATTCTCACACGAGCAACCATTAAGGAAAACCCGACTTCGACTAACAGCCACATCAACATTTTTAAACCAAATAAAATACTAGAGTATGGTATTAGGAGTAACTGATTCTAAATCTTCGAACAGAATTTTATTAATTTGTATAGTTGTCGAGTTATAAGCTGTGGAAGTTAGGTTATTTTTGGTGTTGTTGGGGGAAATAGGAAAACTAAACCCTTTTCGATTTTCGCAGTCAAAACTAAACCTAAATTCTATTCCAAACAATGGCCCACCAAGTAAGCCCATAGTTAAGGCGCCCTAGAAAAGTGGGGCGTGGGGGCCAAAAAGCTAGTAGGCCAGATGGTTTTTTGGCCCACTAGAAATAATAGCTAATTTTGGAGTAATCGAGTTCAAAATTTCAGGATTTCTAATTAGAAGTATAAAAATATCTATATTCAAATTTGAGCGCTAACCGACTAGATTTGGGGGCGTAGGAATTAATTGAAAATATAGGCCCATTTCAGATTGATGAGGCGCTCTTTATTACATAATTAATTATTATTTAACGTCCAGCGTCGAATTACACCTGCCCGATTGGAAATCAGCGGGAAATTGTTGGACTACTTCTGACGGCCAAATTTGATGACGGTCAGGCTTCTCTGGGCCACTTCTATAGGGGACTTCCAATATCCTCGATTTATGACGGCCAGGCTTCTGTCTGTCATTTCTGACAGCCTGAATCGATGACGGCTGGGCTTCTGTGAGTTGGTTCTGACCGCCTGATTCAACGACGGCCAGGCTTTGTGAGCTAGTTTTGACAGCCTGAATTGATAACGGTCGGGCTTCTGTCTGTCATTTCTCATAGCCTGAATTCATGACGGCTAGGCTTCTCCATGCCAGTTTTGACAGTCTGATCTGACGACGGCCAGGCTTCTGTCTGTCATTTCTGACAGCCTGAAATGATGACGGCCAGGCTTCGGTCTATCATTTCTGACAGCCTGATTCAACGACGACCAGGCCTCTGTCAGCCCCGTCCAGTAGCCAAATGTCATGCAGATCAGCCAAGCGAACTAGTCAATCACCTGACCCACATTCCCAGCCCCCCTCATCACGATCTTCATCGTTTATTTTGACTACCCTCCAACAATTACACAGCTACCCAGCACTATTGAATGCCTACAACGAGGCCTTTGGCCCTATTGTCCCAGTTCAGCCGTGGAGCAACGAGGATGAAGTCATTAGACGAGCCAATGCCACCCTTACTGGTCTAGGCGCATGTGTGTGGTCGAACGACCTGGAGCGCGCTGAACGCATTGCCCAGCAAATCGAAGCGGGAAGTGTGTGGATCAACAGTTTTGAAAAACCGCATCCCGCTGGATTTTTTAGCGGCTACAAAGAGAGCGGGCTTGGGGGGGGAATTTGGAGAGTTGGGGATGAGAGGGTATTGCACCATTCAAACCTTCCACTATGCTAAGCGATAATCTACATTGCTATTCATGCACGAGTTGGCTATAGTGGGGAAATAGTAGCAATATATCTTTCAGACAATACTATATCTCCGTTCCGTGAATATCGAATTACAATACACTCCCAAAACAGAGGAAATTACAATCGCCGCCATTAGACCCAGACATAACCGTATGTCGGTTTATCCTCGCTCGAGGCGATTCTGGGCGTAGCTTACGATATAGTACACAATACCAGGACGTAGGCCTGTGGTCTATGGTTTGGCAATGTTCTATTTTATTTTCACAACATAGCTTTGTCGGGCAGCATAATACATGGAGCGCAGGGTACGCTTTCTAACACATATCACGGGGACAAAACACCAACTTAGCAAGCTGTTCGGATGACCTCCTGAGGATGTTTCCGGTACATTTCGGTTACTTTTCCGTTGCAAGCCCAACCTCTAGCATTTGCCTAGCCGTGCCAAGCCCACAAATGTGGGGACCACCTCTTGTGGGGATGTTGTTGCCCCTAGCAACAGACGTTAAAATACATATATATTTTCAACATGTTTTGGACGCTCTCATCCCTTCCGAGTCCCACCTTGGAAATGGTTCATCATCTTTCCGGAAGGGCTTCCTCCTCTTAGCTTGAGCATCAGAGATGCTTTGACATCGTAAGGCGATACAACGGTAGTGATTGACTCGTAAAGCCATCCTGTTCTCCCTTGATTTTGGTTAGGTACCTCAAACAAAAAGCTTCGGATGCTTAGAGATTGACGTCAAAGACTCTACACGTCCGAGTGAGCATGGTAATAATATCACCAAAGCACAAGTTCTGATGGATCCTGTGACAGCCATAGGGAAGAAGCGGAAACTGCTGTTACTTCTACTTCTCGGCAATCCAGAAGCATTGATCAGCTAATAGCAAATGTCTACTTTGCTGGAGCTAGACTCTTCAAACTGGTTGAACAACATGGGATGCGAGACCCTGTTCATGCGTTAAGTCCAATGTACACAAGCCCCTCCCCGCCAACGAACCGCCGATGACCTGCTGGACCGATGATCTGTTGGATGAAGCATATAGTGAACATTACGAAGTATCTGTTTCGTACAAAAGGCCAGCTTCATCTTTTTATGTGTCTCTTTGAATGATTACAGTTTTAAAATTGTCTATTAATCAAGGTATAACGCAATCTGATGGCCTTTCCACGAGCCCTCTCACAGCATACACGGTTATTTTCCAGATCTTCTCATGGCCGCTGTGGAAGGCGACTACGAGGCGAGATTATTGTGTCTTGTAAGCACTTTATCCTGCCTGGCCCGTAATATGTTCAGCGCGGTTTGGTGTTCTCTTGCGAGTGCCGTAGCGAAATAATAACGAATGATTTCACTCAATACAAGAACGGGGCATCGTTTCACATTCGACAAACACTACGAATAATTACCCTTAAGATAATGGGCATTGAAGGTGCATCCGGTTGAGTAGATGAAGGGTTGATGCATCCGGTACGTATCCGAAACTACAAGGTTGCGGGCGGGTCTTGTATGCTACTACTTGAACCCTCAGTTCAAGGTGGTGATTACAAAAAGTTACGAAACACTGAAAGACACTATTGGTGTTGGAACCATGATAAAATTGCCGGGCCTCAGTTATTCTAAACGGAGGTTGTATGTTTACACTTTATATTCTATGATTCGGAACGTTCCTTCAAGAACCGGAAGAATGTACGAATTGAGAAGGATATGTTTTCATTGGTATCGAATCGTAGAAAAGGAATTACAGACGCGGGTTAGATTCAGAGGCAAGAGAATACTTCGGCTGCTGCACTTTTCATTTTCCCTAGTGAAGGGCTTAACGGCAAGAATCTTGAAAACTATGTTTGTTACTTAATATGGGTCTAGGGTAGTAAATTAAGGTCCCGAGATTATCAATAAACTCAGGATGGGTTGCTTCAGATATACTTATTCGGATAGATGGCTTCTGCGTATCCGATGCCATAACTGGTCAACATCCTGTCACTGCCGAAGCATATGCCGGGTCTAACAGCTTATAAATCCTAGACTGCCGAGGAGTTTATTCCCCGCATTCTCGTACTGTTCCTGTCGTTGAAGCTTAGGGTGGTGCGAATATAAATACTGAACTGGATTTTTTCACTGAATATTTTGCAACTAAGTATTTTAACATATTTTGACCTTCTATTATCTCTTACTTGCTTTTGATCTTACTATTATGACAGCACCTAAGATCCCAAACATCCAAAAGGCTGTGGTCTACGACAAGCCCGGAACAATCTCGACTAAAGTGGTGGAAATCCCCGTTCCTGAACCGGGCAATGGAGAGGTGCTTATCAACCTGTATGAGTAAGCTCTAGTCAATAGAGTAAGTTTGCTAAAGATATTAGAACTCATTCTGGCGTATGCCATTCTGACTACGGAATCATGGCCAACACTGTATGTGCTTCCAGTGATCAACGATGCACAGCCGGCTGATGAACACTAGTGGTCCATGCTTCCGTCCCCGACACAGCCAGGCCAGATAGGGGGACACGAGGGTGTGGGGAAAATCGTGAAACTGGGGCCTGGTGCTGAATTCTCCGGTTTGCAAATTGGGAATCGGGTGGGAGTCAAATGGATTTCGAGTGCTTGTGGACACTGCCGTAAGTAGTACATTTTCTTTATTCACACTCCTTCGCCACATAGACTCAGCGCTTATTACAATTCATTACAACCACACAGAGCCTTGTCAAAGTGGTTCAGACGGACAGTGTTTTAACCACAAGATCTCCGGATATTACACACCCGGTACGTTTCAGCAATACGTGCTAGGGCCGGCGGGCTACGTGACACCAATTCCGGATGGACTTGAAGCAGCACAAGCCGCGCCTATGCTCTGTGCTGGAGTGACGGTGTATTCGGCCCTTAGACGCAGCAAGGCGCTTCCAGGCCAGTGGGTGGTCATTTCAGGTGCAGGTGGCGGGCTGGGCCACATCGCCGTACAGCTTGCAAGCAAAGGCATGGGCATGCGTGTGATTGGAATTGACCATGGTAACAAAGCAGTGCTTGTTGAAGAATCCGGTGCTGAACACTTTGTCGACATTGCCAAGTTTCCAGCTGATGACGAGGGCAAAGCTCTAACAAAACATATAATGTCCCTGACAGAGGGACTAGGTGCCCATGCCGCTGTGGTATGCACAGCGGCAAACGCTGCCTATGCGCAGGCCCTGCCATTACTGCGTTTTAATGGAACACTCGTCTGTGTTGGTATACCAGAGCACGCCCCCAAGCCAATTGCCTCAGCATATCCTTTCAGTATGGTCAACAAGCATTTGACTATCACCGGCTCTGCAGTCGGAAACCGCCTTGATACTATTGAAGCCCTCAAATTTGCTGCCCGCGGTGTCGTCTCTGCTCATATTCGCATGGAGAAGATGGATGCCTTGACTAGACCTCGGAATTACCCTCGCGAGGGTCCGAACCTTGGACCCTCGACCCTCACCTCGCGAGGGTCGGCCCAAAACTTTTGACCCTCACCTGACCCTCGATCCTCGCCAACCCTCGCGCGGGTGACCCTCACTGACCCTCATAGACCCTCATTTTCATAAAATTTCTGCGCTTTACCTAATTCGGATGGATAAAAATGCTGATTCATTCAATAAAATACCGTTATTTATACCTGTTTTCGAGTAGTTTGGATAATCGATATTGTAAAACCGCCAAAATAAATTGAACCCTTTTGAAATCTCTCTAGATTTAAATAATACTCTCTTGAATCTTTAGTACTTCAACTAACTATGTATGAAATTTTATTTAGGTAATTAAGATAGGTTGGCTAATAGACGTGTTGTTTGGGTGTAAATATATATTTAACGTGAAAATATACTAGTGTATCCTAATGGATTTTTATCGCATATGTACTTAATACTAAGGTCGATCGTGCTGAATCTTGGACACATAGGCAAGAGACATTTAGTAATTCTAATAGTATATCTATAATTATATTTTAGTATAAAACGAGGTTAATGCGGCTCTTAAAGGTATGTCTTTGGGACTCAATTGGACACAGGTGGATTTTTTTGGAAACTATAAGGGTCGTGAGTGTCACGAGACTCACCCACGGGTGACCCTCAAATTTACGAGGGTAAATCTGCGGGTGACCCTCGCGACCCTCATATCCTAGCCAATCAAGAGAGGTGAGTCCCGCTGCCAAGTAGGTTGTATAGTGATCTATCAACTTCGAACCTTCAGCTCGTAGAGCTGTCTGAACCCCCCCTTGTCGTCCCCTAGTCATTATGAATTCTACTAAATATTTACTTTTGTAAGTCTTTTAATTTCTCCAACCTTATACTTCGTCTCTCTGTAAGCTATGTGACTATGTCTCTACACTTCTCTGATCTTCCGTCCTCCTCTGTCTATGAGGGGAATTCTTCGGATCCTTTCTACTTTGGTTTCCCTCCGGATTCGCAGCTATTCACACCAGAGACCTTAGGAAGCCAAACAGCCTCAGTCGTTAACTCAGACTTTACTCAGCCTCTACCAACACCTCCTAATCCCGACGGCCTTCAACGCGTTGGCCCCAGCCGGCATAGACAGTACGTTCTATATACTACTATGTCAAGAGATGCCTTTGTTGCTTGGTGGTTGATGACAGAATATGGGACGACAAAACGAATAAATTGGGGCACAAATCACCAATCTGAGTGTTGGAAACAGTTCGAACAAGTCGCAGATATAAAGACTGGGAAGCCTATGGTTATGTGTAAGGTATGTGCTGCTATTCTAGAACATCCAGCCCTTGGCCGCCATGGAACGTCTTCTATGAATAAGCACATCAAGGGCCCAACCTGTCGCAGGAGTACCAAAAGGCCAAGCATTAAGCAGATGATGGAGGACGCTGTGAGCTCAATCTCTCTCTCTCTATTATAAGATATTAATATTACTAGGCAAAGCACGCTCCAAAAGCTAAAGTCTTCACCCAGGGTGAATGGGAGCATAAACTTCTAAGACTACTCGCTATGTCACGACTTCCTTTTCAATTCATTGAACACCCAGAGTTTCATGACCTTATTTCTTTTGCGCGCCTTGCACCACAGAGCCCTTATATTCCTACTGCGAAAACGATTCGAGCCCGGCTACGAGACTTTGTGGCGGAACAGCAACGGAGCATCCTACGACACCTACCGGTAGACTCAAAGATCTCACTAGCGTTAGATTGTTGGACGTCTCCCTTTCAACAGGCCTTTATGGCAGTAACTGGCTACTTCCTCGACTATGACTGGGAGTACCGGGAGGTGCTACTTGGCTTTGAGCCGCTTTCTGGCACTCATTCAGGTCTAAATCTTAGTGAGGTCCTAATGAAGCTCCTCCAACAACATGAGATTACAGACCGAGTACTCGCAATTACTACCGATAATGCGTCAAATAACAATACCTTAGTGACCTTTATAAATGAGGCTATCCAGTCTCTCGAGCTAAATGATAGCTCTACGATCATACGCGTTCCATGTATTGCACATGTCATCCAGCTTAGCCTAAAGGATCTCCTTGGTCAAATGAAAGCAAACCCAAGAAACGAGATGGCTGAGGTAGAGTGGTCTGAAGCTCATATCCAGTCGCTTCGCACGACGCAGCAGAAAAGAGAGATCGTTAGCACGTTAAATAAGGTATACCCCTTCCTTTTACGTTTCTATCATTTTCTGATTTATCATTATATTAGATACGTACCCTAGCTATTTATATCAATAGTAGCCCCCAGCGTCGAGAGGCCTTCTGTAACCTCCAAATAGAAGAGCCAAAGCTTGTTCCTATTCAGGACGTTAAGACTCGCTGGAATTCGACCTTTCTTATGCTCCGGCGTGCAAAGCGACTACAGTCTATCTTTGACGAGTTTTGTGAGCACTACGGCCAAGATCATTTTGCCCTCAGCGCAGAGGAATGGCGACAGATTGAATATCTTCTTTGGATTACACAACCATTCTTCAAATTCACCTCCCTTCCCTCACAGACGAAAGACGTGACTATCCACCTAGTCTTCAGCATCTACAATAAGCTCTTTGACCACTTAGAAAAGTCAATCCGGCAGCTCCAGCGAAAGAAAGTCCCTTGGAAGCAGTTAATGCTAGCTGCCCTCCACGCCGCTAAGACGAAGCTCTCTCAATATTATAGTATGACTGATCAGATTCCTAACGACCTCTATGCAATTGGCACAATACTTGCACCGCAGCAGAAGCTTCGGTTCTTCTCTACTAAGGACTGGGATGATAACTGGCGTATACGGTATCGCAATAGTCTTGAATATTGCCTTAAGCCCTACCAACAGCGGCTTTTAAGCACCCAGTCACGAGCTAAAGTTCAGCCATCGGTCCTAGCTATCTCTGAGCTTGAGATGATATGTGAACCAGAAGTATCTCGACAATCAACGGCTAGCCAACACGACGAACTTTCGCAATACCTTGACAGTGGTATGTGATATAACTAATTTAGTTTATTCATAACTAATATTTCTAATAGCAACTATTCGGTCTGGTCCTCGTATCTTCTGGAAAGAGCACCAGTCCGAATTTTCAGCGCTTGCAAGCCTTGCCCGCGACGTTCTCTCAATCCCCGCTACTGGTGCAGGTGTAGAGAGGCTTTTTAACTCTGCTCGAGATGTCTGCCACTATCGCCGAGGCTCTCTTAATCCTACAACGATCAAAGACCTAATGCTATTCATGTGTACATCCCGGTTCGATATTGAGGATGAACAAAGGGCAATGATCAATGAGTACCTCTCATTTGAAGAGATGCAGACGGCTAGGGAGGAAAGCGATACCCAGGCGAGTGAATTTGATCCAATCAGTGACGATGAGGAAACAGGAGAGGGAGATTCTACTCAGATACGATACACAGATCAAGCTCCTAGCGAGCGAAGCCAAGGTAAGCGGCGAATGAGTATTATATCTACGCTAGAAGAGGGCGATAGATATGAAGATGAGGATGAAAGCGAAGATATAGGAGTCCTTCCACTACCTGATATGCAGCAGCGTATGTCAGGAAGAGTCCGGAAACGTTCAAGACTTCTTGATGGGTATGAAGCGATATGAAGCACAATATGTAGTTCTGTAGCTGATTTGATCTAAAAACAAAGCTCTTCTTATCTGATCTATATGAAATGTGTGGACTTCCTCTGCAACTAGAAGATGTAAGCGAAATACTCAAAAATACAGCCAAAATCTACATAAAATATGTAGGCCATGAGTTCCTACTGTTTGTCCTGTTTGATCACCCGCGGGTCACCCGCGGGTGACCCTCGCGAGGGCCTAAGCTAGGCCAGACCCTCGCGAGGGTGAGAAGGTCGGACCCTCGACCCTCATTTTGAGGGTCTGAGGGTGACCCTCCGAGGGTCACCCGCGGGTGAGGGCGAGGTCTACTGAAGCCAGACAGAGGTGGATAGGACTAGCATTAGGAGTCGTCGGGCTAACGCCAGTGTAGATCTCACGCTTTCGCTCTGCACTGGTCTGCCTAGCTAGGTTATCCTCGCGTTTAGCGATCGTCTGGGCGCTAAGAACGTCTGGATACCCCCCGTCGGTCTGAACCTGGCTCATATACTCTCCGAGGCTGGTATGCGTCGCATGCTGCGCATCATGCTCACTCTGTTGCTGTTCGTGGCACTGTCGGCAGCAGCCATGGTGTTCGTAGAGCTGATCAGTCAGGGTCTGGGCTAAGTCGCTGATGAGACGAGCCTCGTCTGTAGTAGGACGCTCTGGCTCTTCAAGATGCTCTGGCTCTTCCTCGATATTTGGACGCGTAAGTGGCTCGCTCGCCTACAATAAGTCATTAGATATCCCTAATAGATGGCTACGTTGGTTGATCTTAATACGTACATTTTCGGAAGATATCGCGTGATGAGGTACGTCGTTGATGGAAGGCAGGTCATCGTTAAGGGGGAGATCATCGTTGGGAGGGAGGATATCGTTGAGAGGGAGGTCGTCGTTGAGAGAGAGATCGTCGGTGGCAGGGAGGTCATCTACGGCTAGCTCGTATGGTTCTCCCTGGGGGCTAGGAGGAGGAAGTAGTTGCTCAAGCTCTGTAGGGATCGTTGGTTCCCCTGGAGGAAAGTAGGTAGGTAGGGACGGATCGAGATCAGCAGACGGGTGCTCTGTAGTCGAGTAGTACTGATCAAATTCTAGAGTTCGCTGTATAGCACGAGCAGCCTGTCGTTGTTGTCGCTGTTCTGTGATCTTTGACTCCTGTCTTTGTTCGGCAGACGTATATTTTCGAGGTCGCCCTCGTTTCCGCTTTGGTGCATTTAGGGAGCTAGGCGCCATTATGCATAGAGGAGGGCTAGTTCAGTCGCCCAGAACTAGAGTAGATAGCAAGGAGAGCCATACTTGAAGCTTAGTAGAGATGGTCGCTGAATAGGGGGGATTCTCAAAGAGGCTTAGTGTTGAAGACAAAAACCAAAAGGGTTTAGTTTTGAGGACAAAACTCGAAAAGGGTTTAGTTTTGAGGACAAAAATCAAAAGGGGCTTAGTGTTGCTGTTTCCCTCAACAACACCAAAAATAACCTAACTTCGACAGCTTATAACTCGACAGCCGTACAAATTAATAATATTCTAGTTGAAGATTTAGAATCAGCTACTCCTCATACCATACTCTAGTATTTTATACGATTTAAAAATGTTGATGTGGCTGTTAGTCGAAGTCGGGGTTTCCCTAATGGTAGCGCTAGTAATAAACCTTTTCCTAGAGAGTCTAGTCGATTGATCGACCCGGTTTTAGGCTGTCGGCTGTTTTCCATGGTCGACCTAGACGACGGGCTGGTATAGACTGGTGGGTCCGTACGTGTTTCCGCATCTTCTCCTCTGAGCGAGATACAAAAGGACAATGCTTGCAGCCTAGTCCATCTTCGACTGGTAGGCTAGGCAAGGCGGAGGACGTTGGGGGTGGGAGTGGTATTGGTTGCTGAAAAGGATCAGCTAAAGGAAACTCCCTTAGCTGTTCGTGTAGCTGAGACACCGCGGTAGGACTGTCGAAGCCCGGCCATTCCTTCCGGTGACCTTTGAGATGGGTGTGAAGATGGGTGGGTGCCACAGCACGCCCGTAGGGCTTGCAAATCAGCACCTTATATTCTGGAAGATAACAAAATCGCTCCATCCCTACTCCTATTATTGATCAGATGAGGCTTCAGGACGGAGAAGAATGATCGCTTTAGTAGACAGGCGGTCGACTGGCTGTCTAGTTGGCATAGGATAGAGTCTATAATAGAGAAGTAATGTAAGTGATAGAAAAGAAAAGGCGTCCTTACGATTTTGGTTATTTCAAATCCATATGGTGGATTTATTGGATGATCAACAATAAGAACGAACGCGTCGCGTCACGGCTCCGTCTAAGAGGCATACAGGTGGGGCGCGGAGGGATCTAGGACCAATGGGTGCATAGAGAAGTCCGGACCCTGGGCACGGTCCTTTGAGGCATTATGGATCAGGGTGTATGGAGAATTTTGCAAGGATATATAGACGGAGAGAGCTCAGTAGTTGATATAGCAGAACATACCTGTTTATCATAACGTTCCATATTACACTGACGTCATGAAGAATGTCTGGCACTTAGTGTTGTTTGTCAATCGTAAACAACAAGCGAGTGCCCCATCTGCTCACAAAAACAAATGGCTATCGAAGTGCCAGACGACCAAAGAACAATAACACGTAGCAGTCGACGTCCTTCGAAAATAAGTCAGATCATTGATGATCTTCAAAAACAGAAGTTGTGTCACGTTGACGTCATTATGACCGCGTTCACCCTTCACATTTGCTTCACTAGAAACGCTGGAATAGCAGGAGTGATATCTGTCGAATAGGGAAATTACCGTACGAACTAGGAACGTATGATCCAGGAAAGAAAGGACAACTTTGGCATTCTAGATACACTGGCGAAAACCACCTTTATAATTGGCAGTTTAGGGAACGCAGCGTGCCTTCCTGAAGATCAGCGACGGCAGATTTTACCGTAATTAAACCTCTCCATTGAACACTTTCCCGCAGTACTGAAATAAACAGTAGCAGCAGCAACACAAATCGGAAGCTGCTATATTTTAACGAAATCATGGACGAGAAGGATGAAGCCGACAAAGGCAGATTTCAGAATGAGCGTGGACTACCTTATGGCCCAAAACCCATACACCAGAACCAGGCGATGTTTGATACATCTCAAGATGGCGAGCTGGAGCAAAGCGAGACAGAAATTCGCCAAGGACGGGGGCATGGAGTGAACGTGTCGCATGCTCCATCGTGCGAACAAGATCAAAAACATAAACACGACGACACAAATCATGGGAAGCAGGACGATGGGGAACGAGAAGTCACCGATCCTGTTACACATCTTCCAGTGATGATACATGACTTTACAAGCCAGGAACTCAAAAACGCTCTTGAGAATATACCCCTAACTGGTAGCCAACAGCTGCGATCGAGTAAAGTTGGAGGGAAGAGCAAGATCCAGTCACATAAAACGACGGAGGGCGAAGAAGCGCATGCTGGTATGGAGAGACTATTTGCTCCAGGCGACGAGTATGCGAAAACTGAGTTGATCAGGACATTCCGATTCGCTGTCAACGTCGGAATAGGAGTTATTCTCTTGATCATGGCACTGATTCCTTTTTTTGTACATCTCTTCGACCTCAGCAAAGAGTTATCGAGTTCTGATAAGGTCAGTCGAAGACCATGGGCTGATGCCGTGTTGGCGACAATTATTTTGGAAGCAGTTGTGCTCGTCTTCGGGGTCTGGAGTTTTCGTCGTTGGGTAGAAAACAAACTTGATGGCTTCTGGGTGGACCAGGCTTGGAAAGGCGAAGGGCAGAGTGAAAGGGAGAAAGCAGATGCCAATACACCTGAGTCGACACAATGGCTCAATTCTCTCCTGGCGTCAATATGGCCACTGGTCAATCCGGAGCTTTTCGCTAGCTTGGCAGATACTCTCGAGGATTCCATGCAAGCCAGCCTACCGAAACTGGTAAATATGATAAACGTTGAAGACCTAGGTCAAGGAAGCGAAGCACCTCGCATCTTGGGGGTACGATGGCTTCCATCTGATGCAACTGGCTGCTCGGTCTCGGGCAGTGGGAAGCTTCACGGAGGAGGCGACTCCCAAGGAAGCACGGAATATGAAGATAGCAACAGTCAGCAGGAGAACCAAAAGCCCAGCCAGTACACCAACGACGGGCCTCAAAAGGAGCAAGAACAGAACCTTATGAAAGTCGTGGAAGCCGAGGAAGGAGACTTTGTCAGTCTCGAGATTGCCTTTGCGTACAGAGCGAGGCCTGCAGGAAGAAAATTGAGTACGATGGCTAAGAATGCTCACCTTTTTCTGGCCATTTATTTACCGACAGGTATACGTCTTCGTAAGTATTTCCTTTTTCTCATTTTGAGGGACCCGTGACCTCTTTCAGCAATGACCATATGGATTGGGACGTATTGGAAAGTGCAAGATACGTACCATTATTTTTTCCCTACTTCTCGTACCATGGAACTTTGAACGTCCTTGTATTTGATAAATAGAAGCTGACGATCTCTTCTCTAGCCATCTGGGTTGAAATACGGGGCATCGTTGGGATGCTCCGCCTCCGACTCCAACTCACACCCGATCCTCCCTTCCTCGCTCAAAGTACTTTTACTTTAATGGGACAACCAAAGGTCGACCTATCTTGCATGCCCGTGTTCAAGCATGGGCTTAACATCATGAATCTCCCGATTATTTCCAGCTTCATTCAGACTTCGGTAGACACCGCAATAGCCGACTATGTCGCTCCCAAGAGCTTGACGCTAGATCTCAAGGACATCATCATGGCTGAGGACTTCAAGAAAGACACAAGCGCTCATGGTGTGGTTGTCGTTCGGATCAAACGAGCCACAGGATTCAAGGGAAGTGCTACAGGCTTGTTTAGACTGAAGAAAGGGTCTGTGGATCCGTATGTCTCCCTCAGCTGGACCAAGTTTGGAAAGTCTGCGTGGGCGACCAGGGTGATTGTATCGGAAATGGAGCCGATCTGGGACGAGACTGGCTTTATTATCATCGGCCCCAAGGAACTGAATGCACAGGAAAGACTTAGTGAGAATTCTATGACTCTCCCATTGTGTGTTTGAGGTCTAACGTACTTTGACAGGAGTGCAGTTATGGGACGCCAACCAGACTGCAGCTAACAATGATCTCGGCTTTATAGATATTGGGCTCAACGAGGTCATGCAAACCCCCCGCACGAATGGAAAGATGTGGGATCGACGAGACGCGTTGCACAAACCCAGCACCGAAAGGGATATACCATGCATTCTGGATTGGAGCGTGGGATATTTTTCTAAAAGAAGAATTTCACCAACTCAGATTGCCTCACAGACCGATCATCAGGGTGTTAAAAACGTCGATTATATCAAGGACAAGACAGTAGAAGGGGCACCAAAGAAGCTTCCAAAAGCAAGCAGAGACGAATCTCATGAGATTCAACAACAGAAAGTGCAAGACCTCAAGGTAAAAACCATTGAACCGGAGTCAATTCTTCTTTCTACTCACGGATCCTGCATAGGCCAAAGAAGATGAGATATTCATCTCATCTCCACCCTCCCCTGATTATTACAGCGGCATATTTGCAATTCAGATTCATCAGATCCTTGGTCTTGGATTTAAAAAAGTGAAGAGGAACCAAGGGGACGGCGTTGGTGAAGACGATGACCAAGCAGAAGGTGATGACCTGCTCAGCAGCTATTGCACCGTTATATTGAATCACCAGAAAATCTTCAAGACACGGACGAAACCTAAAAGTGCAAAACCATCTGTATGTCTCTTTTCTTTATGATCCTATTCCGGTCGTCCCTTTTGCAGATTTTTTGCGACTGTTGCATACGGTAAAACCATCAATGTACAGATATTGGCCTTACTTGGAGTCTTTTTCACAGGAGCTTTTCATTCTTGGAACATAAGTGCTGTTATTTATTCACGTGTGATGCTGAAACTGACTTGGCCGCAGTTTAACGTTGGAGCAGAAAGATTCATCCGCGACTGGCGGACAGCAGAGGTGATACTTTCAGTGCGTGATCTTCGGATGCATGAACACGACCCTTTGGTCGGAATTGTTGTCTTGCCGCTTGCAGAGATCTTCAAGCAAAGATCTCAAATCAATGATTATTTCTCATTATCCGGCGGTATTGGTAAGTCTACCTTAATCCGGGATAGATTCGGTCCGACTAAACTACGACTGTAGGGCGTGGTCGCGTTCGTATCTCGATGGTGTTTCGGTCGATACAGTTACAAGTACCTAGAGAACTCCTAGGTTGGGAATACGGCACTCTCCAGATTACGTCCGATATTAACTCAAATGACTTGCCCAACCATTATAAGGGACTTGGATTGAAACTGCATACTTCATTTCAGAGCGACCGAATGAGGGTACAGCTTAATTGCTGGAGTGGTCGTCAAGGTCAGCCAGTTGAACTGGCGGTACAGCGTCGTTACTGCTCCAGTCTTGTTATTCAGTTTGTGGAAAACATTCATATCCACCATCATATTCCAGCATTTGCTATTCTGTGGCTCAAAGACATACCCGATGATGAGGAGAAGACGGTGACCTTGCCAGTGTGGAAAGGTGACCTCAAGCGAGCAGAGGCTAACTGTGGACTGGAGAATGGCGACAAACTCGGGCATATAGAAGTGCATCTCAAATTCCGGCCCGGCATCAGCGACCATCACAAGAAGCTTGCCTCTAAAGACAGGAATCTAGAGGACGTTATGGAAGTCCTTTGCATCGCAAACGACAACAAAATCAAGGTTTCTTTAGAGGAAGCCGCCTTCGACAATGATAACATCTCAAACCATGAAGATGGCCATCAACATGATCAGCCACAGACGGCTAGCAAGGAGCATGAAGGCAAGCTACATCGAACAACTCGTAAAGTTATGCAGTGGAAGGTCGGTCTATCTTCCAATCTTCAAGTAATTGCCGGAGCTAATATTTATCAGAGTGCTCACACAGCGCAGTGATCAAGACACAATGTCGAAGACGCTTGGGGGCCGTATATCAACCCATTTCCAGTATCGTTTCCCAGTATCATGAACAGGATCCAAATTTCGTGACCGATGCTTGAGACAAACGCCACGAGGTTGGCGAATCGAAACCGCGTATACCCTGGATGTTTTCTGGCCATGACGTCAGGGACTGGATCCAGAAGGCCTGTGATATCGCAAGCTCCGAGCTCACGCCGAAGACGACAAGTGTGTACGCGGTGCACGAGAGATCGTGGTCGACGTACTCGTAGAGTGCCCGCGGCTGAGAACCTTGTGACGGGAGCTAAGGAGGAAGGTTGGCGATGCGTTCAACAGCGTGTCGAGCGTTCTGGGAGGTTGTGGTGAAGGTAAGGAAGGTAAGCAAAACGCTGCCACGCTGCCCGGCACAGCGGAGGCTGCGCTGGACTTTGCGGAGGCATCACAACAGTTTCAAAGCCGTGCACCATGAGGGCAGCCTAACGCCTACAACGGCAACAGGCCACGGCAGGCCTTGACAAGGCTCTAAGTTCGTTTTCAGGTAGTGGGACGCTCTACATGTACATAGAAGAATATATAGTTGCAGTAGACTGCATATCGCTCAGCGATGGGTCGGGGTAAATGATTTCACACACACACAACACACACCCTAACCACCCTAACACCCGAGAACAAAGGATGGCAGTGAGTGAGGGAGGGTCGAACGGTGGCACAAAGAATCAATAGGCTCGCAAGCCCCTCTATTCTCTAAGCTGAACCTCGCGAACTATTCGATTCACTTCTGATTCAGAGAGGGTCAGAGGGTGCCATAAATCGTGTTTAGGTTCGCAAGTCCCTTTGGTCTCTAGGGTGGGCGTCGCGAACGATTTCATTCACTTCCGATTCAGGAGGGGCCGGGTGGTGGCATCAATCATTGAGAGGTCCGCGAGTCCCTTTGTGCTTTGAGGAAGGCGTCGCGAACTGTTCTATCGACTTCCGATGTAGGGGGGCCATATGGCGACAAGAATAATCACAAAGAATCAAGAGGTTCGCAAGTCTTATTGTTCTCTAGGGTGGATGTCGTGAGATGTTCCTCTTCGCGATGCTCTCAAGAGCCATGATCGATACCTGAATTCGGAAATCATTGGTAGGGATGCCTAAATACCCCTCGAGATGATTGATTTACTAATAACCTCGTAAACATATTTCTCCCCTCGCGAGGCGAATCCTACTCGCAAGTCTAGTCATCATCGATCATGATATACCGTCGGCGCTTCTTCGTAGGCTCCTTAGAATCGTCGTCTACCACGACGTCATCCCGTCGCTTCTACGATCTCGGCGAAGGGGGAGGGAGAGGCGGCGCCGCAAGCCTAAGGAAATTATGCCACTCGCGGCTAACGGCGCGGAATCGGAGCCGCCGGCTCTCGATCACCCCTAGCGCCTCCTAGATCATCCGCGCGTACGTGGTCCCTGCGACCCACGAAGTATGCGCCGCCTGCTCATCTGCAATGTTCTGCTCGAGCCTATAGTCCTGCTTAAACCTACCGCTCGCGAGGTGCATCCGCGAGATCCCGATCACTATATGCCGGTATATCGGTACGTTGATCGCGACCTGCAGATGCGTTGCGAACTCCCTTGGAGTATAACTCCAAGGGAGTCTGGAGGCCAGTGGCTCGACCCTCGCGGCCAGAGGAACGGCGATCGTTTAAGCGGCTGTGGTATCTCCGCCGCGAGCATCGTTGCGTGCTCGAGGAACGGAAGCACGAGCCAGAGGTAGTAGACAAGGATCGCGCTAAGCTCCTGCGGGAGGTAGCAGTGGATGATCCGGATCGAGTTCGTGACGTTCTGCGCCTTGTGGTACGCGGTGACGACTGCGATAAGCCCGTTCTCAATAAAGAGGTTGCGGTGCCGCCCCTCTGGCGTGTTACGGTGCCAGAGGGAGATAACCTCCGTCGCTCGCGCGGGTTGGCCCCCCGTAAGGTGGATCGCGAGGAGGAGCCGCTGGAGGAACCGATCGACCATCTCGCGGTAGGCGTCGACGGCCGCCTTCTGGAACCCGACCTGCGAGTCTGACCGCCGGACGGAGATAAACTCGTCGCGAAGCGTATCGCTCGCAAGTACACGGTCGAGTAGCCAGCGCTCGCCTGTGGTTGGGAGTACTGCGCGGTTCCGCGGATCGGAGAGGAAATTCCACCCCCGCGAGTTGTTGATTGGGTCGTCCGTAAGCTGGGAGAGGGGGAGCGTTGGGATAATTCCCTTGTGGGTCTCACTACTAGAATCCTCGTCCTCGCGAAGGAGGAAGAGCTGCTCGAGGTCCCACTGTGCGAGCTCGACCTGCGTCTGGACGAAGCGCCGGAGGCCCGACATCGTAAGGTGGACCTCACGGAAGTTAAGGCTCTGACGGTCGTCCGACCAGATCAGGTGCCCAAGGCCCGTCGATGACGTCTGGACTTTTTCCCATACGCGCGAAGCCGTGTGATCCAGTGGAAGGGCGCGCGGACCCCAAACGCGAGGAAGCGCTCACGCATCTCATCAAGAACCTCCCCTGGGTACGCGACCTGGCCGTCGTCGACGAGCTGGATCGCCTGCTGCGCGACGAGGAGCTGTGCCATCTTGACCATCGCGGAGAGGAACGGTGTATAGTTCGACGGGTCGCGGTAGGTCTGGTTCTCCGCATCGACGCCAAGGGCCGCAAGGAACCCAACGACCGCGCTCTCATAGATATCCCCATTAAGCTCGTGGTCAAGTAGCGCGATCGAGAGCTCGAGGCAGGCCCGATCAAGCTGATCGTGTAGGCCTGTGATGTCTGCCTCTAGCTGCGGATCGATCCGCGTCTCAGCATCTATATAGGGCTGGAGGGGTTCGCGAGAAGCCTCACGCTCGCGGAGAATGATGAGCCGGGTATGTTCCTCAAGGCGATCGAGCGCTGCGAGCTGTCGGTTCGTAAGTTGATGCCGGAGCTTAATCGGCTGACTAGGCCGCGAGGTTCGGTAGACAAAGCTAATAAGGCGGACCCACACCCCCTGATAGCGACGGAAGGTCGTAGGCTGGAGGTGGATATGGATCGGCCGGTTCCATATCCCTTCCCCCCGCCGGCGGAACGTATTGATGCGAACCTATCGCACCGATTTAGCAAGGCGGTTCCTCTGGTGAGGGTCGACCGTTCGCGAGCATCGACTATGACTGCGACTACACCCTACGCGAGTATTCTAAGTACCTGGTCAAATTCGTTGATCCGGTTCGAGTGGAGGCTATCAAGTGCCGCCTTGCTAATGCGCCGGACGCTACTCGCGATGGCTATTAGGACTGGCTCTGTGATAGGGTCAGGGCCCGCGGCGAGGCCCGCGATGGCCGTAAAGGAGTGGCCGCCGATGATCTCGGGCCACCGCGTGCGCCGGAGCCACGGCGTAGTCTTATCCGCGCCTGTCTCGCGGTCGATCGGCGCGAGCTGATCGTCCGCCTCCACGAGCGCGCTAGCCCGCTCGATCGCCCGGTTGACCTCGACGCGCATCGTATCCGCTGGCGTTAGGTTGAGCTCCGCCCACGTCCGTCGTCGGGGCTCTACGGGCGTCACGACGAAGAAGGTCGCGGCCCCCTTCACGTTGGTAAAGACGCGCTGGCAGGTGACGGGCCGTGGGCGTCGCTCCCCCGGATGGTGGCCGCCGGCCGCCCCCCTACGGGCCGCGGGGGCGCCCTCCCGTGCACCGCCCGTCGGTGCTTCCGGATCGTGTCGAGGCCAGTCGCCGCGACCGACTCGCAGCCGGGCTCCGGGCAGCCGTACCCGCGATGCGTTGGGATGCCAGGGATCGGCGGGTGCGTCGGGGCCGGCGTCGCAAAGGGCTCGCGTGCTGGGTCCCACGGACGACGGTCCCACGCGGCCGCGCGGGCCTCCCGGCGGAGGGCGTGGGTCCTCGCGGTCGGGTGGGCCTTGTGGTGGTCGCGGAGGTGGCCCTCGATCCAGTGTGGATTCACACCCATCTCGCAGGGCCGGCAGATCCATACGCGGAGGGGTTCGTAGAAGGTGAAGAGGTCCATCTCTCGAGGAGGACGCGCAATCTCTACGTATAGCAAGGTGAGGCGAGGGGATCGATCCTCGTTCGCGTACGCTATCGATCATGTCAATTCAGCCATCTCGCACGTTCGATTAGAATCGAGGTCGGACGATCGTACCTTCGCGATAGGGAGGAAGGATCGGATTTCTAGTCAATCGTCACGATAGGATCGAAGGAGGGGAGGAGGAGGAGAGGAGGGAAGTGTCGGCGACGACGACCTGTTCGTCGTCTCCCGCTCCCTCCCTCGATCGATCCGACGCGACGCGTCGCGCGCGCGCGGTCTCGGATGATGTGAGGGATCACCGCGAGGGTATCTGCTGCATGGATGGATCCCCTCGGGGCACGCACGACGGGCGGGCCCGTCCAGGGCGGGGGGACGCGGGGCCGCGCCGCGGCCCCGGGGGGCATGGTAGAACACAAGGGATACACGTCAGAGAACTAAGAGAGGTAGGACATAGTAAGGCAGTGAATCTGCATTTTTCAATATATTTCTCTTCTTCCTGACGAAGCAGGAGTATCATTAGCAGTTCCCATATTTCAAATCAACTTTCTAAGAATGCTGACAAGTTGTCGTTATAGGAATTGAAACGTGCACAAAACGCAACGAACCGTGTATCTTGATCGGGCACCAAATTAGATCCGTATTTCTACCTTTCATGACTTTTAGATTTCTTTGAAGCATTTTTCTTTTGCCAAGTTCCCAGCAAACTCCATCGCCTCTTTTTAAACTTCTGTTCACTAATACCCCGTGTTATGTCTTGCCATTGAGTCAAAACTCTGTCAATGTGATCTTGACCTATATTGGTAGTTTCTTTCGAACCTTGGCTAAGAAGCTCCATCTCAAAAGTTGTATATTTTCTCGTTGATAGGGATCTGGATATCTCGATATCAATCCCTTTGAGTGGGTAGACAATAACGGAAGTTAAACCTGTAAGAGACAAGTCAGATTTGGGGCCAATGTATAGCTATTCTATTATAAGTTCCTTTACCAGATATAACTTTCGTAATACACGAAAGAGTTTGAATGCTCAGATTTGAGATTGCATTGGAAACGTTCAAATGATTTGAATTTCGCGTAGTACGGCAAATCAGACTCGAAGCACCATCATATACGCCGAAAGCTAATCCCTTTGGAGCTATCAGTTGCTGGCTTAACAAGCCGGAGGAATGTTTGTTCTTTACCTTGCCACCTATTTCGAGCCCACTTCTTAGGCCATCGATGGATTCCTGACGTCGGATATTTTGATCACCCCAGATCCTTGGAGCATTGTGGAGGCCTCGTGTGGCAGCAACGCCAATGTCAATCGGAGCTCGTATCAAAGCCACAGAAGCCCTTCCAATACCTTTCAGACTCGCAGCGGTGGCAGATCGCTTTCCTGAGCAAGTAGAATTTCTCTCAAATATAAGTCTCATGAGTTCTTTGGTCGCACCGCTGAGATCTTCGAACCCTTTAATCACTTCTGTTGTTGAATCAATGATAGCTAGAATAAAACCTGAAAAAGGATCTCGGGGTCCAATATTTAAATCATACTTGCAAGCTCGAAGCCTAGATGGAGTGAGTTAGCACACTAGGTACAGTGCAACCGCGACAGGGCAAGATAGATGTACAGTTCGAGCTTTTCCAGGTCAAGTAAGTCTCTGTCCATCAAGATTGCCGCCGCACCGGAGCTCAGGCGGATGTCGGTTTTTTGAATTTTCCAAACCGCGGCTTGACTATTAGCAATAGAACAGTTCAACCGGGATTGTAGGAGTTGGTCATGAAAGGAAGCGACTCCGGCATCAATGCCGTTCTCTCGGTCGATTTGCGTCCCAGCTACTCTCGCTCTTTCAACGATTGTTGGTTCAAGGGCTTTCCGAATGGCTGTCGCAAGGTTGGCAGCAGTCAACTGTCGGAACGGTATAGGCTCAGGACCTATCTCCGCTTTAGCCACCATTTTACCCCAAAAGGTCTGATCTCCAAAAAAGGGAACGACAACAGATGGCTTTCCAGCAGCCATGGCAGCAGCAGTGGTTCCGGCACCGCCGTGGTGAACAACACAAGAAACTTTCTTGAAAATCCAATCATGGGGACAATTCCCTATAATATAGACATTTGAAGGAATTGGTATGTCTTCACTGCCCAGTTGTCCCCAGCCCTGCGAGATAACAGCTCTTACCCCAGCCAGTCGCGTCGCTTCGATTAGAAGAGCCGTTAACATTTTGGGTTCGTCCACAATGATAGAACCGAAACCAATATATATTACTGGCTTTTCTTTCAAAAATGTTTCCAGGGCGCTACCTGGAGTAAACTTATTGTAAGATAATGGCAGAAAATAAAATCCTGACACATATATATGCGGGTCCCAGTCTTTAGGCTTAGCTATCAAAGTTGGTGACCTGCAAGGCATTAGCAAGAACATTCAACTTTAATCGAATAGAACACCTACCAGCAGTATGTGTACGGAATCCGCAGTTGGGATGTTAGCATTGGACCTGATGCTCTGTCTAGAGGCTTAAGGCCCAAAACTTTGCTCCTGAACAAATTGATAACATCTCCCAGCCCTTCCCACGTAAGCATTTCGACGAAGATGTAGGAGAGGTAATTGATAACGTTCGCGTCAGAAGAGGATGGATGTATATTCGCCAGCGGATGAGGAAAGGCTTGGGTTGGAGACCATGGCATTCTGCCCTATATTAAAATTCCGCATCCGAAAGTAAGAGGCCTGGTTTTCTCACGTAAACATAAGGTGCAAGGGTATGCCTAGCTTCTCAGCGCAATGCACATGCGCGAAGGATGGAGGATTGGCGATGATAGCATTTGCAAAGAAAGGCGCTGGCCTATCGCTGCCAGTGTCACTAACATCACCACTTGCTTCGAGGCTCTGGAAACAGGATCGCCAACAGCCATCGAGAATTTGTCGAATAGCCGCTCTATTTTGTTGAATTTCCCCGTTTCGGATACTGTCGATGCCGGGCAGTAATCCAGGGTTTTTCACCATGTACGCCATGAGTTTCTTCGGATCGCCTCCTATGTTAAAAAATTCAAGCCCATGACTTTCAACAAATTCTTTGAAAGTCTCATGGGTCGCGATTCGGACGCGGTGCCCTGAATGCTCCAAAGCCATTCCCAGAGCAATAAAGGGTTGGATGTCCCCGCGAGACCCAACGACTTGGATCACTATGTTCATATACGGTACTCTTGGACAATCTCTATTATCCGCTTCAGAGTTTCGCGCTTGATATATTGGAAAATGACGAAGGGGCGTGATAGAAGAGGGGCACTTTTTCTGATCTTCGACATCAATATTAACTTGTCCGTCATCTTATATTTGGTCAGTACTCGTGAACACAAATAATGTTGCGCTGTAGAGCATACCAGAAAGTCGAGTCCGAGCTCCAAGGCTATCTATCTGGTGGCGCATTCCGAGCAACATTTCGTGAGGTGGAATTATCTTGGAATTATCTTAAAGTGCAGATAGTGGGTATGTAATCACCCTGTCGAGTGATTTAGAATGTTTTCAGCCATTAGAACAGTTATATATATTTCTTGGAAAACAAAACCGCATCTCAACGGCTACTGTGGAGACTAGTGGGAATGAGATGATTTTAAGAAAATAATGACGTAAGGAACTATTGTCAATACTTAGATCTTCAGATAATGAGAGGCGATTGCAGTCCTGGCAAAGGCAGTTCGGTGATATGGAATAAGATTACTGAATGAAGTTACAGTTTCTCCTTATGAGCGAGGCTACAATACAATTACAAAGAATGTTACGTGCAGAATTTTAGTTATAAACATATGGAGCTGTCTAGATTCAGTCCAAAGCGTTCCAATTTGGCTTCAACGTGGAACCATCGCTGTCACCGATTTTAGACCATATCCCGTTCGTTTTATTATATAATTATTTGAATTGAATGAGGATTTTATAGTCTTGCCGTTTGAGCTGCTAAACCGGATGCGGCAAATTGATGCGGAAACATTTTCCCCCCAAAGGTAGAACAGTACCGCTGGCGCAAGAATGTGTTAGTCAGGAAGTGGTACTCGTATTCCGAGGGAACGGTCGGTCTGGATTTCAGTCCGGTGTTTCGAATGACGGCGGAGTGATATCATCGGGGTTACAAGTAGTAATCAGTGACGATCAGCCTTGTTACCTTAAGAAAAACCCGAAGCGAGGCGACATAGCTTCCCCAGGTTACTTTCAAAGCGGAGCATACAAAGCACCAGCCCAAAACAGAACTGTGATTCCAACAAGATTTTCCAAATTAAGACTAGCTTCGGAGGACTTGAAGTTTGTGTTAAGTCACTTAATTACCATACACACACTCGTATCTCACACACACTCGTATCACACCCACACTCGTATCACACACACACTGTATCACACACACACTCGTATCTGTTTGGCTCCATCTATGACGACGCACATCTTTTACTGAACTGCGATTTTATCTAGTCACCGCTGCGTTATAATTATTTGGTTGAACTCCAGAGAAATGACGTAATTCTATTTACCAGAGTTGGCTGGGTTCTTGGTAAAATGTTTCCACATGTATTTTCTTATCTTAGATTAGCTCAAAGAGCATATAGGTCATGTCGTCAATATGCTGAGATACATGTTGTGAAAAGAAGAACTACCGTGATAGGTGTCGTCACAACAACGTCCACAGATACACTTTTGATCGATTCGAGAACGGTCTATTGTGATTTAAGTTGTCCCTATTACTAAAGATAATTCTTAAAGCTGCCAGCTTATCGACATACGACTACTTAAGTTGAATTCCTTTTCAGTATAAGTGTGTTGATTATATACGTCAAAGGAATATATCAGAACAACTTTTATACTCAATTTCAACCTGAGAGATAACCAAAGAAAAGTCATACTATCCCTGCTGATTTTTTTCTCTGTGAACACCTTGTTTCCATTCAATCCTCGTCTCGCTCTCGATTCGCGACTCTATCGTGATTCAATCTCGTCTTGTAATGGATATCATTCGTGAAGCGCCTATTGGCCAAGTCATTAGATGGATGACGCGTAATAAAGTACTCCAATATCCAGAGGAGAGAACTGATTTCGTGCTGCCATTGCAGTATCAAAGACTTTTGAAGCTCGCGGAAGAGACAACATCGCAAGAATGCGGTGCATCTCATTCAACTTCAAGAACCTCTGAAGTTATTCAAATCGACGAAGTATCGCAAGCCAGGCTGCTCGCTCATGGAGTTGGCGATCTGGAGAGCCTGGAATTGGCGAGGACGGTGACTACCGCCCGTACCGCGCCTTATGGCGTTGCAAGATTCCAAGCAGAGCAAATATTAGAGATTCAACGCACCAAGTCGATACCTATCATTCCACAGAAAACCGAAGATGGTATAATCCTCGTCGACTGGTATACCAGTGATGATCCGGCAAATCCTCAAAACTGGTCGACATTAAAAAAAAGCTTCGTTATCTTCGTCATTTGCATGTACACCTGGGTTACATATCTGTCAGGATCTCTTTTTGTTTCCGCAGAACCCGGAGTGGAGAAACACTTCGGAGTCAGTGCAATAGCGGCCGAGCTTGGATTAGCGCTTTTTGTGCTTGCCTACGGCGTTGGTCCCTTGATTTTTGGACCTCTCACCGAGATACCGGTAGTTGGGAGGAACCCAGTTTACGTCACTACCTTTGTCATATACTGGGCTTTATCTTTTCCGACTGCAACTGCAAAGAAGTTTGGCGGTTTGTTAGCTCTACGATTTTTTGGAGGCTTGTTCGGCAGTGCTGCGATAGGTATTGGAGGAGCCACAATTGGGGATATGCTTTCCCTGATATACTTCCCCTACGGCCTTGGTTGGTGGATTCTATCTTTTTGGGCAGGACCTGCGATTGGGCCTTCAATTGGAAATTTTCTTGCAGTCGGCAAAGATTGGAGATGGCCACTTTGGGAGATCGTTTGGATATCCTCACCTATGCTTGCTATCATATTATTCATTACACCCGAAACTTCGACGCCAAACATCTTGTTGAGGAGAGCTAATCGACTCCGGAAAGTCACAGGCAATGCAAAGCTCAAAGCTCAAAGCGAGATTGATCAACGAAACTTGACTGCCTCTGACATACTATTCGACGCGTTAATCAAACCGTGTGAGATCACGTTGAAAGATCCTTCGATTCTCTTCGTCAACGTCTATACTGCCTTTTTCTACGCAGTCTATTACACTTTCTTCGAAGTCTTCCCGCTAGTTTTTCCGCCATTTTATGGATTCAATTTCGGGGAAACAGGTCTCGCTTTTTTAGCCTGTTGTGTCGGCGCGATCATTGGGATAATCTCTTACTTTGCATACCTATACTGGTATATGGTCCCCGATAACCTGAAGAAAGGCTTTCGAGAGCAAGAACACCGTCTGGTCCCTGCCATCGTTGGCGCCTTCCTTCTACCGATTGGATTGTTTTTATTCGCCTGGACCTCGAGGTCTTCTATCCATTGGATAGTACCTCTCATTGGCGTAGCAATTTTCACAATTGGAATGTTCTGGATTGTTCAGGGGCTATTTGTTTACATTCCGATCTCTTACCCCAAATATGCAGCTTCTTTGTTCACTGCAAATGACTTGGTCAGATCTGGTTTAGCCGCCGGGTGCATCCTCTTTGCGAGGCCGCTGTTCATCAACTTGGGTGTCCACAAAGGCGTGACTGTTCTTGCAGGCTTGAGCATTATGGGCATTCCTGGAACAATTGTGATGTATGTGTTTGGCAAGAAGCTTCGTGCAAAGTCCAAGTTTGCCCAGAGTTAGATGGCGAACATGGTTGCTTCAGCCGAGGATAGAATGCCTTAAGGAGAAAAGTACTACTATATTAGTTCTAGACGAGATTCAAATATAATATGAATGAAACTTGAATAATTGATCATTGCAATATCTCCTAATGTCAGCCGAAAAATACGTCCACCATTCCAGCACTCTGTATTCTCAACCCCACGGCTCCTGGCGGAATAAATAAATAATCAGAATGCCAAGAATCATCTTTATAAATAGGGACGATTGAGATAGCTTAGCATCAGACCTTTCGTGACCTCAAATTAGAATCATTAGCTGCATTCGGTGCGCGTATACCAGAATTATCGTTTCCAACATCTCCCTCCAACTGTATGTTACTTTACGGAAGCGAAATTTGACATTTGTGATATTTTTGGGCGGCTCGAAAGTGCTGCAGCTCAAGCGTGCGCCGTTTACGCCTTTCAACGTTTTCCTGATTCGGAATCTGCTCAATCAGGGCAACTTGATACTTTGTTAGATGGTCTTCAAATCACAGTTTGCAATATTCCACCTTTTTTTCCAGGAGAAAATTCGCTCTCATGGGTGTATCTTGTGGCGATTTCACGGAGTACAAAAATCGACCACAAAGTGTTCTTCACATCGCGGCTGAACGAGATATTGCCTCGAATTGGATATTGCGATATTCAAGAGTTTTTGAATGCGATAGATTTTAAATTAAATTAAATGGACAATGAAGTTTGGAATACCTACCACACGTTTGCTTATGATGAGGCTCCATTTTACCGAAAAAGAATAGATGAATTCGAATTGTATCGAAAGTCCATCAGTTAATGTAGACATTTATAAGATCTTTATTGGGCAACTGAAATTCGGCCAAGAGATCCAATTAATTTAGAGCAACAAGCACGGACTTCTCGCCAGTTTCTCGCACAATCCTGCCCTCCTTAAGTTTGTAGATTGTTGCCATTGAGAATGGCTTTTCTTTGCCCGAATTAGCACTAGGCAAATTTTCCAATGGTAGATCAAAAAATGGAGGCCCAGTATGCTTCCCACGACCGAACAGGAGAACTACCACGAAGTCATTTTCGGCAATGACCCGAAACAGAGAAAGGATCTGGATGGAAAAGGAAATGTCTGAGAAAGCCTCAGACCGTGACTGACTGCATCTTCACGAGGTGGCCGAGTTCGTGGAAGCTTTTGGTGGACGTTTGAATGTTTGGATGGAAATATCACCACACGGGACAAATACAAAAGAGAGTTAGCAAAAATGGGGGTAGCTAGAATCAGCATCGGGCCCACATTGCAATTTGCAGCAATGTCGGAATTCAAGTAGGCTACAGAGGAAATCTTGAATCGACTGTCTTGACAGATATATTTGTATATCTGATCACAATTTTGAAGTTCATTTAAATTTCGGTAGTCTGTGAAATCTTTTGCACTTTTTAGGCCAAATTGACCCGGACCGGGAGGGGGCCGGGTAGATATGGGACAGTGCAAAGAAAATGAAGGGAATTTTGGGAAAGGGGGATTCGAATTATTCTATTTCTCCGACATGAGTCAAATCTGATCTTATTATCCGTCCAGATATTGTCCCCTTCGTTCTATGAATTGGGGGCGCGTGGGGTATTACTTTCATTGCTTGGAATTACATCAAAATTTCAGCTAGTTAATATTTTTATGCTGAATAATTTCTCAAGGCCTGAACCAGGACGCTTTGAGTTTTGTTCCCAAAAAACACATCTGGAGACTTGTGGAATGTACGTAAAACTTCAAAGTTCAGCGCTAACCCAAAGTGGAAATTTGATGCCCAACCTTTAAGCCTTAATTGGCCAATCTAGATCCTGCAGGCCAGGTGAGCGTTCACAACAGCCACAACATTCCATAGATAGTACAGTCCTTGACGAGGATTACTTTCACGTCATATATGACGCCTTTCCTCTCGAATCGGACATGATCAAAATCTAGGAGCGAGGCTAATACTGTGATTTCTAATGTTGCGGTGAAAATGAATACGTAATATAGATTACGCATGGTCACCATATAATAATATAAAAGCCGGGTGACAGCCTTGACTATCTTTACCAGCGCAGAAGTTTTTGTGCGGCCTTTTTATTCAACTTCATTTAACTTGCCACTTCCATCGAAGTCCGAATCGAAAGTACCAAAATCTTTTCTCGAATGAAGTAATTTCACAATGGATCAGGAACGTCTTTTCACGCCTTTGAAGATTGGCAACTTCGAGATCAACCATCGCATTATCATGCCAACCATGAGTCGGCGACGTGCATCGGATGACCATACTCCCGTTGAGATTATGAAAGAATATTTCAGCCAAAGGGCCGCCGTTCCTGGAACTTTAATCTTTTCTGATACCAACATACCCGCTCCTTGGCTTGGTGGAATCGCTCATTTGCCCGGGCTTTGGAACGATTCTCAGGTCAAAGCTTGGAAGGAGATAACTGAAGAAGTCCATAAAAAAGGATGTTTCATGTTCGCGCAGTTGATGGCAATGGGCCGAGGTGTGGAGCCAGAAACTGTTGAAAAAGAGGAGATCGTTGTGAAAGCACCTAGTCCTATCGGCTTGAGTGAAGCTGTTATGCCAGGTGCGCCGGTGCCTGAAGAATTGACACTCGAAGAAATTCAATTTGCCATCAAGGATTATGTCACTGCAGCTGAAAATGCTATCAAAGCCGGTTTTGATGGAATTGAAATTGCCGCTGATAACGGATTTCTTGTGGACCAGTTTATCCAAGATGTGAGCAATCAGCGCAAGGATAGATACGGCGGCAGCATTGAAAATCGATCACGCTTTGCAGTAGAGCTTACTAAAGCCATCTGTGATGCTATTGGTCCAGAACGTGTCGGCTTCCGTATCAGTCCCTTCAGCAGCTTCTTCGACATGGGAATGAAAGACCCTGTACCTCAATTTTCAGATTTGATCTCCAGGCTCCAGGATCTTGGCATTGCCTTCATTCACGCAATTGAACCGCGGATTAAAGGCGACACTGTTGTTAGTCCTGACTCTCCGAATGCCTCATTGAATTTCATCTATGAAATCTGGAACGGGCCTATTCTGGTCGCTGGAGGCTATTCGCCAGATTCGGCCCGAAATCATGTTAAATTGCACAAGAAAAAAAACATCGCTATCAGTTTCGGTCGCCATTTCCTCGCAAATCCGGACCTCATCTTTCGAATCAAGATCGGCCTCGAGTTGAATCCTTATCATCGCCCGACCTTTTATGCTCAAACAAAAGAAGGCTACATCGACTATCCATTCAGCAAAGAATACTTAGCGACTCAAGACAATGGTGTTAAATGAGTGAATTGAATCGCGAGAATGCTTGGCTGAGCTCTCGAATTTTAGGACTTGGCTGGAAAATAATTAGGATTTAAGTATGATTGTTACTAGTGGATGCTACTATGAGATCAATGCAATCGCTCTTCTGTTTACTTCAGCTTGGTCAACGGCTTTTGAGACATATCAAGACCGTCACGCATCAAGGTATGCTTGCCCGCGATCAATCACTTCTTGAAAGCTTTCGCATACACTAACGTATTACATCTTGACCATAAAAGCAGAGATCCCAAAATAGCCGAAAAGTATTTAAAACCACTTTTACTCGCTCTGCTGCCTATATATTTGCTGTAAAACTGTCTGGTTGACCTGCTGAAGTCTTCCAGATTGACACCGACAACTCCTGCTCGAAGAAACTCTTTGTTGCGTCAGCAATTTCATTTCCATAGTCGAAAGTCTACTTATAAAGCTTAGTGAATGACTTGATTGCTCTCGTGATGTTTTGGACGGTTTTGGCGTTAAGCCCTCGGGTCAATTCCTCATTTTCAACACCTGTCAACTACGCGGCAATGGCCTTTTCTGTTTTATTTAATTGTTGAAATCTCGAGAATACAGAATGCCTTTGAGTTTGTTTCTACTTGAATTACAGCTATTCAACAAATGCATGGTTCTCCGGGATTTGATTTATGATGACATTGAATCTTACATCTGAGACAACATATTTTAATGATTCGGTAATGAAAATAAAATTTTCTTGTAAATACAAACGTAAAAGTATACCAAAAAAATTTTTAACGGCAAATAGGGCATTCAAAACATGGGTCGCGGACCTATGGTAGGCCCATTAATGTTCATGGCAACAAGCTTCCACATCAATCTGACATATTGGGATTAGTTCAAAACTCTAATATTAAGCATTATTTGACCAAAAGATAGGTGTCTGAAAAATTCCGAAAATCTTTATGGAATGACTCTTGTTTCAGAAGGGCCGAATGATGCCGAAGTAATTCGGAAAATGCTAATGCTCCGTCATGCTATGTTAGTATTAAAATCACGAATTTCAAAGATGATATCATCCCTCTTTCTGGAGTTTCATTGTTTTTCCAGTATTTGAAACCCGTTTCCCCGACATTAAGACAGGAGATGCTAATTTCAGTTATCTCTAATTGAGCAATCAAGTTTCGTTACGTGTTCGCACAAACTCCACCATTGGCTCGTTACGGAGCGGAATCAGATTGGCCGTATGGGGCATAGGACTGCATTCTTCTTCCCGCATTTAATTCGTTTATTACTTGTTTGCACCCAATTGAACGCTCGTAGAGAAAAGAAGCAAGATTATTCTTCACAGATCCCTCACTAGCCGTGCACCTGCCCATGCATATAGGTAGTTGTGCTGATACCAATTGACGAAGGTCGTCCGGCCAGCGATCCGTGGGATAGTGGCCCAAGAACCACCGAGGACGACATAGTGCTTTCCATCGAAGAAATCCGCTGCAAAACAGGTCAGCAGACAGGCAAGATCCTAGGGACCCTAGGATCACTTACAAGTATAACTCGGATAGATCTCCATAGGCTTGAATCCTTCGTGCGGCGTCAGTGGCGTACTGGTCCATTCCCAGACGCCACCCAGTTCACCCTGACCAACGAGGCGGTCACCTTGTGGGGTGACTGGGGTAGGGTGCCAGTGGCGGAAGCCAACGTTGCAACCATCGAGGTCCACAAAAACTGGCAGACGGCCCTGAGATCGTGACCTGTGCCCATTTGTCGATGACCCGTTCGTTCCGTTGCTGCCGAGACAATTAGCTATCCCCTCTATTCCTCGATCCGACCGGGCCACACAAACCTCATGCCATTCGTAGCGGGGTGACAATCTTTGCCATGAAGCTGGGCGGAGTACTGATAAATGCTCTTGACCTCATCGAGCGTAGGGATACGACATTTGGCCCATTTAGCATAAACGGCCAGCTCATCGTAGGAAGCCATCAATGGCCAATCTTCGGCGAGCTTCAGAGGGACAGGCCCAAATACGCTCCGAATGGCAAATTTGTCCAGGAATTCGTCCGTGAGGGAACCGTTGCTGTTCTGTGAGGTACTACCATCCTGGGAAGCTTGGGTCCAGGAGGCTGGCCGTGTTTGAATCTTGTTATACTGCAAGAATTTTGCGTATTCACCATTGGTGATTGGGCGGGCTTGAGCCTCAAAAGTGTGCACCGCCACGGTCCTCTGAGGCTTTTCATTATCCCAACCGAAAGAGGTCCGCGGTAGCACTTTCTCGTTCGAGTCTTCTAGGCCAATAGCCAATTGCTGTTCAGGAATAGTAAACCACCTGTTAGGTTTTGTCTTCTCCTTCGCTTGCTTAGCCAAGTGTGCGAAGTCAGGCCGTTCCACGCCGACAGGTGGCAGCACCTTGTCACTTTGAAGCAGCATGTAAAGAAAAGTCTCCAGGTGCATCACTTCATGCTCGAGACCTATCCAGAGAGCTTCCGCAACACATCGGTCTGTAATGCGTCCTTTATTGATCAGTGCCCGGACGCGGTTGCGGACGCGTTCTTGGTAATCCAAGATCTCGTCCAGCTGTGGCCATTCGTCGGGCGTCTCGCTGTGGGCATGACACTGCGTGGGATCTTGTACATCAGGGTCAATACCACGTTCAAAAATCTGGCGATAAGAGCTGGGTTCCGTAGGGTTGCCTCCCAAAGCTCGAGTAAGATGAATGTCTAGTAGGATTAGTGTTGAGACGCCGAGGATTATCGAGTGTCAGGACTAACCACAAAATGTCGGAATATGGCCCAGGTAGAATATCAGTTCGTTGCGGAGCTTGATCGGCTTAGACCAGAGCTCCTCGCGAGGAATCATAGTCTTGGTGACGATATCCCATGTCGTCCAGAGAGTCTGGAAATCCTCGGCTTGGAGGACGGGATGGGCAGCATACCGAGCCGGGTCGGTGGGGAAGGTGAGGGAAGAGGGCGACAGCAGATGGATATCTAGCAGGTTAGAGGTTAGCATAGTGCGATAGGCAAAGAGGGAGTGAGAGAGGGTGTGGATAGAGTCTGCTAAACACGTACAATAAGTATCGGTATCATTGCCAAACTCGGCCTGAAGAACCAACGCTGCTTCGCGCCACAAAATGTCTCGCTCCCGGCGATTGTACTTGACCGACTCTTCAAACTGCACTTTTTCGCCCTTCCGGATTGTTCGTTCATTGATCACTACGTCCACTTTGGGCGAGTAGTAAGCGTGGTGTCGCCCGCCAGGAATATCATACGCAGTAAAAATGTCCCACTCGTCGGCCTTGAACGCGTCGAACCCCAGAACGCTATTAGCGTGGACTAGTCCATTTTCATAGAATGCGCGAGTGACGCCTTCGGAGTCATTGTACGCCTTGAACACCCGATCTGGGTCCTGGCACGCGTCCAAGCCAATGATCATCAAGTCGGATGCATTCAACGATTTCGCAAAGCCAGCGAGAAATTCCGGGGCACTGGAGCGACTGAAGTTGCCGATGGATGATCCAATCGATATTATCACAGTCGGCCTCGTCCGATTCTCGGCATTCTTCAGCCAGCGGAGACCGTCGTCGTACGTGCCAAGAATACCATGCAGTCCCACATAGGCAAAACTTTCTGGATTGATTTTGGAAAAGGTGCGCTTCAATTCATCCAGTGAAAGATCCAGCGCGTAGTAATCCACTGTTTTCTTCATGCGCTCGCATTCCCGGAGCAAGATCTCAATCTTCCGCAAATTTCTAGACGAAAATGTTAGAGGAGTCTCAGAAGGCACAACACTCTACGACGCATAATTCAGGCTGCGGATATAGAGTGCAATGATAACAGACCCACTACCAAGCTCCATCATCTGGGCATTTTCTGGTATCCGTTCGACGATGCGCTTCGCATTGGCGGTTAACACCTCGATCTCCGCGTTGGTTAGGTAGTACTCGTCCAGGTACGTGATTTTCTCGAACAGCTTGAGCCCCCTGGCGTCGTATAGCAGTAAAGTGGGAAGCGAGAGCGCGACACCCTCTGGAGGATTGATTCGGGTGCGAATTTCGTCCGCGAGAGAGATGTCCATGCAGCTCTGGTGTATATCCACGATCTCGACAGCATCGCTGTCGTTGCGAATTGCCGAAGGTGGCATCTTGGTTGCTGGAAATGAGATACGAGAAAGCGGAAAGAGAAGACCAAGCAGAGCCAAAGACAACTACTAGAGAACAAAGGATATTATGTTGTGCAGAACGGCCAGACTTACCCAGGGTGGTTGTCTAGAATGGTGCAATTGGTGGTTGGAGTGTGGGGGCAACGACCCAGACAGCCAGTGAAACCACAGCGGAGCGCACGAAAATTGGACGAGGAGACACGAAGGATCAAGGGCAATGGAAGTTAATTAAACTGTTTCTACCAAGCCTTTTCTCTTGTGAGACCTCTTCCGTCATCCTGATTGTAACATGATCGAGCCCCGCAAGTCTAGAGCAAGGCCAGCAGGACGCGGCGCGAATTTACTTCGATCAGATTGGACAGCGAAAAGATGACCATCCCGTGCCTTGCCGTCTGACTTCGCGCGGTTCCCACTCGTGCTGGCGCCCTGCGCAGCCAGACCGTGAACGATGTGGAGAGCCTTGAGCTAAATGGAGCCCCGGATGCGGTCATAGCGCAGTTTGTTGTGTTTGGTGCATTTGCGCTGTTTTGTTGCTTTGCATTCCACGGGCCCTTGGTGGATCGCACCTGGGGCCGGGTCCCAGGTGCGATCCATGGCGCTCCCAACACGGCACTGACAAAGCGGGACTAGGACGCAGACATTATGTGTGTGTCTATGTATTATAATATGTGTGTGTGAAATCGTTTCCCCGACCCATCGCTGCAGGCCAGTGGCCTCTAATAAGAAAAGAAAGGTCAAATGCCCATGTCTTTCTACATATTGATTCAACGACTATTCAAAACGTTTGAGTTCAACATGCTGAGCCTATAGCAATTCTGACGCACAGTCAATTTTCCAGACAAAGAGGGCCCATTTCAGTAAATCAGAAGCGAACGTAAGTTACAAATTTCACCCGCAGGTTCTTCGTGTAAGCGTCCATTTTCAAAATGTCAAGTTTAGATCCAATGAGCTTAACGATGCCTTGCTAGATGCTACTCTTTTGTTTAACATTCACTACAATTTTACTATAATACTGATGCCATTGATATCACACGCGTCTAATATAGTTAACCGGATCACAGTAATGCTGCATGTTTTGGTGCGTCACAGATGGACTGTGAAAATTTTTTGTCAGAGATGCAGTTGGCCTTGGGAGCAAGCAAGTCTTACCTTTCTGTTTATTAGGAATGTATTATGGTAATATAACTAGTTTAGCTCACTTCATTTAGTATACTCTCATTCTGTTCAACATTACTATATCTTTCACAATATGATCGCAACTTCTTCGAGCGATACTACACGCTTTGGTTTATTCTAGCCTTGACATCACTTTACACACCGGCCAACTTGCTAACGCTGGTAACAACTTCATGAAACTTTGAATGCTTCAAATATGAAACGTCGTTCGTTCGCCGTGTATATTGAGATTCAATTACTGGTCATATGTATCAACCAAGGTAAGTAATGAATATCCAATCATCTTCATGGTCATATGTGTTCAGGAGCGCTATCAATTGCACGCTGCAAAATTAAGGTGAACTAGAGGCTGACAGCTTTAGAATTTGTTGAACCGAAGTCCAGTATATTGTAGTTTCTAAAAAGTATTTGGTTGGAATCACTGTAAAGGATAAAGGTCTGGTTTGGGTTAGACCTGCCCCTCCAATTTCATTAATCTGGTTAACGTTTATAGACTTTTGGCACTGTCCTACCTGGTTCCGAGAAACCAACTTTTATATTGGGAAGAGGAAGACAGAAACGGTCGCCACAATATTATTGAGGCAGGGTTCTAATATAGTATACTCAACCAGCCCGTTGAGTGAAAGTTGTCTGTGTCGCATCCTTGGACCCATATAGTACTGTACGTCACTCAGCCTGAAAGTAAGTTACTGTCAGTTTTATCTAACCTAAGACAAGTTATTGACGGTTAAGCTAAGATGAAAGGATTAATTTCGCGGAAATGCATTGCATGCCCGAATGAAGAATCTCAGCACCTAGATAATAGAATTTCCGCTTAGAAGTATGATCCAGGTGCTTCCTTGGCTCTCCTCTGGTCTTATTTGATCCCTTCAAAATGGCATATTCTCATTCACACGCTCTGCAAATGCTGTGTGGAAAAAGCTGGATGTTTTTCCTGTCACAGACCCAGAGATCGTGGATCGCGAGCGACGGCAATAGGTGCGAGCCGTCCGGGAGTGGGACAAAGTCGGAGTGGTCGTAGAGCGGGGCCGTCCCATCCGGGATGGCGGCGAAGTGTCGCTGGCATTCGGTCGGGTTGAGAATCCCGTGTGTCTCGTAGAGATGGCGCTCCTTCATACGGGCCGGATCCCCACGCGACACACGCTGCAGACGATGGCGTTGTGACTCGTTTCGTACTCGAACAGGGCACGAGGTTGCGGTTGCCCGGCCATCGTCGTCGGATCGACCAGGCTCGTCCCACCGACCTACGATCATGTAGTGGAATCGGAACCAGGTCGGGGGGCTCAGGGGGAATCGACGGCGCGTGGCTGATCGTTCGTCCGTGCAGGGGCCCCCGGATTGGAACCCCAGTGAGACGGACCAGAGGGGGAGGGATTCTCCCTGCCTGAGAGAGCTGGAGGGAAGCCGATCCATCACATCCTCGACGATCCCGTTCCCGTATAGATCGATCGGGGGCCAATGGCCGACCGTTTCCGCGCCGCGCCCCACCGGGGAACCGGTCGGGCCAATGACCGACCGGTTCCACCGACCGCCTGCCGCCCCAGGCGATGCCGGCAGAACCTCGAGGGCCCCCCCGACGCACCGACGTTTTTTGTTACCGATTCCCGACCGCTTCCCCAGGACTTCCGAAGGCCTCGAGGTCACCTGGGGAGTCTTCTTAAGGTCGAGAGAGCAGAACGTACTCCCAATCATGCTTTCTTTAGGACCGGTGTCAACCGTACGAGAAAAAACAAATTGATGTCTTGGACCGACAAATCAGCCGCGCTCGGTCCTAACTCCTCTAGGTGTTCGGTCAGAGGTACTAGCAGGGGCATGTGGTCTCGGGTGATTGGTTCTGCCTATTTTCGAATCTTGCAGGTTCACAATGGCGAGCATTGCTTCGTTTTGCCGTACATTTGGAAGTACCCGGAAGCTAACGTTTTTTCAACGCTGTTACAGATAGCGAACGCATTAGTTCGGCGTCAATACATCTTTCTTGAAGTGGAACGATGGCTGACAACCCCATCGTCGTTGGAAAACAAAAGGAACTGGAGTAAACTTCTTGACATCATGTCTGAAATTCCTGGAATCATTCAGGAAACAGATGCCGTTCTGGACGAGCGCCCTCAATGGGTCCTTGGTAAATTCAGCATCACTTGCAAAGAAACTTTATCGACCGTTCCAGATCTTCAACGTCGGCTAGGTCACACCTTCGAGCAACTCGCTCATTGGAGATCCAAATGGACTGAAGAAAATGCTCCCATCACCCCCGATATACTTAACTGGACTCTCTTTAGAACCGGATGCGAGTCGTACCGTCCTAGTATTTTCAATACCCACGGTCCAGATGTTTATGGACTCAACATGGGAGATACTTTCAATATAAACATTCCCTTCACCCTGGTGTCCCTCATCGCCGACGTACCCGAGCCCACCGCATTAATGTTTGGCTTGATGCAAGAAGCAGCTCTCTACATTACAGTGCTTATATGGGCCTACAGACTTCATAAGAATCTTGCTGGCGCCGCATGTGCTCCTAATTCTGCCGATTTTTACAATGATCCATTTTACACAGAATGTCGGTGCTATTACGAAAACCCGGGGCCGTCTAGACTCTGCCAGATATTGCCATCGCCATTTGAGCGCGTGGAAAGAAACGCGTCCTGGTATGTTGACTCAGCGAGGATAACGTAATTCACTACCGAGTCGCCCACCCTACCGAACCGCCCGCTCCGCCCGCGAACGCGTAAATTTATCTACTCCTACCACTTCATTCAGCGACCATGTCACCAATTCGCAATATTACTACCCATACGCGTCAGAATCAAGAGGGCAGGCTATTACTTGCTATTGAGGCTCTCAAAAATGACGAAAAATTGACTGTACGACGCGCTGCGGATCTATACAGTGTTCCGCGCACCACCCTTCGCGATCGCCGCAGCGGCACCACAGAACGCGCTACGACGCGCGCAAACAGCCATAAATTGACCGAATTAGAGGAGAAATCGCTAGAGAATTGGGTTCTTTCTATGGACGACCGTGGAATTGCTCCTCGGCATGAATTAGTGCGAGAGATGGCGAATTTACTACTATCTCAGCGCGGCCAAGGTCCTCTAGTAACGGTTGGCAAGAATTGGGTCACCAAGTTTATCAAGCGTACACCAGAGCTTGATACACGATATACACGGCGCAGGGACTATCAGCGCGCTCTCTGTGAGGACCCAAAGCTAATTCAACAATGGTTTGACCTTGTTCAAGAGGTTATTTGCACCTATGGTATCCACCAAGACGATATCTACAATTTTGACGAAACTGGTTTCGCAATGGGCCTCTGTAGCACTTCTAAAGTAGTACCCCGAGCTGGTTACTATTGACGAAGGGCTAAAATTCAGCCAGGGAATCGCGAGTGGGTAACAGCAGTTGAAACAATTTGTATGAGTGGATGGGCACTTCCACCAACAATTATATTCAAAGCAAAAACCTACAATTCGGCTTGGTTTTCTTCCGAAATCAACCTCCCTTGCGACTGGTGTATTGAGGTTAGCGACAATGGATGGACGACTAATGAAATTGGCCTTCGGTGGTTAACAAATCACTTTATACCATTGACTAATGGCCGTACGAAGGGCAAGTGGCGTGTCCTAATTTTGGATGGACATGGAAGCCATATGACCGCTCAATTTGACCAAATATGTAGAGATAATAATATTATCTCTATTTGTATGCCGCCACATTCATCCCACCTACTCCAGCCGCTTGATGTGGGTTGTTTCTCTATTATCAAGCAAGAATATGGTCAATTGATTCAATCGATGATTGTGAATGGTATACACCATATTGACAAGCTTGATTTCTTGTCTATTTACCCCCTTGCGCGCGCAAAAGCATATACACAATCGACTATTCAAAATGCTTTTGCTGGCGCCGGTCTTCTACCTCTTAATGCGCAGCGGGTATTGGATAAATTGAATATCTCTATCGATATTACCCCCCCGGGTAGTAGGGCAGGAGAGAGTGGAAGCAGCGGTTTTATCCCCTGTACACCACAGAAACCTATTGAAATTCAGCGGCAAACGCGGTCAATTGGCAAATTGCTACAGCACGCTTGCCAATTAGAACTGGATAACAATATCGAGAGAGCTTTGGTGCAAATTGAACAGTTGGCAAAGAGCGCGCGCGCTAGTATGCATGAAAAAACGCTCTATTTAGCCGATATCAACCGAATGCGCACCGCTCATGCCAAACAGCAGAAAAAACAAGCAATTCTTGGCACAAGTATCAGTCGATTGGAGGGTTGTACGCGCGCACAGTGGGAGGACGAGTATATTCGTGCCAATAATACTACAGCGGCAGGGCCTAGTGGGACAGGAAAAACGACGTTTCAAAGAGCGCCGCCGCGCTGCTCGAACTGTAATACACTCGGGCATAATAGAACACGCTGCCCGAATTAATTTACTGTATTTATCAATTTCATACTGTTCCTGGTGGTCGAGCAATATTCAAAAATATTAGTAGGGACCGGGCGGAGCGGGCGGTTCGGTAGGGTGGGCGACTCGGTAGTGAATTACGTTATCTGAATCTCCTATTCGCTCAATAGGTAATAATAGCGAAACACAAGGCTCTTTCCATTCAAGCACATACTCCATCCCACATTGGCAACTCAATGAAGAACCCAATTCTCTGTATGGAGACATTATACTACCAAGGTTTGTTCATTTTGCTGGACAGTTGCGGAATTCAAATTGGCTGTGTGTCATTTGCCAAACAGCCGGGCCTACGTTCTGAGCACGCTTGCAGCTATGGGGTTGAGCCACTGTGTCCATGATGTTCGCCCAGCCGAAGGCAACGACTATATTGCGTAGACAATATGCAAAACAATGAGTAAATCGAGGTTCAGTGGCGCAGAGGATCTTTTGCTTAGAAGATATCGTTAATGCAAAAACACCGCATTCTTTGGAAAAAACTTCGGTTGAGAGTGCAAGGTGAACGGGTCACAAAAATCAGTATCTACATTACAAGCAGCGGGCATTTCATGTATAATCTTTGTGAAAAAGATTGGTTGGTTGAGAATCGAGTACGATCGTGATTTTGACGTAAAGCGTTTTTCAAATTTGTGTATAGCTCAAAATGACCATGTTCTTGCTAAGGTATAATCCTGTCGCTAATATGTGCTTCGATGTGAAACTTTCGAAACCTCCTTTGTGGACGCTTTGATTTGCAGCGTCCGAAGCCGAGAATAGTGTCTGCAAAGTGCGAGATTTCTTCCTATCACCCGACGCCCAGGATGCCCGCTTCGTATCCACATCATTCGTATTTCTTCATCGTCAAGACCCCAAATTTCCGAGCTCGACTAGCCACATCGTCACCAAAAGTATCTTCAGTTCGAGGAGGCGAGAAATACCAACCTTGGAAGTTGCCCCTTTGAGTAAAAGCCTGCACGGTTTTTTAAGTACGATGTAGCAAAGCACAAGTCATTTTCAATAATCGGACGTGTGGACGCGTCACGAATTCATGCTCATAGCCTCAAATTTCAATCTCGTATTTCTCAATTGGGAATCTTTTTGTGACAGAAGTTATGAAGGATATTTGCAGACGTTTTTGGCTTGGCTATGTGCAAACCAGGCATGAATCATCTAGCATTTGTATGATCAATGGGCCGTAAATAGACTTTGTCTTGCATGATGCTGATGTCGTTTCATATCCGGGTACCATTCAATAAGCACCCTGCGAAATGCAGCATTGAGCTCTTCTTCTCCGAAAAAAGACTGGCAGCTAGGGATAAATATTCAATATTCCGCCCGTCTATCATCTTCCAAGGCTGAAATATACCTAGGTAGAACCGCACTTTCTGATGTAAATCATGATAGTGACCTGTAGGAGTTCCAATTCTTGACAAAAGCGGCCGCAAATTTAAAATCACGTGACCATTGACATAATCTATTGGTATGATCTGCCAGTTGGACGGCGGAAAACGGCGGTCTACGGAAGACTATAACTGCCACTGGTGCATGCTGATTTCTAAGCGAAAGTGGATGAAGGGGAGCCATCTGCCGCTTGTCCGTGATCGCATGGCATGACTCTTTAATACACGTTACTGGAAGATACGCAATCAGACAAACGATTAAAACGAATACGCTCCAAAATATACCGAGCGCAGAAACCAACATCACTTCGGTGGACAACGTGAGCGTAAGCATGGACCGGCCGCAGAAGAATTACCACTCAATCATGAGTCGGCAACGGAATCTACTAGGCAATTTCCATTTTCAAGCACCTATCACTCCTCAGAGCCGTGAAGTGACTGCCATGGCGACCCAGCGTAAACCGCCCCCAGGCATGAAGCGGGAACAAGCAGTACGAGCTCAGCGGTATGAAGGATGCAAAAGGCCGCAAAGAAATAAAGCTGATTAGACATAAAGGAACCACCGAAAGCGCACTCATGATTACATCAGTGCGCTAGAAGCTGAAGTATTGCGCTTGCGATCTGAGGAAACACGCTTACAGCAAGCCGCCGATATTTGGATGCAATGCACTCTGGCATTAATTCCATCTACCAGGCCTTTTGCTGCGCATAGCTATCAGGCCACTGAATCTCGCCCTGGTGTTTTTCTGTGGATAGCTCAAGATACACCTGCTGCCGATCCAACAGTTTTGACGGACCGGACATCGTGGCAGCTTTTGTCGCCGCGACAGCATATGGCTTTCCAGTATCCAAATATCTTGCCTTATCTTGACAATCGCAGCGCATCAGCACACAGGCTATTACAGAATTGTAAGTTTGTAGTCGCATCATATGTTAGCACAGATATTTCGCTAATTTATGCGCTCTATAGTTTGTGATAATATTGCTCCCAGTCTGAACCTGACCGAAGCGTCGACCAATGACTATGTCAACCATATCATCCCACTAGTCATGAGCAATGAAACTGTCCAAAACTCCTTCCTTGCTGCTTCCGCAAGCCACATTCAGGCCATCCGAGGCACATATAGCACTGTCGAGATTGTGAAATACAGATCGGCTGCCGTCAGAGGTCTACAGAAAGTATCAACCGAAAGGTTTTCTGATTCTGACTCAGTGTCTGCTTTGGCGACTATTCTCGGGCTACTTATCGACGACATAATAAGTGGAACGAGAGAATATCCGACACTTGTACGACTAGTGGACTCTTGGGCTCGAATGAGCATATCTCATAAGCAAAAGTCAAGCGAAGTCCTGGTTCAATTTCTCTTGGATCAAATACAGATGTATGCTGAGCTCTTAGAGCATACTATATCGCTAAACATCAAGAGGCGAATGCTAACGTCTTTTACGAATAACAGGATAAAAACGCTTGTGCACCCGCTTTATCAGTTCAAAGGGTTGTATAGCCTAGCCCAGAAAACCAAATCGATGCAAGACCAGTATCATACACAGCAACTCAATCAACCAAATCAACCAAACTTTCGCAACATTTTTTTGAACCTGGAGAGCGCCGTTACTCAAGCTTGTCATATCTACAACTCGTTTCCATCCACAAGTTCATTCAACGGAACTTCGGTTTTTTCGACGGAACTTGATGCTTTACTGTGTCGCCTTCAATCCACAGTTAATGATATTCCGCCGTTCGCTCCCGGTGAGAATTCTTTGACGTTTGTATACTCCACTGCTGTTTCACGGAGTACAAGTGTAGACCACAAGACTTTTTTTACTATGCGGTTAGCGGAGCTACTGCGCCGCACCGGATATTCTGATATGCATGGAGAACTGCCTATCGCAAAATTTTTTGGAGCTGCCTGGCCTTGAAGGCATCATTTTCCCACACGTGGATTTACCCTTCAGTTATCTGATCTTTGTTTGAATCGTTCAAAGATGGCTAGACTACCTTGGGTGCAATCTCGAATTTCTCCCTCTCTCTTTCTGACTTGGGTACAAAAAAAGCAGATTGGATTTCAAGTTACCGCACTACAAGCCCTGCAACAAGAGTTCCTGGAAAAGCTGTTCAAGCAAGATACTCTGTTACCAACCAAAGAAACTCTTGGTTACACATGAGATCCAACCGCCTACCGCCTATTTTCTTTCTGAGCTCCTTTAGCTAGGCCAAAATTTAAGATCATATCAAACTCTCCTCTTAAATCGATTGATAAGCAAGTCTGAGAGTACTAGCACCGGAATACTATGTGCTCATGGAGTAACTAAATGATCTTTTTGGAGTATCAAGCCATTGAGCACTGTAGGTATATGCAACTCTCACGATCACCATTCGTTCTTGGAGGACGGAGACAGCCAATGCGTTAAAGAAAAGAGAGATGAATATTCTTATCTTGATTTTAGCTCGTTGGCACCAAGCCCAATTGCTGGAGTGCCAGTAGTGCGGATTCTTCTCCAATTTCTTCCACAATCTTGCCATCCATGAGTGTGAATATCGTGGTACCTGAGAAACGCATTTCTTTACCCGAATTGGCTTGAGGCAAACTTCCTATGGGAAAATCGAAAAAAGCTTGACCCGTGTGCTTTCCGCCTCCAAACCAACGAACAACAACGTAGTTATTTTCTGCAATCAAAGGGAATGGCGAAAGTAGTCTAAAAGAGATGTTCGGAAATGACTGTTCATCCAAGCCAAGTCAGCTAACTAAGTAAATTCCCTCTCAGACTGTACACACCTTCTTGAAATCAGAAAGCATTTTCTTCGCTGCCGGCTTACCGGTAACTTGACCATGTAGCGGGTAGAAGACTGTGTAATTGTCGGAGCACAGTTCGTCAATCACACTGAGATTTCCTTTGGTCCAGACCTCTTCCCAATAGCGGGCCACAACCCGCCGGTTATGCTCATTTTGAGTGTGGACGTCCATTTTAGAGCTTTCATGCTGCTTTTAGCCTGGTTCAGTAATTTTGGACTTGGACAATAAACTTACGAAAAATATTCAAGTTCCGTTTTCGTTGTGTTTAAGAATATGTATTAATTGGTAGTCCGAAATTGATCCTTGGAAGCAGACGGTCTTCCGTTCCCAAAAGTACACGATGGACTATTAATCAAAGGGGCGGTGGGGAAGTGGGAGATTGAGGTTTCCTCGTCTGCCCCGCCATTTGGCAATGGATGCGATCATATAACGTAATCCACAAAGACTCGCCCACCCCAAAAATACCATAGCAAATGCGATGAATGGCAACTCAATATCTCTACGAGAATAGTTTAACATAAGGTTCGATTATATCCTAGTAATGTTTAGATTATATCACGTCTCCTTATGAGGCTTAGATATTTAATAAAGTTGTTTATGATGCGGATACATATATTTGCACCCTACCCGTGTGTAATTACTAATAACAAAATGCAAAATATTAGCGCTAACCTAAAAAGGCAATTTTAGTATGGTCAAATTTACTGTTTGTGGTTAGATTGAAGTCTTTTTTTGCGGATAGACTTTTTCGATTGGACAGGATCCAGATGAGAAAGCAATCTGCACCCACCGGCCATTAGAGGAATGATAAGCTCATCACTGCTCCAGGATGCAGATATGACCACCTACAGTCCTGGTAGACACTATAAGGTACAGTTCAATATCCACTAAAAGGAACACTTCTGAAATGCTCTGAATATGTGGTAGTGTGGCTTGGTATTATTATCGAGACGTCCAGTCGGGTGATTATTGGATGGCGAGAATTAACTGAACTAAAGACATATCAAGGACATCGCACAGTCTGTCTTGTGTATATTGTAGCCGTTTCGGTAAATCCTACTGCATGTGTTACCAGCTAGAAATACTAAAGTTTCCTTCCAGCGCGAGCTTAAACAAGGGCTACTCAATCTTGGCATTAGGGTCCGAGAAACAATGGAAAAGGTAGCTATCAAGATGCCGAGAAGTTCGCTAGAGTAGGGGCATCGTCTTGGGCCTTCTGCTTCCCACTCCTCCTGCAGCTCTGCATGCATGATCAGGAGCGAATTGTGGGAGAGGTGGAGGGCGAATTGGTCCTGAATGTCCGCATGCGCAGCGGAAGGAGGCGCGGACATTGTTTGATTCTCCGAAGTATCTGATAGAGATCTGGATTGCTGGTGTTCATTTCCATCGTTATGGGTGGCATTTTCCTCCTGTGTTGCGATTCATCGCACTCAAAATTCTCGCTCCACGCCTAGACTCAGGCTGGCTATTACAGGGTGTGACCCGAGACAGGTGAGTTCGTCTGAATGATATCCCACGCCTTTTTGGGCCCATTGTAGCAGTTGACAAATGCTGCATTTGGTCGCCACTCTTTCGGTGATTGAGATATGGTTCTTGCCGTCTGAATAGACATTGCAGATGCGTTTCTGAATCTCCTCGTTCACAGCTTTTTGTGCCTTCCCGGAGACCGAGCGGAGCTGGGATGTTGCTTGCCGCACATTGGAGTGGTACGTGCCGCCATACGTGAACTTGGATATCTGTAACTGCATTCCTCTGGAGTAGATATATAGATACTGGTAGTGTGCCGGCTCTGTACAGTACGGTTTATTAACCGGAATTCGTGGCGGAAGAACATTTTCGGCTCTTCAAGCAGCTCAAGTGATATTTCATTGGCTTCTTGCTCACGAAGAAAGCTGTTGACGATCGTGCAGGGTGTGTAAGCTGCGATGACAAAACAAAAAGGAACTAAACAAGGCAGCATTATGGCCAGTCTCACTCCGGCAATTTCTATGCCGGAACACTACATCTGAAAGTCTCTGCTTAAAGGTAGTAAAGGTTACCCAATGTATTACTTCAAAACGATATCAGCTGTTGATGACTTCATCTGTTGCAACCCAGCCTTGTTAGCCAAGATCATTTTCCGTTGGATATGCATATCACGAGGTTCTTCATCTTTAAATTGGTTAAAACCCCGCTGGTAACCTGCGTATAACGTGCGGGCTCAATACGTCAACCCGTACCCAACGTACAGGTCTATGTCCTCGACCAAACACAGGCCAAGAACCGGGAAAGGTCGGGCCCAGTCCGTCTACCCACAGGTTTTGGGGAGGTCCAGCTTGGTCTAAGTCAAGGAACAATATCTTCAAATTTCAACGTATTCGGACAACGCGGGGAGAGATCACTCTCAGGCGTTCGATTCTTGTGAATGAAACCTGTGCTCGAGAGAAGCGTATTCAAGATCTCAACCAAAGTCAAAGGATATTTGAGACGCTCTTCTTCACACATTTAATCTGTTTCCAACATAAGCTGATTAAATTCAAGTATCCACCAGATCAGCAGATCTCTGACTTCAAGCATGACCACTTCTCACTGTGCCATAAAACATTCGACAGAGAGTCTTCGTAGTTGACAGCTCAATTCTCGAAGCTAGATATCTGAGCATTTTTGATCTAATCTATTCGCGTACAGCATCTTCTGACTCAAATGATTTTAATACCGAATTCTATATTACCCAGGCTGAATTAAATGCGAAAGGAAGAAAAGCGTTTTGAACAAATCGAAGCCCTTTAAAAAGATCATAAATGGCTGTTGCTGTTATTGTTATCATCAAAATATCGTTTGTTCTTATGCAGTTCTTCTTCAAGTAGTAGCCATTTGCGAACTACCTCTGCCCAGTCGTCCGCCGTAGAACCCTTGGTCTCTTCCCGTCCCTGCATAATTCGAGATTTCACAAGTTCCACTTCTTGGGGCTTTCCAAGAGAATTTTGCAAATTCTTCGAATTCCGGCCAGGGGATACCCAGCTAACCCCCAAAGGCCTGTTCCAGATGTTAAAAAGCGAAGCGATAGTATTTAGCTAATTTAAACAGTGCGACATACCAGCTAAAGGCTTGAGAAAAATCCCGCCAATGCCCTCGGCTATGCCTTGGGTATGCCTTTCGCTCCTTGTTCTTTGAAGGCACAGTGAGGTTGCGTAAATAACCCTTTAATACCACAATGAAAGCCTTCTCGAAATTCCTGTGTGTTTGTTAGAACTTTGTCTTTGGTAGTAACCAAAGGGCCAATTTGGACTCACTTTGCCCGCACCTCTGAGTCCACTTCTCAGTCCAATGAAACTCGGGGGTTTTTTGACCGTGTAGTCGTGGTACATTTTGGGGGCGTTGTGAAAGCCTTTCGATAAGCCTAGCGTTAGATCTGTTGGTATCCAGATAATGCCATTCAGAAACCTCTTCGACATCCAACCTCCATGAATTCCCACTTCAGAAATAAAGCTTCGTTTTCGGGAAGGGCGCATGCCACAGCTCATTGTTTGCCTCTTCTCGAGTTGTAGGCTCCGCCTACGGTCGATGGTGCCTTCAAGAACAACACCACTCATCTGGTTCAGCTCATTAAGTATTCTCTCGTCATCGGACTCTGTTAAAGTTTCTTGCAGTCGCTCCTCTTCAGGCAATTCGGAGTGTTCGTTTCTCTCCTTCTCTACTTGCGACATTGGCCCTTCTCCATGGCTCGCAGATTCGCGCTCTCTCTTCTGTATTAGTTTCTGATCCACTCTCCATCGCCATGTTTCTCGAAGGTCATTGTGATCATGGGGATGACCCAGGGACCGCATCCCCGAGATAAGGTCAGTCACGACGTCTACAGGTATTCCTCCTAGCCCAGTTACCAATTTTGCAAACACCCCAACCAGAATTCGGGTTCCTGCGCTTAGTGGGCTTGCAGGATCTCTGTATGTGTCATATTCTTTAGGGCGATTCCTATGCGATTTTTTTTCGTTACCGCACACTCGAGATGAAATATTGAACTGGGTGTAACTTACAACACTAGCTTCTCTGGTCTGATTCGTCCCATCTCAACAAGAATAGACGCAGCGAATGCACTCAGCCCGATATCGGTGTGTTTCAGATGCCACACGGCAGGCCGAGAAGGACATATGGCACATCGCATAGACGACAGATCAGGCTGCCGATGGAAATTGCGAACTCCGGCATTAACACCAGACTCCATCTGCATCTTTGCGCCAATTTCTCTGGCTTTCTCTTTCGTCGATGACTCCAATGCTGTTCTAATCGCATCTACGAGTTTTTCCACAGTCAGCCCCTTGTGATGAAGTGGAAGTGGTCCTGCTCCAATCCGTGCGATAGTTTCGCCCCAGAATTGTTGGTCGCCAAAAAACGGGACAACAATAGTTGGGCGGCCGACTGCTAGTCCAGCAGCAGTCGTACCCGCGCCACCATGATGAATCACGCATGAGACTTTCTGAAAAGGCCAGTCATGTGGGACGTTTCCGATGATGAGTATGTCGTCTGGAATATCCAAACCGTCCACCCCAAGATTTCCCCAGCCCTTCGAAATGATTGCCCGCTGGCCCGCCTGCTTGATTGAATGGAGGATGATTTTTGTCAGTTTGATTTGATTATCCACAACAATTGATCCAAACCCCACATAAATTGGTACTGGCCCTTTCTTGAGAAATTCGATGATCTCTTTTGGGGGGTATAATCTGGTCTTGAAGGGAGAAAACTGAATCCGCAGATATCAATATTGTCAGACCAGTCACGTGGTTTCGGTAATAATGTTGGTGACCTGGAAGAAGAAGATTTAAGTAAACAAATTCTAACGCATCTGTTTCGTAGACATAATACCATAGATAAGAGTAGGGTATGCGTAACCGATGAGTCAAATTTGATGCCATGATAGAATTCAATGGATCAAGTTTCAACGTTTTTCTGCGCCATGCATTCACAAGATCTCCCAGTCCCTCCCAGATCATCGTATCGACAACTATGTAGGAAATAAGATTTGCGACTGTTGGCTTGCAATCTTGTTTGTTGATGATAGCCAAGGGGTGCGGGAAGGATTGAGTGGGCGACGAAGGCATACTAGCTCACCCTCCTGTTCTGAAAGGCCAATCTCACAGTCACAGTGGAACATTGCTGGCCTCACCAAGAATTAAAGAAAAGGAAGTTTGCACCTAGCACTTGAGTCCAGGCCTTGAGGCCACCATTAGGAGGTGGCTGTGAGGCTGCTGTAGCTGTATTTGCCGGTTTTGCTCTCGGTTTTTCGTTGTCTCTTGGTATGATAGCATGATTGTTGCTCAGAAGTGCTGATGCTGTGTCATTTTCTGCTAGGTTTTTCTTGAAGGCTTCAGTGTCGTTAGCCATATTTGAGATCTGATGTAATGCGCTGCAGCTGATAGTTGCGCAAACTAAAAATCTGTTGTCTTAAGTATTGGCACGTAGTACGTCTGTCCGACGAGGTAGAAAGAGGCTTGTATGTAGTAAGAACATTATCGCCGATGTCGCCGAAGCTGTTTGTAAGCTCTGGCTCTAGCTGAGCGCCGAGGTTTGTCATAGAGTATTATTAATAGGATAGAGGTGGTCACTCAAGGGAGGCAGTTTTTGAACGGGTAAAGTGCGAGGGATTTCCTAAGTGAGATACTTAATTCCTCATCCAATTTCCTGAAAAGGTAAGAAGGCGGCAGATCAAAATTAGACTTCGCCACGGCAGGGAAGTGACCAGCTTAGGTAACAGATACATCATTTTTATTAGGCTTGTCGTGGAAGGGATTCTCTTCTCTGATGAAGCGACAAAAGTTTTTGACGTGCTAGTAACGAATTCAGATTTCCTGCTGGCTACAATATCGAGTTCATTTGTTTTATCATTTATCACCAGCTGAAAATTCTAGCTTGTAGCGCTAGTTAACCGTTTCGATCATTAATACAGTAGGATCTTACTGCCTTTCTCGTTATGCCGTCACTTACATCCTGTATATTAGATGAAAAGGAGAGCGATGCAGATTACAAGGACACACTAGAAAGAGAATGCATAGAACGAAACGCGCAAAACCAACCTGGTCGGAAATATGATCATGTCCTGTAGGAAGAAAAAGCAGATCTCGTGTCGCAGGCAAGTGAAAGGTGCAGAGTAGAGGTTCAAACAAAAGTAAGCTTAATTTGTTATGTACTCGATACGTAAACTAGTTCTTATCCTTGTCGGCCGAATTGCCAGTGACCCATAGGCGCGGGTCTGCGGCAACTCCTGATGACAGTCGTCAAATCAGATGGTGGACAAGCTCGCATCAGGCAGCTCGTAGGTCTTGGCCCATTCTTCCAGGGTCTGGACTGGGGTGACATTCAGGTGCTCCGCAGTCAGAATGTTAACGCCGGGCTCAATCCATTCCTGAAGTGGGACAAAACGGAAATAATCCATCATGAGGGCAAACTCTTCAGACCAGCGGGGCCATGGGAACAAGGAGTCGTAGTCTTTGCGAGAGACGCGCATCAACTGCACTTTCGCGCCCTTTCCTGCAGCCCATTCTTCAACCCACTTCTTAGCTGTCCATTGTCCAATGCTACCAATAACCATAGTGCCATTTTTGACTTTCTCTGGAGTTCCAACTATGGCCTTGACGAAAGGAGTGAGGTTGCTAACATCGCCGATGAAAGGTATGACAGTTTCAGGATCGTAGGTGGTGAACTGGACATATTTATTGACAGTGTTGATCCAGTAAGGACGGAAAGAAGCAATTTGTAAGTTATTGCCGTAGAAGCAGACCATGAGAAAGGTGGTCTTGGCCAACAACACTGGGTCCTTACGGATAAAGTCGTCAATAACGGATTTCGATTCGAAGTGGTACACAGGGTAGTCTTTGTTGCCCTTGGGCAGGGTGCTCCAGATATAGTGTTCCAGAGTGGATGTTGCCGAAGCAGCCCTGGCCATGTTGATAGCCTGCTCAGTTTCGACATCTTTGGCCTTCATATATCCATGCATCTGAAATAGTGCCCAGAAATCAGTAACGGCGAAGATGATATGAGATCCCTTGAAGGCAGCAGTAGTGGCATAGATATCGTTGATATCGGCTCTAACGATCTCAATGCCCTGAGCGGCGAGTTCTTTAGCGCCGGGGCCGTCCGGCTCGCGAGTCAGTCCACGGATATGGTATTCAGGATTATTAGCGAAAGCTGCAATGACTGCCTTGCCTTGCTGGCCGGTGGCTCCAACAATGGTGACGACCTTTGGGGACATGCTGGCGAGAGGACAACTGTATGTCGCTGAAATATCTATTGGAGGTAGAGAAGCAGTGGAGCGAGTTCTAAGGCGGAAGAATATAAACTTACTCCAGTATATGCACATCGAACTATTTATATGCTATAGCAAATTTTGATTTCAAATCCACTGTGCCTTTCTGACAGCGTTAAGCGTCGATATCTTGCTATTGTCCGTATCATTTTTCTTCTTCGGGTTCGGTATCCTGTCTTGCGCGGCTTCGCATTGGGTCTGTATTACTAAATTGAATATTGCCAATACGACCCGATCATATCAGCCAGGATCAGCATCCACTACTGCCACTCTGCTTAAGATACAAAGCTGTTATGAGTCATGCGTTCGAATTCGGAAATATTATTGATCTTGAAAATAACCCTTTCCGTCAGCTATTCCAGCCCCTTCGGCTAGTAAATTGTAGCTACCTGCTCACGAGCAGGTAGGGTCCCTTCTTATATTACCTAAGAGCATCAATCGTGGGCGCACGGCTTTTTAACTCAAAGTCGAAACTTAGTTTGAGCGTTTCCTTCTCAGCTTTGATTTAAAGTATTCGTAATCTTTTGGCGACAAAGGGAGGCTATTGAGTTTGTGTCGGGATTCTCTACACGGATAGTGTTGCCCTGCCACTCTGATACGGACTACTCAAGTACCACGGTTAGAATTAAATCTAAAATACCGGGTCGAGCCCCACAGAGCTCCGCTGATAATCCAACCATCATACACTTACTAATTAAAGGAAATCGTAAGCTAAGCTTAACTGGGGAAAGTGTTTAAAATAAGATTTCCTATCTAGGTTAGCGCACCGCATCGCGGCTTTGGCTAGTAGCTCGCGCTAATGTGAAATATCCGTCAGACGATCGATTATTCATCCCCTTTCAGTGCCACTGTGACCTATCATTAAGAAACCAGTAGTTGTCACGCAGTTCACAAATCAATCGCTTTCGGTCACATATTGCTGGCCATGGTTCAATGGTAACTTTTCCCAATTTCTATTTTGATAAGGTAATGCTAGATTAAGGTTGGGATTACGACAAATCGCAATGGGAACGTATGTGTACTGGCTTTATACCTCTAGAATATTATTGAAACTTGTCTAGCCTATCTGGTCTTGAGCCTAATGAAACTCGCATCTGACAACTAATCCTTAGGCTGCCAACAGTCGGGCTTGAAATTCGACTTCTCTCGGCTTATGGCAGCTAGCTGGTCAGCGAGGCAATCTCATCGTAATGGTATTGCCGTAGCTACAAGTGGTGTTTCTTAGCTATTGAATATGGCAGAATATTTCCTTTTTAGCTCTAGTAGATAAGTAGAGTTTGTTAACCCTCAGCTTTGGCCAACGCGGCTTGCTTTGAAATTATTTCTTTGAAATCAAAGGCTATATTACACTCGCTACGTCATATGTACGCTCCACACTCTTATGCAATCGAGGCATATTTAGGCCCGATCAAATCTTCTCCTGGACATAATCTATTAGCACTCTCAAAGACTCAGATTTACATACAAAGCCAGCAAATATGGCTAGCACACGAAACGCTCTTGCAAAGGCCCTCAAAAAGCTTCACCAGCCCCATCGCCCTATCATCTTAGCAAATGTTTATGATGGAGCCTCCGCTAAAGCCGTTGCATCCTTACCGAATTCGAAAGCGATAGCAACAGCAAGTTACGCCGTCGCAGAGGCTGCGGGCACGAAAGACGAAGACTTGAGTCACCAAGAAATTGTCCGGTCAGCGAAAGCTATTGCCAGCTCGATTCAAAGCTTTGGCAAGCCTTTAACTATCGATATAAGAGACGGATACGGAGAAAAACTTGAATCCACAGTAAAAGAGCTCGTGGAAGCTGGGATTGTAGGTGTCAATCTCGAAGATTTTGACAATGAGACAAAAGAAATGTACAGCATGTCAGAAGCAGCGGATCGAATCAAAAACGTACTCAGCACCGCAAAAGCTGCCGGCATGCCCGATTTTGTGGTTAATGCGAGATGCGACACTCTGGTCAACAATGGAAGTCTCGACGAGGTGATAAGACGCGGTCAAGCATACCTTGATGCTGGTGCAACCACCGTTTTTGTTTGGGGAGGCTCAAGCCGAGGAGGTATTTCCAAAGATGAAGTGATCAAGCTAGTGGAAGCATTCAATGGGCGTTTGAACGTTTTGAAGTCTTCCACGAACGGCCTTTCTACGAAAGAGCTAGCGACTATTGGAGTTGCTCGGATTAGTGTTGGGCCCGCACTTCAACTTGCAGCTCTGGAAAAGATCAGAGAAGTTGCCAAGTCACTCCTTGAGCTTTAGATATCAGTATTATTGCCGAAAAGCCGCTCTAGTATTTACAATTTTAAATTGTAGATATAATGAGAATCTTTTATTTCTGATCGTACAGATGAGTTGATGATATCATGTGTAACATTGGTCCGTGTGTTCCCGGCATGAACCAGGGAACTGCAGCTGAAAAATTGAGAATGAATTCTCTATGCTCCGAAACAGCCAAAATAACACCTTAAGCGTAGAAGCGTTTAGTACATGACATTGAACGAAGTTCAAAAAGTGAATATCAAAAAGCGAACGCAATACCCGAAGATTTCGAAGGCATCAAAAATCATCGTCCAGAATTCGGACTGATAAATCAACGGCTCCTGAAGAGCCGGTATTCGATTCTTGGATTATAAAGGGGCAAACAGTTCATATATCAAAAGGTGCCTGAACAGGCCCTGCGGGGGTAGGACCTGAAGAAAACGTAAGCTGAAAATCCTTCCTAGATTGGAATCCTCGCACCGAGGACTTCTTACAACCAGTTTGGCTCAAACCCCGATGGAACGCAGCTATCAAGCGAGAATAATCATTTTAAATCTACAGTTCGATTATACTGGAAGAGAGCAGGTGAGCAGTCGATATTATGATGTGCGCTCACAGTATCAGGCATGCTAGTCTGTTCGACCTGAAAAGGCCAAGATGGCAGGACTTGGCTATCCACGTCAACGAATAACTTGACTGCCTAATTTCTACCTGGAGCATTCGATTATCCATGCTACGATGCATCTCCCAACCTTGCGTAAATTCATGCTGAAATGATATCAGCTTTACCATGAATTGCTTCCTGCTACTACTCCTCCTATGAGCCGCAGAGTGAACCATGATTTCGGTAAATCCGATGAAGATTCCCACATCCGCAGACACATTCATCTGAGGTAGTCCTTCTTTGACGATAACTGGATGTAACAGCCTCAAAAAAGCGCGTATGGTCTTGAAACTGAGCCTGCAGGTCGTCTCAGCGGGCTTCCTTGTTCAAACTTCGGGCTCGAAATACTACGTATCCAACATCTGGAGAGGTTTCGCGAAATTATTTCAGTTTTATTCAATTCTCAAAGGTTTTAAGTGCCTGGTAGCTACTGACAGCTTCTCCCTTTTTCTTTTCCGTCAGAATACTCCCTCTGGATAGGTCTTTTTGTTGACATACCTCGGCGGATGACCAGTGGCGCGGGAAAAAAGTCAAGTGTGAAATTTCGGGTTTACTACCACGTGGATTTATTAAATAGATCAATACAAAACCTCAAAAAAATAGAATTGGTGTCTACAATCCGGGAGTTCGTTTTTAACATGTTAATATCTGCTGCAAAGCTACGCGACTGAAGGCTGTGCGAGATCATTGGAAATATGCTATTACATAGATGATGTGATCAATGCCATTTGTCAGCCATTGCTGCTATTGACTTGAGCACCGAATTGTGCCATAAGCTATTGTTAGTGAAAAAGGTCTAACCAATTATGAGCGAGATACCCAATTTCTCATATAATTGCCTAAAAAGGTAAGTGGATAACATATTTAAACAAGACTTCGCCACGGTCCATTGAAGTTGAGTGCGTTTGTCAGCTTGCATTATAAAGCTGAGGTGAATTGACTTTTAAAATCTAGTGAGAGCAGTAAAGGGGCTCCGATGACTATGCGTCTTAATACGTAGAAATTGTTGAAACTGCCCCTGCATGGAACCGGACAAAGATATGTTTAGAAATCCAGACGTCTTTCGTAGCGTGTCGCAATAGAAAGAGAAAGTATAGCCAATTTTTAAACATCTGAAAAACTTTGATCTCACGGATTCGACGTTCGGGTCTGCACTCTATTATTTTAATATTAATTCAATAACTTATATATTTTGAATTGGGCTTTTTTCTGAGAAGAGTTACATCTGAAAATATAGTTACGCAATACTGCAGTTATACAACATGCTTGAAGAAACGCGTAATTGCAAGTGCGGCTCACTGCTATCCCTACAATAAGCGCTAGCTTTGTAATTAAATTAATGAGGTGCAAGGGCAAAGTCATGTCTCTAGTTAACGTAATCCACATGCGAGCTGGACACTAAAACGCGATCGCGCCCCAACGCGATATTTCTGACTAAGCGATCATTATAGTTAGTTAGCGCGCTAACCTTAAATGGCGTTTTTACTCCAAGATTATATACTATTCACGGTTAACGTTAGTTCGAAACTCAATTTTGAATATCTACAAGAGACCAAAGCAGCGATTGACTGTACTACGGCAGAGTCCAGAAAGTCCCGTTACAGCTCCGGTTGGACAAGGCTCAGGTTTTCAAGGGCAGAGGCTTACGCAAACCAAAATCAAACGAACCAAGGTTGTAACACTTCAGTCTGCAATATTCATGACTCAAAGGCTGGATTTGATAAATCGAAGTGGATAGAATGTACTAGAGATATAAACCGAGCGACGACGTTAATGAAATGGTATCAGAACATCAGGCGATGACAAACTCCTTCGCTGATAACTCGCTTGAAGTTGGTCAGCACTCTGAATGTACGGTTTAAATCCCTTATTTAAAGCCTATCCGATACCCTGCTTTGAATTTTTCCTGAAGACATTTTGATTATCCCGAGCCACCGGCGCAGACTGCGCGCAATATTTGTCAAAAGGCAACTTTGAATCGAATAATTTTGATACCCCATATCAAGTCATTACACAACATGATTGATCTCATCCGAGAGGCGCCTCTCGGTCAAGCCATACGGCTTGTATCCCGAAACCGGTTTTTACAATACCCAGAAGAAAAAGACGACTTCGAACTGCCTCTCCAATACATCGCTCAACTGGAAAAAAACGAGAAGCCAATTCGTCAGAACCAATCTCGAAATTCGAGTGATATTATCTCGAGCTCAGTGCAGAGCGATGATATTGGCGAATCTATTCCTCGCCAAGAAGATTTGGACATCGAGAATCTGCGACCAATAAGAACGACAAGCAGTATTCGCACCGAGCCTTATAGCAACAATCGAATGCAAATCGAACGGGAACTTGAGCTACTTCGTACCAAATCTGTTCCCATCGCGCCCCAGAAGACATCAGACGGCATCATTCTTGTCGATTGGTATACGACAGATGACCCAGCCAATCCTCAAAATTGGTCCAGCTTAAAGAAATATTTCGTCGTTTTCGTGATTTGCATATATACATGGACAGTGTACTGCGCAGGGCCAACCTATGCTGCCGCCGAAGAGGGGATTCAGAAACATTTTGGAGTCAGCGCCGTCGCTTCTACGGTCGGCCTATCACTTTACGTTCTCGCATATGGTGTTGGCGATCTTCTCTTTTCTCCTCTAACTGAAATCCCCATTATCGGCCGAAATCCTGTCTATTTTCTAACATTTATTATTTTCTGGGTTTTATCCTTTCCTGCGGCCGTTGTGAATAATTTTAGTGGACTCTTGGCTTTGAGATTCTGGACTGGATTTTTCGGCAGTCCTGCTTTGGCAAATGGAGGAGCAACCGTGGGAGACATGTTTTCTCTGATTTACATACCTTTTGGGCTCTCGTGGTGGGTATTCTCTGCCTGGGCCGGTCCTGCTTTCGGGCCGCTTATCGGAGGCTTCGCTGCACAGGCTAAAGGTTGGCGATGGCCTATGTGGGAGATTGTTTGGATGGCTTCAATTGCCCTTCTTTTCCTCTTGACTCTCATGCCGGAAACCTCTCCTTCGAATATCCTGTTGAGGCGCGCACGACGGTTGCGCAAACTAACAGGCGAATCAAGGCTTCAGTCCCAAAGTGAAATCGATCAACGTCATATCAAAGCCACTGAGCTACTTGTCGCCACACTGATCAGACCGATGCAAATCATGATGAAAGATCCATCGATTTTCTTTGTCAATCTTTACACAGGCTATTTTTATGGAGTGTTTTACACCTTTTTTGAAGTCTTTCCTCTCGTCTTTCCGGTCTTCTACAGTTTCAACTTGGGACAAACTGGTTTGACTTTCTTATCTTGTTTCATTGGTGTGAGCATCGCCATTGGTGGCTACTTCATCTATCTACAATTCTACATGATGCCAGACAATCTCAAAAACGGATTCCGGGAGCAGGAACATCGACTTGTTCCAGCAATTGCAGGCTCATTCTTGCTACCAATCGGTCTTTTCATATTTGCCTGGACCGCCAATTCGAATATTCCTTGCGCGATACCTCTGATTGGAGTCGGAATCTTCGTCATCGGTCATTTCTGGGTTATGCAATCTCTTTTCATCTATCTCCCATTCTCCTATCCAAAGTATACTGCTTCTCTTTTTGCGGGAAACAGTGTATGGAGATCCGGAGTTGCCTGTGGCTCTGTTATCTTTGCGAGACCTTTATTCATCAATATGGGTGTCAACAAAGGTGTCTCCCTTCTTGGAGGCTTGAGTGTCATTGGAATTTTTGGAACAACTGCTATCTACATGTTTGGCAAAAAGCTACACGCCCGGTCCAGATTCGCACAGAGCTAGAATGGGGACAATCGATTGAAATTCAGTAGCTGCCCGGAGATTCTATTTCTCTGTTGTCACCTACCAATCCATTCGGCGTCGAAGCCTTGTCTCTCAATCGGTCAATCAGTCATAAATTAATGCATATTTGGCATTTTTTGTTTTTAATTTATAAGATATCAATCGACTCTAAAAAGTTATTTCTTTTGCCTCGGCGTCTAGGTAGTAGCATCATTCTCGAGATAAATCTACACACCCCGTACTTGAAAATAACCCAAACTCTGCCTAAATTAGTTATCAGTCTAGTTTAATGGTGTAAAAATATTAATTCCTGAGTAATTTTGGTTGATCTAGTATTCTCTGTAATTATTCAAAGTTACAGTATTTACTACGTCAAAGGAGATTCTTATCTATTACTCTCTGGTGAGGAATATTCTCGTAACAGGCTAAAATTCACCTCACAACTCTGGATCTCTATTGATTCTAGCCAGTGCCTATTATATACCGTCTCCCATCGTTGTCGACTCTTTACAAACGTCAAAAGTCACTGCAACTGCCAGTTGCGCGATTGTTGCTTCCGCCGATTTAGAAAATGACAACTTGACACGAGAATTGAACGTGAATTGCCGCCAAACACATATCAAAAGCAGTCAAAAATTCGGAGAGCAGTTCTCAATTGACTTCCAAACCCGATAGAGACGAGATTGTCGACGCAAGAACGTAACTACGGTAGGCAGGCGTCGCTGGAGTCCATATTGAAGACTTCAATAAAGTTCAATGGAACGACAAAGGACATTCACGGCACAATTAGAGGCAGTGGACGGAATGAAAAAAGTTCTGGTTTCTGCACGCTCATTTGGAACATCCGATATTGTTGAAAGCTTGAGATGAATATTTTGGACCATGACGGAAATTTTCAACAAGTGATCAATTGCAGACAGGCTTATCTTGTCGCTGAATCAAGTATAGTCTTTCCTGGGAAGGCTCGGACCATGGAGGAATACATCATGAAAAGTTGTCGAGCCAGTCGAAGTATTTGACGAGTGGCTGGATGTCTTGATGAAGCTTTTGGGAGAGTTGAATGCGAAAAGACCAGAAATTGGAGTGGCTAGAACCAGCGTTGGTCCCACATTGCCGCTGAGCACAGTGGCTAAATTCAATCAAGATGCCGAGGAAATCTTAGGAGCATACAACGGAAGAAGTCTAGTGAGCTGTTAATATAGCAGCCTGGACTTTGTACAGCCTAAGTAATGTAATTGGAGGATTGAAAGATTTGTAATTTCGAGTTGCATGAGAAGCATACTGTAGCTCCACCTTATCTAGAACTCTGTTTGCATCCTGAAAGAGATATATATTTAACTAGCAATGAAATATGGATAATTCAGAAAATCTTGTGAGTGGGCTGGTTATCACTAATTATCACTGATTACTACTTTGAAATATGAACGTATCACGCCACTCCCAATTCAAACACCAAGCCCAAATCTAGACCCTTCCTTCAGGATGCGAGTACCACTTTGTTCCATACAACAGCTACATTGAGCCAGCGGTCAGCTGCCAGAACCGAAAAATTAAAATAAGATAGAATTTATGATTTTCCGTTTCAAAGGCCTGGCTAACATCATCCAATTCCATTTAATCTGCATGTGCATGAGGTGGCGTAGTGCTAACCTAAGATAGTAGACTGATGCCAAATTCATTAGCCTAATGACGAAGTCTAATTGCGCCAACAGTAGAATACGCATCAACAAAGAATTCTACACAGGTACTAGTATGGTATTCTCGTTTATCCGGCACTTTATAGTTTTGCTTTGTTTGGGCCATTAAAGCGTATGCGGCAAATCATGGAGATTTTTCCAAGGAGAGGTATTGATACGTTCGCCAATCTGCACACAATCAGTAAAGGCAAGGCCAAATACGCAGACGGCATTTGTCAGAATGAGTAATCTATTGCCAGCTTTTCTCCGCTTTTTGCTGTACAATTCGCACATGGCGGTGTATTGGAACACTAGGTTCTGTTAAGTAACAATTACTAAAAAGACTAGTTTCAAAAGCTAACTAGAGTCAAGTTCATTACGTGCAATTTTTTGCATGGTTTTGTCTTACTTGTTTAATCTCTTTGTAAGTAGCGATTCTAAAACGTTCAGAAAACTGATTCCATTCCCTTAGCTACGCCCTGTAGCTTTAGGTGTTACACATCGGCCCCTAATTCCTCATGACTATGCCAAGTACTCTCTATTAACCCTCTAATATTGTAACTTATCTAGCTAGCAATGTGGGGTATTCAGCGAACCATAAGTTAATTTTATTTGATTACCCGCACGATACCATTAATGGGCATAATAAATAGGGTAAACTAACGTTAATGTTAGCTGAAATTTAGGATGATAAAAATTTATAGCACTATCAAAAAATACACATGGGTAACTTGCGAATATATATAACTAACTTATTTGAATTATAAACAGCTTCATTAAATTTCTAAACCTCATAAGAATGCGTGAGTTTACTGTCGTATTCGGGGTGGTCGGGTCGCTTGTGGATTAGTTACGTTATTCTGCTAAAATATTTGTAAGCACCGGAGCTAGCTGTAACTAACTATTAAAGAAGTGGCTGGCACACTTGCTTTAGCTAATCTAATGTAACTGCCTCCTGTAACTGCCTCCGGATTCTCGAGTTTCCTTATCCAAGGTGACACCGAAAACACAAAATATCAAGAAACGCGGTCTATTGTCTTCAATTTTGTTTCGAATTGTACATGCAACTGAACGCTTCAGCATGACGGATTCCAATTCTTGTTTTTCGCAAGGTACTTGTCTTCATTTCGGCGAACAAGATTTGCTCTTCAGCACTCTTTCAACAAAAGGACTACCTTATGTTCAGCCGCACGCTAAACAAGAGGGCCTTTCTCAGCCCAAGATAGCTTTGGCCAGTTGCCTCAGCCATGCGTCGTCATGTCCTCATTCAACATCTTCGTCCTCTGAAAATGACCAGCCTTTGATCCATAAATTTGGATGCGAATGTGCAAGAGGTGTCTTCTCTGATCTCAGGTTTGATGATACCCTTACATTCTCATATTCACGTGACCCTTTGTATGAGTATATCTTGAAAGAGCAATGACAATCTATTGGCTGACAACAATAGAGATACTACATCACACGACACTGAGCGAAAAGTGGAGAGCAGCGTAAACGATAATCGAATAGTTAGAACATTTAAGGGAAAGCCTTTCCCTCTGAAACTAGACTCAGTGAGCTCTCTATTTCCTAGCATCCTCCGTAGCGCTTAGTTACTGATCTTTTCAGAAACGCAAGGCATCGAATCGCGCAGCGCAGCGTGCTTTTCGTGAACGCAGAAAGAAGTATCTGAAAGACCTCGAGCACAAAAAGGCAGACCTTGAAAGGTCATCAGAGTATGTGACACAAGAGAACCAGTTACTACATACAGAAGTGGAACAACTGCAGGTTGAGTTAGAGTACCTCATACATCTCTACCGCGCTCGACTGGGAAATATCATGCTACTTTGTGAATGCTTTCAATGAAACTTCATATTCGATATTAGTTAATTTATGAGATCATCCCCTTAACCGGAAAGGAATATAATATAATTGAAGACTGTTACGAAAAATCAGACTTCGATTAACAGCTGCATCATCATTTTTGAACCAAATAAAATACTGGAATATGACTTTTCGACTAGCTAACTCTTTATACCATTCTCGTCTTATAGAATTCCTCAAAGAATGCAAAGGGTTATTCTGAAGAAAAAGTTTGAAGGGGGTAGTAAAAAACACAACAACAATATCCCTAGATTAAGCAACATGGTTACTAGAAATGCTCCCAAGACAAAGAGAACTAGTAGCTAACAGAACTAGACTCAGGAAGCTGATATGTTCTTACCCATTCCTCGAGAGTCTCCACAGGACTCACTTGCAAGCTCTCCGCAGTCAAGATGTTAACTCCAGGTTCAGTCCACTCCTGGATAGGGACAAACTTAAAGTAATCCATCATAAGAGCAAACTCTTCAGACCAACGGGGCCACGGCCACAAGGCGTTATAGCTCTGACGGGAAGTTTGCACTAACTGTGCCTGAGCGCCCCTGGCCGCAGCCCATTCCTCAACCCACTTTTTGGCTGTCCATTGTCCAATACTGCCGATGACGATAGTGCCATTTTTTGTCTTTCCTGGATTGGAAATGATGGCCTTTATAAAAGGAGTCATGTTGTCCACAGAACCGATGAATGGAATGATAGTTTCGGGATCGTAGGTGGTGAACTGAACATACTGCTTTGCTGTCTCAATCCAGTAAGGGCGGAAAGAGGCGATTTGCAGATTATTGGCATAGAAACATGTCATGAACAGCGTAGTCCTTTGTAGCAAGAACGGATCAGCTCAAATGACATCGTCAACTTCGGATTTTCCTTCAAAATGGTAGACTGGGTATTGCTTATTTCCCTTAGGCAAAGTACTCCAGATATAGTGTTCAAGAGTTGCAGTTGCCGATGCTGCCTTGGCGAGGTTATTGGCCTGCTGGAGTTCGATCTCCTTCGACTTCGTGGGCCCATGGGTTGGAAAAAGATTCCAGTAGTCTGTAACTCCGAAGATGACGTGTGAGCCTTCGAAAGCGGTGATGAGAGACTTGAGGTCATTAAGATCGGCTTTCACGACGTCTATACCCTGAGAGGCAAGAGTCTGCGCGGAAGCGCATTCGGGGTTACGAGTGACTCCACGGATGCGATACTGAGCATCTCCGGCAAATGCTGCGATGACGGCCTTGCCTTGTTGACCTGTGGAGCCGACGACGGTGACGATCTTTTGAGACATAGTGAGGAGATATCGATCCTCTATGAGGCTTGCAAGATTTCCTTCAATCGAAATGATGATACTGTTCTTGTTGCTTGATACAGATTATTGTGTCTCAATCATGGGATTTTTTATAACCCTGTAAGACGATATACTGATTTCAAATCAGCGAATGAGTTCGGTAGCCTTCTGTTGATTTCTAACAGCTTCGGACTTATGGAGCGAGCCTAGAACATCTAGAATTATTCGTCAAGGTTGGAATACCATGTTCCCTTTGCTTCCGGTCGGTTTCAGGTTGCATTGCACATTTGCGACTTCAGATCTATGATTGGCTAACCTACTGATTCTTCTATTCGAAACAAGAAAAAGCATTAAGTTTAACGCCAAATTCGGAGATGTAGCATGACCATGGTGAGCTAGTGTAAGTATTCCAGCTCTCATGTGATATCGCCGAAGACAGTCGCAGTTGACTTTACCTAATTCGGTAGTTATATGACTTTATACCTTACCCTTTTGAGTTAACTAGTTACTTAGATTCTTATTTGATTACATACTATTGCGTGAAGTTGACTATGTTGAGCCTTAATACGAGGAGTCTTGATGATCATTTCCGTGTCCATTATAACACTATCAGCTCTCTAAGCAAGCTCATGGAGCAGCGCGGCTCGCCACAGCGTGTGAAAATGGAAATATGGGATAACTTTTTACATGTCCTTTGGCGCATGAGCGCTCACCTAAGCTCAATTTTTGAATTATAAATCATTCACATATTTCATATCTATTAAAGGGTCAACAGACTCCCAAGTAAAACTGGTCAAACTCGATAGGTTGAGTTTGCCAAACACAATATGAAAATTACCGGAGAAATTTTCGACTTTATCGTCGTTGGCATTAAACATCTCTCTGGCCAGATTGTTGCACTGTTACTGACAAATTCGACTGAAAGGTGGCCCAGCGGGTAGCGTTCTAGCCACTCGACTGGCTAACGCTGACCTCAAGCCGTCTGTACTCCTCATTGAAGCTGGAGGGCCCCAGCCGAGCAATGAATCACTGTCCCTTGCCAACCGTTGGGATTCAGATACATCTCACGCTGATATCAACTGGAATTATGTATCCTTGCCCGAACCAGAACTTAACGACCGCCCTATCGATGTCAGTCGAGGCAAAGCCCTGGGTGGTACCTCCAACATCAATTATCTCTGTTGGACACCCCCGACCCCGGAATACATTGCCGAATGGCAGGCTAGAGTCGGCGGCGACTCGTTCTTCAACTGGAACGACACTCAGCGCCTACTTGATGGCCTAGTGAATTATAATATTCATACTCTCACAGGGAATTCCGAATATCCGTTACATGCCATGACTGATGTTCCTCTGAAAGATTTCGTCACCGATATTCCGCGAGATGCAAACGGGCCGTTCAATTTGACGTACAGTACATATCTCAAACAAGGAGACCTCAAGCTTCTCCAGGGCGCCGAGGAAGCTGGCTTCTTGCAGAACAAACATATCGTTGCTGGGAGCTCGCTTGGTTATGGCATTATGGCCTCAATGTCCACGGCGAACGGCTATCTCCGCTCCACACCATCTGAGGCATTCCTCACTGACAAACCGGACAACCTAGTAATCAAGACAGGGTTAGAAGCCACGCGCATTCTTTTCGAGGGCAAGACAGCCGAAGGGGTCGAACAAAATGGCGGCGAGCAATGTTTCACCGCTAGATTGGAAGTCATCTTATCTGCTGGGTCGATCAACACACCAAAACTGCTGATTCTCTCCGGCGTTGGACCAAAAGTTCATATTAAGGAGCTTGGAATTCCACTAATAGCCGACCTTCCTGGCGTCGGACAACATCTCCAAGATCATTACGCAATACCTTTTCAGTGGGAGACAAATGAAAGCTTCGCCGACACATCTGTCCCGGCTGTGTTCGAACCAATCGCAAACCAAGACCTATTTAACGCGGTCGTCATCTTCGATCGCGACAAGGCAATGGTAGACCACGCCTGTTTCTCCGAACTCCCACTCGCAACGCAGCGCTGGCTAGGCCGCAAAAATGCACCACATCTCGAGCTGCTCGCCGTAAATAACTGGAAACCCGGACCTAGCCCGCCTGGTAAACCAAACATTTTTCTCGTCGCCGTTGGCCTTGCCCCCCAGTCCGAGGGTAGTATTATCCTCCCTTCAGCCGACTGGCATGATGCGCCGAATATTCAATTGAATCTTCTCAGCGATAAACACGGGCTGGATTTTACTTCCGCCATTTCATATACTCGCAAAGCCCTCGAGGTGATTGAGCATACCGATTCTGTGTCGCCGCATATTGCCTCACCAAGGATCCGGCCTAATTCAGACAGTGAAGCGGATATCGCTGCTTTCCTGCGCGAGCATGTCATGACCCTTTGGCATCCAACTCAAACGACACGGATGGGCCCGCGAGATGATGAGGGCGACAGTGTTGTTGATCCGTCGTTCCGGGTCCGTGGTTTGAACAAATTGCGTATTGCGGATCTTGGCGTTGTACCTGTTATGCCAAATAGTCATCCGGCATCGGTAGCTTTGTTAGTAGGAGCCTGGGTCGCTGAACGGATCATTTCAGAGTATAGCCAGTAACGGTATTTAAATAGACAGCAATAAGCTCTGCCGTGTCTCGCTGTGTGAGATGGGTCGGGCTCGTCACTTAGATTATGTAAATCAACATCCCATATTTTTGCAGCGCAGCAAGTTCTTTGGTTACTGTAACATAAAATTGACTACATTTGATCAATGCGAAACCCCGATCTCACCAATTGAGCAAAATTCACATCAAATAGGAACGATGATTGCTGACTCGTATTAAAATGGCAATGATTATCGATCTTATACGTGGTTGGTTCACCGCCGCCCGCCATGTGTGTTGCGGATCCCGTACGTGTTCTGCAGTGTGGGTTCCCCTGAGTTTCAGCGAGCGCTGGTTTGTTTTAGGTTTGGCATCAGACAGAACGTGCGGGCCATTCAGGGTCACTAGGCCTTCACTGCTGTTTCTCCCCATATTATCTCAAGTAACGATCCGATCATCCTAATGGCGAACAATCTATATGTTGCAAATTTGCTAGGCCCAGAAGGGTCTCGGCTCCGGATTCTCGAGCGACTGCATACTAGAGAAGAGCCGGACGATAGGGATGTTGATTGCAAAGGCGTGCCGAGACCATTGATCAATTAGGGACAAGAGCGGGAATTCTGGTGCATGAATTATTACATATGGCGACAAATGGCATGAATGAGTAAAGAAATTCGAGAAGTGGATACAATATTTGTTAACCCATTGAGTCTTATAGTCGAGGATATGTCGATTAAATTGGATGGAATGACCGTTGTTTGCTTGGATCGCGAAGACTGTCTCCAGTGTGCAAACGCCGAGGATGGCAAGTATCTTCAGAAGGCGGTTAAGAATGCGGATAACTACAAATTGTTTCCAGAGGGTGTGTTATTGAATAAGGTTGATTGGTGGCTACAGGGGTGGGACGAGAGTATGAAGTACGAATAATCTGAGCAGGCTTGAGTGTTCTTCGACGTGGATATCAATTCGACCGGCAACTGCACTTTATTTATAGGGGTGTTCACGATAATCGGTCTCGACGATATTATCGCACGATAACTATCATCGAGATTTTGTTAGACGACACGATAATGCGATGATTTATGCGATAATTATCGTCAGACCGTTGGACTGCAGTCTGATGCTCCGTGGAGGCCGCTTCCAGTGGCCGTTGCTGCCCCGCCGCGTGCGTGCCCCGAACCGAGGGGGGTCCCATTACTATAGGAGGGGGGTTCGATTCTATTGGAGAGGGGGTTGGGTTCGCGAGATCGATAAATCGCTTTGTGATCGATCATATTAGAAAACGCGGCGCGACGCGTGGTATTGATTTCATAGAGAGAGGGAGAGAGGACTATATATCTGCGAATAAGAGCTAATTCTTTGTTATCACCATTGCGTCTCCTCTTAAAAGGCCAAAATCTTGATCTCTTCCCCTTCGCCTTCGCGCGAGGGTACGATAGGTGTAGATCGATCGACTGCGCGCTAAAATTCTTCTTTCGATATGGACCTATTTACCTTCTACGGACACCTTCGCGTCTAGATCTGCCAACCCTGCGCGATAGGCATAAACCCGCACTGGATTGATGGCCATCTACGTAAGCACCACAAAACCTACCCGACCGCGAGGACCGACGACCTCCGCCGCGCCGCGCTTGTAGCGGCTGGGACAGTCGTCTATGTATGAAATGAAAGAAATGCCCAAGAAATCACAATTCCCACGATTGTGAGACTCAGTTCAAGCACAAATGACATTTATCAGCGAGCTATAGGATTTTGACTAAGCGGTAAGGAGTTATTACAGCCGGATATAGGAGACCATAGTTCGTTGGAGAACTCGGAGCCGTGGGGGCACCAAATATGCCTGCCGGCGGCGATCCGCTTGAGACAAGGTCTTCCCAAATTGGTGCTAACACATTTGCCAATGTCGTAGACACTGTAACCTGGACTTTATTGATACCGTGCCGAAGGTACTTGCTGATATCAGCTGTAGCCGAAGTTGTGTCCAGCGGTGGAAGTGAGTATCCATTAATCCCAACGCGGATTGTGTGAACAACTGGGCCAAAAGAGAGTAGAGCACCAGAAGCATCATCGGACGGGGGCCATTCAAATATCGTCTCGTAGTAGCCACGGCCAGACACGTTTTGAAGACCACTGATCTCCTGCCAGGACACAAGATCTCCAATCAGGTGAGTGGTGTTGTGCTTGATGGCCGTGACAGCCGGCTGATAGAGCGGCGAGGGTGGGTCCCAGTGCTCGACTATCAGTGTCCAATTCCCAAGCTTAAACGGTTTGGCAGAAGTCGATGGCACCTCGTGTGTCGTTCCAGTGGAAGTTTTGATGAAGCCTTGCGCGCCGCAACCAACGTGAGCTTCTAAGCCGAAGGAAGAATTGGTGATGGAGAGGACGTTTGAGGAAGCAGAAACTGAGTGTAATCCTGGCCTCTCGTGATTTTTGAAGGCTACGATGATGCCTTGGTTTACGGCAAGGCGGAAAAAGATTGTCGTGGCCGAGCTGGTTTGCGTGTAGTTGAGGATTGGGGTCTCAATTCCGCTCCAAGCATCCAAAAAATAAGGTTTTCCGGTTGAGTGAAATTCGACAGTCCCTTCGCTGAAGCCAGGAGCGCTGACAGTCGACATGGGAGAGTCGTTGTACACAAAGATATAATCCTCATTCTTGTGGTCATCCCGCCTCCAGTGGGTGTACCAGGTTCCATCAGTGTCTATCTTTGTCAGTGGCTGAATTCCCAGAGATGAAATGCTGTCTGCCAAGTTATCGTAAGGCACATGATGAACGTTCCGCAAGTGGCTTATGCTTTCCAGTGTCTTGTTCACGTACACTGCGCCTTTAGAATTAAAGCTAGCCAGGTAGGTGGGTATGCGGCCTGAGAACACAATAGGCAGGCCTTGATGGGCAAATTCTGCAATTCTTTCCGCACCCTGAACTGTCATAGTATCGTTGCCTCGAACAATAAGAGTCTTGTAAGACTGCAGCTCAGGAGCAAGGAACCCGTCCTTTACGTAGGCTCCAGGCAACGCAAGATTGTCGGGGTTGAGGTAGCCGTAACTATAGCCTGCATTCATGTCAGGATATAATTGTGCCAAAAACAATTTAGTACTGAATTTTTCAACATACCAGCATCTTCCAAATCAGTGGGCTGATAGTTCCTTGGAATTTGAGGATAAGTAGTAAGTTTTTGATAGAAAGCCAAATCCAGTTTGGGCACTCCTGACTGGAAGATATATTGAAGCCTGGCAATATATCCTATGGAGTCAGAGTAAAATTCCCATCCTGGTTGATGCCTTCCGTGCATCTCGGCGAACGCGTAAGTAAAGGTGGTGAACCCGGGCCACGTAGTGTTTGGATACTGGAGGCTTGTTAGTGACCTTGACCCGACAGCAGTTTGCCACAACGACAGGGAGGCAGTTGGACGTACATATCCCGAATAAGGTAATCCATGAAAGACAATATTATTGACAGACCCAACGATAGATCGTCGGAAAGACCAAACAAGCTCTGGCAGCGTCTGTTGGTATACCCTACTAGCAACCGCGTCACATTCGGTGGAAATTACACGTTTGCCTGCCATATTAGCTGGTGAAGTGTATTGTCTGTAGCTGTCGATATTTTCGGAGAAGGCGAGACACTCCGTCTCCGGGGCATTCGCTTTGGGTATGACAGTTTGCTACCAGAGTCAGCCATTGGTATGGTCATCGGGGGGAGCCAGTGTAAAGAACCATATCAACAGCCATGTTATATCCAATTTGTGAGCTCCATTGTATGTCGAGATAGGCATTGGCCCATTGTGTAAGAGCTTCCACATATTCGGCATAACCCTCCGTCAGCTATACACCCGTTAGCCCACGTAGCTCCAGCGATGTACCACGTCATGACAAACCGTGGTGCGGTAGTCCGCAATGTGGCTGTTCCCAGCATCCGATTCGTCGGTTATGTACCAGGTGGAATAATGCTCGGTTAGGGAATTTTGGTGAAACAACAGGGGGTACCATTTGTCGACCGAATAACCGCGCCTCTTTTCGAAATTCTCAGGAAGCTCCTTCGTCCAATACAGGTCCGGGTCGATTTCAATACTGTCCTCCCACGCATAGTTGCCAACCTTCATTAGAGCCTCTTTAGTACCACCTACCAATAGATATTTTTCCCAGAAATCAGTCATAAGGTTTGCACCACGCGCAGAAAAATGGTCAACTGTCCATGAACCGTTCTGAATGAAATCCTTTGGAGGCGTCTGCGGGCCCAACAAAGAGGTAGGCTGTGCCTGAGCCAATGCGTTGAGGTGGTAGAGATATACACAAAAGATGAGGCGTTCCATTCCCACGTCTTCGCTAGAAGCGAAGTCCACTTCTAAGTGTCCGTCAGGGCCAACTTTGTCGGTTAATAACTGCAAACTTTTTGTCGCGAGAGTTACTTGCGTCCTGTTAGAGGCCACGTCGTTGGGTAAGCTTGGCTTATTACCCGATGTCACCACGGAGTCTGTGACGGTTGCAGTAATGACAGCTTGAAGTTTGCCAGTGTTCCAGCCGGGTACTGTGTCGTTGAATGAGCCGTTGACAGCAATGGAGGTCTCACTGAGCCTGAGGTCCCACAGAAGACCATCATCACCCTCATGTGCAGGGACTCCTTGGCCCTGATTTGGACCCATAGCGAAGTCCATGATCAAGTTATGCTCAATGGTGGTCTGAATTACAGCGTCAAAGAGTTTTTCTGTCTTCGTTAGCGGCCACAGCTTTACTAGCTAAGGGCAGAGCCAGAACTTACTCCAAGCTGGAGTGCCCCAACCATAGGTAGACCAGTCCACGGGGACGAACGTCCCTGGATTGGCACCGTAGAGATAATAGCCGAGGAGCTCGATACCGCCAGCACCTGCAGCAGCAGCACCCTCAATATCATCGGCCACGTAAGAAAGATCGACGGAAGCGTCAGGGACCCAGTATCGAAAACGTGGTCGGACGTTCGCTGATGGATTTTGGAATGTCCCTGCCTTAATTGCGGCATTGTCCTGGTCGTCGGTATGGTTCACTGGTAAGCAAGCGACTTGCCAAGGAAGCATGCTACCGAAGAAAGCGGCTTGATAGATATTCTGGTGTCATTATGAGCAATCCCGCCCTTCTACTATAGGCTAGCAGGACTCACACGAAGTCTCATACTGAGAAATATAAGGCTTAATCCTTACTTCACGTCTAGCGTCAGACGAACGAAGAGGGCACAGGGTAATATATATATACGATGCCGAGAAGGCCAAAGGCCTGGATAGGTGGCTAAAGGTCGAAATAATGGGTGAATGAGTCGTTGAACTCTTTGCAAGTCTTCTGTTTGCGAAGACCATAGTTTATGTCGTTCTCAACTATAGACTCGGAGAACCGGATATTCGGTATTAAAGGAGCCGAGGGCAGCAGATACAAGCGGCCAAAGCTCTGCTTACCCCAGTATAATGAGGGGACGAGGGAGGCTCGGCGTTAAAAAAACCGGGGGCAGCAGACCCTGCCCGCTCGACTGTGAAGTGGTGGCTTGCGGGGAGCTCCAAGAAAGGGTTGCCAAGAAAACCCCGTCGGTCGCTCGGACATCATTAGCAGAAAGACAGATAGAGGTGCCTTGATTGGGAACGATTTTCTTGGATGTTTCGGAAGTAGAAGGCTCCGAGACTCAATTATTGAGTACTGAGAAGTTTAGCCATCGCTTACGCCAAGGTTGCATAAAGCCTAACGCCTGAAGCCGCCTAGAAAGAGGGAGTGAAACTTCCGAGTGGTCAATGCATTAAATCAGACCCAACCCCTTTTTCTAAGCCCTGCACATGTCTTCATCATGCATTTGAGAAACAAAAGTAGTGCTTACCGTGTTATTAGCGAGCGGCGTATCTACTCCGCTCCACCAATATGTCAACCCATTCATTGGCACAAAGGCACCGTGTCAGGAACTAGTTACAATAGAGGAAATACCTTCATCTTGCGTTCTATTATTGAACCTTTGAAAGTTCGAAGGCGCTATTTTATTCCAAATTGGGGACTTTGTCCACTACAACAATAATATCTTCGGCTCTTTCCCGGCTTTCCTAGACAAAGGCTAAGGCATTCGGGTTCGTCGCGCTCTCCGGCGCTGTCGCTTCAAAAGAAGTCGCGCTGAGGCGAGCGGGGTATTTTGCGGAGGCAGCGGAAAGCGCGTGATAAACCAACTTTCGAACAAGAAATTGTACGGTCGTAATGGGAGAATGCTTCGCGAGGCGAAGAAAAACTCCCCCCGCATCGTATTGTTCCAAATCCCTCTCTAGGCGACTTGGTAATCGCAGTCAGGTCGGTGGGGTGCGCGCAGCCGCCAGTCAGTTGGCGGGGGGATGCAAACTGGGGTCCGGTGTAGGTATTTAAGAGGGGGGAGCTGACGGCCCTTAGGGCCCTTAGGGGGCAGGCGGGGTCAGGGCCCAATGGGGCTCGAAGAATAGCACCGGGGCCGGGTCGTTTGCTACTAAGGTAAAAGGTAAAAGAGATAATATGACTTGTCTGAGAACAATCAAATCATAACTTAAATTGATTAAGGTAAAGAAGATGACGCTACTCAGGTTACCCTTATGAAGTTACTACGTATTATGCCTTTGCGGAGCAGAGATAGGAAAAGGAGTAGCGTGCGCGAGAACTCGTAGCTGATTTGGCAGTGCGAAAGACGAGGATCTTGGTTCTAGATTTATCAATTCTATACCTCTTCAGTTAAATAGAAGTTGGATCTCTACTGCGAATAAGAGAAAGTTGCTTCTCGTTTAATACAAACAAGCCAAAATTTCTCATCCTGTTCTTCATCCTCAGCTGCATAAGATAGAGTGCCGTAACTCACGCATTCGAATCATATAGTGTTTGGAACTTTGACATCTACCTTCACGCCCCTCGCCTCCTGAACATCGACGTGGTATGTTACTTTGTCATTTGTAATTTTCCAGCTTGCTTCGATCCACCCACCTGAAGACAGTGGAACTCTCCCCTTCACCCAAGTCAACCCCAAGCCCTGTGCGACTTCCAGCGCTGGATCAAACACCCAGCGGTATTTCCCTGTCACAGTGTTCAACTCGCTCCGGACTCCAAGAATATAGTTGGACAAGGCGTACGTCGCGCCCCCTCCCCATGGATGGGATAAGCTCGTGAAGATTCCAAGACCGGGGCTACCATCTGCATGAACATACTCCCAACTGGCCCCAGTGCTATATTCATTCTGACTGAACATTGTAGGCCAGAATACATCCAGCATATTTTGAATGACCGGCGTCACCACATCCGCCGTCACGTTCAGTTCCGTGTGGGCCAGGAAAACAGATTCGAGAAGGAACCCTTGAGTATTCGGTGACAGAGCTGTGCTAGCTCCGTTTCCTACATTTGTCGCGTCCTTGTACCCGATCAAATAGAAGAGGGAGCTGAGATTTTCTATACTACTCGTAGCTTGACTGCTATTAGCAAAGCCAGCTCGGATAGTAAACGCAGTTGATAGCAAGGAAGTAACATCCCCACCACCAAGCGCTATCGCGTAAGCGCCGATGGTTGAGTCCCACAGCTGAGTATTGATTGCAGTGCCGATGTTCGCATGGAGCGCCGTATAATAATTAGCTGTTTCTGTATCCTTCAGCGTCTTTGCAACAACTATGAGCTGTTTTAGGCCGGTAGCAAATAGAGCAGTTGGTGCGGTGGCGTTTTGGTAGCCCTGGGCGGTGAACCAGGATGCAGATGAGTTTGCTAGAAGGCCTGTTGAGGTATCAAGATATGCCGAGACTATGGCTTCAACCAGCAACTTGGTTCTGCTCCAATGCTTTTTCAGGAGAGCAACGTCAGATGTCAGAGCGAAGTAATCTCCAAGAGTCAGAAGAAAGAACAGTTGATAGTCAGTCTCGCCATACTGAGCAGGGTAATATGCTTCCTGGTATTGCGGAGCTGAGCCCATGGAATCCTGAATTGGGACTAGACCAGCTGCCGGTCCCGTAGTAAATTGACCATCAAATGTGAACTCAATCATGCTCTGGATAAAATCGTACCGGCCTGTACTAACAGCCAATTCTTTAGCCGTGTGTGCGAAATCGCCAATCCATATCTCCCGATCTCTCTTCGCCCCATCCAGGCACACCGCTTTAGTATTGGAAGCCACGAGATACTCTGCTAGAATATCCGTTGAAGTGAGTGAGTTTGAATAAAGGGTACTGCCGTTTTGTCCAATAACTTCCACGTCCTTGACATATGCCGCCTGATCCATAAATGGGCCGAATCCCCATGACCCTGTTGTGATGAGGTTTGTGCCGCCAAAGCCTGCGTTAACCCATGGCTGGAAAGTGGTATACGGAACATAAGCAAACTGGGTGCCGTTGACGGAAATATTGTATCCTGATGCTCCGATGGTAGTGCTAATTCGATACCACTCGTTCTCCAAAATTGGAGACGGGTTCGGGTAGTGCAGCGGATCAGCAGACGACAGATAGAAGTTGATTATGCTGAATCCATATCCCGCAGTTAATGTGTCTGGCGGAGCTGCAGCGGTATTGGCGTTCAGTAATTGAGGGCCATTGCTTGTGAGCAAGAAGTATGCTCCGTACCCGGTATTATGGCCTGCAGCGACTCTCCAGCCAGTTCCGCCCCTGATGATCTTTGTGGAGAAAGACATTGTGTAGTCTCCAAAGTCCATCCCCAATGCTGAAACACCAGGGTATTGGCCCCGAACCAGCGCACCATCCTTGGAAATCTCCCAGGTCGCAGGCTGCGAGTATGCATCAACACAAGCAGCCTGTACAGCGCGGGCGCCAAGACCCCAAACTTCGTTGTAGATGTCCTTGGAAGCCGAGAAGCTTCCTACAAGCTGATCTGCAGGCTTTATGTCGACGGATGCCCTGAAACCGGCGTTGGAAATTGTGACAGAAGTATCATTCGAGAGAAGTATTATTGATTGCCAACGCTGCCCGCCCTGAATAAAATACGATTCCGTTGCGCCAGTCTGAGTGATGTTGAATGTCTCGGTCCGAAATGAATTCATAAGGCCATTGGTATAGAGCCAGGGTCCATCTCCCGTCTGTTCATTCAGACCATTGAACGGCTCAGAGTATTTGAGCTCAATCTGGGCGGAAGCTCCTGCGAGCGCTGTCACGTCGAAATAAGGAAACCCCGCCACCTCGGCTCCATAATCGAGAGTTAATACGGGCATAGACGAATTCAGAGTAACTTTTGTATTTTTCGAGTATGTTTGGAGGCCATCAATAATGGGTGCCGTTCCGACGCCAAAAGACACTGGCGTGTAAGAAGTTCCGGATGCTGGTGCTGCATGCACAATACTGGACAGCGCCAGTCCGAACACCACGGCTCTCTGAAGAAGAGAGTAACTTGCTGGCGAGTTGCGCATAATTATGACAGTGACGAAGGCAGCCAGAGCAGCGAATAGACCAACGTATTTTATCTTGCATTTATAAATGAACGTGGGGGCAGCTCCCTAGGCCATCCTTTAAAGATGGATCTCGGCGCAATACTAACCGGGAAAACGGGCAGTTAGAATCCTGTTTTTCCGCTGTTTATCACCACGTCAGATGTGAACCTTTCCCAGCCCACACAATGGATGCGCAGCTGTATTTCGAGGTATTGAGCATCCCTCCACCCTCTGTAGTTTATCTTCCGTGTGCATCGCACCAAGGGCTGGAACACGTTCGTAGCTCCTTATTTATTCGCATTTTCCATTAGTGCCCCTAACACACCTCTTTCTGTCGCTCAATTGACCTGCTCGTCCGCGAATACTCCGAATCGCTACCCCGCATACTACCCTACCCCGGGTAAGATGATTTACTCTCGGTAGAACGCTCGCCGAGAGTCGACCCTATCCAAATACACGTCATCTTCAACATAGGTAGTATGTATTAAATAGACCGGAGAACCTAATATCATGTCATATATCATAGTCTAAGAAATGGGGTTCGTCTAAATCGCTCGGAACCTGCTGTCTGGGCGGGATCTTCACTTTTTCAACAATGCAGCTACTTTCCGTCTTAGTCGTCTTCGCCGTTTTTGGCCACTGTCATGGCGGAACACAATATAAAAGAATATCAGAATCCCAGGAAAATGGAGCTCAAGATTGGACGTCGGCTTATAAGAAAGCTCGGGCCATGGTGTCACAGATGACACTAGAAGAGATGAACGGATTGACATACGGAATTGGTTCCTCAACAGGATGCGTCGGGACTTCAGGCGGTGTTGCCCGTCTAGGATTCCCAGGGTTGTGCTTTCAAGATGCCGAGAATGGAGTCCGGTCCGTTGATGGAGCGAGTTCATTCGCGTCTGGGATTCACGTTGGAGCGTCATGGAACCCCTCCGTGGCATACGAGAGAGCCCTTTACATGGGCGCAGAATTCAAGACGAAGGGCGTGAATGTGGCCCTTGGCCCAGTCGTGGGACCGATTGGACGCATCGCACAGGGCGGTCGCAACTGGGAGGGCTTTGCTACTGACCCGTATCTCACCGGCATATTAGGCGCTGAGACGGTTCGGGGGATGCAGAAGTCGGTCATTACTTCCGTGAAGCATTATATTGGAAATGAGCAAGAGACCAACCGGAATCTGGATACCACAACAAGCACAGATGCTGTGAGCTCGAATATCGATGACCAGACAATGCACGAGCTATATCTTTGGCCATTCCATGATGCCGTTGAAGCTGGCACAGGATGCATTATGTGCAGCTACAATCGCATAAACAACACATACGGCTGCTCCAACAACAAGACAATGAATGATCTGCTGAAAACAGAACTCGATTTCAAGGGATTTATGGTCAGTGATTGGGGAGCTCAACACGACCAGCTTCCATCCGCGCAAGCAGGCCTGGATGTGGCAATGCCAAACAGCCAGTACTGGCAGAACGGCGCCCTTGCTGATGCCGTTGGAAATGGAACTCTCAACAAAGATCGCCTGGTGGATATGGCGACGAGGATCGTTGCAACTTGGTATCAATTCGGCCAGGATTCTCCAAGCTACCCAGTCGCGGGTGTAGGTGTACCATCAAACCTCAATGATCCGCACGACTATGTCAACGCGAAAGACCCAGTTGGAAAACCAGCTCTCTTGCAACAGGCAATTGAAGGACACGTATTGGTTAAGAACAACGGAGCTCTCCCTCTGAAAAATCCTCGGGTTTTATCGATTTTCGGCTACGGTGCCACCGTCCAGGAAATCTATGACGACAACTCCTTCGAATTCAGCTTTAACTGGGAAATTGCCAACAATCTAACTCAGGGCCAGATTACCATCGAAGGACAGAACGGGATTGTGTCTAATCCCCCTACTACTGCAAACGGAGTGCTCATCGTCGGAGGCGGATCTGGATCGAATACTCCCTCTTATATCAGTTCGCCTTACGACGCTTTGCAAGCAAGAGCGTACGAGGATAACTTCCAATTGTTCCACGATTTTACGTCAAACAATCCCACTGTCGAAGCTGCCTCAGACGCATGTATAGTGGTCATCAACGCTTATTCCTCTGAAGGATGGGATCGCACTACTGGCCTGACAGACGCAACCAGCGATCAACTCGTTACGAACGTGGCATCGCAGTGCGCAAACACCATCGTAGTAATTCACAATGCCGGCCCCCGCATCGTGGACGCTTGGGTCGACAATCCAAGGGTTGCCGCAGTGATATTTGCGCATCTACCAGGCCAGGATGCAGGTCAGGCGCTGGGGAAAATCCTGTTTGGAGACGTCAGCCCGAGTGGTCGATTACCATACACATTGGCTCGAGATCCGACAGATTATGGCAACCTTCTTGCTCCCGGCGCTGATGGGACGCAAAATCCGCAGTGTGATTTCACAGAAAGCGTTGAGATCGACTATAGGGGCTTCCTGGCGCGCAATGTGACGCCGAGGTTTGAATTTGGATATGGACTGACGTACACCAATTTCACATACTCCAATCTTAACGATAACGTACGTGCCTCGTCTGGAGTCGGCACAGGTCAGAGTTTATTACAGACTGTTGGTTCTATCAAGGCAACGATTCATAATACAGGGAGCGTTGAAGCATCTGAGGTTGCGCAGCTATACTTGCAGCTTCCAGGGGCGAACACACGAGCATTGAGAGGCTTTCAGAAGCTTCGCATAGCGCCTGGAAAGTCGGAGATAGCACAATTTAATCTGCGCAGGAAGGATATTAGTAGCTGGAATGCGGTAACTCAGGCATGGGAAGTGCCCAAGGGAAAGATTGTTGTATATGTAGGCAAAAGCGTGCTGGATAGCCAGTTACAAGGGAGTATAACCATCTAGGGATAATCGAGATAGGGATAATCGAGATAGGGCTAATCGAGAACTGCGAGTTGATTCATAGTATAAAAATGCCTCCATGATTTAGCATTGTTATAGGTTGCAGATTACATCTAGCCGCCTAGGGACGATGAGAATGGATTTTGGGAACAGGCCCCGCAAGGTCACGTCTAGGCTAACAAGCTAAGATTCCTTCCCTGAGGGGATCTCCCCCGTGCGTGTGCGAGTGCCGGACTCGGGTGGAGGAAGGGCTTGGCGCTTAAGTGGGACCTGAGGTCTGGTGGAGGTGGGTTTGGGAGTCTATCCCCGATAGAAATTAGACTTCACTGTAGCTCAAATTTCTAACTGTTATAGAGCGACAATTAACCCATACGCAATTTGAATCTTAATCAGAAATTCGGATCAGAAAGCATAGTTGTAAGAATGTAAAGTAGTCTACTTGTTTGGTTGGGTAGACCAAGGGCGACACCCGACCGGCATCACCACACAACTGCGTCAAATCATTATATCCAAATTAGTCTGAAGCGGCAGAGATATTCCAGGGTGAACTCAGGGCCGAACCCATTTCAATTTAATAACCCGTGAAGTTCAACAAGGTTGCGACGTAGATAGATCTAGTGCAACCCATCCTCGCCTGATTAGAGATAGGGCAGATGACGAATTAGGTCCTTAATAATCGTAGCATTTGCCTATACAGGAAAGCCATTTGTCCGTAAGCTCGGACTAACCATCCTACGGAGGCAACGTCAGAGCAGGGGCAGGGATGTGAGTGTTAATAAATAATTTTTAGAAGGAGGTCGCGGCAGCGACAACTTAGTCGCAGTAGTAGGCTATCTTATTTGTCTGAATAATTTAGGAGTGGAAATGGTGAAGAGATTTAAAAGCCGTGTTAAGCTCCAGCCCCATGGCGCTAGCCCGAACGAACCAAGGAGCGGATCAAATGAGAGGGATAGAGGGGGTAAGGGGGAGATCCTACCTGGCTGTCTGAAGGCCCCTGAACTTAATTGGAAACCTCCTTTTCAGGACGTGTGCACGATTCCTAGGTTTGCGAAAATTTGACCTATATCTGGTTAGGAAAGTTATACTAAACATTTCCGATGAACGGGAGAAGGATGTTTACCGGCACGCGGCCCCCAAAGTGCGAGCGCACCGCACACCAATCGGAGTGCAGATAATGGTATTCTGGCCGAGTGTGGAAATGACAATACGGAATAAAGGGCGAAGGCAATCGTGACAATGATACCCCGAGAGCGAGTATACCGCGAATTATGCTAGCTTATTCAGAATTTAAGGGGCTGTGCACCAAGTGACAGAGACCGAGCGCAACTTTAGCGTCGCATCTTGGTCCAAATATTGCGGGGCCAGTTTGCTCCCTCACAAACTTCCTGAGTGTCCTCGGCAGCAGTCGTGCCGAAGTTGATATCCGCTACGATAAATGGCTTTGAAAGACAACAGTAGAATCTATCTCCCCAATGACAATGTCCTTCAACCAAGATGAAGCTCTTCAAAGGTGGCCATGTATTTCTCACAAGCTTGCTTATCGCAATCTGCAATGCATCAACAAAGTAAGGGAGAACAACCTCCTCAACGATTTTAATGGGTCTAAAGCTCATAGTATTAGACTTTTTCTGCCTCGGCGCTATGAAATTGGGTCTTCCCCGACATTGAGCACCAAAACGCTCCCAAAAGGCCAACCGATTACACTAGACTCTGGACGTAACATCTTGGTTACGCTAGACTATGGACTTGAGGTGGCCGGATATCCATACTTTCACGTCTCGCATGTTGATAGACCAATCCAAATTGAAGTCAAGTACACTGAGCAATTTGATGGCCTGAGTCATCCTTGGGCGGATGGGCCTTACCCCTTTGCCAACAGCCTTTCCAACACTTTTCGCGTGGAAACATTTAATGTCACTGAACCAGGAGAGATCAAGGCCTACTTCGTCCAGGGAGGCCAGCGGTGGCAATCTATTCGAGTGCTCACTGTGGCAATCTATTCGAGTGCTCACTGAAGGACAAGTAACCTTCAGCGAGATTGGATTCATACCCACTATTGACCTTGTTGATCTTGACAACCTCCCATCTACTTTCAATAGCTCCAACCCGAGATACAACAAGATTTGGAAGCTTGGGGCCAATGCAGCATCGGCAGCCTGCTTTGATGCAGAGTCTCAGAGGTCTACATGGGATGTGACAGACGACGGGGCATACATCCGCGGCCAAAAGGCAGGCACTAGTGTATTTGGCCTCTCAATGAAGGACTATACAATGAGCTTTGAAAGCAAAATTGTCCGAGGCGGAACTGGGTGGGCCATTTCACAACCCATTGGAAACACGGGAGTCTTGCTGCTGTTGATCTCCAACTTGCCTCAAAATACCTCCATTGCCAATACCAACCGAACGCTCACCCCTCCAAACTCCCTCGTTGTAGCTTCTGGATGGGGCTTCGTCAACCAGACGACCTTGGATAGTCAGGCTATTGGGAATTTCCCATTACCTTTTGAAATCGAAGAAGAGCACTGGTACAGCATTTCTACCACACTCCTAAATGGGACTCAGCTCTCCGTTGCGATTGAAGGCCAGCAAGTCTTGAACATTTCGCTGTCCCACTACGGAGTTGCCCCACAGAGTACAGGTGGCTGGGGATTTGGTCCCTACCAAGATCAAATTGCCTTCGTGAAGAATGTTACTGTACATGCCAGTAATGGAACTCTCGTCTATCAGAACAATATGACGGGCCCCAGCATCCTATCTGAATATGGGGTTCGCCACAACGTCGAATCTATATGCATGGATGGTGCTAAGAGAGACCGCCTCGTTTGGATGGGAGACTTCTTCTATACCAGCAGGATCATTTGCGCATCGACGTCTCGCTGAGATTATGTTCGAGGAACCCTAAACTATTTGATTGCAACCCAACTATCCAACGGTCAGATGAGTATTGACCCTCAAATGGGCTATAACACATCATCCCTCAAGCTAGTTACCAGCTCCTATAATGTACTCGGAGATTATCAGGTGCTGGGCCTTTTGGCTTTCACTGGGTATTTCCGTCGAAGCGGAGATGTGGAATGGGCCAGGGAGGTTTGGCCCGCATTTCAGAAGCAGATTTCCTGGATGATCAGCCAAGTCAACAGTACCACACACCTGGTTGATTTTGGCCAGTTCATTGGCCCGCCTTCTGGGACTGCCGTCAGTGCCGCCCTGGTCCAAGAGTTAAACGAAGCTGCCGAAGTGGGTGATGCACTGGATGACAAGGAAAGTGCGGCTGTTTACCGAAAGAATGCAGTGCAAATATCTGAAGCCATCAATGAACTCCTATGGAATGCAAAGCTCGGAGCGTACATGCTTACCACATCTTCCAACACCAGCTTCTCCGTTGCCGGTGTTGCATTCGCCATCAGTTCTGGCGTGGCGAACAAAATAAGGGCCACTTCTTCACTGGCTAAACTTGCCGTGTTGAAGCTTGCTCCAGGATACAAGGATGATTCGACAGCTGATGCAGCCTCTGCTAATATCTCTCCTAACACCAATGGATTCCTTCTGCTCGCGGCGCTTATGGCCGAGGATACATCCATGGCCAAATATCTGTTGGATAACTTATGGGCAGCGATGCTCAGCGACAAGTATGGGAGTGGAGCCTCCTGGGAATATGTCGGTCAAAATTCCGCGCCTGGGCTCAGCTTGTTTACATCTCTGAGCCACCCATGGTGTGGTGCGGCCACTTATGTGCTGACCGAGTATATCGCGGGAATTCGTGCACTCACCACGGGACATAAGACTTGGATCATTCAGCCTTCTTTCAGAGGCTTTGATCTTGATTGGGTTGCTGTAACGCGATATGGACAGTTATCTATGAAATGGACGTATGATTTCAACATTCTTACTGTGGAGGTTACAGCTCCACGAGGGACTTCAGGTAAATTGAAGCTTCCTGAAGATCTCAAGGTCGAAGAGGTGGTTGTGAATGGCAAGAAAAAGTCGAATAGCGATGAAATTTCGCTGCAGAGTGGACGCTCAACGGTTATGATTCAATGTGATGTGGATCAACACTCACACCAAGAAGCCATGAGCAAATTCTGAGTGGCCAAAACCCGCAGGCCAGCTAGGTATTATGTTGTATTTAATCACGTGAGTCTGGTCGTCCACGCTTCCCCGAAGAGTGATGGATTAAGGCGGGTGGGTGTGTCCGACAACAGCAAGAACCTGACAATGATGAGTCTGACTTAGATGCTATCAGAGCACAGATTTGGATCGTCTGGTAGCTTCTCTTTCTTTTCGCAAATTGGGTAGCGGTTTTGCTAATTGAATAATTCGTGGAAGACATGACACCGATAGCTTAGAGAACGCAGACGTAGACCCGAATCGTGGAAGTCCGGAACCAGATTTGAGATAAGCGATTCAACTAGATGTGAGAATACCACCAGGAGTATAGGCAACCTTAAATGGTCCTCACTCTTGCTGTAGTAAAAAGAGCGACGTTGCAATCCATCGTTACGGTCCCACTGTTGTGTTGTCATCACTGTCAATTATGGAAACCAACTGGATCAATGAGAGAGGGTTAGTCGCGGTCAGCATTGCGCCCCGTAGTTCATATCAATGGACATTGCCAAGTTCAAAATTATGCCTGGTGACAATACTGACGATATCAGCATGTCTTTGGTTAGACGATTGTCGGACAGCTGATATCGTACCGTCACCAGTCCCATGAATCATAACAGTTCTTGATACGCCAAGAGCCTGGAAATGCGGGCATACTTGTTAATAGAGCTTGTTGAAAAGACCAACATGATATTGTCTCGAGTGTGACCTGGTGACTGGTCAGGAAAACGACCAAAGAATTCAATTTGAGTGCTATGGTCGACGGGAGATCTAAGCTGAGAAAAGGAAGAATAGGCAGACGAAGAACCTCTAGTTATCTACAACAGTCTATGTTCTGTGTGACCCTGTGGGTCACAGCATAGTATTGAGCACAAGCAAGAGGCGATTGAGATGTACCTGTATCCATCGGGTCCTTCTGGAATAGAGAACAAGACTGGACGATTCAGAACGGACCTAAATCATGGATCAAGAGTATTAGAGATGCGAAGCTAGATTATTTGCAGCTATCACTCTGCTGTACAGAAGGAAATATGTTTCGAAACAGATTATGTTTTCCCAACCATTGTTCAAAGGCCTCAATACCAGAGCCCATAAACCTTAACATTCCGGTGTCAGACTCATCTAAATTCGAAAAACATACCTCAACAAGATCTTACGAATTATCTTGAGGGGCAGGGGTGAACGAGCTTGTTGGCATTTGTGTCTTGGGATTGAAAATCGAATAATCCGACTCGGCCTCGTATGCAGCTTGCTTTTGGTATCTCGTCTCCTCTGCAACTCGCCGGTGGGTAGATGGTAGCCCTGGAGTTCGAATGGATTGTGAGATATCATTTCCGATCTCGAGGTAAATTAAGGCGCTGCATGCAATACACAATACATCGGATCTGTAATTCGCATTGCACTTTGCCTTGGGTATGTGAGGCAATCTACTCGAAAAAGCTATGACAGAAGCTTACATGCCAATAGATTCCGCCCAATTGCTTCAGTATCACACACGTCTGAAAGCGCCCTCTGCTAGTTCGTATTCAACAGGATCGTTGGAGCAATACATGAGTTGAAGCTGGACGATGAGTAGTGGATGGACAGGCTAACCCTTTGACTTAGCTCCTATAATCAAGATATCCTAAGATAGACAAGCTACCCCACTGTCCAGACCCCCATACAGTAGGGTGCTGAACAAGTTACTGGTCAACATTCGCAAAAGTACAAGTCTATATAAATATGTTTAGAAAATGATTAGGTAGAAGGTTCACTCTATTCCCATGGTTTGCTATATAGACAGGCTTGTAAGAGCGATGAATGATCGCGGCACAAGCAGAAAAGATACATTGATGACCGTTCCTGAGCAAGTTCCAGAACCTCTTGCAACTTAGTGCTCTTCAACGCTAAGCATTGAAAATACCATCTTGCGGAACGATATCAGAATCTTTCTCTGCCTGTTTCCAGATATCCAATGCCGCAAGGGCCATTCGCGGTGTTATACCGACCAAGTTAGCCGCATCCACGCCCAGACCAACATCCTTAGTCATTATATGCACAGGAAACCCGTTCGGACCTAACAATTCATCCTTTGGTATATAACTGACAATGTCGCCAATGGCCGTCTGGCCAGACGAGTTGTGGATGATGTCGTGAAGCAATTTGCCATCGATACCAGATCGAACTCCAATTGCCATCGCTTCTGCTACTGCGATGAAGACTGTACAAGCAATGTAATTGTTGCTTACTTTAGCTGCCAGTCCAGCCCCAAGCTTGCCGCACCAAAAGAGTTTCTTCGGATCGCCCATAACCGTCAAAGTGTCTTGGAGACGTAGACTCATAGGATTGGACTGCTCTGGCTTGGCATGTCCAATCATAAATGACAATGTCCCTCCAGTCGCACCCGTAGTTCCGCCCTGCATGGATGGTTACTTAGGACTCCAAGCGAGATGTATTGGTCTTAACGTACTGAAACCGGCGCATCAACATAAAATCCGACTTTAGCCTCCGCCAATTTATGTGCGAATTCCGCCGCTGAAGACGGCTCCATGGTGCTAGTTTCCAATATCAACCTGTCTGGGTTCGTGCTAGCCGCAAGTACACCAGTAGCCGCATCCAAGTAGACTTCGCGCGCAGCTTCTATGGATGGAAGGCTGGATACAAGAACCTGCGCTTTCTGCACTGTCTTGTTTACCGAATCATGGATTTCTATCGGCCCATATCCACTGAACTCGTTTTTAAATTTCTCGCACTGTGGACGGCAGACATCATAAACAAAAACTGTTGAAGACGAAGGTACCTTTTTTCGAATGTTGCTGGCCATGCCGTAGCCCATGGCTCCAAGTCCTACGGGAGACTTGGGTTAGCGCTCAGGAAGAATTTTCTGCTGTCTCTCAAGATCTCACCAATAACAGCATAATTGACTTCCATCTCGGTTGGCGTCACAAATCTGTATTAATTGTAAAATGGTAACAATTAGTGGTGAGCAGGTATATCTATCTCGCCCTATGCTGATGCCTGCGGACGGCGGGTAAGATTTGCGATATATTTTGGTTTATGTCAACTGAGTTATTTAAGTATGAAATATGCGGGGCGAAATTGTAGATTCATAGGTGCTTTCTTTTGGAGCATTCTAAAACCTTGATCGGCCAGCCTACTCAGGAATCCTTTGCGCACTGACTCGCCCACCGTTCTGGGTTAAGTTGTAGCCCAATCACTAGATGGGGGTGGAGACCGCTGACTCGCTCACTAGATTCCCAGACTACGAAACGTATCAACCAAATTTACTTGGCTAGGTATAGTCGAGTTGCAAATGATAAACATGATGAAATGCATTGTGTGATTGCAGGTCTGCTGGAAATAGACCGTACGCCTTGCACATAATGTCATATCTCTTAAAGACTTACCCAGCAAAATCCCCTACATTCCTTCCTGGGATGCAGTATTGGGATGCAGTATTCCCCGATATTTTTGTGCATTGTAGGACACTGCGTCTCATCAGCCACCTCAAAAGAGATGGCTGATAGAGCATAAAACTCACGGTAAAGAGAAACATTGGCAAATTATCAGGAGTACATCTAGACGCAAACTACCCACCTAGGCCAAAAGACCACTATCACGAAGTCCTCTAACTTCGTCATATCTGAGCCCACCATATATATAGTAGTATTGCGATCGTTGGACCGCAGTCCTGACAAAAATAGATCGTATTGCATGCTAGAAACAAGGGCATGCGAGTTACTGGTCTTGATAGCATCCAGGTTACTCATCCAGGGAACTCAGACCTGCTACGGTAGAGGCATTTCTGTGTCAGTGAACGATAGTCCCAATATTAGAACCTCTTATTTCCGGTTAAAACCAGAAATTTGTCAATTAGGAGTAAACAATTATAACAGCTCCTTTAGTGTTGCAATGGAGATCATAATTCAAAGTGGTGGAGATGAACGTTGTTTTTGGTCTCCACTCGACTACCTGCACAGGGGTCACCTATCGTATCTAATATTTAAACTAAAGGAGCTGACGAGTCAGCGGTCTGTAGATCATTCTGATAGAATGTGAGTGGGCCCCGGCTTCGTTTATTCCGGGCAGGATTTGTGTAACTAAGCTGGCTCAACTTTCAGACTCTACCCCACCTTCTACTCCGTAATGCTCACTTCATTTTACATAAAAGCGAAACAGTGCTCAGCATAATTAAGCCCCACTCATTTGGCGTGTGCTACTGGTGTTCAAAGTCGGTCACTGCTGTGCATGGTCTGGGGCGGGCGATGGGGTATAAGAAACTGTCGGTGACGGGTCAGGACTGTCGAGCAAACGGTCGCTTTTTAACTACTGCTCCAAGCCCTGGTCTACGTCACGCGCTGAACATGGATCTTCTCGCCGCTCTTCAAAGCTGCTTTTTCCAGATTCTGATCTGTCTTGGCCTGAGCCTTGCCCTCATCACTGTTTACCGCCAACATAGAGGCATATTTCCGACGATCAATGATAGGAAAGCATTTGAGTTCTCCGATGAGCGGGCGAAGCGAAACTTTGTGATTAACGGGCGTCGATTGCTTCGAGAGGGTCTAGCGAAATATGGTGGCAAACCTTTCAGGATTTTGACTGATTCCGGGTACACAGTCATCCTCTCGCCTGCTTTTGCGCAGGAAACTCGTAACTTGAGCGATGTAAGCCATGTCAAGGCTATTGCGAAGGTTAGTTATAACTCTGTCTTGACTCTATATTTCGGAAGATTAACGCTATATGGCTCTTAGATGGTGAATGCTCAGTACCCTGGCATGGAAGCGTTCCGAGAATTCGCTTTCAGAGACGATCTAATACAAGACGTCGTCAGACTGAAATTGACACAAATGCTTGGTATGCTACCAATTTCAAAAGACGTGCGATTTTTAGCCATTAATCTTGAATTAGGTAGCGTTACGCTGCCGCTTTCAGAGGAGACTTCTTTCACGCTCCGCGAGACGTTTACAGACAATCTAGGTAGGTCCACCGAGTTTCTCGACACATTTTGCTTATTCTGACCTTTTCTCAGAATGGCACGCTATTGTGCCCCATAAAACGCTCCTTGGTGCTGTGGCTCGTGTCTCCTCTCGTCTTTTTCTTGGCGATAGGCTCTGCAGGGACGCTGAGTGGCTTGAAATCATTACTACGTATACCACTTACGTTACCACCGCAGTCAAGCAATACAATCAATACCCGGCGCTAATACGCCCTTTCATCGGCAGGTTTCTGCCTAGCGTCCGCGAATTACTTCGTCAAGTACAAAAAGCCGATAAACTGATGGGTGTAGTTCTGCGAGAACGTGAGGCCTTGGAGGCTGCAGGAAAGAAGCCAGATTACATGGATGCAATCGAATGGTTTAAGCAGACTGCTAAAGGTCGCAAATACAACCCAGTCTACGTGCAGCTGACCTTATCCTTTGTGGCTATACATACAACTGCCGACCTGATCACCCAGGTGATGTTTGACCTTGCTCTAAATCCGGAATATATCGAGCCCCTTCGTGAAGAAGTGCTTCAGGTGCTGAAAACTCAGGGATGGAAAAAGACGTCTCTCTATAATATGAAATTTCTCGACAGTGTACTCAAGGAGACACAGAGGTTGAGACCCATCAACGATAGTACGTTCATTAACTTACTCAAGTTGGCTCGTCATGAATGCTGACAACGACTGACCATAGCGTCCATGCAACGAATTGCGTTGAAGGACGTTACGCTCTCTGACGGAACCGTACTTAAAAAGAACACAATATTCGCTGTCGCTTCAACGTGCCATTGGGATTCTAAATACTACCCGGACCCCCAGAAGTACGACGGCTATCGCTTTTTAAAGATGCGGGAAGACCCTGTTAAGGGGAATCTCGCCCAATTTGTCTCCACTAGCCCCACTCACCTTGGTTTTGGTCACGGGCAACACGCTTGTCCTGGGCGATTCTTCGCATCCAATGAAGTCAAGATCATTATGTGTCATATTCTGCTGAAATACGATTGGAGGTTGGTGGGCGACCAGGAGCCAAGGACCTTAATTCACGGATTCATCTTGGCTGCCGATCACAGCACGAAGCTTGAAATCCGCAGACGGATAGAGGAAATCGACCTCGACAAAATAGAATGCTGATCGTCTCACCAAGTTGGCAAATTTTTCGAATTCGAACTCAGGAAGTTGCAAACACACGTGTGGGCTGGCTTTGGCCTCGATAGTGATGATATTCCAATTACGTCGGTTTACGCACATGGATTTACGCAGTGCTGATTAAACGTGATTATTTGAGGAACAGATTAGTCTCTTTTGGAACAAACAATCTATGGAAAAGAAGTCCTTCTTCGATATATCGTATCCCGTGATGTAAGAAGAGATCGGATTGGCTAAGAACAACATCACATGTGCAGCTTCAAAAGCAGTTCCTGGTCGACCCATCGGTATGACAGGCACGTCTCGCTATTTCTTGGCATTCAGTGGGATCCCTGATCGTATCTCCTGTCCCGCAATCATTAAAGCTTGAGAATCGGCTAGTGGACGCGTTATACGGGTGCCAATCCAACCATAGGCCACTGCATTTGCGCAGATATCGTACCTATTTGCATTAGTTGATCATATTGACGTTTTTTGACAGTATTACAATACGTACCGACCCCATTCAGAGTCGACAGTTTTTGTGGGTCCGAGAATGCCAGCTTCGGCCGTGGCACAGTTGATTTGCCCCAGAGCACCGTGAAAACCAGACGTTGACGATACCTTGACGATACCTTATGCACATCCTTGAACGCGGGATCCCTCCAGTGAAAGAAAAGCTCCCGAATGAAACAGAAAGGTATGTAGTTGTGAATCTTCCTGACAACATCGAATTTTGCCTCAGGCATTTTGTGGATGGCACTATCATGACAGAATTCTACAGGATGGTTTAGTGTTAATAGTTCTTAGTTCCCAGTGCGTTATTCATAAGGTAATTGACTTTCCCCATCTTTCCTAGGACCTGTTCCACCAGTTGCGCTGGGAATGGCTCATCTAGGACATCGCCAGCAAAGCCTTCAGCACTAATACTGGCGCTTTTGATCTCATCCATAACTTTCTGTGCTTTCATCTTATCCAAGTTATTGACTGCAATACGGGCTCCCTATTGAGCTAGTAGAAAGGCAGCGAATCGCCCAATACCTATAGATCAACCAAGAATGACCGAACAGTGTAGACAGTCAATTTGTATATTCCTGTGCTGCACCGGTAATGATGATCACATTTCCGTCGACTCGAATAGGGTCAGCAATAGAATCATACTGGTCCAGGTGGTTATGGATTTGCTGAAGGCGAATATTGGCCATGATTTCTAGTATGACTCAAAAAGATGTTCATCACGTTAAGCGGCAGGTCTTGTCATATAGATTTGGAATCTATTCGGGGTCTTGTCAAAGACAAACAATAGCTTTCAAAGTCGTGCGTTGGTGTTGGTCAGCCTCCGAAGATAGAAGGCACCAGCTACATTATTACAACCGGAACTCCTGATAATAATCCTTAAAGATTAACCTATAACAATGGGAAGATAATTTATCATAAAACTATCCACATTGTCATGTTTCTTTAACGAATAGTTCTTCAGTGATGTATTTTAGCAAGTAGTGGGTACTGTGCACGCACCTTACCGTCGGAACTTTTTCGGCGCAACCGAATTTTCCGAGCATCAAGTATCGGAAGTTCCAAGGAATTTACCGATGCCATAGCATTCATACTGCGGTACCTCGAGAACTTGTTTGTGTTAAAGTGTTTTCATGTTATATAGCCCGCACTGTCTTATCACTAGTTGTGTACGATATCTAGTAACACTAAGTTATCATCCTCTTCCGTCCGACATAGGGCAATGGCGTTCGCTTTAAAATCTCAAATTCTAGTCGCTGATCCGGCCTGGCATCGTCGCCATGATCACGCGTATTACGACAAGAGTCACTATCGTTTGCAAAAGTTTGTCCGCGAGTACGTGAGTCGCGAGTACCTCGAAACGTGGAGAAGTGGGAGAAGCAAGGCGAAGTGCCTGAGGCTGTAAGCTGCTAGGAAGTTCATGATTCAAAAATGTCCTAAAATATATCAGGCATTTCGGCGACATGCTTCACTCGGGTTTCTGGCTGTATCTGCCTTTCCTATTCATAAGGAGTATGTGAGTGGGATGACCTTACCGGCCGGCTCGAGTGTGGATGGTAAGCTGCGGCGCCCCATAGAACAAATTCACTTGCTAAGTTTGAATAACACCAGAGTGGGATGAGTTTCATGATGCAATTGTCAGTCCCCATGAATGCACGGCTTGCTGAGCCTTGGAATCGAAAGCTAAAACCTACACAGATCATAGACGAAATGACGCGGTGTGCATGTTTGGGGATTATCTGGGGCATCAATGGAGGCGCCACTGTTGGAGGGCCCCCAATTGATCGCTATGGGACCGCTTCGCAGAAGGAAAAATACCTTGCCCCATTGCTGCGAGGCCAACAAAGACATTGCCTTTGTGTTACGGAGCCTTCCAGTGAGAACTTCTATTCTAACTTCTACCAGCCTCTGAGATAAGTTGACTGAAACTCAACCAAGTTGGTTCAGATGTTGCCGGTCTGACTACCGAGGCGAAGAAGACGGCAGATGGCAAATCTTACACGATCAATGGGAAGAAGAAGTGGGTGACTCAGGGACGTTGGGCAGACCATGCATTAGTTGCTGCCAGGACCGGACCACGCGGAGCCAAGGGAATTTCCATATTTATTGTCCCCTTAGCGGTCAAGGGAATTTCGGGGGGAAAGATTGAGAATCGGGGGTCAGTTCAAGCGGTATGTGAAACTGGGATCTTGCTCTCAAACGCTGAACTAAGATCTAATTGTCATTCTTGCCAGGATCGACTTACATGGAGTTCGATGACGTTCTTGTGCCTGCAGAAAATCTGCTGGGAAACGAAGATCAGGGGTTTGAGATAATCATGTCCAGTGAGTGGACTCGCTCACATTGAGAAAACTGCAATGCTAACCATTAGTTTCGTTCTGCAGCTTTTGCACATGAGCGACTGTGGGTTGGTATTACGGCCCTTCGTCTTGGACGGGTGGCCTACGAGGACTCGTATCGAAATGCACTAAAGCGTGAAACGTTTGGCAAGCAGTTGTTCGAGAACCAGGTTATTCGTTGTAAATTTTCGCGAATGGCAAACATGCTTGAGCCAACCCAAGCGTATATGGAAGAGATGGTTTATCGTTCTGTACGAATGACGTCTCTGAACTTTTCACCGCTCGCCGCCATGCTCAAGGTGCAGGCGGCGCACAACCTCGAGAAGATCTCCAGCGAGGCACAGCAGGTCTTTGGTGGCCTCGGATACTCAAGGCGAGGACAGGGGCAGCGGGTGGAGCAGATCAGACGAGATGTGCGCGTGTTGGTCGGTAGCGGAGGGAGTGAGGAGATTTTGCTAGACATGATCGCCAAGCAGCAGCGGAAACTGGCGCATTTGTGAGATCGGCCTGACACGCTCAACAACACCGGGTTCCCCGCAATCCCCGCCCTGTTAGTAACTACATACTCGGCAACTCATTCCTTGCCCTTCGTCGACTGCTCGTGGCCGTGAAAACAAAAAACGGAGAGCGGCTTTATCTATACAGCTAGACGAATTTTAAATTCCTCTTTGCCACTTTTGATTTAAAGGAAGACCTAGTAGCGCCCAAAGCAGGCGGTCAAGGTTTGACACGATCTCCGGGCCGTTTTTCCGGACCTGACATGTATGCCCGAGGTCCGACATGTTAGAACAAGTGGGTGGGCGTTATTTTTTTAATATCCCCGCACCAATACATTGCAATATAAAGCTCTGGCCATTTTCAGGGATAAATCACCATGACAGGTTTGGAAACCTCTGATCTCAGTCAACAAGTTAACATGATTTTCGTCTCCCAGCAGCCGAGAATCTCAGGTAGGCAAATGCAATCATCCATTCCTTTCTGTCGAACCGAACTCATTTAGCTTGCTTTCTCTAGTCCCTGAGAACCTCCCTATTTGGGATTTCCTCTTTGAGTCTGAATTTTCCCCTCTTCGTCGTTCCAAGGCGAACAATCTCGCAGGATTTACCAACGCTGTCACCAAAGAGCGAGTGAGATACGACGAGTTGAAAACTTATGCGATTAGTCTATCAAACGCGCTAGTGCGACAATATGGCTTACGCGCAGGGGAGACAGTAGCACTGTTCAGCCCAAACACGGTTTGGTATCCAGTCGCAATGCTTGGAACAATCCGCGTCGGTAAGTGGCAACTCTTGGCGGTACCTTCAGAAAGAGGGTAATTTCGGTTAAGTGTTCATCGTCATTTTGTAGGCGGCGTTATTTCCGGTGCTTCGCCCGCATACAACGTTGAGGAGATGAGCTATGCTCTGAAGACTGCTCGAGCAAAAATCCTAATGACAACTGCTGCCTCACTTTCAGTGGCAGTGCCAGCTGCGCAAAATGCTGGAATCCCTCGAAAACACATTTTTCTGCTCGAAGGAGACGCGCCAGGATATACAACTATCAAAGAGCTTATCGAAATTGGAGATGAGCCTGGGATTAGGGATAAGGTGTTGCCATTTCACATCCCTCGAGGAAAGACCAACAAAGATGTCTGCGGTTTTTTGAGCTTCAGCAGTGGCACGACTGGACTACCTAAAGCGGTAAGAGGCATTATAGTTCTGCCTAAGATCAGTGGAACTGCTAATATCTTCCGGGTGATAGGTCATGATATCGCATCAGAATGTAATGGCGCAGTGCCTTCAGGTTCAACAGGTGACATCCCCAGACCATAAGAAAGTTCTAGCCGTTCTTCCCTTATTCCACAGTAAGTGGCGCTGAACTCCATTAGCCATTCTGAAAGACGCTCATCCCCGGAAAAATATAGTTACAGGTCTAGTTCACCAGATGCATCTCCCTGTCTTGCGCAATGCAGAGGTGTACATGCTGCCTGCATTCAGCATGGAATCCATGCTAAGCACGGTCGTTGAATATCAAATATCCGAACTGCTACTTGTCCCACCCATTCTCATCCGTCTGTTACGCGATCCAATTGTGGCTCGTTATAACCTCTCCCATGTTCGGAAATTTTCTTCTGGTGCTGCTCCACTTTCTTCTGAGGTTCTACAAGAACTAGAACGAAGATTCCCGAACACGGGCTTCAAGCAAGGGTACGGAATGACCGAGTCTTGCAGTTGTATAACTGCACATCCGCTCGACAAGTGCACTTATAACTATGGACACCGAGGTGGCACCATTGTGGCAAACACCGAAGTTAAGATTATTGATCCTGATACTGGTCGAGAGCTTGGATACGATGAACCAGGAGAAATTCTCGCTCGCGGGCCACAGGTAGTAATGGGGTATCTGGACAATGAAAAAGCAACACGAGAAACGTTTGATGAGGATGGGTGGCTGCATACAGGTGATGTTGGTTATATGGACCGTGAAGGGTTTATAACCATCACAGATCGCATCAAGGAAATGATCAAAGTAAAGGGAATTGCTGTTGCACCGGCCGAGCTAGAAGACTTGTTACTTGGTCACCCTATGGTCGAGGACGTCGCAGTCAGTGGAATACCTGACGAATATAGCGGTGAACGTCCCAAAGCTTATGTGGTGCTGAAACCAACCTTCCGTCTGAAAAACGATGTCTGCAATCTTGTCACATTGGCGCGGGAGCTCATTGATTATGTCCAAGAAAACAAAGTGCGTCATAAATGGATTGTGGAAGTCGAAATCCTTGATGAAATCCCCAAGAGTGCTAGCGGGAAAATTCTTCGGCGAATTCTTCGCAAGTTGGAGTATGGAAAGGATGGCAAAGATCGATTGATCGCACGGCGGCAGAAATGCCGCTCGAGGCTTTAAATTTGGAAGAGAGGTCTCGAATTTCGTGAGAGGAACCCTCTATTATAATCTTTCTCAATTACTTTTACACTGATCTTCGCCTGATGAATGTGTACAACATATTGCACTAGGCTTTCAACTTGCAAGGTCCGAAGTCTATGGCCGATAAAAACAAAATTTCTAGCATAATGAATTTGACATTATCTGTCAAAATCTGGGCGTACGACAGTCCCACATGGACGTGTAATTCACGAAGAAATAAATCTTTGATTCAGATAAACCTGGGAATGCCCGACAATTTAGAGGGCTCACTAACTAGCAAATGACTAACGTTAATACATAATAGGAAATATTGATGAGGGCTAAAATCCCTGTATGTGATCTGATCTGTAGGAATTCCAATTCTTGATATTATCTTTTCTATACCGCTAATTATGATATTTCGGATTGTTTAGCCCAACCACTCAATAGAAACGGAGCCTCCTTCAAGCACTTTGAGCGAGATTAATGACACAACTCTCGAGCACAAGACTATATAGGCTGAGGATCGGAGGCGATGGGGTTGATGCTCTACAGGATACCCTGAAGTCTGACATCTTTGATTTTTGAGTTAACCTGCCCCGCAACTACGCCTATGCGAGACTTAAGCTAGATGGACACCTCTCGCTGGCGATTTACCACCATCTGGGTCCTCCTGGCTCAGCCCCGAGACCATATACGGAGCACATTTCGTGAAGTGCTGCTGGTCCTGAGGAAAATATTGTGTTTTTCAGTAAGCACTCGGACCATTATACCGTAGACAAACACACTATTCCAACGTAATTCACAAAGGGACCCGTGGAAAGTGGCTCCCTTTTGGTTGTAGCGGACGGGGTACGATCAAGTATTCGCAAGCAGCATATGCCGGAATTCAAAGCTGCCGGCGGAGGAGGTGACCTATCGTCACTTAACACTGAACTCACAACATGTTTCCTCTTTCAGCAGAAGATCAATCGAGATAATACACCTCTCGAGTCGCCATGGGTGGGGGGGGGGGGGGGGGGGGCGGCGAGGTCTCTCCCAAAGAGCTCCCTCTGGACAGCCTTGCGGAGAATTGGAAAGGATGACTGTGGCAGATTCCGATGAAGTCATTTCAAGGCGCATCCCCTAGCCCAATTTGTGTAGCCAGAGCAGAATACGAGGTGGGACCAGGTCCGGTCTTGCAGTGTTGATCACACCCTGTTGGTCTTCACCGGAAACAGTAATATTTTTTTGCCACATTAGTCGGGGAGCAGATCTCTTTTCCACCTCTTGCCATTTAGAGTTGTGGCTCTTGGGGGCGGGAAGGAAATCCTATCCACGTACCAACCAAAGTCAGACTCCCGGGAATCAGTTTTTGCTAGTCACTGCGTTCAAAATGGACTTGCCCCTTGGATGATTTAATTGCCACCGCAGTACCTTTCATCCCGAATTCCTTGTCAATCGTTTCTGAAAATTGTAAAAGATAAAAATGTAGCGCAATTTAACTGCCCTAGTCGCGATTGCCATCTTGCCAATAGAATACCGTATATGGCAAACGATTGAAAATTTAAACAGGCATGAGATTGAAGATTGACTACTATGTCTCGGCTAACCGTATTGGGGCGCAGTCAAGTTGTTCCTACTCCGTGCAACAATGGCAGATCCCTAGTGGTTCTTTCCCATGTCCTGAAACACACGCCAAACTCGAGGCTGCAGGATCCTTTGCAGATCCTTGCCTTATGTGGCATCCTGTAGAAGATCCAACCGGGACGATCAACCGATCCCCATGCAGATGATTTTGCCATGATACGACGCCATGAGGATCACATCTTCGGTTGATTCCGCCTCCCTGAATAGGAGTCGACCATCTAGGCTGTGCAATTATTCCACACCTATCACCTGGATTAATGGGCCGGCCCGGGTACCTTGGAATAATCGCCATCAGAATTCTTACAATCAACAGTTGATTTGCCGGTTTCACCGAGCATAGCCATGCCCCTCACATGTAAGGTCAATCAACGTTCTGGAAACCTTAAGGCAGATAATCCAAGATGGAGCTTCGTCACTTCCGGTGAAACCGTCAATTTGGGTGAACAGCAAGGGAAAGACAATTTATGCCGAGCAGTGGAAAGATTCATCTGTCAGCAAACCTAATAGCATATAAAGGCACCCCCATGCCTCCATTTTTCAGTTTCAATTTCTCAACACTCTTGAATTTTCTGAACAAATCCCATATTATTCAACCAAGTTCCATTCCGATTACACCAGAATAATGCATGTCCTTTCTACGCTAGTCCTCGCTTCTGCGGGCCTCGCCTCATCATATGAGGTGCCTGCCAAGTTAGAGCAGATCTACAAGGAGCATAAGGTCTGTCTTTCCACGGCAAATATACCATCATGCTAACATTACCAGACTGGAAACTGCAAGAATGTCCTCGGAAGTGGGTTCAATGACGGCGATTCCAGTGCCAACAATGTTGTCTATTGTGGAGACATTGAAGGAGCAATCTTCCTCCATAGCACCGCAAATGGAGGGAGTTATGCCGACATGGATGTGGATTGCGATGGTGCCGACAATTCTGGTGGGGCCTGTTCAAATGATCCTAGTGGGCAAGGTGTCACTGCTTTCCAGTCGGAGGTGAGCAAGTATGGCATCTCAGACCTGAATGCCAACATTCATCCGTACGTCGTGTTCGGAAATCAGGACTCAAGTCCTAGGTTCGAGCCCAACAAGTTTGGCATGGAACCTTTGAGCGTGATGGCAGTGGTCTGCAATGGCCAGCTGGTACGTATTTTCATATAAATTTCCTTATGTGTATTGTAAAGGACCCTATTGACCTTACCGTTCACAAATAGCACTATGGAATTTGGGGAGACACTAATGGCGGAACCGCTACTGGTGAGGCTGCCATTTCCATGGCCGAGCTTTGCTTCCCCAATGCCGGCATCACCGGCGACAATGGCCACACTCCGAGAGATGTCCTCTATATTGGCTTTACAGGGAAAGAAGCGTTTCCCGGAGCCAACGCGGACTGGAAAGCTAAAGAAACCCATGCCTTCGAGGAAAGCATTAGAGCCATTGGAGATCGGCTCGTGGCTAAACTCGGTACCGGGTCATCCCCAGCGCCTACTGGCTCAACATCTTCAGGTACACCTATTGCCAGTCCTACGTGGACTCAGAGTTCTTCGTGGTCTGCGCCATCGGGGCCGCCAACTCGTTACTGGCGACGCAACATGCACGCATAGGAAAACCGTACATCTCAGAGACAACTGCCAGGAGATCTGAGGGTACTTTCGTTCTGTCATCAATAGTATTGATAGGATTCTTTATCTTCGCCCACGTTTTTGTGGGAACCAGAATGTATGTATAGGTAGCTTTCTTAAGCCTTAGTTGCGTTCTGTCGCGATATGCAAGATTTTTCAACCCTTGGAAAGCGTTTAGGTTTACGTAGACTTTTAGCTAAGTGAGACTTGTTTGTCTAGCCGCCATTGATAATTATTATGAGACATACGAATAGTATACAACCTTCGGTCATCTTCGGCGATTGACGCGAAACGGTCAATCAAGATGCGGTGGCCTTCCCGCGATCTCTGCATAGCGGGTGAGGCCGAAGATAGTTAGCAGACATTTTTCAAGAGCCGATGCCGACTAGTAATGGTAAAATGAGAGTTCTGTGAGAAAATAAATTTATCAAATGCGATTCTAGAAAAAGGTAGATAATGTACAGTTTGTCCATATGCAACCCAGGACTCCGACCCGAAAGGGTATTGCATCATGCAGAACTCGACACATGCGAAACTAAAACTCAACCCCAAAAGAAAGTTCTTTCAAATAAACGGCATGGGAAATACAAGGCCACTCGAACCTAGGCATTCTCCGCGTGGAACATCTCTTGTTCCTTTCGTGCGTACATGTCGGATTCTTCCGCGAGCCACTCATGACGACGAGGAATCTCAAACTCGCTGCTCTTCCACGGAGCCACCTTGTTGACATACATCCAGTCCAGTTCTTCCAGGGTGCGTCCCTTGCCTTCGATGACAAAGAAGTACACGACCAGAGTAGCAACAAACAGACATCCGGCAAAAACATAGCCGTAAGCAAAATCAATGGCGCTGGTAATGAATGTAGTGAAGAAACTGATCAAGAAGTTCCACGCCCAGTTGGATGCAGTTGCCAAAGCCATACCCTTCGCGCGGTACTTGGACGGGAATAGCTCTGCAACAATGGCCCAGATCATCGGGCCCCAGGTCATCGCGTAAGCGGCGATAAAGAGGCACGCGATGACAATCATGCCCTTGCCCACCCCAGGGGTGTTCTCTGGGTGATTCAGATCCAGCATAAAGTGACCAAGCGACGCGAAAATCATAAAGCACACGAACATCCAGATACCGCCAAAGATCAGTGACTTGCGACGTCCAAAGTTCTCAACCACATAAAGACCACCAAAAGTGGTACCGAAGTTCACTGCACCAAGGATGACCTGCGTGACGAAACTGTTGGAGAGGCCGGCTCCTTGGAAAATTGTCGTTCCCTAAAATACGGAATTAGCGTCCATTCAAGAGCATTAAAGTGTGCCAGACATGCACAGCCATTGGCTAGTCTTACATAATAGAAGAAGTAGTTGGCACCGGTGAGCTGCTGCAGAGACTGCAATGCCATGCCCAGCACGATACGGTAAAACATGCGCGGGGCGGTGATGAACTCATGCCACTTCTGTTCCTGGGACTCTGCAGCCAGCTGCTCGCGAATCTCATCCATCTCCTCCAGGATCCGAATGTGATTCTCCGGCACGCCGTACAGACGCGCCAGGGTGCGCTGAGCGCTCTCAGCCTTACCGTGGCGAAACTCGAAGCGCGGACTCTCTGGGAAGAAAACCATGCCACCACCCAGGACAATGGCGAAGAGGAAAGTAATACCGAGAGTGATACGCCACTGGGCGGTACCGTCAAGATCATAGGTACCCAGGTTGATGCAGTAGGCCAGGAAGATCCCCAGGGTGACGAACAGCTGGTAGCAACTGATCATCGCGCCACGGATATGGCGGGGCGCACTTTCTCCTTGGTACATGGGCACGAGGAGCGAGCAACCGCCGACACCGAGACCTGTCACCCAACGACCAACCACCATCTGCCACCAGTGACCCGACGGGGTGGAGATCTGGACAACCAGACCGACGATGAGAATGGCACACCACACTGTGATGGACCACTTGCGGCCCAGGAAATCGGCCAGAGGGGCTCCAACCAGGGCACCGATCAGGGTTCCGATGGATAGCAAGCCGACAATGAGACCAGCTCGGGTGTCCGTCAGCATCCATCCATCTTTGCCTAGTTGACCGTAGCGTCTCAGATAGTTGTGCATCTCCTGGAATCCGGAAATCTGGCCGGTATCATAGCCAAACAACAAGCCACCCATGGAGACGAAGAGGGCCATGACCAACGACCGCACGGTCACACGCGGGACGGGTGTGTCCACGCTCGCGGGCTGCATCGGCTTCTGAGTGGGAGAATTTTGGAACGATGTCTCGGCGCTCGACTGCTGTGTCTGCGGCATCGGGGCGACCGACTCGCCATGATGGGCAGAAGATTCAATACCCATAGTGTGAGGTGGTGAGAATCGTTGTTCCAGTTGCTCCTCGGAAAGGGAAGTTGAGAGAGAATAGAAAAGGAAGGACACCACAAAAGAGGAGAATGTCAGAAAGAGTGTCGGGAGAAGTTGCCCATGGGGAAGAAAAAGAGAGGCAGTTTCGACACGGGGGAGACGGGCCTTCTTGTACCCACGCAGAGACTGGCCATGATTTGTCCGAAACGAGTGGAGGGACGATGTGGAGAGGCGACTCGCGCGAAATGACGATGCTCATGGCCGAGTGTCGGACTGGCGCGAGGCGACTGGCCCTCAACCAGACAATAATCAATCCACCGGCCGAAAAACCAATTCGTACCGCCCGGACGAACCCACCGGAAGGACAGGGGGAGGAGCCAGCCAGCGCCGGTTCCAGCAGACGATCGGCTGTGGTTCGGCCATTCACGCACGCGGTCGGGTAGATTTTCAAGGGCGGGCGACTTTTGCCACCTCCCGGTCGGCAGTGCTGAAGAGCCAAGGCCGTGCCGAGTGCCTTCGGGATCGCTAACAGTCCGGCGACCCAGCCCGACTCGGGTCCCTCCCGAACGAATCATGTTCTCGTGAGGCTTCTTTTCCTGGCGTGTTTGGGAATATGTACGTTGGTCTCGAGACTCAGTCCGGGTAAACCTTTCATTCTGTGTTGGAGTCTGGAGAAGGTCGGTGGACCGGGATGTAAGACCACTACGTATGTGCCGAGCATGCCGACCCCAGGCCCTCCGGGTACAGACAGCGCCAGGGCCCGAGTCCATCCCGATCCGTATTTCGGTGTGTTGCCCTGCCCCGGGCCCTGCCTCACCAGACCGGGGAAGGTCAACGGGCACGACGGTTGGGGAAATTGGGGTGCATCGGGAGAGATGCGCAATCCCTCCTCGGTGTCTACTTTGTGGCAGTCGATCTCGCTAAGCCGCCCGAAAATAAAAAATTTCTGTAAGACAGAACAAACAGGTCCGTCGGTGGCGTCCGTGCCGGCCGCCACACCCGCGCGGATGTACGTCATTGCAGATTCTTCAGGAACACTGATCCAATCCACACAGACGGGAATCACTAATGTGTCTACACTAATGTGCCTACAAGTCAACCCCCCAGCTGGGTATCTATGTAGTATGGATCACTCCAGAGACCACTATCTGGGTCACTATGATTGTTCACGCTGTTCTGTACTGCCGAGACAAATCGGAGCCGATCACATGACCCGTGTTGAGTCATGTGCAGTCGATCTTCTCCGGCGTCGCCACATCCTACATCCGGGTCAACCATCAAGGAAAGACCGAACAACAAGGGAGTCCTGCAGGAAACATGGGACGCGTTCTAGACACGAACACCGCCCCAAAAGATGACATGGCTCACTTTGTCAAGTCGTCCGCCGGCACGTTCGCCCACGAGCCGGGGGCCAGCGTTTAGTTTGTCCGCGCGGTAGTGTACAGACGGACTCATGCTGCAGAATGACGGTCCAATGGGTCGGTCACCGATGAAAACTATCCCCGCAGTGGCATCCCTGCCCGTTCAGGCACGCCGGGTCACCCCCTTGACGAATCCAGTAAGCGTGGCCGGGTTCAGCCCCTCACATTATTCCGGGGTGCAGCAGAAGACCGCCGTCATCTTGTTTATACACCAGCCGCTGGATCGTACCACCGCCATTGCCCCCGAAAGAACACGGAAGGCGATGGCGGGGCATGGCTCCAGCATCAATAGACGAAACACCTCCATCTCCGCCTCCAATTCCAAAACGGAGACTTGTCCGGCTTGTTTTGGCGGTTCTTCGTCTTGTGTCGGTCCTGGCCATGTCATTGTTGCCATATAAGATCTCTAGATCCCTCCTCTTCGACTGGTAGATAATTCCACTGCATCCATCCGTAATGAAGTCCCTGGCAATCCTATCTCTGGCCGGGCTGGTTTCCGCCCAGGTAGCGCCCTACGGTCAATGCGGCGGTAACGGCTATTCAGGGTCCACAACGTGTGAGACCGGCTGGGTTTGCGAATATCAAAACGACTGGTATAGCCAGTGTCTGGCAGGTGGGTGCTTCGCATGAGGCGTGATAAACCCTTCCACTGATCTGCGGCAGCTACCGGCACCACAAAAACTACCACGACGACCACAACCACGACCAAGAGCACCGCTACCAAAACGTCAACGACCACCACCACCACGGCTGTCGCGACTGCAACGGGGTTCCCCCATACCAACGGGCTCAACTTCACTATCGATGGAGAGACCAGCTATTTTGCCGGCACCAATTCGTACTGGATCGGCTTCCTCACCGATAATGACGATGTAGATCTCGTCATGAATCACTTGAATGAGTCGGGCCTGCGCATTCTCAGGGTCTGGGGTTTCAACGATGTGAATACCATCCCGTCCGCGGGGACCGTCTACTACCAATTGCTCGCCGATGGCATCGCGACCATCAACACGGGAGCCGACGGCCTGCAACGTCTGGACTATGTTGTCTCGTCCGCTGAGCAACACAATATCAAACTCATCATCAACTTTGTCAACAACTGGTCCGACTACGGGGGCATGGCGGCGTATGTCACCGCATTCGGTGGTACACAGACCGGCTGGTACACCGACGACGCCATCCAAGCCGCCTATCGCACCTATATCCAGACCGTCATCTCCCGTTATAGTGACTCCCCAGCGATCTTTGCCTGGGAGCTTGCCAACGAGCCACGTTGCCAGGGGTGCGATACCTCGGTCATTTACGACTGGGTGTCCTCCACCAGCGCGTATATCAAATCGTTGGACTCGAAGCACATGGTATGCATTGGCGACGGTAAGCTCATCCCATCGCGTTTGCACTGATGAACCCCCATCTCACATGTCACCTCTAGAGGGTTTCGGTCTGGATACCGACTCTGACGGGAGCTATCCATACACCACGGGCGAGGGCCTGAACTTCACGTTGAACCTCGGCATCGACACCATCGACTTTGGAACCCTCCATCTGTACCCGTCCAGCTGTACGTGGGATTTCTTTGTCTCTTTTTCCTAGGTCACTGCTAACCTGGTTGAAGGGGGTGAGGTGAACTCGTGGGGAAGTAGCTGGATCACGGCCCACGGGGCCGCCTGTACGGCCGTGGGCAAGCCCTGTCTGTTGGAAGAATACGGCGTGACCTCCAATCATTGTACTATCGAGGTGCCGTGGCAGCAAACCGCACTTGACTCGAAGGGCATTGCCGCTGATATGTTCTGGCAGTATGGCGACACGCTGAGCACGGGCGAGACCGCCAATGATGGCAACACCATTTACTATGGCACCTCGGACTTTACGTGCTTGGTCACGGACCATGTGGCGGCTATTGGATCGTGAGTTATGAGATGGTTGAGAATGTTAGCTACCCTCGTGGCTTCCTAAAGCCCTACGCATCTTGGGTTCTCTTGTAGGGTGATATAGTGTAGCTGAATACTCTGTGCGATGAACTTTCTGTTTGGTATTCTCCTTGTGGAGGCAGCTAATGGTCTCCGTTGTGAAGGCCCAACCCCTAAAATATATATTTGATTACGCCTATTTATCTCCGCACTACGTTTCCGCCCTAGCTATCCTACGATACCTAACAAAGCTCGTCTGTCGGCAAGTAGGAATTCCGAGCTTTAATCTGAGCCTCTATGTCCCTTTGTTTCCACCTACCACGTACGCATTATGACTGATCATCTACACCGCGATCCGGAACTATCTGCCTCAGGCACCATATCTTTGTCATCGTGTTTATCTCCCTTCTTTCGCCGACGATACATAACCCTCCAGTCCCGACGGCCACCCCGTGATGGAACCTCAGACTGATCTCTACGCAGCATGCCGGCCCAACTTGAGGATCTGGCTCCCCAACTCGTCCAGTTCGTTCCATCACTCTTGGCCCCCGTGGAGCGCTCGATCACCTTGATCAAACCGGGCCGGGCTCGTCTCCCAGGCCTCGATAATGCTGCCTTACAGCTCCTGCGCAAGAAGCAAATCCGCTTGCGCGCTCTCACTACCACAACTAGAACGGCGGCTGCTGATCTCGGGCCTCATGTCGCCAGGGCCCTAGCATCGACGCTGATATTTGCCCAGCAGGAGGCCGGCACAGCCGTGTGTATCGACTCTCGCGGATGGATCGTGACCTGTGCCCATTGTTTTGGGGAGTCTCCCCAGGAATGGCGCAAGCAACGCTACAAGTGGCTCCTCTATTACTCCGGGCTCGCGGTCCAGGCCGAATGCCACGTGTGGGATGCTCGGCGTGATCTCGCCCTAGCCAAAGTAATTCGAATGGAATGGCCCGAGGCACAAGGACACAGGCTGCCTCGGTTTACATCTACTCTCTTGGCAACGTCCAGTACTAACCGAGACCGGATTCTGTGTATTGGGCAACCCGGGCCGACGACCTCGAAACGGCCTCGTCGCGCAAGACCGATTACGATCTGGTGGAGATCTCCCAAGGTCGCCTTCGCGGCATGGTCCCAGGTGCGGACCCGCACGACAACTCGGATATAGGCGCATTGAAGCATGACGCATGGACGTACTGGGGCCACTCGGGTGCGCCGCTCTTGCGTTGGGCAGACGGCACACTGGTAGGTCTTCATTCATCCTGGGACGATACCACGGCGATGAGACACGGAGTCCCCCTGGTTGCCATCAGGGAGTTTTTGAGGGCTCACCTCCCCACCGAACGAATCGGACTCTCGCTGGCCCCACAGGGGGCGAGCGCAACCGAACGAGAGATAATCGTCATTGACAGCTCGGATTAAAGTGTGCTATAAATATATTGGCTACTGCATGGCACCGCAGATAATGGATGCTCTGCAATGCAGATGAGAAATATCTATATATGTTGTATCTCCAGGCACACTCAGCAAAATCCCCTCTACCTTCCGGCGCTCATGGCACGTGGCATACTTCGTCGCGATCGAAGACAAGGGCTGTTGGACATGGATTGGTCGCTCAGGGAACAGAATGCTTATCATCGAATGGAGAAGGTTGCTTTGGGTTGGTTGCTTTGGGTCCAGCTGCTTCTGGTCTCCCATGTTGTCAGTTTCGAGGGCAGGGCAGCGATGAGTCTGGGCGTGGCGTGCGTAAACTGGTACTGATACGTGTCCGCAAGGGGCGATGGGCGCTAACGACTTTTCAGTTTATCGGGTACTTCGGCCGTTGTTTCGGGAGTGGTGAAGGAGGAAGAGGAGTCGTAATGCTCGACCGCGTCGGTGGGCGGGCCCCGGTAGTTGTGATAACCCCAGATGCCATACCAGACAGCCGCAATCATGACGAACCCCGCAAATACAACGGACGCGTAGTTCATGCTCTGCAGGCTGACAGGGATCGTTGAAGGCATGCAAAACAAGGGAATGGCGAGAAGACTCCAGGCTACTCGATACAAACGACGATTAGCACCGGGATCAACAAGGGCATCAAACAGAACTTACCGATGGCGAAGACGTTGGCAATTGCGCCAAAGATGCCAAAGTTGAAGCTGCCATGTTTGATATCCTCACGCTGCCGGAAGAGCAGGGAGACAGCAATGGGACAGGCATAACTCGTGGTCAGGAAGATGACGCCCACACCCGAAAAGGCATTGTAGGCCGCGGTCGAACCAAAGTAGATCAAGCCCAGGGCGATCTCGATGACCATGCTGAGCGCCAGCGCATTCAATGGAATATCAAACCGTTTGTTGATTGTGCGCCACCACTTGGATCCGGGGATGCCGCCGTCGCGCGCGAAGGCCCAGGTACAGCGGGACGTTGCCGTCACACAGCCGACGCCGCAAATAACCCCCAGCACGAGCAAGGGAATCAGCAGACAGAATGTGCCCGCCTCGTTGCCGATGGCCTGTTTAAAGATCGCGGGGGTGGGTTGGGCAGAGGCGAGATTGACCAGGTACGGCAGATCGTGCATGACGAAACAGACGGGGATCAAAAAGAGCAGGCCGGCGATGGTGTTGATGACGACGGTCCCGACCATGGCCTTGGGCACCATGATGGCTGGTTCCTGAACCTCCTCACACAGTCTGTGATGATTAGCCTTCATCTCTGCCCGGGGTTGGACACGTGCGACTCACGAAATGATCATTCCCGTGGCCGAAGTGGCATAGGCGGCATGGAGCAGACCGATGCAGAACGACCAGCCTGGTGTCCATCCGGATCGTGGCTCAAAGTGACCAAACACCCATGCGCCGGAGTTGCGGCCCTGCTTGGCCACGGCGAGCAGACAGACAACAATGGCCACAAGTCCCACCATGGTCCAGAAGATGGCAAAAGTCTAGGATGGTTAGCACACGGCCTCCCATCCGGCACGAGTGGGGTCTTACCTCCAGCCAGGGCAACCATTTGTTGCCAAATGCGGAGATAGCGTGGGTGAGCAAGGTGAGGGCCAGGAAGATGAGGAAGGTCTGGTAGGGCTGGAAGTTTTCGGTGACACCAGTGCCGGTCGAATCGGTGAAGACGTTGAGGCAGGAGACGAAGAAAAGGGTGGTCCCGAAATTGACGGCGAGGGTGATGGTGATGTTGCCTGCGACATAGGACCAGCCACAGATCCATGACGCGACGCGGCGGCACCACACGGGCGACAGCACGAAGGTTTGATAGTAGACACCGCCGGCGGTTGGGAAGACAGAGGTGATCTCGGCCAGCGAGAGGGCGACGCAGAAGATCATCAACGAGACCACGACCCAACCCCAGATGACATTGGCCGGCCCTCCGCCGGCCAGCGGGTAGAACAGGGTGGTGGACAGACCATACGGCACGGACGACAGGATGAAGCACATAAAGGTCACCTGCCAGATGGACCGGTTGCGCGACAGCTCGGGCGTATAGCCCATGTCCTCCAGCGTGCGGTCGGCCTGGGCCGTGGTAGTGCCAGCCTCCTCACGCGCCACCGAGACTCGCGAGGCTCGGCGGGACTCATCCTGGACAATCATGACGACCGGGAAGAAGGAGTTAGTAGGAGAGAGTGTATGCTTTGGTCTTCCAGCATGGAGGAGAAGAGAAGAAGAATGATAATAATTATGGCAGGCAGCACAACAAACAGCAACACGGCCAATCCACCAGAAAAGAGAATAGGAGAAAAACCTCCAGGGCCGGTGGAGAAAACCAGGACCAGAACAACTATGAAAACCCCGAGCGGAGATCACGTGAAGCCAAGATCCCGGGAATTGGCCAATCGGCAAGAGTCCGCCGGGGATGAATTGGGATGATTGGGACGATGATGCTTCGCATTAGGCGAGAGTACGTAGGCTGATGGCTGTTTGGTCAGTCCCGGCTGTGGCGGTGGAGGGATGAGCTCATGCGGCTTTTTCCGTCTCCATTCATCGGTTGCGAGGTTTGACTAGCGAGTTACGTTATGGGTCCCAGTGGAACTCGGCTTGGGGCGGATGATTATTCATACTACTGTAATAGCTAATTAGACGACGGACCGCTCTCGACGGGATCCATGGGTTCACGGCGTGTGGCAAATGCATTGTGCATCTCTCCGTTATACGATAATAATACCTACACAAAGTCGATGGCCACCTTCAGCCCTTGGGCCGGTGCGCCGTGAAAGAGGATATCATCCGCCCGTGGCTGCCTGGCCACCGGGGAAGTCTACCACGTTTCTTTAGCCTCCCCGCCCCCACCCATGACCCCGGGACAACGCCTCCGGATGCGTCCCAGGTGTCAGCCGTGGAAACGCGCTTGCAAAGGAAAAGCGGAGGCTGTGCAATCGGGGGTTTCAGGCGAGCTTATGTATTTCTTCGTGGCAACATCTGACGGATGTCGTAGTGTCATTGGCTGCCCAGTTCGGAAATCGGAATGTGCAGGGGAAACAATCACCAGATGGAGTCCTAGATGAAATCGGGTCAGGGTCCAGGTGTTTTGCGCCATTCCATTAGGTCATCGGCGCCACCATCTACTAGCGTTGATCTGGACTGCCCCAGACGGCTTAGCCGCAATCACCATAATCAAGCTTATCCCGATTGTGCTGTGCGCAAATCCAGATCAGGCGTAAACGCACCAACGACACACATGGGAAATACGGCTGCGATGAAGCGGGGGTTCGTCTCTGACCTTACCAACCGCGCCATCTCGGTACTGCTGGAATATCACCTTCATGAGGTCCAGCGCAAAGGGATCGACACGCATCGCACTGAAACGAAGCACGGGGAGCTTATTGTTCAACCGGAGGTCTATTGTGGAAATCAGTGAGCACTCTGCGACAAGATGGCCGAAGAACAGATCCTGTTGGACCTGTCGAACCTGAGAAAGCGGCGTGACCTTGATCTAACAGCCGGAGCGCATAATGACTCTCGACGAAATCAAGCCTTTGGGGGCACTGATTCGCGAGTACAATCGAGCCGAGCAAATCTATTGCCAGCTTCGCGGCTGTTGCTGCAAAGACCATCTCGATCTCTTCGTGTGCCATCGGAAAAGGCCAACCACCTCCACTGTACTCGGGCTCCTCCGCCTCGGATAGGGTTCATTCGACTAAAAAACGGCAGATGGCAAAAATAGGATCTGTTTGGATTGAAATAAAGGTGATATGGAAATATTGGAGTTTTTCCATGTATCTGTATTTTCCCATGTATCCATAGGTCATCCCACTCGATGGAAATACTAGTCCTGTTATTATGAGGGCTTTGGACTGAAGATAGGATCCATGGTCCTTTGTTGCCTCCGCTTGCTTTCCAGTTGTGTCTAGTTGATCCTCTCTGACGTTCGTTTCCCCCGCGTTTTTAACCTCAAGATTCTCGTTGAATTGCAATCTTTTGATTACGAATTGGCGCCTCACAAATTTTACCACAATGACGAAGTAGTACAAAACTGGGGTCAAAAACACCAGCATAAGGCTGATTCCGCAACAGATAACTGGCAAAATAGGGAGATTTAATGGTGATCGACATCGAATCCAAAGATATCGACTGACTAATTAGCTCAGTGTGAATCTGTGGCTGGAACAGAATATATCCTAGCCTGCCAAAGCTTATCGTCTTGTAGGTCCATTAGTTCCTAAGAGGGGACGACTGGGTTCTCGGGAATAAGCTTATTGAAGTCCGCCAACTTCTGCCATCATTTGAAATGATGAAGGCAAGGAATCGGATCTTCGTCACACTGAATTCGCACTTGTGGATCGCAACTTGTAATCCAGCATGCGGAGACGCTTAAAGACCGGTCGAACATGCCCTGCGTACTCCTTTTTGTCCTCGCTGTAGATCAGAAGGTCATCAATTAGACGGTCACCAACTAGTCCAAAATGCCGCGCATCCTTTGTGACACCAAAGGACATGACTTGATACTGGTACGGATTCACATCAAATTAAGTTTTTTCCCTTCCTGATAACCCCCTGATGAAAGAGGCGGCCTATGATAGCAAACATTGCTGTTTTGGGCGCCGTCCCGTGTCGGCTTATTCTGATCTGGAATAGCGTCAAAGTACGTTTGGGTTACGATTTCGACTAATCTATATCCGGCCTAGTCTATATTCCCCTCGTGCCCTGTCATTGCTTCGTTTGCGCCATGATAAGACCAACCGATCCTCACTCCAGTCCGGGTCCTGGTCGTGGTCTTCCTAGTGGCTGTAAGTCAACTCTTGGATGATTTCTACCGGACCGGTAGCCGGACCGGTGCCTGGAGGGTTAACCGACACAGGCTGGCTTAAAGCTGCCTTCAGTCTTGACTATTTCAGATGTCGTTCTCCGTGCGGGCCAACCGGTCTGGCGCCGGTGTGGCTGCAGCTTTTGTTGCTGAAACTTGACTGCTGTTGAGGTGCTTGCATATGAGGGAGCAAGAATTCCCTTCGCCGATGAAAAGATAACGAATGTCCTGGCCCTAGGCTATAGGAATATGGATGTCTATCTCAACGCAATTGGAATGACTTTGGTCGGCGAGTGGTAGAGGTGAAATGCAGAGCCTTGAAATATAATCGGAATTTAAAGCACGATGCTTCACTTCGTTCAGGAATGATCCATCCGTCTTATCAGGCTCGTGGTCTTACCCCGGACTCGGCTCATTAATATCAGTGTGCTGGGGCCTCCGCCTATCGCTCCAGCCCCTGTCCATTCATCCGTTGCGAGCCTGTCACCCCTCGATCTCGCGGGAAACACTCGCATTAATATTAAAATGCCCGCACCTCTTCCCCCCATCCAAAGATTTTACCATCCTCTCAACGTCGGTCGCTCACCATGACGACAATAGAGGAATCCACGCCTGCCCATGTATCCCCGCCACCCCCGATGACTGAGAAAGGCCAAGCATTGCGTACGTTGGTCGAGGCCGATTATCTAGATGACCGCTATGAAACTACCAAGCGTGGTCTCAAGAATCGCCATGTTCAGCTGATCGCCCTTGGCGGCTCCATTGGAACCGGTCAGTGTCGGGCGATTTCGCGAACTATGGCCATCCTCACACTAACCGATCTTATGCAATAGGTCTCTTCGTGGGATCTGGCCAGTCGCTAGCCATTGGCGGTCCGGCCTCCCTACTGTTGGGCTATATTTTCATCTCCAGTCTTGTATATTCTATAGTCACTGCGATCGCAGAGGTCGGCGCCTATCTTCCCGTCCACGGCGGTACAATGAGTTATCACGGATTCCGATATGTGTCACGGAGTCTAGGCTTTGCGATGGGATACCTGTACTGGTACTCCTTGGGTATTCTTGTCCCATATGAAATCACGGCGGCCGGTCTGGTCATTGGGTATTGGGATCCAAACAATGCTACGGTGCCCATAGCCGTTTGGATCACGATCATGCTCGTGGTAATAGTCGCATTGAATTTTCTCCCTGTTAATGTTTACGGCGAGTCTGAGTTTTGGTTCTCAGGTATCAAGATCATCACCCTGGTCGGGCTATTGATTTTGTCGTTCATCCTCTTCTGGGGTGGCGGGCCCGATAGAGTACTACTGGGATTCCATTACTGGAAACATCCGGGGTCATTCAATGAGTACCTAGTGACAGGGGGCACGGGGCGATTCGTGGGGTTGTTGAAGTGTACCGTCTCTAGCGCCATTGCCTTCATCTTCGCGCCGGAGCTGATCATCATCAGCGCTGGCGAGATGAAGTCCCCGCGACGCAACGTGCCTCGGGCGGCTCGTTCATATATTTACCGGCTGATCTTCTTTTACGTCTTCGCCGTGCTAGCTATCGGTGTTATCTGCCCGTCCAATAACAGTCGCCTGACACAAGGAGGCGATACGGCCAAGTCCTCCCCATTTGTGGTCGGCATTCAGAATGCCGGTATCCCTGTTCTGGACAGCATTGTCAACGCTGCTGTGCTGACGTCTGCTTGGTCCGCGGGCAATTCGTTCCTATATATGTCTTCCCGCTCACTATACTCCCTGGCCATGTCCGGCAACGCTCCCAGCATCTTCAAAGCGTGCAACCGATGGGGTGTTCCCTACTATGCCGTGGGCGCGTCCGCGTGCTTTTCGGCGCTGGCGTACCTGTCAGTAGGCAATTCCAGCTCCATCGTCTTCAACTGGTTCATCAATTTCACCAACACATCGGGGTTCATCTCTTGGATTTGCTGCTGCATCGTATATTTCCGGTTCCGCAAGGCTACCCGGGCTCAAGGCATCGAGCAGCCGTACCACGCAGCCATACAGCCGTACGGTGCGTATTGGGGAATAGCGGTTGCATCCCTGATGCTACTCATCAACGGCTTCACCGTCTTCTTCCCGTCCCAGTGGTCGGTCAGCAACTTCTTCACCGCTTACATCGGCATCCCTGCGTTTCTGATCCTATACTTTGGGCATAGATTATTATACTGGCGGGACCCTTGGGCCTGGAGTCCAGAGGAGGTGGATATGCAAACCGGTATTGCCGAGATCATCGCTGCGGAGGAGCCTGCGCCGCCGCGGGGAAAATGGTGGAAATTGTGGTAGACAACCGGGAGACCCAAGGGGGTAGGCAGTTGAGAACGGCGATTTTGGTGGTTATCTTGTTCTATTTCCTCTTTTTAGTTTCGTCGTCACTCTAGTTTCCCAAAATGATGCCTATTCGCCTCAAGGCCAATCGGCCCGGCCCCTTTGGGTCTTATCGGATCTCTTCCCTATTATTAATGGTCCTCTACAACCGAATTATGGCTTATCAGACCCGCGCGTCCCGATGATAAGATCCGACCGAGCTTCGACCCCGGCAATTGGTTTTTGGCTTTGGATTATCTTCGGCATACGCCGTGAACCGCAGCGATTGCTAGTGTGAAGTAATATGTTCAAATTAACTGTCTGGCTGCATAAATTTCTCCTGCACGACCCTCCTCTTAAGCCGAATCTGAGCTTGTTCTCGACATTGTCAAAAAAAGCGATGGCCGCGTACCCGATTTCTGTTCAACCGTTGCAGCCTCCTCCTGGTTCTGACATTGACTTCGGTGCAAAAATTGAAGGTGTTGACCTAGAGCATTTAAACGGTAGGCATATGCCCTTCCCTCCTGTCGGTACGCGACTGCTAATAGCCAACAGACCAGCAGTTTGCCACTGTTCGCGATGTCCTCTATCGCCACCACGTCATCATCTTCAAAAACCAGCACAAGCTTTCACCCAAAGCTCAGTACGAACTCACAAGGCGTTTTGACCCGGCCTCGGACAACTATGGGCATGGCAAAACCCTTGATGCCAAGCGCAGCATCTTGCACCCTGACCTCAAGACAATTCCCCACCAACCTCAGGTCCAGGTCATCGGCAATGGTCTTGTTCCATCATATGAGGGACTCAACAACGTCCAGTTGAGACATCCGCACCATCGAACGTTTCATCGTGACCATATCCCTGACGATAAGGACTATGATTTCACTCGTTTCTACCGCTGGCACATCGATGCTGCCCTCTATGACCTCTATCCACCTCAAGTAACCACTCTCATGGCCGTGCAGGTGCCCAAAGGCCGCCGTCAAACTCTACTGTATGACGATGGCTCGGATGAAACGCTCGATGTTTCTCTGGGCACCACGGCATTTGTGAGTGGTGAGCGCATGTTTGATTTATTGTCACCAGAGGACCAGGAGTTTGTGCGATCGAGCAAAATTGAATACGCACCACACCCGTAAGACAGCCCCTTCGTGTCTAATATCTGCGGAGACCGTTGCTGACCTCGCTGGTAGTTATATCTGGATGAGTCCCGCTCGGGCCCTATCTACCGGTCTGGGTCTACACTCCGAGGGCCGTGAACTCCCTGATTCAGAATTGCCGCCAATTGATGCCAAAAAAATAATGATCTTCCCCATGGCCTGGAAGAATCCAGTGACTGAAAAGCTGGCTTTGCAGATCCATCCGTCCGCCGTCCGTCGGATCCATTGCGCAGACGGCAAGGTGATTGACGATCTCGCTCGTGTTCGCGACATTATCTATAAGCTACAGCGACCTGCGATAAGTCCCCAATATGTGTATGCCCATGACTGGGAAGAAGGGGATGTTGTTCTATTCAACAATCGTGGCGTTCTGCATTCCGTGGTGGGTGCCTTCAAGCCAGAGGAGGTGCGATTATTCCGGCAGTGCAACCTGGCTGCCTCTGAGCCCCCAGTAGGGCCTTGATTTTTGTTCAATTTCTATCAAAGTTGGGCCATACACAAGTCTGGTGTTGGTTTTGTTGGTAAACTTTAGTCACCAGCCGGCAACGTAAGTAATTAAAGCTCTCGGCTTCTCTGTTAACCTATTTGGAGCCAAGAGCATTTGAGAATATAATGTTCCAGAAACTATATATTAAACATAGGATATATATTAAAGATGAAAGGTTTATTTAGTTCATGATTCACGAAAAGCAACATGAGGAACGGGAAGAAGAGGCAGGCTCATCGGACAACATAGAAACCATTCGTAGCAACTTGCTTCTCTCTCATTTCATCCGTCATCGACCGGACCCCGAGACGATGCAATGGGACCTGCTCTACTAGCCTTTGTCCCTGAACGCGGGCATTGCTATACCCCTCACGTGTACGGTCTTTCCATCCTGTCGCCCGTTGTGGAAGCTCACGCGAGCTTGGCTTTTCTGGCGCCCACGCTGGGTGAACTAGAGTATTCTCCACAAGGGATGCATCGTATACATCCGCCAACATAGCAGCTTCTGCCGCTGCTTCTTGTGCTTCAGCCAGTTGCTGACTGGTGTTTCCAGTCGGAGGCGGGATGCCTGCACGAAGAAATCCCATTATCCGAACTTCCAGCTTTGTTGTCTGCAGGGGAACTTCGCCCAACAGCCGTAGCATCACTACACGTTTGGCTATCTGGGCCACGTTGACTCCTGCGGCCTGTAGCGGATCCAGGGTTTGCACTGATAGAACCACAGGACACCATGGGCCAAACGAGGTGTCTTTTGCTGAACTGATATCAAATCGAGCCCAACCAAAGAAATACCCCCGGAGCTGCTCAAGCACCCAGTCGGGCACTTTTGACAGAACTAGTCTGGGAGTATCAGATGAGGCCACAGGAGAGGCCATCTGGCCAATCTGGGCGCGAGCTTTGAACCCCATGGGGAACGGATCCTGGGGACCATCTTCAATAGTGATCAACGCAGGCTCGGAGTTTTCGGCCGGATTATTGTTGTCCTGGACTCTTCGAGTTGCACTTGGGGGCGGACCAAAAGCTTCACCCATTCGATCCTGTATTCCAGTGGTAGAATAGGCGGTCTTGGCTGCCGTTTGGGCTACCCACGAGGGGCGATAAGGGTTGACTTTAGACTGGATGGCAGACTTGACAGGTGCAACCACGGTTTGAGCAGCAGTCTGTGCATATAATCCAGTGACCATCGCTCCGACCTCCAGCGGAAGGGTGCTTAGGCTGGCGCCACGAATTGAGCTGGGACTGGCTGATGTTGAGAGCACACGGAAAACAGGACTATTTGCAAGAACCTTCTTCTTGGGTCCCTGACAAAGTACCAGTTGGTAATACCCATCGCCCGCCTCAGCTGGAATACGCAGGACAGCTGTCTCGCGCAATAGATGCGTGTCGCGTGACCGCGACGGTGCTTTCTTGCGGAATTTTTTGATATCTCGCTGCCATGCGCGTTCATCGTCGGGTTTGACTTGGCCGGCCCTCAACGGCATGGACGGAGTGACATCCACCCAGCCATCACGTAAATGAAGCAATGATTTGGCACGCATTCCGGTCTTTCCGGTCCACCCTTTGCTTTGTAGCCAATAGGTTCGGTCTGGTGGCAACGGGGCATCCGAGAAGATTGACACCGCGACGGACGTTCCAACACCGCGATAGAAAACAATCCCGGAAGAGTGGCGGAGAATGGTAAAATGCTTGTTGGATTCGGTTGGGTGGTCAATCAGACCCCCCAGGAAGTGTCGTGCCTCGCCATATGCTTTTTGAATAGGGGTTGGAGAGGCTGGTGAAGGTGTAGAAGAGGGCGTTGGCTCTGCACTCCTTGGCCGTGGGAATGATCCAACCGACTGTGACTGTCCGGCATAGAGATCTGTATAGTATGGGGGCTGTGCCGGCACAGGATTTGTAGCCGTGGAGGCATGAAGCAAGGGTGACGACGGATGATCGACACCTGCCGCGGCCCGAAGATTCGGGTTGGACACCGGCTTCCGGCTGATGCGGAATCCGTCAGGTGGGCGATCGGGGTGTAGATACTCGTCGGTGGCCATGGGGAATTGACTAGGGATTATGGATTATGAATTATGGATGGATACAATGATGCTTGCAGCATGAGATCGTCACAAACCAGGAGCTTCCTCTCGGCGGCTGCGATCATTGGCTACAGCTGGGCTGAGTCATATTGATGCCTGAGGCACCCAATAAGTACGTTGTGGCCCAATGAAAATCATCATTGTTTGGGCTCATGGTCCAGTTCCGAAAAATACCAAACAGCAATTTGACAAGTGCCATTCAAGACGATATGTATACAATCCCGTTATCTTCTGCTGTGGCTATTGCAATAGCTTCTGACACGTGGCAAAAGAACCAAGTAAAATTAGTCAACAGTCAACTCGGCCAAGAGCACAACACTCTTTACAGCGGGTGTATATGTGCATCTTATTCTTTTTCAGCTCAGCCCGCATCTACACAAGAAGGATCTGAACCTCCACAGATTTGCAACCCCCGTGGAGCTTAAACAGTGCCTGGGAGTAGCTGTCTATGCCCCCTTCGACTGTTTGGATGCGGAAGTGAAGTAACGCCCAATCTCCTTCAGTTGTCTGGGTCACGTACCGACAAGGGTAGATGTATTCGATGCAGTTCCACAGTAGCTTCCTTATCACTACGGAAGATGGCCCGAATAGATCTGTTCTGGTTATGGACTATGCTTCGTCTCATTATTTAGAGCGGATAACGCATGTGTGTGTGGACCTAGGGGTTAAATTGGTCTATCTGCCCCCTACTCGCCGGACTTGAATCCGATCGAGGATATTTCGCTGTGCTCAAACCTTCGTTAAATGCGCCTAGAGTAATGATGAAGTAGAACCCGATTAAGGCTTTGATGTTGGAGGTTTGAAGATCGAACAAGTCTCCGGAAGTTGCTAGGTCAGTCTCAAAGAGCTTTTCTGTTTCAAAGAAAGATCGCAATAGATGCACAATAAGCCTAATATTTCTTCTATTCCGGGGTATAACACAAGATAGGGTCAAAAACCACCAACACCGAATTCTCCGATATTCAACCATAATATTATCACGTAATATTCATAAGCGTTTTCAGCTGACGAAGGGAAAGTGGTTTGATCAGGTAGTCGTCCATCCCAACGTCCAGGGCTTGTTGTTTCATAGGAGCCGAGGCAACGCCAGTAACGGCCATGATGCAGGATGGTTTGATCCCGGCCTCTTTCTCGTATTGGCGAATCTTGCTTGTTGAAACCAGTCCATCCATGACAGGCATAGATAGATCTAAAAAGATATGGTTAAACCATGCATCATGGGCTTTGGGGGAGAGGGGGACGAGGAAAGAAGGATCAAGATCAAGCATACCCATTAAGACGAAATCGAACTTCTGGCTTGAATTTACGTATTTCTCAAATGCAATAAGTCCGTTCGACGCTGTTACAAAGTTGCAACTGGTTTTTCGCAAGAATGTCGCCATAATCTGTCGTAATTAAACGTAAGCACATGTTTAAAGCAAGATAACGGAGCAGTGATAAAGTATGATTCGTGTTCAGAATGGATAGAAATGCAACGGCATACTTTGAGATTAATTTCATTGTCATCCACGATGAGAACATGTACTGCATCTTGTTGCCTTGCTGGCCGAAGGGGGAATACACTGGAACTTGTTATATCAGGTGAGTCTCCCTGAGGCTCGCCTTTGACTTCAACTGGGGCGGCTTTCGGATGCAGTTCTGGTACAGACTGCTGAGAGAGTACAGTTGGAGTAATAGCTGGCAGAGAAGTAGCAGGAAGGCTTTCTAGCTGTTCCGCATGCAACTTTAAGATCCTTTCAGCGGCTCGACGAATATTTCGAGGTCCAAACCTATGCAAGAAAGTCAGCTGAAGTCAAGTACAGCGATAGGGACACACATACGGTTGGGAGACTGAGATAGCATTCCCGGGGAGGTTATCACCAAGAATGGATACCTTGCCGCAGAGAATGATGAAGAACTTGATACCATATTCAGGAGCGATGTTGGGCATAGAGACAAGAGTCTCTTCCTCAACAACCACTATATCACCTCGCCCCATCTCAAGATCTTCGGTCATTGAAGTGCTCCATCCGAGATGTGTCTTGAAAACATCAGCAAGAGTGCTCTGAATAGACAGTTTTCGTTTTTCTTCCGCGGAAAGAATCCCCGTTGGAGTTTCCTGCAGGTCTGGATATGCGTTGAGGCCGACGAGGCAGGCCTGGATAGGGGTGGTGGGATTTTGTGCGTCAGAGGGAGAGGGGTCACCGGATAAATGGCAAGGACCGGCTTCGAGATACTGAATTGGGATGTAAACATCGGCCCGTGTTCCAATGTTCTGCTCACTTTTCAAAGTGACGTAGCCTCCGAGGGATGCTACCAATTGGCGCACAATGCTAAGGCCAAGCCCGAGGCCCTCTGAGAGTGAATCTTCTTGAGAAAATGGAGTGAAGAGATTGTGTTTGAGGAAATCAGGCGCTATTCCACTGCCGGTATCTGTGACGGAGAGATGGGCGAGAAGAGATTTGGGATTGGAGTGATGCCTTGCCTTGGATAAAGAGATCTCAACAAGGCCCCGTTTAGTCCACTTCATAGCATTCCCGAGGAGATTCATTACGATCCTTCTCCAGGCACCGGCCACGGAATGAACTTTCCAATTATGGGATTGTTCAATGCGGATGACGACGGACATTTTGTCCATCTGGCTGACAACTTGCCGCGCTGATCCATCACCCGAAACGCTGGGTGACGATCTCTGACCAATGTCGGCGTCTCTTCCAGCCGCGCTCTGGCCAGTATATAGGATGTTTGCGACCTCTTCAACCAAGTTACCAAGATCAAAATCAGAAGCCAAGCCAGAGTTGTCGACAAAAGCATGGGATGGGCTCAGCTTTCTCACAAGGGTCGAATTGTTGATTTTGCAAAAGTCCAATCTGAGATCTGGTCAGCTGTGGTCATCAAAATGGACTTTGCTGTCGTTGCACTAAACTTACAGGTGATCGGTTGTGTCCAACAAGTTTCTCCCGGACATTTCGATCATCTTCACTATGTCCTCTTGCGAAGGTAGAAGTTTAGTGGCACGTAGCAGTTCGGTGCTTGCCAGGATACCGTGCAATGGAGAGCGAAGCTCATGGTTGATCGAGGTTATGAAATCGAACTTCGACTTCTCAGTGGTCGTCCAGTGAAGCCGAGAGATTTCAGAAATGATGGAATCCCCAAAAACCCTAAAGAACAGCAATTCTTCCAAGCCCAAAGTGCGATGGCTTTTGTCCGTCCAAATCAGTGTTCCAGCAAGCCAACAGGACCTGTTCCAATCCCACAGAGGTAGGAAGATAACGGAGCCAGCCACTGGGATATGCCGAGCGAGCTGATCCGAGATGATCTGCATTGCAGCATCGGCTGCCTGGCCACTTCCGGGAGACAGATAGTCATCACCGACTTTATCTTCAAAGCTGAAGATGTGGCCCCGAGGGAAAGCTATCATTAACTCGTTTAACAGCTTTTCAGGCACACTGATTTCACAGACTGCCTGATGAGCATTTGGTGGTGTTTTTAAAGCATGGCTTAAAATACCACAGGGTTTTTCGGGTTCTGCTAGCTCGAAAGGACTGGGCGGAGCAACTTGAACCCCACCGTCCAACGGTTTTGACAGCGATTTCCAGCTTTGAGGATCTCGGAGCGACAGGCTGATGGAAAGTCAGTTTGGGCAGGTGGCTAGTCAGAGAGATGCAATACGAACGAAGAAGTTTTGCGAGTTGCGTCGAGGAAGACGACGCCACCCAGATCCATAGATTCTCTGAGCAACACACTAGCCCGAGCGAATATCATCGTAATCCGTTCGGAGATAGGAACACTGTCCATTAGGGGCATTTGTGAAGAGCTCATGCCCCCCGCCTCAAACGCGTCGACCGTATGAGTCCTCAAACCATCGTCAAGTGATTTTTCCTCCCCAGAGCTCATAATGGTTGGCTGATCTGACAAAGTCGAATTAAGGGACGACGGGTCTTGGGAGAACAATGGCGACGATGTTGGCGCGGTCGTTGAAGACGATTTCCCCAAGATTGAGACATCGTAAGCACTTTGCTCGCCTGAGTGTGCGCTGAAAAACTCGACCTCGCTACCACTGACTCTATTCGATTTCTGACCTGGTAGATCCAGGGAAGATGGTACAAGGTGGCCATCTTTCGAAGCCTCGGTGGGTTCAAATGTAGGATTCTCATCCACGAAACTGGTCAGTCCCTTCATGAGAGATTCTGCCCGGCGCTGGCAATGAACAAGCCGGACGTTCTCCAGATGTGCCGCGATCGCATCCGACACTTCCTGCAAAACAGCAACTTCATCGTCATCAAAGTGAGTCCGTGGCTTGTCATCGACAATGCAATATGAGCCGAGCACGTATCCAGCGGCGCTAACCAGCGGAACTTCAGCATAGAACCGCATATGCGGCCAGTCGCGAACGTAGGGGCGATCCTTAAAGCAGTCCTCCTTTGTAAAATCGCGAATAACATAGCGGGATCGGTTTGCCGTTACATTATCAGTGTCGATGTTGCCCGAAGAATCCTTTGAGGTGAAAAGCTTGATGGTATGAGGGCACACCCCCCACACCAAATCTAGAGTCCTGACTCCGAGATAAACGCCATCGTTCGGGAGATGCTTATCCTTATTTCGCAACGAGACCGACTTTGTGGTTTCGGAAATGATAAACTGATTTTGACCGTCGATGATCGAAACAAAGCATCGATTCGAACCCGTCCGGAAGACACCCAGTTGCGATAGGGCGGCGAGGGTGATGTCTGAGGGGAGGCCAGCGGCTAAAGGTTGTTCATCTCCCGTAGGAGCATCGGGGTCCGCAACTTGCGAGTCAGCTGGAGTACTGAATGAGGAGTAGTACCTGTGGACATAACGCAGTCAGCAACCCGCGGGTATCGTTGAGAAGATAGCGCTACCGACCTTAACAGGTCGCGGACTCTCTCTCGCTCAGCATCCTGTAGCGGCGTGTAAAATGCTACAGGGGTTGATAACTCCATGATGTTTGCCTTGAATTTTTCAACCACATCTTGTGTGCTGAGTGAGGAATTGAACCAGTCGAACCCGAAGACATTGACCCCGGAGGGCGGGGGGAAAGGCGGGTATCGATTCTGCCTACCGCCCCGTCTAGAACCTTCATTGGCCGGAACTCCTTCCATCAATTGATCCACGAAATGGATAAGGTGGGAGTCACTCTCGAATCCATCTCCGTCTCTCGAGCCAAGCCCTTAATTCTCTGTGCACTTGGCCACACGTATCAGGGAAACCGGGCAGACGTCTCTATCAATGTCTACTGCTGCCGACTATGTAGCCGCCTTTTCCACATCATATGAATTCTGCCTTAATGTCCCTTTGCCATGGCTACGGCCTTACTGCATTTCCCCCATCCTTTTTGTTCGCTGGTAAGGACTCGGCAGCATTTCATTCCTTCGACCAAACGAGCGACGGTCAGCACGACCGGAGTTGTGCGAAACATGGCGCCGCGAAGTTTAGCCAACGCTAGGCAAGCAGCCACGCTGGTTTCGGGAGTTCGGAGCCGACATTAAATTGGAGAATTGACGAACAGAGCAAATGTTACGAGAAAGCATTGGTTTGGCCCATGAAATTGGCAACAGGGTGACCGCATTTCTTGGATGATATTCAGACAGCGATCATGAAATGAATTTGCTTCAGTTATTCCTCACGAACCCTCTTGGCCAGCCAGTAGCTGGGTGGAATGCTCAATCTCGTTGTACGAGAAGCAGATTCTCATGATCTTCACCATGTCCGCCGCTGTTCATGTCAATCTGCCATATCAGTCTGTCATTCCACCAATAATGGGGAAAGTAAAACCTACGCGTGATTCGATTGCCAGAGGCATCGTTCTCATCCCGTCCATTCAGTCGGGTGAAATTTTGGACAAGGTCAACGCGTGGTCGCCGTGAGCTTTGATACATTTCCAGGCGCGCTGGAATGTCCTCGGCACACGTTCCAGCCGCCAGCAATGTGGCGATGCTGACAGCGTCTTCAATGGCCATAGCTCCTCCTTGACCCATATCTATTGGATATTACTAGTCAATCTTGGAACAACTCGACGAAATGAGGCGCGCTTCTTACATGGTTGAAATGGGTGAGCGGCGTCGCCCAGTAGAGCAGCGTTACCCTTGACCCAAGTAGGCAGTGTGTTCATATCATACAGCTCCCAAACGTTGAGATTGTTGGTCGCACTGTTGACAATTCGCTTTACACCGGGAGAGAACTTGGAAAATGCACGCACAATGGTTTCCTTGTCTCCGAACGTTTGCCAGCCTATCCCCACGCCATTAGCCAGTAAGTGGGAATGAGAAAGAGCTATCCCTTACTATCAATTTTGCTGCCTATATTTTCTTCACTTGAAGGCACAAAAGCACACAAGTTGAAAACTTTGTTGTTTGAGCATGGATAAGCAACGAGCCGGCGGTCCTCAGCGGCCCACTCAATAAAAACACCAGGGTCCCGAACGTAACCCAGCGTTGACTGATGCTCTCTCAGGCGGTCCATGGGTAAAAGCCACCGGAAGCAAGACTTCCCTACCTGATACGGCGAGGGTGCTCCTGGCGCGATCGATTTGCGAACTTGGGACTATAGGGTTCTCAGTATGCCAATCCGAACCGCACGTTTCTTCGAACTGTATTGAGGCTTACATGGAGTCCGTCCGCCCCGAGCACCAGGTCTGCGACAAAGGTGCGACCGTCTTCGATAGAGGCCCAGGGCCGTGTACCCTCGATGTTGATCTCTGTGATCTTGCACTGCGTGTGCAACGTTGCGGTCTCGATCGCTCGCTGTTTGAGATTATTGTGCAAATCGACACGATGCACTAGGTACCACTCCTGTAAAGAAGTCAGAATTATACTTAGGCACTGAATCAAAAGGTTTACATACTGCCTGCCACTCTTGGCGGATCGCTGCAAATTCTTTCTTGTATTTCAAGTCGCCATCGAATCCATACCGGTGAATCTAGAAGCGGTCTAAGCCAAGGATCTTGGTTTTGATCACCATTTACTCACTTCATGAAGCAACGTGCCCCCAAAGTCCATCGGGTTTATTCCCAGCCATTGCAGCAGCGCCGTACAATTGGGGGGCAGGTGAATTGCAGCACCGGTTTCCTTGAGAAATCCCGATCTTTCTAGAATCTGAACTCTTCATATTAGCACGTTCTCGCCCGTCCACAGATTGCATATATACGCACTACCACCCGATGACCTTGTTTGCCGAGGGCAATGGCAGCAGAGAGGCCGGCAATGCCGGCACCAATAATGAGCACATCCAAAGGCTGATTCGCTGTTTGAGTCATTATATCCAGAATTTTCGCGAGGCACTGACACCTGTCATTTGGTTCTGGGGCCTTTGATTCTTCAGCAGCGGCTAACAATAAATACTCAAAGATCCAGCTTCGGTCTCGGCTTTTTAAAACGGAGTTTCCTTTTTCAGTAGTGCAAAATGATCTTCGGTCATTCTGGTGTACAATTGAATTAAAGGTCTCCACTCCCGTCGGACGATGAGGGTGTCAAGTGGGTGAGAAGAGCGGTGTAGAAATTAGGATCGATCGCCTTCGCTATAATAATATATTTGCTTGAGAAAGTGCCGAGATAACGATCCGTGAGATTTCGATGAAAGCAATCTGTGGGTGGAACATTCGTTCTAATATTGTATCTTTTGTCAGAATCTGGGCGTACGACGGTCCCACATGGAAATGTAAATCACGAAGAAATAAATCTCTGCTCCCGATTAATCTGGGAATGCCCGACAATTTAGAGGACGAACTATCTAGTAAACAATGAATAACAGCACTAGTACAAATTAGGAAATATTAGTAAGGGGGTAAAATTCCTGTACTTATGTGTCCTGGTAGACTTCTAATTCTTGACATCTTTAAAGACGCAGAGCATATTCATAGAGACCAGTTGGGAAACCAATGTAGTTCGAAATACAGGTGCAATCGTGTTCCGAGTAGCAGGCTCATGTCCGAGCGAAATCGCATCCCATGAAAATTGTCCCTTTAATCGGGGTGTCGTAGTAGGAGCTAATCTCCACAAAGCCATACTTTCGATATAACCGCTGTGCTGCGATCATTTCTGGTAGCGTATCGAGTCGAACGCCACGATATCCCAAAGCTTTTGCGCGGTCAAGGATGGCCTCTACAAGCCGTTCACCAAGTCTTACGCCGCGGGCCTCCTGGAGGACGTATAGCCGTTTCATCTCGCACCAGTTGTCGGAGCTTTGGCGGAGAGCAACGCATCCGACTGCGAGCGAGGGGTGCGATCCCAGTGAGTCTGATGACCTTTGATATGGTGGATTGCGATCTGGTTGTTTTTCCGCACGTGCAATCAAGAGCGCACCTCCTTGAGATTCGGCATACTTCCCGGGTAGCGAGTCAAGCTCATCCTGAAATTGCTGGAAGGTGAGGTCGATGCCTAGCGATGCAGCATAGCCGGAGAACAGGGCGAGAATTGCGCCAGCATCGTCGGGAAATCGAGCCGCTTCAATGTGGATGGCCATTCAGTCTCTCGGGCAGGGTAAGTTCGCAAATCAATTTGGAAGCGACGAAAGGAAAGACCACTTGAGACGCTATGTGATGACTCATACGGTACGACAACCACCACCACTTTCGTCTCGCAAAACTACACAGATTCTTGACAGCGGTTTTGCTATCTTAGTTCCGCCAGGAACCGTTCCTCCGCGAAAGTGACGTGCATTGTTCGCGGCCACCGATTCCTCGTGTCTTCCACTGATACTTATGAAGGAGGTCGATTTCAGTGCGCAAATAGGAACCACTATAAGGCCCTGCAAAGCATTAAGCACGGATATGAACCGCTCGATTTCTTCATGCACGCCTTGGTGCAACTGTAAACGTGAATGAAATTAAGCGTAGTTTGAGATGACGAAATCTAGTCAAATGCAATAACATTTCCAAACTCCATTGCGCCGTCAAAGATCAAACCCCCGTCTATCAAAGCTCAGGCTGTCAGTTCACGCCACTATATGCGCGTCGCAAGAACCTTGCCAACATCATTGAGCAGCATTATGTACCACGACCCATGATTTACTGATAGGTAACATCGAATTCGGTGTCGCTTTGGATGTTAACCTCGGCTAACACCTTGCCGTTTTGCTGAATTTCCAGGATCGCCGAATCGTTCACACCAAAGTCTTCATCGTCGCTAGACTTGGCCTGAGCACCGCTAAACGTGACCTGGTCAAAGTTGACCAAAGCCACCATGCTTGAACCAGAGTTGAAATCCTCAACAATCCACTCAACATTTTGACCAGCCAAGGTCGCGGTAGTGGAGGGCGCCGAGAGCGTCGTGGTGACACTCTGACCGGAAGACTGGTTCTCTAGGATGGCGATACCCTGGCTAGGCGAGGAAGACTCGACCTTGGCGAAGATGACATCGCCTGCGGACACATTCAAGTCAAAGTTGTCTGCGTTGTTGGGATACCACTCGTACCAGGCATCAAAGTTGACAGTGCCATTTTGAGTCCAGAAATCTACGCCAGTCTGCAAAATTGCAGCGGTGTACGTGTCACCGTCAATGCCGACCCACGCGGAAGCAGCCTGCATATCACCGGAGTTGTCGGTAGGCGTCGGATTCGGGACAGTAAATGTCGCGGAGACTGCTGTATAGGTACCGCTAGGGGGTGGTTTTTCACGAACGACACCACCCCAGTTCTTGCTGTATTGGATGTTGGAGGCACCAGAATCCTCCTTGAGGAGGACACCGTTCTCTTCGGCGGTGTTGTCAATCTTGTTAAGCGGCAGAGACTGGCGTGGCAAGGCACCGCGCCTTTCTAAACGCTCGGCCAGGCCAGCTCGGGGCGCAGCGAGGGAGCTGCCAGCCAGCATGGCGGCAGTGAGAGCCGTAGTGGTGAATTTCATGTTGACTGAAGCAATAGTATAGAGGACCAGATATCTGAAAAATATGCCACAGCAAGCAATAAATCTGTGGCGTGAGTAACCTGGCCAAATCTGGGCCTGGTACCGATGCCGAGTTTATATAGTTCGGTCCGATTCAAGTTGCATGCGGCAAATCATCTCGCCAGGGACGCATGGGGAAATGGTTCGCGTGCTATGTAGCTTTTGATCTGTGTCTCCGGGACCCTGGTGTGAGACAATATCTGGGACCCGCAGGTAGAGTGGAGGGACCGACCTGGCCTTGACCAAGGCACCGGACCAGTTGAAAATGGGAAAGCCAGCCTATTGGCTGGGTTGGTGCTGTCTTCATGTTGATCTTCGCCATTTTGTCCTTTATGTCCATCACAATGGCACATCAGCGGGCCTAGGTATGCACTTCCGTTATCGGCATGAGGACAGAGAAGTAAGGACACAGTCTGAACCACAGATGGTGTGTCTGGGCGGAGGAGCATTCCTCACGCACCGTAGCATCTGACAGGGAAGATCTAGATGTTCAAACACGACGGAAAAGACAAGGATCGGCATTGTAAACCCCCGATCTCTCGAGCCACCAGATCTGTCAATCTTGGTTCGGCCACAATTTCCCGTGGGACAATAGCCATTTTTCCTCAGCGCATCCCATAATGCAATTCAAGCCTAAGCCATCGATTTCTCTGTCCAGGATGCCAGCCCATTTAGCGCATCCCAAGTGTCGAGGTATCGCAGGCCACATGACCATATCTATAGCTGAAAAAAACGTCTTGTCAGAACATGACTGCAGTATCAAGGCAGCACCAAGCACGAGATCCAGGGTAGAAATCAAACACTGTAGAACAATGATTCTGGCAAATGTCCCTCCAGCCGACGTCATCGCAGAAATAGGGTTAGCGTACATACCAGACACCGCAGCGGCATGCCCCAGTCGGGTCATTGTCGCTTCGATTGGCTCAAGCCGCCTATGGATCGCCGGAAACACGGGACCCTGTTTATGTCTTCTTGGCTCGATCTCGGCTATCCTCATGCGGCGTTGTTCCCAGCACGCGGCAGAAACATTCCTTAGTAGCAGATGATCGTGGTTGATTGAAGTTAATCTTTCATATGATCAGCATACAGGATGGGAGTGATCATCATTTCGCATATCTCTCTTTGTTTCAGTGGGCTCTAGTTCTGGGCGTTCCCATGATGGTGTGTTATGACGAAGACCGTTTATGCTCATCCATGCTGGGGAGCTCCTGCTGCAATTGAGCACAAGCATGAAATTGCAGAGAAACAGGCATGCCTGCTGAGGGAAACATGAGAAGCTGGAGGGATAGGGTTCTATACATCAAAACGGAATGAAAGTGCAAAGGATTCGCAATGATCTTGTGGGTTTGGTTAGCTAAACAGACACATATTATCAATTAGCAAGAGAACAATGGTCTGTCAGGAGAAGGGCGGTTATAGACCTTGTGTCACGCTGCTTGATTCTGATTGTAGGGGATACTTCTGCCTAGCAGAGAAAATCCCTAGAGAAAAATAATTCACATGGCCTAGTAGTTGACGGCCTTGCTCACATATTTCAGAGAACAAAGGCTTACTTAACATCACATGGGAAGCCGGCGCATCTCCTCGAGGCTCCAGTACTTACGCATATTGTCTGCGCCAAGTGTCTGGACCTCCTCATCCAAATGAGCCCACAAAACCTTACCGAAGCCTTCCATCAGACGCTTCACTTCTTCTCGGCGCAGATCCTCTTCACCTGACCGGCATTTTTCAAGGTAGGCTTCGAGTTTCTCGAGTCCAGCATGGATCTGCTTATGCTGGCGGAGCAAATCGAGTTCTTTCCGGAACTCGGGCATCTTTTTCGCCAGGATGGGGAAAATGTGCTGTTCTTCAATAGAGTGATGAAAGTCCAGTTGCGAACAAAATTGTAGGCCCATAAGAATCATCTGGCGAGCCGATATCCCACCAGGGCGTTTCCCGGTGGCAGTACAGGCGTCCCACAGCTGATTCCATGTTAAGCGGAAATGGGAATGCTGTATTTCCTTTGTAAGCACTTGAGCGACCTCATAATAACATGGTTTCGAGCTTACGAATTGGTCCATGTGCTCCGACAAGCGATTGTATGCCCGAAATTCACTCGCAGACAGCGGAGCGGAGGCCTTCTCGGTGCTTTCCGGACATGCCGAGCTATTATTCTTCGGAAACGGCATTGGAATAGTTGAAAACGATCTCGCAGCAACAGGAATGGTAAACAGAGAAAGCTGCAAGAGCTGGCTGGCCACGGAAGAGTGGCGAGGCTAGGATTGAGCGCAATACGCGCATGGGCAGTCGGCAGTTGTGCTTGAGCCACAGCCGATGGTAGCTGGTCTGCAAAATCACTATCGGCCAATCTCAGATCACAGATAAGTGGCTGAGGCTATCATAAAGGAGCCGTCATGGGCATGGAAGAAAAATCTAGTGGGATCTGGCGGAGAGCGGCTGATGAGAAACGGGATTTCTGATCCGGTGGCGGGGTCTCGAGAGCCATCGGCATTAAAAATAGTCAAACCAGCCGGATTTCCGACGCGCGAAAACATGAAAGATCCGGATGCAAAATGGGCTGATTAAAGGACACAAACGAAAGCTGCAAATCTCTGGTGAATAAATAACTATTTTGACACAGTAATAACTTGACATGGTATGGCCCAAGGGAATAACGGTAACTGTACTCGCTTTTAGAAGGGTTGATTTGGATAATGCTGTTTATCGTTCTGCTAGTGAGAAGGGAACAAGTCGATCGAGCAAAGCCAAAAAAGTCTACGAAAATAGCATGTCCCAGATCCTCAATGGACGTGTGCCACCTCAGCAGGTGCCGTTGGACACAAATCTAGTACGTCACTGGCTTGGGAGAATTCTCCGTTCAATATAAGCACTTCTTCGGCACAACCACAGCCATGAAAAGGCGGGATCGCAATTTGACATCCGTGCTAACGGGCAATGCTGAAAAAGAACGATGAGGGTCAGTAGAAGCGTCAGAACACAAGTGGTATATTATTAGCAATACACATCGTGGAGCCGGTCACGCGAGAAGATGGCAAGTGAATAATGAGACAAGAGGCCGTCGGCACGGGGAATCGAAAATTAGAAAGTAATAAATCGTAACGCCATCGATGAACGAACGGATCCATTCAAAGTTCGGAGTGGACAGCTTCCGGCTCGGAAAACCGTATGCCACCCTTGAGCTCCTGCCAGGCTAGGTCGAAGCGCGCCCCCATCAACCAGGCCACAAACATCTAGACCGAGTCAGTAAATTCCGAGAATTGTCAGAGTTTGCAGGTACATACCATCGAAAAAGCAACCAAAAAGATGACGGCACCCATTAGGGCCATCATGAAATAGACGTCCTGCTTGGATTCGTCGTCCTCCTGCTTCTTCTCCAGCTCCTCCTTGGTCAGTTCACCCGTGACCCGGCGCTTGACTTCCTCCGCATTCTGGGATGGGAATATGCTCTCGATGAACTTCTCAATCTGCAGCATATACGTCAGTATCCATGGGGGCAGCATCTTTGGATAGCTCAAGCTCACCTTGCCGCACACAATGCTGATCTTCAAGAAATTGGGATCCTTGGGGGTATTCTTCTGGTGAATCTTGCGTGTGTAGATTCGGAAGGTGTCGCACAAAACCCGAAGGTTCTGCGTCGACTGGGTCATGAGGTTGCAAGCTTCCCCCTTGGTGATCTTGATGTTTCGTTCGAAGAGAGCTGGGTTGCGGAAACACAGTTCCATAGTGGCAATAGCCATAGATTGCGGGATGGCGCAAAAGTTGAAGACACTCTGCTCCCGCAGACCAGCCAAGTAGAACAGACATTCCTCCGCGTGCTCCAAAGCATTAAGAATCATCTCGGAGCTGCAGTTCAGGGCGGCCTCGCGGTTTTCCGGCTTGAACAGATCCTCAAATTGATCGACGTGGTTAGACCAGATCTCCTTCGGCCAGAACCGTCGGTTGTCGTCAAAGTCCTCACGAATGTCACGGATGATATTAGTCTTCTGTAAGAAGAGACCCATAGATTTATGCAGCTGCGGGCGCTTTAGCAGAGCCGGGTTACCGAACTCCGCCTCGACAAACAAGCGGGTAAGGCCCTCGCCAACTAGGCCCGCCACGTAGTAGCAGTATAGGTCGTACTCCTCGACGGTCTTCACGCTAGCGTCATCTAGCGCGGCCTTGCGGCAGTAGTCGGCCATACCATTCCCCATCTTATCGGTGATGTCCTTGATGATAGCTTGGTAGGCGGGCTTCATATTCTTGAACTCAGTGATCACATTGTGAAACTGAACCAGCAGCTCACGATCCTTCTCCTCCGGCCGATTTCCATAGAAGGTCCAGCCATCTTCCGTCAGGATATCTTTGAAATTCCGAAGGAGAGGTTCCTTGGTTTCCAGAGGAATCGAGGTGTCATCTTCGATGGTATCCAGACCCCGAAGCACTAGGTAGAACACACACACTGGAAGCAGCAGTTCGGGATGTAGCTCCTTGATTACAGCGCTGAAACTCCGACTGGTCTGATCTAGGAACTTGAAACAGATCTTCTGTGTCTCGGTCTCGTCCTTCTCATTCCGCTCATGAGGCGGGTTGTGCCAGACTTTCCTGTGTCAAGAGCATTATGAGCGAAAGCTCGAGAGGAACAGGGGTCCAGAGGCAATTCATACGAACCATTGAAGAATCGCCCTCAACTCAAATGGGTGAAAGGTATAGTAGATGACATTGCCGATGACACCCATGGTGTGCGTGTGTGGGGGTGGGGAGCCTGCAGGTGCGGGAGCTGGCAGGATTGGAATTCAAGACCAAACAGAGGGTAATCAATTACAAGAGTGTCAAAGGAGAACAATGAAAATGGACAGAAGAAATCGAGGGCGGAGGGAAGGAAAAGGGGGGATTGGGGAGGAGATAAAGAGGCAGAGAGGATGAAGGGAAAAGGAAAAGGGGGAATGGAGAGAAGCGAGATGGAGAAGAAGCGAGAAAAATCGCTTACCGCCAACAGTCAGCAGAAATAACCACGTGACTAGAAGACTCCCCGCCGCATGACGATTGGAAGGACGATCAGGCAGAAAAAGAAACAACAACCAAAACTCTCTCTCTCTCTCTCTCTCTCTGAGTTCTTCCAGCTCATCCTCTCGGCCTGCATCAAGGGCTATTACCTCCCACGATGGTCGCGGATACTGCATACTACGATGTTTTAGGCGTGCCACCCACAGCCTCCGAGCTCGAGATCAAGAAGGCGTACCGGAAGCTGGCCATTACCACTCACCCAGGTATGACACGCAGATATCGCCATGATCGATTTAAAGAGTACTGATGCACTCCACAGACAAGAACCCCGGCGATGAAACAGCACACGAAAGGTTCCAGGCGGTACGCGCGGGCTCCCTTACTAGACGGTGCAGCAAACTGATACCATCGCATGATAGATCGGAGAGGCCTACCAAGTTCTCAGCAATGAGGATCTGCGAAAGCGCTATGATAAGTTTGGCAAGGAGGATGCCATGCCCGGTGGTGGCTTTGGTGAGCTCATGATTCTGGAGCTGGCGGACATAGCCACGTTACTGACCTCTTTTTCTTCTCCCCAACAGAGGATCCATCTGAGTTCTTCAGCATGATCTTTGGTGGCGACGCATTTGTCGATCTTATTGGAGAGATCTCGCTCATGAAGGACCTGACTGCGACGATGGACATCACCGTGGAGCAGATGGAGGAAGAAGAACTGGCCGCATCAGCCGAGCAAAAGCTGAACATTCACGACGAGGAAGTCAAGGCCGCCGGTGCAGATAGCGCCGGTGCAAATAGCGCATCTGCCGCCGCATCCCACGCAACGACGGCGGCAGAGTCGGAGGCCCATCCTCACATGCCCTCGGAGACCTCCGCCCAGAGCTCCGGTACTAGCACCCCTCGACGATACCTCGGCCAACAGGCCATCATGGACAAGTCGGAGGAAGAGGCGCGTATGGAGGCAGCTGGTCTGTCACAGGAAGAGAAGGATTTGCGCAAGAAGGAGAAGAAGAAAGGCCTGTCCAAGGAACAACAGGAGCGCCTGGCCGCCTTCGAGGAAGAACGGCGGAAAGCACGGGAGGAGCGTGTCAATACCCTGGCGAACAAGCTCATTGATCGCGTCAGTGTGTGGACCGAGACCGATAAAGGCAAGGATGTGACACACGCGTTCGAGGAGAAGATTCGGCTGGAGGTCGAGAACCTGAAAATGGAGTCGTTTGGCCTCGAGATTTTGCACGCCGTCGGTGCAACCTACGTTCAGAAAGGTACATCGTTCCTCAAATCCCAGAAGTTCCTCGGCATCTCCGGGTTCTTCTCGCGGCTGAAGGACAAGGGCACGCTGGCAAAGGAGACGTGGACGACTATCTCTACGGCGATTGAGGCGCAGATGACCATGGAAGAAATGGCCAAGCTAGAGGAACGGGGCGGCGAGGACTGGACAGATGAAAAGAAAGCCGAGTACGAGAAGAGGGTCACGGGCAAGATCCTGGCTGCGGCATGGCGCGGCAGCAAGTTTGAGATCCAGAGTGTCCTGCGCGAGGTGTGTGACCAGATTCTAGGCGACAAGAAGATCCGGCTGGAAAAGCGTATCGAACGTGCCCACGCACTGGTGCTAGCTGGTAATATCTACGCAAAGGTATGATGGTGCTTGATCCGCTCTGCATTCGATCGTACTAACCTTTTGTCAGGCTGAACGCGACCCCGAAGAGGAAGGCGATTACATGGCCTTTGAACAGCTCATGGCCGAGGCCATGTCCAAGAAGGGCAAGGATGAGAAGAAAAAGAAGAAGTCGAAGCATGGCTTCGGACACAGCCATGAGCAGCCCGAGACAGAGGTTCCCGCTGCTTAATCTTTCTGTTTCTGTGTTTTGTCTCCCCTTCGCGGGTTTGTTTGTTTATTATCTGGACATACATGTGCGGTCTGCTGTGTTTTTTGGAGGGGCTCGAATTGATGATCCTCTTTCTTATTTTCCGGCGACTTTCCGGCCAGCTATCGGTGGAATGAGGCGCAGAGGTTGTTCGAGTGATAGAATGCTTTATATACCTTGGTATCCATACTATTCGACTGTCTCCTTTGACAAGAAGATATCCATTTTGACAAATGATATGCACATCTAACATTCTCGATTGGTATCTTCACGCAAGAGGTATCAACAAGCTCAAATATTACTCCATCGATCCGACGTTCCCGATTAATTAATTGCTCCTATGCAGCATTATTGTCCTACTACCTGGCCCGATATTATTCATCCGATGAAGACGAGACGTGGTGTGGGTGACGGCGGGCGACTGACACGGTACAATCGCAATCTCACGATGTTCTTCTACACCGGAGTTCAGACAATGTGGGTGCTTTCGCCGCTGGGCTCAGCGCTCTGGCCGGCCGACGGTGAAGAGGCATTATGCAACTGCGGCTGGTTATGGAGCGCTTCAGCATCCCGTGTGGACAGATCTGACGCAACAACAGGGGTCGTACTCATCGGCACGTCATGCGCCGGCGCATCTGCAGCCCGAGACTTTCTCAAGGACTGATAGCCTGCCCACTCCGAAGCCAGCACACCGCAGAGTGTCAAGATGATAAGGATGAAGAGGGCCATGAATAGCAACCTGGGAAGAGACAATCCAGGATTAGTTGTTGCGGCGGTAAACAGGGAACCAACTCACCAGAGAAGCACTGCAAAAGCAATTACGGCGTTCAGGTAGTCCGATGTACTAGTGCCGCCGCCGAGATAGGAGGTAATATCAGCGAAAGCAGCCAACCAGAACACCATGGTGACGAAGTATACGGCTGTGAAGACGATGCCGAGGATCGTGTTCAGCTTCGAGCTGAAGCCTTTGCGCGTGAAAAACCATGGCAGGAACAGCGACGCCCCGGTGACCAGCATGGTCCAGACCGCAGTGAAAATGAGAAAGTCGAGGATGGGCGGCGCGCTGATGTTGACATTTTCGTAGCTATAGCCGCCTTCCCACGGATTGTAGTAGGACACTTGGTGCGCTCCGGTCCAAGCAGATGCAACATAGGCGGCTAAGCCCAGCTCGATAATTGAAAAGACTAACGACGTGCCTAGTATGGCATAGAGGGCGATGTCGAGCGCGAGCATGGTGAGCGGAGGGCGAGCAAGAACAGAAAAGACGCATAACCGCCAGCACACCAGAGCGCCTTGCTCTTTATGTATCAGCTATTGTTAATTTGTCTCCACTTGTGCAAACGCACTTCGTGTGTTTTCTCTCTCGTCTCGTATTGCCCCCTTTGACCTCATTCAGCCGCTCGTATTTGTGGTAGCTACTGAGTGGTACATACTTCCGGCGCGCGCGTAGCGTCAGGGATTAGCTTTATCTCGTGTTATTGGACCAGTCCCATTCGTATTGGGTGCCACCAAACTCTGTTTCTACGCCTGGTCTGGCCAGCCGGTGGGCTTCTTGAGCTGCCAAGCCAACATTGCGTCCGTCCTGTCCCGAATCGGTGCAAGGTAAGCGAAAATCGTATTTTGGGTTGCCCAGGCCGAGATGGAGCTCTTACTAGAGCAAAGACGAGGCGGGTCTTATAATAATACGCAGATCGCTCGCTGGACGTTTGCAATTGCTGTTGATTGATGTGACTGATTGAGGCCGTAACTTGGGGCTTCGGTGGCGGCACGCAAGGAAGATTTATGGTCGGAGTCACTACAGGAAGACCAAAATACACATAATCTTCAAAAAGGTAAAATAGAAATTGCATCTCTCTATCCCATGAGAACGGCAAGAGCTTTGCCCGGTCCTTACAAGCGAGTCATCTGCAGCCGATACCCACCGCAGCATAGCTAGGGTACGAAAAGGAATTCCTTCGATCCGTCCTCACGTAGCCACTCACATCTCTCCTCGAAAGCATCCGATTGAATCTGCAAACCGGACGTTTTCATCATACCATTCATATGTCCGTCCAATACCAGCCAAGCTATGTTCAATAGGTTTGCAAGAGCTGAAATCACTGATGACCAGATTATTATCCTTGTAGAACAAACTTTTCGTGGATCTGTGAAGAGTGAGGTCGGATATCCATTATTGTATTAGCAAACCACCGGTCCCGAAGCCTGACGAAGATCCAACAGTAAAGTTGTCTGATCAGCTAAGATCAATAAGCTAAATTCATTCGTTTATGTCTTTCAACACACCTAGCAAGTCATAGGCCAGTAATTACCTAGCACTTTTTTAATCTGGCGGTCTAGAGGCTTACTTGATTATAGCAGCTTTCAAGACTCCTTTAATGAATATATATGTTTCCTATTCCCAGTAATTTCAGTGATTGCAATAATGTACCTCAATGATGTTACCTTATTCCTAAAACAGTACAGTACCGTTGGATGCACGGCCTAGTGAACCTTTTACCTAACGAACCCGATGACGGAGGCCTCATTGTATGCCGCGGCGCGCATCTCCTATCCGAACAGTTTTACCGTGAAATAGCGGACGAGGAGCAGATCCCCGCATGGTCACCAGAGCGGTATGGGCTCACCGACCGTGGGATGTAGTGACTTGCCACGTACGGTTGCGAATGGGAAACGGTCTGCGCGGAGTCCGGTAACTTGCTGCCGTGGGATTCGAAAACGCTGCACTAAAAACTTAGCTCCAAGAATAGCCGGCCCCAGTTTGCCATCTACACGTGCTATCTGCCGGTCACGAATGCCTCTCAGCATGACCTAAAGCGAAAGTAGGATGCTTTTGATCGCCGTGTTGGCCAGACACACTGGCCGAATGCGAAGCATACAGGGTCCAATATCGGCCAGCAGGATGGTAAAGAAGACCCGCACAACCGCCTGGCGCCGATGACTGAGCCTGCTTTCAATGAGCGAACTTTCAGGTTAACCCGTATTTCCTATATTCGCGAAGAGTCAATCCAGGCCGATGGCGATGCAAATGTGCAGATCAAGCAGACGGCTGTTGCTGCATGAGAATGTGTATTTATTGACTTGTTGGATTAAGTAGATTAACCCCGACAAATTGACTGCCATTCGGAGAGGTCGCGAGATCAAACAGATGTGTAGAGCGGTCTTGCCAAATCCGTAGCTTAGATCCCTATTCGCTACTTTGGCTTATCAACAGAGGAGACCGTACACTGTCCGGATCGTAGTCTTGCCGTGGCGGCAAAATCATGTCATTTGCTCGAAATCATGTGAAAAGAACTCTTGAGACTGGGGTAGAGTATATCCGGCCAACTAGAGGTGCCCTAAACTCAGCCAGTCTACAATCCCCACCGGCTTTTTGTCTTCCGGCGTCGATCGCCCTGCTTTAGCTGCCGGCGAGCGACATTCTCCCGAGCCTCGATCGGTCGAGACAGTCGTACGATATCGGTTTTGCCCTGTCCGACCGAACTGCCGAGTATGCTTACTATTATGCTTCAGTTATGCCTCCTCAGGAAGCTTATTTGGTTTGGCGTTCCTTCTTCCAGTCCACTTAATATGGTGGTTCGGCCGTAGAAGTCAAACCTCGGCTATAGAGCTGGGCATTGCGTTAGTGGACACGTTGAAGATCACATTCCACATGGAAATATCAGAGATTCTAGCTGTATACAACGTACTAATCATGTTTATCCGGATATGCTGACCGCTATCCATGAATTTCTCCAATATGGGAGAGTTATGCTGAGCAGTGGATTAAGGCTGCCCCGCGGCGGGGCCGTATCCTCGGTCCGCTCGCTCTTTCAGATGGGGACTGCATCATATGAAGGCGCGCATAATAAACACCATAGCTTTGTTATGGTGCGATTTGAGGGTGATTGTCATCCAAATGTGCGGCATAGTCAGTAGGGCGTATACTTTTTGAGCTAAAAGGTAACCGTGTATATATAAACACGAGGTACCAGTATTTGAACTCGCACAAGGTATTCAAAAACATCAATTCCATACTATACTTCCATATCCTGTATCCAGAATGGCATGGTCTTTCATGCCACATGGCCTGATCAATTGGCTGTCCACAAACTTGGCAAATGCCTCGCTGAAAGAGCGGGTGCTATATGCCCTGTTAGTGCTGAGTGCCTACACGGCACTGGTGTCGTTTCTGCGTTTTCAGAGACAAAGAAAGTTGCAAAAGGAATATCCTTATCCGACGCGAGAATCTATGGGCAAGATGACAGATCATGATGCCTGGGCCATACAGAAACAGATCATGCAGATGGAATTCCCATCCATGGTGCTCAAGTCCTTACAATTTGCTCTCTTCCGCGTACGGAACTTCTTCCCGCATGCATATCAAACTATACTAATTCTGCTGTAGACATATGGAATCCCAACTATATCGACATTATTGTTGAAGACATCGCAATTCTCCGACTCAGCCACCTCATTCAAGCGCTACGCAGACACAGGCGCCTTGATCGGCGAATTCATGGCCTTTGAGCCAAGTTCAGAGCGAGCATTAACGGCAATTGCTCGAACTAAATTCCTACACAAGGGCTATCGGGCAAGTGGCAAGATCTTAGAAGATGATATGCTGTACACATTAAGCCTATTCGCCACGGAGCCGATCCGTTTCGTGGAGCGGTACGAATGGCGCAAAATGACCGACCTAGAACAATGTGCCGTGGGTACATACTGGAAGAATCTCGGTGACGCTCTGGAAATTAGCTTTGATGTCTTACCCTCTGGCAAGATCGGCTTTCGTGATGGGATCCACTGGCTGGATGAAATCAGTGCCTGGAGCTTGCAGTACGAGAAGCAGCATATGAAGCCGCCTCCACGCAACAAGGAGATTGCCGACAAGACCATCGACGTGCTCGTTTATAATCTCCCAAGTTTCATGAAGCCGCTAGGTGTATGCTTTGTTTCGTTTCTGATGGACGACCGCCTGCGCAAGGCGATGATGTAAGTACAGTCTCTCTTTCCGTTCAGAAGCAAGATTGACAACGGTTGATCAGGATCGAGCCAGCGCCACCAGCTTTTGGCGCAATCCTGTCCTCCTTGATAAGCATGCGCCGGGGTTATCTGCGCTACCTGGCACTCCCTAGACCAAATTTCATGCGTTTGGACGTCTTCAGCGAGAAGCCGAACAAGCACGGGAAGAATTTTATACTGATGTACGAAGGCATCCCATTCTATGTACAGCCGACCATCTGGAACCGCTGGGGCCCTATGGCATGGTTCAAATGGGCAATCGGACAGCCGTTGCCAGGTGATGAGGGTGACAAGTATTATCCACAGGGATACTTCACACCCGATCTGGGCCCTAAATACTTCGAAGGCAAGGGACGGAAGGAGCTGGAGGTGATCAAGCAGAGTTTGCGAGCTCAGCGGACAGGACGGTGCCCGTTCCCGTGATTGTACTGTGGGATTTCCACGAGATTGCGATATATTATTCAACGAATGTGAGCTGGTGCTTCTTTGTTCAAGTGGATTTCATCGCGTATTTATCTGGTGTCAACCAGTCGATAGTTCTGGGAGGAGACCTAAGGGTATGTCAAGCAAGGTGGAAATATCAATATAAATCACAATCAAGAAATCACAGAGAAGAGTTGGTTCGATTTCTATACAAGACCTCATTCACAATCAAGCTTGGGATAAGCATCCAAATGCCAAATCCAAAATCATGGGAACAAAGATATAAATCGGGTATCTATCAGGGGAACCGGAATCAACATATTCAAAACATCAAATGTCCCTTAATGTGAAGTTGCACATCGACCGCTCAGAATCCATCATGGTTGACAAAGCAGAAAGATAAAAATGTGAAGGACATGACGGGTTATGTCCTAAGACAAAAGAGAATTAAAAAAGAGAGGTAGAACAGGCCGCTGAAGAAAGCATAAAGTGAGGTGAAAAGATCAAAAAGATAGGAAGGGGGTATTGTGCGAAGATGTGCAAACGAAAGGATATCAAGGGTCATCCCGCCTGGGGACATGGTGAAGAATAATAATTTCATGTGGTGGCAGTCGATTCAGTGCATTCAGCCGGCTCAGTCGGCTGATCAGGGGCATCTGTGGCATCAGGTGCATCAAATGGAATTTCCGGAGAAGGAAACACAGAGCTGAACTCTGTGGACGGACTGAGCAGTCCCTGGGTGCTCTCGCCGAGCTCGCCGAGTTCATCTGGAGATAATACCCGGCCACCTAGCTCGATATCTTGGACATGCACGTTATATTCGAGCGCCCTGCGGCCCTCTTTAATGAGCTCTTCTGTCCAGCCGAGGCAGCGTTTGAGGCTTTGGTTCATTTTCTGACTGTCAACCAAAAGTTCTTGATGTCGGGCCACATCAAGTAACAAGCGTTTTTCGTCTTGGGCTCGATGTTTGGCATCGTGTTCTGCGAGAGAACCCGGACTCATGACCCCTTCATCCGGGACAGAGTCCTCATCGCTGAACTCGGACTCATCCTGAGAGCGAACAGAGGACAGCTCACTGCTTCCCTCGTCTACCTCGCTGGTAACTGAAAGAGCTGTTCCAGAAACCGAGCGTATGGATGGTGCCATGGATATGCGTCCAGAACGACTTAATCGGCGGTAACGGCGAAGCTCTGCATTTTGCTTCCGCATCTCCCGCTCCAGCGTGCGGTTGATGGCGAGCAGAGAGGAATTGCTGATCTCCAGGTCCAGAATCTTGCGTTCGGTACGCGCATTAAGCGCCATATCATTTGCCGGGGCACCGGGCCCTTCTGACTTGCTGGGGCTCTGAGGGACAGGTGAAAGGGGTTCGGTTGAAGCTGACGAACCATTGCTGAAGATACGAGGGCGAAGGGTGGGGATTTGGTCCGACATGACCGGTGTCATGCCATCCGCACAAAATGTACTGGGCGACACGATTATCGGACTTGCTCGTAGACTGTCAGGCGGCCTAGTTGTCGTGTCTACGCTGTATGATTTGCTGTGCCGACGACCAATAGAAGGTTGCGGTGTGTCGGCCGTTATGCTTGGGGGAGAATTATAAAGGTGTGCAACTTTTTCAAGGACGTGGTCCGGGGTGGAACTGAGATAGGATCGCGCGTCTTCTGCCGGAGAGGCGGAGCTCGGCAGCTTGGGTGATTTTGACCATGGGGAGGGGGATGGACCAGGCTTGCTGCTAGGGATGGTGCGAGGCAGGCCTCCAGAGCGGCGCTTCGCGACAGAGGTTGTGTAATTGGTCTCATCAATGGGCGACTGCCGTTCTTCGTCGCCATTCGCGTAAAAGAAACTGGATGACGGTGACACCTTCCCGGCAGGCTGGGAGCGAGTGGCATCCACATCAGAGGCGATGGGTGGCCGTGAAGCATCAGAGGCATGAAAGAACATGCGAGACGCCGAGGATATGTCCGAGAACGAGCTCGGGCGGGACGACTGCTGCTCCTCCGCCGTCAATGTTTTGGCCCTCAGGCTCCGCGGTTGCTCCGCCTTCACAGGTGCGCGGCCAGGGCTGCGCTCGCTCCGATACGTCCCCGTCGCGTAAATAGGCTGGGAGTATGTTGTCTGCGGTGATGTTGCCCGAGATGGGGTATTTGAGGGAGAAGTGTTGGTGCCATCCCGCCGTGTGTTGCGGGAACCCGATCGAGGGGTGATGTTGGCGCTGAGCAAGGTCGGTGCGCTCGCGAGATCATCTTTGGAGGGAGTGGAATAGGGATCATGATGTGCCAGTCGGCGGGTTGCAGGCAAGGTGGGATTGGGGCTTGCCAGCTTCGGCGTCAGGGGCGACTTGGTCGAGCGGTGGAAGGCGGCGCTGAGGGACGGGGTGAAGGGTTTGGCAACATTGTGTTTATCGGAGGTCATCGTGGCGGAGCGCGAAGAGCAAGTGGCATTGCGCTCCGCAGGCAGTGAGCATGGTGCACTGGATTAAGAAGAAAGAACACCGTGAGGGAGTGGATGAGGGACTTCGAGGATCCAGATCAAGTGACGAAAACAATTCGTGCCCGATCGGGTTTAGGGCGGGCCAAGGAATGTTTAGGGTTCTGAGGTTGTTACTATAACTACCGGAGGTATAGAACACATGTATGTACACAATCATAATAATACCGCGGGATTATTGGAAAAATAGTCGCTTTTGCCGTGGATCGTCCTCGAGCCCGGACTGAGACGCTGTCTTTCGTTTTCGCCCTGGGGCGGATACCCCCTGCGTGGTATCCTGGACAACCTCCCGGATGGTCTGTCGCGAGAGACAAAAATCCACATGGTCATTGAAGACCCGGTCGTCGGCCACCTGCGGTCTCGCGCAGATTGGACAGTCCCAAGTGGTGGTGGTTTGATTGGTTTCTTCGGGGAGATCGGAGGCCTCTTGGCTCAGCTTCTCCAGTTCATTCATCTCATCCTGGACCTCTTGACGCGCTGCCTCCTCAAAGGCCTCCTCGGCCCCGATGTCATGTTCAGGATGACCATGCACGACAGAAGACACGCTCGACTTCGGTTGCGCTGGGACACCGAAGAAATTGATTCCCGCTTTCTTGGTGCTGACCAAATGCGTGCACCGGAGACCGAGAAGCCGCAGCTTCATGTCGGGGATGTCCTTTTCGAGCTTCGCCAACATGGGTAACGCAAAATCGAACAGATCTTTGGCTTGGGAAACCGCCCGAGGTGGTGCTGTCTGCCGGGTTAAGACCTCGAACGTGTGGAGCTTCACTTTCAAGACCAAAGTGCGTCCCTTGAACTGGGTTCGGGCCATATCCTTCTCCAGTTCCTGTGCCGTCCACCAGAGTTTCGCCCGTAGTTCCTCTTTGTCTCCAATTTCATGGAATGTTGTCTCCGTCCCCACGCTTTTCCGCTCGTAGTTCTCGACAGGCTGAATCTTGGTGCGGCCGAGGCCGAGGTAACACTGTGCAAGGAATTGAAAGGCCTTCTCCCCGAATAGCTTGGTCAACAGGGCACGTTGCGGATAAATATCTCCACAGTTTTTGATGCCGATCGACTCCAGTTCGCGTTCAAAGACGCGGCCAATCCCATTGACTTTGCGGACGGGCAAATCCCGCATGAATTCCATGATCGCCTCTCGATCATTCGGCACGCGGAATTGACCATTGGGCTTGTTTTGGTTCGATGCAATCTTCGCCAGCTTCGCATTGGCCGCGATGCCCGCCGAAACAGACACCTTGGTGGTCTCGAAGATCTCGGTGCGCATCCGCTGGACCGTTTCCTCCGGGTCCAACTCATTTTCCGAGCAATAAGAGGTGATGTTCAGATAGGCCTCATCAATACTCGCACTCTCAAAGAGAGGGTCGTACTCGGCCATGATCGCGCGAATCTCCTTCGCCTTGGCTGTATATTTCTCGTAGTTCTGCGGTAAAAGAACCAGCTGCGGGCACAGCTTCTTGGCGACAAAAGATGCCATGCCACTGCGGACTCCGAACTTCCTGGCGAGGTAGTTACATGTCGTCAAGACGCCTTTGCCCACGGCCATCGGGACTGTCTTCAACTCTGGCCGGTCCAGCTCCTCGACCGCGGCGAAAAACGCGTCGCAATCGACATGAATGACATGTTGAGAGAGATCTCGCGTCAGCTCTAGTTCGGCAAGAAATTCATCCGCTTTACGCAAGTCGTGGCTCAGGTCCAGTTGCTCCAGACGAGCTTTTTCCTTTCGAATCCGTTCGATCTTGACCGTGAGGTTCCGGTCGCGTTCCTGCTCACGGTTGAAGAACTTGGATCCTTTGGAAGCATTGTAGATGATCTCCGAGACCTGGACATTCTGTTATTTGAGCCCATCGAGGAGAACTATAGAAACTTGCAACACGCACGCACACACCTTCTGCTGATCAACGGCGTCCTGGCCCGCTTTGGTTAACGACGGTCCCAACAGAGAGTATTTGAGGGTGTTATTATCTGGCTCTTCCTGGGCCAGCTCCCTTTGTATCCCGTCGTCGGCAGGCTGTTCGCCCGAGCAGTCCATAATCCGGGCACGTCATGGGATGGATAATTTCATCATTGTCGGTTCGCATCTCAAGGCAACGCCAGGTCACGTGAACTCGCGTTTTGCCTGCCTGGGCACGTGTTCTGGAGCCGCATCTTTGTTCCTCTCGTCACACACACTTCCCAATGTGGATCCTGGATTCGACAGGGGATTTCCTCGACGGTATGCCTGGAGTGATGAGCCTCTGGCTGTGACTGACGATAGACAAGGGAAGCGAGTGTGGCTGCGTCCTGGCAAGAAGTACCTCTTTGGGCGCATCAAGCAGGATGACGGTAAGCTCCAACCCAGCTGTGATGCGAAGGGATCCTCACTTGATTATCGCGTCTAGTCCGTCATGCGATTTCTCACAACTCGATCTCGCGAAAACACATGACTATCGAGGTGGCTCCCGTCAAACCTGGTGATGGCGTACGGCTTCCCCTTCTCCATGGAAGGGTTGGTTGCTGACCCAGAAGCAGTCTCAGATTTACACAAGATCCGAAATCACCGTGACCGATCTGGACTCGAAGTGCGGGACTTTTGTGGATGGACAAAAGTTCACTGGAGCGAGCAAGGTGTTGCGCGGGGAGGAACACGAGATCAAGCTGGGCAGGTATCAGCATACTCTGCGGTGCGTCATCCCGCCTGGTCTGCCCCGGCGTGTTCGCTGACAAGGGCTTGCAGAATAAAATGGCAGCCCGTCCTTCTAAGCTTCTCATTCTCCTCGAAGGAGATGAGGGCAAAGGACCCTCTCGCACACGTCCGTTCTCGACTGGAAGACCTCGATATCAAAACCGTCATTCCTTATGTGGTCGAGCAGACTACACACGTGGTGCAGAGTAAACGGAACACGGCCAAGGGTCTCCAGGCGCTTATCAACGGGAAATACATTGTACAGGACTCCTACATCGACGCACTGGTCTACGCGACCACGCCTGGCGACCTCGAAAATTTGGAATCATTATCTCCTCTCGAGGCCGATTTTGATGCGGCCTGGCCGGATGCCACCGAGTATCTCCCGCCAGCCGGCAAGGAACCAATCAACCGACCTGCCGCTGCCTTTGCTCCAGACCCGTCTCGGATCAGCATCTTCGAAGGATACACATTCGTCTTTGGAGATTCCACACAATTCGACAACTTGCAGGCGCCTATCAATAATGGACAAGGGAAGGCACTCTTTTATCAAGTGGAAGATGGAGTGTCTACGGCGGCCGATATTGTGCAATTCATGAAAACTGCAGCTGGCCACAAGGGAGTAGGCTGTGATCGAGACGGCCCGGGTGGTGTGGTCTTGGTTCGCTTCCGGTCCAAGGGTCAATATGAATCATGGTCCATCGAGGTGGGCAATGAGGTCGCGTTGATGACAGACCAGCGCGTGATTGAGCAGAGGAGTGTTTCTTGATGCCATTCTCGGGAGCGACGCCTCCCCTCTCTGTCGCCCGCTGCCGATTGAAGAGCCGAGTCAGGCGTCTGAACCTGGCCCGTCGTTTCGTTCTGAGCAGCGAGCTTCAAGGACGGAGAAACGTGCGCAGCCACCCTCCAAATCGCTGCCCCAGGCCGAAACCAGTCAACCTGCTCCGGGTCGGCCCAAGGCTCCTCGCGTGCGCACCTTTGTCAGTAAAATGAAAGCCTTTGACGATGGCTTCGATATGGACTCCGTCCCAGTCTATACCCCAGAGGAAAACCCCACAACATCTCAGCTGGATCTTGAACCTCTCGCAGCCCCACAGCCCAGTCAACATCTAAGTCCGGTAGAAGAAGACGCCGAAGAGGATGTGGTGTCAGAATTACTGCCGGGCGCCCGGGCAATGAAACGCCGTCGTGCAGAAATGAGCCAGCACCCGGATACGTCTGCGACCACTGAGTCCGAACCCACCCGGAAGCCGAAGCGCCCGAAGCTAGACGTATTGGAGGCTGCACGAAAACATCGCGAAGAAGAAGAGCGACAAGCACAAGAAGACACCTGTCCAGTGGCTTTGACGGACATGGAGGTTGATCAGCTCCGGAACCTGGCCATTGTGGAAGAGATGGAACTTCCTGTGCGGGATCCGCCAGCTGCCGTCGACTCCAACTCTGACCGATGGGATGAGCGATGGAACGGCCGTAAAAATTTCAAGCGGTTTCGCCGAAAGGGCGAACCTCGCCATGCCCAGCATCGCATACAGACAGTGATTGTGCCCCTGGAAGAGGTATCGCGCAAAGACTTTGGTATTGGCGATCACTACTGGGTTAGCAGTCACAAATCTCCCGACACCAGTCAATCCGCAGACCGAAGATCTCGTCAGGATCCGCCGCGCGAAGACCCGGCTGCATCTATTCCAGAATCGGCGCCAGGTTCGGCCTCTCCTGAGGCTCCTGGCCCCGATCCAAGCCCAACTCCAGCCCCAGCCCCAGCACGTCGGCCCATCAAACGACCGCGAGAGACGCATGAATCGGAGAGCGACGATGAGCTGCGGTTCCGCTTCCGGCGCAAGCGGTAAGCACAAGGCTGTTTTATTTTCCCACATATGATTTTAGCCTGTAGTTATTTGTAACTTGCATCGATACCCTGACGTGAATGAATTCTTTGATTGCTGCCGCGCGGCTAGTCGTTTTCGACGGGGCCACACGAATAAGGATTCTTAGATCAAACCCGGCGCCCAGGTGTGGTATTTGTAGCCGGTCCAGTTTCAGGAGAAATACCAACTAGAAAGAAACAATTATAGTATCGTACTAGGCCTTTGTCCCAGTGGATCAGTGGGTCCCGATCCGAGCCCTAATTAAGTGTTGACATAGATAACCATTCATTCCCTCAGCTTGTGTCACTCACTCACCTTCTCCCCCTTCACTTTTTTTTTTGCTTCTTTTATTTCTTCCACCAGTTACTTCCATCCGCCTCTCTTTCCTTCTTTCTCTTCCTCCCCCTCTCTCTCCCCTTCTGGTGTGTTCTTTCACTCTCCGTTTCTCTTCCCTCCAATCATCTGTGTCTCCCTCCCCCAATCTCCTCATCTTCTCCTGCCTCAACGCTGCCCAAACGCCTGACCGCCGACTTGTCCACTCTCTCCCAGACTCACTCCTCGCCGTCTCCCCTCGACCTAGTTCTGATGGTGGCATGGCCAGTTGCAAGCGCTGCTGACGGCAGCTGATTCTCCGATTTGTTCCCGGCCTAGCCGCGCAGTCTGGGCCGCTCCGGCCTTGCATCTGCAAGGAACTACGCCATCGCCCTTCGCTGTGAGTATGTGCCTCCTACTTCTCGCTCCTTCGAGATGGACTGACCAGAACACTTCACGGCAGCTCTCTTTCCTTCCTCTCACCAGATCCCCCACACCTTTACCGCTCCTCCACCTGCCCCATCCTTATCGCGCCCCATGATATCCACCATCCCCCCACCCCGGCCCGTGTCGGTCAATTCCTTGGCCAGAGCTCCAGGCACTGCACTGGCAGCACCAGTCCAGAAAACACTTCGCAGCACCAGCACGGGGATCTCACTTCACGACAGCCTCTATTCTCCCGACTCATCTCAGTCAACTCCCGCGTCAGCATTATCTTACCCCTCGCCCGCCCCTCGCGACATCTCTGCATTCTCTTGCCCACGCAACTCTTCGCGGGAAGAAACCGAGTTTGCAAACATCCCGATCGAGATCCATGAGGCGATCATCGATCATTTGTTTGGTGAGCGGGCCTCCGCGGCTAAGGCGAGCAAATCGTCCGTGCAGAACTGGGAGAAAGCCCTTCGACACCCCCGGCGCAAAGCGCTTTCGAACCTCTCGCTGATCTCCAGGGTGTGGACACCACTCGTCCAAGGCCGTATCTATCGACACAGTAAGTTTGCTTGACTCATGAGCCGGCATGTGTGCTGACATTGTACGTCGCATAGTCAAGGTCAAAGGAACTATTGACGGACTAGCTGAATGTGCAGAATGGTTTGCAGCATACCCGCATCTCGCCGGCTATGTCCGACACCTCGAAGTCTGGGTCCCTGTCTGGGGCAATCGAGCCATTCGGCTTCTACCGCGCCCTCCGGGTCGACGTCCGAACGCCGGTATGCCAAACCCACTCGAAACCAGTATGGTAGCAGCCTGGGGTCAAGAAGACGTTCCTCATGGCAACGATATTCACTACTACTCTTCCACGCAAAATGCCACCTTGGACGAGATTTTCCAACACGTCCAGATCTTTTTCCCCAGTGCTCGAGTGCTCACACTGGAGGGAGGGCATTGTAAAAATCCGCCTATGATTCGCCATTTTCGAAACGAACCAAATGAATCCAGAGAGATACCCTCGCGCCAGCGTCTGCCTGTGCTCCCCAACGTCCAGACATTTGTGATGCGCGGTACCTGGAACCTCATGCGCGGTTGGGGGCACTGGTACAATCTGTCGCAAGCGCTGCCAGCGCTGCGAGAGTGGCACTGCGCCTATGCCCACCCCAAGCCAGAGATCTATTTCACCATGTCGCAGGTCCTGGATCGACCGCCGCCATTGGTCCGCCACCTCAACATTAGCCTCGAGGGATTCTACAATAATAAAGATGCGGTTAACGCGGCGCTTTTCGGCGCTCACGTGCAGGTTCCGCCAATCTGTGACTTGCTGGGTGCGATTGCGCCGAGCCTGGAGACACTGTCTTTCACTGGCAAGATATGCGTAGGCTTCTTTGATTCGCTTCGACAGCACGCATCGCTCCAGTTGTCAGGCCTCAAGTCCCTGGATCTGGTGGTCAAAACATGCTGTCGCGGCGCTGAGCCATCCGATTCCATGCCTGCCACTGCCTCCCTTTCGGGTATCACCAACATCAATTTCATTTGTGCGTTCGAAGCTCTGGTGATCGGAGCCGTGCAGAGTCTTGAATGCCTCCCATTGCTTAGCTACCTGCGCATTCGCTTCATTGACCTGGACTCGACATCTCCATTGCTGAACCCGTACTTTCAACTGGCAGGCGATGAGTGCATGGGTCTATGGAGCTACCCAATCCTTGAAGCACTGCAAGCCAGTCGTCCGTCAGCGCACTTCGTCGAACTCAACGATGGCATGCACTCGCATTTCGGAACCCACCAGCAGGCCCTGGCGCTTTATCCGCGCTCTCGTCCGAAGAGCATCCACGTCAGCACGTACCGGATGATTGCTGATGCATCCAAATTTTAGGGGTGCGAGACTTGTGATGGCTTTTCCTTGTTTTGTGTACTTGCAATTTAGCCAAATACCCCTTTTTTCAGCTTGTGTGCTATTTATTTGTCGAACACGGTCGGGTGTCTGGTTCTGTTGAGCGTGGTTTGCTGCGGCTTTTAATATTGTGGGAGCATCTTAGGGATCGTGTACTGGGCGAAGCAAATGTAAGCTCGGTTGATTCACAATAATTCTCAGATTAACGAATCTTAGTCAGATGGCGAGGATTTCGCGAATTCGAACCATTTGGTAATAGCTATCGCCCTAGTTAAGAATAGCTCTTATATTCTGGCTATATATGACTAGTCCTATTGAGGCCATAACTAATCGGCGGGTTTAGTGTCTTCTGAACTGTATGGGAAAATGGCCAACTACCTGTCATACATTGTGGAAATCACTACATTTATCTATTTCTATGCATATGCAGCGTGTAGAACGGAGTAACAATCCAGTTCTTATCATTTGTGCTTAGACTGGAAAGTCTTTGTGTCATGCTCAATCTCGTCCCCAAATACGCCCACATCCTGGACGATAATGCCCAGAATCCACACATTGACGGCGAAGAAAAAGAGTGCCGCAAGAAATAGACCCGGCACAAAAGACGAGCGGCCAAGGAACTCGAGATTGTATCCCTGGTGGAGCCAGAGGGCCTGAGAAAAGGTCAGAGGATAACACGAGAGTAAATCGACAGATCCGGAACATACCTGTGCAATAACCCAGAAAAAGGCAGCCGAGAGGCCCAGGGCTGGCCTGCGCACCAAGGATGAAGAGGGGAGGTAGAAGGGCAGGAGGATCAAGTACCAGAGGAAATACTGTGCAAGTCAGCCAGCAAGCCAAGTATGAGTTGAGAGATAGACTTACTTGGCTCGTACACACTTTGTTGAAAGTAACAAAAGCAAACGTTTGAGCAAGCATAGCGCCAGCAAGGCTCTTCTTTGCGAGAACAAGCGGCAAAGCAACGACAGCGAGGATAATCTGAGGCAAGAAAGCCAGAGTCTCAAAGTGCGAATCCGCGCCGCCGGCCGCAGAGAGGTACAGCAACGTGCTATACGGGGAGAAATTGTGGCGGTGGTCGATGCGTGTGAGGTGGTGGAAGAACGTGTGGTGCAGGAACGGCATGCCATACAGTGCATACATGGCGATATTGAGGGCGACGAATGTCGCCAGCGCGAAGAAGGTCAGCTTTATGCGGGACGGGGTCACAAACGCCACAGCACGCTGGAGCAAAGTCGACTCTGCTGCTATCGAGGGGACGCCATCGCGCTCGGCATCCCACCACCAGAGAATAGAGACGCCATAGATGAAAGGGTAGATCTTGAAGTGCACGGCAAGGCCCAAAATAACACCTGCCAGGATTGCCCTACGAGTAAGAGATGCCCACAGCAGCGCCGCAACCAAAACCCCAAGCAGGCCCTCCGCACTGCCACGAGTACTGATATTCGCAACCATAGGATTCAGCAACCAGACCGCAGAGACATATCGCAGGGCGCGCTCAGCGGGAAAGCGATAACATTTAACAAGCAGTTGCACAGCCAGCCACCCGGCAAGAACATCCGACACCGCGAAAAGGATCTTGCCGAAGGCAAATGTCAGCGCAGACCACGGCGGAGGAGCCTCCCACGCAGTTGGGAGAAGCATCCACGCCAGCAGGGGCGTGTAGCGATACGTGTCGCGCGCATAGGGCGGTTGGCCCTTGGACACGTAGCGAGCCGCGTCGGTGAAGACCATGTAGTCGATGTCAGTGTATTTGACGGCTGAGTGCGCGTCCTGCCAGCCACCATACACCAGGAGAACTAGGCGTAGGGCGGTGGCTAGGAAGAGGATGCGCGGTGTCGAGGTGAACAGAGACATCTTGGGTGATGGGGTGTTGTGGTCTTCTTTCCCGCCGCTTGAAATTCAAGACCTGACCTTTTCTGGCAGGCACGTTCTTCGAATCTATGCAGAATCGATGACATACACGTCATGCGACATCCAGAGGGGTAAACATGCAGCAATTGGCTTTCGCGATGGTTGTTGAATGTTCGCTGGATCTGGATTTGGTTGAAGTGGTGGAAAAGGGAGGCGCTGAGTCAGCGGATCCACTCCTATCGAAGTATGAGATTTTATATTCGGATTCGAATCAAATGAGATTTATTTTTGTTTATTATACAGTTGTGCTCACTATGACCAATTCACATCTATGACTGAATCTCCTAGCCTCTTATTCGTTACAAACAAACGAATCTGTTTCGTCTCTGCAGAGTCGACAATCTTGTACACCGTCACCCGGTCCTCCTGTCCGGGTATCCTCTGCTCCACTGGCAGATGTGACAGGCGGGCCTCTTCCAGGTTCATGATCGCCTCACCAATAAGAGCTTCCCGGCGCCAATTATATAGACATTCCTTCTGCTTGGCCGATAATAGTTGAAGAGCTTTCCGTCGGACTAAGGGCAGGCGGCACGAAGCGGAAACCATTTGCAGAGCGGGGAGCGCACAATTATCCAGTCGGAAACTTGGCTCTGAGTCGGCGTCTAGTAGCATTAATTCCTCAGCCAAGGACACTAAATTCATGTAGTGGGCATTCCATCGATCGTGGTCGGTCTCTTTCCACGGAGGGTTGCCAAATGTCCATAAGACGGCGAGAATATAGTCGATGCGAAGCGAGATAACGAAGCGTCGGTCCGTCATCTGGCCTCTCGGGGTCTGTAAGAAGCTCTCGAAGTAATCAAGCCATGCCTGGTATGTCTGCTCGAGCATTGTTGACTGCGTGGCGTTCTTCTGTTGCCATTCGTCCGAACCAGCCTGCGCGATGGAATCCGGCGAGGGCGTGAGCGTGACGCAGTAGCTCATCACAGCAGTCAGGCAGTGACGAGCATCCGAGATATCCGTGAAATCGGCAGATATCTGCAGAGTGCGCGGATCCGTAAACGGCGAGAGCCCTTTTGCTTTCTGCGCCATCAGGCCCGTGTAGATATTTAAGCGGAAGAACATATCGCGCAACTCCTTGTATATAGTCTGCGAGTCACCCATAGACCGCGCCATTTGTGGTGGGCCTGACCGGGCGAAGATATTCAGCCCTGCCTCTATGTGGCGGAATGATTGTTCGACATTCCCTCTGAGCATTTCCAGAAACACGAAGAGACCGCAGGTAATCAGGGTGATATCCAATTTAGTATTCCCCGGGACTGATAAGTGCTCCACCAAGAGTCGGATCGACTTGTTGTATTGATTCAATACAAAGGCTTCCGTGTGGCCTACGCGATTAATACCGCGGTATTTCTGGTGCGCAGCGCCAACAGCGGCGACAGCATGCCGGACCACTGGTTCAGAGTGAGTCAGTTGCGGAAGCAGATAATCCCAGAAATTTGCCGTGAAATAGCCGACGATCGCACGCGAGGTGTGCGAGCAGAAAAATAAAATATGCTCTCGCTCAATGGGGTCACCCTGCGGGAGAATCATCCGGCCATCAGCAGTGCAGGTGCTACGCTGGTACGCATCGATGACATTCTGGCGCAGTTGTCGCTGCGAGAGGTTGATGGTATATCCATCGCATTTGCGGCCCGTGGTAGTGCACTGTCCGCACGCGGGTTTCTGCTGGTCACAGCGGACATGGCGCGCTCTAGTATTAGGTTGTTAGTTAACTAGCAGCTTTGCATCCCATGCTGCCTATATATGCGGGGACCATCCTGATCAGAGGGCGGAGTGAATTGATTGGTACTAACTTGCAAGTCATGCAGCCGTGGCCGCTACCCCTGGCGCGAGTTTTTTTGGAGCCATTGTGTCTTCAGAATTACTTCCAGATGAACATTTCCTTCCAGTGGGTGCCAGTGCCGTAAAATTTTATATCCACGGCGCAGCAAATGGCAAGGGACTCATCCCAGCAGAATCTCGTTAGTTAGGGGTCAGGCAGTGCAAGAGGCTGACACTGTGGCCGCAGGGCTGAAAGGCTGACGCGAGGTTGACGCCCCGCCCCCACGGGGCTATTGCTACTACTCTACACGATTAAGGGCAGAGGGGCCTTCCGGCGCTAGGAACAAACCAGGGTCCGCAAGGAGTTATTCGTGGACCTTAATGTGTCCACTGCGAGACAAGGGCCAATCCGGATCGTCGCGATTTGTCAAAGGACCCTGTCAATCGATCGGGTGATGCACTACTGTATACTATTTTTGCTCTGCATGCATCGGATCCGAAGGATCGTCTGCTTGGACGCCTATTATGGTGATGGTCAAGGAGGCCTTAATTGCGCTTGATTGCCAATGATCCCCTGCTTTGCTTGCATGATTCGTTTCCGCTAACAATACCCACAATATACCCGCTGAAGTCTGTTGAAAATGACAGATGCGCCACGACCCTCCCCAAAAACATAACGCAAAATCAAAAATAGGAATTGGGCGTATTATTGACAAAATAGCCCGAGTCGGACATTTGTCCAAAATACGGCTGGGGTGCGCCATATTTGGGGCCTTTCTCGTGGTCTGGCGTGAACAAAGGCATCCCGTCCCCGCGGACTTCCATTTCAGTAATTCCCGGCCAGAGACTGTTGTCACTCCAACTGAGGTACTCCCACAAGTACTGGCCGCCATTGTCGTCACCGAACGGGGTAGCCAGTGGCTCGATAAACCCATTCTCTCCAAGAGAGAACCCGCCACGAGCGGCGTCCTGCATCGGAAACATCACAGACGCATCCCGGCCAGCGTGATAATTCCCCGCAGGGAGAGATGTCGCAACCGAGTCCGGGCCGTGGAGATCTTCGCCCCGTTTGCTAGCCTCGTAGATGCGCGAAAGAGAGTCCAGCGACCGCTTCGCCGTGTGACCGTAGGACTGCATGCGCGCCAGCGTCATCATGGCGGTCTCGACCTGCGCCTGGCAGGACGCGATGGAGGCACGCGGGTCATCGGCTGTGGGATCATTGAGGAAGAGGCCAATCAATGGTACCAGGGAGGCCTGAAAAGTCCACCAGACGGCATTCCAGCCGCACAATTGGTTGAGCTGGGCCGTGGCAGCGATGTTCTGGATAGACAGCTCGGCCACCTCACGGCATTTTTGGATGGCGGTGCGCTCTTCTGCACGGAGTGCGATGTAGGGTACACGCCGCATGGCATAGCTGAGCAACGTTGGTCGGTAGAGGAGCATGCGCTGGTTGTAGTAGCGCCATCGCATGACAGTGCGGACGGTGTTGATTGACTCGGAGATTGGCTCGTGGTCTTTCAGCACGGAGGGGAGGTTCTCCCACCAGTCGAGGAGCTGGGTATCGGCATGGGACATTTCTTGGGGTTTGACCAGCGGCGCAGCGGCCAGTGAGTCCTGGACTTGCGTTGCGATCTTGGCGAATCGAATGTTCTCGACCAGCGGGAGGATATCGAGGACATTTTCCTGCGCATATATTAATATTCTTTCCACAAAAAGAAGGTCACATGAAGGCACGCACCTTGTCTCGACAGTGAGGGGGCCGGACAGTGATATTAGGACCAAAGCGACCCATGCTGGGACGGCCCAGGGTCATGCCTCCCCAGGTGTCCATGCAGAATAAAGACCACCAGATCCGGCGCTTGAGGTCCATGGAAGCGATTCTGGCTGGGCTAGGCTGCTGGCGAGTATCGGTGAACTCTTTATGCATTCCCAGAGAGGACGCCATGCGCAAGGCGGCTCCCATCAGGGACCACGCCAGATGTGGCTGACTGATGTAATGACAGTACCAACCGCCCATGAGACCCAGTGCTTGGATGGTCTCCAAGTGCGAATCGCCCAGAGAGCTTAGGTTCAAGTGGCTTTTGCAGCGAAGGAAATAGGTCCGGTGGGTGCGGTCATCGTGGCCGGTTGCAGCGATACTGCCCAGGGCGAGTACAATGTTCAGCAGCGCAAGCCAGTAGTCGTCCCTCCGTCGACCGGTCAGGTACGTCTCACGGAATGACTGTTCGTCAATCAACGGCGCGAATGCCTGGAAATAGAGGAAATAGGCATCGAGCATCTGTATCTCCGTGGGCGGGATGCGCGCCTGCGGCGGCGTCACCGGCTGATGCTGCCATCCGGGTGGCTCGGGGGCTGCATATTCCTGCCCGTTGGCTGGTGTGCGCGCAAAGTACGCAGGGGCGCCGGGGTCGAGCCAGACAATGACTTTCAGGACGGCCTGGATGGACGAAACCCCCAGATAAGAGGAGGGCTGTCTGGCCGAGAGAGACAGGGCATTCACGTCGTCCGACACCCCCTCGACCAGCAAATCCGCGGAACTGGCATGGCGGCTGTCGGGCAGCTCCTCGGGCAGCTCCTCGGGCATGCTCTGCAAGGACTCGAGGTTATCATCCTCGTTTGACAGTGGGGAGACATGCGCTTCCACCGACGGCGAGGTGGCAGGCGAGGCCGGGTGTGGCGGGTTAATCCCCGGGACTGAGGCGGGTGCACCCGATGTGAGCTCGAGCAGTCTCTCCCGCGACAGATTCACCAGTGACTCTGGCGCGAGGTTGGGGAACAATCTGCCTAGCACGCTGCGGTATTCGTCGAGCGTGGTGGACAGTTTCTCGACATGTCTAGTGGCAGTGTGAGTCGGGTCGTCATTCATGGCAAAAGCCGGGAAGCGCTTACCTGCGTGAGGGACGCGGATCGGAGTAGTGACATTGATCAGATTTCTTGTACCAGCGGCAGGCCTCGCACGGTTTCTCGCCATCGCACTTGATCTTGCGATGGCGACACGACGTGCAGGCGCGCAGGGTGGTGACGCGGCGGCCGACGGACTCGCGGCGCTCGTTGCTAGGCCGGCGGGCGGGGGCCCCGGGATTCTCAAAGCCCTCGAAGGTGTGGAACATGATGTCGGGAAGACATGTTCAACAGAGACCGAGATAGAGCATGATGACTAGTAGCAAACCAAAAAGGGGGATCCACGCGATGATATGCTGACGATCCGTCTTCAGGGGAAGAAGAACAGGACAACAAAAGAGCCGATGATGATGATTTTTATGTGGAGCCCCGGCTGATCCGCCTGAATCCCCGCAATTTTGCCTTCGCTTAAATCGATCAAGTCACGGTTAGGGCTCGATCGTCCTGGGTAGTCCTCGTTGGATCTGCAACGGTGGACACGACCGAATGGTTCCTTTGATGCCCCGTCTTTGACACACCCAACTTCACTCCCCTCGCTGTCGCAGGTTGGGGATGCCCATGAGGAGGATGATTGCTGACCCGCCACCCCCTTCACCGGGGTCAACAATAGGGGCCTGTTTCGCTTCCACATGCTCTGCACGCGCCACCACGGGGCCGTCCGGTAGATGTGCAGCACGGTCGCCCAAGAGGGGCAACCCCCCGGTCTCGTTGCAGGGCATTGCAGGGTCTCCTCGGAGAACCCTGCCTCCAGCGTGGGAACAGGAACCCTGCCAAGCAGCGATCGTCTGAGGAAACGGCTAATGTTGGGGTGGTAGGCCTGCCCGTTCGAGAGTAGTGAGGCATGCTCTTTGTTCCGCCCCGGCTGAGTGTGGGAGGGCTACGCCGCCCATTCATCCATCCATCCATCCAACATCCCCTTCGAGGAGAGCCTCGTTCGCACGACCATGGGGGGTGAATGACTCGGGCCACCGGGCGTGCCTAAGCCTTTACGCCATCCGCACGATCATCATTTCATTTTGATGAAGGGGATGGCAATGAACAAATTGCCACAGAGGGGGCGTCTGATGCCAAGCCCGAGTAATGCCGTAGGGTTGGACGGGTAAACCAATTCATCCAGAGTTTGATAAATTAGAACGAGTACGAGACTGGGGAGGAGGCACATAAATCATCATCCATTACTGCAGAGAAGACGGCCGATGTGGGACCACGCCTGACCCGATGAACGCCGACTGAGACTACGATGGAAATCTGGGGAAGTCTGGGGAAGGGGTCAGAGGGACGCGGCGTAGATGCTGGATGGAAAAATGGGACCGGATATTCCGGGATGGGACGATTGGCTCGGGGGCAGGCCCGGGTCAGAGCCACACCTCGTCGTGGGTGGCAGGGGCACACCCATCGGGCAAGCGGGAGAAGCTGGACGGAGCCAACGCCGTGTCAGGTGCGCCGCTAGGCCCGTTCGGTCCCGTGACCCCCTCCGTGTCGGAACAGGAAGGCACGAGGGGCTTATCGATAACACTCCGGGGAAGCTCCCGATGCGACATGGGCTATAAAGAAGCCACCGGCCCCGGACAGGGAGGAGCTCCATCAACCATGTCGAACCGGGTGCAGATGTCCCTCACCGAGGGCTGGAGCTTCCGAGACCGCGAGGACGCCGAGGGATGGATGCCCGTGCCAACCGTGCCTTCGGTCGTGCAGCAGGACCTCATCGCCAACAAGAAGTAGGCTGCAATTGCCCCCAATGGTGGCGTCTTGCTAAAATTCCCAGGCTCGAAGACCCCTTTATCGGATTCAACGAGCTCAAAGCCCGTTGGGTCAACGAAAAGTCATGGATCTATCGCAACAAGTTCCAGAAACCCGCGGCACCCGCCGGGTCGGCCATTGTCTTGGTCTTGGACGGGCTGGACACGTTTGCCACGGTCAAACTGGATGATCGGGTCATCTTGAAAAGTGACAACATGTTTCTGGCGCATCGGGTGGACGTGACCGAAGCATTAAAGGAGGAGGGCGAGCACACTCTCGAAATCGAATTTGACTGTGCCTTCCTGAAAGCGCGCGAGCTGCGCGACCAGCACCCGAATCATACATGGGTCGGGTTCAATGGCGATACATCACGCCTGGCGGCCCGCAAGGCACAGTACCATTGGGGCTGGGACTGGGGTCCATTCCTGATGACGGCGGGGATCTGGCGCCCCGTGCGGTTGGAAGTGTACGCGGCGCGTGTTTCGGACCTGTGGCCGCAAATCCAGCTGGCGGCGGATCATGAGACGGCTGAGGTGACCGCCACAGCCACCGTGGATGCTGTCTCGGGAGACAAATACACGGCCCGGTTCCGCTTGAGCCTAGAAGGACGCGAGATTGCCCTTCAAGATATCCCGGTCGGTGAAGACAAAACAGCACAGGTCGCATTTCGTGTCAACCAGCCATCTTTGTGGTGGCCGCACGGCTATGGCGAGCAGACGCGTTACGAGGTGTCGGTATCGTTGTTGTCGGGAGATGAGGAAGTGGACCGCACCGCTAAGAAGTTTGGCATTCGGACAGCAGAGGTAATCCAGCAGACGGACAAGCATGGCAAATCGTTTTACTTCCGGATCAACGGAATGGACATCTTCTGCGGTGGCTCCTGCTGGATTCCGGCCGATAGTCTGTTGCCCAATATCAGTGCGCAGCGGTACCGCGATTGGATTAAGTTGGTGGTTGAGGGTCGGCAGGTCATGATCAGGTAAAGTTTCCTTTCCAGCAATTTCTACAAGACGTGAGCTAACTAGGGGTCAAGAGTCTGGGGTGGTGGTATCTACGAAGATGATATCTTCTATGACACATGCGACGAGCTTGGTGTAATGGTCTGGCAAGACTTCATGTTCGGATGCGGGAATTATCCCACATGGCCGGGGCTTCTCGACTCAGTGCGCCAGGAGGCTGTCTACAACGTGCAACGGCTACGCCACCATCCATCCATTGTGATCTGGGTTGGCAACAACGAGGATTACCAGGTGCAGGAATCGTCCGGCTTGACCTACAATTACGAGGATAAGGATCCGGAGAGTTGGCTGAAGACGGATTTCCCGGCCCGCTACATCTACGAGAAGCTGCTGCCAGAGGTGGTATCCGAACACTCGCCTAGCACATGCTATCACCCCGGGAGTCCATGGGGTGATGGGAAGATCTCATCAGATCCCACGGTTGGAGATATGCATCAGTGGAATGGTCAGTTGATGTCCTAGGGGTGATTTCTTTCTCTGCTAACATGTCCCCCCAGTCTGGCACGGAACGCAAGAAAAGTACCAGATCTTTGACACGCTAGGCGGCCGGTTCAACAGCGAGTTCGGCATGGAGGCATTCCCCCAGCGAAGCACGATTGACTACTTCATCGAGCACGAGGAAGACCTTTTCCCGCAGTCGCATGTAATGGACTTCCACAACAAGGCCGACGGTCATGAACGACGGCTGGCAACGTACTTAGTCGAAAATCTGCGCAGCAGTACAGACCTCAACATCCACATCTACCACACTCAGGTGATCCAAGCCGAGACAATGATGTTTGGATACCGAGGCTGGAGACGCCAATGGGGCGACGAGCGACACTGCGGCGGCGCCCTACTATGGCAACTGAACGACTGCTGGCCGACAATCTCCTGGGCGATCGCCGACTACTTTTTAAAGCCAAAACCAGCCTACTACGCCGTGAAGCGGGTCCTCAACCCCATCGCAGTGGGCGTGCGTCGCTCGCACCACGACTGGAGTGTCGCGCACGCCTCACCGCCGAAAACCAGCCAGTACGAGCTTTGGATCGCTAGCAACAAGCCAGTGCCTGTGCACGGCAACGTCGAGCTACGCTTCATATCTACCAACACGGGGTGCGACATCCGGCCGCCGATAGTGCGGAATGACATCCTCATCACAGCGAACGGCACAACGAACATCATAACCGACGGGGTGATAGACCACACCGCCCAGCCAGAACCGCATGTCCTCTCTGCGCGCCTATGGGTCGACGGCCGCATCGTCGCGAGAGACGTGGACTGGCCGCAACCATTCAAATACCTTGATTTCTCTCGCCGCGGCCTTCGAGTCGAAGTTAAGAAGGGTAAGGGTCGTGATGATGAGAAGATATTGGCGATTCATACGCATAAACCGGTTAAGTGCCTCGTTATTCAGGAGTATGAGGGTGTAAGACTGAGTGATAATGCGATGGATATCATGCCTGGTGATGAGCAGACGGTTGTTCTGACGGGGGTTGCGCCGGAGAGCGTTTCTTATCGGTATTTGGGGTTGGAGGGTTCTGAGGGGGAGAGCCTGTCTCTACTTTGAGAAAGAATGAAAAACTGGAGTTGGGTTTAGTGATCACCCTAGCTTATGAGGTCTTGGTTAAACGACGAGGTTACAGTATCTGTCTACAGAGACAAGAAGGACCCCGTCGACTGCTTCAGATGCTCATAGCGACCTATTTTAGATTCCCGCCTCACTGGGGCCTTCTTCCCTTCAAAATCTCTCAAGCTGATAGTCGAGGAATTTGAAATAAGATTGTCTCAAAAGCCTCCCTTCTCATCACTGCACCGAACCTAATATATCCGGCAAATGTCGCATCAGTACAAGTATAAAATCACGACCATTGAATATACATACCCATGACATTTAATAATCTTCAAAAGCGACGCGCTCAAGTCTCTGAGCTTGCCTGTATCAAGCTTATCTGCCCACGATTGTTGGAGAATATAACACCATGCTTGAATCGGGCTAACTTCATCCTCAAGGACGAGCGTTTCAGACAACGATAGAAGGTTGGCAAATATGACGGTTGGATCCCGCGGGGACGATATTTGCTTTGACACAGCGGACGGGATACACTGGTGCTGATGTGGGTGAAGGAGAGTAGCAGATGCGAGGAGGGTATGGCCGTTGGGCTTGTCGAGGTGATGCTCCAAATGAGGAAGACAGGGGCGTTCGAGTCTGGGCCTTTCTTAGGAAATAGACAGAGACATAGGGTAAGTAGATGTCACTTACGACAAGACGAATTCCATGCCCATGTCAGTCGTGTCTCGGTTAGAGAAATGTTCGACGTATCCCGGTTGCGAATGGCTTAAATGAGAAAGAGAACGGTGGGTTTCTGGATAGGAGAGCAGAGCCGGCTGTTGGCTAGTTGTTGACTCGATGATGTTGCCATGAGTTTGTGGAGAATGGTCCGATGTCTGACCACTGCAAATGTTTTGACTGGACCAATGAAAGGATGGGTTGTTTCTCTGAAAATCCACACCCTGTTTTGATTCCGAGAATCTCGGCCAATTGCCAACATGCTCAAGGCATTGGATCGAGTTCTTGGTCCCGATTACGTCTGCATCACTACTATCAGTTGTCTCAAACTCGCCACCGGGTGTGGTGAGCACTGATAGATCATGTTTATCCAGAATACCCTGAAGCAGGCCGACATGATCGCGAAGACTCTGAACTTGCACGAGCAAATCCACTTCGCTTGCGCGTAGGCGCAAGACTTCTTTCTCGAGGCTCTTAAAGTACAGATCCTTCCGCTGACGGTGTGAACTTTAAAATGTTAGCTTAGACTGTCGGTGTAAGCAGCAATACAAGACACATCGTACCGCTGAGCTCTTCGAAGTTGTTCTCGCCTCTTAGAGAGGGTTGAACGAGTGTCGCCTTTGATTAAATGTCAGCAGGTTATTGAGAACGTAAGGCGACCCCTCCACCAGAAACCGATTCGAGCTCTTTACCTGATGTAGTATCTTGCCCACCCGAGCGGTGGCCTGGAAGGAAGGTAAATGCTTTCATCATGTTGATTTGAATGGTCGTGGCAGATCGTTCCTGGGCTGGAAGGGTAAAAGTGGAAACCAGAACAGTGAGAAAAAGTTCTTCTCGTAGGTACAATTTGGTACGGGTGCCTCCAGGGGGAGAAAATAAGTTCACAACCGTGATGGGAAGCCGTGGTTCCTGGGATTCTCTTTGATTCCATAATCAAGGGCTTCAGCCTTTCCGGCTAGCCGCAAGCTTAGCTCTGGTTAGGCCCCCCTCCCCACAGCCAGGATTGTTGACTTAATCATTATTTCCTATTTAGGCTAGCGCGGAATTGACTTCGAGGCTGTCGATTTCCAAGGGAGTTATGGATTGTTGACTAAATCTCCAGTTTGTGGATTGTTGACTTAATCATTATTCCTTGAATCTATCTAGTTCATGCCATATGGCGATGGCTCTCAAGCTGTGAATTGTTGACTTGATCATTCTTTCCTGAATCTATCTAGTTCATACCATGTCACGGTCGCTGCCGACCCGTGGTCGCCCAAGGACATTATATAAGGGAGCTCGCAAGAACCTCGTCAAATAACTTTTACAGAATAATAATTCCTTTGCCTACCAACGACTCTTTTCAAGAGGCTGTTTCATTTCCTCAAAGACGATGTACTCTACTTTTTCTTCCCACTTCCTGTGGATGACATTCCTTACGGGATGTATACACGCGAGCAGCATGGATGCATGCTCCACAGGCTCCAACGAACCACACCCTGTCGGCAAAGTGGTCTACGTCCAATCGAATGAGCATCAGAACTCTATTATATCTATTGCTATAGATCATGACGGCATGCTCTACGGCGGCACTGTTACCCCTATGGGCGGCATGGGAGGTGACAGTATCGATGGCATGACCAACACACCTGCTGGTCCGGATGCGCTCTCATCCCAAGGCTCGGTGATAGTAGAGGACAATGTAAGCTTGCCGATCTTGTCTGAGACTTACTTCGAGGGGCTCTCCGGGCTGACAGATCTCACCAGTACCTTTTCGCTGTTAACGCCGGATCAAATACTGTGAGCATGTTCAAAATCGACGACGCCAATGCAGCAAATCTGTTAATGGTCGGAAAACCGTCCGCTGTTCCCGGCGAATTCCCCGTCACTGTTGCAGCTTCAGTGATGCGCAACTTAGTATGTGTGGGATATACCGGAGCAAAGGCGGGTGTCTCTTGCGCTCCATTTACGCGCGAGGGACTCGGCCCGATGAAGCAGGTGCTTGATTTTGATCTCGGCCAGACCACCCCTCCTAAAGGCCCCACGAATACCGTCGCTCAAGTATTCTTCACTGCAAATGATACTCGTCTTATTACCACGGTCAAGGGGGATCCGACTGCCAATAACACGGGTTTCATCTCTGTTCTGCCATTCAAAGATTCGTGCTCATCTACTTTCGAAAGTCGTGATGTACGAACCTCGCCACCCGGGACTGCTGTGCTTTTTGGTGGTGTTAATATTCCCGACACTTCGGATCTATTCATCACGGATGCATCGTTCGGAGTCGCACTTCTCGACCTCCATCCGGCTACAGACAAGCTGTCTCTCTTGCACAAGACCGTCATAAGTGGCCAAATGGCTACGTGCTGGGCTGCATATTCCGAGGCACGGGAAAGTGTCTTTGTCACTGATGTGGCAGTCAACCGACTGATCGAGATCAATAAACATGACGCGAAGATCATGTCAACTCTCGACTTGAAAAACGGCGATCCTGGAATGGTTGATCTTCAGGTTTCTGGCCGCTTTGTTTATGCACTTTCTCCCGGCAATGGCACTACACCTGCCGCAATCACCGTGGTGGATTCCTTCCAGGGTCGGCAGATTCAGAACTTTAAACTGGACAAATTGGGCGCGAGCAAACGCTCCCAGGGCATGGCTATTCTTCAATAGTAGAGCGTCGTGGACGAGAGTACGGCAGTATGGCTGGCCAGATAATCCCCTATATTTTTTGGTTTGTTTGAAGGTGATTCGCCCACTAGTTCTAGACAGCACATAGCCCAAACAATCACGATACAATAGCTTTTCATCCCATTATTCAATACCATGCCAAGTCGTTCCCAAGGCTAGTGGTTAGGGTTAAGATAACTACAATAGGTAATTGTGTGGCGGCTGACATTTGAATCGGCTTTTTTTGAGCGTGGGGTCAAGGGCAGATTACAATAATAAAATCGGTCACATTTAGCTTCCTATTCAGTAAATTAGTTCAATATTTCAGAATTTTGAGAATGGTTCATTTTTAACAAGTAGGAATTTGATTCAATCAGACATTGTTTAATTGAGGTGACTTGTATTAGAATTGAGGGAAATTCTTTGCTTAGCTGGATAACACATAGCGTCATACACTGCTAGCCGTTAGACAGAGATCCTGGAAGGACGTCATTGTTTTCAGAGCGAATGTAAAACGACAGAAATATATATATATATATATATATGTACGTAACTGCATATGATAGATCGGACACGACTAGAAGGAAAAAGGAGGGAGCTGTAGATCCTGAAAGGCACAGACTGATTTCTTCTCCTGCCCGATGCGCCCGTCCTCCCCCAGAGAGAGTTTTGGTGGACAAATCCCGACCATTTCCGCCGGCTTTCGTTCCGAGGGTTCGGTAGTTTGAATCACCAAGTGGAGATGATGCTGCACCTTTATAGAATAGTGCGCCTGTATGACTAGCTGACTAAAAACTGAAATGATGTACTGACCAAGATGGTGTGAGAGACCGGTTCTCGAAGCAAAAGCATGTTCTTTATATGAAAAACTTCAAGATGAAGAAAATGAAGGGAAGAAAACGAAGGAGAGACGGAGCTCTGACTAAATACACAGATCCAACAAGGGGAATAGCAATCACATTGTCAGTCTATTTGACTCGTCTCTATGTGGGTTTGTCACGCATGCCACCAAACCCAGTTATTTCTGCTCTTTCATGAGATAATCAAGCAATTGAGTACTTGTGAGGCATGTACTTGCTTCCGCTTAACAGTAGGGTGGACAAGGCCTGACACAGTAACACCAATCGTCGTTGAATATAGACGCTAGATTCGGCGGCAACCAAGTTAGCCCAGTTACCGGAGAAGTGGCAGTCAGGTTAGATTTATAGACATCGCAAGGATTCTCCTCGACAGCTTCAGTCGCCGTCAGCGTCAACCCAACTTGTACTTTGAATACAGGTAGATTGTAGAAACAAATTGGATTACCCGTTCCCCAACTCTCCGGGGTGAAGGCCAAAGGCAGGGTGCCGAAGTAGTTATCGGTCTGTTTCTGACATGCCACAGAGTTTTCGATGACATCTGAAGGCTTAACACCGTAGGTCGCCATCGTTTTGACAGTGTCAGAGTCAATTGCATTATTGTCCTTATTGCATTCCTGGCTCCCAGGAAACGCCAGGAAGTAGCACAGTCCATCGATAATCGTGCCGCTAGTGATCTGGTCGCAGTCTGATTCAGAGACCGTAACTGCCAGGATGAAGTAGTCGGCTGCTCCGAGGGTCGCTCCCACCAGGCCCTGTTGGATCGTCCGGTTCATGGTGTATCCCAAGTCCTCCGTTGTGCTGGTGTCCATAGGATAGAACCATTTTCCGTTGTAGAAGTAGTTGGCCATGGGAGTCGTCCAAGGCCCAGTAATTACCGATTTCGGAAACGAACTAACGTCGCCTTTCTTGAAGATGTTATTGGCCATGGTGTCGATGGCAGTCCAGGTACTGGTATAGAGCAAGGACATATAGTTTGATAGCGTATTCTGGGTGTTGTCACTGGGATCAGATGACGGAAGGGCGCCTCCAATGGTGGATAAGATTCCTCCTATGATTCCTGTGGCCCCTCCAGCAAATTCACCATCTGGTATAATGCTCAAGGCAGAACCGGCAGCACCAAAAGCAGCACCCAAGGTGGATAAGAGTTGTGCCAAGGGAATGACTTGCGGACTTTTTGAAGGGAAAGCGTCCGTGATGGTACCGATCTGCAAAGCTGCAAGACTCCCGGCGGAATCAAAAGCCTGACGCCACTGATTCAAAACACCGTAGTACGCGACGCCCATCAACTGGGCTTGAAAGAGTCCTGGGTCCATAGGCGGATTTGCAGGCCACGAGCACTGAGATGGGCTCGGCGGCTCGCAGTCACCTCCACTGGGAAAGGAGACGCAACTGGCATCGTCAAAGAGCTCGGTCATCTGGCCCAGCCATGTAGTGTGGTCCTTATCTGACTGTTGTTAACAAGAGTACTGAGTTATAATTGACATAACTTACTCTTCTGAAACCACTCGTCAATGTATGCAGTGCCCCATTCCACATACTGTTCCAGGATCTGGTTGCTGGTGACATTTTCGACTGGATTCTTGCAGTTGAACCCAGCCAGACTGACATTATCATCGGTTTCAATATCGATCACTGCCTCGTAGCAAGCCCCTTTTGGACAGTAACCATGGCCGCAGGCAAAGCTACAAAGGCCTTGAAATGCCAAAGAAGGAGGGGTTGTAGAGGTGGCCATTGCAACACCATAGTATGATGTCGAGGATGGAGCCAAAATTAGAGCCCCTTGTTCAGTGCAGGTGCAGAGGTCAATCGGACAGTAACCATAGTGACAGCTGAAAGAGCATAGCCCTTCAAATTCACCACTACCAGTACCTCCGACACAAGTCGGGGGCAAGAAATCTGAGACTGTGGGAATGGACAAGGGAGCTGATGTCGTTCCACAGGCAGTATCAGGACAGTACCCATAGGTACAGTCGAAGCTGCATAGCCCAGAGTAGCTTGCGTCTTCTCCAGCCAGAGGGTATCCAGTCACTGATGTTGCGGTCGGCTTTTTTTTGGGTGCTCCTTGTTGTTGGCATGTACATGCACCAATTGGGCAGTAGCCATACTCACAGGCAAACGAACACAGACCCTCAAAATTATAGGCCCCGGTTCCAGCGATACACTCCTGCTCATTCAGTTTGAGGCTTGGTTTGGCGCTCACCACAGGACCGGTATCACCGCCGACCCACGCATTCCAATTTGCAATGCCATGGGGGCAAGTATCAGTGATAGCAGGGCCTTCTATAGACATGATGGTTTCGCCGCCCCGAGAAAGGGTGATAGTAACTTCACCAAGCAAGCCATTAAAAGGCACGCTGCCATGGTAGACCCCGACTCCTCCGATCTGAGAGTTTGGGGCCCATTCCCATGTGCCAGATTGGGTCTGGCCGTCAATTGTCACGGTCACTTCAGCAGGGGAAGTCAAAAGGGCCGAATAGAAGATCATGTCTTGAGCAATATCCTTGGGCTCGAATTCAAGTTGAAGCTGGCTGGCAGTATTCCCAGAGGTTCCACCACTAGGGCAAGCGGCGGCGGGCTCCAGGCGATACCAGGAGACGAGACCTTCCTGTTGTATCTCGGAAATATTATTCTTGTAAGTATCAATGTAATACGGAAGGAAAAGACGCCAGGCATCATGAGGCATATTAGCTGCGTAGTTGAAAGGGGCCTTCCCGATATCAAAGGCCGCCATGGCATCAGGACGCAGCGGTCCAATGTAGTGGGACTCGCCGTAATCGTTCCACGAGATGATTTCCACAAATTCAGGTTGGGTATACCAAACTTCGACCCAGCGATCATGCCAGAGGTCATCACCACGCCACATCCAGTTTTTGTCGTATCCGGGTAGATTGGTGTAGAACCATGGTGATACTGGCATCATGTAGGGAAGATCACCAGCAGCTTCCAGGTACTGAAAGTAAGAGGCGTCCACGTAGGTGTTCATGTTTTCATTGCCCCAGGGCCATGCTGCCCAATTGAATAACCCATCTGCAGCTTTCAACTCCAAAGCTGCCTTGGCACCTAGCGAAGACCAATCAGGAATAAAGAAGCAATTAGTATCCTTTTTGATTGTGACCCAATCCTTGGAATTTCCAGGGCCCTCAAAGGTCGACACAAACGGCTGCCCGTTATAATACCAATAGCTCGAGCTCGAACTATACTGCCTGATCAAGCTGATCACATCTTGCATGTCCCATGGGCCGCCACCGGCGTAGTCGAACGAGAAGAAAAGCCTGAACCCCAGGGCTTCCGCGACAGGGAATGCCATTGCAAGCGCCGGTTCATTCGTGGGATCCGCATATGCCATGTTCAACGCAAATGCATCAATATGTGCATCCATGGCTTGCGTCATGTCGTCCTTCCAATCAGCCGATGTATAGTTCTGGGAATTTGTGACCTGAAAATGTTGTCAGATAGCATTCTCAAATTACGTAGGATTTTCCTAGCCATACCATGAAATGGGCAAAGACTACTTTGGCTTGGACATGATGCCAGCCCAGCATGAAAGCCAGCACAGAAAGAAAAAATTTCATTTTGGCAGATAGTTTACTCGAAGATGACCTGAAAGTTGATGCACACAAACGAAGCAAGTGTGAGAGACACCCACTCTATTTATACCCGTTGCTCATTATGGGATTTTACACTAATCAAACGCATCATCCTTTCTGGGCTGTGTTATCGTTCCAGGATACCCTTAGAAACCACTAAATAAGCAAAGATCCGTTAGGAGCCCAATGCTACCCTGCAAGCCCTAGTGAGACGAGGTCAGTGGAGGCTGTGATAGTGCACCGTATGGTAGTATCCCCTATAGCTAGACTTTTAGTGTGGAAATTACCTTAGATATAGACGACCCTCAGCCGCACTGCTTGCACTGTATACCCTTCCCTCTTCGTATCTGCTACCTGTTGTCGCCTTGTTTAACCTTCGTAATTAGTTTAAGACCTTGACCTCTAGCACCAGGTGGCTTATGGCGCCATTTGTAATCGTGCAAGATGCTCTTGGAATCATTTGGTTATGCTCCAGCCCACCTATTACATAAATATGTATTTGAAGAATGATATAATAGAGCCTCCAAACCCCTTAGTTCTCTCCGGTGTAATTAATCTCAAAGCAAGCCTACACGGAAATGGATATAGGATGTGTGTACACTTCTTTAGATACTTGACGCCACTTGTCCGACTGGATACCGAGTATAGTAATCAGCTCGGTTGAGATATAGGTTACTGATGCCAAGACGCCAACTAACGGAACCGGGTGCATCTAACCGCATAGAAGGCACATTAGTATGAAAGTATTGCCTAATTGGGTTAGGCGAGGCCCCCAGTCTGATCATTGCACAACTCTATCATGATCGTGCCAGCGTTTAGTTGGCATTTAGGAATCCCCGTAATCATAAAACTAATAATCCCGACATGTAGATTCACCAAACTTCTTTCTCCGGGGGCGTTTTGGGCACAGCCCTTTAAGCCAACAGCTCATCTGAAAACATTTTCCTTTTGATCAATACCGACTAAACCTCATCTCAGCCGCAAAAATAAATTAGTAAACAGATCGCTTACAATTCAGCTTCGTAGTTGATCCATTGACCTATTAGATCCGGGCAACGACAAGTAATTGTCTACTTGGTCCGTTAAGACGGAGTTAGAATTGACTAAGAACAAGTTGCCTCACCTCCTGCATACTAAGTATCATTACAACGGCCAATGTGGAGTCTGATTTACGTTAGATTCTTTATTCAGGAAATAGCTCGAAGGAGGTCTGTCTCTCCAATATTTGGCCCTAGCTACGCCCCCGACGATCACCTTGGCTATATTTCAAATAAGTTGTTAAAAGAGGGCCGTTGACTGTAGTTGATTTTAGCGTCGCAGAAAATAGCTCGAAGGAGTCTGCTTGTCTATTTTTTGGCCCCGATTACGCCCTCAGAGAACTAGAGAGAAAATGGTTTTTTATTTTTTCGTGATTTTTCAATTCCATTTCGGGGCGTCGTAAGACACAATTTTGACAGAACACGCTAGTTCCCTCGGCCCTCCTTTTAGAGAACATGCCAAGTGGCTCGATATGAGAATAATAAGTCGTGCTTCTTCTACCTTTTCATTCCTGACTCACCTTTCAACGGCTCACTCTACAAAATGGCCAGATTAGGCTGGATACGACAGATATCTTGCCTTTTCGCAATTCTGCTTAGTATCTGGACGCTTGGCACAGAGGCCCACCTCATTGATCGATCTTCCTGCATCAATCTACGAGAATACGATTTTCAAGGACGCATACATTCATGGGGCAATGTTCTCAGCCAGCTTACGACTAGCCTTGACGAGACCGCTGACATGGCTACCATCGCGTATAATACTATGAGAGCTGTTGCGGACCGAAGCGGCAGCCGATTTGACAAGAAGAGAACCAAGAATATGTTTATCGCCTTGCAGGGGGATAGTGGTGAGCTTCGGGTTACGCGGCAGCCACGTTGGCGTACTGTTTATGGTGGGATTCTTGTCACTTTTCGCTCTTATTTCTTTCGCAATTGACTAACCTTGACTTATTTTAGACGACGTTAGGGAACTCGGGACTTTTTTATCAAATCGTGCTAGGAAACCATCCGATATCTTTTGCGGAGACGCTCATTTGGTACGATATGAGCTCCTTAGCAATGGGCGAAAAGTCCCAGCACCAGCGCCTAGAAAATATAGGAGCCAAGTAGTAGGTTTTCAATATTATGGTATAGTGCCTTTCACACCTTTCCGGCTTGCCTTATTTTCTTGACATTTAATGTCAATACTAAGCTAGATAGCGCGTATCTACATAGCTGACTGTGTCACAGATCCTATCCTCCGGGCCGCGGGAATGACAGAAATGAACTCATGGTGGACTCCTAATGTTGCAGCTTGTGCCGAATCCGGGTCTACTGCTACAAATGTTCTCAACACGTATATCATCGTATGTGCTGGAGCTTTTCAAGAGACCGGGTTGACTATTGGCTCAGAACGAACGTACGACTGGAGCCATTCTGCAAGAGCTTATTTGAGCTCCATCGATTATTGGAAACGCTTCCTCAGTTATACTCTTCTTCATGAGCTGATTCATCTTCAGTTCAAATGTAAGTAATACACTACATTATGATGAAAAATAACAATATATCTGACTTGGTATATCTTTGACAGATACTGATCATGTACTCAGTACGCACCCATTCAGAAAAGCGTATGGTTATTCTGGTGCAACCGAGCTACTAAGGCGATTCCCGGATAGGGTGCCTACCAATGACGACAACCTCGGCATTTTAATGTTGGGTAAGTAAGAATAACGGATGCTTGTCTCAATTTCGTGTCAGCATAATTGGTGCACCGTGGAAGGCTAATGTATTATGAGATATAGCACTATTCATGTCAGGCGATGATTGGAGTGAGGGATACGCCCAAAATGAGAATGATTTGGAGAACTGTGGTGACTAGGCCTTATCACACGGACGGACTGTCGACAGGATTAGGTAGCTGCCTGGGCACTAACTATAATTCCGGTGTTTGCCTGCCGCCGTTATTATGGGTTAATTGGAAACTCATTACCGATTCAGCTACTAAGGAACCGTCATTGTAATTGATTAAATGGCATCGGGCGCACCCAAGGAAACGTGGTGCACGTCTGCTCCACTGAGTCCATGCTTCTTGTCGGAGACATCATTTCTGATCGATGTAATGGATCATCACCTCCGGACGCTCGGCCTTGATGCCCTCTTGGCCCAGATACGACGACTGGTCGTCACTCGAGTTCGAGCAGATTCTGGAGAGGAGATCATCGCCCCTTGAGGAGCCACAGCATTGTTCAATGGTAGCGACAACTGTAGAGGAGTCTAAGGGCATCAGGTAGCGAGGTGGCGATAGAAATTCAACGAATAGAAGTGGCGGAAACACTACGGGGCCGAGGATATTGGTATAGTGTTACATTCTGATACTAGACACGGCCTTACAGAGAGGCTGTGAAGGGAAGCCGGTGTGATGATCAGAGATATCTACCTCGCGTTGTGTAACCCTCCGAGCTACATACCCCATTTGGGATAGTGGAGACAATACGCCCAAGAGGGAACACCAACTCGAAACTCAGAGAATGTTGCAACTTCGAATTCCAATGGACCGGCTTATGGAAACATGAAAATTAGGATGTAGGCGTGTCAAGGTTCTAGACGCTCTTATGCACGATCTTGGTCTGAGACGTTCCGCAAATTGATTGACGCAGCCATGAAGCTTTGGGTATTGTAACGGAGGTGCGTCGTGTATATTCCGGACTAAATACAGCACAGCAAGAGAGCAAGCACACTGGAGAAAATCAATTCCTGTTTATCTGCTATCATACAGGACTCTCACTCTCGTGCTCTTCCATCCAGCAATTTCCCTCTCTCTCGCGCCACACACACTTACACATAACGCACTCACAGCGAAGGATCAGCCCAAGCCAGGTCTCATCTCATCTCATCTCATATCAGTCTCCGAGCCAAGGAAAATGCGATCAATCGATCAGGGGGGCAAAAGGAAAGGCAGGGGCAAATGAAGGGATCCGTGAGGAGGGCGACTGTCATCCATCCCATGTGTCGTGTGGGGTGTGTTGATATCGCTCTCTCACCCTCCACTCTCAAGCCGATGTCCTAACACGCGCCGTGGTCTGTCTGGCTTCATCCAATTCGAAGTGTCTCATAAAGAAAGCAACTTCTGGCGGATGGAGCGAGGAGGGGAAAGTGTCCTGCTACAGTCGAAGAAAAAGACCAAAACTGTCCTGTCCATTCCGGTCCAGTCCGGTTCCGTTCCGTATTCAAAGAGGTGTTTTGCACGTATCCGCTCGGTCTGCAGTGTAGATAAATCAAACAAGCAGACCGCTCGAGCTTCCCTCAAGGAACCCAGAGTTTGCCGCCCCGGCCGCGGCCGTTGCCTCGCGATGCACCCCGAGAGGTTCCCCCACGGCCGCGGCCATTCGACGCACGACGTGAAGCGCCGGTAGTACCACGGGCTGGGCCGTTCTGGGTGCTGAGATCCACTGGAGGAGACGACTTGGCAGCTCCGCCGAGCGAGCGACTGAATGAATCCGGGTCGATCGGCTGCGTGGGCACTTCAATAGTACTCTCACCAGCGGGCGGCACAGCAGTCTGCTTGGCAGCTTTGCGCGCTGCCGCACCCCGGGAAGCGCCACGCGAGTTACCTTTGCCACGGCCGCGCGGGACGAAAACCAGCTCATCTTCGTCGCTCTCTTCTTCGTAAGATAGAAGGGTCTTGGGTTCTGTGATTGTTTGAGTCTGAGTCTTCTCGACGTATTTGCAGCGGTTCTTGTACTCGCGCTCTTCGTATTGGATGGCCGTGCGCAGCTGTTGGATGTTCTTAACACCAATGCCGAACTTCTGCGCCCACACCTGTGTCGCGCGGTCATTTGTGACGAGAATACAGCTTTTGGCAGAGTTCTCGGCATCCGGCCCGCTGTGCAATCGCCAGAGTAATGCGCTGAGCAGCGGACGAAGCACGGGCGGTGCAGTCGGGATGGTGGATCCGGAGGCGGTGCGCTGGTGTCCAGGCGAGGGCTTCGATTTGCCATTCTTATTGCCATTTGACTCATGCTGTGCGCATTCCGGGCTGGTTCGCGAGCTGCGGGAGGAAGTGCGCGAACCGGGGCCGCTCGGGGTACCAGCAGAAGTAATCGACGCGGCCTCGGTGTCTTTCTTGAAATTCAGTTTGCTCAGCAGCATCTGCGACAGATCATCCGATGCGGGGTTCTTGTCCTCGTGGGACTCGGGTGGCTCCAGGTCCCCATTAGTGGTGGCTGGGTCGGGATCGTCGATGGCCTCAGGCTCCTCCTCGAATTCCGGCAGAAAGAACTTCTCAGCCTCCTCCCAGCGCTCGAACTGTTCGTTCGGACCCTGCAGAGCGATGCGATCGGGGGCGATGTGATCCTTGCCGGAGGTGACTCGGTCGAGGAAGCGGGTTGCCTCACGGGCATTAATAGAGACTTGCGATCCGGCCCGCTTCAACGCGTGCAGCCGTTCGAGGGCTGATGGCGGTTAGGGAGGGGGCGTGGCTCGATCACAGCAGGGTGACTCACTGTAGAGGGGGACGATGAGATCGATGGCCCCGTTGGTAGTCCATTTTTTGATCTCGCTGATGTTCGTGGTCAGGGCCGTCTCGTCCACGGCACAGTGAAAGACCTTGCGACCGGTCGACATGACGGTCCGGGAGCCGGTCTAGTCTTAAGGACTGGTGGTCAGGGTGATATAGGACAGTGTTGTCTGCCCTATACCAGGGAACTGGAGGTGTAGACAACCACGACTGGATTTGGGCCGGTCAGCATGGGGCGGGTTGAGGCGCAGGGTTTGGGCGGACTGAGGGAATATGGAAGGATGTCTGAGTGTCAGGGGGAGTAGGAGGGAGAGCACTCACGTTCAAGGGTCAGGGGGCAAGGGAATTCCACCATCTTCGACGGCGCACACTGCGATAGTGAGAGAGTGAGGAAAGTGAGGCGGGCGGAGATGCGATGGGGAGATGCCGAGCTGACTAATCTGGACTACACGGAAGGAAACATTGAATGGATACAATATGAGAGAAGAGTGGGGTGAGTTCTATGTTCATTCCCGAGGATATCAGTGGGACAGTTACATCTAGCAGCAAAAGGATATCGGGTGGCCAAAGTCACAGGGGCCAGCAAGAACAATCGCAGAAAAAAACATCATGCCGCTCGGAGAGAAAAGAAAGAACAGATTATGCCTTGGTCTTCTTGATCAGACCATCCGACTCCTTGACGCGCTGTGCCCATTCGCTGTTCTAGAGTCAGTCTGAATAACAAGACATGGGGGCGGGGGGAGCACTTACGTCCAACTGCCATCGTACACCCGGCGCAGACTAGGTTCCCCGTATTCGGCCTCACCAAGAGCAGTCTCGATGATAGTCGCAGTAACTCCAGTACCACAGGAGCTGATGATGGAGCGGGAAGGGTTAATCTTACGGTCCTCAAAGATCTTGCGCAGATCAGCAACAGGCAGGTAGGTCTTAGTCTCCGGGTCTAGCAGTTCCTGGAAGGGCATGCTCTTAGAGCCAGGCATATGACCCGAGGACAGGCCAGGACGAGGCTCCGGGTCAGTTCCGGCCCAGCGACCGTGTGAGCGAGCATCCAGGATCTCCACCTCTTCCGCACCTTCCTTGCCATAGTCGAGAGCCAGCTCCTTCATCTCCCGGAACGAGATGACCAGCTTGGAGTCGTAGGTGGGGACGGGATACTTGGTCTTCTCCCGCGGAGCAGGCTCACCACTCTCAGTGGGAAATCCCTCACGCACCCAGAGGCGGTAGTTGTTTAGAAGGTGCACATTAGGGTGACCGAAGACGCGTAGAGTCCAGCCCACGCGGGGCGCAGAGAAGATTCCTAGCTCGGCAGTGTCGTAGACCACGATCTCATCGTCGCGACGGATGCCTAGCTCACTCATTGCCTCTGCAAAGGTCTCACACGTCGGCAACATGTGCGGGTAGGGAGAGTCATGGTCTTTGATTGCGTCGATGTCAAAGAATCGGGAGGAGGGGATGCGTGAGTTGCGGAACGAGTCGATTCCCTTGCGGCCCTCTGGGTCATTGGGCATGAACCAGGCTGCACAAAGGGGGATCACCCGTGGGGACGTTGAGATCTTGCTCGGCGAGTTCTTTTTGAGTGCGTCGTTGAGCTGTTTCGGGGTGACGAGGTACGAGGAGAAGGAGATCTGGCGGGACTGCGCATGCAGGGCCGGGGTGGTGGCTGTGGCCATGGCCCGGAACAAGCGGGCAGAGGGAGCGGAAGCAGATCGAATGGCCACAAAAGCCATGATTTACATAACGGGTAGAAACGATGTAGGGGAAAGAAAGAAAGAGAGAGCGAGTGTGAGAGTGCGGAGAAGATCACCTCATGTGATCCGCCGATAACACGATAGCGATAAGCCAAGGTTGTGGATCTTGGGTCTTCTGTGTTTGTTTCTTCTCGTCACTCCCTCTCTCACCTCCACCCAGCATGAAGGTCATCATCAAGGAGTGGAATGCTATTGCCACCTGGCACTGGGACATGCCCGAGGATGATGTCTGTGGCATCTGTCGCGTCCAGTTCGATAGCACCTGTCCCACCTGCAAATTCCCCGGCGATGACTGCTCCCTGTGTGAGTGCGAGACCACCATGCGTGTCTCTTGGATTTACTAAGAGTAAGAACAGTGCTAGGGAAATGTGGCCACTCGTTTCATATGGTGAGTCTTCTGTCTAGGGATCTTATGGGTTTGGTGCTCACGGATGTCCAGCACTGCCTGTTGACCTGGATCGACCAAGAGACCTCTAAGGGGCTGTGTCCCATGTGTCGACAGAGTATGTACACCTGTTATATTAGACCCAGGCTTTGACTGATATCTTTCAAGAATTTGAGTGGAAGCAAAGTGACGAGTGATGGCCGGGCTCTGGATTTGGGCCATCTTGCATATTGACGGCGTTCATGGTTTCCCCTAGCGATAACTCTTTGTTTCTGAGCTATGGTGTTTACTTTGGTGTTGGATAATCATTCTATGTCGTTATAGCCTATGGTGTCGACCAACCTCAACGGGGAGGCTGGGCAATGGTGCACTACGATGAGTATTCTATGTTGAAGGAGTTTATAGAGTCGGTATTTATCTTTAATGGCTTGAGGTTAAAAGAATGCATGGAATGAACCAAATTAAAGAAAATGATGTGTTTTGTCTCTTGTCTCATGGTTTTGCTCTCCAAAGTCCACACACATATTTTATAGACAGACACCATTCATGGGGTTGGTTATTTCATAAAATGAGGGGTTATATAGAAGGCTTCTCTATAAATTGCCCCGCTGGTCACGATTTCAAATGTATGTTATGAATTTTAGATCTTTTTGGATCTTCCATTCGTATTAAAAACTAGCTGTCACCTGGGCCCTGCTATTCCAGTTCCCCTTCACTCAGCTTTTTTGCCGTATTTGTGGCACTTCCGGCAGGTGTTCCTTGTCCACTACCCTCTGCGTTTCCCATACTTTGGCTATCGATGATGTGCCCACTCTCCAGCCCATTGGCGTTGAGGCTGAGGTGGCTCCTCTCGCCCTCGAAAAACAACGCGTAGGCCTCTTCACCATGGACAGCATCATCACCAACAAGCAGCTGTTGCTCATCCATACGCAACGGTATGCGTAGGACATATTGAATAAAAACGCAGATCAATGTCGTCATGAACATATTGAGGCCAATGATGAATAGGGCACCCACAATCTGCAGCCATACTTGTCTCCCATTACCTTCAATCGCGCCACCGGGGTTCGTAAGACCAAATGCTGCACATCCATCAATAGTAGCAAAGATACCCGTGAGGAAACCACCTAGGAATCCGGCGACCATATGTGTATGAACAACTCCCACTGGAACACAGAATTGGTCAGCTCGATTGGTCATTCATGAGGATTTCAGCTCTGGGGCTACTTACTAACGTCATCAACCTTCTTCATCCATTTCATTCTCCCGAGAATGTTCATTGATATCCAAGGAATTGAACCTGAGCAAACTCCAATAACGACGGCTCCCCAACCTGCGACGAAGCCAGCAGCGGGAGTGATTGCCACAAGCCCAGTGATTTCGCCTTGAACGGCACCGATGACGGATGGCTTCTTGAAAAAAATATAATCCAGGGAAGTCCAAACGAGCAAACTCATGGCGGTACAGATATTGGTGTTGAGAACGGCAACGCCGGCGTCAGGACTAGCCGCATATGGGTCACCTCCATTGAAACCATTCCAGCATACCCAGAGGATGCCCGCGCCGACCAGCATGAGAAGAATGTTGTTGGGGAAGAAAGAGTCCTTATCGCGTTGCAAGCGTGGACCTACCCACCATGCAGCGGTAAACCCTATTCATCAAACGTGGTGTTAGAGAAAATCTTTACTTTGAAGGTATTGAAATCTTCTCCCTGGCTTACCAGCAGTACCAGAGCTCAAATGGATGACATATCCGCCCGAATAGTCCAGTACCCCCATCTTGCTGAGAAAGCCCCCGCCCCAAAGACTGCACGAGTTGTCAGTTAACACATTCCACCCGCCATATCGTGTGCTAGACGACAAACCTAAATGCCCCAACAGTATAACTCAGTGTGATCCAGAGAGGCACAAACACCATCCATGCCAAAAGATTTATTCGCCCTAACAGAGATCCCCCCAGGATTATGACTGTGATAGCGGCGAAGACGAACTGGAAATAGATCATGGTTGACAAGTTGAAATTTGTTGTGATATCTGCGGCTGGTAAGGTCGCTCTTCCCAGGTTTTGTTGCATGGTTAAAACGGGACCGGGCGTTCCAACCAAAGGAAATTTGCCCCATTGCTCGCCGAAAGCCATTTTATATGCCCAAATAACCCAGCACACAAGTGTAGCGGAGAAAGCGTAGAATACCTGATCATAGTCAGAATGGTATTATCAATTGAAAATTGTTGAACACGACTGTACCATAAACGCGGAATTAATGGCCCACTTCCTATATAAAATCGAAGATTATTAACTCTGAATGTGAAGCATTGCACAGGAGAACCTACTTCTTAACGAAACCCGCATACAGAATCGCAAGCCCCGGAATTGACTGAAGAGCAACCAGCGTACCAGCCGTCAACTGCCAGGCCTGATCTCCCTTGTTGAGCCAGCTGTATGATGATCAATAAAGTCACACATAAACGATTATCCCCCACATAGGTCAGAACTTACTCTGGAGCTGGGTTGGTTAACGCTGTGGCAGACATTGTGGAGGAATAGAGAGATATTAATCCAGAGGTGAGATATGGGGGGACAGCGTGTGGTGCACGCGGATACAAATGTGCATCCACAGGCGTCGGTCGTATGTATATATGCAGGAAAGCTGGCGGAGCGACCGGGGAATTTAAAAATTGAGTCTCAGTCCTGCTCAAACCTTTTAACACGATCTAGATCGGACCATGAACTTCCTTCTATTTAGTCATATGGCATAAAAAAATCGGCAGTCATTTCCTCGGCATTCTGCATCCTCTTAATCACTTTGCAAGCCACTCATGGTCAGCCATCTACATATTCCAAACAAAGAAATTGCGAAGATAAGAGAAATTTATGTCCTCAGAGCCAATAGAAAAGGTTCCCCCTGCAGATACCGATAACAGTAATCGCACTATGACACCTGGAAATTCCGAGCCACAGGATGATGATTCGTCAAGAGCTGTGCTATCTCTGTCAATGCAGTGCTATTTTAGGTTTCTTATACCTTGGTATTTGCGACAAGCCTTATCAGTCCCCACCCGAGTTTTCCCCGCCTCTTCCCTCGGGAGCTTCTCAGAAAGCTTAACCCCCGAGGTGTGGAGATAAGTCTGTCAGATCCGCCGTTACTGGTTCAAATCTGCCAAATAATTTTAAGGGCGCGAGCTGATGACGCTGATAATAGAGGCGCAATCCCGTAATCGCTTAGTTCTAATTCGCTGCATTTACGCCATCCAAGCCTAGTCCGCAGCTCATCAATCAGCTTCCATCGTTTTATCTTCCGTACATTCGTATATGGTATATTATTTTTCTTGTCCTCTATGCTATCTTAATTACAACGTGCGACAAAATCGATCAGATGATGGTAATTGAGTGGTATCGTGGCTGAGCCCACCATCCATGCAACTGCCCAATCAGAAGAATGACTCCACGCGAATAAAGTCGCTCATACGTACCAACAAGGAAAATGACAATGAAAGGATGGGCTATACATAAAGTTGGTGCGGGGGAAAGGGGGTTCATATTAATCTGGGGCAATGCCAAGCAACGGTGGGTTTCTTTTTGATCTGTCTAAGACTAAGAAAGAGCCGCGGGCTAGGTGAATTCAACGGAGGTAAGCACAGGACCTACTGGCTTGGCAAAACTAAGGAACAATAGATTCTCTAACCCACATCAGAGGTTTGCTTAATACTACCGTGGTGCCAGAATGTTTAGATTTTGGAAACGTCATCGCTGGTTCAGGCTACAAGGTACCGACCTTGAAGGAGAAGTTGGGAGTGAAGACAGAAGGAGGCTACTTTCCGGGAATATTTTTCATGGGAAATATTTGTCTTTGCCTCGAGCCAACATGAGATCTCGTTCACCAGCACGGGGCCCTGCAGAGAAGCAGATTCGATATGTGAGCTTCGGTATTGGTGGTGCGGGCAACATACGGAGGTAGGTGAAATGCTGCTTTTCTTTCAAGCACTCGTAGCCAATATCGTCTGTTTTCTATGTTCAATCCGCTGATCTTTGGCTTCGTCACTTCACTAGGGTCTCACTTCAAAATGGACAATACTTTGAAGGGCCGGAACCATTCACTTGAAATTGCGATATAAAGCAGTTTGACTGTTTCGGCTACTTGGGTATGAAAATTTGATCATCCCACTTCAGATGCAACAGTTGGATGCACTCTTTTACAGGAGAATACGTTCGAAAACCTCACGGGATTTCATTTTTCAACATTGTCTGACAGAAGTCCCCATACAGTGGGAGATTCCATTGATATAAATACGATTATTTAAACCCCTTACTAGGCAGAACCCGATATGTCACTTCGTACAAATAAGAAATCGGGTTCTGGTCGAGGGCTTGCTCCGATGTGAGTAAAAACGAGTATAAGGTCGAGTGTCTGATCATCATATTTTTTCCATTATGCTACTGCGTCTTATCGTACATGCAATTTCACAATTGTTGAACAGCACCTCGTTCCCTTCCCTTCGAACGGCCTCAGCCCCAGATCTTCGAACCAATCTCTGGCCTCAGGGTCAAAGGTTAGACAAAAAGGACATAATTTGTCCAGCCTGGCCCGAAGAGAGGGATAAGTACAACAGAGACGATCATTCGATTAACCGGGGATATGAAAGAGTTTGACCTGATAGGATTTGCTGAAGCGCCCACGCCATAGCCACGGACTGCTGCGACCAAGCTTTGTCGTGATCTAAGATAATTCTCAGAAGATCCGGGGAACATTATCATTCCCGTTAACACGCCAATACCACTTCCATGGACTTTATTATGGGCCTAATGCAGCTCGTTGATCAGCTTTTCTTTGTCAATGATGTTGGTGTCCTGGTCAACTCGTAGAATGCGGCAGGACGTAGTCCGACCTCGTGACTAGCGGTGGGGATAAGGACGTCCCGTCAGCTGACCCTATCGATAAGAGCTCAGGCACCGCATGCTTGTTGCGCTCATCATCTCACCTCACCATGTAGCCTGGGTCTACGGCGATGTCTCTGCCCAGCAACAGCCCCCATCCGAACTTCCCCTCCTCATCCTCCCACCAGTCCATGCACTCTCATACCGGCATCTCGCCCCGATCAACAACCTCCCCTCGCCCACTAAGTGACCGAACCCAGCCCGCGCAGGAAGACCACTCTTCAACAGACGAACAACACGCCCACCAGCTCACCTCCCCAACACACGATGGCGCCAGTGGTGAAGAAACCGGTGACGGACAAGATCCGAAGCCCACCAACCCACCATTCCAGCCCTTCTTCACCCTGATCGAAGACGCGCATACATCGGAATACCACCACCCAACAGTGCACTATTTGTTCTCCGACGACGACACCGACATCATCACGGAAGCAGCGCTGCGCAGTCTAGAAGCGCAGCAGGAATCACTCTCTGAATCGAAGAGAGAGCAGATAATAGAAGGGCAAGCCCCGAAAGAAGAGGAGGTTAGCGCGCGGAAATCGACTATATTATTACCACCCCCGGTCCCGGGGGTACGAGAGCATTACATCATCCTGGACGTGACGCAAGATGGGACTCTGCAGAACCCAACAACCACTGAACCTTCTGCTGCTCCGGCTGGGAAAGGAGAAGAAGGTGTCACGAAATCCCTATCCTCGTCACCCGCCAATCCACCCATCATACCACCCCCCTCAGGATCACCAGCGACACAGGTCCGGGTCTCCTCAGCCCAGAGCCTCGCGCCAACGTGGCAAGTGCTCAAATCCGAGCTGGTGCCCGCTCCAACATTCGAAAACAGTAACCCCGGCGCCACACCTGGACACGGACTCATGCTCAAAATCCACGGCACGGCGGGTCTTCTCCCCTCCACGCCTCGAGACAAGGCTGGTGGTGGAGGAAAGGGCTCGCAGCGGTTAGAGGAGATGATGGATCAATTTGCGAAGCGGATGAGCGAGTTACAGACGGTGATTGAGGCGGGTGAGACGGGTGATTCGTTGGCTGTGGAAGGTGGTGAGCTGGATTCGGAAACTCAAGCTCGGGCTGAGGAGGAGGGCCCTACTGAAGTTGGGATTGAGAAAGATGATTGTGAGAGTGCGAGGCATGTCTCTGGGGATGTGGAGCACTCATGATTTTGGTTTCTTTTTGAGATTTTTCTTTGGGCTACGACAGCGGCTCTGGTGCATTTATCGTGAGACATGGGCGGCGTTGTCGGTTTGGTTACTGTGGTAGTTACAGCGAATCTATGACTCTCCTCTCGGGCATTTAGTCTATTTAAAAAACCCCTGGAGTTCAGGTGCTCTATTGTAACTAATGAATGATAAGAAAAAACGCCATGAAAGAAAGCACATGCAGGATCCAAGTTCTATATCCATAATTCACGACAAAAAAGAGGCCAAGCGAAAGATAAGAAGACCAAAAATACATTCCAACCTAACAACGCGTTTTTCTCGGTCCAAGAAACTCCGGTCCAGGGTGAAACGACAGAATATCAAAAACCACCCACTGCGACATTGGGTATCATTCAAAAAGCAACCGGAAACAAAACAAAGCAAGCTAATTAGCGTTCGGTGCGACTTCTGACGCGGCGACCACCATTGGCAATCGCAGACGGAGGGACATTCTCACGGCCCTCCATCATGCCAGCCATCCTTTTCGAAAGCATCTTCTGCGGAAGCTTGCTCTCGACAGTGTTGGTAGCAGAGCGGCGACGTTTGCGCGGTGGTTGCTCGGGTTCATCTTTCTCCAGGGCGTCGTCGAGATCTAACGATCGTTTCTCTACGGGGACAGCATCGGGCTTGCCGGGTTGCGTGGCGTCTTCCTCAGCGTCAAACACGAGTGGTTTGGCGACGTTTAAATCGACTTCCCTAAGGCCAGTGTTGGATGAAGTGGTCGCCGTTGACGATGGAAGAGGGATAGTCCCTACCTCTTCCGCGGCATCGCTGTATACAAAGCCCTTGGATGGCGAGGCCGAAGGCGAACTGGGCAGATTGGGAGATTGCTCTTCCCCGTCGAATGGCAGGGCGTGGAACTGTTGGGAAGTGCGGTGTCGAGAACGAAGTCCATCGTGTGACTCTGTCATGGGGAGGTCCGTAGGATACTCGTATCGACGTTTTTGAGGCGTAAGGCCTGTCGGTTTGTATTCCTTCATGGGGTGGTTCTGGATGTTATCGCGGAGCTCGGACAGTGGCTTTCGAATCTGGCTGTCTAAGGGCTCGGTAGATTGCTCCAGGTTTCCGGTGTGCATTTCCATATCTTCCTGGAGCTGGTTGACATGCTCGCTGAATCCACCCAGCCGTTCATGCATTGCTGAGTGGGACCCCCGGACATTGGTTGCCATGGTGTCCAGACTACCGAGCTGTGCTTCGTGGAAGCGACCATTATGGGACCGTGCCTTGGCGACGAAATCGTCCAGGGCTTCCATCTGCTTGCTCATGTCATCCATCTGAGCATCCACAATCCGAACTGTCTCTTGGTGCACCGATTCCGTGGCCCGTTTAATCGAAGCGTTGCGTTGATCAAAGGTCTGTTCCAATTAGCACGGCTGCTAACGAAGAATACAAGAAAACGTACCTCCCAGTCGTTCTGCATCCGCGTCTTAATCTCGTCCTTGGATGCAGTAACGTCCTTGGCAAACTGTTCCTCCCTGAAGATCCATTCATCAATGTGCCGGTCGTGCTGCGCCGTAGCCTGCTCAAGAGAGTCGCCCGAGGCAGAGATGTCGGTACGAAGAGCATCCACTTTCCCCCTTAGGCGAGTAGACTGTCGCTGGTGAGATTCCTCGAGCAGTCCGCGGATTTGGGACATGAGGCTGTCCCGTTCAGCCTGCGCGCTCGCCTGTTCCTCCTCAATGACCTGAGCCAAGTTCGACGAGGCTTTTCGATTGGTCTCCACTGTTTGGCGGTTTGCCTTCTGGAGCTCGAGACGCAATCTATTGATCTCGGACTTTTGCTCATCCATATGGTTGGTCATATTCTCAAACATGGACTTGAAATCCTTGCCGAGTGCCGCGTAGGAGGAATGGAGGTGGCCGTGGAACTCGGTGAATTCACCAATGACCTCCTTCGAAATGCGCTCTGCTGCCGCTGACAGCCCGCTCAGGCCTTCCCCAACCTTGGTCTTAACATCCTCCCGAAGGACTTTAATCTCTTCAAGGACCTCATTCATCTCGTCATGCGCACTAGACGTTTGACTCTTCGCCTCTGCCTCGGCTTTGTCGAAAGAGGAGCCAAACCCTTTTAGCTGGGAACGAGCCGATTCGATGGTGCTCAACTCTTCGTTCACAAATAGAGAGATCTTGCTGGACATGTCGCCGAGCAGTTTGGCATGCTGGGCTTGGAAACTTTCCATCCGAGCGTCGATCTGTTGGGTTACGTCCTTAACCTTAGTTGTGGATGTCTGCCATGTTTTCCGGTTGTCGTTCTCCAGCTGGTCCTTGCGGCCAAGTTTCTCGTGCAGTCCGTTTGCATCCTGGACGGTCTTGTCCAAAGTGGACAGAAGACCAGCACCCATGTCACGAAGTTTCGCTTCAGTATCTTGATGGGCTTTCCGCAGGATTCTTTCCTCGTCCAGATCTTGGGTCGTCTTGTTGAGTATGATGTCTGTCTGCTCCAAAACATCCCGGGTCTCATGGAGCTTGTGCTGTGTGCTCTCATTGTCTTGCTTCAACATGTTAAAGTTGCTTGTCACGGAGAACAGCTCCTGAACTTTGTGCCTCAGGCTCGATTCCATCGATTCGATCTTGGCTCTCTGTTCTTCATTGACAATCCGCCGGGATTCACTCTCCATGGTCATCTCTTCGTATGCGTCGGGCGTCATGTACACACCATTGCGGTGCCTTGTGGCGATCAGGTCACTCTTGAGCTTCTCGATTTCCATGCCAATTTCCCGGAGTAGCTTGTTCTTTGAGACGAGAGAGTTGATTTGAGGTTTATTGCGGATATTCTTAGCTCGGAAAGCGTAGTCCAAGGTCGAGATGGTTTCCTCCAGGTTGCTTCGAGCCGGCGAAACGGTGGCAATAATGCACGTCTTGGTCCGTCCTCCAAGGGAGTCTTGCAACAGCCGTGTCAGTTTGGACTCTCGGTAGGGAATGTGCGAGCCTTTGTCGACCAGCGCGTTAATCACTCTCCCCAGAGTAAGCAAACTCTTGTTGATCAAACCGGCTTCAGCTGCTCGCTTGTTCTCTGCGCCGCTGCGCTGGATGTTTTCACTTCCAGCCAGATCAACCAGATTGAGCTTGCCCGAGCTGATGTACTCCTCGCCCGATTCGGTCGTGCGCTTGGTGAGGACGGTGATGGTGAAGATCGTGTGACTGCGGGAACTCAAGTCGTTGCATTTGGTAGCTGCAACCTGGCGCTTGTGGCTACCGAGTTGGAGCAGCTTAATTCCAGTCGAGGCGGACTCAATATAGGTCTCCTCCATTCCCTGAACCATAGTACTCCCGCTAGCCCCCTTCTTCTCATTCTCAAAGATCTTGAGTTTCGTGTTGTCATCAGCCGACAGCAGATCCCGCAGCTCCTCGTTGTAAAGTTCAATGAATGAACATTTGACGGTACTTTCGGTATCCTCGAGTTTGTGGAACAAAGAGTAGAGGACGCGTGGGATGATTCCTGCGTCATCGGATAAGATACCCAGGGTATCGGTCATATCTCCGGACATGGTATACGTCTTTCCCGTCCCTGTTTGGCCGTACGCGAAGATCGTGCAGTTGTAGCCTGCCAACATCTGTCGGTTTAAATTAGCCTTGACCGGGCCATCAATGGCTGCCCATCTTACCTCATTGAGAATCGGAAGAACTACATCTTCATAGACCACCGTCTGGTCAGCCGCTTGCGAGAAGACCTTGTCGAAGGCGTAGGTCTTGTTGGAGAGGGCATTCGGCCCCATCGACAGGTCCACCGCGGTACCCTTGACCCCATCTGTTGATAAAACCACGCCGCTGTTTTCCTTGGTTTCGCGCGCATTGCGACCGCGACAACGCACCACCACGTGAATGCTGGTGTCCTCATTGATCTCGCGCTCATAGTCTCGGTCCTTCCGCTTAGCACCAGATACCTCGGGACTCGGTTTTTGCGCACGCAATAAGCTGGTCGCTGGGGGTCTCAGAGAAGACACGGCGGGTGATGCCAGCCGTTCTGGCACCGCGGAACCGGCTCGTCGAGTCGGCTGGCGCAAACCCGGCCTCTTAGTTTGGAGGGCGGAGGCAGGCCGTGCCGGGCCAGCCATTGTCGAACCGAGGGATAAATGTATATTTGTGGATTCAAAAGTGATATGATCTGAAAAGTGACCGACAGCACGTTGTTATTGTGAAGTTCGTCCGTTGTTGTGTGGATCATCACTCGGACTCCAAAGGGCAAAAAGTAAACAAAGGCGGCACGTGCCCGGGGCCCAAGCTCCTTAGTCACGCTCCCCTCCTCACATGACTGAGTCTGCTGCCTGCATCGTCATCGGCTTCTTTACTTCTCCTTCCTCTTCTCTTCAGTCGACATTTACTACTAACATTACACTGCTGTCATCTCGGCGCATACTCATATGGACCCCCGTTTCCTGAACAGGCCATGAAACTGGGCCACACATCAAGATGACTGCCAAACCATCGGCGCAAGTACAGATATCCCCGGGAAAGGGCCTGGGTTCCATCAGTACGCCTTCTTTGATGGGTGTCTGCGGGCTAGATGAGCCCAGCTAACTCTTGTACAGCTCTGGGCGCTTCGTTACACAACGTCCTGACCCGGGTCAAGTCCCATCCCCAAATCTACCCCGCGCTCGACCTTGCTTACTCCTCCGCGGACCCTGTGCGCCAGCCGGTGATCCTACAGCTCCCGTTGAATGGCCTGCGCCTTCGTTTCGATGGGCCAGACCAGCGACTGCGCTTAATCGAAGTTATAGACTTCTCTCGCACCAGTCTGGTATACAAAGCCCAGGACGTAATCAAAGGCGCCAAGTCAACTGAGCAGCCGGGATCGCAACAGGGCCCTACCTTCCGACATGTTTACAACCGTCTATTTGGCCCGTCCTATCCAGGTGAATATGTACCGCCGACAGATAACTCGCCGTATGGCACCTATGTGTTGTCATACCCTGGCATCGCGTTTTCGTTTCCACTGCAGCACTCGGCCTGGTCCGACCAGTGCGACTTTGTAGCGCTCCTCTCATCATCAGCAGCACTGCCGGCTACATCCATGGCCATTTTTCAAGGACCGTCCTGGCCCGAGATTAGAGGAAAGTTGTTCACGCAGCAGCCGCAGCATCCACGCTCCTCGGCCCTGATCGGCAAGAATCGAGAAACACTCGCCGACGAGATCGAAGAGTTTCGCATTTTTGGTGCCGGAAAACTGGAGGTGGTGAGACGATCAAGTCCTCCGCTATATATCAAGCTGGCCGAGACCACTCCGCAAGATCTGATTGCCGACTTCGGTCCGCCAGATGCCGTGTATCGTAAGAATGACCGCCGAATCTCGATCCACCGTGCGGCTGGACATGGTGGTGGGGGTGCTCTGCACATGAGCCCATCTCCCGGGAGCGGGATCGACCTTCCCGATACTGATCACTCCTCCAGTAACAGCGTGACTGATGATTCAGATGAGGAGATCTCCCTGAACAATCTCGGAGATCCAGGCTCGCTGCCAACGGAATGTTTTTTCAATTACTTCCATCATGGATTCGATGCCTTCATATCTTATCCAACCGAACCAGGCCCGGCATACCCCACGTCGGGCTTGCCCGATCCAACGCCTCAGCCTCCGTCGTCTCAGTTGACAGTCACAAAGATCATCCTGCATGGCAATGTGCCGGGTTCCTATCCCTTTAACCGCCACCGACGCAGCCGCTGGCGGATTCAGCTGGACAGCTCTGGCGACCATCTGTCTTCCGAGACGCCGTACGACGAGGTCTCTGAGCGTCTGCGCGATCTCTGGAAAGAGTCATTCTCCAACCCTGCCGAAGAGCGTGCTCTGCAACGTCCGATGGTATTGAACCGCGGTTGGGGTGACAGCCCCGAAAGTAGCGTGGAGTTCCTCGGCGGATGGGAAGAAAGCACAGCCAAAGGCGCCCGGACGGGCGATGGCGACGACTCCGGGTTGGGCAACACGGAGCTCTTTGGCTTCCCGGGGCTCTTATTTGAGGTGCTGAAGAACGGCGCCGTGAGCTGCTTAACGATTTATTGATGCGACATGAATTCTTTTGGGCGATGGCGTTGGATTCGACTCCTAGCGTAGCCTGAATCCCAAGGTAGGCAGGAGAACTTCTTTAGAGCCCACCACAGTATTCTCCCTACGGTGTAATTAGGAGCGATAGAGGCTGTAATTTATCTTGTTTTGGAATTACCACTTGGGCTCCCCCTGAGCAGGCTTTGGCGGACGTAAATTGTCACCTGATGTAACAATACACATCCGAACATTTCTTTCTTCTCATTCAGTGCTTCGACATTCAACCCGAGCAAGACGATGCCAGCGCGGTCCTGGTCGTCGACGCTCAAGCTCCCCAAGTCGACTTTTCCCCCGCGGGTGTCACCGGCCGACCAAGCAAAATACCTCAAGCGATGCACCGATGACCTCTACGCCTGGCAGCGCCGCGAACGACCAACCCAACACCCCTTCGTGCTGCACGATGGCCCGCCATACGCGAATGGAGAATTGCACATTGGGCACGCGCTGAATAAGGTCTTGAAGGACATAATTTGCAGAGTTCAATTGGGGCTGGGAAAGCGGGTGCGCTACGTACCGGGCTGGGACTGCCATGGACTTCCCATTGAGCTGAAGGCGCTACAAGGCTTGCGCGAGTTGGGGATCGGAGATGGCTCAGTCAGCGCTGCAGTCATTCGTAAAGCTGCGCGGCAACTGGCGGCGAAGACGGTGACGGAGCAGATGAAAGGGTTCCGCGGGTTTGCGGTCATGGCGGACTGGGACAAACACTGGAAGACGATGGACAAGCAATTCGAGATGCGACAGCTCGGCATTTTCCGAGAGATGGTCGATCGGGGGTTGATCTACCGAAAGTTCAAGCCGGTCTACTGGTCACCTTCCACTGGGACGGCACTGGCAGAGGCAGAGCTGGAGTATAAAGACGACCATATCTCGACCGCGGCCCTGGTCAAGTTTCCTCTCGTTACGGTCCCGACACACTTGGCCACCAACCCTCTGATTCAAGGGAAAGATTTGAGTGCCGTGATCTGGACTACAACGCCCTGGACCCTGCCGGCCAATGCGGCCATTGCGGTCAGCGAGTCGTTGGAGTACACCATAGTCCAGTCGGAGACCCACGGTCACCTTCTCGTGGCTCAGTCCCGATTCGAGTACCTCCAAACAATGTTGAAAGAGGATCTCTCGATCGTTGTCCCATCCATTCTCGGGTCTGAGTTGGCAGAGAAGACCACGTATCGGCCACTCTTCAAGAGCCCAGAAGCCGACCCACAGCCTATCATCGCGGCGGACTTTGTCACGGCTGACTCTGGTTCCGGTCTTGTTCATTGCGCTCCGGGTCACGGTATGGAAGACTACGAGGCGTGTCTTGCACGCGGCATTCCCGTGTTTGCTCCTGTCAACGACGAAGGACGATTTACGGAGAAAGCGATGCCCCATGACCCCACGAGATTGGCAGGCAAGGCTGTCTTGGGAGAAGGCAATGACGCGGTTGTGGAGTATGCCGAGTCACGCGGTCAACTACTTGCTAAACACCGGTACGAACACAAGTATCCGTACGACTGGCGTTCCAAACTCCCGATCATCATTCGGGCCACGGAGCAGTGGTTCGCAGACGTGGCCGACATTCGGGGCAGTGCGCTCCGAGCGCTGGAGGATGTTCACTTTGTTCCCGAAGCCGGCAAGCATCGTCTGGAGAACTTTGTGAAGAACCGAAATGAATGGTGCATCTCACGTCAACGCGCGTGGGGTGTCCCGATCCCAGCAATTTATCACCGGACCACGGGCGAGGCCGTCTTGACGAAAGACAGCGTGTCACACATCATGGCCATCATTGAAGAGCGTGGGATTGATGCCTGGTGGACGGATAGTGTTGACGATTCGGCCTGGATCCCGCCGTCCCTACGCGATGAGTCTGGGGCGGGCTACCGTCGCGGAACAGACACTATGGACGTTTGGTTTGATAGCGGTACCAGTTGGACGAGCGAAGATATGACTGGACGAGACCATCCGGCCGATGTGTATTTGGAGGGAACTGACCAGCATCGAGGTTGGTTCCAATCCGGGCTCCTCACTTTCATTGCACACCAACTTGCCTCTGGTCAGTCATCGACTCCTCGAGCGCCTTTTAAGCATCTCATAACGCACGGCTTTACACTCGACGAGGATGGTCGCAAGATGAGCAAGTCGATCGGGAACGTTATTGCCCCACAGTCCATCATGGACGGCACGCTCTTGCCGCCCCTCAAGCCACGCAAGGGGAAGAAGAAGACAGAGAAGAAGACAGAGAATCAAGGGCCCGAGTACGACGCACTCGGTCCCGACGCCCTTCGTATGTGGGTGGCGAGCAGCGACTACACGCGCGACGTGGTGATTGGAAAGCAGGTGCTCCAAACCGTCAACACCAGCCTTCACAAGTTCCGCGTGACCTTCAAACTGCTGCTGGGTGCGCTCGCTGATTTCCGGCAAGACTACCGGGTACGGTATGAGCAGTTGCAACAAGTAGACCGGATTGCCCTAATGCATCTTTCGCAAATGGTCTTGGCCTCGCGAGCGGCGTGTGAGAACTTCGAGTTCTACAAGGCCGTCAACGTGATGAACCGATGGGCCAACCTCGAATTCTCCGCTTTCTACATGGAGGCCATTAAAGATCGGCTGTACACACATGGCGAAAACAGCACGAGCCGACGCGCGGCGCAGACGACCTTGTTCCACATCTACACTCATCTCCAGGAAGTCCTGGGTCCGATTACTCCGATGCTTGTGGAAGAGACATGGGAGCATACACCGGAAGCGATCCGTTCGCACTGTGAGCACCCGCTGCAGCGCCTGGTGTCTGTCCCGGCGGCGGAATGGCAAGACCCCGCGCTGGAGACGAGCTACCAGGAGATTGTGGCAGTGCACTCGGTCATCAAAAGCCTACAGGAACAAGCCCGCAGTAAGAAACAGCTAGGCTCGTCCCTACAATCTTTTGTGCACCTAGCCCTCCCGGCCAGCAAATCTATCTTCCACCAGTTTTTGGCCGAGCTTCCCGATCTGTTTGTTGTTTCGTCGGTTACTCTGGGCCAGCATGGCGAGGAGGCCGTCCCCCACGAAATCGAACATGCCGAGTGGCAGTACACGGAGACTTTGGAGCTCCCCGACGGCCAGCAAGGCACGGTGCACGTCTACGCGCCGCAGGCATCCAAATGCCCACGGTGTTGGCGGTACGCCGTTCCGACAGAGGCAGAAGAGGAGACGATCTGCGATCGCTGTGAGACGGTGGTACGCGAGATGGAAATGTAATCTGGATTTCTGTACCATAGTGCATCCTGTACCATAGATGAACCAACCGTGTTATCCAATAAATGCGCAACCCGACGCTGTGTCTCCCAATCTATTTATCTTCGTATGACGACATGATCGAGTCAGCGCCCGTAGCCTTGATTTGTTTGAGAACCCGGATTCTGGGTTATTTATGACGGCTCCCCCTTTCTCTCGCATGTCCTTTTCATTGACAAGTTGCCATCATGTTCGACCAGTCTACACCTCCGATTATGCCGCTGCCGACCACCACCACCTCCACCACGACGTCGGTGGGGCCTATCCCCACAGTCATCCCCGGCGTCATCCCGATCTTCCAGGAAGTTCATGACGCGGGCAAGCGAACGCTATGGTAGGTTCGGTCGCGATTCTATATCATTCACGAACACTTACGCCGATGCAGGGTCGTCACCGTGCTAATGGGCATATCGTCCTTGGTATTCTATATCCTCGGCGCCCGAGCTCCCTTGGTCAGTATGAACCCAGGCATACCTCAACATCCCAGCTAACAAATCAATCCAGCCTAAGCGGATCTTTCACACAATAACCTCCCTAATAACCACCATCTCCTTCATAACCTACCTCGCCCTAGCAACAGGCCAAGGCATCGCCTGGAAACATGTCGCCATCGCCGAGCGCCACAAACATGTCCCAGATACATCCCAAGAATATCTCCGCCAGGTGCTCTGGCTCCGCTACGTGAACTGGGCGCTAACCACACCCCTCCTTTTGGTGAATCTATCCCTGCTCTCCGGCCTGCCAGGCGCGAATCTCGTTGCGGCCATCGCGGCCGATCTGGTCATGTTGGCCTCGGGTCTGCTCGGTTCCTTTGCTGGACATACCCGCCAGCGATGGGTGTGGCTGACGCTGAGCTGTATTTCGTATCTGACTGTGATCCACCACGCGGGATTCCATGCGGCTCACGCGGCGAGGAATAAAGATGCGCAGACGAAGAGGTTCTTTGGGTCGTTTGCTGCGGTGGGGTTGCTTGTTTATGCTCTGTATCCGATGTATGTTTTACTCTCTCTCTCTCTCTCTCTCTCTCTTTATGACGAAAGGTTTTTCGTGATCCATGCTGATTAATGTGCAGCTCACTTGCCTCTGGAGCTCTTGCGCTCAAACTCAGCGTTGACACGGAGACTATCCTCTTTGCGATTATGGATGTCATGATGCAGGGGATTTTGGGGTACTGGCTTCTGCTGGCGCATGAGAGCGTGCGCGGACTGTAAGTGCTGACTTACCTTGATTGCTGGGGTGGTGGATGCTAATTTCAGCATAGAACCCTTCATATTGACGGCTTTTGGGCCCAGGGAGTGGCCAATGAGGGTGCTATTCGCATCGCGGATGAAGAAGAGGGTGCGTAGGAAGAATGAAAGAATTGACAAATTGTGAATTATTGGTCGTGGTGAGTTGATTTATTGATCGTGGTGTGTTGAATTATTGGTCGTGGTGTGTTGAGTTGAACGCCGATATGTTATTCTTATTTTCTAAATGCAGCAACGAAAAGTCGGGCTTGTTTCGATTGTCTCTCAGCCTGTTCTGTATCTTTGAATTAAGTTCCTTTCCTTTTGGTCAAAACATACAAACCTCATTGGATCAGGTCTTCTTCCTAGACCCATCCAGGAGCTGGTTCATTCCACAGAACGCTACCTCGTGCACCTTCTTTCCACCCCGTAGATCTACTACCTTCAAGTCCTTCTTCAATTCCAGCGGCACAATACCCACAGGGATCGGATCGAGATCAATGGTCTTTGCGAAGCGCACAACCACCTTCCTCATACCTCGAGACAACCAGAACCCAGCATCAACGCAGTTTCCCTTGAAACAGATCTTGCGCAGCCTCTTGGGATCAAACCAATGCAGGAAGGGGTCTGCATCCACCACAAATCCAGTCAAGGCGAGCGTTTTGATCCGCAGAAACTTCGCAGTACGGCCCATGGTCAGGGCGCGGACCTTCGCTGTTTCAATGCACTGCTTGTCGAGATACTCACCGTGTCCGATATCCGGATGCAATGTCCCGTTTCCTTGACCGCTGTAGAAAGGGAATTTCAGTAAATTATAGAGGAAAAAGAAAGGTGGAAAACTTACTAGTAAACAGGCGCTCCACTCAGTCCATCGTCTATCTTCCATCCATCCCGAATGAGCGTCCACCGTCCAGCATGAGAAAGGCTGACAATCTCCGGCTCCATGGCCATGCCCAGTTCCAGCTCCTCGAGGTCCATGTTCAGCCAGGCCGTCATCCAGATAATGGTCTGGTACGACTGCAACATGCCTGTGAGTTTGAGCGAACGCAGACGACGGAACAAACACAGCGGCTTCAGTTCGATGATATCAAAGAGCGGATCATCTTCTTTGACGGGGCGGAAGAGATCCAAACCGAGCGATTCTTTGCTCTTGGACAGACGCTCCCACGTCTCCACGCCTTTGAAGTCGAAAAGTGGGTTTGCTACCGTGGCGATATCGTTGCTTTCCAGGGCAGGTCCATGGAGAACCGACTTGGGCTTGGAAGGAGTGAGTGTGTGTGTTGCACCCTCCGGCCGGACGGGTATATTTGCAGAGTTCTTTGAGGGCGGGTTTCTGAGACGGTCAAAGTCTCCAAGACGGGAAGAAGAAACGGCATTTGCGACGGAAGCACTGCGGCGCAGACTCCCTTTCGAGTGAGTGCCAGGTCACTCACACTCAAACCACGACGGTGTTTCTTCTTGGCGGTCTCGTCGGCGGAAACAGCTGAGCGAGGGCCTTGCTCGGGGCCCAGATTGAAGGGGAAGCGGATGTGGAGGTCTGAACAGCGGCTTGGTTAGCGCGGTCAAAGAGGAGACTTGGATTGGTACTTTTCGCCTGCTCCGGCTCCTGCTCCTGCTTCCGATCGAGCTCTTCCTCGTAGACAGCGGTGCTTTTCCAGAAGTCCCATCCCATTAGGGTGTCTCTCCAGTGGGCGGGATAGTCATCCATCTTGGGGTGTTCGCAGAGGTTGAAGAAAGTCATTGGAGAACGAAGGGGACAAATTGGGGGAAGTCGAGGGCACGTCGGGGAAGGAAAGAGCGAGAGGCGTGAATGGTCGAGGTAGAGAGGAAAGCATGAAAACATCCGAAGACGAGGGATCATCCTGCCGTGAGCCTGCTATGGGGTCTTTCTTTGACCTGAAAGCATCTGTTTGTTTGTAACGTGGACCTGACCTTCTCCGTGAAAAGAATGCCCAGCACGAATCGAAATCGAAGACTTCATCTTGTAAAAGTCGGGAGTTTTCCCTAAGCCAGTGATAATCCATCATGTCTTGCGCAGTATATCAGAGCTACGGCAACGCCTTTATCCTCATTTGGCGTAGCTCGCTGTCAGAAATGCGGGGCGGAAGCCCCACCTGTTGGGGTATGGCATCTTGCTCGACACGGCGTTCCGCCATGCGCAGGTCTGGGAGGAAGACGGCTGGTCCTTGATCCACGGCTGCTATCCCGATCTTACAGATCACCGACGGATACGGTTACAGGCCGTGCGGAATGAGTTCCCTCGAATCGATTTCTAGATCGGGCGAGTGTTCAGGCTTGGCGTTAGGCTTCCCAGCTGAGTATAAGATGGCCGACGATCGCACGTAGGGAGGGGTTGGTTGTCTGATCCGAGCGAGAATTACAACTACTTCTCTAAAACAGATTTACAGCTTCTCACGCACCTTCTGAAGGACTCGCTGTATCACCTTAGCTACCCTGTTCGGTACCACCATTCGAAAACCATGGGTTCCCATATCGATATGACGGTCAGTCTTCGTGAATGGGTGAGCACAAGGCTAATAGTACAGTGCAGGAGTTTCCAGGAAACATCATCAATAACCGCTTGGTTCCCACACCCAAGACGCGTCATTCCATCAACCCTTCCACCGGCGAGCCACTGTACGAAGTTCCTTACGCCACCCAGGAAGACGTAGACGCTGCGGTGAAGCACGCGCGCACGGCATTCAAAAGCTGGTCCAAGGTTCCCTTTGAAGAACGCTCGCAACTGCTTGTTGCCTATGCCGATGCCCTGGAGGCCCAGCGTTCGCCGCTGGAGAAGCTGCTCGTGCAGGAACAGGGCAAGCCGCTTGGACTGGCCAAGACGGAATTTGACATGAGTATAGCCTGGCTTCGAGATTTTGCCACGATGGAAGTCAAGGACGAAGTGCTCGAAGACAACGAGGAGCGGACTGTCATCCAGACATTCCCGCCAATCGGTGTATGCTGCGGCATTGTCCCCTGGAACTGGCCTGTCCTGCTTGGCCTGGCCAAAGTTGGATCAGCGCTGATCACTGGCAACACCATCATCATCAAGCCATCGCCCTTTACGCCGTACTGCGACCTGAAGCTCGGCGAGATCGGCATGAGCATCTTCCCGCCGGGCGTCTTTCAAGTCCTCAGTGGAGGAGATGACCTCGGTCCTATGCTCACCGAGCATCCTGACATCGATAAAATCTCCTTCACCGGTTCAAGCGCAACCGGCAAACTGGTCATGCAGAGCTGTGCCAAGACCCTCAAGCGCGTTACACTCGAGCTTGGTGGTAACGACCCGGCCATCATTTGCGAGGATGTCGACATCGACGCCATCGTGCCAAAGATCACCACCCTCGCGTTTCTCAATTCGGGTCAGATCTGTATGCTGATCAAACGGGTGTATATTCACGAAAAGATCTATGACAAGTTCCGGGATGCGATGGTCGCCTTTGCCAAATCTATCAAGACGGGCGATGGATTTGAGCCGGATGTCCTCGTCGGGCCAATCCAAAACAGCATGCAGTGAGTGAAAGCAAAATGCAAACCTGCGTGTATCTTTTTCTCACAAAAAAAAAACACTTTAGATTCGAGAAAGTCAAGGATATGTACTCCGAGATTGGCAAACGCAGCTGGAAACAGGCTCTCGAGGGACAAGTATTCAAAGACTCCAAGGGCTACTTCATTAGTCCCGCCATCATCGACAACCCACCCGAAGACTCCCGCATCGTTGTAGAGGAACCCTTTGGGCCAATCGTGCCTCTCCTCAAGTGGTCCGATGAGGAAGATGTCATTGAACGGGCAAACAACAGCAAGTCCGGTCTGGGTGCCTCTGTGTGGAGCAAGGACCTGGATCGGGCAGAGCGATTGGCCCGGTGCCTTTCCGCGGGGAGTGTCTGGATCAATTCTCACTTTGATGTTGCGCCCAATGTGCCATTCGGAGGACACAAGTGGAGTGGCATTGGCAGCGAATTCGGCATGACTGGTCTGAAGTGGTGCTGTAACTCCACGTCGCTCTGGAAGTGGAAGAATGTCATGTAAGAAGAGTGTTGCATACAACCAGGCAGGCCAATTAGGTATCTTTGGCGGTTTCTTCTGCAGCATGGTGTCTTCTGCTGCGCACATGTATACCCGGGTGCTCCTCAAAGCTACATGCGCAATTGATGCTCGAATTGACGACATAATACTCTTCCCTGGTAAAACATTTGATGCAAAACATATCCGGCAACCGATGGCGACCTCCAAGCCATGAAGTATATTTACAGATGAGGTCAGAATCCTTGAAGATGAGGATTTACGGCCAAGTGGAGGCCGTAGCGGCCCTTGGTGCCTCTTAACACCAATCACACCCGCTCCTCTTACCGAGCTTCTTCGCTTCTTCTCTTACCGAAGCAAATACGGGGAGATCGCAGACCCTTTCGACTAGCCTTGGATAGGGACACATGTGATGCCGCCGTAGCCTTGCGCCATAGCCCACCGTCTCTATACCCGAACCCGAAGGATTGACACTATTTACATTCCTTCTTGCCCGGCCTGTCGCCATGTTGTCGATATCGACTTTCACCACTCCTTCGTGGTCCCCCTTGAACCGTCGTCCACCATGAAACACTTCTCCCTCACCCGAGGACTAGGTGTCTTCGTCGTCGCCGCATTCACTGTCAGCGCGACATCCGACTCAAGCGGAAACCCCCTCGCCACGGCAGACCAGCACTCTCTCGACGCGCTCGCGATTGAGATCAGCAATGATGATCACTTCATAGTGCTCAAAGCGGAAGCTAAAGCAGCCTTCCAAACAGCCCACGGTCTGCCCATCAGCGACGAAGCGGCCTCGAGTCTCGATGCAGCCATCGACGAATTGGCATTCAGCTCTATCCAAAAGGCTGTCAATACTGATGCCTACCATCCCAAGGTATACTGGGTGGATGCGGGACCGCGCAATTGGTTTGGGCTGGATGTGCCGGGGGGTCGATATTCCTACGATAATCCGGACTGCTTCTTCCGGACGATCCCTATCGATTATAGTCTCAACTATGTCGTCAAAGGGTACCGGCACACGCCCGGACCGGCAGATGTGACCTTCTCGCTGATCAGCGATCCCAATTCGCAGAATACCGTCGCTGCGCTGGCAGGCAGTGACCTAGTGATCGAGAGTGATGGCTCGTACACGGTCACGATCAACAGCTCGTCTGCCGATGGCCAGGCAAACCATATCCAATCCACGCTACTCGCGAAACAACTGTTGATCCGCAACAACCTCGGCGACTGGTTCGCAAAGCCAGACAACCTAACCGTCGAATTGATCAACGCGCCAGCCCACAGCGCCAAAAGCAAAGCAGAAATCATCCTCGCCGCGGGATGGGACCTCCAAGAATCGATTGTGGACTATGGCGTCGGCGCACTTGGAATCAAAACCATGATCAACAAGGTCAACACACTCTCGGACCCCAGCCAATCCAGCAGCCTGGGCACACTCACCACACAAGCGAGTTCCTTCGGCCACTTCGACCTATCCGACACCGAAGCCCTCGTCGCAACGTTGACCAAGGGACCAGCCGATTACTTCGTATTCCCACTCTCCAATCCATGGATGATAACCAAAGACCCCGGCACGCGACAGATCAGCCTGAACAGCGCGCAGGCGGAGCCCAACGCGAACGGGACGTACACCTTCGTCATCTCGCCCTCAGATCCAGGCGTATATAACTGGATCGATACGGCGGGGTTGCACGAGGTGACGACTATGGTGCGCTGGCAGGGCCTGCCGACGTCGAATTCGTCGGCGAGTGACGCACTGAGTGTTGCTGTGCAGGTTGTGTCGCTGGCGGATTTGAAAGCTGTTCTTCCGGACGGGACGCAGTTCGTTACCGCGGAGGAGAGGGAGGCGCAGCTTGCGAAGCGGGTTGAGGCGTATGCGCTGAGGACGGCGGTTTAGACTGGGGTTAGTTGTATATACTCGCCGATCAGTAGTTTAATAATACCCGAGATGGGGGGGGATTTGTTTGTATCTACTGAATCAGCCCATCTGACCGAACGCCCTGTACCTTCAAGTTGGAAGATCTGGCTGGCAAAAGGGCCGCGTGGTTTTGTGTTTCCATTCCCGTAAATACATCACGCATCAAACCCATCAGCGAAACCGACCACTTTTTACTCTGGTAAAATTGAAGAGAGAAAAATTTTGATTATCAATGCATCACAACCACACTAGCCTAGTACTTCTTGCCCTGACGCAGGACATCGCCAAACTCCTCCAGAGGGCTCCGGATGAGCTTGGTCTCCTTCCAGAGGTTGGGGGTGAGGAAGCCGTAGCTGTTGACGACGGCAACGAAGGTGGCCTTGAGGGTGTTCTCGAGGGTCTTGGTGGAGCCGGAGGACGAGGTGTAAGCGTCCTCGATACCGGCCAGCTGGAGGAGACGCTTGACGGCGGGGGAGGCAACGAGACCGGTACCGCGGGGGGCGGGGATGAGCTGGGGTTATGATTAGTGGCTGGACTTGCTGCAAGGGAAAATGGGGAGTACATACGCGAACCGAGACGGAACCGCACTTGCCGGACTGCTTGACGGGCAGCGAGTGAGGCTCACCGAGGTTGGTACCCCAGTAACCTCTCCGGACGGGAAGCACAGCCAGCTTGGCGATGGTGATGGCGGCACGGATAGCGGTAGCGACTTCCTTGGAGGTCTTGATACCAAGACCGATGTGGCCCTCGGAGTCACCGATGAGGACGATAGCCTTGAAGCGGGTGCGCTGACCGGCACGGGTCTGCTTCTGGACGGGCTTGATCTTCATGACCTCGTCCTTGAGCTTGGGCAGGAAGAAGTCGACGATCTGGAACTCCTTGATGGGCAGCGAGTGCAGGTAGATCTGCTCCATGCTGGTGATCTTGCCGGCCTTGACGAGGCGGCCGAGCTTGGTGACGGGCTGCCACTCCTTCTCCTCCTGTCGGGGACCGCGACGGCCACGGCGGCCACGGCCACGGCCACGGTCACCACCGCGGTCGCCGCGCGAACCGAATCCTCCACGTCCACGGGGGGCAGCGTCAGCCATTTTGGGTGTGTTGGAGGGGGGAATTGGGTGGTGGTGGGTTGTCGAGATGAGGTTGTCGAAGTTGATCGCGGGCCTTGAATCGTTAATCCGAAATGATCTCGCTTGACTTGTGCGGATGCCCTAGCCCTAATTCCCGATCGGGATGGACGTGGTCTGTGCGTTATTGACTTCCCGTCGGGGTCAGCTGATCAGGTCATGTGACTGATCCAGGCCCCGATCGCAGAGAGAGAGAACAATGATCACCGACAGGGAAATCCAGATGATAGGAGATGGTCAAGATGGCATGGATCTGCTACGACGACTATGGCTGTCACTATAAAATAGATGATATATTCCAGATCAGACTCCAATTATGACGCCATAAAAAAAATCCCTGTAAACGCGGAGTGGCAATATTTGCCCTGGCGGGTACGCTTCCTATCCAGGAATGATCCTTCAGATGGCAACCTGACTCCGCATTTATTATTTGTTGTCTTTTAACTGCTCTTACCCCCGGGGTGTGTGTGGCTTCTACATTCTCTCTATCCTTCATCATGTTACGCTGGTACTTTCTATTCCCTTCAATACCTTGCTATAGCTCACTCCATCCAGGTACCAAACCAAGCTAGCCAAGAAGCCCATCCTGACTGCCAGCGTCACCAGCGCGGTACGACTCTCCTCCCCCGCTCGCTCGTTCACCTACCTCATAATCTTAATACCAAACAGGTACTTTTCGGCAGCGGCGATGTCCTCGCCCAGCAAGCCATCGACCGGCGCGGTCTGGAGAAGCACGACTTTGGCCGCACGGGGCGCATGGCTCTCTACGGCGGAGCTATCTTCGGTCCCGCGGCCACAGCCTGGTACGGCATTCTCCAGCGTCACGTCGTGCTGAAGAGCACCACCTCTACAACCATTGCTCGGGTCGCTGCGGACCAGATCCTATTTGCGCCCGTGAATCTCACCTGCTTCCTCTCCTCGATGGCCATCATGGAGGGCAGCGATCCTGTCGAGAAATGGCGCAATGCCTTCATCCCCAGCTACAAGGCCAATCTGATAGTCTGGCCATTTGTACAGGGGGCCAACTTTGCCTTTGTGCCCTTGGAGCTGCGGGTGTTGGTGGTGAATGTGGTCAGCTTGGGTGAGTGAACTACTGGACGATCGCGATGGCCCAGACACTAACAGTGGACAGGCTGGAACTGTTTCTTGAGTCTGATTAACAGTGGTGAAGAGTAGATTTGTGGGTTTCTTTCTTGTTGGCGCAATATACTGGGTTCCGTTCATTGTTGTGCTTCATATTGAGCCATGATTCGAGGCATTGTTCTGGTGGAAATAGCTGGTCGTACATGATTTGGTATAGAATAGATCTTAATCGTTCTTTTCTTTTTCAGTTATATTCATCTATAGATGCGACCGTATATTCGTGGAAACTCATAATCTCGACCGAGTCCTATTGTCACCCACTTTGGCAAAGCGGATCCCAAACAGGCAAGGCACTTTTTCTGCCGGCCTTCACCTTCCACTCTTTCTCCCTCGACATTCATTGTCTCTCCCGCACCTCGCCTTCATCTCTGCCTGGTGCAGATCCGCTGATTTGATTCCAGTCGCCTTCTCTCAGTGCGCTCTCTCTATCGGCTGACCTACCCCTGCGCTCCCCGCCCGAAAATCTTTCCCTTTTTCCTCACTTTCTCAACCTCACCTCCGACCACCAACCACTCAACCACCCAACATGGCTGCTGCGACGGAGAACGGCCACATCGCAGTGGCAGATGAGAATGCCGCCCCTGCACCGACCACGGAAGCGGCCGATGGTCTGGTCACGGTTTTCCACGACCCCGAGAATTTCACCGTCAAGCACCCGCTCATGCACGAGTGGACTCTGTGGTTCACCAAACCCCCCAGTGGCAAGGTACGGACTTCTTTTTGGCTCGAATCCAATTCCAAGGCTGACAGTCTACTAGGGAGACAACTGGAACGATCTACTGAAGGAAGTGGTCACGTTCAGCTCCGTGGAGGAGTTCTGGGGCATCTACGTACGTTTTTTTTTTTTGACCATCCAAATATTCACTAACTCTCGTGCAGAACAACATCACTCCGACCTCCGAACTCGGCCTCAAGGCGGACTACCACCTCTTCAAGAAAGGCGTACGACCGGAGTGGGAGGACCTGCAGAACAAGCACGGTGGCAAGTGGTCGTACCAGTTCAAGGACAAGCGGTCCGTCCCCATCGACGAGCTGTGGCTGCACGCCCAGCTGGCCGCTATCGGCGAGACGCTGGAGGCCGACGCTGACAATGAGGTCATGGGCGTGGTGGTGAATGTCCGCAAGGGATTCTACCGTGTCGGTTTGTGGACTCGCACTGTGGGCAAGGGGACCCCCGGCGATAAGAACACCCGCACACCGGCGCAGGGCAAGGAGGCTCTGGAGGCGATTGGCCGGCGGTTCAAGGAGGTGCTTCGACTGAAGGATACCGACGTGGTGGAGTTCTCGGGACACACGGACAGCGCGCACAGTGGCAGCACGCGCGCCAAGGCGAAGTACGTGGTCTAGAAGGGGAGTACAGTTTTTCACGATAATGGATTAGATTCGAGCAGGACGGACGGATGGAAAAAAGTGACTCTCTGACTGGTCGGTCCCTGCTGCAAGGCAAGAGACTCGATCGCTTTCGACATGTATCTTACCTTTACTTTACCCTTCCCACACGCAATTCACGAAACATATGTCCTATCCCAAATCCAAGAATCATCACTACATTATCATTACATTATGACGGTATAGGCAGCATATCCAGAATCTCCCGATCTTTCCCATGCTTCCGCTGCAAATACAAACAAATCGCACGACACTCGACGTTCGCGCGATGCCGAACCCACCAGATAATCTGAGCGGCCTTGTCATACCACATTGCCAACAACAGCAGCGCAACAGGATCCTTCTGTTTAAGCAACATCTTAAACACGGGCTCCATCTGGCTCGAAAACGCCAACACCATACTCCGCGTAACTCTACCCCTCCTGCCAAGAAGGGGAACAAGTGTGCGCACAGCAGTAAAGTAAGGATTATTCTCCTTGGACGAACTCTCATTCAACAGACACACCCTCTCCAGCGAGTACGGTATCGCACCGGCCGAAGAAGAGACAGGATCAAACATCGTGGAGTACTCCTCCACCATTGCCCGAAACAAACTATCCCCCCTTCTCGGCTCCGCAAGGTGCATAACAGCCATCTTCGTCTCAGCCATGCGCACCCACTCCAGATCGGAGGGATCGGCAGCGCGCAACGGCCACGCGTGCGAGGGGTGGCTCGTATTCAGCGAGGAGAAGGTGATGATTCCCAGAAACGTGACTGCCATCCAGAGCGGATCGCGGTCTTGGGGGGTGATGGGCTCTGAGAGTTTTTGGTTTAGGAGCGAGGCGCATTGTGCTGAGTGGTAGATCTCGAAAATGCTTGGAACTCCTGGACATGGGGTTTGGAGGTATCGGTCGTGCATGGCGGACATGGCTAGCACTGTGTGCATTAGGTAGGGATTCTATAGGTCGGGTGTTAGTATAACAAACATTCATACCATACATGGAGGTATTTCTATCTGTGGGGATAGGTCATAGAGAGAGGGGGAGAGAGAGAGGTCGGACGTAGTGCCTACAACAAGAGCAAGCCGCAACACATCCTCCTGAAAAACATTAACAATCGTCAAAACCGTCTGCCGCTGCTGAAAGCCCGCCAACCGGCGCACATCATCACGATCCAGCCGTAATTTTCGCACGCCATCGGAGCTCACAGGCGCCGGCGCGTCGACCTCAAGGGCCAGCGGGTTCGACCGATTGGGAGCGGCATAATTGCACCAGACACCGAAGGAGCGGCATTTTTGGCATTGAGGACGTGTTTCATCGCACTGGGGTCTATTATTAGTGGGAGAGCTAGGATCATGAGTGGGTTGCTTTGGCTTACCTTCACACGGCGCAGCTTGCAATTTCCGCATCCTTGGCGGGATTTATTGTGAAAACGCCGTTTTCTGGGCTTTTGGATTGAGGTTGAGGGGTCTGGCATATGGGGCCGGCCTGCGTTTGGAGAGAGTGGTGAGTTGTTTCGAGAGAGAGTGGTTGGTGGTGGTGATATCGTGGGTGGAATAAGGCTACGACTATGCCCGGTAGTTAACTCCATAACTCCTTGTAAAGTCCGTTGCCAGCCACGAGTATGAGGTGGGGAATGGAGATGAGCTAAGAAGACTTACTGTAAACAAAGTGAACAATTGGATGATTCTTTTTTCAGTGATTGAGATATTAAATTTGTTGGGGTGTCGGATCTATATATCTGGCGGGGCCACGGTGATTGTGTAGAAGTCGAACATCAAGCTTCATGATTGACAAGGGTTGTAAATATTTAAGAAAGCATCATTTAGATATGTCATACCTATTTTGGAGACAGACCAAGCTATTCACAGATATTATTAGGCAACGTCTCCATCCCCTTCTATCGGAACACTGGGGAGCAGCCCAAAAGGATCAATCGGAACGGTTCGCACCTCCATGAAAGTTTGAGATCGAGTTCTAGAACGATTCCTCGCACTGTAGGAATCCGAATGTGTTGTCGAGGTAATGGTCCTTCCGTGGTCAACTCTATCTCGGTCGTCAAACCGTTCGCTTCTACTACTGCCGTGTTCGAAATAGATTCCCATGGACACCCCGGCGTTGTTTCTTGGCTGGTCCCCGAAGCCAACCTTATCCGTATCCGCTTACTCTACAACAACTCCTGCTTAGGCGCGCCGCGGCCTATTGGGTCTTGTCCACTGAATCATTGTAAATTACAGTAATCTCCATAGAACGTTCTACCCAGTGTTCCCGAAGAGACCTGGCTTGAACCACCGCCCTCGTCTCTGGCGGACCCCGCAGCTAACCCAACGTGCCAGCTATACGCTCTCATCGTCTACATCTTCCGCCGCGATTTGCCTCAGCATATTTTCATCCAATCTCGATTTAAAGTTCGATTACCTATCGTGCTGTCTGCTTAGCCCATAACTCCTCCCATGTCTTCAACTACCAAACCGACTATCGTCCTCGTGCATGGCGCATGGCATGGCTCGTGGTGCTGGAAGTTCCAAATCCCCGAGCTCGAGGCCCTCGGGTATGCTGTAGAGACCGTGGACCTACCGTGCGTCGGTGGGGTAGCAGGTACGACGCAGTTCGACGACGCGGCCCACCTTCGGTCCGTTGTGGAATCGCAGATATCTATGGGTAAGCGCGTCGTTGTCCTAGCGCATTCCTACGCAGGACCAATTGCGAGTGCTGCCATCAAAGGGCTGGCCGGAAAAGGCGTCCTCGGGATGGTCGCTCTGTGTGCCTACATCTTTCCTGGAGGCATGGACCAAGGCGCGGTCATTCGCGAGATTGGCGGCCTGCCCTACGCGAGCTGGGACGTGCCGAGTGAAGGCCTCTTCCTCGCCAAAGAGCCGCGCAGCCTGTTTTTCCCTCCCGATGTGCCTGCGGACCAAATCGACTGGGCAGTAGCGCAGATTCGCCCTCAGAGCATGGCCGCCAACACGGGCATTGTGCCGCCTCAAGCCTGGCAGGACGACTCCTATATCGGGAGATTAGGCTACATTCGGTGCACGGCTGATGTCATCAATCCAATTGCACAGCAGGACAGTATGCTGGCGGGTGCAGGTGGCCAGGAAAAATGGGTAATTCGCACTCTCGAAGGATCCAGTCATAGCCCCTTCCTCTCGCGGCCGCATGAGGTAGCCGCTGTATTTCAGGAGATCGTCAATGATTTTGAAGCCAAGCTCTGCTAGAGAGAAGGAATTATCAGTTCGTTAGCGAGCAAATATATCATATATATATATTGGAGTGGAAGCGTAGCTACGGCGGAGTTAGTCTTGGAGCCATGTTAAGCAAATTCGGGGCCTGGAAAGTCAATCGACGACCATGGCGGGGCGCAGAGGTGGCGACGTTTCTGGTAAACTCAATATTATACGGGTTCTATAAATCAAGGGTAGCCTACGATTTAAGTAAATATGGATTATGGCGGTTTAGGATACAGGCTGAGAATCATCTGTGAATGCACGAAGGGGAATCTGTGTTCGAATACTGCTATGTGATAACCACAGTCAGCTGTCACAGTGATTAGTAGCTATCGCATCGGCAAAGAACACTGGTTCCTGGAACACTGGTTCCTGGAATACAACTGCCAAACAGCCACCAGCCTATCGCGTCCTCGTCATTCGTCCCGAACGAGGTCCGATAGCAGAACGGGTCATTTCTCATTGGACCCAAGCAGCCAGCGTGTGATGGACTAAGCCCAAGACCGTCAGGCGATCGCACTGGCCCGACAAGACCAAAAGATCATCGGGCCAAGCACCACCGACCCTGCAGTTTAAATGCTTGGCCTGCCCTTCTTTTTCTTCTGATCCCCAGGTCCTTGTGTTTGCGTCCACGCCGGTGTCGGATTGCCCAGTGTCAGACCCAGAATGACACCAGCGCCAGGGCTTGGATCTCACGCCCTTCGAGCCGACTAGACTTCGGCTAACCCCAGCGAAGTCGGAGCGATAGCCAGTGACCTTCACTACTTATTGGCGCTGGGTCCCGGGCTGACGCTCGGCTCTTCTTTACTTCTACTTCTTCACTTCTTTGCTGCTTCACCTCTTCACCTCTTCACTTTACTTTTCTGTCACCGATCGACACCCTCATGATGATTGATAATACCCCAGACAGCCAGAAACCCTTATCATGACTACTGGCTTGGCAAAGACTCGACTCCACCGCAACCCGTCGCCCTCTTACGAGAGAATAATTACCACATCGTTACCCCAGATGAGCACCAATGTATCTTGGCAGTCTTCTCTCACTGGCTGGCCACGGTCGCCTCAGCCTTTTGCAGGAGACCAAAGGTTCGGACTCCGGGGTAGCATCTGGACGACGCCGATGAGACCGTCCTGAAACCCCAACCACAATGATTCGACCTGATCGAGTCTATCAGCTCCTCCCTCCTCCACCCCCTCCTTCTTGCCGGGGGAGCCCGAGGTTGCACGCGTGGTGGCGGCACGTCCGGAGATTGCTCAGCAGGTGGCCAAGGCCGCCTGGCCTGCCAAGGATGCGTCCGTGACTACCTTCCTTTTCGCGGTCGGACCGGAAGCGGCGTGAGGCACACAAAGAATGCGCAGGCACGATATCGCCACGGAGTCCGGAGACGGGAGCTCCGGAATGCGCCCGCTGTTATCGACAGGGACCAAGAAAAAAGAAGGAAAATTCCAAAAAAACGTGGCCAGATTCGCCCATCTGGCAGCCGCGAATTTTCAGCTCACCGGGTTATCGGCCGCCAAGATACGGACCAAACTCGGAACCAGCAGTTCCCTAGTTCAGCGTGCAGTCTTCTTGCAGCGATTATTCGACAGGACCTTGAACCGCCTCTCGGCCATTCATAGTGCGCACACGGCCTGGCTGTTCTTTGATCGACCCTATTAGGTACATACCTAGGAAGGCTTCGCTTTCGTGCTCCTGCTGTTCTGGGGTTACATTCCGTGGACCCAATCGTGGCACGCTCATTTGTCCGGCGGCAAAGAGCCAAGAAAGCTCCGCCGATCCTTTCCGTGGTAGTGCTGCTGCGAACAATGGATTCCTCTACTATATCGCCCACTAGGTCTATTTTTTTTCTTGGCCCTGTCGGCTATGCGCCGATAAGGGAGACACCGAAAAATCCCCACCATTCGCCTCGGGAGGTTGGGTAATGGAAACGGAATATAAGGTAAATAGCTCGGGGTCCCCGTCTATTTCCTTTCCTCCCCCCGAGTGTCCCTTCGCCGTGGTCCTTTTGCAGAGAAAAAGAGCCCTACTTGCAACCATGTCGACTCCGGAGCGCGAGGTTGAGCCTGCTAAGGAGTATGTTATTGGTTTCGTCGACTACGGGCATAGAGTGCGAACTAATGAACATTTCCCCCTCAGGCAGCAGAACGATGGCCCCCTCACCGAGGTTTTTGTGAATGAAAAGTCCGCTATGGACGCCGACGAGAAGGCCATGGCCGACACCCCAGATGGCGAGGAGCCCACCGAGCTCGAGAAGAAGTCTCTGCGCCACATCGCCGAGAACCTGCCCTTCTCGGCCTGGCTGGTGGCCATCGTCGAGTTGAGCGAGCGTTTCACCTACTACGGCATGCAGGGCCTGTTCCAGAACTACGTCCAGCGTCCCTTTGATGGCAGCGAAGGCACTGGGGCCCTAGGCATGGGCCACCAGGGCGCGACAGGATTGACCACTTTCTTCCAGTTTTGGTGCTATGTGACCCCCATCATTGGTGCCATCATCGCCGATCAGTACTTGGGCAAGTACAAGACGATCGTGCTGTTCTGCGGTGTCTACATCGTTGGTCTGCTCATCCTGGTCTGCACCTCCATTCCCAGCGCTCTGGCCCATGGAGCCGGTCTGGGCGGGTTCATCGCGGCGATTCTGATCATTGGTCTGGGCACTGGCGGTATCAAGAGTAACGTGGCGCCTCTGATCGCCGACCAGTACAAGCGGAAGAAGATGGCGCTGTCGACCACCAAGAAGGGCGAGCGCGTGATCATCGACCCGGCCCTGACCATCCAGCGCATCTACATGATCTTTTATGGGTGTATCAACATTGGTTCGTTGTCCCTGCTGGCCACCCCGTACATGGAAATGTACATCGGCTTCTGGTCCGCCTTCCTGCTGTGTCTGTGCATGTTCATCGTCGGAACTGCGGTGATCCTGCTGGGTCGCAAGTTCTACGTGGTGCGCCCGCCGCAGGGCTCGATCATCACGGACGCCTTCCGGTCTCTATGGATCATGGTCAAGAACCGCAACATGGATGCTCCCAAGCCCAGCTGGCAGGCCGAGCACCGCGGCGAGTCGGCCATCACTGTGCCGTGGGACGACCACTTCATTGACGAGGTGAAGCGTGCGCTGGTGGCCTGCCGGGTGTTTGCTTTCTACCCGATCTACTGGGTGGTGTACGGGCAGTTCTCGAGCAACTTCGTCACGCAGGCTGGCCAGATGAAGGGACATGGCATCCCGAACGACTTGATGCAGAACTTTGATCCCATCTCCATCATTGTCTTCATCCCGCTGCTCGAGACGCTCGTGTACCCGCTGATGCGCCGCATGAAGATCCCCTTCCGTCCCATCACGCGGATCTCGCTGGGCTTCGTGGTTGCGTCGCTGGCGATGGTCTACGCTGCCATTGTGCAGCACCTGATCTACTCGGCCGGCCCGTGCTACGAGCACCCGCTGTCGTGCCCGGCCGCAATGGTGGACGGCGTGGCCCAGGGCAACAACGTGCACATTGCCATCCAGACCCCCGCATACGTGCTCATCGGTATCTCGGAGATTTTCGCCTCGGTGTCGGGTCTGGAGTATGCATACACCAAGGCGCCGCCGTCGATGAAGTCGTTCGTGCAGTCGATGTACTTGCTCACCACCGCGTTCGGATCTGCCATTGCCGAGGCACTGACTCCCGCCGCGTACGACCCGGCGATTCTCTGGATGTTTGTGGGCGTGGCCTGCGCTTCGTTCCTGGTCGGTGTCGTGTTCTACGCTCTGTTCCGTCACCTCAATGCCCAGGAAGATGATATGAATGCCCTCGACGCCGATGACTATATGCCGGAGGCGCCGCGCGAGGAGGAGCGCCGTGAGTCGACTAACTAAATGTCTTAACCCTGCTGTGCAGGGGACGGGATGGATGTATGTACGACATGACATGCCCTTCTGGACTTATGTATATCGAAAGACAAAACCCCTATCTACATATTTGTGAATGTAATTGAATTAATGATTCAGATGCAATGCCTCCGTCATAGCGCCGTACGTACATAGTGCAGTACATAGTCGATAGGCATGCATGTTTTTCCCGCACACGCGAGACCGACATACTGTAGGTAGGCAGCAAGGTATCGCTGAGGGTTAATCATGACGTGCAGACTTGGCAGGGGTACTGGGTACTTTACAGAGTGTGTGGATTACACAGTGGAACGAGTACCCAGTACCTCACCCGCCCGATCGCCGCATCAGCCACTGCTGGCCCCACCAGGTAAGGAGGTCGACAGTCGCAGGTACAGAACAACACGTTTCACAATAACTAGAGCGTCGAGAGTAGGGTAGGCGCATAACAGTAGTGAAGAGGATCAAGGTCATCATAAACATTGCTAATAAACATTAACCTATACCCGCCACGCCTACCGCAATAGCTAATAATAGGTGGGCAGTGTCTACCGCTTGCCTTTCTGCCTCCGCCACAGTCCAGCCCAGCCCCGTCTGGCTGTCTCACCCTGAGTCTCCCTTCTCCTACTTCTTCTTCGTCCTTCCCACCCCTTGTTCCCGCTCCCTTCCCATCCCCCCTCCCCCTCTCTCCCAATTACACCCACGGATCCCTCGGATCAGCCATCATGAGTGTAAGCACCTCTACTTTCTCTCCAGGGGGTTTAGCTCATCAAATTGACAGTACCAGAACCTCGGCGACCAAGGCGGCTACGGCCAGTACAACCCGTATGGCGGCCAGCCGTCCCAGCAGCAGAACCCCTACGCCCAACAGCAGCAGCAGCCGCAGCAGCAGAGCTACGGATATGGCGGTGGTTACGGCCAGGCCGGAGCTATGGAGCAGGGAACCAGCGGCGGATATGGTGTGTCCTGCCTAGCTCCTTAATTTTTTTTACCTGGCGGCCTACTGACCACGCGCCTCCCCCCAAACAGAAATGGCCAACATCAACCAACCCTCCGCTGGCCCAACCGGAATCCTCAACAAATGCAAAGAAATCAACGACGGCGTGGCAGAGCTGAGCGCCAAGCGCCAGAACCAGCTCGGCGCCGCCCAGAACGCCCTCCTGGACTCGAGCACCGGCAAGGAAGACCAGGCTGCGCGCCAGACGCTCGACTATGTCGAGGATGAGATGAACACTGCCCTGCGCTACCTGCGCGACCAGTTCAAGCGCATCAAGGAGACTCCCGGGTCCGGCGACCCGCGCGTCCAGGGCCAGGTTGAGAACGTTAGCCGGAACCTGCGCCGTGAGATCGAGCAGTATCAGCGCTCGCAGTCGGACTTCCAGAAGAGGCTGCGCGAGCAGGTCCGTCGGCGGTATGAGATTGCCAATCCAGACGCAACCCCCGAGGAGCTGGAGCAGGGGGTGGAGAATGTGTTGATGGGCCAGGAGCAGAGCTTCGCTGTAAGTTTTGTTTCTGCAATGGCTTAGCTAGCGATTGTTGCTTATTGTCTGTGATAGATTTCCGGCGCCCGGTCGCGTCAAGCGCAGGATGCCAAAGCAGCCACTCTGCAGCGCTCGGCGGCCATCCGTAAGATTGAGCAGGACATGGTCGAGCTCAGCCGGCTGTACCAGGAGGTGGCTGAGCTGGTGCACCAGCAAGAACCGCAGGTCGAGCAGATCAACCAGAGCGCGCAGGATACACACGCCAATGTCGAGCAGGCCAATACCAAGCTCGACAGTGCCATCACAAGCGCCCGCAATGCCCGGCGGTGGAAGTGGTATGCCCTACTGACCATCATCATCATCATCATCATCATTGTGGTGATTGTTGTTGTTGTGAAAGAGGTCAGTTAAGAATTAGTTAAGTTGAGCAGTGCATGCTTGCTTTATCATCACTGGGCTAGATTACTGACTATATCGTGTTTAGGTCGAGAAATAATTTTCTTTTTCTGAACGACTTTTGGGTGGTTATCCGACTCGACTCAATTCCTTTCCTATGTCTCCGAATCCTCCCTCTCCTTTCCTCTCCGAATACTACCACCACCACCACCCACCGTCGCATTTTGCCTTGCCTGGCCTTGTCTATGCGCGCTTGCTGCAAAAACCGTTTTTATTTGTCTTGACCCTGTCTTTGTCACTTCCTTCTGATTCTCTTTTTTGTTCTATTTTCTACGTGTGTCTGTCTCGTGTACAGCTGCTCCGTGCTCATCATGATGAAAGTGTTGCCTTGGATGATTTCGCTGCCTTTACTATCTAGGGATATGAATGGGCTTTCCATCCCTCGGGGTAGCCGTGATGCCGTGGCGCATGGCATGTATATACTAGAGTGTTTGCCTTCTGTCTGTCTTTGCTTTCTGTCGCCGCCACCGCTGCCGCAGCAGTACCCCCCGACTCGATGTTTGGCGCTAGAATCTATGTAATCCGCCTAATAATCCATTCCTTTCTGCAAGATTCTTGTTTTCCCTGTGCTTATCTAACAAATATCTTGCCCTTTTGGGTGTTGTTGTTGGGTATATATCATTTGGAAAGACTATGATGACTTCTCCTGGTCCCGTTGCTCCTCCTCCGGCGTCCTCGTCTTAAGCTGCAGCGCGTGAAGTCCATTCTCGCGACTCATCTCCTCCTTGAACAGCGCGTAGACCATACGATGCCGCGCAGGCTGCGGCTTCGAGCGGAAGGCCTCGGAGGTGACGGTGACACTGTAGTTCATCAACAACCGATTAGTCTTTGTGATTTCAGAGAAGGATGAGCAGAGAAGGACGAACTGGAAGTGTGTCTCCCTCGACGTAGACCCCTGCATCGCGGCATGGTGCGCGTGCTTGTGCGAGTCGTTACGGATGATCAGTGTTGAGGGCGTGAAGGCGTGCGCGAGCTAAGTAAGATACTTCTGTCAGTGACGGGGCGGTTAGTTGTGGAGAAGGTGAGGAGAGGATACCTTGTCGCGCATGGCATCCTCCATGGGTGTGGCGGAAGCCATTCTCGTAGAGATGGAGAATAGGCGCGAGAGGCCTGGGGTGCGTAGCATTGGAGTGGGAGACAGAGCGTGGTGAGGGAGGGACGGAGGGAGAAAGTTTGGTTTCCGCGGAGGTTGGTCCGCCGTCTCTCATGACATCAACTTTCGGTTTATTCTTCTCGACACTCGATGCTCGACAACAATCAATTAATTATGACCCCCTGATTCTCCACCGCCATGTCCAGCCGCAGTCTCTCCGCGCTGGCGCGCTATTCTACCTCGCGCATCCGCCCCAACTCCATAGGTAGTACACGACCTGCCCGACTCCGACTCCGGCTCCTCTCAACGCTTCCCAATCTCCCGCTCTTCCGCGCCCTCCAGAGCCATGACCCGTCCAGTCTGGCTGTTGTCCACAGCATGTCATCCCGTTCCTTTACGTATGGCAGCCTGGTTGCCGACGTGGTGCGCGCGCGGAACGAACTGCAGCGGAAAGTCGAGAACGAAAGTGGTCACGGTCAATTAACGGGCGAGCGTGTTGCTTTTCTCGCGGAGAATAGCTATGATTACGTGGGTACTGTGTCTCTTCTTTTTGAGCTGCTATGTACCTTTTTAACATGGGGCCCTTGCTGATTGTTTGTTGCTTCTAGTGACGCTGCTGGCTATCCTTGCCAACGACGCCATTGCGCTTCCCTTGGCTCCCTCTTTCCCCACGGGGGAGCTGCAGTATATCCTTGACAACTCGCAGGCCAAAGTACTGCTTTCTACGGAGAAGTATGCCGACAAAGCGAGGGAGGTTCTCCGTGCGGGTCTGGACCGGGATCCCGTGTTTGAAATCCGGAACAAGATCCAGAAGGGCGCCGCGGGCGAGTCGGTTAATTTGGAAGATGCGAAGAAGCCGTCGTCTAGCGGGATTATGCTTTATACTTCGGGCACCACGGCTCGACCGGTATGTTTGCTGTCTGTAAATTTTAGGGGGATAGGGACTGCGCTGATACATGGACAGAAAGGCGTGCTGATTCCGGAATCCGCTCTAGCTGCGCAGGCCTCGTCACTTCTTGAGGCGTGGAAGTATTCCCCGCAGGATAGACTGCTTCATCTCCTGCCACTGCATCATATCCACGGGACGATAAATGCGCTGGTGGCGCCCCTCGTGGCCGGCTCGTGCATCGAGTTCATGTACCCGTTCAACGCAGACCAAGTGTGGTCGCGACTCGCTGCACCCTTCTTGCCATCCGACGACTCCGGCGGAAAGCAAAAGCACCCAATTACCTTTCTAACAGCCGTGCCGACAGTCTACAACCGGCTCATGAACGCATTCCCCAAGTTAACATCAGACCTCCAACAAGCAGCGAAGAAAGGCATTGCCCCAGAAAATCTCCGACTCAACATCTCAGGCTCTGCCGCACTCCCAACACCCACCAAAACAGCCTGGACAAAACTGAGCAGTGGCAACGTCCTCCTCGAGCGATTCGGCATGACTGAAGTAGGAATGGCGCTCAGCTGCGGGCTCGACCTTGCAGATCGCGTCGACGGCAGTGTGGGCTGGCCACTTCCAGGCGTGGAAGTCCGTCTCGTCGACACGGAGACGGAGCAGGTCATCCAACCAGGCGAAGAACTCGCTCCGGACGGCCGTGTGCGCGAGGGAGAGATTCAGCTGCGCGGGGCTACGCTGTTCAGTAGGTACTGGGCGAATGAGAAAGCGACGCATGAGGCCTTTGTTGCGAGCGACGATGGCGGAACGCAGTGGTTCAGAACTGGCGATGTGGCGACGAGGCACACCGTTGAGGGTGCCGGTGCCGGACGCAGCGGACCCTGGGCGAGGGGGCCAATGTATTTCATCCGCGGCCGGAAGAGCGTCGATATCATCAAGACGGGCGGCGAGAAAGTCAGCGCGCTGGAGGTGGAGCGGGAGTTGCTTTCTCTGTATGTTCTTCCCCTTCCTCCCTTCCCTCATTCATCTATCTACCTCCTTCTTCCCCTTCCCCATCTCTCTTGTCTTGTTTTATTCATGACAGTCCTAACAAACCAACTCCTGTCATCTCCATCCAGTCCCCAAATCAGTGAAACAGCAGTAGTAGCTCTCCCCTCCGAACAATGGGGTCAGAAAGTCGCCGCCATCGTCGTCCTGCACCCATCCGCGCAGACAGCCGGCCGACATGGAAAGCCCTGGGGCGCGATGGATATGCGGCGCGCCCTGCGTGATCGATTGGCGGCTTATAAGGTGCCGCAGGAGATGAAGGTTTTGGATTCTATTCCGAGGAATGCGATGGGAAAGGGTGAGTCTTTCATTCTCTCTTTTCCTTTCCATTTGATTGCTTTCACGTTAAAGAGCTTGACTATCGTGTGAAACGGACTAATACTCCAGCATCACAGTTAATAAGAAAGCGCTTGTGAAAGAGGTTTTTGGTGTTTGAGGTGTGGTTTCATTTTGGGATACTAAAAAAGGGATGACATAGAAGATTAGAATAATAGAGGGCGTTGGATGATATCGAGCTAGAATCTCTGCTCTGGATGGAGTGTGTATGATAGGTGAATCCAATTAAAACCTAAGTTCTGATTCCAACATCTACGCAGGTTGCTTCGTACAGCAAGTTAAGCAAATCTTGTGAAGAAACGGTTCTTTCTTTTCTTTTATACAGAGATATAATATAGTACAGTAGATCTACTCCAGATACAGAGATAGATAACATCACGCCCACTCGCCCGTCCTCTCATACGCCTTCACAAATCTCGTCGCCTCCATCTTAACCTCCAACGCCGCCATATCAACAGAGGTAATCTTAGCATCAACAACAGAAAAGACTGTCATGAATTCACGACCGGGGCACTCCTCCGGAATCGTAATCGAGCACCGAAGACCCAGATTGGCAATCACGCCTGCATACACGGTTCCCTCGCTCGGGGGTCTGCGGCGCGGGAGACGTAGCTGGCACGTGAAGGACTCGGGGAGGTCGCATTCAGCGAAGTAGAATGCACGGAAGAGGAGCATGCAGGCCCAGTGTTGATCGGAGAATTTCATTATGTTTCTGAGGCGGGTGTTTATCAGTTGGGAGGTGGCGAGGTGATTGGCTATGGAGGATTTGGAGAGGAGGCGAGAGGATGGGTCATTAGTCTCTTCGTGTTCATGTTCGGGGTCGGCAGCATCGAACTGGCGGCCGTGGTCGTATTCGAAACGCAGTGCTCGCTCGATCTGGAAGTGCGCGAGAACATCCGAGAATCGGCGCAGCGGACTCGTGCTCTTGAGGTAGGGGTTTAGACCGAGCGTGTGGTGGGGGAGGGGTGTGGGGGATGAGATGGCCTGTGGCATGGCGAAGCGATAGTAGTTCTGGCCAGTGAGCTCGCTGACATTCTCGCGCGTCAGTGGCAAGTACTCTGGGTCGTAGCGGGTGCCGTCGTAGATAGCGGGGATGTTGCGGGCAGCGCAGAAGGTGGCCGCGACGTGGCCGGCGAGATTCATGAGCAGCGAGATGAGGTCGTCCTTGGAACGGTCGGTGATTTCGAGGGGATCGACGCCGCGCCGGAACCGTAGACGGATGATCGGGTCGCCGAGCCAGTAGCGGCCTTGGTCGACTTGCATTTCGTAGGGCTGCATGGGCATGTTGCCCGCCTGCACGGAGACGGAGGAGTCTAGACGTGGGAAGATTTCCATGGCGCCGGACTTCTCGCGGTGACTGCGGAAGGCGAGCATGAGTTGGCGGAGGATGGTGAATGTTTCTTTATCTTCGGAGGAGAGAGTCTCGGTGAGGACCTTTCCTGCTGCGGGCGGCGGGGTGGCATACTCGCCGCCTACAGTGAGGTACTCGGAAGATTCCTTAGTATCAGGATTGAGGAAGTTGCGGAGGGTGTCGTGCGTCAAAGAGATGATATTTCGAACGGTACCATTCTTGATCTCCGTATCGAGGATTTCTCCCTGCAGATTCATCTTGGCACTGATCGTCAGGGTAGGCCGACCAGCCGCCAAGCTGAAGTGATCTTGCGACAAGGATGGAGGAAGCATGGGATACGTGCGTTCCGGGATGTAGGTGCTGGTGAGTCGCTCGGCGGCGTACCGCATGATTGGATCGTTAGGATGCATGAACGCCGTGGGGTTCGCGACGTGCACGCGCACCCAGAAGGTATCGTCAGACCCGGGGATTCGCTCCAAAGACACACCATCGTCGATTTCCTTTGTTGCCGCATCGTCCACACAGTAGACGGGCAGACCTCCCCAGTCTGTTCTCAGATCGTGCATGCGGTCTTTCAGAGTCGTTTTGCTGGCCATCTCCACCATCTCTTGCCATTTGGCCTCTGCTTTCTCCGACATCCCGTGTCCAGGGAGCAAGACGTTTTGATCCAGGATACTCATATTCTCCCACGGAGATACCACGCCCAGCTCCTGCAAAAAAAGACGGGTCGAGTCTTCACTCAGGCCGAGCTGATTGTACATTCCTGTGGAGCGCATAATGTGTGAACCCGTCGATTTCAGCGTTCCGGAAGCCATCGAAGCCGTCGGGATAGCGTGCAGCTGCAGAAACTGGATGATGGTCTGGTCATTTTCGTTAAAAGTTTCCGTGGGAACCTCGCGGTAGACCATCGGCTTCCCATCTTGGCCAGGAAAGAATTTCTGAGATGAAGGGCCCACGCTGAACATGACTGTGGGGGATCGAACTTTGCGGCTGAGTCGGATCACGCGTCGTGCCTTCTCGATGAACTGTTGCATAGGATGGCGTTTCAAGCCAACAGGACTTTTGCCCGTGATGAGCTCCATGCAGTATTGCTGGTGCTCGTGGACCCAGGTAGTGATTTGTGTAATCATTTCGGCGATTCGCTTCGGTTGGATCAGGTACATGGGATTGAACAAGGAAGCCGAGTCTCTTTCGATGATAAACGGATAACGTCGCACAGCCTGATGAATTGCAAATAGCTTCACACTGTCTAGCTCTGATTTATCCAGATCAAGAACTTCACTGGCTAATTCTTCGAGCGACAGGCGACGAAACTCTTTATCATCAGCCAGGTAATCAGGCAGATTATCCAAAACCTTGGCGTTATCCCGATAGAAATCGAGGATTTTACCCCCAAACTCGGTCATCATCTTCAGGAGAGGCGCTCCGAGAGGTCTCGGTACTCCACCCTCTGGAACAGACTGGACCACCGGGTTCGTCAGGGCTTCGCGGTCTGGGAAATAAGGCAGAAGGGGCCGAAGCAACTCCGGGGGCGCGAATCGCTTGACCACAAAATCCAATTCCCTAAAGGAAGAGAGGCGCCAATTACCGCGATCTGTGTAGAATTGGCTCTGCTTGTGGACGGACTGCACATAGATGGAATAACTGAACACACCGGTGGCTCTTGATAGGATTAGCGGAGGCTATGAATGACAGAAGCTCCAAAACTCACGAGAGGCGAACAGCCAGATCCCCCGGTTCCAAATAATGGCTGTCCGAGTACTCCGAGGGGTCCAGATCATGGTTCTCGGTCAGGTTGTTCCCCCATGGTTCATCGGAGGCTCCTCTGCCGTTGAGCATTGTGCCAACCCACGGATCTGCGGAGTGTGGATCTCTCACAGGGTCGAGTATATTCGGATTGATCTGCTGCCATTTTTGCAGGTAGCTTCGGATATCTCGGTTTTCTTCGAACTCGGCTTTCAAGCGAATGTCTTCCGCGGAGATACTGGAGAGCGACGGGTCCGGCACGGGAGACTGGCACGGTCAGCTTGAAGGAACGGTAAAAAACCAATTTTGCCTTACATACTTTGGCATGAACTGGTTCTTCCGAGACTGGCTCGGGCTGGTTGGTAGCTGTTGACAACGAGTGCCAACTCCCAGCAACGTTGGGGAGGCGAGTGGCTCTAAAAGACGAGACGGAAGCATGCCTCTGTCTCAGGGCACAGCGGAGGCATAGCTGGTTCACATCAGCTAGCTGTCGCAACGATGCTGCCCTGAGTAGCATCGTGATTGTGATGAAGAACGAGTTGATGCCAGTTCGCGTCGCCAGAAAATGCGCATTCTGCCTGCCACTCCCTGACCGCCCTGGGCGGTAGACAGGTCATGTGACACCGTGTTCAAAAAGCGTCAACAGAAAAGTAAACACGAAGTATAATTACCCCGATATTAATTGCAATTGTTCTTTCAAGAATTTTTTTCAGTCCTCTTTACTCTCATATTGGCAATTCGCAGGCGTATTGTAGTTATTATAACTATTTGACCAATCCAGAGGCCCAGAACAACCCTGTTAGCTGTCAGTGCCAAGGACACACCCTTGTCCTGGGACGAACCCATCCGAGCCGACCAGTTGCGCCCATCTGCGTCCGGGATCTTGAGGCAAGAAATGCTTGGTACATATCTACATATCCCTAGTCCATGAAAGTGTACCCCGGAGAATTTGACGATAACTAATCCTTGCAGCTCCGGACTAAAATGCATTGCAGTCTACAATTTGGCTGAAATTACTGACTTAAGGATCAACAGCTCCACAGCTCGGATTATCCGTGGAAACCATGATCCGAGGGTCGTGAGGAATAAAACACTTCAACCAAAGAATATTCGTGGGGTTCTATCGACGACGTATCGCTTCGTATCCCCATCCTCGGCAGGGTCCATCTCGGCTCGCGGGAAGGCCTTGATTTCATGTGATGCCCATCCCATGCGCTGCATCTTTCTGGTGGTTCGATAGCGTGATGCGCATGCCGATCCTCCATATAGCGGCCTGCCAGGAAACCGGCGAGGCGCCGAATATCATTCCCCCTATTGTCTAAGCGAGCTCTGGCCCGAGCTTTGATGGCGGTCTGAACGATAACCCTACCCCATACAGACACCATCTTGGAACCCGTTCAGGGGACCCATCATATTATCCCCCCGCACGTTCCACCAGACACCCTAACTAACTCCAATCCTGGGCACTGTTTGCATTGTCGATCCTACGCCGCGACCAGACATCGCTTCGCTCTGTTAACGGTAGTGATGTGGCATATTTTGGCCAAGAGTCCTATTGAGCAGCAGAAAGGAGGGAATTGACCTGGGGCAAAGTCGCCTGTCTCCTTCGAAACCCCTTGTACATCTAGCTGCATGTCCATTCTAAACCACTATTGCAAATAAGTCTATTCCCTAAGCTGGACTACCAGTCCCCGAGCTAGGCTTTCTCTCCTATCACAAACGCCATGTACCTGATTCCGATTTGGGCGATAGGATGTGGCCGGATCGGCATGTTAGTACTCTCGGTTATGCAGCTGCAGCGCTGGCCGCGGGCTCACTTCCTGATCTGATAGCGGAGCCAAGGATCCCGAGGTCAGCCCATGTGCCTGGCTTGAAGAACTGAGCTCCAGCCGATGGATGACTCTTGTTCATCCCTCCGCGTTTTCAATGCCTTCGATTCGCCGGTATCCTGCGGAGGAGAGTTCCAAGTACTACACCTACACGGGAAATTGCGTCAGTTAGTCCTGCCCTCAGACCGGTAACTAGTAGGCGTGTGATGCCCACATTGCGGAATATTTTCTCCTTCGCCGACAATTAGGATCCACTAGTTAACTATCCCAAGGGGGGTCCACTGACTCGAAGGATAACCTCCGAGTCTCGGCTCGGGTGTTGTTCATGAGGTTGACTATATAGACTAACTACTCGCGCTCTTTTTTTATGTGCGAGTGTCGAGCCGCTTTAATTTCACACCGGGCCTTTATTATCTTTTTATCTTCTTCTTCTTTCTTTGTATATATATACAATTGCGAATAGCTGCGCGCTCCTTCCAACATGACTATCATTCCCGGATGGCGCGCTCTGGCGCTGTCTCTGGCAGCTCTTGCCCCGGCAGCAATGGCAGACATCTGTTCGACACTTCAACAGGCAAACATCGATGTCGAGTACCCATTGTCGCTGACCTACAACTACGACCTGACCCAGTACTGGTCCGCCGCATGCAGTGCTCTTCGGCCGACATGTATTGCCGCTCCCTCCAGTGCTGCGGAGATGTCGCAGATTATCACGGAGCTGCACAAAGTCGAGACCCTGTTTGCCGTCAAGTCCGGTGGCCACAACCCGAACAATGGGTGGGCCAGTATCGAGAACGGCCTGCTGATTTCCACCAAGAACCTGAACCAGGTGAATTATAACGAGGAGGACCAGACCGCTGTCATTGGTCCTGGTCTTTCATGGGAAGAGGCCCAGGCGGGCCTGGATGGAACTGGTCAGGCCGTTGTTGGAGGCCGGCTTGGGGGCGTGGGTGTTGGAGGATATATGCTTGGATGTATGTTCTTCTTGGAGGCTGGTAGCGTATTTCGTCTAACGAAGATCAGGTGGAATGAGCTTCTTGAGCACCCAGTACGGCTGGGCCGCCAACAACGTGGTCAACTACGAAGTGGTTCTGGCCAATGGTACTATCGTGAATGCTAACGAAGACGAGAACAACGGTAAAGAGCTTCGCACGCAGCTTCTTGTGCAAGATACTAATCCTTTATAGATCTCTTCGCTGCTCTGAAGGGAGGCGGCAACAACTTCGGCGTGGTGACAGCGTACACGATGCGAACGCACCCTGTGGGCAAGGTGTGGGGTGGCAATTACATTTTCACGGCCGACAAGACGCCACAGATTCTTGCTGCCCTGCGCAACTTTGTGGCCGACTACCCGGATGACAAGGCGGCCATTATCCTGACCAGCGAACATGGCGCTGTCATCGACCTCTGGATCATGTTCCTTTTCTACGATGGGCCTGAACCCCCGGCGGGAGTCTTTGACGAGTTCTCGGCCATTGACCATACCTCTACCGCGAAGACGTGGGATAGCTACTACGACTTGCTGAAGAACAATGACTTCTTTATTCTGCAGTATGTACCTACCATCATTCTCAAGGGCGTGACTGACATGCGGCACAGTGGACAACGCTACACCATCGCCACGGAGACGACACCAGTGCCAGACAACTCTAGTGTGTTACAGGAGTACTATGACCACTGGTTCCAGGTCACCGAGTCTGTGCTGGACGTGACGGGCGTTTTAGGCTCGATTGCCTTCCAGCCCGTCCCGAAGTCATTCAGCCAAAAGGCCAAGGCAAACGGCGGCGTAAGACCATCCACTCTTTTCTAAAATGAAACACCATTAACGCAATAACAGGACCTCCTCGACGTCCCAACGGACACGAACTACATTTTCATGGAACTGGACTTCTCGTACGCGCTCTCCCTCGACGACGACACAATCGACCAAGCCAACCAGAACCTCTATGGGGGAATGAATACTATCGTACAGAAGAACATCGACCAGGGTGCGCTGCCAGATGTGTACCGGCCTCTGTTCATGAATGACGCCTACTACCGCCAGGATTACTGGAGTCGCATCAAGCCGGAGTCGCACCAATTCGCGCTGGAGACGCGATTGCGCTATGACCCGGATGGATTCTTCCAGACCCGGACCAGTGGTGGATGGAGATTGCCAGCCCAGTAATGATGGGATGTTTCTATCTTATAATAGTCAATAGTCCGATAATTATAATTGATGGTGACTTAATGAAAGGAAGATATTAATATCAAGTTCTAGCCAAGTCCTTTGCGAGTAGGCCTTGAAACCCTTTCGCACGAATTGACCTATCGGGGCGCATCGCCTTGAAGATATATTTAAAACCGACCAAGGATCGTCGATTTCTATTATTATAGGACACACAGAATCGGAGAATAGACCCCCAACCGCTGGGACTGGAACCGGCTGGCAATAAACAACGGACTGGAGACTAGACCGGGGCTGAAACACGATCTACCCTGCAGATGTAGTTACAGGAAGGGCCAGGGGTAATTAAACAGCCGCCTGCGTCAGAAATGTAGGCGCCGGCACAGCGGGTGGCTCAGAAGGGCTCGGAACCCATTAGGGTTCTCCCCCACGCGCCCGGGTGGATCTGCGCAATCAAGACCCAGCCACGAGCTAGAGAGCTTAGGAGCTTGGGGTCTGAATGGTACCTGATTTGGAGCTTGGTTATTTATTTCTACATTATTTATTTGTTTGAGAGAGTGAGTGGACATGATCTCATTTGTTCTGGTGCGGCGGCTGCTTTTAGACATTCTCTGACAGGAATAAACAAATGCCAGGAGTCTAGGCTCTTGATACTAAATCTGTCTGCCGGTTAGATCGATCTGGGCTTCTTTGTTGGAGCGGAGGGTATAAAAAGCAGGCTGGACTTCGTTGAAGATAGACCTTTCCTTTAGCAAATCCAATCGCTAGAAAGACAAAGACACCCACACTCCCTTTGTTCATATTTCCTTGCATTTTATCTTTTATCCAGTCTCTCCTTTATATTCACCGGGTTACTCCGACTGTTAAGTCGTCGACGACATCTACATCAATTCCAGATTAATTACACACACTCATTGCACGTCTTCATACGAAATGGCTCGTTACGGCTCCTTGGGCGCTACCTTCCAACTCGCGCGCCTCTTCCAGGCATGCTCACTGATCGCTATCATCGGGATGACGGCCAAATTCATTTCATCCATTGTGTCGAGCAACGACACGCCTCCGAATGTGCTGATTGGGACCATCAGCGTGGTATGTACCCCCTCCTCCCTCCCTCCCTTCTTCAATACAAAAACGAGAGCCACCCAACGAATCTAATCGATCCCTAAAATAAAAAGACCAGCATCGCAGTCCTATACTGCCTCATAACCTCCATTCTCTTCTTAGACGACATCCTCCCCTTCCTCGCCTGCTCCGCCCTCGATTTTTTGTTACTGATCGCCCTCGTCGTCGTGGCGGTGGTACTGGGCAAACCGCTCTCCTACCTCAAGTGCAGCACGCTAGCGAGCCTGAACGATAAGGATGCGACAGCGTATGCGTTCTCCTCGCATCTATCCAGCGAGCTGGCTAGCCTGAGCGGGAAGATCGATTATCAGGCGTGGATTGGAGCGAGTAAGCCGATTTGTTATGAGACGAAGGCTATTTGGGGGTTGAGTATTGCTCTCTGGTGAGTTTTTTTCTTTCTTTTTCTTGAATACAGCATTCTGGTGTTCCTAGCTGAGTGGAAGTTTGCTAATATTGATGATTAGCGTCCTGTTCCTATTTTCTGCGCTTTGCAGTGTTTGTCTATGGAGACAGAAGATTGCTCTTGCGAAGGAGTAAGTCATGGGGTTGGTTTTGTAGGTGGACTCTGCAGAGCAGAGTAGGCACAAACAAGCATAAGCACAAGGAGGGCGGGAGGATAAAATGGGCATGATGAGGTATTTGGCAAATTTGTTTTGAGTACGGGTTTTCTGTTTCTATTATATACGGCAGCGAGGGCATTAATGGTTCTATGTTCGCATTATTGTGATTATTATACTGTTCAAGTATCCAAAATGACTAGTTACCAACCATCAACAAAAAGACTCAAGCATATATATTCCAATAAGACTTACTCAAAAGACCAAAAAAAAAAATCAACCCGAACTAACAGGCGGAATAATAGCAACTTCCTGGCGGCTCAGAATAACGATCTCCTTATCAGCCTCAATATCAACGTACTCCCCCTCCACACTGACGCCACAGCTGCGGAGGACTTTCTCGGTTATCCCGGGGTAGCGCTCCTCTAGTAGTGGGAAGAGAGCGGACAGTGATAGTGGAGCAGGGAGAGACTCTGTGTTTTTGGAGGTGTATTGGGATGCTGTTGCGAAGTAGTGGATGGTGAATGTTTCTGTCTGTGTCCCTGTCCCACTCGTGGGATCGGGACCGATGTTTGGGTTGGATGGCGTGGACATGTTTGCAAAGTAATGTGAGAGCGGTATTGGATTGTATTATTTATTGAAATGAGTTGAAGTGAACTGAATTGAATAGAGGTTGATTGAGGAAGAAGTTAAAGTTGAGGTTCAGCTGGATTTCTCAAAAAATGCGGGGTCCGGAAACCTCCGATTTAGATACAACACGCCACTAACCAACCCATAAGCTAAATATGCCAGCCAGCCATCCTATTCATAAGGAAAAGAGAGAGAAAAAACGGCAACCATCTAGCTAGGTACAATACAACCACACCACACAACACAACACAATCAAGCCAACTCGCGGAACGCACGGCTCAGATCCGCCTTGAGATCCTCCCAATTCTCCAACCCGATACTAACGCGCAGCAAACGGCGATCGACCGTGGTATCCGACATAGTGCGCCACTCAATCAGGGATTCCACGCCACCGAGCGAAGTAGCATGCTGGAAGAAATGCAATTTACTCGGCAGGTTACGCGCGAAGATCTCCTCTTTCATCTGGATGGAGAAGACAGGACCGAAGCCATTGGGCATTTGGTTCTTGAGCCAGTCGCCCTCGACCCGTTGCAGACTTGCGTGGAAGATTTCGCCCAGCACGGCTTGCACGGCAGCTTCGTCGCTCCCTGGGGCAGGGTTGGAGGCTCGCAGGGCGGAGTCGAGCCAGGAGACGAGACGGGTTGCGTTGTCGCTTTGGCGTTGGACGCGAATTTCGAGGGTGCGGAGGCTGCGGACGCCGAGCCAGCTTTCCATGTTGCCCATTACGCTGCCGATGAAGAGTCTGTCTAGGTGGAGTTGCTTGGCCCAGTCCTCGCGCTGGGTGACTAGCACGCCGCACAGGACGTCGCTGTGTCCGCCGAAATATTTCGATCCGGAATGCATAACTAGATCGGAGCCATGCTTGAACGGATCCTGGAGGCCTGGCGGCGCAAACGTGCTGTCGACGATCAGGTAGGCGCCGCGCGAATGTGCCTTCTCCGCGTAGGCGGCGATGTCGAACGCGATGCCTTGGGGGTTGACCGGTGTCTCAAGGAGGATGACGTCGCCGGCTTCCAATTGTTCCGCAGGACAGTCCAGATCGAGTTTCTTCAGTCCGGTCAGACGAGTGAACAAGCCGATCACTCCGTGGCAGCCGTGGTAGCCATCACCGATGGCAATGCGGCGTGGATTGAGCAGAGTCAAGGCGGCGTGCAGAGCAGAGAGGCCGGACGAGTAGCTGAGGGCTTTGCCATTACAGAGGGAGGAGAGGATAGTTTCAAAGCGAGTGAAATTGGGTGCGGTGAACCGGGAGTAAACGTGAGAGGTAGGCTTGGGGTTTTCGAACTACATTTGTATTCGCCATTAGAAAGGGGGAGCCAGAGAGCAAGACCGGACGTCAATTCATACGGTGGAAACATCTGCAGCCGGCATCAGATCCTCCGGGTTGTCAGAGTACCGGAAGGTGGTGGATAGGTGCAACGGAGGAGCGACATCGGTGACGACGTTAAGCACGTCGTCAGCATGGAGCGAGCGCGTGGCGGCGCCAATGGCCTCGCTAGAATGCGACATGGTAGGAGAATGGAATATGCTATGTAGGAAGGGGTTGTAATTGTTGTATGCACAGGGAAAGAGTCGGAGTAGGAGTAAGTAGGTACTGATACAGGCCATCGAGTCCTGAGGGGTCTGGTGGGGGGATGGGCCTCACGTGATTTGCCGGAAATCACGTTATCAGCGCCGCAGAGAACCCATGCGGGAAGCCTCACGCACGGAGCCGGGTAGGGCATCTTTGAAGCGGCTGCGGTCTGAACAGTCAGTTAGAGAGAGAATTTACCGGTGTATGCCAGATGGAAAACTCACCAGTCTCCGAATCGAACGCAATGGTTATATCGTCATGTTCGATTGGATACTCGGGCATGTCCAGACACACAAAGTCGGATGCCGGGTCAGGGTCCGTCTTAGGCAGCGCAAACTTGCAATCGACAATGCGGATGCCGAATCTGCTGGACCGGGAGAAGGACTCCATCAAGTCGGTGCCCTTGAGCACAAAGTTCATGCACGTCCCGTGCTGGAAATCCGAGAAGAAGGCCAGCATCTGTGTAAGATTCTCCTGCTGGACGATCTGAACGCGAGTCAGATTGGCTTCCCATTTCTTGTAGATTGGGACCATGCTGCGTCGGCGGGATATAATGAAGGAGGAGGCGACCCTGATCCGTCAGCGCCAAGAATTGAAAAGGATTGAACATCAACACTTACCCATCGTAAAGGACCTGGAAGCCAGTCACGGCGGCTTCGAATGCATGGAGATCTGAACAAAATCAGCAATGAAATGGCACCCACCCCAAAAGAGCTTACCCTTCACCGAGCCAAAGTCAAAGCGGCGGATCATTGGCTTCGCAGTGAGCTTCTCCAGGAACGCCGACAACTGATCCGGCAGTTCGGGGCGAATCAGGTTGTCGGCCAGCGACAGAGTCAGATCTTGCTGTGCGGGCCGAAACAGGCTCATGCTGGTTTTGCGAGAGACATCCAGGCTCAACTTCAATTCACCAGGCCCTGGGAATTGCGTTAGCAGATAACAAGGAATATAAACGAAAGTAATCCCACCTAGATTGATACGATCGGTGACCGACCCCCATTCGGTAGCAACAAAAGCTCTCAAATGCTCCGACAGAATCGTAGGCCCATACCCATGCTCTACAAAGTTATGCTGCTGGTCGATCACAAACACGTTGCCGGCAGGGAACTTGAGATAAGTGACCGGCGGCAAACCGGTAGCTTTATCCCCAGGCTGTTCGATTGAATATCCCCGGGTGGGGATTTCCGATGTCTTGGTTTCCCCGTCTCGAGGAGACATGCCAAGTAGCAAAGAATGCATCCGGGTGCGCTCTTCCACCTCATGGAAGGTCATCAACATGGACCGCATGCGTCCATCCTCGGTAACCTTGAGCAGCAGAGCCGGAGCTCCATTCTCGCCCCTCAAAAGACCAAACACAACAGGCGTGCCATTCCCCATAATGTGACGCACGCAACTCAGCGTCTTCACTTTGGGGCTTGTCAACACAACAAGCCGGAAGCCCTGGTGCACATTGCGCGTCCCTGTGCCCTCGGTCACTCTCATCGACCGCTCAAACAAACGCATTCGACATCGCTCTAATGGCTCCGAGGGAAAGGCTTTGGGCGTGCCTGGGTCCATGTAATGGAAGACCTTGAGAGTACTCTCAAAAACCAGACTCTCTCCGGATTCCGGTTGGAGACTGGCTTCCGACTTGCGGGTATATTTGACAATATTCCACAACGTCTTGAAATCATCCTCTTTAAACATCACATCCAGCTCGAATCCTCGCGGGAGCTTGACCCGCATGGTATGCGCCCGCACTTGCCAGTCCACATCATCCCATGTAGGTCCTTGTTTGCGGTCGGATTGGATCATGATATTGACGAGTTGACTCTGGCTCGTGATGGCAGCGTGCACGTACCAATCTGACCGTTCTCGAATGATGGTCAATGCGCAGGGCATGGCGTATTGCTGGCCTTCATCGTCGGTGGAGCTAATGCACACCTGCACAAACATACTACCGTAGGTGAAGAACCGGTTCGTGTCTCCCATCGGCATCATGTGGATCATATTAGGTGCCCTGCCTGAGTGGTCCACCAACATCGATCTTGACACAGAACCAGACAGCACCACGGAGACATCGGGCGCAAAGAACGGGTATCGCAGCCACACCGTAGTATCCAGCTGATTGGTCGAGTCGACGTCCGACACGATGATTGAAAGAATGTTGTTGCGTTTGATGGACATGGACAGCGACCGGAGATGGCTGATGCAGGTCTGATGTAAACTGAGGAGATCGGCCATGTCCTGGTCGCCTGTGGTGGTGACGACTCCCATGAGCGCGTCCACACTCATTGAATCACCGTATCGGGCGAGTTCATAATGTGTCGGTAGGATATTCTCGTTAATCCACAATGCTTTACCAAGATCCACCACGGCTTGCTTAGCGTAACTCGGAGGGCAGTTTGATCGAGCGCGGGCATACGTTTCCAGTCGTGTTTTGCCTCGCAAGAACCACCACACCGCCGCGCGAACCCATTCTGCCAAAGAGGTTTCCATCAACGGCTTGACGCTCTCAGCGGCCAGCCGGAGAAGACTGTCATAGTGAGACATGTAATCCTTGAACTCGGTAAATGCAACGTCGCCCAACTGATTGGCAACTCCCTTCAAGGTATACTTGGGAGGCTGAGGACTGCGGGACGGCTCCCGGTTCTCTCGGCTAGATGGTTGAGGCATTTGGGGCTGTTCATGAGCCGGCACTTTTGGAGGAGGCGAGGTGTGTATCTCAGGAGGGCTTCCAGCCATGAGGTGAGGCGGTAGTCGTGGCTCAGTCGGGCTGAAATTGATGGGCTGGCGGTGAACCGCGGGAGTAGCAGGATGGCGAATGGATTGGATGGCCGACTTGACAGATGGAGCGCCAGCGTTTGTTCCTGCCATTGAGAGTGGGGGTGTTTCATAGTCTGACTCCTCAGGACTGCTCCGGGGCAGGTCCGAGGGCAGCTCCGGGGGTAGGTCCGAGGGCAGCTCCGGGGGCAGTTCAGGACTGGGATAGTCAGAGTCGTCATTGTCATCGTCCGGGATGTCTTCATCATCGAAACGATGTTGTAGCGCGAGGCCTTCCTCGGCTTGCATCTTGTCCCGTACACGCTCCGCAAAGGAATGTGATTCCCCTCGGAAGGACAAACGCGAACCGGAATCGCTCTCAGACAGCGTGTTGAGGAACTCCGCGTCACGAGGGTTGTGCATCAGCGGCGGTTTCCAGTCCTGGATATTGGCCCCGTCGTCCTGGCCCTTGGAGTAGGCTTTGTATTGAGATTTGACTTCACCATCGGCCAGCGAGGTGTTGACACGAAGATTCGGTACATTACCCCGCGATGGGGACGGCTCCTGTGAGGGGGCCACATTGCCCGGGCTCAGAGCACCCCGACTGCGCGATCGTTGCCGAGACCTGGAGATTTCGATTGTTGGCGCTTCTGCCTCATCACCTCCCTCCCCAATCACATCGGGGGTTTGATTCGAGAAACCCACCCGGAGTCCCTTGCGGCCGCGGGGTTTGCGAGGGGGAGGGGGTTCATCCGAGAAGTTGAAACTCGTGTAGTTCTCGTTGACCGACGGAACAATAGGGGGTGGAGGCACGCGCGAGACGTCCTGTGCGGAGGGAATCCGGTGTGCTGTTGTGATCGTCGGCGGAGGAAGGCCTCTGGGATCGAAGTTGGGGGGTGGAAAGGCATCTGTGTTGGGACGTGTCGAGCCTAGGAAGGCTTCAATCTGCTGGTCAGGTGTTGAGCGGTTCTTGTCCTTGTTGAACAGCTTGTCCTTCCATAGCGACTTCTTAGCTGGTTTGCGCTGTCCCTGCTCGGCAGCAATAAAAGCAAACGGGTCATCGGCAGGCATGTCGGCAGGTAATGGGATCCAGAGGCCAGGCAAGTTCTGTCAACATCGCACGCCCGGCGCCCAAGTCACAAACCAGGGAGCCAGTCCTTATCGGCCTCCGCGTGGAGTCCCCCTCCCCGAAGTGGGTGGTGATAATGTATCGCTCAAGATGCGCCTCCGATCGACAGGGGCTGGGGAGGGGCGATAGGTGATGGAGGTGCCAGACCAGACGGTATCACAGTGTGGGGGGGGAGGATAAAGGGGGAGGGGGGGAGGGTAACCGACGTGGGCTGAGCGAACGAGGGAGATTATTGTGTGGGTGGAATTGGCAAGCCCGCACGGCAGGGGAGAGAGGAGGGGCTTTGGCGATCGCAGCGCCCGTGCATGCGCTGGTGTTGCTGTTGGGAAGGGAGGAGGAGGGATAGGAGGAAGAAAAGGTGATGTCAAGGGAATAATGGTTAGTTAGAGCAGAGAAGAGGAGTGGTTCCTCAGGCAGCGAGGAAGATCCCTAACGAAGCTGGACCAGCAGCGATACCTGGGGGATGTGGATCAAGGGAGGAATGAGAGTGACTCCGCAGGTACGACGCCTCCCGTGGTGGAGAGGTGCCAGAGCAGGTCACTCTGAAGTCACTCTGACTCCTATACTCGACTACATATCATTGAATCTTTATGATCGGTAATTGTTCTAGTGAGTCGTTGCTCTTTAGTATCAGCACGAGGCGAGATACCATAAAAACCAGGGCGTCTCAGCATGAAACGCAACTAGTCCCAGCCGGGCTGGGAGTGGACCGCACTGCGGCAGCTACCACTGACGAACTAATTGTATTCAACTGCCCGGCTTGCCCCTTTTGTCCTTCCCGCAAGGCATGGAGGTGCAGGCCGTCGACATCCTTGCTGCGGCAGTTGTTCTAATTTGCCGATCAGATGTATGCACCTCTATATCGACTGCTCGATCATGTCCCCGATATTTAATATTGAACAGATGAACATGTTCGTTCCTGGGACGACAGTCCAAGGTTCGGGTGGACCCCAAGGTTGCACCACAACCAGCGAATAACAATCTCCACCAGGTAGAGAATAGGCAAAATCTCCGGTCATCATCATCTCCTTGCGTCGACACAAGTACTCGTGCTCATCCTGACAGGCAGCATTCTTGTAGTAATGCACCGTAGAGAACCGGAGTAACCCGGATCATCCTAGCCGGGATGTTCGCCGCAGATCGACACTGATCGCGATTGATCGTCATAAGCTACCATTGCTTATATCGAGTTTCCTACCATGTATGTCGTCGGGGAAAGCAGTAGTAGGAATACCGCAGGGGCCAAAATAGGTCATCACCCAGTCACAACTTACCTCACAACTGCCCTCATATACAAACTTGACAATCTGTACATACAGCGAATATAGCATCACTAAGATTGAAGAACACCTAACCAAGCTATGTAGTTATACCACAAGTTGGAAACCAAGCCGCTCCTTAATTATTGCACGAGCCTTATTCGCCGCGTTTCTCTGCCAGCCTAATGAAATATGAGATGTTGCGATAGTTCTTAAGGATCCGTAAATCATGACTGCGTCTGCCCATCCGAGATTGAAATTGCTACCGATACCTTGTCGCATGTCCTGCGCGTGTAAGATCCTCGTAGCTGTGGCGCGAAAAGTTGCAATGCAGTGTTCTTGCATCGCGGTGGAATGAATGTGCTGCTGATGTGAACAGTCTTCTTGGCAGACACGAAGTAGAAAAGTTAAAACGCTCGCCGAGAGATGCATTTGGAAATTTCCTTGATATGCATGCACTCCGATAGACGATCTGGAGTGCTGAGTTGAATTATATGAAGAACTCCAAGTGTTCTCCGTCTCGTCCATCTGTTGCAATATGGACGAGTAAGCGGCCAACACCAAGTCCGAATTCCCAACTAACACCTTTCGAATCTGACTGCAAAGGCGGGTGCAGTAGTAGGCAAAGACACATGCTTGAATCATGATACACTCGGATGGCTTCAAATACTGGCAGAGTTTGTAGATCCAGCTCATCACTTCTGTAGGAGACTCCCGGCCGGCGATAAGTGCTTTGGCTTGCTAGTTTCGTTGGTCAGAATCGTCGACTATAAAACCTCGGGGCCAGGAGGTCCTACAGTGCAATAACAGACAAACCAGACGAGATTCCGTCCATCATCTCTGGTGAACTGCTCCGGATCCCGGAGGTCAATCAAAGAGGCCATGCCTCGACAGTGGCGGTTTCCCTCCTCTGATCCTGCAGTAGATGTGAGATGGGGATTCGATAGGAACGTTGGGTCAGTTAGTCCTCTCGTCTATAATTTCGCACTGATGTGTCACTTTTACCTCGTACACCACGAACATCCAAATCGCCAACAATGTGCTGTCATTCCTGTATTGACCGGGCTCACCTAGAGCCACATTGACGACCCTAAGTGCGGTCCCATACGCCCGGGTTCTGTTGGCAATTGCATCTGCCGACCCGCTCATACTCGCTAAATATGCACATGCAATGGCATCACAAACCGCATAGACCGGAGACCCTTCTTGCGTGCTGGTTATGAGGCGTGGAATGGTAGCGAACAGGCTGCTGTCTCTGCTAGTATCCACAACCTTGACGGAGAACTTGCCTAGGACCAAAGGAATCACATGGTGGCTCCACACCTGAGAGGGCTCGTATATGATTTGGACAGATGGTATGTCGCCGTCTTCGGCAGAGTCCGCTTGGATCATTGGCGGATCGTGATAGCGCACTTTCTGATGAAGGCTCGGGTGAAACGACGACATGTTGGTAAGGCGGAAACGCATGCTGACCTCATCTCGATAGCCTGAACAGGATTTTCCTGCTCGTAGACATTGACTACAGGACGGACGTGCAAGATCACACTGGAACTAGGTTGATAACTGGACATAATGCATATCCCAAGACCACCCGTACCTTGATACGTCGCCGTCGACAAGAATAGCAATTTCGGCTATATTTACCGGTATTCGGCATTTGATTTGCGTTTGGCCTCACTTGATCCCACGAGGGTGGTATGCTAAACTCTAGATGGAGCTCCGGAGGGGTCGAAAAATTGGTCGCGTCAGCTCAGTTCAGCTTGGGCCCTTTTGGGAAATTGATTCGCCCAGCCAATAGCAGCTGCAGCCCCGATCATTAGCCAGTATAGCCGCTCGCCCACCGTCATATGTATAAATACTATGGTAGTATCTGTCCACTCGCTCAAGGCCTCTGCTTTCTTTTTTTATTTTTCATTCTTGCAATCATAAATTGATCTCAGCTATTAATATGGCATCTTTACCGGTTATTGCTTGCGGCACCGCCAACCCACAGGTTTTCAACGCTGTCAAACCTCTCTACCTACCCGAGTACGAAAGTAAGGAAAAGCACAGGACAACTCCTTGTTTGCTTAAGACTAATATCGTCCGTAGTTATACACAATGTCACCGGCAGCGCCTCCGGAGCAGTCGAAATACCCTTCTTGCTGCAGGGGCAGGCCCCTCCTGTTGCAGAAGAGCCCAATCGCGGCACTATGAACTATTCCAAACCGCCCGTGGCTGTGTTTTTAGGGGCTATGTACGGTGATAAGGAATTCGAAGAGATGCGTCAGGCGTGCCGCGGGCTTAGCTCAGTCCCTTGGTTGAGGATGGATATGGCTGTGCCGAAACCGCCGCTGGGACCGGGGTATGCGGAGCATGTCGTGCAGAGGATCAAAGCATGCATGAAGAATATTGAAGCTGAGGGAAAGCTGGAGCAAGATGGCGTGTGGTTTTATTGACAACTGCTGGTATCATGTGATTAGGATGTGAACAAGAAAGGATCTCAATGTACTAGGTATGCGTCCGACGTGGAAGGCAATAATTGTCGTCACTGTAGGCATGTCTATCCATATAATATACATCAAGAGAGGGGATTAGTTAACAATTTGCTATTGTAACAACGAGACGAATTATGGACAGTTCCATCCCCCCCTCTTGATCCTGGCCGGCCGGATTAGACGCTAAGAACTGGCCACTGGCTGGGATCCGAGTGTTGGATCTGATGCGTAGCGTGCCCTCGCCGGACCGATCATCTCGATATTTGTCCTGCTCGGTGCGGACGCCTTGCGGGCGTCATCGTAGAATATCCCTGAGACGACATGCTAATGTTCTATATGCAGATGGGGAAGAGGGCGAGAATGTCGAGAGGAAGCCCAAATTCCGAGCATTCTCGAGGATGCGGACCTCATTCTCGACGGATTTCGGCCCGGCGCGCTGATGCGGCTCGGGTTTGGTCAGCGCATGGTGCATGAGATTGTCCGGCGGCGCAGTAGGGGCATTGTGATGCACGCGAGAACACCAATAGGTGGTGCGGAGGGTGGCACGAACGTTGTGGGCAGCAGCAGATAGGCAATCATGTTAAGTAGGTTAGTACTTGAAGACATGAGCTATCGCTGATGAAAACAAAAGTAGGTGACGTGGGTCAGTTGGGCTCAGAGCCAGTCCCTCGGCCTGGAAGAGTCGGTGATGCCTCTGCTGCCACAATCTAACTGACAGTAAGACATAGTAGTGGGGCCAAATTATGTGACCTGGCAAGATCCGACAAAATCCCAATGCGATGGAGAGATGGCCGAGATGTTAGATTGGAGTCGGATGGTGAGGTCTTCTGGGATGGAGTATGGCTTTGCGCGTGGGTCGTATGGCCGGTAGTGATGTCGCCGAATGGTAGACCGTGTGTACATGGATAGATGATGTGCAACCTGATCCCAATAATAATTGAATCATCGCCAGTATGAAACTAAGACACCACGAGTAGGAGTTGTTGTTTCGTTACTATTTCTGGTGCCGATGTGGCTGATCTGCTAATTCTTCTCCACTTGGGCCAGACCAAACAGGGCGCAGCAAAGCAAAACATCTCTCTCACTCACTCAACTCACCACTTTCTCTTCCCATCCCTGCTTGTCCTCTCTCCGTCCTCTATCTCCGTTTCTTCTTCTCTTCATGTGCTACGACACCTGAGTGACTGGCTCCTCCCGGCTGGCCAACCGTGCTGCTCTCCATTGTCTCCCCTTCGTCCCCCCTCAACCAGACTAGGCACCCGGCCAAACCTCGAATCTCGCTCCCTCACCCTGGCCGTGCTCCCCCCCGACCTTGACCCCGGCACCTCCACATTGTCAATACAACGTGGATCAGACTGCTCATCCCGGGGGTTGACCTCCCCAAGGAGGTCATCCCGGATACCCAAAGCGGCCATGTCTGACGACCCGACATGCCCCCAACCGGAGGCCTCAACGGCCTCCGGTCTTCCCCAGGATCTGTGTCTGGTTGGACGCGGTGGAACCTCTAGCGCTCAAGGTCGACGATGGCGCGACACCTCCAAGCGACGGCGGCCGTTCTGGGTTCTGCTCGTGCTGGTGTGCTGGATCTCGTGGGCCTCGCCCGCAACGGCTGTGCTGCTGAATTTCGACAACTGCTTGGACAAGGCCCGTCTTGACTCGGATCCACGGCTGCTCCAATTTGTGCCTCTGGATGTCTCCGTCACATTCAACCTGACGGACCCGCTCCGCCCACTGAACGTGACGGTCTACGGTAACGTCTCTGGCACTGCCGACGGACGCGCAGATTATCCGCCAGCGGATGATCCTCAGTGGAACAACCCCAACATTACCGTGGGCAAGATCGAGGACCTGAGCGACTCAAACAACAAGTATTCGACCTTGATGACCTCGTTCAATGTGCTCAACTTTGCCCCCTATCACCATCCCGAACGCTTCTGCACCCAACTCGGCCAAGGCGAGTGCCCCTTGGGACCGGTGTTTGATGTCAACGCGTAAGTATTCCCGCCTATTTGTTTATGCTTCCCCTAACTGAATCCCTGCCACAGAAGTGATTTGACCCAACTACACTCCTTCTCTGTCCAGCATGATATGCTCTCCTCCTACCGATTCTCGACCATCTCGCCCAATCTTCTCATTCTGTCTGGCGATGTCTCTGCCGCCGAGCTGGGCTGTATCTCCGTGTCCATCACCCCCGATCTCGGTTCCTCCCTCAAAGATGCCCTGGCCTATGTACCCCTCGTCATTCTGGTGTTGGTGGGCATCGCGACAATCACAGCGGCCATGTACAGTCCCTGGGGCACAACAGACCCGTTTCGATGGACGAGCAACTATGGCCGCGACGAAGATATTCTGCGACTGGTCACCCCTGGCTTTGCTGATTGCCTGCAGTACATTCAGTATGTGGTGCTGACAGGGGCTCTATCATTGAATTACCCAGGCTTTTACCAGCCGACGGTGAGTCAGGCGGCCTGGTCGTCTCTCATGTTCAACCAGAGCTTTGTCAACCCAGGTAGCGGCTATAATCCGGTTGTGGACGGCGTCTATGCGATTAATGGGACCTATGGTTTGGATCGATTCAACCAGCTGGTGGGAATGGCTACCACCCGCGATATCTGGCCTGGTATGATCGTATGGCTGCTGGTTATTTTGGTCAGCGTCACGCTCCTGGTCCAGGCTGGCTTTGTGTTGCGTTGGATTCACCGCGAGATGGCGCATATCCCCGAGCAAGACTTGCGTGCCAAAAACGTGCCATTTACCGTTGGCAACATCATCCGCATCGTATTCAGCTACTTGCTCCTTCCCATTGTCTCGCTATCCTTCTTCCAGCTTGTTATCGCAGGCAATTCACCCGCCTACACGACTGCTTTGGCTGCAGTGGTGATCCTCATCTTGGTCTGCTTTTCATTTTGGGGTATCCGAGTGATTGTCAATACTCGCCCGCGGTCTCATCTGTTCGATGATCTTCCAACGGTTCTCCTATACGGCCCGCTTTATAATACTTTCTGCGATGACGCAGCACCTTTTGCCATGGTGCCATTGTTTTTGACATTTGCTCGAGGTGTCGCTATTGGGGCTTTGCAGCCATCGGGCATTGCTCAAATTGTGTTGCTTGCTATCTGTGAAGTGGTCTCGGTGCTCACGCTTGTGGCTTTCCGACCATTCCCCGGACCGACGCTCATGAACTTGTACCACTGCTGCTTTTCCATCATCCGGTTTCTGACCATCTTGCTGAGTGTGGTGTTTGTTCCGTCTTTAGCGGTTTCCGAGGCAGCACGAGGATGGATTGGTTACGTGATTCTTGTTCTGCATGCACTGGTGCTTATCTTTGGGTTCTTCCTCAACGCTCTACAGACCTTCATCGAGGTCATTGCACGACTTGCTGGTGCCGGTGGTACTACTCGCGGCGGTTTGGCCAAAGTCTTTGGAATGCGCCAGCTGTCGAGGCGTGCCCCTCAACGTGATATCCAACGCGATATCACTCGACAGAGTCTCGGTTCTGAAGCCGCGATGCTCGCCCCTGGTGACGATCGCATGTCTTCTCAATTTGATGGATCTCGCCCCCGCAGTCTGTCAGGCAACTCGGCTCTTCTCATTAACCGTGCCAGTGACGGCCGCGCAAGCCAGCTGCTTGACTACGCGAGTTCGCATGGCGGCACTCACAGCCGTGCTGCAAGCAGCGGGCTCTACACGCCTACGACACTCGGTGGCCACACTTCCTACGGCGGAGCTGATTCTCCTGTGATTGGTATGCAGCCCCGTGATCCGTACTATCGGCCTCCGCGACCAGGACGAAGAACGCCCCAATCCAGCTCCTTTGATGGTGGTCGGGTCCCGAAGACCCTGATGAAGCCCAACCGCGCTATGGATACCGAAGACGATCTAGGAGATGGCCCACCGGTTTCTGGCCGGGCGACTCCTACACCAGCCTACATCCCAGCACCCAAGGAAGACATGGAACTTGAAGACCCTCGCAAACAAAAAGATTATGCCGTCCGAGAAGTCGATTTTTACTACCGTGTCCGCGGCCCGCCCCTCTCGCACATGGGCACTCGTAAACTGAAGACGGGCCCAGCAGACCCGACAGGCCCAGTTTCTTCCGCAACAGGGTGGTTCCGGAACTTCTTCCAGGGAAAAACCAAGGAGAAAGGCAAGGGATTTGAGGTGGTGCGAAGTGCAAGGGCGCCACCACCTGGTATGTTTGATGGGGAGTTCAATGATGAACCCTACCAAGACGACCCCGAGAATGGAGGTCATTCTCGCCACGTCTCCACCGCCTATAGCCCGTACCAGGACTCAGATGGTGACCACGACCACCGGCAATCGAGTGACCGTCCTCCTGTTCTACCGCAAGTCGACTCCGTCGGCAACATCGAGCTGCCAAGCCGGATGGGATCCCGTCGCACGGTCCAAGGGCCACTAGAAGAGGCGACCGAAGAAGCACCTCAGCCTCTACCCGCCGTCACCGAAATATCAGTCTCTCCCGGGTCCCAACGAACTGGAACTATCTCCCCCCAGGACACCTGCAGCCAGAGTCCCCCACCACCGCGAAAATGCCGTTCAGCGGAAGCAGCTCCCCCCCTCCCAAGAACGCAATGCCTCCGTCGCATCTACAACTCGATCTGTCACTTCTAGCAGCCGCCGGAGTCACAAAACTGGGCAAGAAGATGGCCGCTCTGACCGTCCTTCAAGCATGGGGTATGTGGCCCACTATCGCACGAGTGATAACATCACCCAAGCTAGTCCGGATGAGCCCTCTTTCACTGGCAGTGCCGCAGAGCTAGTCGACGAGCCATTGCACGCCGACCATTAATATTTGGATCCTCTTGCATCGATCAGAACATTGCATTGCATCTCTCACATAATCATCTACTCTCATCCTCCTCTCCCTCCCTACCTAACTCCTTCCACCCTTCTCCGCCCTCCTACTTCCTCTGTTGTATTGGAATGAACTGGAATTGGATTGGGCTGGATATCCACCCAATGCCACGATAACGAATCTCCTTGCCTTCTGTCCTTTCTGTTTGTGTTGTTGCTACTCTGTGTGAGTGCGTGTGTTTGCCACATCTGAAAAAATTGCTGCGAGGTCTTTTTCTTTTTACTTTTCCTCGCTTGCCTTGTTTTAATTTTTAACGACTGACCGCGAAGTACACATTAATGCGTCATTCTAACTCTTTCTCCATCCACTTACTTCACCTTGGAACTAATTCAATGTATCTACATAAGTACTACTCATCGCCCTCTTGAGTCGCGGCTAAGTTTTGATTATGATGAGAACGAGGCTTTTTGGGTGGGTTCTTCCCTTTCCTCCCGATGAGTACGTGGTCGTGCGATTAGCCAGGAGTGTAGTAGATAAGCCGTCGGGACATCCCATATCATATCATACCAAGATAACAGACACGTGAGCCGCATTTTTGCCGATCGCCACCGCCCAGAGGCCCCACTGATAAGTGCCGGACCTAAACAACCCAGGGACTCACTCTCCCTGCATCATCGCCATCTTCTCTTTCACCCATCCCGATCTCCTTCTCCTGATCCTCATCCATACCCGCCAGCTCATACCATTCCACACCCTCGTCGACGCGTTTCCCGAAGCGTTCGTGCTTCATCACAGAGTCACACGACCCCGGAACCACGCCCTGGGCTGGATCCGCCTTGGCTTTATGATAAGCATCATCCTCACAATCATCAACGCACTGGTGGCCTGTAAACGGCGCTGCTCCCGCTGAGAGTGCCTCACCATCTTGTACAAGACATTTCATAACCGAAACGGTTCATCAAACCATTTCTCGCCTCCTTTTTCGATCCCGTGTCGCCACCCAGCCCATGAGGGCTTGCCATTCCATCGGCCGAGAGTGCCCTCGTTGCCTTTAGTCAACCGAATCAAAGCTTGTATTCAGGGCCGTCATCATGTCTTCCATGGAGAGTGCTGCATCGTCACCCTCGAGTTCGTCGGTGGCTAGCGGGTCGGCTGCACAAATATCCACCGTTGCGGATAATACGAGACGAATGGAGGCGATAAGTGCAACAGACTCCAGCTTTGCAAGTGGTGCCTGCAGGGAAAACAGAATGGCTGTTCCTCCCGCGGACCGCAAGAGGCGGTTGACAAGCACCGGCGAGGATGTCAGATTGCAACGAACAAGGTCTGGCAGCGCAGCGGGACCTTCGACAACCAGGACAGCACTTCCGAACAGGTCTACCTCACTGGTTCTGCCGGTATCACGGTCAAGACCTTCTGCTTTTGCAGCACCGGGTTCGTCATCTGCCACGGCTATTGATATCTCTTCGTCGCCTCCAGCGCCGCCTTCTGGGCTGGATAATGGACGTGGGTCTCGCTGGATGCAGGCTTCGTTACTCGATAACCCTCCCTCACGACCAAGCAGACACTCCACGTATGTCTCATCACCTCGAAATGCAGACGAAGAGTACATGGGATTCACGCGGCCTCGATGGCAGCCTGATTCTGAGGCGACGAGTTGCCCAATTTGCGCGACGGTGTTCAGTTTTTGGTACAGAAAGCACCATTGCCGGAAATGTGGAAGGGTGGTGTGTGCTTCGTGCTCCCCCCATCGAATCACTATTCCTAGGCAGTACATCGTTCGCCCTCCCGAGTCTCTTTCCTCTTCTACCAACCTTCCTGCAACTTCACCCACAGCAACGCCTTCTCGTTCACCGCAGATCTTTGATCCTATTGGAGAAGATTTCACCTCATTCCTTTCCACTGTCAATCCTGCTCTCGGAGGTGGTGAAGAAGTTCGTCTCTGCAATCCTTGTGTCCCAGATCCAAACCCAAATCCTCCTCAACCCTACAGCACCGTCCGTCCATACGGCCATAGATCTACCCAGTCTCTCTCATCTACCGACATGGGAAATGTATTCTCCAGATCACAGGTTAGTGTTTTTGTCCTTGTACGGCTTTCATCCGACTTTGTCCGTTAACCTGCCTTTACACGTTTACAGCGTGAGCAAGGTGATCCTCGTCAGTCTCGACGCACTGTTGGCGACCATGAACGACCACACCATCTACGGGACTGGAGCTGGCGTATGAGTGATCATGTCAGAGAGGCAGTTCACCATACGTATCCCGACATCCTTGTTCAGGGACGCGAGATGCGACGTGCACGCCGCGTCAGCCAAGCTACTGCTGCCGCCGAAGCCCAGCTGAATCTGGAACTAACCACTCACGACGACGGCCAAGGCTCTCTCGTTACGACATTGGCGCCTCGCGCCCCGCGCCAGTCTGCTGTTTCTGAGCGCGATCTCTGCCCTGTGTGCGGTCAGCGATTCCTATCGCTCACCGAAGATAACTCTATGGAAGTCCGTGAAGCCCACATCCGCGAGTGCATCGACAACCACGCGATCCGCTCCTCCCATCGCGAATCCCCGACCTCAAGGCAGGCTCCTTCCGTGCCTCCGCCCCTTCCGTCGTTCGTCCGTATGGTCAGGTTTACGGCGACAGAGAAGGATTGCCTCGACGACGACGGCAAGGTGGCGGAGTGCATGATTTGCATGGAGGAGTACAAGGTGGAAGACGTGCTGGCCCGCCTTGAATGCCTGTGCAAGTTCCACCTTGACTGCCTTGAGAATTGGTTCCAGAAGAAGTCCGAATGTCCCGTTCACTTCCGCCCGGAGTGAACGGTTCTCGGTACTTTGGATGGAATCTCGAGGAGGACGGTGACTCTGTCTTTTCTTTTTTTTTTTTTTTTGTTTGTTTGAGTACTTTGGCGCTGGGTGGAGGGAGGTTATGGCTTTTGATACCCTGTTTGTGTTTTGTTTTGTGTTCCTTCTATACAATGAGGCGAATCCGTGATAATAATGAGTGCATTGGTCCCAACTTGTAGTTGTATAGTTAGGTGGACAAGATAGCTCTAGCTCGGAGGATTGTCCTCGGAACAGTTCTGGGGGCCAGATCCAGTCACGTGCTAGTCAGCCCATCGGGCGAGCGACAGCACTCTATTCCGGCAACCCCGGCCTTGACGACGTACAGACATTCGCAACAGTGCCCGGAACTGTCTTCAGAGCAATCCTGGGCCCTTTTGTACCTGCCGCTGCCCCCCTCAGTTATCCGATCGGAGTAAGGCTCTCCCAATCCTCCGCGTCGGTCAATCGGTGCTTGTGTCCACCGTCCTCCGTCCTCCGCTCGTGTGGTGCACAATCAATCCCCCGGCCCTCCGCCATCCCGGCAAGCAGATTTGTATCGTTATCCGGTAAGTCGGAATAAGCATACATTTTATTTGCCGGCTAACCCTATCCCCCCAAGCCTCCTTGCCCCTGGAATCGGTGCCTGCCGACTTGGCGCGGTATCCGCACCCGGATGGAGCTCCATAGCGCACACCTACATCCCGACCAGGATGGCGGCCGATCCTCTTCCCGGGTTGCCGAGAATACCTACCCAGACCCTCCGGCACATCGATCTTTAGACTCGGGTCGGTCTCAAGAAGACACACAAGCAGGACAGACGGCCGACTCGGGTGACCCTCATGATCCTCTGGCCGATCTGAAGCGCCCACGTGCCTGCGAGCCATGTCGCCAGTTGAAAGTTCGGTGCGATCCAGACCCAAATCATCCAGATGGATCTTGTAAGAGATGCGCCAAAGCTCGTCGCACTTGTATTGTCACAGCGCCAACTCGGAAGCGCCAGAAGAAGACCGACAGCCGCGTCACGGAGCTGGAGCGGAAGATCGATGCATTGACAGCCAGCCTGCAGATGTCACACAGTGGTGGGATACTACCACAGGGACAGCCTTCGCAGCAGCCCCAGTCCCTGCATATGCAACAACACCAGAATGAGCTACAATCCAGTCGCCGCTGGGACCCCAGTCTGGCTGGCAATAAACGGCAGCATGATGGTGACCTAAAAGAAATCTCCAGTGGAAGTGGGTATTTGGCTCCCCAGAATCCTAGTCCCGGCCATTCGTCAGCGGAGAAGAACTATGAGCGCTCTCCGTCAAGACACTGGCGCGGACCTTATAGCGGCGATATATTCCCACCGAAGGCTGAAGCTGCCAATGAGTATGTTGACTGCATCGATCGAGGCTTGGTCACTGTCCAACTCGCCGAGGCGGCCTTTGATCTGTACGTCGAAAAAATGGCTCCTCAATACCCGATGGTTGTCTTCCCAACCCACACGACCATGAGTGATATTCGCCGGAGCAAGCCAGCTTTGTTTCTTGCAATCACTGCAGTTGCCATTGGACCTCTGAGCCCTGATCTACAGATTCCTCTCTTTACAGAATTTTACCGCATGATCGCGGAGCGCGTCGTGGTCAAGGGCGAGAAAGCTCTCGAGCTGTGTCAGGGCCTCCTGGTCTGTTGTATCTGGTACTTGCCACCAGATAACTTTGAAGAACTCAAGTTCTACCAACTGATTAACATGGCTTCAACCCTGGCAATGGATCTGGGGATGAACCGCCGCAGCCTGACAAACAAAAAAGGATTCACTTTTCTCCGTGAGCTGATGGGCAAGAAGACGAATCCATCGTTTGACCCAGATGGCCCAGAAGCGAGACGGACCTGGGTTGCATGCTATTTTTTGTCAATCCAGGTTTCGGCGGCTTTGAGAAGAACGCAACTGGTGCGCTGGCAGCCGTACATGGATGAATGTGTTGAGATCTTGGAAACTCATCCCGACGCTCTCCCCCTCTGACAAAGATTTGCTCTCATGGGCGAAGCTCGCATACATTATGGAGGAGGCTTCATTGTCGGTGCCATCAGAGGAGCCTATTTCCATTATGTCGTTCTCGGAAAGTAAACTCAGGTATACGATGAAGGGGCTTGCAAATAAACTGAATCAGTGGAAGAGAGAGACTCCCGAGGAAAAGACCAGCGGTAAATGGCACCGGTCAATTCCATTTTATGAGCGGTCTGCTAACTACTTGCAGTACTGATGTCCAATACCGAACACATAATCAACCTTTATCTTCATGAGATCGCCTTGAATGTCGACTGTAACAACTCTACAGAGCTTGACGACCCGTCTAGTCCAGCAGCCATGGCTTTCGTCGACGCATTAACCACCTGCATCCACTCCATCCATAAAAGTCTGGACACCATCATCTCAATCGACATTGATCAGTTCATCCTCCTTCCTACAACCTCCCTAGCTCGGACATCATACGCAATTGTTAGCATGATCAAGCTTTACTCACTTCTCACATCCCCGGACAACCGGCTTGGGCAGGTTGTCGATGTGAAGAGCCTGAATATGGAGTACTATCTTGACCGTGTCTTGGCCCATTACCGCGCCGGTGCGGCTCGCGATGGTGGGCGTGCAGCAGCCAAGTTTGCGAATATCCTGGGAATGTTACGGAACTGGTTCGTCAAGAAGAAGGACCAAGGGCCAGGTCTCAGGGAGGAGTTGGCTCGTGCAGAAGGTGTCGGTGAAAAACAAGTATGTTTACATCTCCCTGCGATGATGACCACTTACTGACGAATAAAAATCAAGCCGGAACGAACGCGTCTCCATCTTCTCAGCGAAGTGGCCGCGGGTGATCCAGTTCACCGGAGTTCTTCTGGCAGCTTCAGTCATTCTCCTCTGATGGTGTCAACACAGAATCGCCAATCTTCCGCATCCACAGCCACAGGCTATCCAGGTCCATCAACACCTGGCCAATCCAGTCTCGGCACCTCCGCCACATCTCCGGGCTCGTTGCAGCGCATGACAGCGTCAACAACTGCGTCCGACACATCAGCAGGATGGCCGTCTTTCCACAGCCCCCGAGATCCCACTATGGCGAACAGGGGACTTTACGCTCCTTTCTCCTCATCGGCAGTTCCCTCGAACTCATACGCAACACAACAGGGGTACGGTGAGATGTCTTCCCTTGGGATGAACCCGGGGCAGTCAGGGCAGTCTATGGGGATGCTGCCCGAACTCGGGATGGAGACGAGCTTTGATCCGAGTAACTTTTGGGCGCTTGGAAATTTGATGGATGAAGGGTTATTCACTTTCCCATTGTCATTTGATCCGACTCTAGAGTTTTATTGAGTGCGGATGCCTACGGAGAGGCACAAACACTCTACTCTGATGATACAATATATTCTTTTATCCCTTCCATATTAATACAACCTCGTTAGCTACAAGAAACCCCAGTCCCTAGACTCATGCAAGACGATGCAGCAATTCCTTGCCCTCCAACCACCGCTCCAAATTCTCGGCCGTCTCCTCATACCACGTATGCATCAGTGCCTCCTCCACATATCCCATATGCGGCGTGAGCAAAAGATTACTCCTTCCGTCCTTCCCCCATTCCGTAGAGCGCCAATAACTCTCTCGCGGCAAAGGCTCAAGATCAAAGACATCAAGCGCAGCACCACCAATACGCCCCTCCACCAATGCATCATACAGCGCCTCGTCATCAATCAGCCCCCCGCGAGAAGTATTGACCAGCAGCGCCTCCTTCTTCATACAGCCCAATTCCGGCCCGGAGACAAGGTGCCTCGACCGTTCACCGAGAACATAGTGTAAGCTGACAACATCGGACTTACAAAACAAGTCCCTCTTCGGAACAGCCATAAAAGTCGGCGCACCACTGTCGTCCCGAAGCGGTAGCCCCAACTCTACCGCTTTCCGATCCGCCTTCTCCTGCGTCAGATTCTCGCTCCAGCAGAGAACGCGCATCCCAAATGCCAGGACAGCGATGCGCGCCGCCGCGCCGCCGAGCCGACCCAGTCCCACAACCCCGAGCGTTTTCCCGTACAGCCCGCGCGCCAGACTCGTCTGCCACGCTTGGCGCGTGGGGTCTTTCATCGCTGCGTCGTCGGAGGCGACGTTCCGGGCTAGCGCTAGGATTAAAGCCCAGGTATGCTGTGTTGTTGGATGGGATGCACCGGCTTTGATACTGGGATGGCGCGGCTTGGTAGATGTAGAATCTGTACGGCCTCGGCCCGGCGCAGCAGTAACGATGATCCCGCACTCGCGCGCAGCAGCAAGATCGAACGTCTCAAACTGCGTCCCTGTCGCGAGAATGAGTTGGAGATTGGGTAGTGCGCGCAGTAATTCTGCGGGGAAGGGGGTGCGCTCGCGCATGGCGGAGAGCACGGTGAATGGTTTTAGGCGGGTGATTAGCAATTCTTTTTGGGTGGTTGTCGTGCTAGAGTGTGTGTATGGTGGTAGTGAGTCGGTGAAGGCTGTTAGGGATATTTTTGAGCGCGGGAGGTGGGCGAAGTGGTCGGTTGCGATGTTGAGGTAGTCGTCTAGAATAGCGATTTTGGGGATGCTTGATGTCGATGAACTTGTAGTCTTACCGCGGTAGAGGCGGCTGACTAGAGGATTGAGGGCGGGTCGACTGGTTGGAAGCATTTTGCAAAATGCGAAGTAAACGAGAAAGTAAGTAATCTTGAAAGGATTGAGTATGAGTTTGCGGCAGTGATTTAATAGTTATCGTTCGTGCGGAGATATCTGCTCGAAGCAGCGATAATCGGAGCAATGCCCGAAATGCCGCTAACTAACTACATAGCGTTCCCGGAGTTAACCCAAACGGGGAGAATAGAGATCAGCAAAATTGTGCGCTCATCTTTTCTGTACACATTCTATCTCGAAACTTCGACTCCACGCCATGCACGAACAATGCGTTGCTCGACATACGCCCACGGCCAACCATTTTCGGTCTCTGTGCTACGCAGCAGATCAAACACCACATTCTGGGCAAGGGGATTGTCGATCCATCCGCTGCACGCATAGAGGACATGGCAGGCCATAATCCGCAGGGAAGGGTCGTCTTCGGCCGATTGGCCAATGCCGAAGAGGAGGTTGAGGTTATCGGTGATTTCACTCTGAAGCAGACAGAGTCAGTGGTGATTGAATTCGAGGAAAAATGACATTTATAATGTACGCACCTTGAGTCGCATATACTGCTCCGTGATCAAGATGCTTCGGTCAAGCAGTTCGATTGCACGAATGGATAGTAGTGCCTTGGTGAGACACATATGCTGGATGGCAGTGGCTGGCTTCAATTTAGCATAACTCCCCGTACCAAAGAATAGTATAGACTTACCATGCCATGAACTCATGTACCACACCTCAGGAAACGGCTTCCCCCTCGCAGGATCCGGCGGTGAGATATGTAACGGGGCAAAGGTATCCGGACGAGAATTCTCCCACTCGGCAATACGCTGCATGAGCGCGTTCTCACCCGCCACGCCCAAACAACCCCCATAATTGCGACCAGAGACATTATAGCAGAAATCGATAGTCTCGGCCAATATCCAAATAGCGCGGTTAGTCCAGTCGCTATCGGTGAGGGTGCTCTTGAGAGCCCACCACCTGCGCAAACGATCATCAAATGGTGCAAAACTGAGCCGAAGGCATTTCTGATACGTCAGTGCGAACTGGATGTCCTGGATAACGAAGAGCCAGAAGGCCGCCGACGCGAGGCCGCCAGAGATGGCGCAGTCGACGTGAGAGCTGATGTACACGGACCCGGCTAGAAGATGGCGCTGCGGGTCGTTGGGCGGGCTGTGGGAGGAGATTTGCTCGAAGAAACGCAGGATCACGGTTGATGCGAGCAGCAGGTCGAAACTGATGTCGAACTCGGGTTTGTCGAGAACTGGAAGCATGATTGAGATGCAGCGCTCGTGGTACTCGTCTGCGATATCGGAGGGAATATTGTTTGTCGTCCGGTACAGGTGGCTCGCCGACACAGCCAGACATGCATACAGTAGTAATGGCGAGTGAAGGGCGCGTTCGGCCACCTCGGTTGAGAAATGTCGGCCCGGATCGCATGCGTCGAGCTGGCTGGGTTAGACGTGAATGGTACAGGCTGAGTTACGCGGAAGTCTCACCCATGGCGCGATATATCTCTGGAAATGCCGGAGGAGATACGCTTCGTTCACATTAGCCATCCGAGGCTGGCCGACAGGCGTCGGTGTTGAGCGCAATGAATTGGTCGAATTGGACCGCGTGTACGGTGGCCTCAGCGGAGCGCTGGACGTTGCCACAGAATCTATGGTCACCGACGAGGGTGTCGACCGAGACTCCGACGGCGATCGCGAGGTCGATGGTTCCTCTCGTACGGAGAGAACATGATACTCGGAGGCCGTCTGGTCGGTCTCGTCTTGGAAGGAGACTGATAGTACAATCAGTATTGCCGTGTAGAGATTGAAGCGACAAACATACAGTCCGAAGGCGCCTGAACCCACACTTGGTCTTTGGGGAAGGCCAAATCACTCTCCCCGTAGCGCGGGGGACCCTTTCGGCGCAGGGAAGGGTTTTGACCATGGCGGAAAGAGACCTCTTCTGATTTCACGGGGGCCGGGACACACTCGCGGCCAGATCGTTGACAGCGCAGACAGTGAGCACCGGACTTGTCACCTAGCGACCGTCAGAATGATAGCTGTGCAAATAAAATTCAAAACGCACATTTCAGATGGCGGAGACGGCACGTGAGGCTAGGAAGGATTATTAGCAGCGAAGATAATAAGACACACAAACAATGGAAAATCCAAACTGACCATCCCCTCATTACGCAGCACTGGCCGGACAAGCACTTGAGTTACAGGAAGCGCGGCCCGACCGAAGATAAGGAGAAAGTCGAGCCCGCAGGAAGATGGATGTCGACATCTTTCCTTCAAGGCGTTGATTTGGAGTATATCCGGTGCCCGGGTCGTTGGAGATTAGTCTGACCCAAAAAGGGGAGTGGATCATGGGTGTAACACTCTCCACCAGTCAGTCATTCCCCTGAGTGGATGTCCCCCACGCGTCCGAGAGATAATTGGGGGGAGGGGGGGTGATGTGCGTGATCATTTCCTGGAGGATTAGGATCTCTCGGGATCTATTTTGCAGGGCAGAGCGAGGAGAGGTGCGGATGAAGGGAACAACTCCTTTTTTTTAATTATCCAGAAAGCATTTCGAAGGATTTGGTGCAATTTGGTCGATTAATTCCTTCAACCCAACATGCGCGCAATCCCGTCAGAGCCAATCACCTGCCGATACACGCAAGACAAAGGACCCCGTCCGGGACATGTGGTCTTAATCCGCTCACTGGAACACCTAAAAACTCATAAACTTCGAAGAACCCCATCGAAGCATTCTTCACCGGTCAGTCTAACCTGCGGTGATTGGACCGGCGACGCCGGGATCATCGGCGAGTGGTGGGTCGGCATCTTTGTACCATTCGGCATCGCGAGGGTTGGGCCTGGGCGCAATTTCACTGGATCCGTGGGTAGCCCTCATCTCCAACCCGGCGACCCTGTCGATCTAGGATCTGAAGAGTCGGAGAAGAGTCTGGAAGGGTGTGTTCGTCCGCAGCCACTAGTGCGGTGGGATGGTAACTGCCTATTTGAGTAGGGCTTCAAAAGCTAATCGGGAGCTGTCAATACGGACGGTTGTCAATAATGCCGGAACAATGTTTGTCTCAGGGCTTATCGCCATAGCCGCTCAACCACGTGACCCTACGTCAGCTACATCCAGAGCATGGAACAAGGAATGATCCTGGAAGAGAAATAATCTTGACACTGGTGAAATGTTCCTCCTGCGGACGAGTTGCACCCCCCACGAAGACCTTTCGACCACAACACAAGCCTTGACCGCCGATGGAGAAGATTAATCCCTAGTGGGGTCCCGGGATCCACGATGTCTCTCAACCGCATCCCCTTCCTCGAGGCCTGGGAGCACAGCCGGTACCCACGCGGCCGGCCGGACGGCGATTTGGAATCGGACGAAGGGTCAGACGTCTACCAAGACCTGCCCGACTCGCCGCTCTCCTCGTCATTTCCCTCAACGTACTCCCGTCTGAACTTCAATCCCTATGCGGGCCCCGGCTGGACCGAATCCGTCGTCGATGAGGATGACCATAATGAGCGGCAGTCGACCTTTTTGGGGTTGTCGCCCACGACCACGCGCGAGAGCCATGTCAATATCCATGTCCAGGGACATGTGGATCCTCGCCGAAACTACCCGGTAGTGCCAGAATATGATTATGAGTCGGCCGGTCAGGGCGAGGCCCAAGTGGGGTTCAAAGAGCCGCAATGGGCTGTGGATGAGACACTGGGGGCGTTTGAAGTGAGCCCTGCGAAGAGGATTGGTATGGACGCACTACGTACTCTGCATTATGCGTACCCTAGATTAACATCAGACAGCACAGGTGTGTATCGCAGTAATCTACTGCTTCCTCGCAGCGGGAATAGTCTTCGGCTTCGCAGCTCTGAAACCTATTCTTATTCGCGAGAAAGTATACCGCAACCTTTGCTCCCGGGCGGAGCTGGATGAGGATGTGAGCGTGTGTAATGGGCAGCAGATCAGGTACGCCAGCCGTCACCCACTCTATTCATAACCTCTAACATCCACTGATTTTTTCCCAGGTTGAACCTGATGTTCACCATCGCCGCTGTAGTAACAAATATCTCCGCGCTACCTGTAGGAACAATCCTAGATGCATACGGTCCACGAGTAAGCGGACTCATCGGCAGTGGATGCCTAGCAATCGGCGCGCTTCTCTTCGCCTTCGCGGCGAAAATGCCATTCGACGGGTACATCCCGGGGTATTTGTTCCTGTCGCTAGGCGGACCATTTATCTTCATTTCGTCCTTCCATCTCTCAAATACATTCCCAAAGCGATCAGGACTGATCTTGTCGATGCTAACGGGTGCATTCGACGCATCTAGCGCTGTGTTCCTCATCCTTCGACTGCTAAATGAGAATACGCACGTGGTCTCCATCCGATTCTTCTTCCTGCTCTACCTCGCGGTTCCCGTATTCATCGCGGTCGCCCAGATACTGGTTATGCCGGCGACATCATACAAAACGGCCGGCGAGCTCGTGCACGAAGCCGAGGCGCATCTGGTCGCGGAAATGCATGATCGAGTCGATGACCGTATCGAGAACCGAAGCGAGGGCGAGCGTCAGCGGAATAGTCGCCGCGTGCGTAGGCAGAGCATCGTGAATCACATCCAGGATCTGTTGGATGATGGGACGGTCTCCTTGGCCGAGACTGTTGGCATTGACGACTCGGTCTTCCGGGGAGATCTGGATAACCCGCAACCTCAACCAGTCCACAGCACGAATACAAATACTCAACTCCAAAACAAACCAGCACCACATGCACCACCGAACACAACCACCAGCGGCGTCTGGGGCGTCCTCCACAACCGCGCACCCCTCCAACAAATCTTCACACCGTGGTTCATCCTAATCGCCACATTCACCGTACTAATGATGCTCCGCATAAACTACTTCGTCGCCACGATCCGCCAACAATACACCTATATGCTGTCCCCCACACAAGCCGTGACCCTAAACTCCGTCTTCGACATCCTCCTCCCAGTCGGCGGACTCTTCTCTGTCCCCTTCACAGGGATATTCCTCGACAACTTCCAGACACGGACGGTTCTCACGCTGTTGGCGGGATTAGCAACTCTCATCGGCGTGCTGGGGTGTATTAGACACAGCATGGCTGCGGCGTATGCAAACATTGTCCTCTTCGTTTTGTACAGACCATTCTATTATACGTCTGTCTCGGACTATGCTGCAAAAGTCTTTGGTTTCCGCGCCTTTGGGAAGGTGTATGGGCTGATTATCTGTCTTGCTGGCATGGGTAATTTCGCGCAGGCGGGTTTGGATGCCCTCACGCTGCATACTTTTGGTGGGGATCCCGTGCCGGTTAATGTAGTTCTCACGCTAGTTGTTGCTGCTGCGGGGGCGGCGCTTGCGGGATTTGTGGCGTGGAAGACGGGTGCTGTGCCGACTGCAGCAGACCAGGACCAGGGACAGGGAGGTGGAGTTGGAGGTGGGGATGAGGAAGGAGTGCAAAGTCCAGGTCTACGTCCAGCTCGTGCAGGCATGGCTGATGATGGTGCATTGTCCGGTGTTGCAGCTAGAGGCTGGGAGACAGAGGAGCAGCCTCTGTTGCAGGGACAGCACCAGCCGTCATATGGGGTTGTATAGGTCATTTCCCTCCTCGACAACGGAGCTCGACCGAGAGAACTAGTACAGTCTACGAACACGAATAGCACATACAGCAGTATTTATTGATAACGTTGCTCGATATTGATATTGGTATTGAGATGCTATATGAAATTTTGTATTTTTTTCATGATGTAAAACCGTTGCGAGAAATTGCCTGAAAGACAGTGGTGGTTGGTAGATTAGGAGAAAGAGATCCAGGACATGACAGTTGGAAAGGGTACATAGTATGTTCGTCATAACGGAGTTGTGGGGATGAATAGGAATATCAGTGTGAGGATGACAAAGTGGAAAAGGAAGGGAAAGGTGAGCCAAACCACTGCCAGTAGGTGGAAATGGACTGTTAGAAGGAATATAAAACATGCTAAACGGAAAGATATTAGATCACAAGGAAAATCCGAAACACATGCTAGATGAAAGAAGGACAAGAATGCCGCCCACAAGAACGCCGAGGCCAGGCCAATAGTGAGAGGAAAAGAACTGCGATTGTCGTATTGGTGGGGTGGTGACAGTCAGAGATATCGTCGTGTCGTCAACAACGCGATTGGAGGGAATAGTCCGTAAAGCGTCATGATGAAAATCGCAGCCGGGCGGAGGAGAGATGTTTAGGCAAAGAAATTATCGATTGCCTTGTCGCTGTAACAGACCAAAACTTGGAGTATATTTGCTCAGGAGCTTTTTATATGGTGGGGGTTTTCAATGAACTCGTGGCAGCATCACAGAGCCTATTGCGTTGCAAGGGTGTGCTCGATTTCAAACCAGAGCGTCTCACCCGCCGCATCGCACGCAACGTCGTACCACAGCATCATCTCTAGGAGATTCTTGAGGTCTGTCCATGATGACAATCCACTGCGCCGGGCCGTATCACCCAGCATGGACACATACCATGTGCGCGCTGGTGAGTCCACCGCAGCCACAGCTCCCAGAGTCAACACCCACAGCAAGACAATGCGGGTACTAGGCGAGGACCACAGGACCGCTGCATCAGGTTGGCGGAGAACAGACTGCATTTGCAGGGCAAGGTTTTGCAGCGGGGTATTCTTCGCTGGAATGGGGAAGATTACGCCGACTCCGAAAATCATAGCTGCTAGACGAGAGGCCTCGTAGGTTGGTGCATGGCTCGGATGAGAGAAATAGGTCATGATTTGGTCGGCGGGCGGTAAGGAGAGGTTGGTGTGTTGGGTGATGTTGCGCTGATCGGCGAGGAGGGACAGGTCGGATGCGCCGGGGTTATGCTCATGTGCTTTCACAATGTTGACGTAGGTGTATATTGCGTGGAATGCTTCGGCCATTTGCGGGGTGATGCCGATACCAAGCAGTTGTCCAAACCCGTTCTCGATATCTGATGAACGGAATCCGAGGATTTCTTGTGCGGATTTGCCGCGCCTGCCATCTTCCAAGGGTCGGAATTCGAATCCCGGGGCGATGCACAAACAACTGCAAGTGAAGATGTCGGAGCTAGAATCCCAGGGTCAGTGAGTTACAAATGCAAAAGCAAGAAATCGGCCTTACAAGCTGATTGTCGGGGCCAACCCCTTCAATGTGATACTGTCCAGCCCGCCCCGTAGATGAATCAGCTGGATCAATCCCTGAATATGAATCATGTTCGGGGGTAGACGACCGTAGACATCGATCCACTGTAGGCGCTGGAGAGGCGGATTGAACGGAGTTTGCCGATCGCCTCGGTCATGCTCCTCGTCCGATCTATGATGTGCCATGCAGATGACGCTGAGGATGACTGCATCGCTTGCTGCGCGGATCGGATCCCGGACAGCCTGGTTGATCAACTTGATCGACTCCATCTCGCACAGCTCCAGTAATTGTTGTTGTCGTGGGCCGAACGTAGCCCCAGGAATCGTGCGGTTGAGCCACTGCACGCGTTGATGGCAAAGTGCAGCGAACATGAATGCCGTGAAGAGCGCGGGATCGGTCATTGATAGGGTAAAAAATGTTTCGGGGACGGAGCGCGCTACTGCGCGGGTATTGACAGGACGGGAGGGAGCTAGACCGGGCCAAAGGATGGACATGCCTGTTGAAAAAGAGAAAAGGTTAGCACAGCTATGACCAGATTCTTGTGCCATACGAACAGTAGGTCTCGCACATATGGACCATCTCCGGTGCGAAATTTGAAGGGTATGTGCCGAACGGATCGAATACCCCCGAAATCAGCGGCTCCACGGACATGATTTCACCCCAGGGGGCAGACATCCTATCCCCCGACACCATGGTCAACGAGCTATCATCACTGCTATCGCTACTCTCGCTGGACTGCGAGAGCGCAAAGGGCGAACCCTGGCATTCACGCGGCAGCTCAGCGGAGTGACCGGATCCGGAGCCGGAGGAAAACGAGGAGGCACGCGGCGCGACCAGGGAATGAGAGAAGTCGCGGGCGGGCTGTTTGCCAGCGGCAGCGGCGGCGGCGGCTGCTGCTGCTGCTGCTGCTGCTGTGGTGGAGGATTCAAGGGCAGTCGAGCGATCTTTGGTCTGGTCGGAAATCCATCGGCCGACGTGTGCGCGCACCAGACGTTGGGCGTTGAGCTTCTCGAGCTCAGAGGAGGGTCTGGCGTTGACGAAGTGGATGCCCTCCTTTTTGCGCGCAGCGATGGGTTTTTTGCGAGACGACATGTCCGATGGCGCGGACGCGGGCGCTCTAATCCCTGATCATGGGCGGAGGCAGCGAGAGGGATGAAGCAGGTGCATACTGCAGCGACAGGGGTGGTGGAGATGATTATTGTCGGGCGTGGGAGTGTGGGTTGGTTGAAAGAGAGAAAAGGGGAAAGCGAAGGGTGTGGGGGGTGGGAAATAAAGGATAGAGAGATGAAAAAGAAAAGAGTGGGGTGGGGAAGAGAGAAAGGGAGAGAGAGACAGAGACAGGGAGAGAGAGAGAAGATCGAGTCGACAGGGAGAGACAGAGAGCGACTTCTGCAGGGAACTTGACGGGAGGGGGGGAAGCTGCTGGAGCAACTCTTCGTTTACCTACTCGGTAACTAGTGACCAGGGAACTATGGTTCAGTAGGAGGAAATAGACTCCGCCCGAATAACGAACGGCTGGGTACGGGTTGAAACAGGGGCAAAAAGAAGACCAGTCCGGGGGAAGAAGAATGAAGAGGGATGGGTGACAGCCCGTCAGACAGTTGACTCCACCATTCAGAATGGAGGATGCCGATCAAGTGAGATGTCAGATAGATTTGAGTTAGGTTTAATTATATCCTTACCTATGAGTACCTACGAACTCCTATGATGACCTCTATCTAGTCAATCTCCAGCAGACTATACCGACTGCTCCCCCCGTCGTCGGATCCTGGTACGCCTCCAGTGCCTTTTCCACTACAGCCATATACCCCAGCACCTGCTCCTCCTGCCAACGCCGCCCAACCACCTGCACCGCGGTCGGCAGACCCGCCATCTGTCGCGAGTCATAGTGCTTCCACGCCCCGCGCGCGATGGCATTGTCGCAGCCCAGATTCCGGAGCGTCTTCTTGTACGGACCAACCAGGGCGTCGCGGATAGGATCGACATGCCCGACCGGCAAAACACCGGCTGAGTAATCCAGCAGATTCCAGAGGAAAGTGTAGCCACACGACGAGACAGCGTCATGCATCGCCTTGTGCGGCAGCGCGGGAGTCGCGTTGACGGGACACAGGATAAAGTCGAACTGCTGCTCCTGGGCATCCCACCACTGGTGCCAGGTGGCGCGGAAGGTCTCGCGCTGAGCCGTCAGCGGCCACAGCTCGGCGGCGGACTTGGGCCCGAAGTCGCGGAGCAACGTCGCCAGCACCTTGTCCCGCCGGATGTAACGCACATACAGGTAGTACAGGTAGCGCACGGGTCGCGGGAGGTGGGCGACCCGGCTAAGCTGGTTAGCGCCCGGGTCCGACGGCTCGAAGCTGCGCAGGGGTGCGTTGAAGTGATGGCAACCGTCTGCGTTGAGCAGCTGCGAAGCCAGATTCAAGCCTGTGAAAGGGTCCGCTCCCTTGGGGGGCGCAATCTCCTTGATGGTGTGTCCCGCGGCAGTCAGGGCAGCCACGGTGGTAGAGACGGCTCGCTCAATGGCCGGAGTGGGAGGCACCACGCCTTTTGCTGTCTGTCAGTATAACCGAGACAAAACTGGGAAGGGAGATCAAACATACCGTCGCTGCTCATCAAACCCACGCGAAGCGGCCGGCCCTGCGCGTTGGCCGTCAGGTCCTCCCGCCAGGAGATGGGATGAACCGTGTAGTCGTATTTCCAGGGTTCCATTCCGACAATGGCTCGGGTGAAGTAGGTCAGGTCGTTCAGAGTGCGAGCCATTGGACTAAACACACTGGGGACGCCCTCCTGGCCGGCCATGCTGGTGCTCACGCCGACTTTGGGCCAGCGACCGGTGCTGCAGCGGAGGGAATAGATACCGCTCCAAGCAGCGGGCACGCGTACCGATCCCGCGACGTCAGAGCCAATTCCGATGCGACCACCTTGCGCCAGCAACGCAGCCTCGCCGCCGGTCGAGCCACCGGGTGAGTAGCCAGGAGAATGCGGGTTGAGACAGTGGCCCCAGAGGCCGTTGGCCGACTCGAACGACAAGAGGGTGATGGGGAGAGCCGTCTTGGCGTATGGCACGGCACCTGGCGAGCAGTCAGCAACAAGACAAGAACCGAAAATGGATATCTCATACCTGCATCCTTCAGGAGTTTGGTCATAGGTCCATCTTCCGAGAGCGGCTGATTGGCCTTGGCCGAGTAACCGAGCGTGGTGTCAAATCCCTTGACATGCACTGAGTCCTTCAGCGAGACGGGGATACCCGCCAATGGCCCCTTAAGGTTAATCTCGGACTGCAACCAGGTCTCGGCCTCGGGGATCAACAGCTCGGTAATGCAGTTGGTGCGCTCCTGTGCGCGCTTGGCGACCTTGCCGTAGGCGCGGAGGACATTGATGGGATGGACGGTGGAGGTGTGGATGTCATGGACGAGCTCCTCAATGGGTTTGTCGAGGATGTCTGCCTTGTCAGACTTGGTGATGTGGAGGTGGTAGGGAGCGGGGAGGTTGGCGAATCGGTCCCTTCGTTGCTGTTGTTTTTGGGCCCTGGCCGGGGTTAGTTATTGGGTGTAGCGTGTAGGAGGGGGATAAGGCTCACCGGATTTGCCGGTAGGTGAAGTAATCGAATGGGGGCAACATGGTGGCTAGGGTGGAAGAAGTCAAGAAACCGATTAATACTGGGGGCGTTCGGGTCGTAGTTATAGCTGCGGGGAGGGTGGAGTTGGTTGCGATAAGCCGACGATAGGCGAGTGGCCGAGGCGAATACGGCAGTTCTACTATGTAAGCGCAGGGATAGTATTCCCTCGCAGGGATAGGGGCTATCAGGGTTAATGGTTGTTTTGAGAATGATCCGATAAAGACAGACTACTACAGTGACGACTTCATTCGCACCTGGTAGGATGCAAATACGCATCCATCCCGTCTAGGAAGGTATATGCGGAACACGATGGAGATACAGAGTGATTTAATAACCAATGCCCTAACCATGTAAGAAACCCGCTGGAGGCGGTGGGTATAAATAATCTCCAGATTCAACTATCAACATCCCCATCAAATCCAGTCTATTCTCACTCTATTCTCACTGCACACTCGCCTGGCCCTGCAACCAATTATGCTCACTGAGCCACCAGACCACCACGGCACCCGCAACAAGACACAATATGAGCAGACAGATCATGGCGCCGACGAGGAAACTGCGTTTGCGCTTCTTGCGTTCGCGCGAGAGCCACGATTCTCTGGGGAGTCTGTATTAGTGGAAGTTTGGGTGGTTGATTAACAGGAAAGGACGGGTGGATAGGTGCATACTCTTCTTCTTTCTTCTTTTGCCTCTCTTTCGCCTTTTCCTTCTCCTTCCGCTCCTTCTCCTTTTTCTTCAGCTCCTTGTAGTCCATCTTCTTCTCTGGTTCGGTTGTTTCGGAGTGTTCTTGTGCTTCGAGTTTGGTTTCGGAGTTGGCTTCTGCATCCGCTTCTTCTTGCATGTGCACGGCTGTGGAGAAACGCTTCCAGAAGTAGGGGTCGCGGACGAGGGCCATTGTCGAGAATGTGATTAAGAGCTTTGAGGTTGAAGATTGATTGAAGGAAGCAAGGTTGATTTGAGATGTTGCGTCGGCAGGATTGGATGGTGTTGTTGTCAACACTCGGGACGGAAGGGATGTATGTCTCAGAAGTGCGACAATAACAATGAAGAATAAATACGCCGGGCGGACAATAAAACATGGAACGACTGAATGCAAATAGGAATAAAGGGAGACCAAAGAAAAGACAACCCGTCAAAATGAGATGCAAATATCATGAGCAGATCGAGGGTACATGCGGCACTCAACAAACCGTGAAGGCTGGGGGATGTGTCCCTATGTACCACCAAAGCCAAACGCACATCTCCCTCCCGTGCCATGTCGCCGGCGGGTCTATCGAGTTGATAGGGCGATGTGATAGGTGAGACCTGGTTGAGAATGTCGGGTAGTTGGACATGGCATGTCGATCGTAGAATGAAGGGGTGCTGAGAGAGTAGATGGACAGCGAGCCAATGAAGTTGGTTTTTAAGCTTGACAGGAATGCGAATGCCCAGTTGTGAAGCTGCAGCGCTACAAGTAGTTATGTGTCGGAGTTGGCTTGTCAGGGTGTCTAGATGCAGTAAATGACTTGAGGCGCACCTCTTAGCAAGACCGATCTACGCATGTATCAAGAACGACACTCCATTACAACTCTGTGCCGATAATCCTTTACACCAACAAGCATATATATGTGTGACCTAATGCTATACACCCATCAACAGGTCATTGCGGGCCCGTTTGCAGACACAGTAGTAAACTCGCAAGTTCGTTCACAAGAAGTAGATCTGGGAGCACAAGCGTCGCTGACTAGAGGCGAGATAAGTCAGTAATAATGAATTCGGATCCGAGAAATACAAGGGGAATAGTTGATTTATGACCAATGCAACGTTTCTCTCTAGGCAAACCTAAGAGGACAAGAGACTGGAGCTGCATTTTATGAGGTTTGTAGAGACTTTCGTAAAGAGCTCAGAAGAGATCCTGTAAGATCGGGGACCCTCTTCGACCACCTCGAATTTGGGTCCCGTAGGGCCCCCCGCGGCGGTCTCCTTACACAGCCACAAAGTTCCAACCAACCCTGCCCATTCGTCAGCCATAAGAAAAGACATAAAGGATCAACATCCCGAACTCTTTCCATCTGTGCTGGCTCTTCCTACCAACTCGATATGCCAAGCTGCACCCCCTTGGAGTATGACGAGCATCAGCATGACGAGCGGAAAACGACGCAAGAGTCTCTGGGTTAAGATACCGCTTGGCGTTCTACTTTGCCCGTATATTATTTTCAGCGTTCTCAACGATATCAGAAAAGACAGGCAAAATGAGAAGCGAGCTGCGACCACATAAATGACGGCAATCTACGGTTTTACACTGTCACCCCAATTCTCATTCGATGCGCTGGCAATTAACGGTAGCCTTGCCCTCATTTGCCCTCATCGGTGGGGGAACAAGGCTCAGTTGGCTGCGTATGCAGAAACCCGGTCAATGTCAAAGCGTTTGGGGGCCGGCGTTTTGGGGCTGGCGTTTGGTCGCCTATTTAAACGCCACGTCCGCTCTATTGGCATCCTCAGTGTTCCTTGACATACACAATAAGAAAGTCTCTGGGAGGCTGTTTACTTACTTCTTTCTCTGCGACTTGGCCCGTGGGCTCATGACTGTATCTTTGCCCTTCTATGGCTTCCCTGACTTTCCAGGCTCTATCGAGTCTAGTCATCGTAGGATTGTCTAACTTGGTCAGTGCAGCAACATGTGGAGCGGGACATTACAATGCTTCTGGTAGCGTCAATTTGCCCTTTCCCCAGCCGCCAAACTTGTCGCCATCAGACCCTTCCGGGAATTACACACTGTCCACACAGCTATCCTTCCCCGCCGGGCCGCTCGGGTTAAGCCAGTCCTTCAGAGCTGTAAATACTAGTGGATATGCCGTTGATTACGAACCTCTCAACTATGAAGGCTGTTTCATCGTGTTTAGTGATTCGTTTTGGCCAGCCACACAGGGTCATATCAATGAGCCTGACCAGACGAGCTGTCAGTCTGCATTTTCATCAGATTGTATTTCTGAGACCATCTCGAATGCGGGCCAAATGGCGACCGGGTTTTCTCAGCAGAATCAGCTAGCAAGTGGTATGATTTGCGGCCAATTCACACCTCCAAAATGTGCCAACGCCGGGGCGGCATATTCTTCAGGTAAGTACACAGCTGCATCAGAATTCGAAGAGAGACCAGAGACTAGACTCTAATGTCCTTTTTCTTTTCTAGCAATTTTTTCCACGGCTGCAGATCGGCGCGCAGGCTTCGTTGGCAACTCTTCCACTAACTGCCCGACTGGAGAGCTGATGTCAGATACGGGATTCGAGGCTGGAAGCAAGTTGTCCACATATCTCAAACAACTCGACAGCGTCACTCCTGTCATGGTCGTAGCTTGGAACAATGCGTCGTTAAATCCTGGAGCCAAGGCTTGGTCAGATACTCGCTTTTTTTGCATGTCAACGAACTATATTACTCCAGGAAGCAAATCAGGTGCTCCGTCCATGGGATCGGCCAGGGTTGGTTGGTATCTGTCTTGGTTCGCCAGCATCATCTGTTTACTACTATTTATCATGTAAAACTAGTGGCGAACTCGACCATTCGTTCTCAATTTTTGAACATGTCAGTGAAGTGATCAAACAATTTGGACGGAAGTTATTCAAAGGGAAGGGGTCCATACCGTGCTCTGGAGCATGACGATCAAGAAGAAATGGTCAATCTGTCAACTCGTATCAGCTAATTCCAGAAAGAATTCATATTCATAATGTCATGTTATTATTTCCTCTCCCTTCTTCAGTTCTCCTATTTAACGCTCAGCGAGTTTGCCTCACTTTGCTGGGTCATGGTTTAAAATTTGAGGAAGAGAGCAAGTACTATCAGCTGGCTTTGGACGAAACTAAAACGAGGTGATGCTCCCAAGAAAGCTAGTTCTAGCTCTAGGATGGTATTGACTCAACACCCCCGGAGCATCCACGGCATCTTCGATCACGGCGATGTCTTCATAGTAGGCGTAGGCCATTTGACTTAATCCTACAATCGGGACCTGAGATCTGAAATCTGAACTTGATTCTACTGTGAAATCTTCCACAGGACGCCTTGTCTATCTTAGTATCGCAAGAAATAGAATTCTATTTATGAGTTCCTTGTTTGTCCGTCAGGTAGGGCTACAGCGCTGATTCTCATAATTCCATTGAAATGCAACCAGTATCCCGTAGAAATGTATAACCGAGGCCATGAAAACCAAGACATGAAATATTTGGTGAGAGGCGCCCCAAATATCAAAATTTTCAGGCTTCCATGACTCCGGAAAGTGTGTCTGAGATCGATGAGCGCTATATCTCGCTTCTAAAATGTATTCGCTACTTACAGCATAAAAGAATACACCAGTAATGAGAACTAGACCTTCAAGGTAATAGTACCGCAGCCCTGCCTGTTGGTCCAGCTGTTCGTACGGAAAGAGACAAGAGGCATGGATAATGGGCGCGAAGGCTGACAGTGCCGTTGCCACAAACGTCGACAGCCGTAAGGTTCTCCACTCCTTGCTTTGCAAGCGAGGATGTACCACGACAATTCCAGTCAAGAGGCCCAAAATGCTAATCTACGAATCAGATAAGATAACCACCACAAAGCAGCAAGAGAAGAATTTTCACGCACCATCGACCAGTAGCCTTTCTGTAAATGTGGCTCACAGTAGAACCCCATATAGAGTCCTGAGATGAACGACCCGATGATCTGGAAAATAATCGCAACATAATCAAACCGGGCGCAGAGACTTGCAAAATGGGCGGAGTGACATAGCAGGGTATGGTAGGTTGACGAGATACCGAAACAGATCATCGAGGTTGTCAGATAGACATGGAACACGAGCTGATCGGTCCAAGATGCACGTGGAAAAGAAAAGGTAAAATATACATAGAGGAGGCCGTTGCTTAACAAAGCCAACACGGCCGGAATGAGATGCGAGTACACATTGACCGTCTCGTTGTGCAAGTACGCCAAACTCTCGAAGCAAAGGCGCGCGGAAGGTGTCACAGGGCGATAGCCAGTGCGAATGTAGGTATTATGGGCATACCACGTTGGAACATCCTCGCTATTGAGCAACCATGGTCGCGAACGTGTGCGGTCAAGTTTCTTCAGTAGCGGGGCGTCACTGCGGTCCGTCCCGCTCGCCATCCTCTCAATAGGGGACGTGCGTCTGCGCAGCACCATTGGCTAGGGCTTTGGTCGCTCTTTGTTGGATTGTTTGTAGGGTGAATCTAAGGGGATGGGGGAAGAGAGAATCGGAGCAGTTTAGTGCGTTGGCTAGGGATGTATCGGCGGCACCCTCCTGGAACGAGATTACCAGAAACCCCCACGTTCCAATTTCATGCCCGGCAACCGCAGCGCGAACGCCTTAGCTTCGACATGAAATTCAGTTTACAGCCGCAAACCCCCTACTGTTGGTACCGTGACGCACTTCTCCCCGGGCAAGCTGATGAAGTGTCTACGCTGGCCCCTCCCCACCACCTAGTATATATATATTTCCTTTCTGTCAGGGCACTTTCCAAACGCGGCTGTACATATAATAGGAGTGAATCTTTCTTGTAGCGTTCAGAGACACGATCTAACTGACTAGCTTGAGTCATGACAGATACAGCGAGATCCATCTATCAACTGACCCTTCCAGTCCGATTCTAACTCGTATCACCTGACTGTCTACTGGTGAATCATCCCCCGCAGTGGGTCCCGTGTTGTCGGTGCCTGACCGCCCCGTCTGTGTTTACCTATTGACCTATTTACACCTTCCTCTATCATCCCTCCTCCTACTATGCGACACCCATACATCTATCAGACATGTCCAACGGTGCTGACAGTGACAGCCGCTGGGGCACTCTGATCAACCCGGACAAGAGCCCGGCTCCGCTACTCGAACAGCTATGTCTCGGTATCGCACAGTTGATGGTCAGTCAGTTCTACAATCCGAGACGCATGCAGACAGACAATGACTCTCCTTACTTGCAGCCCTCATTTTGCGCGGGCGGATCGGCCGATCTGACTCCCGAGCGACTCGCTGCTTTCTACCGCAAAGTCGGAGGCAACTATGATGCCTTGTTCCTCGAGACTAAATCCCAAGCGCTGTCCTTCATCTACCAGTCGCTGGGATGTTTCCACAGCCTCCAACCATCCACAAACCCTTACGAACCCCCCCTCGACCCCCTCGCTCCTCCCAAATGGATTCGTGCGGTGGCAGACCATCCAACTGTTGATGGACCCGGACGAGCACTCGCGATATCTGCAGAACGCTGTCAGTCTCTGGAATCTCACCGATGCAAATGGTGAACCTTTCCCCAAGGAGATACCCCGGGATGCATTTCCCTCCGAGCCAGATCCGGAAATGCTGCAGTGGCACGAAGGAGTCAGTAAGCGACTTGAATACGACTATGTCCAGAGGAACACTCCCCGTCCATGTTCCCCCAACCCTGGGGGGTATTACGGCCATGGCAGCAAGGACTACGGAGATGATTACTTCTCGCACATGCCTCGCGGGTCAGGACGGCGTCGAAGTCATTTTGACTCACTGGGGAGTCGGCGTCGTGCTCGCAAGCCGCACCCCGCGTTTAACCCCCCGCCAAACGAACCACGGTCTGGGTTCGCGTCACCACGAGTCCCAACTCCGCCTCCATGGCCAGAGCGTCCTCCTCGGAAATCTCGAGATCGCACAGCTTGGGCGGGACGCTCTGTGAGTCCGTCGACAAGAGACGCCGATGACGCGTCGGCGGAGTCGTCCACCGATTCAGTCGACGAGTCTCTACGGGAGAAGAAGAGTCGAGACAAGCGCAATTTATCACCGCCGGCAGCCTCTCGAGCAAGACGGCATTCCCACGACGCGTACACGCGCAAACCTGTCCGTGATCTTTCTCCAGCAGCACCTCGGCGGCAACGCCGCAGCCACGGATCGAGATCAAGCAAATCACAAATATTCGAAGAGCGTCCTCGATCGAAACCGCCCGGCGTCAAATTTCGAGAATATATCTTCGATGATCCTGTCCCTCCACCAGCTCGAGAATTCCCATACCCGCAAGGCCCAGCACCATCTCCACCTGCACCACCGCCACCGCCACGATACCTACCCCGTCATCGCAACTTGGATCCCTACGATGAGACCCGGCGAATGAGCTACAGCGGCGGCAGTGGGAGTGGCAGTCGGCCTGGAAGCGGGGGAGGCAGCAGCTCCGAGCGCCCAAGATCATACAGCAATGCTGGACTTCACTCGCGACTTTCTCGTCGGACTAGTCCGATACGTAGCTCTGCTGCGAAACGATATATCCCCACCAGTGTTGCAGAAGACGATGCCTATATGGGTCCACGGAGAGCACCCGTATACGACTGACAGACGTTCCCCTTGGATTGGGTTGTCTAATAGATCTGGGAGACCTTATTGAATTCTTCTTCTTTGGCACATACGCCTGTCTTCACATTCCACTCTGCTGAGACCTCTCTTCTCCCATTACCACTGACTCTACTCATGATTCTATGCATCTTACGCCAGATTGATCTACCAGCATATGCACATGACTTACGATTTGAAAGGACACACGATTGATTTTAGCGGAACTCTACTCTTTATCTCTTTTCATTTTATGACTATGACTACTGGCCTGCCAGTTACCCTGTTTTCACGTGGTTTACGACTGATATACGATCTATGAGCTAGGACTAGGAATGCATTTACGTATCATGGAAAGCCAGCTTCACTTCTAGAATTATTGATCGTGGCAGTATGTAACAAAAGACAGCGACTCAGAATTAGTGATAGTTAGCATCAAGGAATAGGTATACTAGTTTTTGAATTCAGTTATAGACGCCTCCAAATGCCAGGCCCTCAGAGCGGTGAGGGCTCGACTTGTAGTGGGCGGGTACGAGGCAGTCCCACCTCGGCTTGCAATCTGTTCACAGAGGCAGAAGTCCCTGTCTTTCGCACGTCAGGGCCCTACACTCAGCCTCTGCCCTTTGGCGGTGACCATGACGAGGGCCCAACTCCCTGCCGAGATATTCATTCACATCGCAGTGTATTTAGAACCTGACGCATGTTACAGACTCATCCAGGCTGTTGATGGCCTGGATCAACTTCTCGCACATGAGAAATTCACGAGGAAGGTGAGAAGAACCGGAGATACAATTGTGCACCTGGCCGCAAGCCAAGGCAATGAAAAGATAATACAAACTATTATTGCGAAGGCCGTGAACATCCAAGTCCGAAATAATCATGGGGTCACGCCTTTAGCCCTGGCTGCACATCGAGGACATAAAGCAATTGTGGAGTTTCTCATATCTGCTGACGCAAACGTCAACGAATTGGATAATCGTGGGTTTACTCCCCTACATGGCGCGGCCTACCATGGATCAGATATGGTGCTCCAAGTACTCCTTGATGCTGGTGCAAATCCCTATACGACCACTTATCGCGGTACCGCACTACATATGGCCATACGGAATGGTCATCTTTCGACTGTATCACTGCTTCTGGGGAGAATGCGGATGCCCCCGGATACGACAGACATACGGAGTGGCGCTCTGGAAGTGGCAGCAAAATACGGCCGTACGGCAGTTTTCCAGCAGCTTATTGAGGCTCGATTTGAGATTTCAGACAAGACTTTGCAAGCTGCCGCTTCGTCAGGAAGAGCAAAGATAGTCAAAATCCTTCTTTCTCAAGTATCTTTCCCAGAGAGTGCAAGGCGTGCAGCGCTGCTTCAGTCTGTTAAGCTTGGGTACACTTCGGTGGTACGGTTACTTGTTAGGACCGGCCTGAATATCTCGAAAGTGGACACCGAATTGGCCGAGTCATTAGGCTATTCAGGCAGTATCAGAATACTTCGACTTCTTGATGATACGTGGGTCGATTCGAACAGATCCTTAATATTGCGTTTTGCTGCCAGCCGAGGCCATACTGCAATGGTTGAATATTTTGCCCATTCACGATGGTTGAACCATGAGATGTGCAGACAAGCGCTCCATGCTGCCGCTCTTGTAGGCCATTATGCCGTGGTTAAGACTCTTCTTGACTCTGGTTTTGAGATGGACAAAAAGAAAAGGAAAAGATGGTTTGCGAAGTGTCTACGGCTGGTCATCTAGCGGTGCTGGATTTAGTCTTAGGACCTAGGGCTCAATCCGACATTCTGGCGCTTTATCCTGCTGTTTGTGCTGGAAACGTTGAGAGGGTTCATGCTATCCTGAATTCCGAGATCGATACCTCTACAACTGACTGGCAGCACATTCGTTGGTTCCGGATGTCCTTGGGCAAAGCAGCTGAAAATGGCTATACTGCGATAGTAGAGCTACTCTTGAATGCAGGCGTAGCACCGGACGGTCCAGATGACCATGGTCTTGAAAGGGGCCCTGCGCTCTACAAAGCAGCCAGAGAAGGCCACAGGGAGGTGGTTGATTTGCTTGTCAAAGCTGGAGCCGATATTTCTCGTCAAAGTCATGGGAACTACCACCTCTTATCTAACTACGACGAACACGGACACACTGCGCTCTATATCGCTGCTGGTGGAGGGCATGTGGCAGTGATTGACTACCTCATTTCTTCCGGGGCACTGGTTTCCTTACAGGGTGCAGAAGGTCATACGGCACTACATGCTGCGGCAAGGGCTGGCCACAGTGCAGCAGTGGAGCTCCTCATCAATGTCGGTGCCGATCTCTCCGTCCAAGCCTACTCCGGGGCCACACCCCTCCATTATGCTGCACAGTATGATCATGCTCAGGTAGTTAAGCTGCTTCTCGATCGCGGAGCTGATCCGTCCATCCTAGATCGTGAAGGAAGGTCTGCTCTGACTCGAGCAATTGAGTTTCACCGCGCTGAGGTGGTTGAAATATTCACTGCGGCAGAAAATTGTATAAAATGACTAGATTGTTCCATATATAGGTCAAAAAGATTGGGACTACTGAACCGCTGAGCCACGAGTCGAACGTGGGACCTCCTGATCCCGAACCAGGAATCATTACCAACTAGACTACACAGGATTCAGTAGCCCAGTTCGGAAGATAGCGAAGTTAATCAATTAATTGATGAAACGAATACCGCAAACTCTGGTGGACAGTCAATTACCAGGATGAGCAATCCCCAGGACTTCAAGCGAAGCTCCGACAATGTGTTCCAAATTTACTGAGAAGAGCCAAAGTTGGTTCAAAGTCAATTGAAAGAGAGAGAATCGGGCCCGTTTGATAACATACAATGTGTGGATTTCATCGCCGGAAGTCTTAACTGAGGTCGAAAACGATTGTACAAATACACATCTTTTGATTAAAAACCATCCTCGAATTAGGCAACAAGATTTATCCAAATCACCGCCCCGTCCACGTAATAGCAAAGAACAGGAAAACACCCAAAAGCGCCAATCCAAGCAGAACAACGAAAACCCTCTCCAAACCACTCATATGCGTCCAATCATCTTGAATCCGATCTGGCGGGTTGTTGAATGTGTTGTATACAAAGCCAGGGTTGTGGATCTCCTGTGCGGGGTCTGTAGCGGGATCGGGAACAGGATGGGGATGGTGAGGAGGTAAGTCGTGGTTCTAGATTGAGCGAGTTAGTTACTTGAGAAGATGGAGTTGGATTTGGATGAGGTATAGTATATTTACGTGGTGGGAGGAGTCTGTCATGTTCATGTGGATGGGTTGCTGGTTAAGGTGGTGTTTATCGTTAACTAGGCATTCTAGGTGTTTATTCAGCTCAGCCTTGTCAGGGCGATGGGGAAGGATCCACAGTCTGAGGTTGCTTCTATTTTAGGAAAATGCTCCGTATATGATCAGGGGTCATTCATTGATCTATACATATCTTTATACTACGCCACACATCTGCGTGATAAAATCGGGGGCCGAAAATGCTACCACTCAAAAAAAAAAAAGGACCGTGGAAGGCAGAAAGAGCTGAAAGTAGGGCAATCCCATATCTCTACAAGTACATTCCTCTCGAAGTGACTCGAGCCAGACCAAATCAGTGATGGTATGCGCGGATTTATCGGTGCTTTCCTGTCAGGCGACTTGTATGCACAAAGCAAATATCATATTAAGACCAAAATACTTGATTTAAAGGGCAGTGTTGAACGTCCTACCATCAATTATGAATAGATTACTGACTGATAGGGGTGCTAAATACAACTAGCAACCCTCTTTCCCTTGAGTCCCTAAAGTCAAAATTTGTATTATTCTGCAACTGCTGAACGACAATCCATCGCACTAAATACCCCCAAACTCATATCCACGTCTACTGACCTTTATAAATAGCCGTGGCATTGGCGAGGAAGGTAGTAAATGCCTCCTCAGCGGTAACAGGGGTGATCGAGTCAGGAAGATTTTGACCCTGGTCATTACGGTCATTAACAGTCTTAGCCTTCGTCTTCTTAACCCAGGCCTGAGCGGCATTGAACTCGCCCTCTGCCCTATTCTTGTCCCCTGCATCGAGCGCGTCGAGCATAGCAATCAAGTGCTGGCAGGCGTGTGCCCACTGCATCGCAACCGTCGACCAGGGCGCCACGTCCGAGGCGAAGCCCTTCATTGCCATGCGGGGAAGGACGTCTGGCAGTGTGGTGAGGAGTGCGAGGCGCTTGTGCAGCGCCAAGGTGTTGCCGTAGCCGTGGCCGTGACTGTGTCCGCCTTGGTAATGAGATGAATGGTTGCGAGCGGCCCAGAAAGCTGCAATGTCTTTGTTCAGCTGGGGCGAGTTGACCGCGGGGGTGCGGTATGGCCAGTTCTGGTTAAGGTCGGAGAACGCGAGGACTGCGTCGTGGACGATTGGGTCACTACCCGTGAGCTCCCAAAGGATTGCAGTCATCGATTCGTCGGCGTTGTACGCCGGCCCGTTCCAGGTGTAGTCGCCATAGTTGGCAAGTGCGGGCATGGAGGCGTATGCCTCCTCCATTGGATTCGAGGTGAAGCCTAGGAGATATTTGTACAGGGTTGCGGAACGCCCAGTGAGCGGGTTAAGGAACAGGCGGTCACGATTGCCGTCGTTGACGGGGAAATTGTCCCACAAGAACATGTTGTCTGTGACGTATGTCGAGTCGGCCTGTTGGACGCTTGTGTCATTGATCTGGTCACTGAAGACTCCTTCGCCGGTCCACTGAATGCGGATGTTCTTGTCCAGCTTCGTGCCGAACTCTCCCTTGTAGGGGTCTGGTGCACTGCCGGCGTAGTTGGTCGGGACGGTCTCAAGGTTGTTAAGGCCATTCGGTTCGATGTACTCCTTCTGGATACGGTTCAGATAATAAGCCTGAGAGTCGGCCAGCCAGTGGTAGTTGCCCGTGTTGTTCCACCTCTTCTTGTCTGCTGCGCAGTGGAACTCAAGAGGGATGTCGTCTAAAGCAATGTAAAAGCTGCGGACACCAAGCTGGCGAGCCTGGTTAAACTTGGTGATTGTAGCGTTGAAGTCGGCGTTTGACGAGTAGCACACGTCTAATCCGGGCGACAGAGCAAAGGTGAAGTCGACGTGGTTGGTGTTAGCGGTGTTGATGAGTTCCTTGAGCTGGGAGTAGGCGGTGCCATTGTAAAGAGTGCGCCAATTCGCGCGAAGGAGCGGGTCATCCTTGGGCGTGTAGATGTAGGTGTTCATCTTGTGCTTGCCGTAGAAAACTAACTGGTCGAGACGCGCCTGATGAGACCAGGGAACTCCGTAGAAGCCCTCGATCGAGCCACGGATTGACATGAGCGGCCAGTCACGTACTTGAACACCTGGAACATGGTGACCGTCTACAAGTTGGCGAAGGGTTTGTGACGCGTAGAAAGTGCCGCGTCCGTCTACGCCATTGAGGACAATGGTCGGCCGGTACTCATACTCGCCAGATGCAAGAACGTAGCCATCGGCGGCGAGGCCATTCGCTGGTTTGCCCGTAAGCGCCTTGGCAATGGCGGCAGCGGCGCCATTCTCCGCCTCGGTGCCAATAACGATCTGCGCACCATGGCCGGTAGGATGGGACGAGACGACGGCATGCCCACCGGCGGAAAGCACTACCGCCTTTACTGTGTTAATTGTGGCCGGGTCCGTGACATTGCCGGTCACGATGGTGACAGGTCCGTCTAGTGAGACCCCCCAGCCGGACGATGAAATATGTTGCGGAGGGGGCCATACCGCAGGGAGTCTGTTGTCCCTGCCACTTTGGGTCGTGGGTGCAGAGTTGACCGGCCCGAGACTGAGGAGGGCCACAAGACAAGCCCGAAGGCACGTAGTGCGAGACGGATAGAACATGGTGGTATGAGGATCCAACGTGGTCAAGGGCAGGGCATGGTATATATACTTCGCTGAGGCGGGTATTGCCAAGTAGGATAGCACCTGAAAGCGATATCCGTGGGTGACATCGAGAAATAGGCTTATTATTCCGCACGAGTTCCGTCTACTCTATCTCGCGTGTAACGTTGCGATCGCAAGCGCATTTCCAAGGCCCGAGGTGGGGTTAACATGTTGAGATCAACATTCCCCACACTTAGACATCTTGGCTTCCCAACAGGGTCACATTTTTACGAGCGGCTACCGAATCTAAGTGGAAGGTTCAACAATCCTGATATTTACACATCTTGAGGGGTTTATTCTCATGACTAGATGCGGGGCTCAGTGTCGAAGGGTCACATCCCCGTATATATACAACCGGAATTGACTCCAACGGTGCGGTATCATGAAACTATTTCAAACAGGCTTGTCCGCTACAGAGGACTAAATCAAAAGCTAGCCTGCGCAGTTTACTGATTTTTACAATCCGATAACGGAATCACCAACATAGAAGACAAGACATTCTGTTTACTGCTGGCCATAGCCATTATATAACTCGTATAGAGATTGTGGCTCATTCGGGAACTACTGCAGATAAATATCCTAATACCCGCATTCTACGTTAATCAGAAATAGTACCTTTTTTTCCCCGAACACAAGGTTTTCAAATGCCCCGAACATAGCTCAACACACTCTTGCCATTGACATGCCCAAAGCACTGGACCCTCTTTTGAGGCGTTCACTTGATGACCCACGACCGGTTATAGTTCTGACATGTGGCATCGCAGGTATGAGCAGTCTAAACTGCCAATGACAACAAACAATAGCCAAAAAGAAAGGGAGAAAAGGTCAATTTTAATCTTTGCCCAGAATCAGGGCAATCCACGCTATCCAAAGCGATTTTCTGCAAATATCCATCTTTTGAACGTCTCTCGATTGACTCTCACATCTACAGCAAACACGGGTTGTACTCAATCGATTATCCAACCGAACGATACGAACAATATCCAAAAAAGACCGAGGAAACACTTCGGAGTGGATTGATCAGACTACTGGTGCTAACGAACAACAACGAGATCTTAGATTTCTGGTTCTCATTTCGACAAACTCGAGATAAGTGAAAAGACCCATTGACGCAGGAGGTGGTCGTTGGATCCTTGTGCACCTTGATGTCAATGAAGAAGAATTGCGTCGACGAGTGAAGGAGAGGAATCAGTTAGATGTTAAGGATGGCGATTGAGCATATTAGTGACAGATGAGGTGCTTGAGAAGTATATAGTGGGGTTTGAGAAGCCAGATGGAGAAGGGGAGAATCTGTTGCATTTACAGTGCATGAGTTATTCATTATTGCGTCGCCAAGGTATGTAGATAAAAATGAGATTAAAGCATTCTCTATGTCATCTTAGCGCGCTGGAAAGTGAACCCATAGTCCCTAAAGACTGCACACTTATCCGTATCTGCAAAGTTAACAGTAGCATGTGAAGGTGGCATTCCAAGAAATGAAAGATTGCCATCTGAAGAACTGTACGGCTGGATTTCATAGCCATGTCCGTCTCCAGTCTTGCCACCAGCAAAGATAGCATGCGTAGTGGCGTATGCAGGGCCACGAACCTTCAGGAACTCAAGATTCGGGTTCGGATTGTGCGTGCGGAACCAGGCACCCCAGACATCGTGCAAGAGTTGGGAGTGGCGGATATCCAGATCATCGTAGTAGGGCGCCACGTTCAAAGTTTTCGAGTTGAGGGTACCCCAGGCAAGGAGGACATCAGACGAATGACAGGTGGCATTGTATTCGCTGTTCGGAGAGCAGATGGCAGGAACGCCAACATTTGTCTGGATGTGTCCCTGGGAAATTTCCACTTCATAAAGAGACGGGAATGCATTCTTGGCATGATTGAGAAGCCAGCCCTGGGCACATTCCCATTCAGAGTATGTCACTGCCGTTGCAGCAGCATTGCGCACGCCGTCGGGATCAGACCAGTTGGCCTCGAATGCACCGGAAAGGGTCATTTTTGTGCCAAGGTCAGTCCCATAGGCAATCTCGAACACCGCATCAAGTGCAGCTTGCGTGTCTCCAAGCTCGGGGATTTCGGCATCTACATAAAGCCCTGCTTCGTCATGGACTGTCGTGAACATTGTCGGGACATGATTAGGTAGTTTATCTTCCGTGAGCAGGCGGTAGAACTGATCATCCACAACACCGTAGTTGGAATCATCGAGCATGGGCATGAAGGGCTCTTGCGAGGAGAGAAGTTTGGTATTGTGATAGTAGTGGGTGGCAAGATCGGACGCGATCGTGGACTCAGCATCTCCAAAAGCGGTGGAATTGTCCAGATACATATCAGCCGGCACTGAGCGAAGACACTTCAGAAGCTCTGCCTCGGAACTATCACTGTCACAGCCGACTGCTTTGCCTACCGTAGGGGCAATGTACTGCGAGTATAGGGCACGTGGAAACCACGGAAGATCAAGCGGTGCTGACTGGACAAGCGCTCCTGAGAAGAGACCCTTGGCTGCGCTAGAAGACAACAGAGCCACCGCGCTCTGGCCGCCGGCAGACTGTCCGAAGATAGTGACGCGGGATGGATCTCCCCCAAAGGCAGCAATATGCTCTTTTACCCATCGCAACGCCATTATCTGGTCCCGGATACCATAGCTACCAGTAGTGAGCTTGCCAGTCGCCAAGAAACCCAAGGCGCCGACACGATAGTTGAGAGTCACAATCACGACGTCACTGCGACTAGCAAAGTTGCCACCGTCATAGTCGACCATTGACGAGGTACCCTCCAGGAAGGATCCGCCATAGAGATAGACAGCCACAGGGCGACCGCCAGTGTGTTCATCCCTCTGAGTTGGCAGAACGGGCGTGTACACGTTCAAAAACAGGCAATCCTCAGAGATTGGGCCGTTATCAAGAGTTCCATAGCTGGAGTTTGACTGAATGCATGAGGCTCCCAGCTTGGTTGCGTCGATATTCTTGGAACCAGAGTAGGCTTGCGGCGGAGCAAATCGCAATTTGCCCAGTGGAGGGTTTGCAAATGGAATTCCCAAGAACCGGAATGAACGTGCATCGCGATATCCGGTCACCCTGTAGTCGTGAGACGCGACAGTAATTTTGGACGATTCCATAACCGTGCGGTCTATGTCTTTTGTCGGGGGTGGACTAGACGTGCAGAGAGCCGGGAGCTGCGAGTTGCAGGAGACGCGAACAAGGCCCTTGTGGGAGCATGAAAGCGCATAGCAATCTTTGCCGGGGGCGGAATGGGACACCCAAAGCTCTTGACCTTCGGGAAATTCGTGGGCAAAGACAAGGTAATCCAACTCATACCCCAGGTGGTTTTGGTTGAGTGAAGGCTCAGATGACCAGGGATGCAGCTTCTCGCCGATGGTTGCGCACCGGGCGGTAGCTTCTGCATGGCTCAGTCGATCGTGCACTAGAACTGCCGAGCTGCCATTGTTCTGCGGGCCCAGGTTATTGTAGTGCAACACCTGAAGAGTTCCTACAGAGTCAAGACTGGGACAACGATGTGGTTTGAAAGAAGGGGCTGCCAGAGCCAGACTGCCCAAAAGTAACGCGCCCGCCAGAACGGTCATTTTGTTTCAGTCGGATTCGCTGTCTTAGGCACAGCGAAAAACATGGCGAACGCATGGGGAACAGCTCTTCCTTAAGGGCTGTCTCAGTCGCTTAGCGTGAGCCGAACCTCATATCGGAAAGCCCGGGGGTTAGTGGACCCTGACTTGGAGCGTATAGACGATAGCGTAGTGTCCGTGAGCCGGACGATCAACGGAAATGCGGAGAGTCCGGGCATGTGGTACCGACGTGGCTTATGGCGCCTCTCAGAGTCTACGCTGTCCGTCATTTGATGACCGTAATTTGGAAAGCATATCCGAGTGCCTTTAATTATTCTGGTAATTGGAGGGGAAACGAACAGCAACCGAGGATGTGTATGTTTGGTGGATCCGCTCTCAAGGTATACCAGAGTAGGTTAGCACATCCTTTCTCAGGATTCTCGATCTCGCTTAGAATAAACAGAACAACAAAGGAGTGTCGTGAGACAACATTCAGCCTCGGGAGGTGCTTGGGAGTTGTGGCGGTTGAGATTTAATGTAAATAATTGCCGATCCAACCAATCCATCTCATGCTTCGTAGAAAGTGATCTTTTGCCGACTGACGTATCATAAATAACCTTGGAACCAACTTGCTTGCCATAGCTTGAATAATCCTCACATGAATCCTAGGGTAGGTACGTGTTCACTGAATAGGAAGCAGCAGCATCGTCTTGTAGCCGTCTGGTTCAATGGGTTCTGCCCGTTACCTATAGCTCGCTGGAGTAAACTCATGGAATTTGTAAGAACTATCTAAACTTGATCACAAAGCAAACCGGTTAATCCCTGTCAAATTTCCGAGCAAGCGACGACTGCTGACTCATAATCCACAGGGGTCAGGGACATCAATATTGCGGGGTAAATGTAGGGCCAGGATTACCGACGATGTGGATCCGCTTGCTGTCAACAACCATGCAAATACTCGGGTACCTCCAGGACATTTAGTTCGCTAATTGCCTAAAGGTATGCTGGGGGTCCTAAGACAGCTATCGAATTCCGGAATCTAGTCGCTTATGCTAAAGCTTCACCATATTAGACGGGAGAGAAGTAGTAGTCATGGTTTGATTTGCCACGGATATAGGACGTGGACTTAGCTGCTTATCGTAGAAGGTAGATTCGTCAACCTATATCGTCAGAGGACGTTTGTGCTTGAACAGGTCGCTTTTCGTTATGGTGTGTGAACTTTGCAATGTGTAGGAGATGCGGTAGCGGTCGCTCATTAGGCAGTGACTTCTTATAGCTTTTTAGCGATGCTTGACACTCGTGGACGTAAGGGGACCTTATATAAAATGAACGCGCTAAGAAGATTTTGTACATTCTGTACGGCCGAGGGTTAGCCGCCTTAGTTTTACAATATCCAATTTAAAAACCTGTTGAACGTGCTACTACTTATGTTAGTCAATTAGCACTAATGGACATTCATTTTTGACCATTAAATAGTCAATATGTTGTGGTTATTCAACGTGAATACCTCATTTAAGTGCACGTTGCCACTACCTATTTGGATATAATCTTTAGCCTGCACTAATTACCCTACGAGTATTGATAGTAGGGCAAGCGCCAATCTCCATGTCTCCCTCATTTTCCTCCGCTTTTGCTGGTTTCACGACTTGTTGCCTTCAATTTTAAACCGTTTTGAACGTCAACAGGAAAAAGTTGAATAAGCTATCATTGTAAGCTGAGGATGTGCTGCCATAGCTCTAACGACTGTGGCCTTTTGACCCTCTCTAGGAGAAGAATCTCCCTGGTCTCTAGAGTCATCCAGTCAAGGTCTAAGCCATATTTGCTACCTGGCAATAAAATGAAGGCTTGTACGCCTTTCTTATGCCAGGCATGCGCCGCGGACAAGCGGCAATGCGACCGGATTTGACCCGGGTGTAGCAGATGCCCAAGCAATGGCCTTGATTGCGAATACAACAATATATACTCTTGCCGTCACAAATTGATTCCACCACTTCCCAGCAGTCTGCTGAATCTTACCACCGCTTCATTCATTCTGTGTCATTCGGAGAATTGCTAGGCTCTTTCCAGGCCTTACTCCTCCGACAATGCGTTCTCGCTTTGAATGAAGACGTTCATACCCAGTACTCCGAGCCAACAGGTGCAATGCTTTGAACCATAGCCAATCGACTATGGCAACAGGCTCCTATCCAGCTTCCCCCAACGCCAGTCCACGACCCGCGTGGATTCTGGCTGAGACTGTGAGGTGTACTATCATTGTGAGCTTAATGCTCCGCAGGGCCTTTTCTCCGAAGACGAGGGATTATTCTGTCCACCCCCTTTGTGGATGCGTTGCCATTTGAAGTACAAACGAATCTATGGGCGACGACACTGAGTCAATGTGGGCGAATTCAAATTCGACACATCTGATTCGATGGTGTCTTTGCATGAATATTCGGTTGCGATTGAAAATGGAGTAGTCCTTAATAATTCTCCGTTTGGAACATTAATTGTGGCTGCCTGTAAAGGGAAAGAGGTCTAGGCAATCTGGTTTCCTTCTATGAGCTCTTATATTAAGAATTTAGTTAAACGAACGGAATTATAACATCGCATTCAACCGAATGCAACAGAGCAACCAGTCCATCAGCTATCCGACTTTCGGCGCAGAAACTGTTTCAACAGCACGGACAGTGTCGCGGTCATCTGCTGATACAACTCCTGCCTCTTGGTCTCGAATGCATTGAAGACATCCTTTGCAGAACCCACCAGAATTTGATCCTCTCCATTTGAAAGCCGGGCCCACATCTCATCAATAAACTCCTGAAGAGGCATGCCGATCAGGTGACCGTCCTTCAGATCAGGCTGATGCCTGGTATCATGGAGCTCAGTCTGCACGGCAGGGGGGTATATTTCTAGTACCTTCACATTGCCAGGGCCATCCTGAAGCTGCGTGCGCAAGACGAGAACGAAATGATGCAGAGCAGCCTTGGACGCACCATAATTGGGGCAGCGCATCATGGGCACAAGGGCCATTTGCGATGTGGTGAATACAATGGCTGCCTGTGACTGCTGCTTCTGGAGATGGGGGATGAAGGCCTTGGTGAGATACACGGCCGACGTGTAGTTGGTAATCAATTCTTGGTCAAGAATGTCCAAGTCAACAGTCTCCGGCTTCGAGAAATCGAAAGGTCGTTGAATGCCGGAGTTGACGAAAACGCAGTCTAGGTCGGGAACCTCTGTGATCACTTCCGATGCAAATTGGGGGATCTATGTCAATAACAAAAATCGAGTTACTCCTCATTATGGCGGGTCTCTTCTATAATTTCAAAACCGACCTTGTCTAAATGCGTGATATCGAACACTCTTGCCTTGACTTTGTTGTCGCCGTGTTTCTGGACGAAATCGTCCAGTTCCTCTTTTCTCCGCCCAGAAACTATAACCTGCGTTCCATTTTCCACGAGTTTCGTGGCCAGCGCTTTTCCGATGCCAGATGTGGCACCGATCACAAGCACCTTCTTGTATGTGAATGGCATGTTATTTATTGAGAAAAAATAATCTGACAATGTTGTCAAGAAATTCAAATTCGGAAACTTTGTGCTTGTTCCAGTCCTTTTTCTTGCTATATATACTACTTATCAAGGCAGAACATGGGGCTTTGCTACGATATGTCATCATGTTACATTTTGTTTTACCAAAGTGCGTAGACTAAACCTAATGAAGACTAGGTGAAATGGTTGGAATGGGTGGAACGGGTGGGATGAGATCATAATACCGCATCCATCGAAATAATTGTCATTTAGCAGATTAACTCATCAGTAGCCTGCATTTTCCTTATTTGTATCGAGCCCTCATTGTTCTCGTTTCCGTTCCCGTTCTCTTCTTCCCGTGCCCCAACATGGCACAGCTGACAGGTGGGTCCGTATTTACTGCGGCGGATAGCCATTCGCAGCCAAATACGGTCCCAAAAAGGCAGCCCGCAACTTGCTGAACCGAGTAATGCAAAAGGGGATGAACGTTGATAGAGAGCGCAAGCAGGCGCATTGTCTCGGCTCAATAGTCAAATATTACGGGTTTGTACTTGAATCTAATTTGACTTGACGGAAGAAGAAGTTCATTCTAGGGAAGCCATGTTCCTAAGCCAACGGCATACGGAATTGGAGCTCATATGGATGTACCTCAGAAGCAGATAAAAAGAAGAGATGTAAGAGGGCTTTTATATAGTGCATAACTCGAAAACATATGGCTCAGTGGACAAGTATCAGGAACTTTTGGCAGACGTCATAGCAACCTTCGTTCCATTGGCGCTTGCCAAAGTCAGAGTGTATGCCTCCTGAAATGTGTTCGGATCACGATTTTCGATCCTATCAAACTGCTGCAAGATCCTTGCTATTGCATAGCCAGCCTCAGTAAGAGCAAATTGTTGCCCAATGCAGATACGAGGGCCTCCATTAAATGGAGCGTATGCCCATCCCGGTTTGAGGCTCTCCCACCTTTCTGGTCGGTACTCGTCTGCATCGAGCCCATAGATTTCAGGCAGTCTGTGCATGGTATAAACACTGTACATAATCTCATGGCCTTCCTTAACAAAGATGGGTGCTTTACCATCTAAACCGCCTCCGATGGGGAGGTAGGTGTTTTTGTTAGCCATGCGCACATTTATAGGGACCACAGGGTACATGCGTAGGCCTTGAGAGTGTTAATAGTATAGCGATTTGTTTCACTGAGATTGGGACTTACTCTCATTCAAGACCCATGTTAAGTATTTCATAGCTTTTAGGTCCCCAAATGAAGGTTTCTCACCGTTGAGAATCTTTATCTCTTTTTGGAGCTTGTTCCAGACGTCCGGTCGTCTGGCCAACATGAAGAACGTGGTACTCAGTAAACTCGCGGTTGTATCACGGCCGGCCAACAATATATTAAGTAACTGATCTGTGAGTTCATTCTTGTCGAGTGTTCGCTTTGACAGCTCGTGTAAGAACACATATCGCTGTGAGCTTATTTTGCGAGCCTCCTCACAGACATCAACCTCGGTGCTATCGAGTTGTATCCGGTAGTTGATAGCTTTGTCTACAAATCGGTTGACATAAGAACGAGCCTCTCTAACTGCTTCGGAGAACCTGCTATCTTTGTAGAACATCATTAGTGTTCCCAGTCGACTGCGTTTAGCCAGCCCTTCTTGAGAAATATTGAAGTTATTGGCAAATGATGCGGCCGAATGAGAGGTAACTTCATCAAGAGTATGCACCGACTCCCCGAAGAGAAAATCCGTAGCAGAATCAAGCGTCTTGTGAACAAGAATTAGCAACAGAAAAGCGCGCAAAGGGACTGATACATGTATACCATTCGGAAAAATAGAGGTTGCAGATCTACTGTTGAGTCATCACCAGGAATGAGTTTGATTAGCTTGGCCACATGATTCTCGTAGACCTCGATGTCGGCAATCTGATTGCGAACAAAATTGGGACGAAGCAGAGCCCGGGAGTTTTCCCACCGGCTGCCATCGGTGCAGAAGATACCGTGTCCTAGGAGGGGACGCAAGGCGGTATTCCGGATTTTGCCCAGCTCGAAGTCTTGGAATTTGAGTGCTAGGACTGTTTGAACGTTTCTAGGTTCAACAGTGAAGATGACGTTTCGGCCGGCCATCTTGGCCTTGAATGTTGTACCGTATATGTGATGCCAGTTACGAATGAACTCGCACAATGTCTTCTTGCGGGCTGCAGCTAGCATGTCCCTCACCATGCCGAGACCAAAAAGGCCGTAGGATACGGTGTTCAGAGGTGGTAAGCAGCCATTATCCCGAGTGAATTTACATGCTAAGTAATTGTTAGTTTTGTTTCTTCTGTGCAATTGGGAACAGAAAGATGACCAACCTTGACGAGTCCGGGCTAGCCTCATTAACGACAGTACAAAAGCCGCGACGGCAGCAGCAATAGCCCAAAGTGGCACGGGAGGCAGATCAAATCGTGGAAAATCCATTATGTTATCCCTTATGACTAGGCCGTGAGACATTGGGAAGCGAGATTTTGACCTTCTATAGTTGCAGCTGAAAACCTCCTTATAGTTCTCTTGTTCTTTGGGTTGGGAAGAGAGGGCGGGCCTCTGACTACTAGGAGGCGGACGGGCGGACCAGTGGCTAAAAAGTCAAGGTATAATGTGGTCGAGACTTCTGTGGCAAACCCACTCCGGCTGCGGCACATTATGTCTTATTTTTGGCGATCATCTGGCGCTGACCTGATCCTTCCTACGCTGTATTTACGCGGGGCTGTCCCTAGTAAGGCGCGTGGAGTTCCTATCTTTTCTCGATTATCTAGATAATTAACGTGACCTGCAAAAAAACATACGAACATCACGGGTTATTTGATTTCATAAAGGGTCGCCATCAGTAAACTTAGGTTGATGAAATAGCAGTAGATTTATGAACTAGTTTTCTAACCCTCAATCTTTACGTGATTGACGAAGGGATTTACACGAGTCTATCTACTATAGCAAGGATACCGTTTACTGAATACGGTTAACGCCCCACTTAACTTTCTGTGGTTCACTTCAAAAAGGCAATTACTTCTTGCGTTGAGATATGATGTCACCACATATTGATCAAAACCAATGCATTTAACAGCAAAATGGGATTCACGTGTACCTGTGTTCAATATTTAATCGTTAAAGAAGTTCCTATTCACTTGAAACTTGAATAAACTTCTCGCCAATATAAGATTAATACTTGGCCTCTGTTGCAATCGACGCAGTGATTTGTCTAGCTGTCTCGCAATGTCTCTTCCTAGAAAGAAAGTCCTGATAACCGGGTGTTCGGACGGTGGCCTGGGCTGTGCCCTTGCTATTGCCTTTAAGGATGCTGGCCTACACGTGTATGCCACAGCTCGCGACCCTTCTAAAATGAGCGAAGTGAAATTGCACGGAATCGAAACACTTACGCTGGATGTGCAGTCGTCTAACTCAGTCACCGCCTGCGTCAGCAAACTCTCTAGCCTGGATATTCTGGTGAACAATGCTGGTGGAGGTTACAGCATGCCATTTTCGGATCTGTCTATTCCGGAGGCGAAGAGATTGTTCGATCTCAACGTGTGGTCTTATCTTACGATCACTCAAGCCTTCTTACCGTTACTTTTACGATCTAAAGGAATGGTCGTCAATCACACGTCCGCCGCATCTATGTGCACTGTGCCATTTCAATCCGCATATAATGCCTCGAAAGCTGCTATAGCGGCATTTTCTGATTCGCAGCGCTTAGAGCTCGAGCCGTTTGGTATCAAGGTTGTGGACTTGAAGACTGGGATGGTATCATCCCATTTTCAACAGAATTTACGGAAATCGACACCTATTTCTTTACCCACAGATTCAATCTACAACTTGGCGAAGGAAAAGGTGGAGGATATGATCCGGGCTGAAAGACTTGAACAGTCAGGTATGCCTGCCGAGCAATGGGCAAAGCTGATTGTGAATGACCTTTTGTCGGACAATCCGCCGTCGCGCATTTGGAGAGGAAACCAGGCAGAGGTAGTGCGAGATTTGACGACTTGCTCATCTGAGACTTTGGAAAGTATTGTGAAGGACGTTACGGAGTTCCGCCTTGTCGAAGAATTGCTACACCAATGAAATCGCAGTTGCCATAGTACCATATCTGAGATCAAGGATAAGTGCATACCAGGTAGAATCTCAAAACGCCATGCTTGAAGCTTTTTGGCGTTAGATTACTATCTTGCTACTTCTTGAACCTTCATTTCCCTATGTCAAATCCAAACCTTCTCTATTATAAAGTCCGCACAAAGTGTGTAATAGTCTTCTGGACATTCATACCGAAAATACATACTGTAGCAGGAAAAGACCATATACCACGTCATACTTCCCGCTCCACCGTGTACTTAGTGGACTGACGCCAAGATTGCCATCAATAAAGGTTGAAGTGTTGAATAATAAACGTAATCCATGTATCTTGAAATGTGAGCGTTTTGTTTTGTGATCCTGTACTGGCTTAACATGTACATGGGCTTTGTATGTTACAGTACCTGACTACATAAAATTACACAATGCGTACGAAAAGCCTGAGAAATTCCATGAAAACCGATAGCTCAATGAGTCTCTGCAAATCACGCGGAGAGGGCGCGGCCCTGGAGCCAGCCTAGGCCCTGGAGCCAGCCTAGTCCCCGGACGATCTGTTAGATAGCTTCAACTTTCCTTCTCAATTTGTATGGCATGCGTGCCCTTTGCCGGTCATCATTCTTGAATGGTACCTCATTGAGTTAGAGAGTATCATAACAGATGATAGAATCGGCAAACTATTTTCTCGACTAGAGTTTTGTTGTTTGCGGGCGAACAACAGCCTTTTCGGCAGGCGATGGCGTAGGCGTCAACTAATAATCACTAACGATAAGTCTGTCATTACAGTAGGCCCGGAGATATGAGGCCCAGTTCTCTCATGAGCCATGATTGTTACGGCGTTCAACAAAGTGAAGCATTGATCCGTGGGACGATACATCGCAATATGCACCAACACCTGGCAACTTCGGTCTACTTAGAGGGCGGTGGTCAACGGCCGGATTTTCCCACCCTCAGTTTTCTCCGTTTCCCACCCTCTGCTTTTGCACAGTCTGTTCTTGCGCGCGCTGGTCTGCGGTACCCCCTTTTTTCGACCACTTCTGTTTATTTTGACCTGGGCCTTCTAGAGACAGTAGCTGCTTTACCGGCAGCCATTCTCCTCTGCCTGTTGACCTTCGTTCATCACTATTGGCCATCGAATACACACCTCACCAACCACCACCACCTGTGTAGGTGATCCGTGTTTAACCCGAGACTGCCATAATTTGCCCGCTGTTACTTTGGTTTTGGTTTAGCGGGGAAATCAGCTATTTTCTACTGCCTCTTACTGCCTTCCGGCCTCACCTTTCTACTGCTGCTGTTAATCTGAATGTTTTACGTACTGAGCACGATGTTCTAAACTAGTTGTTGTTGAAGAGACGCAAAATGGGTGATGACTTAAGTCCTGACTTAAGGCCCTGAGTTGGTAGTTCAGAGATGCATTTTCGAACGAAAACGCTAGAGTTACTTTCAATGAATACAAGAGCCTTTGGTAAGATCGTGAAAATCATAAGCAGTTCATTTGAAGATCCTGTAGACACTTAAACCTGGTGATTTGTCTGATGCGGAGCTGAATACCCCGTGATTATTCAATTGCAAGCATCCCCATTGACAATGCAATATGATCCGGACATATCGGTGGACTGCTATGGCTCACATTCACTTCTTCTTTCACTGTGGTTGATTGCGGTTGTGTACGGTTCGTGGTTGTGGTTCGATCTCTATTTGGCATACCTCCCACCTGAACCAGCGACGATTGACCCAACTCAACAAAACTCAACCACCGATCTAAAAGTGCAGTAGCCCTTTTCATCCCCTGAAGACAAAATTTCGCCAACATGTTGGCTACTCGAACAGGGATTGGGCCAGTGATATCTGGTCTCTCTTCAAAGCCTTTGTCACTGATGAGCTTAGATGAAAGAACCTCTAGTCGATCATGCAACTCAGTGAGTCGTTGTTGACTGCGCGTAATTTCAAGCGCCAATTGTTGCCTTTGAGAGAAATCGGGATTTGTATTTCCGGTGGATATTGCACGCGCTTGTGCAACCAATCCCGGGCAAACCGTGATCGTGTCGAACGCATATTCGACCACATCCCCCAGCTCACTTCCCTTCCCGGCAAGTCTCTCCTGCCTGATCGCGTACTGATTTACAGATCTCCATTCGGGATCTGCTAAAAAGCACGGTTTACCGCAAATAAAAGCTTCCGCAACAAGGAACGAACGAAAAGCGATGAGTAAGGTCCGCCCGAATCCGTCGCGATGAGCGTCAGCTCCCCGAAGGCGAAACAGAGTAGCAATGCCACTAGAATGAGTGAGCCAGGACCTGTGGCCGCCTCCATCTAGTATCTCGTAGATACCACACAAAACTGCAGCACCTAGGGTGCGATCGGATTTGACGGTTGCGGGGTTCTGAATCAAATGAGCTAGAGATCGCAGCCCGTAGGTATACATTGAGCGACTGCAGAAAATTTTGTCGTTGTCTTTGTTTTTTTGGCCTAGATTTAGGGTTCCCAATGTCCGAGTGCCCCAGACCAGAGCGTCAGTTGGTGCGTCACTTTGTTGGCGGACAAAGTCCATGAACGTCACGTCCACACGAGAACTCCAGGCATAGTACAGACCGGGGAAATTGGCGTCGACAAATAAGCTGAACATTTCTTTCTGTTGTACATCGATGGCCATACGGGCTAGATTCGGAGCAACGGACTCGTCTATACTGGAGCAGTGGCCCAGAGCAAGCCCATGATGAATCCATTTGTAGGGTTGGGCAGCGAATGGTCCAGGATCGGCAATAACTTGAAATCCATCTTCGGATAGAATGATAGGGCAAAATTTAATCCGCTTTTCGTATCCAGGGCATTTCTGGCCTCGCTTTTCGCAGCGCTTGCAAGCAGGCCGCGTCTCATCACACTATGGAATTAGCTCATCACTGACTCGTGCTCCCTTGAATGACACTTACCTTGACTCGTCGCTGCAAACAGGTCCGACATCCTCCGCTGCGAGGTACGCCAACCATGGCTAGGGCATAGGAGGATGGATAGAAAGGATGAAGACGCGCTTTCCAACCCGGCTGACTCCCTAGGCGAGGCGTCTCCCGCCAAGACGGCCTGCTCAGCCCCTCTCAGGGTCCTGCACTTGGCAAACTTAGTTCCATGGACAACAACAGCATCTGCAGCAATAATACACCAAAATGAGGATGGTAACCAATAAGAATCAAGGCATTTTACGGACTATCTACTTCTCCGGCCTGCTTTCGCTAGCGATGAATAGAAAGCAGCAAATAAAAGTCCGAATTTATAGACGAAAAAGAACGCAACCCGCAAAAAACACACCTGCTTTTCCCTCTAAAAATCTAAGGGCAAAAAACAGAAGGCCCAAAATTTGACGTTTAGCCATTGTTCTCCAAATAGAAAGGCAGGGTATGCATTGAAATCGACTTGGCAAACATCACCATACTCTCTACCTTCGCTCTGCGGTCCGTGCATCTCCCTAATACTCCAGCATCCACAAGCCTCCGGCTAAACCTATTTCAACCATACTCTGAAGCGAAAAGTTGGCTAATATCAGCACTATATCACGTGGTCAACTAACTAATTATTACTTGTACTGTTTGTTGGAAAATGAGTAACGTTCTCACTTTTGCGCAATCGATGTAGGATAACTGTGCTATAAGCTAGACCAGGAACAGAGGCAGAAACACAGAGAGGGATGATTAATCGATATTTCCATTAACTCTAAAACTTGTTCGTAACGACATCCGAAGAAGATATTAAAAAGATAAGCAGAGTCTAGAACCCCCCACGTATTCTCAAGCGCTTCAATCCGCGAATTAAATACTATCGTCGCCCATGCGCTTCTGCGCCAACATATGCGGGGGCAGAACATCCTCAGCGGTCTCATCGACATCGGCGAGATCCTCTTCGACCGAGATATGGTCCTTGATCTTGAAAAGGAAGACAGGGGCGGCGACGACGACGGCACCGGCTAGCAGGCCCCAGTTGGAGGCCAGCTCATTCATATACGGCATCTTGTTCTTGTCCATGCTCCACATGACCGCTGCGCCGGCGGACTGCAGACCCTTGTAGAAGCCTGCCAGGTTGGCGAGTTTGCGGCCTGAGTTACCGAGGGCACCCATCAACCTAAGGAAGACGTTAGTTTGAGGCAGACGATGTGGGAGAGGACGAGAAGGAAAACTCACCAGTAAACAGTGCCCTGCCAGCAGGCGTCGAACATGCCATAGAAGAAATACAGGAACATAGGGCCGAGGAAGCCTGAATGGGTCCAGTCCCAGGCGTGAAACCCGTTAGGGTTTTTCTTCGGGTCGTACGCGACGGTGCTCTCGCGGGTGTATCCCTTCTGCCAGGCATAGCCACCGCCCCAGATGGCCATGGTGATAGTGAACAAGAAGACGAGAGCAGCCTTGGCACGGACAGAGCGACGGAAGTACTTGAGATCGAGCAGGGGGCCCAGGAACAGGGCAGCTACAATCTGCGCAAACCAGTAGAGGAAGTCATTCAGAGCCTTGGTGCGCGTGTTGAAGTAGGCGGCATTCAGACCGTTCTGCTGATAGGTGTAGAACCAGTTGGACGCGAAGAACATGGGGAAAAGAAGAATGACACAGGGCTCGCTGCGGAGGGTCTGCCACAGACCAAAGATCTCGCTGCGCCAGCTGGGGTTCTTCATCAGGATGACCTTTGTGCCATCCTTGCGAATGATCTTGTCGGCGTCGCAGATGAATAGAGCCAGGACGGCACCAAAGGCCATGAGCACGATGAAGGCGATATAAGTGCCATCGGTAACGGTCTTGGCGACCTTGACGTGGATGTTCTCGCCGAGCGGAATCTGTGTGAATATAGGGAATTAGCCATGATGCACGGAAGACCGCCGAAAATCTAAGAAACACATACCAGACTGCCTACGCAAGCGCCGACGTTGAAAATGGACCAGAACCAGGTGAAGTAGCGGCCCTTGCGCGCCTCCGGAGGATAAGACATCATGATGGTCCCCTGGGCGGCCCAGAGGAGACCGGCGCACACGCCGAGCAAGGCGCCGGCGAAGATGTTGAAACCGGGAACATACTTGTGGACCGAGACGAGCAGACTAATTGAGTAGAGGGTGTAACCGATACCGCCAAAGGCCAGCGCGAAGCGAATGCCGACGCGATTGACCACGGATCCGGCGGTGAAACCGACGACGGCGAACGTGCTGTAGAGCGCGGTGTTCTGCGAGAAAGAAAGTCAGCTCCGCTGCTCTCGGGGCGCCTGTGGGGTGCGCATACCATATTGTCGGCCACCTGGGTATCGGTATTTCCCGCACCACCCAGACCCTGCAGCGCATTGAACATGCCCGGACACATGAAGCAGACGAATGCGATCATGCCCAGCTGGATGTGCGGCGATGCGTACCAGCCCAAATCGAAGCTACCAATTTTAATGGACCGGTACATCCAGCCGGCCGGGCGGACGACGCCATCCGTCTCGGTGGTGGTGGATTCGGCGGTTTTCTCGTTCGACGCCATGTCGAAAACCAAAAGGGGGTGTGGGAATGGAACTGGGAAAAGGGGTGTGGGGAGAGCGTGGCTGTGGAGACGAACGAAAGCGAGAGATCCGGGGAAAGAAAAAAAAGAAGGGAAGAGACGGATCTTTTATTATTTCAGACCAACACACAAATGATTCATCACGAGCGAGTCGCACCCCTAATAATATCACCTAAAGGCGCTAATGGATCGGTCATAGATACTACCATTTCCGGCTGCAACGTCGCATTTCACCTTATTTTGCGGGGGTGGGACCTCGCGTGTTGTGGGTGATATATTATTGGCGCCTCGGCTGGACATTCATTCGATAGCAGAGTTACACTACGCCTGGGAACCGGATGGAACACGCGCTTGCGACGCTCGGGTTAGGGGCTCATTTCGGACGCCACTAAGAGCCTCGATAAGGGCTGGGAGCTTGGACCCACTACGAAAGGTGATCTGGGACAGGCTTCCTGAGGATCCACTGCGTTGACAGAAATCCAATTCGCTGCAGTATGTGGTTGGGAGCTGGGTTGGGAATCACGCGAGCGGACAGTCCAGTTCGTGAGGCCCCTTTTCTCCTGGGCCCGGACCAAAATAGCTAAAAAAATGTTGGCCCGCCAGGTCATGTGGTTGGAAAATCTTCACGCTAGTAACGGGATCCCGAAACAGCCTAGGCCGGACTTAGGGTTAGGGTCACGATCCTTGAGCGACGTGTACAGTAGAGGCACAATCAGAGACGAAAAGATAGATAGTAACTTGCGGCGCCATGGCTGGCCTGACATACTACTGTACCTACTTCTCCTGGAACAGTCCCGTGAGGGTGCAATCGAAGAGTCTCTCGAGTTACGCGTCCACCACCGCTAGCCGACTCCGAACCGGCACGTTCTCGCCAAGCCCCGGCTGCGGGAAACCTGACACTTTGACACCCTTCCGAAACATGAGACAATGCGTCGAGCCCCCAAAATGAAACATGCCGATCTGATCCCCCTTGCGCAACCGATCGCCTTCCCGCACGGAGATCTCACACGTGGACACCTCTGCCATGCCAACCCCAATAAAAGCCATCAGCCCAATTGCCGGCTCGTCGCACTCAATCAAGATCACCGCCCGTGTCGCCGTCGCCGTGATGTAGGCTTGCGAAGTGACCTCGCCGGCGAGATCGATGTCATGGGTTTGTCCGCCCGGGTTGCCCACCCCTGAAAACAATGGTTCCGAGTAGTACGTGCCAGGCACGACGTACGCCGCGACGACTTTCCCCGATACGGGCGCGTGCCAGCGGTGGTAGCTCAGCGCGCTCAGAAACGCTTGGTACACCGTGCCTCCGACAAAGGACGGGGCACGTGGGTCGTGTGCCAGCATGTCGAGCACGGAGTACGGCTGGCTCTTCATCCAGAAACTGTCACGTGCCGCGACCTGGTGCGCGATGCGATAGGGTTGCGCCTCGCAGGCGCTGACGATAACACGACCGTCCTCCGGGTCCGCGACGGGGCGCATGCCCTCGCGGAACTGGCGGGTGAAGAAGTCATCCCACGAGGTAAAGCCATGGTGTGGCGCCGATGGGTCGCACTGGAACATGGCCTGGAAATCGAGTGTCGTGGCCATAGTGGGGCCCACCTTCGCGACAGAGGTAAGGTCGCGAGACCCCGAGGGGCCAAACCAGCCATGCGACGAGTCGTTGAGCACCTCTGCCGAAGCTGGCGAGCGCAGAAACTCCCCCCAGGCATCGAGGACTTTCTTGATCATGGCATTGATCTCCGGGTCTAGGAACGCGGCGTATCCGCTCGGCGTGCCCATGGGCCAATCGAGGATGGCATTGATAGGCAACCCGACAAGACCCACGCGGTGGGACTTGTCGGTCCAGGATGGGGCGGTGGTGAGAAGGTGGTTGAGCACGCGCAGGAGGTGCGGCGGATCGCGGATCTGCGGGCGCCCGGTCGGATCGTGGGCGTAGGGCTTCTTGTGCGGGATTTCCTTGAACATGCCAGCCAGCAGCATGTATACTCGCGTGTTCGTGTCGATCAGGTGCTGGAATTCTTGGAGGACTGGGTGGAGGGGTTTATGGGGGTCATCGTCGACCTTCTTGATGACCCCGCCGAGCCATTCGCGGTGTGCTTCATGGTCTGCTGGCAGCCAGTTGCCGATTCTAGGAATGTGAGGTTGGGTTCAATTGGAATGATGTAGCCACTTACCGATGGAGATGGTGCGTATGTTGCGCTTTTGGAGTCATGATCAAGAGAAAAGATCGTCGCTCAGCCTTGTAGGGGAAAAGCTTGACTGTCAATCGTGCTTGGCGATGCGTCCGGTATTTATAAAGACAAGAGTCGTTGCATCACCATGACGCCCAGGGACATGGATTTGGGGAGATGATTTTGTGGGGACTGCGAGACCTTGGAAGGAGCGTGGCATGATGTCACCACCACCAAACAGGGAGAATATAAACATACGAGGCGTAAACGGATATGGTGGCTTACATAGTGGTTTTTTATTAGAGAGATCACACAGTCATAGGGGAAATGGGCATTGTCTATATTCGCTACCGCTTCGAACATTCCGTCATTCTCTGAACCATCCACTCCCTTCTACTTCGAGGCGACTGTAGCCTAATCTCAATCTACCTCCTTCACTTGGTGTTGCCAAAAATCACAAGCCTGGTCTGCCAGAGAGCTTGTTTCACCGCGACAATGCCTGAAATTTTCCACTTTGGAGAGTACTAAGTGACCAGGTATGGTTATTGTGTCCTCTACCTACGCTGTCGCCAAAATCGGCACCGAAGCGAACGGATCGACGTGACCTGCAGCCTAGATCTCCCAGGGACGCCAATCTCGTATAGACACTCTCGCTGCGGCCTCGTTCGCAGGCAACCATGATGTTGGTGTGCATTTCCCCGCTTCCAGGCCCCGGCAAACGGCGTATTTAGTAAGTCGAGTCTCGCGTAATTTAAATCAGACCCTCAACAACCATTCCAACAAACGAGACAATGCGAACCAACCCAGACTATAAAACCGACCTAAGTCTCGAGGCCCTAGCCGACCTGCAGGTACCCAGCGACCTCAAGGTCTCGCCCGACGGGACAAAAATCGCTTACGTCCTGCGCGCATTCCGCGGCGAAACCGACAATCCCAAATCATCCCTTTGGATCGCCGACGTCGGCAAGGAAAAAAGCGCCCGCCAATTCACATCGGGCCTGTTCAACGACGAGCTGCCGCAATGGTCCCCCGATGGCGCGTCGATTGCATTCCGGTCCGACCGGGCCCAGCCGGGCAGCGTGTCGGCTGTCTATGTGATGCCGCTGGGTGGAGGGGAAGCATACCCCGTCACTCCGGCTGAGAATCAAAGACAAATCGCGAAGTTTGAATGGAGTCCCAACGGCCTTTCAATTGCGTATACCAGTGTAGATGAGAAGACGGACGAACAAGTCCGCAGGGAGAAGGAGAAGGATGATGCAAAGGTCTGGGGCGAGGAGTTGGAGTATCGTCGTCTGCGCGTGGTGCATGTCGCCACGAAACAGGTCCGGATTCTTGTCGGCGGCGAGAAACATGTCTTTGATTTCTCGTGGAGTCCAGATGGGCAGCACATTGCTTATGTGCAGCATCGCGATCCGGATCTGAATTCGGCGGGATTTAATGGCGCCGATATATGCAGTGTGTCTCTTTCGACGGAGACATCCTCCACTATCACTCATTTTCCGGGACCGATTTCTCGCTTTGCGTGGGGAGATTTTGGGATCTATTTTATTGCAGGGTCTATCCCGACGCACTGTTCCACATCTCGTGTGCTATACAGAGTTATTTGTGAGGAGAGTTCGTACATACAGCAACTTGAAACCTTGGGTGAGGGCAATCTTAAAGAAAATGACCGCCGGCTGGGAGAAGGATGCTGCGCGTTTGGTCTCGTGAAGAATCAATCTTCGGTAGGTTGCTCGCTAGCTATCCTTGTCCAGAATGGTCTCGAGGATGCAATCTATAGGGTTGACGTCCAATGGAGCTTTGAGGTCTATCGTGGGAAACATGATATCGCCACGTTTGATGTCGCTCAAACAATGGAAGGTCTTGTTACAGCCATCACCAAATCCGACGGCTCAAACCCCGAAGAGGTCTTTTCCGTCTCAGAATATGGAGATCCTGTCAAGCTATCCGATCACAACTCCACCCTCGCAGCTCTGAAAATCTCAACAGCACACTGCATCTCCACCACCGGTTCCGACAACTACTCGCTCGACGGAGTGATGTACCTTCCAACCCAATTCAAAGAAGGCGACACCCCACTTCCTACGATCCTCCTCCCTCACGGAGGCCCATACAGCCGCGTGGGCATTGGCTTCTCAATCTGCAACTTCGCCGAGGTTCCACTGCTCGTATCAGCCGGATACGGAGTGCTATGCCCAAATTATCGCGGCGGCAGTGGACGAGGGCAGCAGCACGCCGCATATGCCCGTGGAGGCGTGGGCACCGTCGACTACGAGGACTGCATCACCATTCTCCGCGCGGCGATTGACGAAGGCTTTGTGGACGCGTCCCGCGTGGCAATCGGTGGCCATTCTCAGGGTGGTTTTCTGTCCTACCTCGCGGTCACCCGTACGGGGTTTTCATTCCGAGCTGCCCTCTGCAGCGCTGGCGTGACAGAGTGGGATGTTATGACTATGACAAGCGATGCGTATTGGTTCGAGGCTGATTTGGCCGGTGGTGCCCCGTGGGATGTTGACTTTAATGCTAAGGGGAACGGAAAAGATGCTGGGGCGTCGAAAAGTTGGATCCGTAAAACAGCCGGTCGACGAGGAAGTGCCCTTTGGCACATGCGCAACGTCAAGACACCGGTTCTGATCATCCATGGTGAGGCCGATGAGCGCGTGCCTCTCTCGCAGGCTGTTGCTTTCTATCGTGCCTGCATCCACAATAATGTTCCCGTGAAGATGGTTACGTATCCACGAGAAGGCCACATCTACAAGGAGAGGAAGCATGTAATTGATATGTGGATGCGGATGAAGCAGTTCTATGATTTGCATCTGGGCTGAGCTTGGTAGATGGTTGTATATATTCTATTACAATGATATCTTTTTTGCGTGTCTCATATCTGCTGTCGTCATTCTTTTCATTTCTCCCTCTCACATCAGTCAGGATGAGGTGTCTACTCGATCTAAGCTCAAGAAGCCAAGCCACAATGACAAAAAGGAAAGGTTATAATCAAGTGACTTATGGCGATCTAAATCACTCATCATGTCGAGCGAAACTTGCATATACAACCTGACCTGCGCCAAAGTAAATATATTATTCCTAATCTGCTACTCTCGATATGGATGCAAACGTAAGATCTCCTGTTTAGCAAGCACCTGGTGCATTTCATAATCCTTTCTTCCTGGAAATAGATACTTTTCTTCCGGTATCCACTGGTGAAGAGGGCGTTTACATCCTACGTTGTTCCCACTAAACATGAACAAGCCATATGCCTCTAGAGATTCCTTCATCTGCGACGTTAAGTAGCTTGGCAGTTTCCGGTCTTGCATAAGCTTCGGCAGGAAGTGGTTTCCATCGGGGTCATCCCAAATGATAGCCCAGCCATTATTGCGGCCAGCCCTGAAATTGTTATGCTTGCACATAATCATGTCATAAAATGCATCCATGCGGATACCTTCCGAGTCGGGGATATGCTCAGTATCAGACGGTGACGCCTCTAGTGTGTCAAGCGGCACCTGTGTGAAAAACAGTGTGCGCAGGACCGTTCCCCTGGAATATCGCGCATGGAAATAAGGAAGTCGTGGCACGGGCGGTTGTTGGATGAACATGCGACGCCAGCTTGCGCGATTATACATAAATGAATCATGACACTCCTCCTTGGAGATAGGAAGACTTTCGAAGCTGGATTCGTTAAACTCGCATCTACCACGATGTCTCCACATGTAATCTTGCTCGTCAGATGATGGCACGAAGGTAGTTTCGGCTGATGAGATTGGATCAGGGAACCAGAGAGGAAAGCGCTCAACCAGCAGGGGATTGCGGGTTCGGGTTTTATACTCCGGTGCAGGCAGGAAGAACAGATGTTTCTGAAGGCGAGGGGAGTAAGTTATTAAATCGTGCCATGCTCGGGAAACGCGCAGCGTCGAGGTAAGTATGGTTTTGATGTCGAGATGGAGAAGGGTATTCTCGAGTATCTCAGGCAAGGAGATAGCATGCTCGGTTGAGGCCATTTGGGAAGTGTTGTTGGCATGAATAAAAAAAAAAGGAGGCTCAGTGTAGGTTGACTCACATCACGTGTCAGTCAGGCTGTTGGTGTTAATCGACTACGCAAACAAACCTGCAAATGCCACAGAATATCGTGACACAAGACATGCACTGCTTAGGGAGGAAATGTCCAGGACCCGCCATTCATAGCCCTCATCCTTGGGGCGAGCTTATGTATACACAGTGCCTGATCCGGTTGTACTCTACTTCAACTCGGCGCAAAACCTACACCAGTCTCCAATGTGTTCCTGGAAAGCTTCATTGGTACGGCTGTCAATTAAATAACCGTGCACAGCATTTCACGAGCAACCAGGCTATAGAAATGCCTATTCGCTCGACATAGACCAATACTGGAGCAGCAGGTCCGAAGCCCCGGGCGATGGCACTCAGCTCAACAACGTCGCGATCAATAACTGGAAAGGCACTGAATCTGACGGAACTGAATGTTGTCCTATCATGCTAGCCTGCGCTGGTGCGACGCCCTACATTGACATGTCTATCGAGGACTTTTCAATGTGGACAGAGGAAGGCTCTGCACAGTGGTACTACTGTGAGAGCGGCTACAGCTCTGGGTTCTGCTTGGCCACTGGCGATGACTACACCTCGTATATCACCGCTTTGCCCCTCATGGCTGCCCTCTCGGGTTACTCTGCGCCGACAACGGTGTCGGATCTAGCTGCTGTTTTTGGCACTGCGGTGCTTATCCCCGTTCCTGCGATTTTTACTTCAATTTATTCCCGGTGCGACGCCGTATATAAGTTGGCGGGCGCGAAGTCGTTTGCTGCCTCGAGGGAGGGTCGACTTATGCTGCTCGGCGTTGGTAGTTGTGTATGAACGTCTATTTCAAGGCGAGCATATAATGGTGCCTTTTTTCTTTTATCGTGCTTGATCCGAAAGATCGTTGAATAGAATAAACCCTTTGCCTCGCGAAATCTGTCTATGCTGCCTTTTCGCCTAAAAGAGTTTTTGTTGTCATCCCGAGTCAAAGTGGCGTGTTTGTCGACCTATATTTTTTGATGTTTGACCGGGCGCGCCTTCTCGTGCCGCCCCAAACCCAAACCTGACGATTAACCTATCCACGATCACGCCATTGAAAGAATCCCTGGAATCACGGCCACAAAGTTGAGTCCGTTTAATGTGATTCGACGCCCGATGGGGCCAGGCACAGGGTTGCAATGGACAAGGCACCCTGACAGCTTGTCGCATTCATAAGCCCTTGCTCGCGCGTCACGGTCAACAACCTGCATTTCTCTCCATCCCGCCACACCCTTTGGCCATGTCGAGCCCTCCCAAATCCCCCGGGCCGGAGCCCATGGCCGTTGATTCTGATTCTTCATCCCCGCCATCCTCGCCCGAGGATGGTCCCGACGCGAGCTATAAGAGCAAGGCGGAAGTGCTCAACCATGCCATTCAGAGTATTGGAATGGGTCGCTACCAGTGGCAGCTGTTCGTGGTGATCGGGTTCGGCTGGGCGAGCGACAATCTTTGGCCCATTGTGACATCCTTGATTCTGCCAGCCATCGAAAACGAGTTCCACCCCGCGCAGGGGCCGTTCTTGACTCTGGCACAAAACATCGGACTGCTCGTGGGGGCTGTATTTTGGGGTTTTGGATGCGACATCTTCGGTCGCAGGTGGGCATTCAATCTGACCATCGGCATCACTGGGGTGTTTGGGTTGATCGCAGCAGGATCGCCCAACTTTGCAGCTGCTTGTGTATTTGCGGCATTGTGGTCGGTCGGTGTTGGGGGCAATCTGCCGGTTGACTCGGCCATTTTCCTGGAGTTTTTACCGGGAACCCATCAGTATCTGTTGACTATCTTGTCGATTGACTGGGCATTCGCGCAAGTGTTGGCCACCCTGGTCGCGTGGCCCCTGCTGGGGTATCGGACGTGCGAGTCTGGCACGGATTGTACCAAAGCTAAGAATATGGGATGGCGGTACTTCATGATCGCGATGGGCGGGCTTGCCATGATCATGTTTATCATCCGCTTTGTATTTTTCACCATCTACGAATCGCCCAAGTATTTGATGGGTAAGGGCAGAAACACCGAAGCCGTGGAGGTTGTTCATGAAGTGGCTCGCCGGAACGGCAAAACATCCTCTCTCTCTCAAAATGAACTCGATGATCTAGACCATGGCGAAGCGACTGGCATGGACACGACAACTATTGTGCGCCAGCGCCTCGACAAGCTGAGCCTCAAGCACGTCCGCGCTCTCTTCAACACAACCAAGCGAGCATATGCGACAATACTTATCGTTCTGGTCTGGGCATTTATTGGACTCGGATATCCACTCTACAACGCTTTCCTGCCTTACATCCAAGAATCCCGCGGTCATACTTTCGGAGACGGATCAACATATATCACCTACCGGAATTCATTGATTATCGCCGTGATGGGGGTACCAGGATGTCTCGTAGGAGGAGTCTTGGTCGAGCTGCCTCGATTCGGACGAAAGGGTGCCTTGTGTTCATCAACGCTGCTTACAGGCGTTTTTCTGCTGGGCTCGACCACGGCAGCAACATCCAACGCCCTTCTAGGCTGGAACTGCGCCTTTAACTTCATGAGCAGTCTGATGTATGCCGTTCTGTACGCCTACACACCCGAGCAATTTCTCACTAAAGACCGTGGCACCGGAAACGCCTTGACTGCATCTGCCAATCGCATCTTCGGCATCATGGCTCCCATCGTCGCCATGTATGCTAATCTCAATACTCCTGTCCCGGTATATGTCAGTGGCGCACTTTTCATTGCGGCTGGTCTGTTGGTGCTTTTGATGCCATACGAGTCGAGAGGGAAGGCAAGTCTGTGATGGTACATGGTGGCAAATTTCTTTCTTGTGCATAAGAATAATATAGCGCAGTGGTGTTTCGGGTCTACTGCCTCCGTTCTTCCAACCGAGCATGAGCATCTCTGTGTCTCACCCATTGAGGAGATCCAAAACACCTGGTCGTTCTTAATATGGAGGGTCAAAGCTCTCTGTAGATATCATAGATGACGAAACTGGGCATGGAATAATCTCTTGGACTCTGGTGATCATCGTTTGCCCCACAGCCGTTTAATCTAAAACAATCTAACCATTCCACCGTTCGACTTACTATGACATCATGTGTCCAAACTCATCCGATAGCACAATCCTGGGGGGAAAAACAAACAATGATGCATATTCGTCAGCTGGCCCAAATAAATCAATATAACAAGGTTATGTACCAGCCACTACGGCTCCACGCAGAGTACAGCGATAGGCTCCGTGTTCACTCCCCTGGGACCTCTACCGGAGAATTTCAACCAATAACCACCACATGCCGCTGGCTATGAGATCAACGCCTGTCGTTTATTAAGGTTCCATACGTCAGATCCATTGCAACGGCCATGGATCGAGTGGCTGTCATGTATGATCGGCGATCTCGGTGGCCATTCCCATTCGTGTGCACTGTCATGACTGTGTGGCTTGTGGCTTGTGGCTGGTCTGCGTAGGACATTATATCATATTGTCTCGACAACAGGTTTTGATGGTCGCAATGGACAGGTATATAAGGTCTTCATTGAGGTGGATGCCACCTCGTCTTATCACAGACAATCTCCTCAATACTATTCACCTGAATTGCACTTAATTCACAATATACCCAATATGTCTCAACAGAACAACAGTAAGTTTCGCGCTGTCCACGTCATCAACCTCCCTTGAACTAACGCGTCCTTCTGAACTATAGACCCCGGCCTTCTCGGCGGTTTGACGGACACCCTCGGCAAAACAGTGGGCGGCGTCACCAACACGGTAGGCAGCACCGTGGGTGGCCTCGGAAAGACTGTCGGCGGAGCTACTGAAGGGTTGGGTCAGACCGTCTCCGGTGCGACGGATGGTCTGGGCAACACTACGAAGGATGTTGGACAGGGTGCACAGGGAACAGTGCAGAGTGTTGGTGGACAGAAGCAGACTGGCGATAACCCTCTGGGCCTAAACAAATAGAAAGTTATTTGTGAGAGGGGCGGAAGGCCTGTACATGATTTATGGAATGATTGCTGTGTTTTGATAGTGGATTATTGAGATAAGAATGGACTTTATAATGCTTGGGATATCACAACCTGTACTCATATCACCGTGTAGGGCATGAGCTTAGCTGATGGGCTATTTTGTAACCTTGACGTCTACATTATCCGTCAGTGAGGGACGGGATACACAGATGATATGGCCGATTTTCAATGAAAACATCGCGTATTCTTGTGGAAGTTGAAGTTGAGCCAAGATCTACCAACCTAAATCTCGATATCTTTACCATCCAACCAGTCCTTAGCCAGCCTATACAAAAGATCATGCTTTTCTCCTGCTGGTGTCCCAGCATGTCTCCTATGTCCTGGCATATCTTTCAACACAGTTACACCCATAGTAAGCTCCTGGCAGTAGGCAAGACACTTATAACCCTCAGGATAGGAGTTAAGTTTCTCCTCATCCAGCTTCGGAATTTTATTCGGATTGACAGGAATCAACTTATCCTTCTCGTACCAGTGCCTGACAAAGTGCGCACCCCAGCGACCGTCAACTTTCTCAAAGAAGAAACAGAAACGGCAATCTGCCTCTGCATCGACCTCCGCGTTGTCAATGGTGAATCGCTGAGTGATAGTAGCCTTCATCTTGGTTACCGCGCGACTGCCATCGGGCGTGATATCGGTCGTGACACCGTGGCAGCGGTGCATTATAAAAGCGCCCTTGTCCATTCCAGCCTTGGAGGCTGCTATGAAGCTTTTGTAGGAGACTCGGCCGGACCAGGTCGTGTACACGTAGGCTCCGGGGTGGAAGATCGATTCAAAGTTCTCCCATTCACAAGCATCACTAAGTATCATTAGTATGTTTTAAGAAAATTGCAGAAATCTGAGTACTTGCCGGTAGCAAGGCCAGCCTTCGGCCAGTTCCCGAAGCTTTGCGCGCTCAAGAACCAAATTGTCTGGCCCGTTGTTGCGGATAGCGTGGTCGGGCCTGGTGCCCTGGGGCAGTGAATGAAGGTCTGGCATGATCTCTGGCATATGAAGAATATTTTTGGCTGATACTTGTAATGCGATCGAAGTTGGCTCGTAAGAATATTAGAAGTTCCCCTCACGAAAGGTCGTCGGCAGTCACGGCTAAAGACAATGCCGGGAGCCTCCGGTACCAACGACCCCTCAATTATGGACCATTCGACATTTGCAAGATAACTTAGACAAATGCTGTAAAGTTCTCTGAGTTCTGGAAGTTGATTTACGATAAGTGGGCGGTCGAGCACGAAAGGTCTTCATACTCGCAGAAAACGGCTATATCTGGACTTTCTCCGCGAATCATTTCCATTTCATCGATAGGATAGAATTGTGAGTTGATAACGATAGCTCACGATCTCGGTTGCGTTATTTGACTGGAGCAGTGAGTTTTGGAAAGCAACATCGAGTCGAAGTTTTTTTTACTTCCAGAACAACATCATGCAGACAAACTCCTGCTTAACGGTCTTGGCTAAGAAAGCTGACAAATACCGTGAATTCGTTCCAATGGCGATGGTCCGTTATGTATAAAGTTGACAAAGCCTCAAATTTCTGCTTGGACCATTCTTGTTGCAAATACTCGCCGTGGACATAGACTTTATATTCTATCTATAATACAATGATTCTCGAAACTTTTACCCGAGTCTTCGTTGACGCCGATCAGCTTGAAAACACCTTGAGTTTCTACAAGACCCTCCTGGGCGGCGAGGTGACCCTCCGATTCCCGTATCCCGATAAAGGCCTCGAGATCGCTGCTGTCTCATCAACCCAACTTTCTGTCCTCATCATCGCTGGGCCAGAAGACAAGCGAGAGGCTTTCAGTGCGACCCAGCTGACTATCAAAGTCGATCAGCTCGATATTTATGTGGCTGTTTTGAATGCGGCAGGCTGTGAGCATCTAGAGCCTGTGCAGGACACTCCCGCAGGGCGAAAGACACGATTTCGGCACCCTGATGGAATGGTAGTAGAGTATGTGGATCACAAATCCAAATAAACGGAAAGAGGCGGAGAGAGGTGAGAGGCTCTATGATTAAGTCTTTTCAGAGATTACAATGCCCGGCACACCAAATATATATATATAGAAAAACCAGTAACAAACACAGTGCGTCCCATATTTAGAACCGTCGTATCGCCCCTGACGGGTATTTGATGCAAGCTTCAGGGGCCTTGCGGGGGTTGTGGCTTTAGTGTTAGAACCAGAATCCCTGCGGATCGTGGAACACGTCAGCCGGACGCTGCCTACTAGCTACGAAAGGTTGACTAGGGCAGACCTGGAACAGAGGGGGAGATAAAGAAACCGTCAATTGGCAGACTTATGACCAAAACACTTTGACCTCTATGGTTCTCCATCCTCGTCGGCAAATGGACGAAGTTGAAAGTTGGATTGATGAAGAGAGGTGACTTAGATTTGTGATACCTGAGCAGTGTCTTGAGCATAGTCATAACTTGCTGGAGTTTTCAATTGGTTATATCTAAGTTCTCAATTAATTGATTCTTGGCTATTGACTTGATTTTATCAGGTGCTGCTCTTATTAGTCCCCCTCAGCACAAGCTCCAAATCTAACGCTGGACAACGAGTTCTAGATATTTTTCTTTGCTCATGCATTGGAGGTTGATTGTTGAATACCCTTTAACTAGTTGTTGAAGATTGTTGAAGACCACCTCCAGGCCAGGTTCTTGCTCAAATGAATGCAGCCTCAAAGGCCAATTAGGCTTCAAGTTCTACAAATTGCCGAAGGGGGTTTGCTATGTTTGGATGGAGGTCACCATTGTTACATTTTGAAGGTTCCCCGGAAAAAAACGGTAAGTGCTTCAACCGACGTCATGATCCAAATCCAAACCCCGGCTCATCGGCGATTCGGGGACTGACCACTACACTGCATTAAGCACAAGGGGTCAAGTTCAATCAAGCTCGACCAATAATTTTATTCCCTGCAGAGCAAGCCACCGGACTGGAATGTGGGGTTGACAAGCGATCGCCGCGAAAGAGTCTTTCTTTTTATGACTTAACGAAAATTGCTTGCCGCGAAACCGAGCGCTCCGTCTCCGTTCCATCTCGGCCGACAATCCGATCCGGAGCAGTCAGTCATACTCTGCGCGAAGTCATCGTTGAAAAAAAAAACCTCTTCAATTTGTGTTTCCTAGCAATCTGCTTTTACCTAGCAATCTGCTTTTACCTAGCACAGGGCTGGTTTTTCGAATAGAGAATGACGACCGACGTGGGCGGGAACGTCGGCAAGACATCGGAAGGAGCCGAGTCACCGTACGACTTTGAAAACCTCGTCGAACCACCCAAGTCTGTTCCAAAAGAGGTCTGCAAACATGATCGCGGCTGGAGGAGGGTGGTTCGCAACTTTACGCCTTCGTATTTACTCCTCCATTTCCCTCTGTCATCACTGCGCACAGGTCGGTGCTAACAGACCCGGATAGATGGTTCTCCGTCACAATGGGCACGGGGATCGTGTCTATACTACTACACAACCTACCCTATAACGGGATCTGGCTATACTGGATCTCCGTTGTGATCTTCGCGCTGAATGTCCTCCTCTTCCTCACGGGGTGTGTTCTCAGCGCGCTGCGCTATATATTGTATCCCGAGGTGTTCGGAGTCATGATAACGCACTCGGTGCAGTCGATGTTCATCGGCACATTCCCCATGGGCCTGACCACGATCATTAACATGATCTGTTTTGTCTGCGTGCCCGTCTGGGGCGAGTGGGTGCCGTACTTTGCGTGGGGTTTGTGGATCTTTGATGCTGCGGTTTCGGTATTGACGGCCGTGTCGTTGCCGTTTCTACTGTGAGTATTGGTCTCTTTTTAAGGGTTATTGGTGGTGGTGTTGTTGTCGGGTCGCTGACTCTCATGGTATGTAGCATGGCACACGGCGGAGAAACACATCTGTCGTCAATGACGGCCGTGTGGCTTCTCCCCATCGTGACCTGTGTCGTCGGGGCTTCCTCCGGTGCCATTGTAGCGGAAGTGCTCCCGAACACGCAGTACGCGCTGTGGACGATCCTCGTGAGCTATATTCTGTGGGGAATCGGGGTTCCGCTCGCGTTGATGGTGATGGTGATCTATCTCCAGCGATTAACACTGCACAAGCTGCCCCCGAAGGCGGTGATTGTGAGTGTGTTTTTACCTCTTGGCCCGCTAGGCCAGGGTGGATATGGGTGCGTCTTGGTTTCGTCCCTTGAGTTGAGTTCGGTGTTCTGGTAAAGTATACTGATGATAATGAATTGCTATTAGTGCCATGAAACTCGGCCAGTGCGCCCAGGCCATCTTCCCCCAGACCAAAACGCTCGAGCAGGCGTCTGGGCCGATGTTCTATACGATCGGTTTCCTTGTCGCTCTCATTCTGTGGTCTTTTGGGCTGGTCTGGCTGTTTTTCGCGTCTGCTTCGATTGCACGCAGTCGGACCTTTCCGTTTAATATTGGATGGTGGGGGTTTACATTTCCCTTGGGTGTTTTCGCCTCTAGTACCTGTCAGTTGGGAGCGGAATTACCATCGAGGTTCTTTGATGTGCTCGGAACTGTATGTTTTTTGTCTTTCTTTCTTCTCGATCCGCCCTGGTCTAACTTGATTGATCCTCGCAGATTCTGTCACTGTGTGTCGTTGTGCTGTGGATTATGGTCAGTATTGGAACATTGAAAGGCGTGGTGTCGGGCCAATTGTTCTTTGCACCGTGTCTAGCTGATCTACGCGCCCCGGAAGACAACAAGAACAAGGACGGGGGCAAGGCGGCCTGATCATCACGTGATCCGGGTGGGATTTTCGATTTTCGAATTTTATTATTTTCGAATAAATGATTAATTTATTTTATTTTCCCCTTCTTTGTTAGTTCGTTTAGTCGGGGAGCCCACATCGTCTTCCATCGTGTTGATCGCCCTCGACATCTTCTCGTCGTCCTTCCCACTCCCCCTCGCCCCAGCGCCTGCTCTCCCGTGGCAGGGTGCGCCCCATCCAGCTCCTCTTCCCCCTCCCCTGAGTTGCTTTGGCTTTGCTCCCCAACTGCGCTGACGAGAGTGACTCGGCCACCGTAGACACTAAACCCGTTCGGTGCAGTGTGGGTACTTGCAGCCTCAGGCATCACGAACAACAAAACACGCGGCCTTCGCGCTTCCAACCGCAACAGAAAGTGCCCACAGTCGCCGGCCACACGCCAGGCGCAGAATCGCACCGGGTTCGGTCCTTTGATCGTGTGAACCTTAGTCTGCGATTTTTGCCCGTCTTTTTTGGGGGCACGGAGTGGCGCGCTCATGTGTCGCGACTGAACGCTGAGATCGACCCGCGCTGCCGCTGACGCAGACTTAGTAAAAATGATGGGCTATGGGAGTCACCTTTTCCAGCAGCAGCAACAACAGCCATCGCAGCAGCAGTCGCAACCGCAGCAGCAACAGCAACAATCTACTTCTCAGACTCAACATCCGCTAGGCCCGCAGGCCCAGCGGCCGCATCACGTGCAGTCGCCGTCGCTGGCTGCGACGCCCAACCTACCGCAACAGGCCCATGGCAGTCCATTCGCCAGTAACAAGCTGCCCTTCCAGGCACGGCAGCAGCAAAACTTTGCATCTTCGCAATCGCCAGACATGCGGAAAATGACGTCGACGCCGTCCGGGGGCCCGCTGCCGGGGTATCCCTCCTCCGCGAGCTTCCCGCAGTTTCCCGGCCAGTTTGCACCCCAGGGTGGCTCTCCGGATCTAATGTCGCGGAATTCGGACCCCATGGCCCTACAAAACTTGCAACGGGGCTTTAACCCGATGGCCCAGGCTCACATGCGCCAACAGCAGCCGGGGATGAGTCCATCGAATGCCATGTCCCATGCTGCGCAGGGTCTGAATGTGAACGTTTCATCGCCTCAGCAATCGATGAATCGCTTGCCGCAGCAGCACGCGGGTATGCACCAGCGGGAGAGTCATGCACATGCACATCCTACCGCCAGTCCCGCCATGGCCAGCCCGTCTATGTATGCCATCAATCAACAGCAGCGGCCGCCCCATTCACAGCCTCAGTCCCCACAGCAATCACAGCAACAGTTGCAGCAACATCAGCAACGCCATCAACAGCAGCAGCAACAGCAGCAGGAACGCCTCCAGCAACAGCGAATGGAGCATCAGAAGCAAATTCAGCAACAACGACTTGAGCAGCAAAGGCAGATGGAGCAGCAGCAACAATTGGAACAGCAGAAGCAGCATCAGCAGAGAGTAGAGCAGCAGAGACTTGAACAGCAGCAGCGCGAGCAACAGCAGCAGCAACAACGCTTGGAGCAGCAACAGAAGCAACAGCAACAGAGACTGGAACAGCAAAGGCTTGAACAACAGCAGCGCGATCAGCAGCAACGGCTTGAGCAACAGCGGCTACAAAAACTGCAGCAACAGGCTCAAGGTCAATATTCGTATCAACAACAGCAGTCTCCATATCCGCAATCCGCTCAAGCCTCGTTCCATCCATCTCAATATCAGCCTCAAGCACAAACTCCATATCAACATACCCAATTCTCTCAACCGCCACAGCAACCTCAATACCAGTCACAGTCCCAATTTCAGCATTACCAACCGCCATCTCACCCATCGCAAGTGCCGCCTCCACACGCATCAGTTCCGTCGACTGTTCCAACCTTCGCGGAATCTCCCTCTAAGCAAGAGCAGCAAGAGGAGAAAAAGTCTGGGCCAAAGAAGAAGGCTAAACCCCGGAAGTCTGCCCCTGCTCACACTCCCACTCAAACTCCCAACCTACCTTCTTCTCAGCTTCCCCATCTACCGTCCACCCAGCCGTCTACGCAAACACCTGCTCAACATTTCCCTATTCCCACAAATACTCAACCTAATGGGGGGCAACAGATGCCCGGTATGCCGGTTGCGGTACCTGCCAAGCCAGCCTCAACCCCGCGTCGTCGTGGACGGCCACGCAAAGAAGAGGTAGCAGCCAGAGCGGCGGCTCAGGCGGCTCAGAATGGACAGCCGCTTGGAACTCCTCAAACTGGACAGTCCTCTTTCGCAGCAACGATGACACCGATCCATGCAGCCTCTGCAGAAGCACCCGGTTCCGAACAGCCTTCAGCCCCGTTGCTCGGCCAAGATGGAAAACCCGTAATCGGTCCAGATGGAACTCCTCTCCCTTTGAAGCGAAAGCGTGGTCGCCCGCGCAAGGAGATACAGCTTGCTTACGCAGTCGCCACGGGCAAGCCGCTGCCACCACCCAAGCCAAGAAAACCAGCTGCTCCCAAAAAGCCCGGCACTGGACGTCCGCGAGGACGACCCCGCAAGGTGGATGTGGAAGCTGCTAAGGCTGCTGCGGAGGCGGCTCAGGCACAGCAAAATGGTCAACAGCCTCCGTCGGGTGAAAGTGTAATGGATTTTAGTACGGGTCAACCACACACGACGAATATGGCTGTGAAACGCGCTGCTCCTGGAGCGGAGGACGATCCCAGCAAGCGGGCGAGACAGATGCCGCAGCAGTCACAATTTTCTCAGCCGGGTCAACTGCCACCGCAACAAGGTCCACATGGTTCGCACCCAGCTCAGCAAGCGGGTCAACTGCCAGTTCAATACCTGCAACACCAACCCCAACATGGCCACCCCCTACCACCGCAGGGACAACCCATGTCAATGCCGCCACATATGCAGGTACAGCACCATCCATCGCCCATCCACCCTCCGCGACCTCCGCCTCCTCATCCATACATGCAATCCCCAGGCCCAGGACCGCCATCAATGCAAATGCCACACCAGATGCCACAGCAGCAGCAACATCCACAGCAGCAACCCCTCCGCCAACAGCAACATCCCTCTCATCCCCAGGGCCAGCAGATGCAGCAGCAACAGGGTAAACCGCCGGCCCCGCAGCACCAGAATCAGCACACATTCCAAGTGCAGCTCCCCCCTCAGTCGAGTTAATTGCCAAACTCGCTTCGATCTTCCTTCTACTTCTTGCATGTTTTAATTCTTATTTCAGCCTCCTTTTTTCTTGTGTTGTTCTCTTCTAAATTATCTCTCTTATTCATATGCATATTTCTATCTGTCTCCCGTGGTGTGTTTCTGTTTTGTTGCGTTTCGGCGCTATGGATGACGGATGATGGATGGGATATGTGGCCTACTGCATCCTGTCTTCGCTACTGCTGATTTAGCATGTTCTTTCTTTTCTCCAGTGTTGAGCGTGACTTGAAGGTTTCTATTTTTCTCTGTCCAGATCTGGCTCTTCGGTTGTTCTTCATTAGTATATAGTCTTAATTCATGTCATATGTACCCACCCTTCATTATTGTATTCCATGATACTCATTCGTGTACCGGGTGTTTAGGGTGCTTCACAAATCTCAAGACGGTTAGATTACTTCCTGTTCTCATTGGTTGCTAGCATGGCGTAGGATTCCAATTCAGCAAGATACCTACCCAATGTCATTAACAAGATCTTTAGATAGCTATAAAGAAGCAGTATAATCTCCTTATTTAATAGTGCCTCCTTTTTTGCCTTCAATCTCCACTAGCTTTTGTGCCAAAGCAACGTACATTTTGATAGAGAAATGGGCAGTTCAAGTTCATGGATTGTTTGCAATTTTTGATTTTGTACGGCACAGCGACGACGTGACGTATGCTGCGAAATACTTTTTGCTCCCCGTGTAGACTATGACTAACTAGTTAACTACACCATCTTAGCAGCCACCCCGTCGCTCTCCCCTTCAGGACCGGAATCAACGACACACTCATCAGGCCAACTGCTAAGATCCAGTCCCAACCGTGGCGCAATCTTCCTCACAACCGCGGCACACAGCCCAAACGCACGTTTCGACGCCGGGTCCACAGCGGCCATGGCGTGGATCCAGAAGAGGGCTTTTCTCGTATGCGCGACGGCGGTTGAAAGATCCGTTTCGAGTGTCGCCATTGCTTTTGCCGGATGTGCGGAGTCATTTACATTTGCTTTTGTGTTGTGCGGGAAAGGGAAAGAAAGCGAGCAGGATGATAGACCCAGTAGCAGGGCGGTCGTGGCCTGCATTAGGAAGTGGAGGACGCTCCACCACGGTGCTGTGCGAGCGAGCCAGGAGAGGCTTGGGGACTCTGGAAGATTGGAGATCAGCGAGCAGGCGGCTTGGAGGCATTGTGTCGCCAGTTCTGCTCGCACGCTAGATGACGAGGAGTGGGAGTGGGCGGCGGGTTGGTAGGATGAAGGAACGTGGGAGCTGGAGGATGATTGGGCGGTTGAGGAGGCAGCTGATGAAGATTGCGGCATCGGTATTGTGAAGCATGGTCGGCAGAGGGTCATGCGTGCTGAGTAGTAGTTCATCGCTAGACTGACGCGTTCTCTTGTGTATTGGGCATTGTCATCAATAAGACTGGCACGATTGGGATACCAGGAACTCGATGATTCGGGATCGATGAATTGGTAGTCTGGCGGTAATTTGGCAAGCCATTTGTCGAGCCGAAGCCCGTAGTTATGCATGCGGTTCTCAATCTGGGTGCTGCCGAGACGCATGCCTTCGATGCTGTAGACCTTACTGATGATGGACTGAGTGATGACGGATAGATCGACGAGGCAGTGGAAGAAAAGTGAACGACTGGGCGTGCACGTTGCAGTCCAAGAAGAAGCTGAGGCTTGGTCTTGGAGCTGGGCCGCCGGCTCTTGCATTGTAGGCTGCAGCTGGGATTCGCGGAGCCTTTGGTCCTTTAGAAGCTGGTTGACGGCTGGCTGGGTGAAAGATTCTTCGTCGAATGGCAGTGGCGCCGGGACGGAGCTGATGCTCTCGTCGACGCAGGAGGCGCGCCCGGTCATTGACGAGAGAAGGCATTCCAGTGAAAATATGGTCCACCAGAGCCGATACCGGGTTTCTCGGAAGTCTTTTGGGGTTTGAACGTTCTCCATGCGAAGGTTGACTCCTAGAATAAGGCCGGAGCGAGCAGCCATGTGGGAGAATTTGCATGCTCTATTGCTGGTCAATGTTTGTAGACACAATAGAACGACAAAAGACATACCGATTGAGCTGGCCTAAACAAAGAAGATAAACAGCCACTAGAAGCTCCAATTGGATCTGCTGGAGATCACTGTGTTCGAAAAGAACGTGTGGGTGCAGACCAAGCTTTCTGGCTCGGGTCAAAAACACAAAGTCGTCCTCCTGAGCGTGAGAGACATCCGTGAGTCGGCAGTAGCGGCAGCCGATGGCGAAGATCATGTTGAGGAGGGCCATCCATTTCCGATGCGGGGTGTACCCTTGGTCCAAGAATTGATGATATTGGTCCTCGAAGTGCGCCTTGCAAATGATGTTGAACGTTGGATGAACGAAGGTGAAATATGCCTCGAGGTATCGGTCTGCAAGGTCACGGCTTGGAACGACCGACGGATCGGAAGGGTCCACGAAGGGGATCTCCAGATCATCCATATGATAGTTCACCCTCGAGATGGAAGTAGAGCCGGTACCCGCCGATATCTGCTGCCCATAATCGATTCCCTTGAACACCGAATCCTCCGTGACGCCCTTTTTCTCGATATCATCAGCGAGATTTCGCATCCAAGCAATCTCTGAAGCTTTCCCAAAGAAGCCGGCAGCACGGGAATTCTCGCTGCGGTTCAAATCTTCCTCAACCATATCGATCCCATCCAGCGATCCTATTGACGAGGAATCATCCTCCTCCTCCTTCACCTTCTGAGTCGACAAGGCGGTGACCGGGCCCTGTTTCGACAAGAGCAAATGGTGTCAAAATGCCATTCGTTGACCAAAAAAAAAGCAAAAGCTGTTCGACGTTCGCACTTGCGAAAAAGGGGGGGTAAAATCGTCCAGACGTACCTTCAAGGCTTTTCTGATCTTGCGCGCTGTAGATGCATCGGCATCGACCTCTAGCTCACGGAGGAGAGATTCATACTGGTCCACGCGCTTGGATAACGAGCCGAGACGTTTCTGGTCGCGGACCCGTTTGACATCTTCGTAGGAACACTGTTGGCTGTGGTCGATACATTGTCTGCAGCTTGGTCGGTTTCCATCACACTTGATCTTGCGTTGGCGGCAGGACTCGCACGCCCGTTGGGAGCGGCGGCGGTGGTTGATCGTGGTCGCGTTGGGTGCTCGAGGGATGGCGACTTTATTCCAAGCTACGTTGGGGCTGCTCCCCCGACCGCCCACAAGGGGAGGAGGGGCCGGGGTCCCGGGGGACACTGGCTGCGACGAGAACGAGGGGTTCGTCGAGGGGAGTTGGATAAAGTAGGCGTTGTTATTGGGGCTGACGCCATAGTGAACTTCGGCAGTAGGGGTCCAGGGCCAGAAGACATCGTTGGTTGTGGCGATACTATTCCCTGGGTTCACCTGGTCGAATTGATCGGAGGGATGGGCCATGGTAATTGTAGAATGTTTTATCGGAATGAAAGAGGTCCATCAGATAACGAGTTACATATACAATTGCTTCGAAATTGATGAGTTAAGAGAGCAGAAAGAAATCAAAAGAAAAAAGGCGGAGAGACGCCGACTTGGAATGACAATCACAATAATGGCCCAAAAATGGATCACTTCAGATGAGTCGAGCTCGAGCAAAGGCCGTGCGGATTGTCCGCTGGTTCTGCTGCCTTGTTCTGTGAGCGGGGGAACCGTAGTAAAGGCCGTGTCGCCACTACAGTGGAGGTCGAGCCAGATCATGCCCTGACTTGGTGCTTTTGACGTCAGCAGGAAGGAGGCTCGACCAACCAATATTTTTGACAAACCACACGTCGATTTCTGTTCGAAAGATGATGGCTCACTGCTGCATGCAATCCGCCACTGCCGTGATTTGCAAGCAGGGTCTATCGCGGCGGCCATTCGTTACAGCACCCAGCTGGCCGATGTCTCTCTGCCAGCACCTCGTCTTTACCGAGACTTAGGCTTTCATAGCGGTCCAGCATGTCCGATAGCCCGAGGCCGGGGTAATCTTGAAGACTCTGTTCGCCCTTGCCGCCAATACCGTGGTACTTCTCATGCTCGTTCAATTTCTCCAGGCCTTCGGCATACTCGTCGAAGCGACTATGTCCCTGCGCCGAGGATTCTTCGTCGAACAGATCCTTCAGCTCATCCGGGATGGAGCTGGATTCCCGAAGCTTGTGACCCTGTGCTTTGGCCCGAACAGATTGGCGGAAGATGTGAAATAGATTGCGGCCCAGCGACGAGCGGCTGGCCACGATGGAAAACGCACTCGCCAGAGATAAAAAGTCCTGGTCAAGTACATCGAAGGACTCTTGTTCCAGCATCGTGAACAATCCCAGGTTTATGGCGTACATGGCGAAATGGTGCGCGCGACTCACGCCGTACTCGCGGCGATGCAATCGCGTCAGTCCTGCAATACCTCGGGCGGCGTTCTGCGTCACTTCCCACGCATTGTACTTAGTCTCCAGTGGATGTCGCGGAGGACTCTCAGGCGTGTGCGGTGCGTCGGATGTAGTACTCGAGACCTCATCATCGGAAGTGCAGGTGAATAAGCTGATGATCAACGTATGGTACCGCATTCTACCGAGAGGTCAGCACCATCCAGATAAGAAAAGCGTCCACTTACAGCATCAGAATAATATGCGGTGGCAACTTATACCGCACATCAAACGCCTCGGGCAAACGATCATGCCAGTGACGAATCCGCTCATACAACTGCTCCCGACTGGCGCGCTTAACGCCCCCGAACATATTGCAGTCGCTGCTATCCGCGAACATGCTCCACGAGATGTCGCGTGCGATAGTCGACAGATTGCAAAAGTCGTCAAAGAACTGGCTCAGGTAAGATGGCCGCACGTCGCGGTGAGTTGGATATGGTCTCCAAACGGCTTGGTCTTCGGATATATTACGATCGATGCGAGTCATGTTGACATGGTTTATGAGACTGGGCCTTAAGAAGCCCGTGTGTACCATTCTGTATTTCCCTGGATGTCAGTAGATTTTGGTTTCAGGCTTGACTTGACCTACGTGTCAATTCCAAATAACCCCCATGCTGTCCTTTTGCACGACACGTCCATGTCTGGCGACGGTTGCTCGGATACTAGTCTGGGACCTTTATCGCCAACCAAGCCCAGGGCTTTACCCATTCGAATGGCATCATGCAGCATTCTATACCCCAGGTCATCATTCCGGGACATCGAGTATCTAGCACTCATTGAGAGATTGCTCCATGACAGAAATAAAATGTACATACCGTTCATACAGAAGAAGCGTCCCTTGTAAAGTAACCAAACTAGGCTGAGCCGGCTTCTCCTCCTTCAGCCGCTCCGCCTCAGCGAGGAAATCAATCCCCTTGGAAGAGATATCCCTTGGAACGACATATGCTTCCGAAAACTCCGAGAAATACTGTATGCATAACATACCAAGTCAGCGACTCCCACAATACAAAAAAGACAACCCAGACAGACTTACGCAGGCATTACTCAAAACGGCATTCACCAGAAACGGCGTACAAAACTCGGATCCCAACTCTCCCCGCGCCATATGACGAATAAACACCTCCGCGTCCAAGAACGCATGAAATGGATAATCCCATGTGAAATACAGCGAGACAAGATGGGAGACGAGATCATTATCTTCCGTGACGGTCGTCCACGGCCTCGCAGGGACCTTGCAAGTTGCCTCGTCGCAGAGGTAATGAATATCCATAACCTTCCTCCGAAAAGCCGGGCCCGCGCCTTCGACGTTAATCATGCGACGCACATCCTCGAGCTTGTTGACAGTCTCCTGGCTGACCTTGTCCGACGACAAGTCGAGGCCGTCCAGGGTTTCGTTGATATACGACCGAATCTCTTCGGGCGGTGCATTGCGGCGAATGATATCTAGCAACCGCAGGGCCTGCGCCTCGTTGGCTGTGCGGATGAGTCTGAAGAGGTCATTCAGCATCTTGCGGTGGTAGGTGAGTTCGTCGGCTGTGCGCTTGGCGGCGACGCGGCGGCGCTGGTCGAGGGATTCATCGAATATGCAGACGCGGTCGAAGGCGCGGCAGTTATCGCATGGTGCTGTGCCAGAGCACTATTTGGGAAATATTAATATCCAGCTTTGAAATAATGATGATGGTGAGAACTATCAACCTTGCGCTTGGACTTTTTGCAGGCCAGACAAGCTGTCGAGACTCGCTTCTTCCAGGTTTGTCCTGAAGGACCTCGTGCCGCGTCTCCGAGGGGACTTCCATGCTCTGAAGTCGGCGATGGCCCTAGCGCTAGTTGACGATCTGGATCACCCATGACGAGACAGGGATATGCACTTAAGCGACAAGCGTCTTCCAAGACAACAGTATTGGCGAATATACTTGTGTGAGAAGGAATGGGATTTCTTCAAAAGAATGTCCCGAGCATGAACCTGAGAATAGTCCGCCGCGTGCTATGTACACCGGTTAAGGTTGGTGCGTAGTATGCCCGGCTCAAAGATATGGATTCAGGGTTCGAAGCTCAGGCCATGGTCACCATTATTTTCTATGCCCGGCAGGTGATTGTCCAGCCTTTCCTGAATTGATGTTTGCCCGAAGATGACGTGCCTTGAAGTCATTAGGAAACCCAACCCGCCTATCCAGGACAGCTCGTTGTGGTTCTTGTCCGGGAAGCCGAAGATGCATAAAGAGATTGTAGCCTGGCTGGCCATATATAGGGCATTGGCGGGACACGAGTAGCACCTAGGGTAGGCAATTCCTTTTTAAGCAGTTGTTAAGGTCACCGGCATGTGTGGCAGCGAGGGCAAAAAGAAAGTACCCGGAGTATATTCCCGGACACGTGGTAGGCATTCACAACCACCTTGAGCTACCTTACGCTGACAGCGTTACCTACGGGGACACCAGAGCTCTACGGCCACGAACAGAGCATTTGAAAAGACAACGCTGGATTATTGTAATGTAATACAAAAGGAATTGTTTTGCATACTCCATGGAATCTTATCCAGAGCCACGAATGCACCTCCCAGATAGCAGCACAACACACACGCACAACAAAGAAAAGTCTCTTTTCCATCTCCCTGGCAAAACCACAGCATCATAGTCAATCTAGTGTTCCAGGATTCTCAGACTGCCCTGGACAACGCAGTTCTCCAGCACCGAACCGGGGGGATGTCAATGGTACTGCCCTCGGTGGCGACAATAATGACAGTGCCCTTTAGGGTGACATTGCGGCCCAGGTTGACAGCACCGGTAATGGTGAGGTGGTCGAGCTCGACAATGCGAGGAATGCTGGCAATGCGCTTCTGGAAATCGGAGACCTTCTTGAAGTCCGAGCCTAGCTTGATGACGGGGACACCGCCAAAGCGGTTGGGGTCCATGACGAGCTGACCGTGCTCGAGACGGTACAGATCGGACTTGACGACCATCAGGTCTGAGCAGGTCTTCACGGGCAGGAAGCGGCGGCGGGGCACGTTGACACCGTGGGCGTTCTTGAAGTGGCGAATGGCGGCACCGACTGCCGTCTCCAGCTGGTAGATGGCCTGGTCGGCCTCGCCCTTCTTGTCGGCGGGGATGGACTTCTCGTTGGCGATGATCTCCATCTCGAGCTCGTTCTCCTCGACGACACGCTTGATGGCCTTGACATTCAGCCAGATGTTGTTGGTGTTGAAGTACTTGAACTTCTTGATAGACTTGAACTCGTTGACGTGCTCCTTGGGCACCTGGGCAATCTCGAGCAGGCGGACCTTGCCATCGTAGTCGATAATGGTACCACCCTTGACGTCGGCCTTGGTCTTGTCCGTCAGCTCCATGATGTACTCGGACTGAGAGTCGGCCATGTGCTGCAGGATGCGGAGATCCACCACCGCACCCAGGTTATCGGCATTCGACAGGAAGATGTACTCGATGCCGCGGGCAATCAGCTTGTCCAGCGTGCCGGAGTTGTACAGCGATTCGAACACGTCACCGTGGCCCGGCGGGTACCAATCCTGCAGGGGAGCATCGAAGCTCTTAGGGGCGGGCAGCAACGAGTCCTTGACGATACGAGGGTAGCGCGACTGGTTGAAGGTGATGATGTCGACGTTGTGACCCTCGTACTTTTTGATGATGGACTGGGTGTCCTGGTCTGTGTTGAAGGAGTTCATGAGGACGAAGGGGACGTTCACGTTGAAAGTGCGGTTAAGGTGCTCGATCTGGCGCACGGAGAGATCCAGGAAAGACATGCCCTCACGGACTTCGATGACAGACTTGGGGCCGACGCAGCCCATGGAGGTACCCAGACCACCGTTGAGCTTTACGACGGCCAGCTTGTTCAGGAACTCGACCGAGGCATCGGCACCCAGGTCGTCGTACCCCACGACCTGCGAAGGCTGGGGCGGCGCGATGCGGTCCCAGTTGACGGCGTTGCCCTTGGCCTTGTCATTCAGAAAGCGGCGGAACAGGGCGAAGAAGTTGTCCATCTCTGCCTCGAAGCGCTGCTTCTCCTTAGGGTCGGGGACGGTGTCGGCGAGCGCATTCAGGGCATTGCGCATCTGTGAGGCGGCGACGCTGGTGGAAGCATTCTCGAATGCCTGGATGCGGGCGGAGGTGGTCAGCTTAGAGTTCTGAAGGAGTGTGGTATCTGCCATGATTGATGGACCAGTAAAATAAACAGTAAAGGAGGGATTTGAATTAAATGCTGGTAGTGGGAAAATGGTGGTTGGGGGGGCCAAAAGGAGCGAGGGAGAGGAAATGAGGGGCGTGTTTGGTTGTTTCCGTCAAACAAAGACAACGCGGCCAGAGAGGTATGAAGGATCAAGGCAGGCAGGAACGGCGAGCCACACCTTGCACGACTACTTACCATGTGCGACTGGGACTTGCCATGGTGCTTGGTCTCGAAGGAACCCGCATTCGAGGCATCGTTCGCGGCAGCCCGAAGGTGAGCAGGGAGTGCCTTTGCGGCCATGGTGTTTTGTGTCGGGAGTGGGAAGAGAGAGGGTGATGGTCGGAGAGGAGACTAGGAGGCAAAAAAGGGTCAGATTGGGGCGAAAGAGACGGACAGAGGAAACGTGTATTTAAGCAGGCAGAGGAGGGGTGCTTTGCCACAAGCCGCGACGATCAGGGAAAAAGCAAGCACCTGCAGGAGTGGGAGGGATGTCAAAGTGCCGTCATTGGCAACGGAACGAGGGCCGAGCGGTGCGGTACAGTGAAATGAGGTGAGTGAGACAGGGAACTTACTAGGTTGTGGCAAGGAGGAGAGTAAGAGTGGAAGAGTGTCAGTCCAGAAGAGAAGAGGGAAAAGAGAAAGAAAGGAAGAAAGAAAGGAGCTGTTGGTCGGTGGGGGAGGATCCCGTGATACAAAGCACTACTATGCCTTCATTCTCTTGTTCACTTCTCTCCTTACTTGGCCCTGCGTCAGCTAGGATAGCTAGATAGATATCCTTCTAAATCTTTTACGACAACTGCTATATACCACTATCTAGTAGCAGGGTTACTCACTTCTCCCAATATTCATTTTCGATGACACCATCCATCCAAAATCCAGACCCAGCCAGCCCCTATCGCGCCGGGCCCGGGTTTCTCTCGTCCATACCCACACCAGACCCACACCACCGCCAATTCTTCATAGCCAGTGCTTGGGACATGCGTGGCGCCCTGTCGGATCCTAATTAAGCTGAGGGTGGTTCCCATGGTTCAGTGGGGCTAAATATATCTGGACTTGGGATACATATCGCAGCCCTTCCTTTCTCTTCTCCCTTTGCCCTTGCCCTTTCCTCCCTTTATAGCTACTATTACTATTTAATATCTCTCCCTGTCATGTTCCTTCCTGCTAGTACCTTGGAACGAACCTTTCAGACCTACCCGTAGGAGCTACGACGTGGTTTTAAAACTCTTCGTTCGCGGGCTGTTCACCCGACTGTTTTGTACTACTACCTGCATTTAGGAATTAGATATAGCTATAGCAATGGGGGTTAGTCTAAGAAATCAGAAATATATTTGTATGAAAATGAAGATGAGACATGGAAATTGCTGCTACTAGTTAAGAATGCTCATCCCGCACTATGTATGTGATGTGTTAGGTAAGACCTATAATTCCCGCCAAGTCCGACATTGGAATGGTACCACATAACCCTTCTAATATCAACCATCGGCGAGTTCCTTAGGCATACTCTCCGAGACCTATGTGCATGATGTAGGTAGTTATAGTTCCAACGAGAATTGATTAAAGGGCGTACCATATTGGCGACGGTAACACTACCGCGCTGAGGTGCTGTGCGAGGAGACCGGTCATGAATGCACACCGTCGCTACTTCCAATTGCATTGATAAAGCTCAAACTCGTCATCTGAATGCTGCAAGGGAGAAATTTGCCGAAAGCCACAGCTCCGCAGCCGTAACCCGACTATAAATCAATCCGAATGATGGCGATTACGACCGCATGTCCAATGATATTCGGGATGAACCATGTGGGGAGTTGAAGATAAGGACACTCCGGGTAAAAATGAGAGCTGCCAGCTTCTCTCCGACACGACGGGCTGGGCAAAAAAGAGCAAAACGGGCAAGAGTAATGCCCGCTCAGAAACCGGAGCTAACGTCCCCAGCATGAGTCGGGTCTCTGTCCCAATAATCTATCAGATATAGGACAATCCAACCAATATCGATATCTCGGCCACCCTGGGATGCGAATACGAAAGCGCCCCCGGGCGAGCTTTGTTCTTTATAGCCTTGTTCAGGGTTCTCTTTTGCCGGCCCGCTGCGCCTTGTCCGGGAGAGATGCCGCCACGTTGCTACGTCTATCTAATTCATGTATACCAAGAAGGGGCTCCAGACATGGTATACTAAAGCAGCAGTATCAAGTGAATGGGGATGTGGACTGAATCAAATTACCCAAAGAAAGCCCTATAGTCGAGCTCTGGTCCCCAGCACTTCACTGAACACACTATCAAGTCGCGCGATAGCATCCGAACTAATTTGATGGTGAAAGACGATTCTTTTCCCGTCCAGCAGAATTCCATGCTTCCTCCCGATCCGGTTCCACCGCCCAGCTTCGGCTCCGGCGTGATCCAGGTCGACCCATATCTGGTTTGTTTCCACTTCACGTAGAAGTTTCCCGCCGCGTTCCACCCATACCTTTCCCACGCGCTTTGCCACCTCGTGCACCGAGCGTAATTTGTCTCGATTTCCCCAAACCCCAAACCCGAACTGCTCCTCCATCGCAAACCGTGCTGCAGCTGCCAATGGCCCCGACTGTCTCATTCCTCCTCCGATACTCTTCCTGATTCGCCGTAGCTGCGCAATCAATCTCGATGAGCCCAGGACCATGGCACCCACAGGCGCCCCTAAATTCTTGCTGAAGTCCAGGCTCACTAAATCGCAGACGCTGCAGTAGTCGTGAATGCTCCCAGCTCTGGCCGCTACGGCTTCCCAGAGTCGGGCACCGTCAAGGTGCAGCTTTATGTCACGATCACGAGCCCATTCGCTGATCCGCCGTATCTCGACCAGAGGGACGACGCTGCCACCAGTGGTGTTTTCAATGCTAATGACCCGGGTCGGACATTTGTGAACGTCGTCTGTGATAATTGCGCGTTCCATGATATCCTCTAATGTCATGTATTTCCCATTCGAGGGCTGGATCTCTTGGACAGAGGCACCGCTCATTCCGACACTGCCGCCTTCGAAGTGAATAATATGTGCGCGTGCATCGGCCAGAACAGCGTAGGGAGGCTGGGTCAACAACGTCCGGATAGCTAATTGATTTGCCATAGTCCCAGTGATGACGAATGCACCTGCTTCGTGGCCACATAGAGTCGCGATATGAGCTTCGAACGAACTAGTCGTTGTGTCTTCTCGGAAGACATCATCCTTGAGGCTGGCCGTAGCCATGGCGGCCAACATGCCCATGGAGGGAGTGGTCACCACATCACCTGGCTATGTTAGCGAGGGGGTATGGGGGTGGCTAAATTGTCCTTACTGCGGAAATCGACCTCAGAATTGCGTGTCGTTCCCCATGATATGTTTCGACGTTGTGGCTCCACCACGCTGTCTGCAATGCTTTTTGAGCTCATATTTCCCCCCTAAATGTAAGAAGTCAACCTGCAGGAGGACGCTCTATATTTTACAGCGCTAAGGAAGTGTTCTAGTAGCTGTGGTAAGCTCAAAATACATTAATCAGCCGGAGGACCGAGCCCAGCCAGTCTTAGTCAATTTGGATAAGAATTCAAGTAAGAGATGTTTCGTTCTCATACTCCACTACAGGCATCCCGTCTCATATATGCGGCCATTAATTATCCCTCACAAGCCTATCATTTCTCTCTACTCTGTAGAATCTTAAAACACGCCATTCTCGCCGTATATTTGCCTAAAGCTCGATCGGTCGCTTTGTCGTTTGAATATCATATCATGTATTCCGGGATCACCACAAGGTGGTCACTACCGGTAACAGGACCCCCTCTCCAGGTACCTTACATGGTTTCTGTACACGGAGGTGGTAACAGTGCTGCAATCTGAATTGTCATAAGACGACTGACCCCACTACTACGGCTGAGAGCTGCCTACAGGGCTGCGAGAAACCTCGTGCAACAAGAAACTGATTGGTGCACATGTTCAAGGCGCCCTGCCGCGAGGAACGCTAAAGCCAACCATCGACCAGCCAGAGTGAACCCTTGTTCTAGTCTGCAGAGGTCCACCTAAATGAGAAACTCAATCATCTCCTTGGGAATAGTGTTAGTGTATTACACTGCAGTACCACCTTGTTTCTTAGCTCGGCATTTTGCCCCCGGAGTCTACGAAATTCTTTTCATGTCAGCCACCAAATTTTTCCACATGGTCCCCATATCCTTTCGTTTTACTTATCAGGACTGCCTTACTGGGATGATATGGAATCTCATAGTTTACCAGTCTCGGTCAGTGAGGTAAGTAAAGAGTCAGGGACTGTCACAATTCAAGCCATAGAGAACGAGGTTGTTACTCCAGCACAGCTTTTCCGGCACGGACTAGAAATATCTTCCACTGGCTACGTACAATGGCGAAAAGACTGCAAAGATCACCCTCGCAATTGGCATCTGTGGAGGAAGACTTATGACACAAGTATCGTCATGTTTCTGGAGTTCTATACGTGAGTCAGCTCTACGATCGCTTCAGAAACCATGAAAGTGCTTATTAGCTTGACATTAAGAACGGCTATCAGCACGACAGGGGTGAGAATGCCGAATCGGCCCCCAGTAACCAAAGAATATTGCTAACCAATTGACTAGCCCACCGCCGCGGAACTAGCAGAAGATGATTATGGGACGAACAGAATCACCCTGCTTATTGCGTTCAGCCTCATGTAAGACAGACAATGCATCACTCCGTACCTATGCCCATGATTTAAAATCCATAGGTATCAGATTGGTCAAGGACTAGGCGGTCTTGTAATCCCACCTTGCTCCGAGCTATTTGGCAGACGGATGCCCTATATCATATCCTGCTCTTTGTTCAGCCTATCCTGCCTTATTGTGGGGTTGGTTCCTCATATCAGTGCGATTTTCGTCGGAAGATTCTTTTCAGGGCTTGCTTCCGCCGTCCCCTCGGTCGTGATTTCCGGGACCGTTGAGGATCAATTCAATTCTGAGCATCGGGTGTGGATCGTCCTGTTCTGGAATGCAGCCGCCACTGCTGGACTTGCCTTTGGGCCAGTCTATGCGTCGTGCATCTCCGGAGTAGCCAGCTGGTAAGAAGAAACGCAAACACGTTCGTGTATTGAACTGAGACTTGAGAAGGAGATGGATTTTTTATAGTGCGGCTATTTGCACCGCTTTCAACACTGTTCTTCTGCTGGGCATGCGCGAGAGCCGACCAAGCAAGTTACTTCGTAAGAAGATTGCTTCTCTATCGGAGGAATCGCCGGGTGCTCACCTCAAATTCCATTCTGCGGATCCCTTTCCGGACCTCGCGGCCTTTGTTGATGTCGTCTTCATCCGACCAACTCGGATGATGGTGACTGAGCCGATCTTGATAATAGTGTCGGCTCTCAGCGCCATATCATGGGGGATTGTATACCTCTTCTCGGAATCCATCACCAGCGCGTATTTAGGTCTAGGCCTCCCTAGATCCAGTGCATCTTTCCCCCTCCTCGCCTTGATTATCGGTGTCTGCATCGGCATATTCCCACACATATGGGATACGCGCAAAATGCGAGAAAAGAAACGCCAGAACCTGAAAATCGACCCCGAAGACAAAACCATGGGATTTGCGTTCGGTACCCCGGCACTCGCGGCCGGCCTGTGGTGGTTCTACGGCACCACACCGCCGGCCATGTGGAGGGCGCATTGGCTCCTTCCAACAGCTGGCCTGGTCCTGGTCGGTTTGGGGGTCAACGAGATCGCGTATACGCTTAGCGGATATCTCACCGATACATACACAGTCTACTCTGCCTCTGCTTTCGCGGGACTAGCCTTTGTCCGCGCCCTGGTTTCCGGAATCATGCCACTTATCGGGTATGTCATCTTTGATGGGTCGCAGACAAGGCTCCCGGGGTTCATTATTGCTGGCATAGCGACGTTGTTCTGCATTGTGCCCTTTATTTTCTTTAGGCTCGGCAAAGCGCTTCGGTATAAAAGTCAGTTTGCAAAGTATAGCTTTGAAGTCCACATGCGGACGCAACTGGGGGAGGTATAGAGGTCTGAGAATGGGGAGGGACGGGGGAACAGGGGTGGTGAATCCATGCTTGCGCAACTTAGATTTCCGCTTGAGTCTGAGTTTGTGAGCGCTCTTCGTCGCAATCTTCCTTGAGTTGGAGCAGCCTCGGTGATTCCGTATCATGTTCATCTTATATCCGTCGCATTTGAACGTTTATGACGGTAATTCATTTGGTCATCTTGCAATCTTCAGATATCGGAGTTTTAGATCCGTCTCAGTCTATTTGTTGGTTTCACTAACGCTCGTTGCTAAAGCCGTGTTTGCTAGTGCTCAACGAGACTAGTGATTAGATTGGAGCATGAAGGAAAGGAAAATACGAGTAATATATCAATATCAACTCAATTGTATTTGAAAACAATACTCTTTCTATTTGCATTTACATAAAGCAAGGCAAGCGCTAAGTAGTAATAAAGGGGGAAAACATGAACAATTCATTGCCCTGCGCACACTTTGTCCGAAAGAAACACAAAGCTCAGTAGGCGGAATGAACGATATCACAATCATTAACAAGATATCATTTTCCATCCATCCATCCTTATCCAAAGCACCCAATCAAACCCAACCCAACCCAATCAAACATCATCTTTCAAAAACCATCAACATCCACCCTGTTACCCCTATAATCAAGCACCGCTAACGTTCCGCTTACTCAAAAAGCTACGCCGATTCAACTTCCCCGAAGCAGGCGAATCAGCCATCACTGAGGCCGCATCTCCATTCGTAGAGTGCGAAGTAGTAGGCCGCAGACTCGCTTCGGACGCGTCAAAACTGCTCCGAATGGTCACTGTACCTTCACCAACAGGGACAGGCTTGTCCTGATCCGCCACGGAACCTTGATCACCAACGAAGAACATCGCCTCGCCGAGGGTGTCGTCTGATCCGAAGGTTGAGTGATCCACGACGCTGATCTGATACGATGCATCGGCGGTCGTGCCCGGTACGCGGAAGGACTCCTCGTAGGAGATGGGGCTGTCCCCGCTGGCTTTGTGGGCTTTTGTCTTGTGGACTACCTTTGCGCCCTTGGCACCCTGTACGCGGACGTGGACGCGCACGTTGGCGGAGGAGGGGAAGCCGGATGCTGACACGATGGTGATGTTCGCGGTTCCTTTGTCGCCGGAGCCTGTGCCGCCGAGGGTGCTCACGCCGGCTTGGGAGGCTGTGCTGCGACTGCGGGAGTGCTCCTTGGTCGGGGTTGTGTGGCCTGAGTTGGTGGGTGAGCTGGCATCCACGAGAACGGCCGCGGGTTTCAAGCCACCACCGCTGGGAGACTCGTGGGTCTCATCTTGTGTGGCCAACGATGCGTTATCCGCGTCGTTTTTGTCTTTGTGGATTTTCGACATCACACCGCGGCGCAGGAAAGATGCACCACGGATAACGTTGCCACCGACAAAGCCAACGCCCTTGATGGGTGCGCCGATGACCTTACCCGGCGTAGCGAACGTACCCGAAAAGGTGGAGGAGCCTTGCCGAGAGCGGATCACGTAGGTGGGCTTGAACAAGAGCTTGAGACGGATGGCGCCAGATTTGCCGTTCAAAGGCAGCGTCACCTCCTGAGCGTTGAAGGGCTCGAGCTTCTCCAGATCGATCGAAGTAGCCCCCAGGAAGTCAGCCTTGTCACCAAAGTCCCAGTCATAGACATCCACGTGGAAATCAGCACCAATGCGAGACTTGACAGGCGTCTCGAAGTACTCGTTCCACGCCGGGTGCAGTGTTTTCTTCTGGACCTTGGTTTTGAACACTTCCTTATCGTGCAGTCGGAACTTGCAGTAAGGATCGCTGTAGCCATTGCGGTCGGCCGAGGGCAGATCCGCAGCGTCAAGGATTTCCACGCGCAGAGTTCCCATGTTATTGATACTTTCTGTCGGGTCTAGTTTCATCTGTGCAGGAATGTACCGTGCACTGACCGTGACTTTGCTGAGCTCGCCGTCCGGCGAACGAAGGGTAAGCTCGGTAGGCGTGTAGAGAATACGCTGCAGTGTAGGCAGCGTGTCGCCCGTCAGCTTGGCAACGGTGTGCTCATCGCTGCTGTCCTTGTTATCATCCTTGTTCACGAGGCGCAGGGTGATCTTGGAAAATTCAAGTTCACGCACAAAGGCATCACCAACTACAAGTCATGGTCAGCACGTTGGCACTCCGCATATAAAGCAAATACATACTATCTTCGAACTTGGTAGTAGTAGAACGAATCTTGGGCGAGATGTAGGCCGGGAACATGTAGTCGTCCATCACAACCTCGAGATGCACATTGCTGTGCGCGAGCTTGCCCTCATGGAATTGGAACACAATAAATCCAGACTCTGTATCTCAGTTAGCATCTGATCAACCCAGAGCTCGAAAAGGTACATACCGTATTTAGCGAGATCCTCAGCGCTGATGTAAGTCCTAGGGATGCTTTTGACCGAGCGAATAGAACCACCCTCGGAGTCGCGAGTGGTCGGCCGAGAGGCGCTAGTCTCAAGACTGGCGCGGCCGTTTGTGGTAGGCGAAGTTGGCGAAGTAGGTAACTTTCCATTGGTAGCGACGCCATTGGACAAAGCCGTGGAAGCCTTGGAAACCTTTGAGTCGACACTGGCAGACTTCGAATGCATGCTCTTGCGCGACGTGCCATCAGCAGTCTGCTCTTCTGGCGCGTCCTCTTGTTCAGCCTCCTCCTCCGGGTTGATAACCGGGATGGTGGGGTAGAAGGCAACGGTATAGTTGAGATGGCCCTTGACGGGACCATTGCCAATGCGAAGACCAGCGGTGAGCGGCGCCTTCTCATCATCGATTTCGTATTCACCGGCTTCATTTTCACGCACAAAGTCAGCGGCCTTGATATCAGCCCACCCAAGAGTCCTGTCCTTGTTTATGGTTTCCTCGTCCATTACCTCCAAGGTGAGCTTCTCGCGGGCGCTGCGAATGGGGACATAGACCACCTCATCCCATTCGGGATCCAGGTTGCTACGGAAAGTCACAGTGCGACCACGGGTGACACCCGACAGTAACACACGGACATAAGGATCGGACTTGCCCATCGCCTCCAAATTCCGTAGGTTCGTGGCACTCTTGAAGTGGAAGCGCATGACGCCAATGGGGTCGATGTAGCCCGCGGTACCAGCAATGCCGGTGAGGGCGACAGGTTTCCACTGCATCACCATCTTAACACGGCCACCCTTGACACCGTGCAGATGGAACCATTGCTGGCCGCGCTCCATCATCTTCATCATATCGTTCATCTTGATCTGATACCGGCCAATGATCGGATCGGCCATAAGGTCGCGATCATCCTTGATGATCACGCCCAAACGAGCAGCCTTGCGGTCCGTCACGAGGAACTCCTTGGCGTTGTTCTGGAAGATGGGGTTGTTGGTACGCTTCAATTTGGAAGTGGTGTGGATCTCCTTGCCGTTCAAGAGCAGCACAGCGTAGGGGTTGAGTTTGCCGATCATACTCTTTCCATCGAGGTCCTTGGCTTGCTCGACGGTGAACTGGGCAATCCCGGTATTCAGCTCTGGAGGGGGTAACGCCTCGCCAGTGTCCGAGGTTGCCGCCTCAATAACAGGGAAGAAACGGATGTCACAATGGATCGCACCGCGATTACGGCCGCTGGACAGCACCTCCAGGTAGAGACCCTCTTGCGTGGGCTCTTGTTCCAGTTTGTCCAAGGCAAAAGTGGCGGTTCCAAGCTCTTTGTCTTTGCGATACTCATTCCAGTCGTACGGCACAATGCTCAAGGCATCGGTAAAAGAAGTGATAATCACGTATATAGTCTCATTCCAGCGGGGGCTGTCATTCTCGTGGACAATCTTGGTTCGACCCAGCTCCGAGCGGTTGTTCAACGAGACCACGGCGTATGGATCCGGAGTACCAGAGAACTTGTCTGGGTTCTTCAGCTGGTTGGCGCCGTGCAGCGTAACCGCCACCACACCAATGGCCTGGTCGACAGGGTTGCCCGCCAGCATCTTCGCAATTTCAATTGGGAAGACGTTCGGATCGTACATCATCGGCTGCAGGTTGGCGTGAATCTGGTCTTTGATGAAGGACTCCAGACCAGGAATGAAATTGATGTCGAATCCGAGATGGTCTCCTCCAAGAGGCTTGCACACGTAGTCGATCTCGGGCTTGTTCAGGAAGCAGATATCGACGCGCTCAATGTGAGGGAAGGGAAGCTGCAGCTTGACCTTGACACGCATCAAGCCCGTACATGCCATGTCCTCGACAATGACATCGAGACCCGTGCTGACGACACCTCTCCCAAGGCGCACTTCCAAAACAATCTTGGGGTTGATCTTGTTCTTCAGCTGGCGCTCTGTCAAATCCATGGTATCATTGGGCGTGAAGCTGAATTTCCAGTCCATTATGACGGTGTCTGATTCGGTTTTTGGGTATGTCTTGACATGCTCAAGACGCGGCGGCTTGTTACCAAGAATGAACGTCTTCAGACGTAGGCTGTCCAGGAACGCAGGGCACGATGTGCTCAGAACCTGATCGACAGAGTTGATGATCGTGTCGCAGATCACGGGGGCATAGATGGGCCAGAATTTAACCAGGAAGCTGTTGATCCATTCGAGACTCTCGGTGTCGGTTTCGAGACGCTGCTTGGCCATCTCACGGTGAACATCATCCCGGAAATTGCGGCGGACCCGGCGAATCGACGTGCGGTAGTAAGTGCTGCACGCGGCCATAACGAAGAGCACCCAGCCGAGACCACCGCCCAGAGCAGCGATCAGCCACGAAATCAAGCAAGCGAACACGATAATCCCAGCATTGTGGTACCAATCTATGGAGCATACCTGTTAGCACCATAGCGACAAACCAGTGCGGGTGTGTACTAACCTCCAAAGAGCTTGTCGGACAGTCTGCCCTCTAGGAAAGTCTGATGATCAAGCAAGGTGCCTTCCCCATCCTCACCGACCAGCTTCTCAGTGATGAAAGTGGGCGCCCATCCGGTGCGATTGCGCGCCCAGCGAAGGTCCTCGTCCATATCTTTCCCGCCCTTTTTTTGTTTGAGTGTCGCATCCTCGGCCATGATCGCAGTGGCTGATTGCGGGGGCGGGAGGTCATAGTCCGCCACGCCATCATCCTGGAATTAATTAATTAATTACGGCATGCGCCATCGAGCCTAGAACACCCACCTTGTCCGTAATGACAGCCATTCCCTTAGGCTTCTTCTCACGGTGAGACTCACGCGGCATGCGCTGTTGTCAAGTCAGTCACTCCATCATGAATTGCACCATTCACTTAGAGAGGAAACTCACCGACGCAGCCGCATCAGCCTTATCCTCAGGCGAAGCATTGGGGTCGAATTGATAGGCTGCGACACCAGCCTTACGAGTCTCATCGACAAGTATCTCCTCGACCTTATCCGGGTTGACTTTAGACTGGGGATCCTCGTAGAGTTCCTGGGCAGCCTCGATGACCCCTTCCTCCTTCATCTCCGTCTTCTCCGCGGCCGCCATCTCGGCGATCGGTCGGGTGTGTCGAATGCAAGGGTGGAAATTTGTAAGCGACCGGACAATCTGGCGCTAGCTGGCATGAGGGAGAAAATGTTAGCAGGTGAGCTGAGCTGAGTCGAATTGGAGAAGAGAATGAAAGGTGCGGGGAGAGCAAGCTTCCGGATCCGGGGATTGGAAATCGGGGGAGTGGGAGTGGGAGTGGACCGCGTGGATGGGTTGACATACAGGTGTGTGGAATGGCAGGGGTGGGAGGGAGAGAGTGAAGCAAGAGTGGCACACACAGGAGAGGGAGGGAGAGAGAAATAAAGTGAGGGAGAGGGAGAAGAAAGAGTGAGAGCGAGAAAGTAGTGAGGGAGCAACTAACCCTCCCGATCGACGAATAGGGTGGGACCTACCAGCCGCTTGCGTCAAGAAGGAAAGGCCTGTGGCTGGTACCTCGCACGGGCAAAGATGGCCAGGATTTCGCAATAATGCCAAAGATTTTACAGAAGCTGAAAAAGGAGATCGTTGGAAGCTTGCTAGTCACGGAACTAACACATGGATCGAAGATCGTGACGTCCTCGTCCTAGCTAGGACCCGATCGGCGGATCCTCGGGTGCCTGGGAGCCTATGATGACAATGGTACAGGCGGGGAGGAAAAGAAATTAGTAGCACTAGTGGATTGGCACAACATAGTCCAGCACCGCCACAGACGATTATTCATTCGATTAGCAGTTCTAGAGTTAGTTAGTTAGGTTTTAGTTAGTTAGTTGGTGAAGCTGAAAGCGGAGCCAGCCAGCCCTACGTCGGACGTAGGCAGACAGATTAACTAGCGCATCTCCTATCTAGGCACTAATCTACCCCTATTTCTATGAGAATGAGGGCCATTATGGGCAAACAATGCAATTGCCCTCAATTTGGACGGCGGAATCGAGTTGGTTGTACACGTGGCATGCAGACTCAAGAGGGCACTACTGCACTAGGTACAGGTGAGGCGCGTGCAGAACACGATCTATCATCTATCGGGAACGGGCGGGGATTGGGGCGTAATCAAAATGTTATTCGTCAGGGATGATAATAAGTAAGGACATAATGATACCTAGTAGTCGAAGAGAGATTCAAGAATGAAAGAGAGTCTTAAACATCTACCGCCCCATACGGATGACGCCCGCCGCCATCAATTTCTGGATCTTCATCCGCACCTGTGCGTTCTTCATATGCTCCTGCAGCGCGGCCGGGTCACCCTTGGCTTGCTGGAGGATGCTCTGCATCACCGGGTCCTGGAGGATGGCCATGATCTACGCATGTTAGTTAGCACCTCGGCTGTGGTTCGATGGGAGATATAAAACTCACCTCGGGATCATTCTGGATACGCTCCATGGTCTGCTGCTCCGTCTCGCCCGCCCGCGCACTGAACTGCGCATCCAGGCACTTCTGCTGCTGCTGCTCGATCTCGCGCGCGTGCGTTCCGTCATCGTGCTCCGCCGCTTCGGTGAACACATCCAGCGCGCGGTTGTACTCTTTCATCGCGACCAGCGCTTGGCCCTTGCGCATATACGCGCGGATGAACTTGGGGTCGCGAGAGATGGCCTCATCACAGTCCTGTACCGCCCCCGGGAAGGCCATCAGCTTGATGAGCGCGGCTGCGCGGTTCGAGTACCCCCGCGGGTCGCTAGGGGCGCGCTTGGTCATCTCCGTGAAGGCATCCACGGCCCCGGGCCAGTCGCCCTCCTGGAACTTCTTCTGGCCGAGCTCGCGGGCCTTCTCGGCCTCGGCCGGATCCATGTAGGCGTCCTTCTCCGCCTTGACCTTGGTCTTTTCGGCATTGCGAAGCTTGGTGAGAGTATCGGGGGTCCGGTGCTCCATGAGTGACTTGTTGTAGGATTCAATGGCCTGCGTCAGGTCACCCATCTTCTCGTAGGCAGTCCCGATTCTGGCATAGGCCTTGGCCATCAGCTTGAAGTCTGCCCTGAGGTCACGGCCTTCCTCGACGGCTTTTTGGCAGGTCTCAATGGTGCCCTGGTAGTCGCCCTTTTCGAACTTGGCGGCACCGATATTGTTCAGATATGTGATGTCCTTGTGCAGCTCCCAGGCCTTGTTGTAGTGCTCGATGGCCTCATCCAGCTGCTTCTTCTTGTAGAAATCGTTGCCGATCTTCTTCTCGGCGTCACCAGCCTCCTTGGCCTTCTTCTTGGCAATCGCCTCCTCATCCTCCGGCTCGGGCTCGGGGGTAGGCTCCTTGGGCTTCTGCTGAGAGGTGCTGGGCTGGGCGTCTGGCATTGGCTGATCCCCAGATGATTCACCACCCGGTGGCGCACCGAAGTTCATATCGATGCCGAGAAGCACACTCATCACCTGCAGGAAGCGTGGGTCACGGATCTCCTCGCCCACGCTGTTGGGGTTCTCTTGGATCTTCTTCAGTTTCGCCATGAACTCCGGGTCGCTGAGCAGGCTGGCCGTCTTGGGGTTGCTGGCCAGTTTCTGGAGCATGCCGGGGTCATTGAACATGCCACCGAGACCGCCCAGCGGGTCTCCCGAGACCCCATCAGCCGTCGCCTCCGCATTGATAGCCCGCTGGACCGCACTCAGACCGGACTTGGCCTGTTCGTTGCCGGGTTCAAGCTTCAGGGCCTCCTCGTAGGCGTCGTGGGCAGCCACTACCAATCACACCTGTTAGTTAGTGGAGACCAACCCAAGGAGTACCAACTTACGAAGATCCCCCAATCCGCGGTAGGCAGCTCCTTTGCGGAGCTGGCCCTTGGACCAGTCCGGCTTGATGCTAATGGCTTTCTCGGCGTCATCGAGAGCCTTTTGGTATTCGGCCTGTGCAGAGTAGACGGCGGAGCGGTTGGAGTAGAGGATGTGGTTCTCGGGCTCGACAGCGATGGCCTGGGTGAACTTGTCACTGTCCTCATGTTAGCATCCTCAAGCCATCCAACGCGGGGTACAACACATACATGGCAGTAGGATAGTCCTTGGCGGAGAAGGCCTTGTTGCCTTCTGCCTTGAGAGCGTCGGCCATGATGAACAATCACAGTAATCAGGAGAGGCCAAGGGGAGAAGGGGTTGTCAGGAAAGAGAGAGGGGAGCACTGCAGGATAAATGGATGATGGCTGGATCGAGCTTCTCGAAATTTCCGGAACATAGTTTCTGCCTCAGGCATATTAATACCTCAGGCATCCGCAGCTGCTTCGCCGCACTAAACCCAGTCAGGCAAAGACGATTCGTCTCCCCGCGCAGAAAAAAAAAATGCGAGTCACAAACGCATCATTTTTCTTGACTCATCCACCCCAGTGACTATGCTGCTCTAACGATTTGGTTTTATTCTGCCCGGTCGAACATGACAGCTCGCCCTCCAATCAGTCTGTCCCCCTAGTTGATCTGTCGCTGCTACCCGCCATGACCTCCGCGGGGTCTCGCGTGCCCGAGCTGGCCGCGAAGCTCTACGATGCGTGCCTGACCCATTTCGAGGCCGACCGCATGTTCTTCCAGGAGGATCTGCTCAGCCTAGGTGTGATCCCGACGAACGACCTGGCGCTGCTGGTGCAATGCGCCCAATCGCTGGTGGATCAGAAATTGATGCGCCTGCTGCAAACCAAGACTGAGCGTCTGGCATGGAAGATTATTCCCCGGGAAGATGCGGAGAAGTATGGTCTTGACTTCTTCCACGCCATTTTCCTTTTACTAATGTTGTTTTCTTGCTAGACTCCAAAACCTCAACCCCGACGAAAGTTTGGTCTATAATGTCATCCACTCCAACGGCCGGTCTGGCGTCTGGGTTCGAGCCATCCAGTCCCGTACCGGTCTGCACAAGTCCATCCTAGACCGCTGTGTGAAATCTCTCGAAGGGAAAAACTACATCAAGAGCGTTCACAATGTCAAATACCCCAGCCGGAAGATGTACATGCTGGCCGGCCTGGCCCCCAGCGAGGATGTTACCGGTGGCGCATGGTTCACCGACGGAGTCATGGACGTTGACTTCATCAACAGTGTCGCGGGATACATTGAATACACCGTGAGCCGCAAGAGCTGGTTCGAAGTGCCGAGCTCAGAGCAAGGCCGCAACAAGCGCCTCAAGACCGCCACAGGAAAATCAGACATCAAGGAGGAAAAGCAGTACCTCCCCTTCGCAGCCAGATACGAAGGTTACCCAACCGTGGAGATGATCACATCCGCCGTCAACGAGAGCGGGATCACACCCGTAACACTCCGCGAAGAGAGCATCGTACAATTGCTCGAAATGCTATGTTACGACAAAAAGCTCGTCGCCCTGAACAACGGCCAATACTACAAAGCCATCAAAAACCCCGACGCCGTCAAGGCCAGCCAGGCCCGCAAACCCGCTGCCGTGAATGACATGGCAGACGCCGAGGCCACGAAACACCTCCCAAAAAACGGTATGACCGAAGCCCCCTGCGGCCAGTGCCCGGTTTTCAAGCTTTGTTCCCCTGGGGGTGCCGTGAGTCCAGAGACATGCGAATATTTCGACCCCTGGCTGTCAAGTAGTCTTGGGTTTTGAACGACGAAATGGAAATGGCTGGCTTGGGGAAAGACCCACCCCAAACAACCTTGGTATCCTGTTTCCATCCCAGACCACACCTTTTTGCATATAGGGGATGAGAGAAATGAGACCTCCAAAATCGGACGTGTTGTGTGTGCATAGCGAAGGCGTTTTTTTGATGTTTGAATCTTGTCGATTGGCATCTTGATGTTTGGTATTCTAGGTAGTGTCTTGTCTTCGCTCGTTGTGGATCGATGAACCTGCCTCCTGCAAGTGGACTATCACATTGGTCTTGTTTAAGTCGTTAGATGGAATAAACAAATCCAGCTATCATTGCTTGCGATAACTATATCATATAAATTGGGACCGTCTATACGCATGAGCAGTGCGTCTACTCACACCATATCAAAAAGACAAAATTGCATTGAGAGCAATAATCGGAGACCGAAACTTACGCATTGGAGAGGAGGTAGTAGTAATTAATGTATTGTTGGTAAAGGCCTTATACCACTTCTAGCAGCAAGACGCCTTCCATCAACTCGCCGTGATCCGTCAGTGTGCTCATGCAAGGCTCGGAACGAGTTTCAGATACTGAATGTTGATTTTGTGTGACGCTTTGTTTTGTGGCGTAAATTTCCTGCATACTCGGCTCCACGTCGGATCTATACCAGCGACGCACGGGGTTGGGTTTTTGAAGAAAAGCGGATGTATTTCGACTTCCTCTACCTCAGTAGGAAGTCTACCATTTTGTACTATGTAATTCTTTACCAGGCCTTGGTGCCAATAAACGCTCATTTGGATTATACTTTCTCAGTATAGTTCTCCGACCTAGGTAATAAGGTTTCTATATTGCGGTGATCATCTCATCCGCAGTATCAACCCCACAGGCTCGAAAAATCTTGGAATCGACGGAAATTAACGTGGGACCTCTGGCATTCTAGAAGGATTACAATTCAATGTAATTCGAGCATTGAATAAAGGTCCCTTGACTTTATTTACTCGTACTTGTTTTTGCCCATTTCTGCTCTAGCTGCGGGATTTGCCGCCCGATCTGCTCAATGGCCTTGTCAAGGCTTTGACCTCCTGCTCAACGATAACACTGGCATGGGCATGAGTGACAGTTGCAATTGCTGACCCTACGGCGGGGGCAGACAGTGCTATAGCACATTTATATATTGCACTTGCACTATCTTCCATCTGCTTTGTGACCTTGATCTACCAGTTATTGGCAGCCATAGATTCCCTTAGATTAACACCATTTCTATTCCTGCTCAGGGTACTTAGTATTAGTATTATCAAGAGCGTCTCATCTTCAATATCGATTGAACTACAAGGCTTTGGACATGGAACGACGTAGTTTGTGCTTAGCCGCCCCCAATGGAGGTTGTATGAAGTCGGGGTCACTCAGCCAACTCCGCTTGTCGCCCCACAGGAAAAAGGGCATAATCGAATGAGAGACATAAATGACTCGATATGCCCCGCTGTAAGGGCTTCTCCTCTTCTCTGTAATTGCACCATCTACATTGGAGCATAATGGCATTTCTCATAACAAACATCCGTATCTTCGACGGTGATTCAGTCATATCTGAAAGCGGCCATGTCCTCCTCGATAGTGGTCGCATCGACAAAATTTCGACCAAAAATCCCATTCAGCCCCCAAATCCATGTACCGTAATTGATGGCTCGGGCAGTACCCTCTTGCCTGGTCTCATTGATGCACATGTGCATGTATATAGGGACGTTTCTCTTCTAGAAACCGCCATTCAATATGGCTACCACCGTTCTGGACCTGCATAATGAGCCACATTGGTTCCGGGAGATGAAGGAAATTTCAAAGCAGCGGAATAACGTTGCCGATGTTCGTAGTGCGTGCTATGCGGCTACAATTAGGAATGGTTGGCCATCTGCGATCTACAGATCAGTGATTGGGAAGAAAGGCGTCTTTGCCAATGCCACACTCATATCGTAGGTTGAATCGTGGCTAAGACCCTGAAACCCACAAGTCTTTTTCAGTCCCCATACTCTGGAGATCGGGTTCAATAGATGTCAGTGGCACCAAGGATGTTTTAAAATACATGTACAAGAACAAGCCGGCCCCCAGACTTCAAAGTTATTAGGAGCTTTTCCTCGATAGTAGTCTAGGTAATATCGGTGTTGTCATACTGCTTAGTCGGGTCACGATAGAAACAGTCGTTTACCGCACAACGATCGCATTATCACCAGCCCTCACCTTTCGGATCGTAGCCATCCATCATAGGTCGTTTCCCAAGGGGGTCGGGAAATAGTCTAATTAGAGACGCTCGACCTACGCGACCTCTGTCACATAGTACGGTGGGCTTGGGCAAGGATATAGAATAGATTCGAGGGCATTTTTTAGGAATATAAAGAATCTAAGGACGGCTGCGTACATGAGGATTGTTGAACATGAATATAAGAAAGTATTGAAGAAAATTCTTTCAAGATTTCAAAGATCGGAAGTGAGTGCGGTCCGTTGCTCATGTGATCATACCCAATCGTGAGACGTTTTGCAAGGTTGGATGCAATCAGATTTGTTCTGTCATCTGTGACTCGTTACCTATCACCCCAACAATCGTAGCAAAAAAGTTGGACTCGCAGGGAATTGAACCCCGGACCTCCCCCATGCGAAGGGGGCATTCTACCACTGAACCACAAGCCCAGATTAGCGTGAAAAACGGGCATAGCAAATCTCTCAGAGGAGCGGCATAAACACCCAATTAGGAAAAGGAACCGTGGGTCAGTCAAGTTGTAATCAAAGAAGTCGGAATAAGCAATTGTCAATATGAGGGATCGGCAGAACGTCTCAATGAACACAAGACGCCAAAGAGAGAAGGGGCCAGAACAGGAAAATTGGATAACACAAGTACTGCGATGGGTATCACGCCTGCGCCGTAAACATACAAATGGGGATCGACAAATCACTAGGAAAGACAAGAATCGAGACAATTGATGGATTTTTAATGCTGTGAACCACTCCCTCATGCCATCCGGCTCCTCGTGTTTGGTGGGGAAATATCGATGACGTCCAGGCGACCAATCGACGATTAGGGCTACCTGGTCGCTGGCGCGGTTGCCGCCGCTAGGACCTGGTAACGACTGGCTAGAGTGACCAGAAGCTGGGCTATCATCGATGGGGCCCGGGTGGTCCTTCCTGTGCTAATTCCTATAGCTGTTTGGACATCCGCAATCCGCGTTGCAGCCTCTCTCACTGTGAATTGCAACACTACTATTTTCGTGCTCTCAAACCTCGATATATCGACGCTGCGGAAGGGTAATATTTTTGCAACTGGTGAGACCTCCAACTCAAGATAACTTAGGCCATGTGTTTGAGCTTGTGGGTCAATTTGAGATATACTTAATGTGTTCAATTCCCAGTCCATTGATTTACTTACATCTACCATGTAGGTGGCGGTAAGACTTTGTTGTTGTAGGCTATTAATTAGTATTTGGACTCTTCTCTACGTGTAACATTACTAGACGCAAGACGCCGATCGGGGTTCACATTACAGCGTGCTCACAATGAACGAGAGTTAAATTTTTCGGAGAACTACGTTGCTCAAGAACCTCTGTACATGGACGACAGTGAAGTGAAGGCTGGGTGAAATAGCAGGGAAGGGGGAGGAACGTGCTAGAGCACAGGGATCGCAGATCACCAGCACAGGTCTCTAACACGGAAGATTGTGAAGAATTTTACGTACCTTTACAATATTAATAATATAACTTATTTATATCGGAGTCTGGAATTTGCTAGATAGTGTCATGTGACGATGATTGAAAACGATGGTATTCAGGTCTAGCTATCATGTCCATCTTTATAGTAGAGAAGCGGAAAAACTCTACATGTAGGTAAAATTTGTCCACATCGGGGCACGATTTCCTCTGCTGGGAGAATGTCAGGTGAGCCAGCGTCAGGAGAGCCAGCGTCAGGATGCAGCAGTTGGATAAATTACGTGGGGGCCATTATACTAACAATTTATTATGTTCAGTCTGAACGACGTCACTACTTTCAACTTCAACTGCCACGAAGAGTCAGCCGCCCGCCTTATTGAGATCTGATAAATAAAACCGAAAAAGCCATTCTATTTGTATCTTTTCGAAGTTCCACAACTCTCTAGCCGTTCGTGGTATATGCTACATGCGTCATTTGAAGAGGTTTATGATTTGGCCAATCAGCATCAAATACTGCCGCCTCGCCGATTGGTCCAATCGAAAATCTCAAAAAGAAAGAACACGAGTTAGTCAGCATAGGTCTGGTCAGCATACGTGCAACGGCTAAATGGGGCTGACTCTGATCTCTAGGGGGGTCGAATATTCTCCTGACATCCTTGACAAACCAACCCCAGCTACGAGAATGACAATTTTTATCACCCTAGGCAGAGCAAGTGTGACTCTCGTCTTGGCGGGTGCCATCGCATTTATCTATCGAGCATGGCAAGTCCGTCGTCTAGTCCGGAATGCGGCTAGACAACATGGAGTGGTGTGTAAAGTCCCGTGGATTGGCACTTGATCAATACCCTTACAATTCTCACAGCCAATGCTGCCTCATTCGTGGATTCTGGGACATCTGCACCATGTCGGCAAAACCATGGCCAAATACCCCAGGGATGTTCACGGCCAATATATGCCTCTCCTTCTTGCCAAAGACCACCCAGAATTGGAGGTGCCAGGACTCATGTACATCGATGTCTGGCCTATTTCGCCCCCAATGCTGGTCGTGTTCCATCCTGATATGATGGCCGAATTCACGCAGACCACCTCACTTCCGAAGCATCCGCACTTGGAAGGCGAGTTCAGGCCATTTACGCAACTCAACGACCTACTCAATATGTCAGGAGAGAGATGGAAGATGTGGCGAGGCATTTTCAATCCGGCATTTTCAGTCAGGAATATTCTGTCACTCATACCCGCCTTCCTTGAGGAGATTGATGTCTTTGTTGATCAACTTAAGGGCGCTGCAGAATCTGGGAAAGTTTTTAGACTTGAAGATAAGGCCATTAGCTGCACGATTGACATCATCGGCCGGGCTATCCTGTATACGCACCCTTTTACTTATCAACTTCTCCAACCGTCACTAACAGCCTACATCTATAGTGACATTCGTCTACATTGCCAAACAAGTAAGAATGAGCTGCAAGAGACAATGAAGCGACAAATTGCCTTAATGTGGATAAGCAATGCCCCCGACCAACTAGTCATGGCGCTCAACCCATTGCGCCCCTTTCGCATGTGGAATAACAACAGAATCATCAAGAATTATCTCCGACCACATATCGAACGAGGTATAAATGAGCATTTGAATGGTGAATCAAATGGACACAAGACCATCAACTCTCTAGCCACCAAGGCCTACCTCTCCGAACACGATTCTTCCAAGACCAACGCAGTCAATGCCGATGAACATTTCATGGACATCGCTATTGCCCAGATAAAAATCTTCCTGTTCGCGGGACACGACACTACAGCGACAGCTCTCTCATACTCCTACCACCTCCTCAACAAACACCCATCAGCACTAGCCACACTCCGCGCTGAACACGACGCCGTGCTCGGCCCTAATGCCAGCACAGCCCGGGCCCAAATCGCTGCCAACCCAGCCCTGCTCAACCATCTCCCTTATACATCAGCCGTCATTAAAGAAACCCTGCGCCTGTTCCCACCCGTCGGCACAATTCGCCAAGGCCAACCAGATTTCTACCTAACCCACCCAGAAACAGGGAAGCAGTACCCCACAGACGGATTCATGTTGTTCGGACTAAGTTTCGCCGTCCAGCGAGCAGAGGAGTTCTGGCCCCGAGCCACAGAGTTTCTGCCCGAGCGCTGGCTCGCAAAAGAAGGCGAGCCGCTGCATGTACGGAAAAACGCATGGCGGCCCTTCGAGCAGGGCCCCCGAAACTGTATTGGCCAGGAGCTGGCGCAGATCGAGCTGCGGGCGATCCTAGCGCTGACGGTGCGTGAAATGGATATTGAAACAGTATTTCCTGATGACTCGCCTGTTGTGTTTGGAGAGAAGGCGTATCAGGTTATGGAGGTTGGAATGATTACTGGGCATCCGAAACTTGGAATGCCGGTTCGGATTAAGATGAGGGGTGAGAGTTCAAGAGATTCCATCTAGAAGTTCATTTGTTCCCAGTTGCTGTTTGTGGGTGATGTTGAGGGGGCGCATGGCTGCAGGGCCTACCAGGTCTTTTCACGCTACGGTTTTAGATAAAAGAACAACGGCAGCTCAGATAATATAGGCGATGGTGAATTTCGCCACAATCTGGCTGTGGTAGTATGATCAACCCTTTTTGCTCGTCGTCTTCTTTCTGGCTAGTGATAATAATGATACATTATCCACAATCCGCAATTTCATAAGTAGTCTATAGGTAAGCAAGGTAATGTTGTAAGTCACTATTTGCTAACCCTATACTATCATTTAGACATAGGAAGTGGCAGAGGAAAGTGACTTCGTTAGATTTTCGAGGTCCTCTTAGGCTCTAGTGTTTGACTTATTTGTATTACTATATAAAATCCCTGCTCCATGCAATTTCACTCCTGTTTACGTTTGCGAACTTCTCTTGTGGACATCGATCGAGAACTCCAACCGTCACAGAGAATTTTTGTCCAAGAAGATCAAGATCTCCTTCGCAATGTACTCATAATCCGTCTCGACCGCAAAGTGCCCCGCATCAATCAATTTGATATCGGCATGTGGCAGGTCTCTTTTGAACGCTTCGGCCCCCGGCGGAATAAAAAACACATCATTTTTGCCCCAAATAGCAAGAAGAGGGACGCTCGATTTTCGGAAGTAGGCTTGGAAATCTTCATAAAGTGGCACATTGTTCCGGTAATCCATGAACAAGTCCAACTGGATGTCCTTATTTCCTGGACGCTCCATCAAAGAGTAGTCAAGATAATACGACTCTGGTGCAATACGGCTGATATCCGGAGAGCCGTTCTCGTACTGAAACTTGGTCATCTCCATAGTAAGCATCGCCTGCCCAACCTTGGCGCGGTGTTCGGGGGCGTTGTTGCTAGCCCAGAGGTCTTGGATAGGACCCCAGACATCGCCGAAGCCCTCGACATAGGCGTTTCCGTTTTGTGAGATGATGGCTTGGACTGAGTCTGGTCGCTGGAGAGCGAGTCTCAAACCGGTCGGTGCGCCGTAGTCGAAGATGTACATGGAGAATTTGGTAATGGACAGCTTGTCAAGAAACTCGGCCATGGTAGTTGCCAGGTTGTCAAAGGTGTAACTGAAGGTTGATGGAGTTTCGGTGAATCCGAATCCTGGAAGATCTGGAGCTATCACGCGATACTTGGCCCCGAGAAGAGGGATCAAATTGCGGTATTGGTGCGAAGATGATGGGAAGCCATGGAGTAGTAGGATTACTGGAGAATTCCGTACTTGGCTTTGCTCTCGATAGAAAATCTTGACGCCAGATGGCAGGAGGACGGTCTTGTTCTCTGTCACGCCCATTTTGGAGATAAAGTACTTAAGTATGCAGTGTCGGGATTTAAGAGAATTTTGTGGAGTGCCAACAAGATGAGGAGGGATGCCTTTAATATACAGCTTAGCTGCTTCAAGATTACCAATCGATGGTGGTGCAAACAGCGGGATTTTCGGGGACCATCTTCGTGTCTCACTGCTCTCTCCTTTGATTCGAGCCTTTGATTTGAGGGCCACGAATGTGCCGTTGTTTCCGGGCGACGGTGATGCATACACTCCCTCAATAAAATTAGCGACACGTCATTTGTCATTCAAACATCTGCATTGGGTTGGGACTCGAGTGTGATTCGTGAATGTGATTGGGCACTCGTGTTTGTACCGTGGCTGTTTAGCTCCCAGCCAAACCAAGCAAACCCAGCAAACGAGTCTAGAAACAGGAAATGGTTTGGTTTGCATCGGAACGGACCCACTTTCCCCATCCGCTCGAACTAGAATTTGGAATAGGCTTTTGGGCTTCCATGCAGAACGAACAATGCTTTGAAATCGTTCGACGGATTCTAATCGCTCGAAGAACTGCATTGAGGTGTAGAGCTCTGACATATTTAAACGACGGTCATTCCCGCCCTCCCCATCTTTTCTACTATCACATTACGATTCTCTTAGCACTCAGCATTATTTGTATCTATTGTGCTAGACTTTGGCACTTGACACACATCCTATCTGAACATCCAGCCCAACGAACTCACAACATGTCGGACACCATGAACGCCATCGTCATCAGCAAGTTTGGCGGTCCCGAGGTACTTGAGTACAAAACAGTGCCCAAGCCGACTGTACGAACTGGCGAGGTTCTCATTGCTGTCAAAGCCTTCGGATTAAATCATGCCGAGATGCATATGCGCAAGGGGGAATGGGACGAATGGAACCCTGTGACGGGCTTGGAATGCGTCGGCGTTGTTGAAGCTTGCCCGGGCAATGAGTTCCGCATTGGGGAGACCGTCGTCGGTGCGATGGGTGGCATTGGCAGAAACCGACCAGGTGGCTACGGCGAGTTTGTAGCCATCCCTGCCACCAATGTTATTGCCGTACAGACGAAACTGCCGTGGGAGCAGCTTGCCGCCATCCCCGAAGTTTACATTACCGTCTGGACGTGTCTCTTCACTATCCTCAACCTTCAGCCGGGTGAGACGCTGCTGATCCGAGGTGCTACGTCCACTCTTGGGCAAGCTGCTGTGAAACTGGGCGTGCACGCGGGTGCCAAGGTTTCTGCAACCACTCGCCGAAAAGAAAGATTCGACTTGCTGCGGGGGATGGGTGCTACAGAGACACTCATCGAACAACCTGGGCTCGATACACGCTGCTCAACCGAGTATGATAAAGTGTTGAATTTGGTGGGAAACCGCTTTCTCTTGGAATCTATTAATTTGACGAAGACCGGGGGGCGAATGTTGCAGGCAGGATGGCTTGGCGGCTTGGAGCCGGTCAAAGATTTCAATCCAATGCTGCAGATGAAATCCGGGGTTCATTTTAGCCTCTTCCACAGCAAAGAGCTGGGCACGGCCGGTTTTCCGTTCTCGAAAATTCCTCTGCAGAGTATTGTTGAACAGATCGAAAAGGGGGAGTATGATGCCCAGCCATCGCACGTCTTTGATTACACTGAAATCCGTCGCGCACATGAGCTCATGGACACTGGGAATGCGGGGGGGAAGATTGTGGTCAAGAGATACTGATTCAGGGCCCGTGAACAAGGATAATGAGGTGTCGCAAACCCAACTTCTAGCTCTTGAACAAAAGTGAACGATGTACTCGGAAGGGGCCCCTGTTGTTAAGTAGTCATGAAGAATCTTTTCCAGTAGCTAGCTTTAACCTGGTCTTACATAAAATTTGCGAGCGTGTTTTCAATTCCTTCTATCCTATAATCGTTATATCATAGTCTCAGGCTGATTTTTATTCTCATTTGGAATGCCGGCATATATCGTCGAGTAGTCATATTTCATCTGCCTTTGCTCTGAGCAATCATAGAACCTAACTCCGGTGGTGCTTTGCGGTAGACAAGATCCATGATTTGTCGATGGTTCAAATCCTTGGCAAAAAGAACCGGCCCGATTTGTTTAACTTGACTCAGAACACAACCGAGGCTAGAGTCCTATCAAGACTCCTCAGGCGCCGAATGTCCGGGCTCCGACCAGGAACCATGCAGTGATCCCGAGGAAGATAGTAGGGACTATACGGACACTTAGCCTTCGGTCATCTGTTAGCACCCAGGTCATGCTTTTATCTCCTAGAATGGATTGTTCCCCTTGAACCCCGATCCCTCATTTGCACACTGTGGGCATCTATTTGATTTGCAAGACTTTCATCGAAGGAAATGGCGGGCCTGGCACATATTTCAGGATCTCTGATCCAAGCTGGTGCCCCAGCTAAGCTAAACATTCTCCTGAAGGATAGTGAGACGGATGAAATATCAAATTGTAAAATGTCGCATTTACTATGGTGTGTTCGGGTGTCCAGCACGCTTACCGATTACGTTAATTCAAGGCTGTACTGTTTGATAGACAGATCTTGATGTAGGGTGTTATGTGTCAAAGTTGCAACGGCTCATTGTGTAAGGACCGATTAATTCGTGGTTAGCTTTCAAAAAGTAATGACGAGCGTCCTCGCTAATAGTCTAAGCTAATGTTTAGCTTCTCGGATAATTTACCATCCACCTGGTTGGCCGAAAAGGCCGACGATAGTCGCAGGGATCGCGCTGCGACATGCGTCGATCGCTTGCCTTTCTGTTTTCCTTCACGTTGTACCGCAAGGTCGCCTCAAAGCAATGTGACTCTATGTATAAAGGGATTGCTAGGTTACATGGGTGGGAGCTTCTCCGCACTATCGATTTCTCCGACCATAAATATCCGGTGGGGAAGGAGGTACAACAAGTCCAGGTCAAGGTGACGACTGAAGTGACTGTTGCTTGTTAGGTATTCTGCGAGACGTTATGCAATTGCGTCGGTTTCTTTTTTGCACTGCGAGTGCCTTGATATGGCTGAGAGGTATCGTTAAAATCACCGCCCCGATTGCCATCCAAATGACTTGGGAGCTCACACTTTTCTAGGTCATGCTCGGCTGGTAACGGTTCCGACTACGCCCTTTACGGAAACAGGAGGCACTTATGATCTCTCCAAACTTACAGATATCATCGTCGACGCTGGATATGCCAATGAGGTCGATCATAATGGGCAGACCTTGATTCCGCCGACTCTATCGCAATTCGCGGAGACCTTCCAGGAGGACCTCAGAACGTCATTAGGCCTGAATCTACAGCTTTCAAGAGGCACGCAGCGGAGAGCGCATACCATCTTCGTGACCCTGGGAAATAGCACTAATTTTCAGGATGCCGCAGGGCGATGGACTTCGGAGGGATATGATCTCAAGGTCGATGACCACGGGATTATCGTGACAGGAGCTAGCCCTCTAGGTGCTTGGTGGGCGACACGGTCCATCATTCAAGCTGCTGTGACTAGTGACTCAGTTCTTGCCAGGGGAAAAGGCACCGATGCACCTGGATGGGGTACCCGCGGTGTCTTTGTATGTCCATTCTCACTGATTGAATACCCCTGCTATCGGTCTAATGCTTTGACAGCTTGATGCCGGTCGCCACTTCTACCCTTCGGATTTTTTGATCGAGATGTGCTCGTACCTCTCGTTCTTCAAACAGAATACGTTTCACATCCATCTGAGTGATAATCTCAATAACAACGTGGAAGAGTATTCCCGGGAGCGCTCGCTGGAACTGTACGCCGCATTCCGTCTCTGGTCCGAAGACCCGGCCGTCGCCGGTCTCAATCGCCGGGCAAACGAGTCGTACACCCGCGAGCAATTTGATCACATCCAAACCCAATGTGCTAAGCGCGGCGTTACCATCATCCCCGAGATCGAAACACCTGGCCATGCGCTCGTTATCGTGCAATGGAAACCGGAGCTGGGACTCGAGGACCTGGGCATGCTCAACCTTAGCCATCCAGACACCCTCCCAACGGTGAAGACTATCTGGAAGACCTTCCTGCCTTGGTTCCACAGCAAGGTGGTCCATATCGGCGCCGATGAATACAATAGCAGCCTAGTGGCAGACTACACTTCTTTCGTGAATGAAATGAACACCTTCATCAAGCAAGAGACGGGCGGTCAAAAGTCGATGCGCATTTGGGGAACCTTTACCCCGAAGGAAGGCGCCAACGTTTCCAAGTCTATCTCCTACCAACACTGGGCGAACTATGATGACCACCCGTACTGGGACTACATCCAGAACGGATACGACGTGCTCAACTCGGACAATTACCTCTACCTCGTCGGCGGCTGGTCTGCATCCTACCCACAGGAACTAGAGCTCAGCAGGATTTTCCAGGGACCATACGGTTCGGGTTATTCTCCGGTGATCATGGACAGCGCGTCTATCGGTGATAACCCTCCTCGTAACAACAAGCACGTGCTTGGTCAAGTGGCCGCACTATGGAACGACTTTGGGCCCAACTCCACCACTGTGCTGCAGGCCTACTACTCCTGGCGCAATGCGCTTCCTGCCCTAGCAGACAAGCAATGGGGCGGCAATGTCACCGAGCAAGAGTACCACTCCGTCTTCGACGCACTGCACGCTGCGGTGCCCGCACAGAACCTGGATCGCAGCATCCCTAGCCAGTCCGATACGATCCTGCAGTATACCTTCGATGGTAATTCGGAATCGACTGTCATTGACCATTCGGGTAATGGATACCACGGCAGAGTCCATGGGTGTAAAATCGCAGACAAGAGTCTCCACCTTGCGGATGGTTGCTACTTGGAGACACCGCTGGGCAGCAAGGGACGCGACTATACGCTCTCATTTCGGGTGCAGCCTACCTCTCAGACGCCAGGTACTCTATTCGCGGGCCCTGACTCGACATTTGTGAATGGAAACGGCACTATCTCGAATGTTACCTTGATCAGTGGCGGGAACCCATACTCGCTCAATTACAGCCTGCCGCTGAACACCTGGACCGACGTTAGTCTGGTGGCCAAAGGCAATACCACGAGCTTGACAGTCGGACAGGGGTCTACGGCGAAGACAATGGAGTTTTTGACAAAGATTGGCGACGAAGGAGAGTTCTTCGAGTGGGCGCCCATTGCCGTCGAGGCGCCGCTGACTCGGGTGGGAGAAGGGTTCACCGGGTTGATGCAGAACATCGTTCTGAAGGGAAGTGCATCCTGAGCACATTCCAAAGCAGGCTTCTTGTGGAGCGGAAAGAAGACGATAGAGCTCTCAGCATTGTGTGGAAAGCTTCTGTTGAATGACCCGTCAACTAACTAAGAACGAGTTCCCCAGAGTGGAGTGAGCAGCGCATTTGAGCCATAGTGGGATTGAAGTTCGTAGAAAGCCTCCTGACAGACGACCAAAACCATGACCAATACGAAAGGTTCGTCCAGATTTCAACGGATAAGGCTACATCCCCTCATGATACCCGTCGTTTGTGAGTGGCCTCTCGGCCTCTTCATCATATGTTTCCCTCGGCTGCGTGTTTTGACTCCACATTAGATAGCGTCCCATCCAGGTACCCGTCATACGTGACCTCCCCGCTTTTGCGCTTGTACCTGTCGTTTTGAACTACCAGAAGCCAATCCATAATTCAAGATGTTGCCAATTATATATCCTGTTCGGCCGGAAGCGCCCGCCTAGGAGTTGAGACAAGGGAAGCCAATCATGAAGCGCTTAGCACAGCCCTATAGATCTTCTTTAACTACAAAACATAGCACTTTATTCCCAAAGCAAATACCACGTATAATTTCACCACCTGAGCAATGACTAAGGTATCTAATTAAATTTCACCGCCGGTCGAGTAGATCGGAACCCGCAATTTGATCCTTCATGAACCACGTCTCAACCCTCCTTATCCACGGAAAAAAATATCAAGAGGAGGAAACCTTCACACTCCTCAAGCATCTCATGAGAAGAAAAGTAGTAACATTAGTTTTGATAATGAAGATGATCAGGATGTCCTTATAATCTCAACTGTGCCGTCATTAGCGCCATCACGGGTCTATAAAATTGAGAGCCTACAAGAAGTTGAGCTTCGAAAAATAGAATTACCAGTTCTGGCCTCATCAGGGACTACACTGACACCATCGCGGCCAATCCAAAACTTTTATCGCTTAGGAAAAGTGAAGGGTTCGGAAGCGGTTGGGTTGCGCAGGATCCCGATCGACGACTTGGACTAGCGGCCACGTCCACTGCCAGACATTAATGCCTGATACGCGGGAGAAGTTGATCTGCCCGCGGGTGCCTTCGACGCCAATACGCGACCAAGACGGGGCAGTGCGCGTCCGGTCCGCGCCATGAGAACGCAGCATATCGGTGAGGACAGTGATCGTATCGTAGCCTTCGAAGGCGACGAAGGAGGGCACCTCAGCGAGCCTATCGCGGAGGGCGGCCTCTACGCGTGCGCCTAGCGGACTAAGCCGCTCGGGTAGGTAACGGAGGAAAGGAATCGCAGCGCCATCGTTTCCAAGCAACCTTCCCCATTCGGCAAACTCGGGCTGTCCGGCTGGGGCACCTATCATGAACCCGGCGAGGCGCTGGTCGCGGCGGACAGCCTTAACGATTGCAACCGCTGGCTCCGGTAGGCCGACTAAGAGGAGGAGAGCTGTCGCGTGGCCGCCTGGCCGGACGAGCTCATCGCATATGGCGGTTGGGTTGAGCGAGCGTATGTCGAACTCGATGACGGCTCCACCACGCAGGGCGAGATACTCCCGTAGGATCCGACACCCAGACGCCCAGTAGACACTCGTCGGGTCGGCAGCTATGGCGATGTTATTGTGGCCTGCGGCCAGAAGAAAGTCGGCGTAAATGCGCCAGCCGTGGGACTGCGCGGGGGCGAGGCGCGCAACCCAGTCTGTCGGCTGTGTAGTGAGTTCGTCGAGGACGGCAGACGAACAGAGGTATGGCAGTCCGAGGGCATCGGCCCTGGCGGCGGCGGCGCGGGCGACGACGCTGTGGTACTCACCCGCTAAGGCAACAACGCCTAGGGCAGCCAGTTCGTCGACGGCCGCCGTGGCCTTTTGTGCATCAGCCGCCGTGTCCCTGATTACCAGCTTGAGTGGCCTTCCGGAGACGCCGCCAGCACTGTTGACCTCTTCGATGGCCAGTTCCAGACCCGCGAGCAAGTGCCTGCCAGCATCAATCCAGCCGGGTTGGCTTAGCGGTGCGAGGGCGCCGATATGGATGCACGGTCCATCGGTTTGCCCTGTTCCGCGTGGCAAATATGGTATGTTCATATCTTTGGCGATCCTGATCGTAAGCAACACTGAGGAGTTGGCGGAGGAGCCGAGGAAGTAGTGACCAGGGTAGTGACCAGCAGTCGTCCCCTTTATTAAAGATGCTTAGAGTTCGGAAGGGCGCAGACCTTTTTGCTGAATTTGATCTCAATTTCTTGGCGTTAAGGGGAAAGCATTGTAAATCTCTATCGATCTTGCGTTTATTCTTTTCTCCGACAGGGGAAATATTTGTATAATGAATGATGGTTAAGAAAAACCATACAGTTCCTGCACATAGCAAATTATTTGGCATGCCATATTTTGTCATTACCGTGGAAATTGTGATATCCAGCTGCGTAGTGCATTGTACAGGAGAATATTGTAGAGGCTGTGGCGTGTCGCCAGAAAAGAGCAGATGCAAGCATGACCTCTGATAGCCTCGGGAGAAGAACTATAAATAGAGAAAACCAGATACAGTACGTGCCGCTAGGTTCGTGATAGAGGCATGTAAGTTCAATGGTTATGTCTGATGCCCTGCATCTGGAGAAGTTTCCGTGGCCAACGGAACTTTCAAAAAGGAGAATATATCCTCCCAGGCTTCCACCGACTGCGCTACGGTATCATGATCTGATCCTTCAATTGTTGTGGAGACAAAATCAATCGCCTCGACACCAGGTGCCTGCCAACACTCTTCGAAATATTTCTGACCATGCTTCCCCACCAGAGCGTCCGTCGCGGCAAAATACGCATGGAGGGTAAATCGGTTGGTCGCTAGAGCTTGCGCGCATTCTGCATAGTCTGAGCAGACTCCCCAGCTACTACCGCCATCTTTGCGTAAAACTTGTATAGCCTCGCTATTGGCACCGACTGTGTTCTCGGTGTGCATAGAACGAATAGCAAGTTGGGCGAGTTCCTTCTGCTCTAGGAAAGGTACGCCATAGTCACGTTCGACTCGACGCCAGTTATCATTTAAGAACGAAAGGTCCTCCGCCACTTCATTTGAATCACTACTACCAGAAGGTGACATGTGACGAATGAAGGCACCACTGGCTGATAACACAGGGCTAGCTCGAGTCACAAAGAAGCGTGGGATTTTATTCCAGAATGCGAATGCCTTTGTTGGCACATACTGTACCATTTGCATCACTTTCACGCGCGAGTGTGTTGGGTCAACCCAAGGAGCTAAAATAAGTTGAAATAAGAATGAGCAAAAGGTAAAGGGGGAGGAGAGGAGGGCTCCTGGACCAGGACTAATACCTATTACTGCCATGACCGGGTTGATATAGTCACGACACTGCGCCCATGTATTGAGCAGATAGATAGTGCCAGCACTATGTGCAACAAGGCTCACGCGTGGAATTCCGAGATACGCTAGGAAATGCGGCAGCATGTTCGTCCATGTGACAACGCGTTGAGCGAGCGGGACGTCGGTCGATGCGCCCATGCCTGGCCGATCAACAACGAGCAGGCGCACACCAGCACGTTCTGCAATTACATGCAATGGGATGCCGAGATAGCGTGAAGCGAACATACCCGGCATGAAAAGTACTGCGGGACCCGTTTGGCATCCAATGTCGGCGAAAGTGATGTTGAGCGGTCCATATGCGGTATCGAGCTTGATGCGGCGGTGGAAGCAGCTCTTAGATACGAGATGGTATGGATCCGACATGATTGTTATCGTATGAAAAGTGTAAGCATCTCTCGCTATATCTCTGATGCGCAATGTCTGAACATAAGCTGGAGCCTGACTCTCAGCTAAACGTGCTGCAGGCGCCCTCTCATTATCAGGTGATTTTCAGAACGCTTAAACACGTAATCAAGATAAGCGAGCGTTTTCTTGCATTTGGATTTATTGCTTTCCACAGCTGCCATTAGATGAGAGGCTTCCTAAGAATAGTGTGATTAACATGAGCAGTCCTGCAGCAAGTGACTGGCTGATTGAGGAGAATTATCGGAGTCTGGAAGGGATATTCAAGATAGTACTAGCAGCCTGTACCATCTGCGATACAGGTAGTCATCCACTGCGGATCAGGTCGTACCTAAGTTCATGCTCTGAAGAGACTTAAATGGGCATCATCCTATGGGCATCATCCTAATGTGATTGATTTGAACTGCGCGTATCAGGAGATGGCGGTTTTCGAAGTAGGGGTATCGAGGTGCCCGTTATATCGAAATTTCAGAGATACCTCCCCCTACATGTCCTGCTTGTCTAAATAAAAGTAAAATTCTTGGATTGTTCTGGAAATCAAAAAATAGGTAATAAGTGCCCTGCCAGGCAATAATATTTGAATGCAATGGCAGGCAAAAGAATATGTCAAGCCAGATCCAGCCTAGTATATATACCTGGCGCAAACAAAGAAAAAAATTCTTCCGTGTAGAAGTTCTACACCAACACTAACAAAGATCCAAGGCTACTTCGTCCAGATTCGACAATCCATCAAATGGTGGCTTGCCCGTCTAAAACAATCCTACACGTATATTGGTTGTTTCATGTAGGCAAGTGCCTGCACAGAGAGTCGAATGTACTTTCTTTCTGAAGGACTCGCATTGAATATGGGAAATGAACGCCCTGGGTATATGCAAAAAACAAAAGGACCAAAAAACAGACTACTTCCCTAGCGTCTTCCTGCATTCATCACAATACCACGTCCCCACAGGCTCACGGGTCAAGCCGACGCATTTCCAGTGAAACCACTCATACGGACAGTCGTCGTTGTCGCAGGCGACCATATCACCGTGGCTGACCGTCCGACAGGTACAGTACACCTTGCTATCCTCATTCCCTTCATCCTCTTCCTCCTCCTCGTCATCATCAACATCATCACCCTGTCCATCGCTCTTCTCCGAGTCATCAGTGTCCGCGCTGCTAAGCATCGAGTCGTCGTCCTCGTCGCCATCGCCAGCGGGCGATTTCTTCGAGATCTTGACACGACCACTGGCGCTGGAGGAGCGCTTGATCGGCTTGCCGTTAGCGTTCTTGAGTTTCTTCACTTGTTGGTGCGGCGCGATCTTCTTCGTCATTGCTTTCTTGGGTCCGCCCATCGCGCGCGGGCCAGCGCTGCCTGCTCGGCTGGATGCCGGCGTGCCGGCCTTGGGTGTGCCAGGTCCAAGGGAAGACTGGCGCAGGTTCGAAGATGCGGCTGGCACGGCCCCAAATGATGCGTTCAGTCGGCGTCGTTTGTGGTCCACTGCTCCCGCGGAGGATTCTCTCTGCCGCTGAAGCGCGTGGACGGCCGAGGTGCCGGTGGGAGTTGCAGGCGCGGAGCTGCGAACTGTGGCTTGCGCTGCTAGTGCAGCAGCTGCGTTGCCAGGACGAGGGACGCTGGCCTGGTGCAGTCTCTGTGCAGCAGCAAGAATTGGGTTGGCGTTTCCGGAGGTCGGGTTAAGAGGGGTGGAGGAGTAGGCAGGCGAGTCTGCGGACGGGGTAGAGTCTGGAAAGAAGACTTTCGGCGGGTCCCTGTATTGGTTCTTGTTGTCGAAGAGCGAGGGGATGGGAGGGTCATTGGTGAGAATGCCATCGTTGATCAAGTCGCGGATGCGCACATCGAGTCTCTTGATCTGCCGGTCGAGGAGCACGCAGGCCTTGTCACTCAGCTGGATCTTCTCGTCTTGCAGTTGCTGGCACTGGTCCAGATTCTGAAGGATGGTCTTTCCGTACTGTTCCTCCTTGGGATTTGGGGCGAGACTGCCGTTCAACTTGACGAATTTCTGGATGCTGCTGTCGCGTGAGTTGATTGTGGCGCGGCACTCCTGCATGACTTTGTCCTTGGCTTGGATTTCTTCCATCAGGTGGTTGATCTCAGCTGGGAGGTTTGCGACATCGTGGACGAAGTGCTCCAGGACTGTCGCGCAGTCCTCTGCTCCGTGCGCCATGTTGAGGCGGATCGATCAGACTAACAATTCGCTGAGTGCGATAAAAATGTACCTCAGTACACCCCCGATGAGCGTAAGAAGCACCTCTGATGGAAAGGCGTCAACGGTGGATAGATGAAGGACAGTCGCAAGATCAAGGGCGAGAATCACGGCCGATCAGATGCTGACTCAAAGCTTAGTCATTTGACGTTCGGTGATCACCGCGAGACTCAAAGCGTGCTTCTTGTTCTGAATTACTTTCATAAGGGGATCTGAGCGTCTGACCCCAGCTGGTCATAAAGGCATAACCCTGTTCTTTTCCACAACTTCGTTATCTGCGAGGCAACTACCGCTCACCCTTCGATACTACGAGTGCAAACGGTGCAAACACCGGTATCGCTCTCCCCGCGCTAAGATAGAAGAAGATTATTACGTCCAACTCCAATTCCACGCAATCCCCCTCCTGGTGCTTCCGGCTGACCTCCCCGGTTTCGACCTCGGTCTGAGCTTGCTCCGATTGACCTCTCAGCCTGTAGACCGGATCATCCGGGCAAGCATTCCAGCAGAATGGGCCAGGAAGCCACCTCTCTGTTGCCGGAGGGCATCTTCTCCCTTCTGGACACCGATCTTTACAAGCTGACGATGCAATGCGCCGTCCTCAAGTACTTTCCTGATGTTTGTGAGTGGCCTTTTGAGACCTGGTTGAACATGTTTCTAATCTTCATACTCTAGATGTGACTTACGGCTTCACGAACCGCACCCCGGACATGAAGCTGCGCCGCGGAGCGTATAAATGGCTTCTGCAACAGATGGACAGTAGGTGGCCATTGAGACCCTTTTGGAAGTACCTGACTGACCGTTTGAACCTCCAGAGCTCGCCAACATCCGCGTCACCGCCGAAGAACGCGCTTTTCTCAAGAACAAATGCCCGTACTTCAACGACGCCTACATCACCTTCCTTGAGACATTCCGACTCAAACCTTCTGAGCAGATCGAGATCAAGTTTATGCCTGTCCAGGACACGGGCAGTGACGATGATGAGGGTCTGGTGGAGTATATCATCAAGGGACTCTGGCTCGACACGATCCTGTACGAGATCCCACTATTGGCGCTGACCAGCCAGGCATATTTCATGTTCAGCGATACCGACTGGGACCATGAGAACCAGGAGGAGAAGGCATACCGCAAGGCCTGCGCGCTCCTGGAGAATGGGTGTATCTTTTCGGAGTTTGGATCGCGTCGTCGTCGGGACTACCGTACCCACGACTTGGTCATGACTGGGTTGTGTCGAGCTGCAGAGGAGGGCAAACGGCAAGGGTGGAAAGGTGTTTTGTCGGGAACGAGCAATGTGCATTTTGCGATGAAGTACAACACCAATGCTGTGGGGACTGTGGCGCATGAGTGGTACATGGGCATTGCGGCTATCACGAATGACTATAAGAACGCCAACGAGCTGGCTTTACGGTACTGGCTTGGATGTTTTGGAGAAGGGGTGAGTACTGTGCGGGTGTGCATAATAACAGCTGCTAATGACAATGGCAGGTCCTCGGAATTGCCCTCACCGACACTTTCGGCACGCCCGCCTTCCTTGACGCTTTCCACAAGCCCATTCCCGAGCCCATTGCCGCACCGATCCAGAATGGCAGCAGTCACCCAACCAAAACGTATGCACAGGTCTACGATGGCGTTCGACAAGACTCAGGCGATCCAGCGAACTTCGTCAAAATGGTGCGGCATTTCTATGACCGCGAGGGAATTACCTCCCCGAAGACGGTGGTCTTCTCGGACTCCCTGACAATCGACCTGTGCCTGGAGTACAAGACCATTGCTGAGGAAGCGCACTTCAAGCCCGTGTTTGGCGTGGGCACTTTCTTTACCAGTAAGCTTCTCTCTCACATCCTGCTTGAAAACTGTTGCTGATTTTGGCTACCAGATGACTTCACCAATCGATCTAACGGCCAGAAATCCAAACCACTCAATATCGTCATCAAGATCGCAACAGCGAATGGTCGTCCGGCTGTCAAGCTGAGTGATAATATGGGCAAGAACACGGGTGACCATGAAACAATCCAGAAGGTGAAGAAGCAGCTTGGATATGTGGAGCAAGAGTGGGAGGAAGGCGATGAAAGTAATCGCTGGGCGCGGCGCACATAACCATCTGGAATGTGCTTTTAGTAGGAGGCTCTTCTTAACATCAGGAAGGCATGGATGGAGAAAAGAACGTGTCCCCAGGCCGCTATCTCCAACATCCTCGAACCTCTGCGTGACATCAAATTCAAGGCCAGAACTTTGTCTGTACATCAAACAGAAAAACGTCCCTAGGGCGCCATCTCCAACTCTTTGAAGCCCTATGAGGATCAGGGTCAGTGTACTATTTTGCAATTTGATCATTCAGCGAATTGGTCGAGAAGAGACGGACAGAACAGACAGGACAGGCCAGACGGGCAGGGAAAGATTTAATATCCTTTTCATAGAATAGAATGCGGTTGCAACCGGTCATACGTATATACAGTTCACTAACATTGAGATAGAAGTAATTAGATTACTAGCGAGGTAAAAATATCACTCCTGTGATCCGACCTGTACTCCTAATTCCGGAATTATTGTACTCTTTGCGAGATTTCAGCGTTTCTAATCCCTACAAGTATCGCTTTTCGAGTTCGCCGAAAAAGGCAGAGCCACAGATGTGTAGTCTTTCTATCACAAAAGCCCTATATAAAAGCAAGAAAACAGCTAGAGCGGTGAAGGGCCCGACTTGGAGGCGAGCACCTTCAGATACCTGCGTTCTAGGAATAACTTTTGGCCGTATAATGCGAACTGTCAAGTCTATACCAGGAGAGACAAAGAGGCCATAGAGATCATTATTATTATACCCCACTTTCCACGCTAGCCAGCCCCTTCTCAGCCTCATGAATTGTTCTACCTAAAAAACTATGCTACCTAATGGAAAGAAAACATATATTGCTTTTGTTCTTTGTTCCTCTAATAGCCAACTCCCAAATTGAGAGAGATATGGACAACAGAGAAAACCCTCGATACAGTCCATCGAGCCAGGGTGTCGACGATTCCACTTGCGAAGTTACAAACTGCCTGACCGACTCTTCAAAGCTCCCAATTCCACCTCCAGAAATCCAGTGTCGACGAACTTTGTCAGAGTATACACGGCTAGCTATCAATTCCCAGCCACAAAGCCGATTTTTCAATCTTCCGGCAGAGATTAAAATCCAGATCTACGGCGAACTGTTCGGACACCGCCGCGTGCATATTGACTATGCATTTTGTCAGCCATCGCACTGGAATCGACAGAAAAATAAACCTAACGAGGAGTGGCAATGGTGGCATGAAGTGTGTAGAGATTTCGATGCATTTCGTGACGATGAAGAGATATGTGAGTGCCCGAGTGCGGCATATTTCTGGCACAGATCTAGTAGTTATTGGGAAGGGTTAACAGCCGCTGGGTGGGAAAAGGAAAGAAAGATACCCGGAGGCGCGTGGTTAAGGAGTTGTCAACTAGCGTGAGTTAAGATGACCCGACCTGCTGCATCTACTATGTTCAGCTAACACACGAATGTAGATACGAAGAGGCTATACCGATCCTCTACGGTACGAACGTTTTTGTTATGGGTGATCAAATGGATACCCTCTTCCGCATATCAAAGATTCTGCCCGTTAGTAGTCTCCACCTCATCACGGCCTTGGATATCTCACTCAGCATACATGTTGGTCACGATCGCGTGATGAAACTCAATGAGGAGTGGAAAGAGATTTATCCAGCATTTGTTCGCGTACTTCAAGACAAATTCACTGCCATGCAGAAACTCCGTGCGGTCATTCAGCTGGATGGATTTTGTAAAGGGTGGAGTATGCCAGCTCATGAAGGAGATCAAATCATGCGTCCATGGGAGGCCCTTGCGGCTAGTCGTGAGTGGAAACTCTTAGAGTTGCATTTCCCATGGGGCCAAATCAGTTCCTTCGAGCCTAGATTGCAGGCCCAGTCAATGTATTCCGGTTGAAGAAAACAGCGGGACTATCAGGTTGTGTTTGGTTGAGAGCCAGCTCAAGATGTTAACTAGGTCAGCGCGAGTAGCCTTTGGACAAAAATCATTTCGTCTGTTGCAATGTCTCCGTTCGGCCGCAGCTGTGAGTCGAGATTTAGCTCTCTTGTCAGTTTCCGTTGCAATTCCCTCTTCATCGGTCATATATTGAAGACAGCGTCATCGAATTCGGCTAAGATAACGAGTAACCATGACTTCTTGTCAAGTTCTTTCAGAATGGGCATTCTTTCTTGAAGCGTGCTACTCATGAAGATGTTCCCCGTGTCAGCCATAGTGTCTTTTTGCTCGGATGCTTAAAAAGGGGGCGAGTACGAAGGTTCTAACTCTCCAGGAAAGGGAAATGTATTAATTAACTATACCTCAATGCTTACGTGATGGCAAATTAGACATCGAACTGGGCTACATTTGGTGACGCTGGTTTAAGGACTCTTCTTATCAGGATCTTAATCATTAGTTAATCACGAATTCATCAACTAGTAAGTAGACCTATCGGCCAAAATACTTCAGCTCCAAATACCTTGCCGGTAGATAACTCAAAGCCGTCACCACAAACGTAAACTCATTGGCAACATCACCACCGTAGTCTCCAATCAATTTAGCAAGAGGGCCAATGAACCAAGTCTCATCCATCCCAAAGCACCACGCTATAACCCCGAGAGCAAATGCCACTGCCGCACCAATACCTAACGGCAACCTGTCCGGGTCATTCCATCCTTCCAAATCATAGTTATCAAAATTTCCCCTGCGAAAGATGAAGTGCTCCTCGAATAGAATCACGGCGTAACTTGTGCACCAGTATCCCAGCAAGCTCAAGAAGTTTTGGAGATACGTGTTCAGCTTTTGTCGACCGCCAATGGCTAACGCGAGGATACACACGAAGCAGAACAACGTCCACAGGAATCGAGGGATGCGAGAAAATGGTCGTGAAAGTTGCTGGAAGGAAATGGCGGAACTGTAGATGCTGATGACGTTGACATTGATTCCGGACAAGACAAGAAGGGTAAGAAGAAATTTGGCGAATCCGCGGGGATAGAGCATGTCTTGGATGAGATAGCCCAGTCCTTGGTTCTCGTACGCGTCCTTCCACTCGGGCTTGTTGTTCAGAGCAGAAGCGACCAAGCAGCCAGCCACCATGCCAATCGAGGTAGGAATTGCAATACCAAATGTGGTCATGAAGAACACTTTCACGCGACTCACGTTGGAAGGGTAGTGGACATAGTAGTCGCTAGCCATTGTGCACCACGAAGCACTAGACCCGTAGACAACCGCGATCAGGCTGAGAACGGCTCCGGTGAAAGTCATGCCAGTCGCAGTAGCTGGAGCCGAATTGTCCGCATACTTGCCGGTCTCGCCGTAGATGATCAGGAAGATGATAAAGAAGACCATCCAGGCCCATCTCTCGTAGATCAGAATGGCCTTCAAGCCAAAGAAAGAGATGATCAGTGCCACGACAGCCAGGATGACGATCCCAAGAATCAAGGAAACATGGCCATCGGACACCGCCGTTAACGCGAGACCTCCTGTAATGCACGAGACGGCGGCCCAGCCCATCTGCTGGATACTGTTGAGCAGGGCGACGAGCTTATTGGGCCACCAACCGAAGCTGTACCGACTGACGCTGATCTGGCGCAAACCCGTCACTGCGCCGTAGGTGGCACAGTACCCGCTAAGCGTCCCAGCCAAGATCGAGGTAAAGATGGTAATCAAGATTGACTGTTTCAGGCTCAGGCCAAATTCCCAGCCGAGGAAGCCGGTCGCAAAACAGGAGGTGTTCATTGTACCACTCGCCCACAGCAACGCCATCGACAGCTCTTCCACCCAATGCACATCTCTTTTATCTTCGGGGCGCTTGCGACTGATAGCTGCGGATTCTATGCCAAGTTTCTTGTCCATGCTGGCCTCCATGGCACGAAGCTTGGCCAGCGTACCAGTCTCTTGCGGAATGGCGGCATTGTTGTCGACTGGAATTACCTCCTGTTCGTCGGTTGAATAGGTTGCCTTGTCAAGGCCTTTTTCTGGATCAAAAGCCATGCGGAAGTTGGTGTAGGAATGGAAAATTAAAAGGCACGAGGGCAACTATTATCGATTGAAAAATTTAACGTGCCACAGGGCATGCGGGGAAAGATAAGGCTTGTCCGAGGGAGGTAGCGTTCCATTGATTTATTGAGTTCGCGAACCTGAGTGGTGGGATCAAAACTTAGCGCGAGGCCCAGGGATATTTCCTGCCTGTTTTGGCTTCGCTTCCCCACAGAATACAACGCCACGCGAGTAGCCCATTGGATGGATCTCGGGCTATCAGGGAAACCCGCCTAACACAGTTAGATCATGTAACAGTGCACGTGGGCAAGATTTAAGGAGTGGTGGCTACATAAGAGTGCTATTTACGATTAAATAGGCCATTCGAGTCCCTCGTATTCAAAAGTTCACAAGATCAGCAGATTGCGCAGGTGGCCAAAATTTACTACTGTACGTTGGGTATCGGGGACAAGCATCGCCCAGAAGGCTTCGGAGAACTCAGAAGCTTATCCCACCTACAATTAGAAGATTACCTATCTTTCCTAGAACTAACTGCCACTGAGACTTTTATTATCATTTATCATATCATGAGAGATGGAGATACACACTACTGATTCGTTGCGTCGCTTCGGGTTTCTCCGATGCTGGGATCATGTCAGATTACAACGCCACCGAGCTAGGGTCTGGGAAACACTAAAAGGCAGTAGCGCGGTTAGCCTCGGGTTCAGACAATTTCAGAAGCAAGATGAGAATTGAAGAAACTGAGCAGGGCTAAGCGACGGCGTGAGTAGCTCAGGCGTTTGTCAAGGTACCCCTACCCTTCTCTATGTACAGACACAGGGTCTTTGAGACAGTTTGATGTCAAGCAGCTGTCACTTCTTGTACACCACGCGAAAAACTGTCATGAAAATGTGCTTGTCGACGCGCATTGCCAGTCATACAGCATATGACTGCGGCATCAAAGTATCTCACAAGAAAAGTAGACCCACATCCTTCGTCCTCAGACCAAGCAGTACACTGGTGGTTAAGTTTGCCTTCTGCATATTAAACTAAAGACAAGGTAGAATACTTCCGGAACGACCAATTTTAGCATGTGTAATGGTATTATTTAAAGAAAGAAACATCCAACGCGTAGGTCTGAAATTAAGTAGATCTTTTGCCAGTCAGAGTGGAGATATCGACGATTTGATATCATCGGAAGCCTCTTTGTTCTCCCCAGCCAGCATCGTAATACCACACATCTGTCGCCGTAGAACTCTCTCTTAGGAGAAAATGATATTATACTTTGTGCTAGTAAATGACGGGAAGCGCGAAAGTTCCCCATTTGACTTCCGAGAAGACCCGCTCTTCTCGAACCAAGGACAGTGAAAAACAAAGAACAAGGGAAATCTATCAGAGGTTGAAACTGTGGGTTGCTATTTTATTGACGTATAATTTTAGAACTGGACATCAACGACAGTAGATGTGTCGCAACTAAGAATGCGGTCAAAAGCACGGATTGATATGGCAGAGCGACTACTGAACGGGTCTCATCTGGATCGGATTTGCAGACAAATATTGATTCTCAATTGATTAAATGAAACTCTATTGACTTCACGCCTCTATGGGTTGAAAACGCTAGATATCTAGGCCATTGGGTTTGAAGACAACCTTGTTCAATTCTCCTCGCTCAAACCTCTTCAAAGCGTCCACAGAAGACTCGTCTAATTGCGGAAGCACCAGATCGATGAATTTCATCTTCTCAATCAAGTGCTTGTTTCGAACTAACGTGTTGAGAGCATCAGCGAAAACAGCCCTAAGAGGGCAACGTCCGAACTGGATGTGAATGTTTTTGTTGTAACAGTCAGCAGCGCTGAAGGGGAGGTCCCCGTTATGTACGCCTAACAGAAGCAATGTCAATAGACTGGTTTGAAAGGTCAGTAAGGCCCTTCTCACCGAAAGAACTAATCTTTCCACCGGGACAGATGATGTCGTATGCAGTCTTCAATGCAGGGCTAAGTCCGACCCCTTCAATCACAGCGTGAACTCCATTGTTGTCAGTGGCCTTTTTGATCTCGGCAACGGCATCGACCTCTTTGAAATTGATTGGGATACAGCCGAGCTCCTTGGCAGTTTGAAGTCGACTCGGGATGGAGTCGATGGCAAAAATCCGCGCCGGCTTGTACTCCCGCGCCGAGATGATGGAGCAGAGAGCAACAGGTCCACACCCGATGACCGCAATACTCATATCCTTCCAGTTTTCACTTGGAGTATCTATGAAAGCTCGCTTTGCACCATTGAATCTAGTATCAGTATTAGAATCAAATGAACCAGACCTTAATGCACGCGTCTGCGGTCTTCGCTCACCCGGTTGGAAAAATGTCAGTCATAAGAATTGCAAGCTCTCCAAGATCCACATCTTTCGGAAGATGATAGAGCGTTGTGTCTGCCAGGGGTACGCGGAAATATTGGGCTTGAGAGCCGTCCAAAGCGGGACCACCGAAATTCCGACCATTCTTGCAACGTCCATGAACGCCTCGCTTGCAATGGAAACACTCATTGCTGGTAACTGCGGTTAGTGAATATCGTGTGCCGGATGTGAAATGTGACAACCAACCAGCTGACCAAAAAAGGTACTATGACATGATCGCCCACGGCAAAATTCTTGATTCCAGCGCCCACTTCATGGACAATGCCAATCCCCTCATGTCCGCATATATAGCCCGGCTGCATGTTAATTTTGGAATGACCGCGATAGCGATGCAGCTCACTGCATGATTGGAGAATTATTAGCGGTGGGCTCTTCGAAGCATGACCGCTCTCACTCGCATACCTTCCACATAGGGCAGCTGAGGTTGTTTTGATCAGCACGTCGGTTTGGTCTACAAGGCGAGGGACTAACAAGGATTGATCAGTATTAGTTGCAGCTTATGGTGGCAATCTTGAGTATATCACATACTTGGCCTCTCTTCCAATCTCACATCATATGGGCCGTGAAATACGAGAGCTTTCATCATCCTGGCGAATCGAGAAGGATAGAAAAATTGCAAGATAGCAAAAACATAAAGCCATGGTCTACGGTATAAGTTAAATAACCCCGCACTGATCATCAAGTTCCGGAATCATTGATCCCGCAGTTGCTTTTCTCCACATATAAACAGGTTGTCGAACAATCGCTAGTGGACTCGGAGGTTAAGTCTCCGCGGCCTTCTCGAATTCCGCTTCATTTCTGAAGATGAAGCTGAACTGAGCTTGCTGGAAGCAGATCGTTCAGGTACGGATACTCAACTCCGTAAGCAACTTGGAAGGGTGGTTAAGGCTGAACAATTACAGAGTCTTGCGAAAACCCCAAGTAGCTTGAACGACCTCCAAAAAGCTCCGTTTGGCTTTATCTTTTATACGTATCATATTGTCGTGAAATATATACACAAAATAGGCACACCAGCCACGAAATGCTAGCGGCTTCAATAAAATAGACAAGAAATACCTTCCAGCTAGAACATGTCTTCATCACCAGTCTGAAAACCCAAATCCTTATCCAAATCCCCCGTAATATCCGGTGGATGGTGATGATGGCTGCTAGTCGAGAAATGTCTCTGATGCGAACCACCACCACTACCAGACAAGATCATGTCATGATCGTTGTTGTGGTCATCATCCAGCGCGAAGGAAAATAGGTCTTCTTGGTCATGCATTTCCAGATCCTGTGTCTGACTCTGCTGCCGGTCATCGGCTTTATTTAAGGGGTTTGTTAGATCATCGTCGTCGTTGCGGAATAATTCCTGTGTCCAGTCGACGGAGTCCAAGTCTGCGGCGTTTGTGGGTGAGATAGTTGTGTTTTGCGGGTTGTTCATGTATGTGTTTGTGTTTGTGAGGTCAGATGGAGGCGATACGAGGTTGCTGAAGAGATCTGCGTCGAGGGAGAGGAAGTCGAATGGACTGTCGGTCGTAGTTAGAGGAAAAGTGTTCTTATTTGAGCCAGGAGTGCTGGGCAGATGGTTGTCGAAGTCATTAGAGAAGAAAGGTCGAGAGGGTTCGTGGATTGTTTGCGCTCTCGGTTTTCTCTGTCGCTGCTGTTGCTGTAGCTTTGGTTCCTGGTCATGGAACGATGTTGCCCTTGGGCGTGGGGGTTGATAGTTATTCGTGTCGGCAACGGGTCTCTCGTTTAGAAGGTGAGGGGGTTGAGTGATGGACGTAGTCTCGCTATTCGTTTTGGAGGCAGACTCGAGGTTGTATTGCATGATTTGCAAGAAGGCGCCCGAATTGCCGCTTTGCAATCTAATCGCGGCTTCGATATTGGCAACCTCCATATCAGCTGCCGGATAGATGTCTTTCAGGCCATGGAGGACCTGGATGCAGCGGCGGAAGTTGGACATGCTCTTCTCACGCACGGCTGGATTATCGGACATCGTATTTGACAGATGGGCGACGGCCGCAGGAAGGATGACTGTCACGCCGGATTGCGGGAGGAAGCGCGTTAAGTTCAGCTGGTTCAAGCCTTGGATGATATGGGTGATGCCCGCAGCGGCCTCGTGCATCTTTGTAAGAGCGTTGTTGCGCCATTCGATTCGGGATTTGGACTGGTCCTTCATCACGGCTGTCCATGGTCGATGCAGTGCGCTGCTGGTTGTATGATAAAGCATGCGCAGCATGGCACCGTGCAGAAGAAGTACATCCTCGCCATCCCGAAAATTGCTTTTCGAGGTTGGAAGGAACTGTGCGTCTTTGGGCAGTCCAGCAAGCCACGAGTCGAGCTTTTGGCTGCATCGCGTGAATTCGGACTCGGAGGCCTGTCGTGGGATAATTGTGATTGTCGTGCGATCTGTGGCTCCGAACTGACGCTGAGATGGTGTATATTGAGCGAACAATACCCTGCCAATACATTGACAGAGTTTTACTTTCTCGATGAACATTGTTGCAAGCCGTTGCTGGTGCGACATATCTTCGAGCTGTCGGCAGCGAAAGATAGCCACCACAGATGATGGAAATGGCTCAAAATCAAAATCGTCGAGCTTCAGCATCGGCACGTTGCTCGTTCCCTCGTTGACCTGTGATGGGCGTCGTACACCAAGGGCAATCAGCCGGTCCCTGCTATATAGACACCACCAGAGCCGAGTACGTAGCCGTCGGGTCCGTGAGTCCATATTGGCCGACGAGGGATCTCTGTTCAGTCCGATCGATTGAGCCTGAGTGTTGCAAACCCCGATCCAGTCCCAAATGTCCCGCTGCGGACTGTTCCCCGGATCGGACCAATATGTCATCAGCAGCAGCGTCTGCAGAATCACGATACGATCCTCCTCGCAATCAAGCGAATAGAGCAGCTGCAGATATCAGTTAGTATACGAACACACCTTTGATAGTGTGAAAACACCCACCCGTAACCGCGTAAAGAATGCATTGCGCGCGCTTTTTCTTGTCGTGTATCCCGCCGCCTGCAAGTGCTTGAGTTCGACAAACGCCGTACCAACAAACATAACTGCTTGAAACAATAGCAGACTAACATTTCCCTCTGGGTCGTTTTCTGCCACACAGCGCAGGAACTCCTGCAGATTGAGCACGGGCATGAAACTATGCACCCACTGGATATAGCACCGCAGCAATTCATTCCTGAGTCCACTCTCTGGAATAGAGAGTGCACCGCGAAACCGCAAAAACTCCAAATCCTCTGGTGCAATACCACTCGGCAACGGCTTCAAAAACCGCGGCTCCTCGTCCAAAATAGCCGTTAGCGGATCGAAGTCCGGATCGATCAGATCTTGCACAGCGGAAACCATATTCGCCAAGGGAAGAGAGCTACGCACGGCGGGATTACCCAGCCTCCGCCAGGTCCCTGAGGGCTTCGTCTCGTTCAACCATGGTGTCTGCGGATCATAGCTTGAGATGCTATGTCGCTTTGCGGCAGGCTCGAGGTGAGTACTATCTGCGTTCTGCAGCTTGCGCTTCAGCGCCAGCGCGCGGCTGTCTGCGTTTGTCGGCATCACCGGCTCATGCAGGGCTGTGCATAGTAAGCCGGATTATTTGTGTAACAACTGATGCTGCGGGATCGACGATGGATGGTTTCTCGAGGGCAAATCTGACGGCACTAGACCCGGCAAAGGCGGTGTTCGGGGCCCGGGGGATGTGGGGTTGGTGCGGGTACGCCACTGGGGGAGATTTCGTCAAAAGGTGATTATGGATCAGGGAGTCGATTCGGTATTTCGATTCTGTCTATGGTTTGTGAAGAATAATGATTGAGATGTTCGGTAACGGAAGGTTGGTCTGCGTCTTGGTGGAGTTATAAGTAGACGTTGGTCAGTGGCAACCATAAGATATATATTCCCCGCCGCTGCATAGGGTTTGGGTATGACTTGAACCAAACCGATTATATGAATACAAGGTTATTCGATCCTGGAATACTAGACGCTACATGAGTGTACACATCTCGACACATACTCCTACAACCACGGACCGGATCCATCTGAAGCAAGACCCAACCACCGAACAAGAGGTCCATCAAATGGATGTTGAGATTGATAACTCAACTATGGAGATAGTAACAAAGCATGTCTATTCATACATGCCCCGTCCCCAAGACTATAATACAAGTATTCGAAAGTCCAAATTGCATCGAGAGAGGAAATGTCTATAGCGAGTAGTTCCCAGACCGACGCCGATATGCTTCCATCGATTTCAAAACGACAGCCACGATTCATGCCGCGATATCACAGATCATTAAACACTGAGTCATATGTTAGTTTCATTCCGGACCGAATCGGGGGCGTTGGGCGGCGACTTACGGAGGGAGGAGGAATTCTCCGAGGCTGCTGTGGAGGAACGCGACACCGGCCTAAGAGGAATACGTCAGTCTCGGATTGTTCATAACGTGAGAGCTTTTTCGAGTCCGAGGAGATACATACACCGAAGACTAGCAGGCTCCGGACAATGGTGGTGTTCTCGGGGGAGGTGGCCTCCCCGTAGACAGTGCTAAGGAAGCTCTTCTGGGGGCGAGCAGAGGAGCTCGAGACGACGACACGCTGCTTGGGAGGCATATTGGCGAATGAGTTGTTGGTGAAAGACAAACAGGTTTCAAGTGGTGAGTGATGGGATGAAAGTGAAGGCAAAGCGGAAAGAAAGAAATCTGAGTTGCGCTTTTAGCTCGCCTCACCGCCCGTATATCTTTCGCGCTCTAACACCGTCACTACGAGTTACTGATCTCATACGTGCCCTCGATCATCGGATGATCTCTTTGCGCTTGTTTTGATCGCTGATAAACACTTGGACTTTTGACTGCGATCCTTGAATCCCGTGCATGCGCTGCAGCAGCCATGACGAGCGTCGACGAGCTCTTCAAGGTAAATCACCGCAACCTCCACGTCGCGAGCGGCACTGACCATCCTAGAAACCTTTATCGGCAGCAAGTTCCAAGCGCAAGTTCGAGTCCGTCCGCGACCCAAGTACGTTCCTCCATTCCTGCCTCCACGCGACTGGCAGCCCGTGCTAACGCCACGTCCCCAGATGAGCTGTACAAAGCCGCGAAAATAGATCCCAATGGCGATGTAAAATCAAAAGGAAAGGGCGCGATGGTGGAGGATGAAGAAGCGGAAGATGATGACGGCGAAGCTGGACCCGAGCTGCCTCCCGACTTTGACCAGGAGGATGTACCGGATGACGAAGAAGGGCGCTTCTTTGGCGGTGGCATGGAGCGGAAGACGGCGCAGGCGATGCAGTACATCGATCAGCAGGAAGAGGAGGATGCTGTGGTATGCAGTTTGCTATGGCTGGTTGTTCAATGCGCTGACCGAGCTATCTATCTAGCCCGAGAAATTCGACTCGACATGGGTGCGCCGATTCGCTCTGGGATTCGAAAAGAAGATATCTAAGAACGCCGAACTGCGTGCGAAATTCGAGACCGATCCCCAAAAGTACGTGGTACTTGGCTGTTGTTTGCATGGAGATGTTGATCGATTTGCAGATTCATGGCATCCGAGGCAGATTTGGACACCGAGATCAAGAGCTTGTCGATTCTATCCGAGCATCCGAACCTGTACGAAGAGTTTGCTAAAATGGGTTGCGTGGGATCATTGGTTTCCCTGCTTTCTCACGAGAATGCCGATATTGCCATCGATGCTATCCAAATCATCAGTGAGCTGACAGATGAGGATGTTCAAGCCGAGCAAGACCAGTGGGATAGCTTGGTCAACGCAATGGTACGTTATGGCTATATTTTACTGTTGAGTAGCTAACAATCCTCAGATGGATGCCGATCTCATTGAACTGTTGACACAAAATCTCTCGCGTCTTGACGAGGGCTCAGAGACTGACAGAGCGGGAGTTTATTACGTCTTGAGTGAGTTACCAGCCTGCTACACAATAACCATTACTTATCCCCTGCAGGTGTCTTGGAAAATTTAGCTTCTCAGTCGTCCCTCGCGGAGAAGATCGGGCAAGACGCTACAATATTGCCATGGGTTTTGTCACGCATTCAGCAGAAAGAAGTCCCCGTCAGTCAGAACAAACAGTATGCTGCGGAGATCCTAGCGATTTTGTTGCAGTCGTCCTCGAAGAACAGAGAGAAGTTTATTTCACTCGATGGCGTTGATATTCTCCTTCAGCTACTCAGCCAATACCGGAAACGAGATCCGGCAAAGGATTCTGACGAGGAAGAATATGTGGAGAATTTATTTGACACCTTGATCTGCCTGGTAGATGAGGATTCTGGCAAGGACAAGTTTGTGCAAGGTGAAGGCATTGAGCTCGCGCTGATCATGCTCAAGGAGGGCAAATTCAGTAAACCGCGCGCGCTGAGAGTTCTCGACCATGCATTCGGCGGCGTTGGGGGTGCGCCTGCATGCGAGAAATTGGTCGAGGCTGCAGGGCTCCGAACGATTTTCGGGATGTTCATGAAAAAGGTATGCTTGACTTCAATCCGCTAATCCACGCCAGGCTAATCCCCGTTTAGCAAGAGAGCCAGAACATCGAGCATTTCCTCGGTATCTTTGCCTCACTTCTTCGACTTCTGCCAGGCGGGTCTGCAGCACGCATTCGCACGCTGGCTAAATTCATGGAAAAGGATTACGAGAAGATCGATAAGCTCATCAAGCTGCGCCGCGAGTACGCTGCACGTATCGCCCCTGTGGAGCAAGCTATCGAGAAGGAGCGCAAATCCTTATCTAAAGAGGACCAAGAATACATGGCCGCCGAGTGGCTGTCGCGGCGCTTCGATGCTGGGTTGTTCTCATTACAGGTACGATTTTCGACTTTTTTACGCTCGGTCACATACTGATACCCTGGTCAGACAATCGATGTCATCTGCTCATGGCTGGTTGCCGAGGATGATGGCGCAAAGAAGAAGATTGTGTCGCTCTTGGCGGATCGGGATGAGGATCTGAGCTTGGTACGGAGCACTCTACAAGGTAAGAAGATCTGGCGTTACTCTAAATGCTACACATACTGACCTAGGTAGAACAACTGGAAGGCCTTGGAGAAGCGGAACCGGGGCAAAAGGATTTCAAGGATATGCTGAGCACGCTGCTGCAGTTCTTGTGATCATAGAATAACGTGTACTATAGCATTCGGAAACAAATAATTCTGTAGCCCTCTATACTAAAACATTTTACAAATCTTCCTGCTCTTTTCATTTATAGTTTCACGTGACCACCAAATCAGGTTAGCGCCATCCACCTGACCTGTCGAGAATCCATCGCTTTCCGCCATCTCAATTCATCCGGCGCATTCTCTTCCCATACCACCCGCTGAGATCCTCCCTGACCAGCTCTCAGTCGTCTGGTTCGCTTCTGCAGAGCATCGCACTCACTGACAGGCGGGCGCTGCAGCGCGCGGGGCGACACGACTCGAGACTTTCCTCCAGCCGACGCGACTCCCTGCGCTCACGGACCGCGGATCTCCCAACTTTCTTTGACGACCATCCCCCGACGGCTCCGACTCAGACAAGATGGCTGACTACGACGAGACATATGAGGAGGAGTTTTACGATGATGCGGAGGAGGGCATCACCTCGGAGGACTGCTGGACCGTGATCTCTTCGTTTTTCGACACGAAGGGTCTGGTGTCCCAGCAGTTGGACTCGTTTGATGAATTCATTTCGTCGACGATGCAGGAACTGGTGGAGGAACAAGGACAGGTCGTTCTTGATCAGACTCTCCCGCCAAATGAAGACGAAGTGGACCCCGTGGTCGTGCGTCGGTATGAGCTTAAGTTCGGCACCGTCATGCTCTCGCGACCGTCCGTGACTGAGGGCGATGGTGCGACTACGATCATGCTGCCGCAGGAAGCACGTCTCCGAAATTTGACCTACGCCAGTCCGCTGTACCTGGGTGTCACGAAGCGGATCATGGAAGGGCGAGAGCGACGAGTTGCCGATCGCGACGATGAGGAGACCGTCGAGGCCGATGAAAACCAGAAGAACCGTGGCACATACCTGTCGTGGGAACAGAAAGAACTGCCTGCGGAGCAGATGAAGGAGGAAACGGTGTTCATTGGCAAGATGCCAATCATGCTCAAGTCCAAGTACTGCATCTTGAAGGACTTGAACGAGCAGTCTCTGTATGGCTGGAACGAGTGCCCCTACGACTCGGGCGGTTATTTTATCATCAACGGAAGCGAGAAAGTTCTGATCGCGCAGGAGCGCAGTGCTGGCAATATCGTGCAGGTCTTCAAGAAAGCCCCTCCGAGCCCAACACCCTACGTGGCAGAAATTCGCAGCGCGGTCGAGAAAGGGTCACGCCTTCTCAGTCAGCTGGCGCTTAAGCTTTTTGCCAAGGGCGACAGTGCCAAGGGAGGCTTCGGCCCGACTATTCGATCGACTTTGCCTTACGTCAAGACCGATATCCCCATCGTGGTTGTCTTCCGAGCGCTAGGCGTCGTTTCCGACGAGGATATCCTGAACCACATTTGCTACGACCGCAATGATACCCCGATGCTGGAGATGTTGAAGCCTTGTATTGAAGAGGGTTTCGTCATCCAAGACCGCGAGGTGGCGCTCGACTTCATCGCCAAGCGAGGCTCATCACAGTCGAACCTCAACCATGAGAGGCGTGTGCGATACGCGCGGGAGATTATGCAGAAAGAGCTGCTCCCTCATATCTCACAGAGCGAGGGCAGCGAGACGCGCAAGGCGTTTTTCCTGGGCTACATGGTGCACCGACTCCTACAGTGTGCGCTGGGCCGCCGTGATGTTGATGATCGTGACCACTTTGGAAAGAAGCGTCTTGATCTGGCTGGTCCGCTGCTGGCGAACTTGTTCCGTGTTCTTTTCACTCGCGTTACTCGAGACCTGCAGCGCTACGTGCAGCGGTGTGTTGAGACGAACCGTGAAATCTACTTGAATATCGGTATCAAGGCCAGCACATTGACCGGCGGTCTGAAGTATGCTCTTGCGACCGGCAACTGGGGAGAGCAGAAGAAGGCTGCCAGCGCCAAAGCCGGTGTGTCCCAGGTGCTCAGTCGCTACACTTATGCGTCTACTTTGTCACATTTGCGCCGCACCAATACCCCCATCGGCCGAGACGGCAAGATCGCCAAACCGCGTCAGCTCCACAATACTCACTGGGGTTTGGTGTGTCCCGCCGAAACGCCCGAAGGTCAGGCTTGTGGTCTTGTCAAGAATTTGGCACTCATGTGCTACATCACTGTTGGTACGCCTAGCGAGCCAATCATCGACTTCATGATTCAACGCAACATGGAAGTCTTGGAAGAATTCGAGCCCCAAGTGACGCCCAACGCTACCAAGGTGTTTGTTAATGGTGTCTGGGTTGGTATCCACCGCGATCCGTCACATCTCGTCAACACCATGTTGTCGCTGCGCCGACGGAACATGATCTCCCACGAAGTCAGCTTGATTCGGGATATTCGTGAGCGCGAATTCAAGATTTTCACCGACACTGGTCGTGTGTGCCGCCCACTTTTTGTCATTGACAACGACCCCAAGAGTGAAAATGCCGGATCGCTGGTCTTGAACAAGGAGCACATCCGGAAGCTGGAGCAAGACAAGGATTTGCCACCTGATATGGATCCAGAAGACCGCCGGGAGCGCTACTTCGGTTGGGATGGCCTGGTGCGGTCGGGTGTGGTGGAGTATGTGGACGCCGAGGAAGAAGAGACGATCATGATCGTGATGACACCCGAGGATCTTGAGATCTCCAAGCAACTTCAGGCAGGCTACGCCCTGCCCGAAGAAGAAACCAACGACCCCAATAAGCGTGTCCGCTCGATCCTGAGCCAGCGGGCGCACACATGGACACACTGCGAGATTCATCCCAGCATGATCTTGGGTGTTTGCGCCAGTATCATTCCGTTCCCCGACCACAACCAGTCGCCCCGTAACACTTACCAATCTGCTATGGGTAAACAAGCGATGGGAGTGTTCCTGACAAACTTTAACCAGCGTATGGAGACGATGGCGAATATCCTCTATTATCCTCAGAAGCCGCTGGCCACGACGCGATCGATGGAGTTCTTGCGATTCCGCGAGCTGCCGGCCGGTCAGAATGCCATCGTGGCCATTGCCACTTACTCGGGCTACAACCAGGAAGATTCGGTCATTATGAACCAGAGCAGCATTGATCGCGGTCTGTTCCGCAGTTTGTTCTACCGCACTTACACGGACTCGGAGAAGATGGTTGGCCTGACGGTGGTGGAGCGCTTTGAGAAGCCGATGCGGTCCGACACCATCGGAATGCGCAAGGGTACTTATGACAAGATTGACGATGATGGTATCATTGCTCCCGGTGTGAGAGTGTCTGGAGAAGATATTATCATTGGCAAGACCGCCCCCTTGGCGCCTGAAGCGGAGGAGCTTGGCCAACGTACCAAGTCCCACACCAAACTGGACGTGTCGACGCCGCTGCGCAGCACCGAGAGCGGTATTGTGGACCAGGTGTTGATTTCGACCAGCAATGACGACCTCAAGTTTGTCAAAGTGCGTATGCGCACAACCAAGGTGCCCCAGATCGGTGACAAGTTTGCCTCGCGCCACGGACAGAAGGGTACGATTGGTATCACCTACCGACAGGAGGACATGCCGTTCACGCGGGAGGGTGTGGTTCCCGACCTAATTATCAACCCGCACGCCATTCCATCGCGTATGACCATCGCCCACTTGATCGAATGTCAGCTCAGCAAGGTGTCTGCGCTACGCGGGTTTGAGGGCGATGCGACCCCGTTCACCGATGTGACGGTGGACTCGATCTCGCGGCTGCTGCGTGAGCACGGATACCAGTCACGCGGGTTCGAAGTCATGTACAACGGCCACACGGGCCGCAAACTGGTGGCGCAGGTGTTCCTGGGTCCGACGTACTACCAGCGCCTGAGGCACATGGTCGACGATAAGATCCACGCTCGTGCGCGTGGACCGACCCAGATTCTGACCCGGCAGCCTGTCGAGGGTCGTGCGCGTGACGGTGGCCTGCGCTTTGGAGAAATGGAGCGCGATTGCATGATCGCCCACGGCGCCAGCGCCTTCCTGAAGGAGCGTCTGTTCGACGTGTCGGATCCGTTCCGTGTGCACATCTGCGACGACTGCGGGTTGATGACCCCTGTTGCGTGAGTCCTTTCCCTCGCATCCCATATTCTCTACTCTTACTGACTGGAATTGCTATAGAAAACTGAAGAAGGGCCTCTTCGAGTGCCGCCTGTGCAACAACAAACACCGCATCTCGCAAGTGCACATCCCGTACGCCGCCAAGCTTCTGTTCCAAGAGCTGGCCTCGATGAACATTGCCGCGAGGATGTTTACCAATCGCTCCGGGGTTTCTGTGCGGTGATTTGTTTTTCATTTGTGTTGTGTACTTTAATTTTCTTCATGGTTGCTCAAAAATGCTCAGTCTGTACGGACTTGCGAGACTGTTTTGCGGCGTCGGGAGGAATCGAATCTGGCCATCGCATCATACATAGTTTTGGAATGAACACATTATTGCGCATTTATCTACGTCGTGCTTCTACTGAGTTCTTGCATTATTCAACTTCAATTTTGAGGTGGGCAGGTGAGGTGACGATAGTAATGCCTGGAACGCTGACTGGCTTATACAACAAAAAAAGAACGGATGTCATGGGCCAAAGGTGTATCCCGCTTTCAATGAACAAACAAATCACGCCGCAGGCTCCTGTTTGATCTGAGGTACAGCAGATCCTTGCTGCTCCGTCGACTGTGACTTCGACTTCGCCGCCAGCTCCTCAGTCGTAGGCTTCCTCGCCCAGACACGTTTCCTAAAGATGTTCATTAGTTGCGTCCAAAACTTCCCCAGCAGAGGAGAGAGAGAGAGGCCGAAACTCACGCGCGCTGGAAAACGTGAATCCTCGGATTCTGAATCTCGGTCCTGATCTTCGCCATAAGAACCTGCACCTCCTCCTTCGTCCACGGCTGCGGCGAGCCATGCTTGGTCAGAAGATAGAGCGCCCAACCCTCCATACCGGACGCCCACTGATGATAATGCAGACGACCAGCCTCCTTGAGCAATGGGTCCTTAGGCCACGGCCCGACGGGCATTTTGTAGTTCTTCTCGTGCACGTCCACGAACCCGGCTTTTTCCATGTTGCTTCGCATCTCGTTCATCGTGTCCAGCGAGTGGCCCCAGCTTTTGCCTGCCTCCAGCACGGCGACTCCGAAGGCCTTGGTGTGGCAGTTTTCTGGCATTGTGCCGTCGTCGGACCGCACTACGGGATCGCCTTCCCATTGTTCGATCCAGCCGCCAGGGGCGAGGTTGCTTTTGTTTTCGTTAGGGTTTGTGGGGTTAATTAGGAGAGGGCGTGAGGGCGACACACTCGTAGCACTGCTTATACACCTTGGTCCATTCCTCGGGCGTAAACGACGCGATCATCTGCCGCAGATGAATCAGGTCAAAGGGCGTACGCCACGTCCATTCCTGGAGTACGTCGTCGACTTCCAGGACGCAGTTGGGCGGGAGCCAGTCCAGCGGCGGAGGGAAGAGGTCGACGCCGCGCACATTCGCTGGAATAAGGTTAAGCGTGGGTCGGAGCAGAGGATCAGAGATATGTAATTACCGTCCGGGAACATATCGGCAACATCACTGGACGATACATATTGTCAATGGTGTATGTCATTAAGATCGGAGCGTTGCATGGCACTTACACGGCCCAGTTGCCTCGGCCGGTGCCGAGATCGAGGATATGTTTGGGGTCCTTCAAGGGCGCCTGGAACAGCGGGTTGTCCGAGGTCGAATCGAGGATCATGTTGACGAGGTGCCTGGTATTGTCCGTCAGTTTCGTCCTGTTGTGATGCAGGGGTCATTTCACGCACCCAGCTTCCAGACTCTCGAATTGTTGTTCGTCCGATGGACCCCTGGCGATTCGGTCAGACTCGATAGTTATGAGCAGACCAGAAAGACAGTATTACCAGTATTCACCCTCTTTGATTGTTTGGTATCTGCACAATTGTCAATCATTGTCGGGATATGTATGGTACGGTGTTGACACGCATACCGTCGGCCATTCTCCATCACACCGCGATAAATCGACGAGGCGAGCGAGGTCGTCTCCCTGCGGGGGATTAGTTCATATGTCACACATGTCCCGGTCTAGAGGAACGCACGATTCGAAATCACTAGGCTGGTAGGCATCGTGGGTGGCATAAAAGTCCGGGTCCTGGTTGCGATGATGAGAATCCGACAAGAAATGCGACCGGGGAATCGTACCACCGCAATCGGCTGCTCGGACATGGCGAGGGATTTAGTGTGTTGAGAACGACAAACAATCAATATAGCAACTGAGTATTAGAATTATTATGGTTCCCGTAGGAGAAAAACACCAACAGCCACGGACGGTTGTCTCCGGGAAGGGGGGAAAGGCGGAGTCTTAAGGGACGGTGATTTAACTACCCGGGAAGGTGTCAATCATACTAGTTCGCGGTTAGTGTCCCGCGCCACACAACACACGAGGCGAACAACACCAGGCCGAGGAAGGAAGGAAGGAAGGACGGGGCTAGATCCAGCGGTCCGCGTTGCGTTTGCGGGCGATCGACGAGCTCTAGCCAATTAATCCACGGCGGGAGCAACAGGGGATCATGCTCTGTTGCCGGTGGGGCAGATGCCGCGTGGGAGTGGCATTGTCCGAGACGAACAGTGGATGGACTAGGGTCCGGACGTTGTTTCCAGACAGGTAGGAGCCTTAGGGGCCTAGTCCGTATCGTGTCTAGTATGAGAGGAAGTACAGCGGACTACTGCAGTGCTTACATACTTCAAGAGCACCGAAGTGACAGCGCATAACGCCGTCCCCCGATTGGTCCCTGCCGGCCATCACCACGCAGTCTGCACGCAACCAACCACACCATCGCAATACCCGCCGACCCTTCACCACCCCTCAACTCGAACAGGACTTAAAAATATGCCAGAGTCGCCCACTCCGTTTGTTTTCTTCTTTCCTTCAGCGAGTCGTCTGTTCTTTTTTTGCTGCCCTTTGAGTGAGACCTAGGCACTGGCTGCCCCCGGTTCTTGAATATTTTCTTCTATATCTCTATACTTCTACACTTTATTAATCCCTCCCCACAGAACGAGCTGTGCTCTCTGTGCTTTTTGGTCATCTGTCTTGTCTGCCTTGCCGCAGGTCTTTCTCAAACGTCATTTCCAACAACAGCAGTGCTGTGCCACTCGTCGCCGGTCGACGTGTCTACCTTGCTGTTTCAGCTCTAATTTAACAGACCACGCCAATAATCTCGCTCGGATTTATATTCTTTCACTCGTTGTCGTGAACTGGTTTCATTGACAACTTTTTACTTACTTTTTATTTACGAAACATCACCAGCAACAACCAAGCAAAACAAAGCAGAAATGGCCGCCGTCCAGCTTAAGTTTGCCCTGCGCACTTCGTCCAATGTCAAGACCGTCCATCTGGTCGGCTCTTGGGACAACTACTCGCGCCAGTTGCCGCTGTCTGCTGAGGACAAGCCCGGTGCCTGGCTGGGCAAGTTTCGCTTCCAGACCTCCATGTTGCAGCTGGGTGGTCGCTACTGGTACTACGTATGTCCTACCCTCTGCTTCTCTCTCTCGCTGCCTCCACTCTCTCTTGATAAAATACTAACTCACCCTGCAGTACATCATGGATGGGTACCACGTCTCGCACGACCCAGCCGTCGAGTACACCGTCGAGCCCACAACAGGCCGCAAGCTTAACATCCTCGACGTCCCCGGCGGCAAGACCAGCTCCAGTCACCGCAGCAGCGCTCCAAAGGCCCGCCGCGGCTCGACCAACATCGCTACCGGCCGCGCCCTATCCCCCTCCAAGATCCAGCACCCCAAGCCATCCAAGCCATACGCCTCGCGCCAGCTCCGCGAATCCGAGTTCGCTGCACCCACAGTCGACGACCTAACGCGCCGCTTCGCTGGCTCCCGCCTGTCAGACTCGGACGGGTACTCATACTCCAACAGCCCGCCCAGCTCCGCCGGTTCATCGCTGTCCTCCCGCTCGTCGTCAGGCTCGGGATCTACCTCTCCGTCATCCCTCTCCTCGCTCAGCGACCCGCCCCTGCCCCAATGCCGCTGCGAGCGCTACGGTATCACCCGTAAGGGCGACCGTGTCAAGCTCGACTGCGGTGGTAATCGGTGTGGGTATATCACCGAGAGCTCGGAGGCGAGCTGTTCTGAGTCCGAGGATTCGGACGAGGAGTATCGTCGTGTGCGCTCCGCTGTTCGTCGCCAGGGTATTGTTGTGCGACGCTAGATACGATAGGATACCTTCTTTGGTTGATGGGAGTCTTTTTTCTTTTCGGATTCTGCATTGTGCATGATCTGGTAACAGAAAGATTCTTTAAGCTTGGTGGATCGGGGACAGGTCACGCTCCTTCCTTTCTTGTTGGTTTTTTTCGATTGCTTGGGAAAATCACTAAATAAAAAAAAAGCCCTGAGCCGCGGGTGAGCCGGTCTCGCTTCGTGAGCTGGGCGTGGGTGTTAATTGATGGTTGTGGTGCAGGGGAGGAGTTGGGGTTGGAGAGAGAGAAATGAAGAGAAGAGAAGTCGTCGTGATGAAGAAGAGAAGAAGGAGAACCACAAGGGGAGGGTGCAGACGAGACCCCCGAACGAAGCAACCCATTTTTGATAATGGTCGACAAGTCGCATTCCTCGTGCCAGCCAGACATTATTATATCCACCTATCGGCCTTGGTTGGAAGGTATATGATATGAGTATCACGAGCCAGCAATGCTTGAATGAATGAATGCCAATCTCTATCTGCTCTGTGATGATTCCCTCTGGGATTTACCACAGCCGTGCGGAATGAATGACTCCCGTCTATACGCCATGTATCTCGCCATCTATTAAATGAACCAGACTGGTTGTTTCTGATAGACTGGTTAGTTTAATCAACAGAGCCTTAGTTGAACTCGAGATGGTGGAATGAGATATGACCCTTTTTTCAGTCGTTAGTGAAGGTGCATTGCATAACGAGGATCCGTGGACGCGTAATGAGCGGGCATGGAGTGCCCACACCTCCCTGTGTCTGGAGGCTGTAATCCACTCCCAGCGAAGAAACCATGTGGCCATCATGGTTGGTTGCTGTCCTCATAACAACCAAGTTTTGTTTCGACCAAGGGAAGGAAGGCTTCCGAGAGCCAGTAAAGTGGGAAGAAGCCGATCCCTCCAGTCAAAATTACCGCTCCTATCTCGTAGAGACATGAGTTGTTACACTTGGCATTATCAAAAGGCTGCTACAGAGCTATCATGGCGAAATACCATCTCCACAGGTAATAGACAATGAAGTCAACAAAGTCCTCCTATACGTATCTCTCAACGCTCGTAAGTGCAAGCATTTATCAGCCTTGACCTACTCATATCCTAAAGTAGTTAACACTTTCTCTGTCTCTACAATCTTTGCAAAACTAGTCAATACTCCCATTGCAGCTTCCCACGTCACCTCCGCACCAAGCTGCTTTCCAGTCCTCCAGTCCTCCATGCCATAACAAGCACACGCATCTGCCGCAACCACCAGCTGAAACCCAAGATCCGCGGCATGCCTGACAGTATTATTAACGCACTGTGACCCATCCATGCCAATAACCACGATCTTCCTCTTTCCGTCCTTCTCCAGCCGATCTAGCTCTTCTTGCAACTGAGTGCCCACGAACCCGCTACCTTGGTGCTTGACGAATTGGGGTTCCGATGCGAGCGGCGCCGCAGAGGCGTGAGGCGCGAACGTTTCGGGAAATTTCACCTGCGCGGGGTTGTCTGGCTCGCCGAGAGCGTCGTGGTAGACGTGTAGTACGGGCCAAGAGCGGGAGCGCCAGGTTCGGAGGAGATGTGCGACATTCTCAGTCAGTTTGGGGGTGGAGCGAGGTCCCCAGTCTGCTGGAGCCTCGACGATGCCCTGTTGGAGATCGATTACCAGGAGGACTGGTGGTGGGGAAGCCATGTTGTTTTTCTGGAGTGTAGAGATCAACTAAAGACAGACGTGAAGAAGAGAAGCTTATGAGGACAATAGAACAGGCTCAGATTGACTCATAGGATTACCCCAGTTTCTGACGGTGAGACTTAGCCATGTGACAGTCAGACGGCACGGAGTAAATAGCCTAGTCCCGGTGTGCCACCCACATCCCTGAATACGAGACTCCTTCATGATCCCACGAGTCATATGTTTAGAGCATTAAATGGATCACCACACGATGGTGTTGTAAGATACATCGGGTATGATACATATGCACAAACAATTAATGAACAAAGGTAAAAGCAACCAAAGAAGAGCAGCCTTACATAACGCCGGAAGGGTGGGCTTCTTTCAACGTGGCTATGCGATTATACCTATTTTCCTGAATGCACAGTCAATGTCACCTCACATGTGGTATTCAATGGGTAAGCTATTCATGATCTTAAAGGTCCTTCCCCTCAATATTGGTAGGCGACTGAGCCCCACCCATGTTCGAGATGAGATTCACTCTAAGTTATCGATAAGCATTTCTATAATATGGGGAAATAATGTGTTCAATATTGACCGTGTTCCGCTCTTTTTCTCTGGGCTTCAGTTGCAGCAAAGTACTAGTAGTTATTAGTCTGGTTACACAAATCAACATTCGACAAATCAACAATATTAATTGCGAAATGCGATCAGTGGCACCAATTAGCACAATCCGACAAAACTCCTGCTCATACTATCCAACGCTGAAGCTGGTCGTTGCTGTATTATTCCACAAAAGGGGACTGCTTTCTTCACGTCCTCGACTTAGCGCCGGATGCCTTCCGATTTATATGCTTCGTGGCGCAAGTGCTATACCTCAAGGCAGTTATGTATTAGTTCCCTTTAAGACACCACGAAGATCAGACGCATTTCGCTGGGGAAAATGGATCCTTTGTCACCGAACTCGTTGATCACATATGCCTCGAATGAACGACACAAGCCACCGGCAAGTACAGCATTCACTATTTAGCGTACTATATTCCGTGCATGTTCTAACCAGGCCGTTCCGTTCAATCCTTCGACCAGAAATGGCCCAAGTGATTTCATGGCAACACTGGTTTAGGTATTTGTAGGACAATCATTGCCATTCTGGGGTAACCCAAAGAAGGGCAGCCTTTCCGCGTTTACGATGTACTAATCCAGTAGGGAGCGGGGTCGGAAACTACCGCCCGACAGCCCTGGTTGATTGGCGGAAGCCTGACCACGGCATTGTCCTTTTAAAAGGTAACAGATACTTAGACCCCGCCAACACCTCAATTGCTGCCAAATACGAGAGAAGGTCATATGTTGCTGTCTCTCGCGAGGAATCCCGATGACTCCGCACCTCCATTATCGGCTAAGCCTAAATTAGAGTGGTTCCAAACACCGTTGGCCTATGACGAGGAGGCTGCCCCTAGGCGATAAAGTGGGGAGGGAGGGTACCTGCGCCAATGTCCTCCACATTTCAGGGTTCAAGGGCACGAAATTACGCTGCCAAATCGGCTAGGAGTTGGCTACGGATACTGTTTTTGAGGGGTCGGGATTAATAAAGACGAATATGAAGATAACAGGAGGCACTAATAATAATCCTCAAAGAAAGGGGGGAAGGGGGAGTTAGATACCACTCTAAGAACCGAATACAACGCTGCGGAGCTGTAGCAAATTAGAACCCACTGATTACAGGCCCTATATGCCCGTACCTGTGGATCCTTCGATTCTTGTTTGCGAAAGGACGAATACCGAGTGTAGGTACTTAAGAAGATCGTCGCTGCCCACAAATTCCGCCGATTTCTGCTCACGCGATCACCTACCGAAGTCGGTTGCTGCATTTTCTTTGCCCAACATGAAGTTGTCCACCAGTCTAATTGCTCTTGGCATGGCCGCAGCTACTGCTGCCATGCCTCAGCCGCGGGTTGAGAAGCCAGTGGGCAAATGGTTTGACCGTAAGTCAATTCTCCAAGGCGAGAAGGCAATCGATTTTTGACAATTGTGGTTTTCAGGCTATGTTGTGATCGTTTTTGAGAACAACAACAAGGATGTTACCTTCGGGCATCCGTACTGGTACAACCTCACTGAAATGGGCATGGTGCTGGGCGACTTCCACGGCACTACCCATCCTTCGCAGGTAACTAGGCGACGAGAGGTTGATCCATGGGATGCTGCTAACAACAATCATATAGCCTAACTACATCACCATGATTTCCAACACTATCGCGGGTGGTGTGTTCGATGACGCTGACCACAACACCACCCAAATGAGTCTGATTGATCTTTTTGAGCCCGCCGGTATTACCTGGAAGGCATATATGGAGGGCTACACTCCCCTTTCCGATGGTGGTTGCAACCCCATCAGCGAGGACGATGAGACTCTCTATGTCCGGTGGGTACCATTTCTGGCGAAGAGAAAGATAGTTCTGCTGATTCGCGAAACAGCAAGCACAACCCCTTCATGTCTTTTGACAACATCCGAAACAACACCAAGCGCTGCCGCAATATTGTAAATGCCGAGCAACACTTTGTGAACGACGTTGCTCTGGGTGCCGATGCCCCGATGTACATGTTCATTACGCCCAATTTGGACAACGACGCTCACAACACCAACGTCTCTTACGCTGCGCCAGCTCTGCAGCACTACGTTGACACCATGTTGAACAACGCGGATTTTATGAAGAACACTATGATCCTCATTACGTTCGACGAGAACGGTATGGAATCTTGTCTTGCAAGAAGTCCTCTTATATACTAAAAATCTTCCAGACATCTACTCCCCCAAGTACTTCGGTACCGACAACAACATCTACTCAGTCCTTCTGGGTAACGACACCCTTCAGTGCTACAACTGCAACGATCAGCAGTACTACAACCGTGAGTAACCCCATCCGCCGGCTGTTTGCCAACCCACTCACTAATATATGCGCTCCCTAGACTTCTCCCAGGTCGTCACTATTGAGCAAAACTGGGGCCTGGACTTCATTCCCCAGCCCGATGGAAGCGATGAGGGCTGGGATCAGTGGTGGTTGCCCTTCGGCCTCCTTCGCAACGACGGCCAGGATATCTGCGAGTCTTCTCCTTGCGATTTCTTCAACTAGACATATGCACTGGATGAGATAACGCATGAAAGAACCTAGTGGTTTTCAGGCTCTCGGGGACTGTTTGTGGAATGTTCTATCCTACCATTTCTGTATTGTACGGACTTCCAAGACATTCTTCGATACATTTGGCTGCCTATAATAATAGCCAAACAAGATTACATGTTTCTGTCCAATGTAGCTTCCCCCCACACGATTTCTGCAGATCCCTGCAATGTACTCTTGCCGGCTACCTGTACCCTGTAGCGGGTAAATCGGGAAGCATCAGATTGGTTGCAAGGAACCCCCACCTTGGTCCAACACCTTGCCAAAAAGCTTGGATTTCAACCAACGCTATACTCTTGAAAGCGTCGATCGGCTTTGAAATCACTTTTCCTCCATAATCTTCCCCGCAGTAAAAACAAAAAAGGCTCACTAGTGGTCTTTGAAGCCATGAGCCGAACTTCTGTACCCCCACGCTCTACTACGAATCACATCCGTGGACTTCTCCACGATAGAAATCTTGTGAAGTGCCCAAGCGCAAGTCTTGGTCGGTATATAAGCATTCCGCAGGGTCCACTTCAGCTCATTTGACTCCATAATGTCACTCCACTGTAAAGAGCCAAAATGAAATCTGGGGTATACCAATTTCTCATAGGCTGCTTTGCAGCCTTTGGTTCTTTCCTTTTCGGCTATGATCTCGGTGTGATTGCTGAGGTTGTTGCTGCCTCGTCATTCAAGACAATGTTTTTGCAGAGTAATGCAGATTCCAAGTCCGGTACGGTGGTTTCTCTCTACACTGGCGGCTGCTTCTTTGGCGCTCTTGGGGCCGGATTTACGGACAGATTAGGTCGCCGGGGAACAATCCTGATGGCATGTGTCATCTTTACAATTGGAGGCATCATCCAGACTGCTGGTGTTCGGATTGAGATGCTGTATGTTGGCAGGCTACTTGCCGGGTTTGGAACGGGATTCCTAGTTGTAAGTTTCTGGTTAATTATCAGACCGAAAAGTGTACTGAAACCAGAAAAGATGATTATCCCAATTTATCAGGCAGAGATTTCACATCGCCGCATTAGAGGGAGGATTACAACCCTACAACAACTCTTCAGCGCCTTGGGGCAGGTAACTGCTGGCTGGGTCGCATATGGTTGCTACGCGGCCTACAACAGTACAAACGACAGTCGTGAATGGCGGATTCCCTTGGCAATTCAAATCATTCCGGCACTTTTCCTAGGCAGCTTAGTCTATCAATGTCCCGAGAGCCCACGGTGGCTTTGTGACCACAATAAAGCAGACGAAGGGCTCAAGACTCTCGCTCGGCTTCATTCCCATGGCGACACGAACGACGCCTATGTGATTGCAGAGTTTAACCTCATCCAAACCCAGCTTGAAGCGGAACGTGCAGAAAAGACACCTAACTATCTTGACCTGTTCAGAAGCTGGCCACAATTCCGCCGCATAATCATAGTCATGGCTATTCAGGCAGGCTGCCAGGGAACTGGTGTTAGTGCTATCCAATACTTCTCCCCGCAAATCTTTGCTCAGCTTGGAATTCCCGTCAAAACAACACTTCTCATGCAAGCTGTCAATGCACTTGTGGGGCTAGCAGGCACCTCACTCTGCATTGTGATCATCGAATTGGTAGGACGACGGCCCTTAGAGATCGGGGGTTCGCTGATCATGACCATCACATTCGCTGTCAATGCTGCCTTGATCAAAATCTTCCCAGCTTCTGTTTCCAACACTGGTGCGCATTGGGGGTTTATTGTCATGACTTGGGTCTTTAACTTTGTGTTTTTCGTCACTAGCGGACCTCTGTCATGGGCAATTCCGCCCGAGCTTTTTGGAAACGCTATGCGCGACACAGGTGTGTCATGGGGCACGATGACTTCTTTCGCCTTCAATACGATGGTAGGCCAGGTCACCCCTATCGCGATTAGTGCAGTCGGCTGGAGATACTACCTCGTCTTTGTCGTCTGCAATTTCACCACGGCCATTTTCTTCTGGGCATTCCTGCCAGAGACCAAAGGGCTTAACTTGGAAGACTTGGAAGAGTTGTTCAAGGAATCGCCTGTCTTCATTCCTGGTTCTAAATGGGTGCCGAGCTCTCATATTGAACTGGACGCAAGGCGGATTGCAGAGAAGGAGACGCCGGCAAATCGGCACATCGAGCAGGTTGATGATGGCTCTGTGTGAGTAGAGGTTTGGAACGGCTTGCTCGTACTTTTCAACGTTATCCTTCTCACACTCAATTGTAGGCCACTCACCTTCCACTGCACGCGTTTTTTCCGTTGTTTCAGTTCCTTGCACAGTTGGTGGTTTCTCTCGTTCGACAGACACGGTAAAGATCATGTTCATATTGCCCGTATTGCAATCCCTATGCATATTCAGGATTTTCTCCCTTCCCACATATGCCAGTGCAAGTGTGCCTCTGTTAAAGGTACCAGCTCGACTCTGGTGGTACGGCATATGCTATGATGATCACTGGCTGCCCTATCAGGGATTGACTCGTTCCCTCGTGGTTTCCTGAACAAGTGGCCTGGTATCTTTTTGGAAGTTGGTTCAAACCTGGCTGAGCACTCTTTTTATTTTACTTCAATATTTATGATTTCTTGGTTTACCTTGCCTGCATCCTGTTATCCTCTCTTCCCATCACTCATCCTTCGGGTACCAGCACCGAGACTAGACTGATATTATAAGATCATAAAGAGACTTCCGCAATTCAACCCTTGCAGAGCTCGAGATTTTGATTTGAAGACTAGGCAGTAGAGGTGTACTGTATTTCATTTCCATATCTACCCTATGAATATCCTGATTCCTGATCTTGTGACGTCCCAGGTGATGGACTATCCTGGCCCTGATCCGTTCTCAAGATATCTAACAATCGCTCCGCCGAAAGGTGATCATTGACCGCCTCCATCCGATGCGAAAACCGAAGCTTCCCCCGGTGAAAAATCCACTCGCCCCCCTGCTGATCCAAAGGACCCCCCTTGAGCCCCGCAATCAAATTTTTGGTCGTCTGCTTGACGTATTTTGCAAGCGCGCTAGTAAAAGACTCTGGTGCATATGGTGGTGGCGTCGTAAATCCCTCCAAAGTTCTTTTCATATGTAGCTGCTCATATATCTTCCCTGATGCGTCAGAGTATATAGGAAACGCGTCTGTAGTCTCCTCCGTGTAGGGCACGATAACGGAATGGTCTCCACACCCGATAATTATCACCTGGGCTGGTTTTGCGCTGTGTGGTATTGTGTCCAATAGAGTCTGGTTCAAATTCGCAGAGAGGTTTCGAACGTAGTGTTGGTCGTATATGCAGAAGAAGTGGCGGACTGGAATTTATGAGACCAATATCACGCGAAAAGACTGGGCGACTTACCAAAAATGACGATAGTAGTTATTGTGTCTCCTTTCCCCGCCACGAGCTCACCAAATCGGACACTCTCGCCATCTTTTGTCTTTAACTCTAGCTCATAGGCTTCGTGCAGGGATTCGTCTGTTAGAAATTCAGGCGAGTCGGTCGAGAAAGTGCAACTTAATGATTCCGAGGACGGCAACGCCATGCTGTTGAGGAGTAAGTACACGCAAAATGTTATTTGCGTTTCTAGAGGATACTATCGCAAAAATTTGACGACTATAAGCCTTATGGAATGCGGAGTGCGGAATCCAACCGCATGACATCATGACTGCACCCCGTCCCATACTTAGCCATCAGGTTGCCGACAAGATTAAATGATCCATTCTCGGCCGAACCATTGATGTTCCCGAGTTCTCGCCGCACACAAGAATGCCTTGACCTTAAGCATGGTGTTGGTCCAGAACGTTCTTTAGTTCTGATCCACTGGATCTCTCCGCCAGACTCTATAGGGATTTTCTACAACTTTACCATGTTGGCACTGGTTCTCAAAAACACTTCCGTAAGCAACAATATTCGTGGCTATTAAACTCAAAAAACTGGGGGTATTATGTTTCTCGGGTTCAAGGTCGAAGAGAATACTGTACCAATAGAACCCGATCACTGATAAAGGAGCACAACAGAGACCTTCGCCTGTTCTTCGCATAATCGCATAACATCAAAGCCACATCGAATCATCAACCACATGTCAATCAATCCAGTAGCGGCGTACTCCTATTCTTCCTATCCTTTCTCACAATGTCGACGGGCTCAGGCGAAGTAACCTCGGACCGCTCCCCGTCCTCCGGATAGTCTCTATATCGGTCTTCTTCGTTGGCAAAGAGACTAGCATCAGCGTCTCTGCTGCGGCCTGGGAGCCAAGCGGGCACTTTCCACTCAGGGGTTTTGACGGTGGGCATGGACGGCATCTTGAGCTTCCAGTTGCGCGGGTTACCACTGCCCTGCGACTGGAACCAAGGAATCGACGGACGCGACGCGGGTCGGAGACGGTGACTGCAGTTCGGGCAATCGGGCGGGACAGTCTGCCACGCCAGGTATTGCATCAGATCACGGATTGCGAAACCGGTGTAGAATGCGCCTACGGCGAGATAGAGATGTGCAAAGCTATTAGCTCAATATTAGTTATACTACTTCCGAGGGAAACATTTACAAGATCGGTGGCTGGGACGGCACTCACAAATCAACAAGCAGCGGAATCGTTGCATACGCAGCGAGCATACTCAGCGCTGCATTCCCCTTTCGGCGGATATGAATCCAGGTGAAGACCAGGACCACCATGAGAGCCACCGCGTGGATCGTATCAACAAAAAACACGAGTATTGGCCGACGGGATTCCGCAATATGTTCTGTCGTCTGATCTCCAGAGCTATCTGCACTTTCCCCCGCGGCCTCATTGTCGCTGCGTCTCGGCCGGCGCAGTAAGAACCAGAGGGCTGCGCTGGCCGAAGTGCCGAGCGGGACAAGGCCAACAGCCGGCGCAGTGCTATGAGATAGTACACCGTGAGCGATGCATAGCGGGAAAGCGATCAAAAAGCTTGCGACGGAAGCGATGCGCAAGGGGCGCGTGCACGAGGGGGTCATGATTAGCAGCCGTTGGATATTGGGATCCATACAGCGTGGAGCTGGCCTTTCAAGACTGACAGAGAGAGAGCAAGAGAGAGACACACAAAGCAGATGCGATGCGGTGAGTGGTCAAGGGTTTTAACCCGTGAAGCGAACGAGGCAGTTGTTATCATTCGAAACGAAACAGAAGAGAGGGGGTAAGTGCTAGTGTAGGCCAATAGCGTTAGATATCACTGAGCACGGGGGATCAGATGCACGGCCGAAGGAAGACAAAGAGGGGAACTGCGCCGAGGGTGTGAATTAATGGTATCTGCCTATAGAAGTAGGTATCACACAGGCGCAAAATCTAGACTGCCTAAAATGTCGGAGACCCGAAGATGTAAATTATTCCCAAACCCCGACCGAAAATCATGTCATCTTGGAGTGAAAAATAAACAACCATACTATACATCAACCATAACCACTAAACTCCTTACTCCTTCATCAGAAATAGCAAGTGCTGTAGTTAAGAGCCCACCTGAATTATTGTGGGTTTACGCAGCTTCTTCTGCTTGCGTTTGGCTTCTGGTAGGGATGGTCCTGGCTCAGTCAGAGGGAGAAGATTTATTGAGCGTTGAGTTTACTCACAACTGCGGTTCAAATTCTCTTAGATCTATCGATCACCTTCCCCCACCAAAAATACATTGCGGTCGAGCAACCTTGACCAGCACAGATCAGAGAGGCTCAGGTCGGGGCTGAGGCTGAGCTTGTGCACACTAGGGATCAAATGACGACATGTATAGTCGGTCGACCGGAGATGGCAATCGACTATGACACAATAATTGGGTACGAGAGCTGCATACAGGATCCAAAGGAAACACGCCCATTGATTATAGTTAGAATCCGACACTATTGATAAATCAGAATTTGGTCGGATAGTTACGCGCAGATACCCACATTCGCGGCCAAAACCCGGCGACCAACGTCAGATCATAGCGGAATCAAAATATACCAGCAAATCATTCAACCTGTGACTTTAATAATAATATATATTATAAACAGACAAATTGATCAGTTGGAACCATAACTAGCAACCGCCTCCGCCAGGAGCGGAAGCAGCAGCAGCAGCCATCCCGCTAGAAGTAGCTGCCACCGATCCAATTATCGCCGCATTGCGCCGCCTATTTTTCTTGCGTATGGCTTCCTTATAGCCCTGCCGGGGATGATCGGTGCGGTCATACTTAGTAATTATCGGATGGGCCGGTGGCGGAGCCATTTTATCTGTTGCAGGGCAGAAGCACATGTTCTTCTGCAAGAGAATGTTCTCAGGTAGATGTGGGTGCTAGGTTTGGATCGCCAGTTGTGGATAAAGTTGGAAAATGTCTACCCGGACTTGGTTGAATAGATAGAGTGAGAGTGAGAGAGAGAGAGAGTGTGTGTACTGGCTGAGTTGGAAGATGAAGACTTTAATAATAATAATGAATAGATGGAAGATCTTGTTAGAGCGGTGTCTTTAGTGCTGTTCGGATTATTCCTTTTCAGTATAGGATCGATTCCACTGACCACTGGGTGCAGTGCCTTTTTATATTTATCGCAGTTGCTTTGGACCGCCCCAAGAACACATTGCGATCGGTCAACCCTGGTTATGTAGCAAGGCTTAGTTTGGAGTTGAGGCTGAGCCTGTTGCCACAATGGGGGCCAAAGTGACGATCCCAGAATAGTTACTCGATCAGGTATTATTGTTGTTACGACAACGATAAAACACTAATTAATACTGAGATGCAAGTGAAGCAACCCCCTCTATTGTAGAAACCCTTGGAATTGCTCTGGGGAATGAATTGACCCGCCCGGAATTCCCGAGCTGGGTTTTCCATCCCCGCATCCTGCCTTCGTTTAAATAGGCCATGCCAACCAAACATTCTTGAATGTTCCACTTTCAATTGACAATCACACAGACACAGTCACCATGTCACTTGATAAGCCATCGACAGTCCTCTACAAGGAGGCTAATGGTAGTAGAATCACGACAGACATCTATCTGCCCGCCGCCGCCTCGGAGCAGAGGAAATATCCCGTGGGTAAGTAAGCAGGCCATGGTCCATTCCGCCCTCTAAGAACCAAGTAGCTAATTAAACAGTCATCGATATTCATGGAGGCGCATTCATGCTTGGCCATAGCCGTATGGTCTCTCTGCCTCAGGTGAACGACTGTCTCAGTCGCGGTTGGATCGTGCTCGTGCCAAATCACCGGTTGTGTCCGGGTGTGAATCTCTTGGACGGGCCGATGCAAGACATCCGTGATTTGCTATCTTGGATATATGAAGGACACCTGGATGAGTACCTCTCGTCTCAGGGGAGTTGGCGCGCAGATCTGGAGAATGTGGCTGCGTTTGGGACGTCGTCAGGCGGTCACTTGGCCCTGAGTTTGGTACTTTCAACTTTCAAAGATTCAAAAAAGCAAATAGGAGACTGACATGAGCAGGGTTTCGGTGTTCCCAAACCAATTAAAGCGATTCTCTCGCTCTATGGCGCAGTACACTTCACCGACCCGTTTTGGAAAAAACCACTCCCGCACATCGCCGCCAAGCTCCCACCTAATCTGGAAGAGTCCTTCTTGAACAAGGTATACGACGAAAAGCCTGTACCGACGGATAGCTCTGTATCACTGGAAGGACAGACAGAAAGTGGAGCAGCAAAGGGGCCGAATTTCTCACGGCCACGCGACGCTTTCGCATTCACACAGATCTCGCGCGGGACCATCATTGATGCAATATATCCAGCCTCACAATCTACAGATGCGAAGATGGACCTCATTGATCCTGCGCGCAATATTAGTGGAGACTTCCCGCCGACCTATATCGTGCACGGCATGGCGGATACGATGGTCCCGATTGAACTAAGCCGTGAGCTGCATCGCAGGCTGCAAGAGGCTGGTGTGCGTTGTGGAATGACGGAGGTACCAGACGAAGAACACACTTTTGCGGCGATGATGAAGGTTGGGTCGCCGACTTGGTGGTTGCAGCGAGAAGGATTTGATTTCTTGGAGAGCCTTATTGGGAAGGGGCCTGTGTAGATAATTGGTATCTGTATATACTGACATATGTTATGGAGCATGAATGGGTTTCGTACATACTTCAGTCTGACGCTCCTAGATACCTTAGTTGATGGGCCGGGAAAACTGGCGAGATATGGTAGTTTAATATCTATCTATGGAGTCGGATTATAAAAGCCCTTGGAAACGACAAAAACTTTGTGGGGTATATTATACTAGAGTTTTCTCGACCGAAAATTGTGTAGTGGTGTGGATATGCCCCGCGTACATCCATGAGCTAGCATGTTGGTCACACTCGTCATCGCCTAGATCTTCCAAATCCTCTGGGCTGGTAGCGCTAATTGTCGTTGTATTCCGCGTCTCATTAGAGCCGTGGATAGTGTTAAGTCTCGTTTCGGGGTAGTCTCGGGCTAACTTGGCTCGACGCCTTGAGTTGAGCTGATAAGAAGACATCTGTACATGTTTTTGGAGGGTAGATGCAACGGCCCTGACGAGAGGGCCATAAGTTGGAATGCAGCAGATAACCGTCTATTTTGCTAGTTAGCGCTGATAAGTTCACCTTCAGAACATGGCTCTGTCTTACCCCTAGGCAGATCTCGATCGTACTCCAGATAATGGTGGTCCGACTGTTCAAAGAGTTTGACAGGTTTGACACACTCAAGATGCGGATGACTTGGATAATAGTGATGAAGAACCCAAGTGCGAAGATACACGTCAACATGAGCTATATCTGCTTAGCATGATGATCATTGTGGCTAACTATTTCCTGGGAATGGTACCTTTTGTTTGCGTTGCAAAGAGAGTCCCCAGAGAACAGGCAGGGGAAGAGCGATGATGATGAGATCAAAGGCAATGCTCGTTGCTGACTACCGTTAGCTCCAATTGCAATTTGAAAATTGACTTGACCTACCGGCAATGGAGTAGTAAAGAGCAAGCGTATCGATGCAGTGCCCTGGAATAGAGGGATTCCATTGCTTTGCAACCGGAATACAGCTCACACAGACGAGGAGAGTGAACAAAACTTGGTTGATGGTAACAGCGACGAGGACAATAATGATTATAATGCGGTATGTCTTGACGAAACCTCCCATGCGAAGGTACGAGGTCAATAAAGCAATCTTAAAACCGAGGAGAGCAAGAGTGTAGAAAGGCCCAGTGGCATATTGGATCTGAAATAATATGGTCAGCAAGTCAGAATCAATAAAAGCCAAGTCAACACTGAGCATACCTTGCCAAATGGGATCATATTTTCCGGTGGAAAATATGCATCATCCAATCCAACTCCCCATCGCGTCACTATTGTTTCCAGCCACAATTAGCCATGTTGGCCACGAATTACTGCCCAAAAGTGAATAAACTTACAAGCAATGATAAGTCCCGCCCGACCCAATATCAATATTGCACTGGATAAAGCTGCATAATCATCCACCCATGGGGAACGGTTGGTGAATCGTCGGGCGTAAAAGCGCAGGAAGACGGCTAAAAGTGCGATAATCGGGAACACACAGTCGATAGCGATGATCAGGACAGTTTCGTCTCCCGGGTCATGACCATGAAAGTTATGAATCCAAGTCATGACGTTGTTACCGAATAGATCGGATCAATCATACGATCATTTTTGATGTGATCGATCTAAGGAACCTGGGGGAGGGGGGATCAGAGAAGAACATGTACGAAAGAAGGACGAGGTCGCTAACACAGGTGACATGATGATTTAAAGGCTGTAACTACAGCAAGGAGAAAAGCTTGACTGCCAAGCCAATTGCCCGTTGGTTGACACAAGTGGCAGATCTCTAGAACTGCAGGGGCGCCCTTGGTCCATGGTAGCCTTTGCCTTATGAGCTACTCTAGGGCGGGGTGGAACGGGGTGGTATTTGGGCGATATTTCCAAGAAGAATCTCCGAAACTACACATGATTTATGATTGATAGATGTAGTTAACGTGTTGTTGAAGACCGACTGCCAGATGATTCCCAGAGATGCAGGTACGTGCAGTAAGAATATGCTGGCCTCAATCAAAAAGGCTTGGCACGGTAACGCCAAAAATGCAGAGTTGAGTCTTGTGACGACTGAGTTTACGGGGATTCGCCGGAATTAGAAGGTGGCGGCATGGAGGCATCGGCTAGACAAAAAATGGGCGGAATGTTTGGTACTGGTGGCGGACTGCGATTTGTCGGGTCCGAACTCGAGCCGAAAGGAATGTTATTGGATCGGCTCAAGGGGTGGTAAGAGAGAAGCAATCAGCCAATCAATCAAAGTCCTTGCCCAGGAGACATGTAGGAGAGATACAGAGAGTAACTGCATAAACTTCTACTCCATATACATAGAATGGGCTGACTTCAGGCGCTAGTGTTTCTTGTGCAATCGAAGTAATGAATGAGGATTATTCTATTCAAGGGCCAGCCTGCTCGTCGTAGAGTAGAGTACATTCAAAAGAAAGACCGAACGGCATCCGCTAGGTATGTAACGACAGAACGAACAAACGCCGGCAATGCATCGTAACGTCTCCATCAATCAGATCAGATCAGTCGAGTCAATCGAGGCCATTTCCATCCGTCACTAACTATCATCATCAATCAGGCCATGAATGGATGCAATCCCATAACAGCAGTAGCCATAGTCAAATAATTTCCTGCTCCACCCACATCATCCCCACAGCTGCGCTTCCATTCCAGATAGAACCAGCGTTTTCTGAACTCCTACAGAATCCCGACACCGGGTCGGAGACTCTGCAATGGAGGTGCGAGTCAATCGCGTTTGGTTAGTGCTCACCAGCAAGCATCACCCACAAACACAGAAAACGGGCACAGAGTGCGAGATGAGGAAGGGCAAGGCGTTTTGTTTTGTTTATCGTCAGCGCATATCAGCATAAGAATCAGACATGACGTCAACAGCCGGTGTTGAGATGACATGACTGGTCGTTGAAGCGCTCAAGACATTATCATGAAGAACATGGCATGTCTCACAGAGACATTGGTCATCAAAAGAGTGGAGAAGAGTCGCGTGTGTTCAGCGAAGCATAGCATGTTCACCAGGAGCATACCCAGCATTAGCAGCAGTGCGCTCAAGAGACAACAGTAGTAGCAAGCAGCGGTAGTGCCCACAGGACAGATGCCTGCATGCACAATCTACCGACCTGATCCCTTACTCGAATACCCAGAATCCGGCCAGCGGTTCCTGGTCCCCGTCCCCGCTGGAGCAGCAGTGGTCGAGGCACAGCGAGTATGTCTCGAGCAGACATACCCGACCAGCACGGTCTTTTCTAGAACGGAATGGCCGCGCTGGCCGAAGGAGGAGCAGGGGTCGATTGAGTGCTCAAAATAGAGACATTTGCAGGCAGCGTAGCGCTCGACGACTCGGTAGCACATGTTGAGTTGACCCGATTAAGTGATTGTTTGTGATAGCGTTGATGCAGATGTAGCGAGTGAGTGGGCGAGGAGGTGAATGAATGAATGGTGTTTGAATAATATTATGTCGGTGCCCGTAACGAGATTGTGCCAGCCGATATGGAATAGAATAGGTAGGTGGTAATATAACGAAAGAACGACGGCGATGAGAGCCTGCAAAGACGCTCGCAACGCTTGAGAATCAAAACGAGTGAATGGCACCTGTGGAAGGAAAGGAAGGAATCGGGAGACGGGCCGAAAGAAGTTGAGGAAAACCAAAAAAAGGTAAAGACCGACTGGATTTATTAATACGAGTAAGATAAGACGAGGATGTCCATTTGCAGCGAAGATGACGCTACACAGCACCAGGAGGACAGGTGCTCCGCGCTGTAAGGCAATCAATTCATTGTGGATGTCCCAGGCAGAAACCCAGGAAAAGAGGGAAAAGCGAGATCCACTCGGAAAAGACCGACGGGGTGAACGCCAATAGGAAGTGGGAGCAGTCGGAGAGGCTGAAGAGACGGAGAAAAGCTTGGGTGGGGTGCTCGTCCTTGGTGCCGTGTAAGTGTACGAAGTGGGCATAGTTAGTGAAGCACTGAGCATTACTATCGTCATGCTAAGGCTTAAGGCTCAGCCGCGTCGGATCGACAGGCTGCTAACGGTTAGCAGGGTACCTATCTCCAGCCGGGGACTGTGGCTGAGCAGCAAGTGACGGTGAAGCCACTATGAAACCAGGCGCGGGGCCCGGCGGTTTGGCTGGGGGAGTCGGTGAGCGAGAGCCACACATGGGGGCTTGACTTGACAAGGCTGACGGGGGCTGGCGCGGATCCACTTGGTTTGGTTTGGTGTTTGGGGGCTTGAGAGTCAGTGTGTCCTATCGAGCCGATGATTCATCGGGCGTGGATTATTATCATTCTTCTTGGGGTCACGTTGGTCTGCCCGAAGATTACCTTGGCTGGTAGCGTTCGGTGGGTTTGGATGTTGCGTAGGAACAAATGCCGAAGACCACCTCTACTCAGTAATCAGACGAGCACAACCCGGGTGACAGAACCCCGATGGGTGACCAGGCTTCTGTATTCACAGTAGTGTAGGGCTGAGGGAATTAGGTCCACCGGAGGCTGAGAGTTGCTAACATACTTGCATAAGATGCATGCAGGCCGCTCAGAGGGGCTCACTGACTACTCGCAGCATTAGGCAGCCAAGTGGGATGGATCATCCCTCCAGACAACGTCACGTCGTACTATGCAATATGGCCATGATGCTGGTTGGGTGTTGTGTGACTTATGCAATTAAACTCTAGACAACAATGGACTAATTGACTCTCTTCATTGTCCAATATTGGCCCTGACAGGGGAAGTGTGCGTCCTTCGTCAATGTCTTCAATCCCAGACTCCTTCTAGTAGTACAGAATAGCCAAAATTAAGCCACTCCCAAAGCACCAAAGCTCAATCCTTGTGCCAACCCCAGGCGCAACACCCGCAGGATGTCTTGGCCTGTCGCCGACTCCGGCAGACCCGCCCGCCAGTCCCATCCTCTACCCTGGCCCTCCTTATCACCTGGTCGAGGCACTAGCACGCCTGAGCTACCCACAGACGTCGGGCCAGACCCAGAACCGGATTGCGCGCGAGCTGACTCCAGCATGTCGTTACCAATGAATGAAAAGGTCGATCCGGAAAGCGAGGAAACGGACTTCTTCAGCAGTGACCGCGGCGAGGGTGGAGCCAGATGGCTGTCAGACCCCTTGGTGCCGGGGGAGTGGTGCTCCCGCAGTGTCGCCTGGACACATTCCTCGCACTGTGCGTACACGCGCGGGGTGACCGTCTCCAGGTCTTCGATCGCTGAGAGGATGGTAAATTGTTGCGAGACGGATAGGACAGGAGTAGGTTCTAGACGAATTCAGCATGGCCCATATCAGGCAGCGATCAGACTTACGGTTCACAAACACCAAGGCCTCCCCCAACAAGGCCAGCAGACCATCCACCTGGACCGCCGAGTCGCGCTCGGGATCGTACAGACCTCCGTAGATATTGTCTGCAGCACTGCCAATAACGGCCACCAGAGCCTGAGCGGCAGCGCGCCGTCTCGCCAAAGGCTTGAAGCGCGGCTGCTGGCCGTCTTGTAGCTCTACAGCCTCGTCGCGGATTTCATAGAACCGGCGTAGTGTCGCGTAGCCACTCAGGTAGAATTGAAGGATGCGGGCAGCCTCCTCGTCGACCGATGCAATGGCCGACAGGCAGGCCTTGGGCTCCTTGAGCATAGATCGCAGCTCCGGGTCCAGATCGGTCGTCGCGGGGTACGCACGGGACTGGACCAGACTGTAGGAGATGAGCAAGTCGACGACGGACTTGACCTTGCGGCGGTTTTGAGCACGAGCGTAGCACAGCAGTGCGAGCCCGAACTTCTCGGACTTCTCGACGATGTTATCGCCAAATTTCTGCAAAAGCTGTTAATATCATGATCGGCCACACTGGGGCCCTCAACATACCTCCGAGACTCTTCGGCCTTGATCTTCCAAGCCCAAATCTGAACACAAAACGACCAATTTATCCAGCTGGATGGTGGTTTGGATGGGAAGTTGGTCGACAATCTCACCAACAGCCTTCTTCATCAGATGGGTATCTTCGAGTCGACTCAGAACTTCCAACGCCATTTCCCACCCTTCACGGACCCCAGTCTCATTCTCGACGGACTTGCGGTTGTTCAGCCCCGAGGCGTACTTGTGCAGAATGTCATCACGGCTGACACGAGGTGCGGGCGCTCGGTTGTCCTGCCCGTACGAGAGAACCATCAAGTCGTTCTCGCTCAAGCCGGGCATCTTCTTGGCGCCGCCGCTCGTCTCAAACCACCCACCAAGGGTTGCAACCTCTGCAGTGGCCGAGGCGATACAGAGCGACCAGGTCTGCAAAAGCTCCAGCACACCCTCCACATTGCTCTCGAAAACGGAAGCTAGGCCAACTTCCAAGCTATTCATTGTGTTCAGCCGGAACCCGGCCTTGTTGGACTTCTCGGTCGTCGCGTTGCTGAAAGCCAGATCCAAACGTCGAAGATAGGCGTCCCGCAGGTTACGGTCTACCGCACGTAGATTTTTGGAGCTGCGAGACTGTCGGAATTCATTGCTGGCGGTACTGCTGCGGAAGTCTGGACCCTCATCATCTTCGCCGTCCCACCAAGCTGTCAAACCAATAGTCGCCTCCACCCAGTCCTGGGAATTAGCTTTGATGGCGGTCGGATCGCCAAGGATAATACGATAAAGAGACCGAAGGCTTTGGTAAATCGTCCACGGAACCCGACTCTCTGCCATTCGTGCCGACTGGGTGAATGAAAGATTCTGCCCACCCAGATTCCCCAGTCCAAAGTTGACAGCCTGGAAATGATTGTCCTGTGCCGGCATGGGGACATCGTCTCGTTCCTCCCCCTCTGCAAACTCCTCAAGGTCATTCACCGCGGAGAGAACACGCTTCCGATACAGGGTCCAATCCGGTCCAGTAATGTCCCAGTCATCGTATTGAAAACCAGGGCACGAATCCAAGATCTGCAGAGCCTTGTTGACACAGCGCTGGATATTTTGTAGCTGGGCACCACGGTAGCCGGGCTGAGGCAAACCATCTTCCAAAGAAGACCGAGCGTAGTTGAAATCTGCGGATCGAAGCACCTCGGCTACCTCGGCAAACTGGCCGCGGAGAACGGCTGCGTTGATGATATCCCAGAAGTCTGAAGAGGCAGTCGGGTTCGGTTCGACATGTCTTAATGCTGTAAGGTCATTGGCTTGCGAGCAATGGTTTCCGTTGAGCCAGTCGAGAAGAATCTGAGGAAGGGGAGTAGCGACACTGGCGCGTGCCATGGCTTTCACCATGCTGTTGGGCGCCGTCTGTGCGGCGGGGTTGGAGGCGCTAGCAATGGGAGCAGAGGAGCGAGAAGGGTGGTGGATTTGCAGAAGAATCGATGCCAAGAAGCTTGCCTTCACCAAGCTCGGGGCATTTTCTCCCGGGCCAATGCTGGATCCAGTACCATACGGTCGGGAGATCCCACTGCGGTCGGCGCATGTATCCCAGGTGGCTGCCAGCTTGTTCGCGATGTAGGACAGAATCCAGTCAAAGTCGACATGCCTGTACTCGGCTTCGCGCAGCTCATCATAGACCCGGCCTAGCGCATCTTCGGTATTGATGATCATGTCGCTTGGCTCATCGACAACAGGCAGACGGGATCGAGAGGCAAGGGTGTGAAGGATGGACGGCATTGCGGAGGGCTTTTGGGGGGGGAGCCTGGTCTTGCCGATGGGCGACTGATGGGCCCAGCGTTCATCTAGCTTGGGTCGCCTGGCGTCGGCAGGGTTGGAATAGATTGGTTTGGGCTGGCCAAAGCCAGGGGACTGCGGCGGCAGTGGGTTACCGAAGTTCGAGTCCAGGAAGCTGAGGCGATTCGAAGATTGACGGGTACTCGCATCCATATCCTCATCCTCGTATTCTTCTTCGTCTTCTTCTTCTTCCTCCATGTCTTCTTCGTCGTCTTCTTCCTCCTCGTACTCGCTGATCTGTGACGAAGCAAATCCATTAGATTGTCCAAAGGTCACTGATTTTCCAAATGCGCTTCCATTGGAGGCACCGAAGCGCGACTGCGACGCTGCAAAATGTGGACCAGATTCTTGCTGAAAGTTGGTCGATCCGCCGAAGGAAGAGCCAAAAATGCTGTCGTTTGTGTTGATGTTTCCTGACTTGGTAAAAATAGAATTGGAGGATTGCTGGAAGTCGAGCTTCTGCATCTGGGAACTGCCAAACGCAGTTGACGGAGGCTTCCCTTGCGGCGTGAACGAGTTTGCTGAGGACGGCGGTGGGCCGGCGGGCGTCGTCGTCACATGGCTGAGGAGACTGCGGCGCTTATCTGGAGTCGATGGGGGCGTCTCATCGTCGTAGGGGACCTGGAACGTCATTGCGGGAGGTTGTAATTGATGGCGCTGGGAAGAACGGGCATCAAAGAAACTTCGGGCCGCAACAGCTCCAGCAGTCGAGCCTGTCGAGCTTGTCGCCCCGGGTGGATGGCCAATCCAAAGGGTGAGCTGAGCAGGTGGGTGAGAGTGAGAACAAAAGGGGAGGACGGCGGTGAGGGAGTGAGTGTCAATGAGACTCCATCTTGTGTTTGCATGTCTTTCTTGACGCGCCTGGATCGGGAGTCGCGATGGTCATGTGATGTTCCCCAAGTCATGTGATTTTCTCCAAGTCATGTGATCGCCAGGATACACACCACGTTCCCGGCAGCCTTCGAACCCTGCGAGTGGAGATTGGGGGCCGCCGTTTATGACTGGAACACTACAAATCAGCGTGCGTGGCCCTCCACGGGCGATCTGCAGCAAAGGGGCCATAAGCTACTGGACAAGGCATTCTAAGGGACGAGGCTCCTCAGGGAGGCTGAGTTGACCTCGACATCACACGAGCATATTTAAGGTGGGACTGCCTCTAGCGATCTTAGTCTGTATCACTGAACGAGCCATTCCAAATCACCAACATGCCCAGCACACCACAAGTCTCGTACGACATCACACACACCCTCTGGAAACATTGCTACGAGGTGTCCACCCCCAGCCGTAACCAGCCCTTATTCTATGTGGAGAACTCCCACTGGACCCCTGGCAAACCAACACTATCCTTCCACGAGTGCCACGAGAATGGTCCGATCAAAGCCGTAGCACGACTCGCCAAAATGTCGCACTCGATTGATTGCGGCATCGGCGATCCTTCGGACCCCGCAGCTAGAATCGCCTACGAGACCATGACCAACATCGGCTTCATGAAAGTCCGCTACATGTTCAAAGTGGACCGCGGGCGTGGGCCCGAAACATTCCTTTGGAAGAAGACCCGTTCCCATGGGACGGGCTTCTCAAATAACTACAAGATGGTCGATGATGCCAGCCAGAAAGTTATCGCGGTGTTCTCGTCGGCCACAAATCCTTTTTCGCCATCTAAAGCGGGCCGGCTCGACATTTATGGCAATTATGGCGAGCGATTTAACCTTATGACCCTCGTCACGGGGATTGCATTACATGAAAAGCAGCGTCGCGTCCGCGCTGCCGCCGCTGCAGCGGGCGGTGGTGGTGGTGGAGGCGGTGCTTGACTCTTCGTGTTGGTTGTTCCAGAACGGAACGAAGCGCACTACGCGAGATTTTCCCTTTTTGCTTGGCTTTTTCTTTTGTTGAATAAAGTGTGCACGCGGTGGGGGCGGGCCGGACATGATAAGCTTTCCCTTTTCAGTTCCCCCTAGTGTGTATGATACCGGTTTTTGCTTTTTCCGTATCTTCTTCCCCTTTCTTTCTGCAGTGTGTGGTTCCAAATGGATAAACGAGATCATGGGCATGAGTGATTTATGGATAAGGGTGTGGTCCAAATTGACTAATCTCTTTCGGCCAAGCGCAATGCGTCGTCAGACTGTTTCAGACGGGCAGAAACTGGGAACCATGGACCCCGTCTGGATTGATCGTCCAGGGTCCGATCTTACATAATCCTATAGATCAAATCTTATGCTGTTGCCTGTTTAAAGGAGCGCCGGTTCCCATTTCCAGGGTCTTTTCGTCCACTCCAAGGATACTATGAGGACACGCCAGTATGCATGACCATGGCGCTAAGACGACCTCATCGCAAATCGAGGCATGGCTGTGTGGAGTGCAAGCGGCGACGAGTCAAGGTATTTATCCAATTCTTCGACTGCCTTTTTTTTTTTTTTTTTCCCTTTGAAGTTTGTGTTGACAATTGGATGGTAGTGTGATGAAGCCCGGCCGACGTGCTCCAATTGCGCCAAGCGCCATACCGAGTGTGAGTATGGGTCGTCCACCTCGTTACTCTGGGCAAACGAGGACCCCGTCTCTCGCCATGTGTCTCGTGGCTCCGGGTCAGACAGCGGCCAGCCCGGCGAATCCATCATGAGCAGTGTCGGGACGCCGGACTCGTTGGGGATTCTGGGCCAGATGCCCGGTGTGGACCCAGCGGCGGCCTCATCTCCGCCGGTTCTCAACACGGCCGACCTGGAGCTGATGATGCACTGGTGTAACTCGACCTACGAGACCCTATCGCGCAACGAGCGCACCGATCCAGTCTGGCGATACGCCGTGCCTGAAGAGGCACTCTCGCATCCGTTTCTCATGCACGGCATTTTGGCCCTGTCATCATTACACCTCGCCCGGATCGGTCCGGAACCGGCTCGTCGGGCGTCGTATCTCGGCCGTGCCGTGGCACACCAAAACCAAGCGCTGGCGCTCTTTCGCGGGCTGTTGGGGGACATCAACGAAAACAATGCCAAGGCGATGTTTGCCTTTGCGGGGATTGTGGTTGTGTATACATTTGGATTCCCCCATTCCCCCGACGTGCAAGACCCTTGGAACTGCGTGGATGATCTCTACCAGGTCCTCGTGCTCTCGCGCGGTGTGCAACAAGTCATACGATCTATTACCGACATGATCCCCGGCAGCGCCTTTGCGCCGCTTTTACATCGGGATGAATGCCACGCACCATTGACCGACGACGACAAGGCCGTCGTCGCCCGGCTCCAGGAAGCGAACCGAATTTGCGGGCTGCGCGACGCCCACCACGAAACGGACGTGTTCACCACGACCATTGAGAATTTCGCAGAAATGTTGGGCCTGGTGCGCGGTGGCGTGACGACCAGCACGATTGCTGGCCGGTGGGCGATCATCTTGCCCCAGAGATTCCTGGAGCTGCTGCGGGAACGAGAACCCTTCGCACTCGTGATGTTAGCCCATTATGGCGTGCTCTTGCAGTATCTGAAGCACCGATGGTGTTTTGACGAGTGGTGTGTGCGGGTGGCTCAGGCTGTGTGGACGGTGTTGGATGATCAGTGGAGACCCCTGGTGCACTGGGCGATGCGCGAGATCCTTGGCGAAAATTACATCGATCAAGTGTAGCCAGCGGTAAATGGGGAAAATATAAGTATTTCGAGATTATTATGACAATAGTATACTCACAGGTCAACATGGACCTGACGCCCAACTATATGCTCGGATAGATGACCACAAATATAACCGAGGGTAACGGGGGTCCCGCTCCAACCAACAAATTAAACGCACAAAGAACCTCATATTTGCTCATCATGAGGTCATTTTTATGAACTTCGCCAAGAGGCTCTTAGTTTGTATACTTCGCTCTTGTAGCCGAATCGGGTCAAGGTTCAATAAAGGGTGACACTTGTCGCGCCGGCCAAGCCAGCCTAGTCTTGGCATCTAAAGCCAATCGGTAGTTTTCCGCCGAAAGGAAAAATAACTTAGAATTACTCGTATCGCTCGCTACCCTGGGGCTAGTGTCTGGGCCGTGCTACCACGACGCTACGCAACTGATCACCCAGCTTGGACGCTCGGTATATTTCCACAGCCATTGGAACTATGGACAGTCAGTTTGCCATGGGCAGATGCCCGGTCCTCTCACGCCTATGGACACCAGGCTAGACTCCATCTCGGCAGCCTACAGTTTCGCCTGGACGTCCCCGTTCTGTAACACATAGCGAAACCGAGCCTTGCCGTCATGCATATCCGCCAGTGCGGCGTTGACATCGGCCATGGGCCTCTTCTGGATCCAAGGAAAAACCCGTTTTTCGGCGGCCAGCTGTAGCATAGCCCGAATATCGTCCGGGGACCCGATGTTCGATCCGGTGATCTTGACGCCCTTCTGGATCAGCGAGAATGCCTTCAGCGGCGGAAGGGCGTCCTCGGGCGCGCCGACCTGGACGAAGGTGCCGTCCCGTTTCAGCAGACGCAGGTACTGGCTGAGAGGCATGCCAGGCCCGGAAACGGTCGAGATAATAATATCCAAAGACCGCGAGTGCTGCTTCCCCCAGCCCTTGTCCTCGTCGGTGGCGATGAAAGCGTCCGCGCCGAGTCCCTGCAGCGCATCGGCGCGCTTACTCGATGAGCGTGATATAGCTACGACACGGTCTGCGCCCAGAGCGCGCGCAAATAGAATCCCCATATGGCCCAGTCCTCCGATTCCAACAACGCCGACCGTCTTCCCCGGTCCGGCGCCGTACTTCCGCAGCGGCGCAAAGACTGTCACCCCGCCGCAGAGGAGCGGCGCTGCTTCAGCAGATGGCAGGGCGTCCGGGATGCGAAAGACGAAATGCGCAGGCCCGCGCCAGTGCGTCGCGAATCCGCCATATGACTTGCTCTGATCGGAGTAGCGGCCGTTGTATGTCCCCGTCATACGCGCGCAGTAGCTTTCCTGGCCGTCGGCGCAGGCCTCGCAGTCCGGCCGCAGACAGGACATGCTCTGCGCGCCGATTCCGACACGGTCGCCGACGCGGATTTTGCGCGACTCCGTGGATGAGGCTAGCGTTGCGACGCCGCTGCCTACCCGCTCCACTGTCCCGACGATTTCATGGCCGACCACGCAGGGATAGTCGGTTGGGGCCCAGCCTGAGCGTAAGGTGTGGATGTCTGTTCCGCAAATACCACAGTGAGACACGGCGATCTCGACGTCGATGTCTGTGAAGGGTTTTGGAGAGAAGGTCGTGAAGGTCAGAGGGCTGGTTGCGTCGTGGGCGACCCAGCCTTGGAAGGTTTTGGCTGGGGGTGAGGATGGCGAGGTCATTGTGTAGGAGTGACCAAGGGGTGTAAAATTGTAATTCTTTGATTGGCAAAAGGAGGAATTGACTGAATGACTGCTCGTTGTCCGGCAGAATGGGAGCAGCCGACGATGTGGAGAAAGCGGAGTTGCCGAGGTTCAACATTTCCACATTATTATTCTGTTCACTCGGAACATGCTGTGCTCAAATATGAGACCAGTAGTATATTCCAGCTCTCCATTGCTCTATGTGTACTGGATACAATAACTAGCAAGTTGCAGGTCGACCCCCATTGGACTTGAGGCGCGTTAACTATGGGAGGTTGTCTTCTCCTTATAGTACTCCCCCAAAAGGAGGCCCTTTGAAGAGTTTTGTTTCTGCATATAATGGATCCAGACAATAAAATGCATGCCTTTCTCGCATCCATATTGACCTTTTTGCTGCTGGAGGGGTCGATGTTGTACCGAAGCCAGCTTCACTATTGGAGCCGGGTAGGTGATTGGCCTTCGATTTTTGGGCTTTGGATCATTTTGTATACACTCTTTAGCTTCGTGAATTGTTGTATGGAGGTAGGTATTTCGGTCTGTAGGTATGGGAAATGTCTAAAATGCCTGGGTACACTAAGATAGTGTCAATCTGTTACATGTCAAGTAAATCAGATTCACGTCGTTTCACCACTGCCTGTGATCAGTCAGTAAGAGGAACGTGGATAGCTTCGATTAGGATTAGCGTGGCTGGCTTCATATAAAGAATTTATATTGTTTTTCTTTCTTTGTGTTCTTTCCCTTGTTTCCTTCCTCTCTTCTCGTCAACTTTTCTGACCTAGCTCATCCACACATGTCTCGTCTGTGTAGTGCGGTTGCCCAGCCAGCCAATCGAAAACAGTTCGTCTCATTGCATTGTGTGCCTCTACTTCTTAGACTGGCCATAATTAAAATGCGAGTCTGACAGGCGAACGCATACATGGGTTGATTGGAACTACACCCCGTCACCCACCCTTACGGATTCACCCTGCCGACTACCCCTGATACTCTTTCGCGGTCAGCTGGCTCTTGCCCTGGAATGGTCTACTACTATACTGGTTTCGGGTAGTAAATACTATATTATACTGGCTATGCTACTTCTTTCTAATTTTGCAAGGACTCTTCTCCAAAGCGCAAAGCAAGAATCAGGAGATGGCCATACTCTTGCCATGGTGATATATGTAGCCTTGCTGGCTTGTTTTTCTGGAGGACTCAAAACACCCTGAAACATAGTGACAATGCAATAGCTCGACAGTTGAAATTCACAGTGGATGTCTTAATCGCCCGCTCCTCTGGGAGAGCTTAGCCCAAAATTCGTGATGCTAAACCTTTGAACAATAGGATCTCCCATCAAGGGTTGGAATTCTTACAGCTCACATGGGAACTTTATCCCTCACCGCATTTTTCTGGTTTATATTAGTTCATTGTTGGTCAGTTTCACTCTTAAATCGTTGGTATTCGCAGATTTATTCAATACAAAGATGTATTCATTCGCGATGTGCATTTTCATTTTGAAACGTTGTACGGGCAAGAATTGAGATCTCAGCAATCTTGTTGAACAAATTTGGTGGGAGTGGTCAGCCATGATGGGTGTTGGTATAGTTAGTGAGAGTCATTTATGTGCAATAGAGCGACTGGAGGAATGGTCTACTTGTGGGACAAATTTCTAGGTTCTTGACTGGGGTTTGTTCTATCTCGAGGGTCTCCACAAATCGTCGGATGTCGTATCTTTTTTCAGCAATTAGATCTTGAAGACATGTGGCATTTTTTTTTCAAACTTTTGTATCTGACGCGCCAAAGTTACATATCCAGACGACCCCCACGATAACCAGGGCTGGGGGAGGTGGAGCGTGGAGAAAGCAACTAGCGTGGGGTGATATGCTATCGGAATGCCGGATCGGGTCCTCTTCCCCCTTCCCCGCTCTCGTGTAAGTTCAATCAGAACACCCATATTGGAGGCTTTCGCGACCTTTTTCTTTTTCCACAAATGATAAGAAATCATTATGTGGAGACCGGAAGTAGTGTTAGGTAACCAGGTCGGCTGGAGAGCTTCGGTGGTGCGGTATATTAATAGTGAAAGTCGGCCACAAGCCTCAGCCTAGGTTTACGGTCATTTGCGTTCTCAGCAACCTTCACACTTGAGCATAGAGCGAACTCCCTTCTCCCTATCTCCGCCTCCATGGATTCCAAGCAAGATGATGTGGGAGAAGACGCGGGCATTGAGGACGTGCGAGACGTTGAATCAAAAGGAAACGACTCCAAGGGATTGACGACTGCAATGATCCATCAAGAGCACAAAGAATTATATCTTGAAGCACTTCAAAAATATCCTGTCAACGACGCTATTGATCGAGATGTGGAGAGACGCCTCATACGTAAACTCGATATGCGAATTCTCCCCCTTCTGGGAATTTGCTACTTTTTCTACGTGAGTAATCGCCGTCTAAGAGATTCGTATTTCTAAAGAGCCCACTGACAGTGATCTACCACTTTGAAGTATGTTGACAAGACTACCCTTTCATATGCGGCAATTTTCGGAATCGAGGACTCTCTGCATCTCGAAGGCACACAGTACTCGTGGTTATCGAGTATCTTCTACTTTGGGTGGTTAGCATGGGCAATTCCGTCTAATCTAATTATGCAGCAGCTGCCCCCAGCCTGGTATCTCAGCGCCAACATTTTCATGTGGGGGGCACTACTCATGTGTCAGGCAGCATCAAAGACCTTCAGCGCTCTCGCTGCTCTTCGGGTAATCTCTGGGGCTTTTGAAGCTATTGCAGATCCCGCGTTCATGCTTATTATATCAACATACTATACTCGAGAGGAACAGCCGTGGCGCATTTCAGCTTATTATCTCTGGAATGGCATTGGCGTGGCTGGGGGTGGACTCATTGGTAAGGTTTACCACGTCATCATTTGGGTATTAGCTGAGAACGATGTATAGGCTACGGAATCGGTCACGTAAAGGGCGCACTTGAGTCTTGGCGCTATGAATTTCTCATAGTTGGTGCGTTCTGCTCATTTTGGGGGATCATACTGGCCCTCGTGCTTCCCAACTCGCCTGCCACTTTTCGAGGCTTTACTCGCGATGAGAGGCTGATGGTTATTGCACGCCTGCGACATAACCAGACCGGCGCTGAGCAAAGAAAAATTAAGTGGGATCAAATCAAAGAAGCTTATCTCGATTACAAAACGTGGATATTCTTCCTGCTTGGGTTTGTTAGCAACATTCCGAACGGTGGAATATCAAACTTCTCAACCTTGGTTATCGAAGGACTTGGATTTAATACTCTCTACACAGCGCTATTGGGGATACCGCAGGGTGTGATTGTGGTGATTTGGATCCTATTAGGAGCCGTTGTCAATCAATATCTACCGACAAATAGTCGGACCTGGGTCTGTGCTTTATTCATGCTTCCAACCATCGCCGGTGGTCTTGGGTTTCTTCTTGCACCTGCTGACGCCTACGTCGGACGACTGATCTGTTTGTGAGTGGGCGCTCGCTCAAATATCACTACTTCGTCTTATATCGCTAATCATCTTTCCAACACTTGCAGCTACCTTACCGGCTCATACCAAGCCTCTTTTGTGGTTTCCCTTTCCATTATCACTTCTAACGTTGGAGGGCAATCAAAGAAAATGATCGTCTCTGGGATGATATGGTTTGGTGTGTGCGTTGGCAACATCGCCAGCCCATTCTTTTACAAGAGTAACCAGGCACCGACCTATCGCTTGGGTATCGGTTCTCTTCTGGTATCCAATTGTCTTGAGCTGCTTTTGTTCTTTGTGATTCGCTACATGTTCATCTGGGAAAATCGTCAGAAGCAGAAACAACGTGAGATCTTGCTTGAGCAAGAGGGCGAAGACGGGCCGACGCTGAATGCAACGGCTTTCGCTGATCTGACTGATAAGCAGAATCCAAACTTCGTGTATGTATACTGATTTATCAGTTAGCTAGTGGATTCAAAGGACAATTTAAGAGAAGAAACAGAAAGCTATCCTGAGGAGATATGAAATACAGGATGAATAACCACACGAAATTATTCACCTAAATGCATCAGTAGACGTAGGTTCGGGGTCAGGACTAGGTAAACCGATTCTGATTTTCATTAGAGCAAAAGGAGTGAAGGGCTAGATGAATGGTACCAATAACGTCGTGAACATACTGATTTGCTCTTCTTCTACCGTTTTAATCGGTGGAGTCGTGCGCAGCAGGTTATAGAGCTTCACAGAGAATCCATTTGGGTTTTCCACAGTCTTTGTATGAAATTCCAATGCTCTATGCGATATTAGCATGTGCTTATTCGAACTGAAGCGATTCCGCGAGGAGTTTACCTTCGGGTCCGACTTTTTCCATTAATGTAAAATTCTTTTTCTTTCATAGCAGAAACCGAATTTCTGCTTCATGAAAGGCGTTTCTTAAGATCCATCCGCTGTAAAATGCATCAGAATTCACTGTACTTTAATGGCTTTTTATCAAGAAGCCATCTGACCCAGTCCCTTTCTATGTTTTTACTACTACTTAAGTGAGCCCATTGTCAATCAACATGATTAAGGCAGCAACCCACAACATACGGATTGCACTACTATATATTAGATTGCACGTCAAAGCATACGAACATAACTTAGTTATCCCATGCGTTCTGAATCAATAGAGATACCATACTTGCTCTTCTAATCCGCTTCAGTGTTAGTTCCATTAGCCGCCAGACGGTCACAAAGATGAACTGAGACAGATCGCCATTTTGGCGTATCTACATAGGTGGTCTTGATCATGACCTCAGTCACAGTATAGGCTTTATCAAAGAGATCAATCTTCTTGTGACCGATACTGGTGCCATTAGAAACAAGAGTGAATGGCACGGCCAAAGTGCCGTTCGCATCAAGGGCATCAACAATCTTGGCATGAACCTGGTACGACCGGATCACCTGGCCGTCAGTCTGATCTTCCATCATAACAATGCGATCGATTGAAGTGGGGTACCCAAATTTGATGGAGTAGTCTCCCTTGTTGTTTGAGGTATGCTTGGCTGTTGGAGCAACGGGCTTGTCATAACACGAGCTGATAAAATCACCAAGCTGCTTGTAGCGCGCTGCATAGTTTGCGGGGATCAATCCGCTGCGGTCTGGTGTTAGATCCAATTCCAGAAGGCAGTTGCGTCCAACAGTCTTGTGATAGACATCAATCATTTCTTCAATGGAACGCAGGGGCTGGTCGACTCCAAAGAACCAGCGGTCGTTTGTTTGTAGTGTCGTGTCGCATTCTGCTGGGCAGAAGTACGGGCTTGTAGGATCGCCCCCGTCATTTGTCACACCACTACAAAGGTTATGTTCAGTGTGCGGCGTAGAGTTTATGAGGTTGAATACTCACGTTGACCAGTTTTCTTCTGGCGCCTGGCCTGCCTCTGTTCCAATCCAGCGAACTAGAGCATGTGTTAGCAACGTGGCTTAGTATGCGGTGCAAACCCCTGTACGCACTTGAATTGGGCGATATGCAAGTTCCGTTAGTCTCGCATCCATTGAAAATGACAGCTTGGGGCTGTTTCTCCTCTAGGAGACTCTGAATCTTGTTCTGCTGGGTTGCGCTGTAACCACCATCGAACCAAATCTATCACAATAGACTGTTGCATTAGCAAGAACGTGAGTACCTGAGATGTCAACTTGCGTACCTCCGTCAATTTTCCATAGTTGGTCCAGAGCTCGGTCAATTGATCAAACACAATTTGGTCGTATGTGCCGTTGGTGATGTTCACCTGCCCTTGAGCCCAGGTATTAGGACGAACTTCGGAATTTTGCACATTCAGGTAGTTGTTGACAACAACGCTGTAGTAGAACCCATGCCCGACGTTATACTTCTCAGCTGAATCTACAAAGCTTCGGACGACGTTTTCGCCGTGCACAGGCGATTGAGCGATGGTGTAGTTATAGGGAACAGTTTTGTTCTCTCGATCCGTGAAAGTGACATCACTGGGCCAGGTGGTAAATCCGCAATTGTGTTTGGCAACCAGCGTGGCATATTTGGCCCCCAGGGCGGAGATAGTGTCCATCCATTGGTCCGTATTAAGCAGGGTCGGGTCGAACAATGACACCTTAGGTACAAGGTTAGGGACATTGTTGCAGCCGTCAATGCTGAGATAAGTGGCGATTTCGAAGTGGATGAGAACACCAATTTCCTTGTCTTGGAAAGCTAGTTGCTCCTTTGTCGGCAACGCAATCTTCGATCCATCGATTGGGGAGATGCGATACTTGGGTTTGTAAGGCGTGCTAGCGCTGCTGGCTGTGCTCGCCAGCAACGAGAAACCGGCAAGGATATGGGAAGCGAATTTCATGATCAAGGTTTAATTCTGTGAACTTGAAGAAGCTTCTCAAAACGTCGGCAATGCGGGTGTTTATATTCTTTAATAATTGCGAAGGAGCGCGACATTGTCCTTGACGCAGAATAAGGTAATAAGCACTGCAACGTAACTATTCCAATTTCGTTCCTCTGATTCGAATTAGAAAAGCGCATGTAGCTTGCGGGGTAGTACTGAGCGTTGCTTTTGTTTAGCGTAAAAGCCAATGGTTTTGCCGAGATGAAGCTATGGCCAACTCCTAGTGTGCATACTACGTACATAGTGCCTGAAAATCTACGTCACCAGTGAAGCGGGTAATAAAAATCGGATAATTGAATGACACATGAAAGATAGAATGCGGGGACATTGAAGCTCCACAGTTTGCTCGCTTCTGCAATGAGGTTACGGTATTGTTGAGAGGCATATAAATGAAAGATACATTTCAATTGGCTACCTGAAAAAAAAAAACCGTCAGTATGAATGAAGAAGAAGGCAAACGAAGACGCGGTGATCACAGAGGAGTAAGTAACACATCGTCGACATAGAGCGTAGTTCCTCCGGAGTTGAAATTGACTCCTGCACAAGACAATTTGTTCTTTCTCGAGGAAATAGGGAAAGGTTCTCCATCGAGTGATACCGTGGCATCCAGTCGGGCTCCTTCCTTTGATACATAGACTTCAATTATTTGCCATTGCCCAGGAAGCAACCCCGGAAAATTCGATAAGACAATTGCCGAAGACACTCCCTGAAGACAAATTGACGGAGAGACCCCGTCATGGATGTTAGATGAGGCAACCCAGATCCTCGCGTTGAGTCGGAAGGAACTCTTCACGTCGAGAGCATGAGAGAATGTCGATGTGGGGCTCATCTGGACCGATTGACCCAGATCCCCAGCTGGATCTGCGATAATGGCTACCTGTCCCGATGACGACCATCCAGGCGCCAAGCTGCTGTTTTGGTTAAAGTCATCCACCCAGATTGGCCTCTCGGTAGCAGGTCCTGCGTAAAATCCGAGGTTTTTATACGCTGCCGTAGGATCCGAAAAGAAATCCTTGTGGGCATCTCCGGCAACCGCCACTGCAGAATCAAAAGCTGCAGAGCCACTAAGAAGCAGGTATGCTTTGGGGTCGCGCAATCCCGCAGCAGCTAGACCTGGGGCCGAGGTCGTGTTGAAAGTCGCTTCATCATACGCATCAATTGGACCGAAGAAAAGATTGTGATTGACGGAGAATACAGTGTCGTTCAACTGCCATTGCCCATGTCCAGAGCCTGTCTTGTATATGATATTGTCCGTTAAAAGAACATCTAGGCTGGCATCTGTATCCTCAGTGACAATGAAAGGAGATATGCCGTCTCCAATGAAAATAGTGTTTTTGTATATTTTGCCGTTGACAAGCTGGCCATCGCAAATTTCAACAATCCTTGTGCGATCATTGACAGAAAGATTGTAGCGAATAGTGAAGTTCTGGGTTGGCTTATCGTATGGGCAGATGAGAAAGAAGCCGCCTTCATTATCGTGAGATACATTGTACTCGAAGATTGTACCGGAGGTCGAATGGTCCACGTCGTAGGCCATTCCTTGAGAACAAAGTCAGCAACACAAATCCCACATATTCGTGAAAAGGATCAAAGGGCGTCGCATACCATCTTGAATTGTGTTACCTCCAGACACAACATTATATTGAAACAAGGACCCGTCGCTATTGGCAGTCCATATACCCGCATTCGGGGACTGGGAACGCTTATTGAATCCAATAACGGTATTATTGCGGACCAGAGCATTTTCATTCCCAGTAACAACGATTCCATCACCTCCAATATCATAGAGGCGATTCCGTTGCACTAGTAGACCTGTTGATGCATACCAGGGCTGGAAGCAGAGCGTGTCCCAAAATGAAGCCATAGCAGGCCGACGACACCAATTGGACCAGGTATAGATCCCCTGGCGGTCCACTGACCGAATGACATTGTCTTGAACAGTAATGTCGGCGAAGTAGCTTGCGGTGTTATTTCCATTGGCCTCGAACACGATAGCTCCTGAGGCATTCGCATATTTGCCCGTTCCAATCCCGGTGTCTGTTGTAGACGGCATCCACCCGCGCACATCGTGGATAAACAGATTTTGCAGTGTGATATCTCGGACTTCACCTGAATTCTCAGCGTACACGTATACTCCACGTCGGGGGGTCTTGTTATCTCCCGGGTTGGTGATGTCGAGGTCTTGAACTGTTACATAGGACGTGCCATTTAGAAGAACAGCATTCAGTTGAAAGACATTGTCACCGGCATCAATGATGGGGTTAGCTTGACGTGGATCTCCATACGCCTGAACAGTAATGGGCAAGTTGGCAGAGCCACTTTGGTTCAATATCAACGAGTCCGAAAACCTCGACCCGCGTTTCAAGAGGATATTATCGCCGGGTGCGATGCTGAGGGAACTGATGGCTGATAGATTATTGAAAGGTGTGGAATGCAGACCATTTCCACCACTAGAAGGCGCGCTATCAAAGTAATAATTGGTTGCCAGGCATACACGAATAAGGAAATTGATGAGGAGAAAAAATTGAACTGAAATGCTTCTGGCTATCATCTTGTTGTTCGTTCGTGATTTTCAGTAGCAATACTTTTCAAATATTTATCTTGATGGAGCTACTAGTCCAACCTTAACATGGCGCAATGGCCACGAGAATTGAATCACATCCACATCAAGCAAATTAGAGCTTGTGAACAATTCCATATCCTCCGGATATCGGCCTGGGCGTGGATGTCGGCTTCCAAGCGAATGCTGCCGACACGGAACTCGTTTGGGAGCAATTTCACAAGCCGATTAACTTTTTATGAAGTCTGTGCACGAGGCGTCAACAGAACAAAAGGATGGACTCGGCGGCCAGACCCGAACGCTCTCCACTGATCGGCAAAGTTGGATCGGAGAGTTGCAGCCGGGCAATTTATCGCAAGGTCACCACGATAATTATTTTAACTCATCGAAGCGAGTCTACTTTCCGCGTGGCGTTCCGGAGTTACCTCATGGATTGCTTCATTAGGAAGATTCAATCAAAGTTTCTCTGGTCCTATTTTATAGTGCTCCAGAGAAGTTGCAGCTCAGAATTGACAGTGCCCATAACCAACCATCGTGTTTATCTGAAACGACCACATTAGACTGTCATATTTCCTGCCCGTTTTTTTCAATATCTCACAATCCCATATTCCTTTATCGAATCTTGCTATACTGTACTATATACATCACGGAGCATCAGGATCCGGGTTATTACCCCAGTTCCTCGTGGTGATACCACGGACCGGACCTTCATTTCCTGTTGGCTCTAGAGCCAGAACAGTGATCTTGTTCTGGTTTTTGCGAAGATATATTCCGGGAAGATAGAGCGTCTGCTGCGGGCCTACGATCCAATAGCGGCCAAGATTAACACCGTTGACCCAAACCACGCCCTTCGTCCAGCCAGGAAGTTCGAGGAATGTGTCCCCAACAGTATCCACATCAAATGAACCAGTAAAGAAGACGGGTCCTGAACTTGTTGATAGATGTGTCGTTTTCGCGTTATAGGATGAACCAGATGGCGGTTCGTTTAACGGGAGAGAATAGATCTCCCAGTTGGAGAGAAGACTGCTTCCAACTGTCACATTTCCCACAATTCCCTTGCGCTGATCAACAATCAGGGAGCCGTAATTGACACGTCCCATATTTTCAATCAAGATATCTAACACATCATGCGGTTTAAGTGCCAGATTGACCGTACTGGGTGCTGCATACGTGCTATCAATCACGCCGGCACGGCGGCCATTGACGTAGACGAGCACTCGGTCCCTAGGAGCGTCACCGGTTTTAAGAGTTCCATTAACGGTGGATGTAACAACGTGCCGATAGAGGATCATCCCATATGCCTGGCCGACCGCTTCCATATTCACAGGGTATTTTTTGGATACGGGTTTGGGGAGGCTGTCGAACATAGTCACTTCGGGGGTGAGTTTAATGTCCGGAATTGTGACAAGTGGTTTATTCTTGGGGACTGGTGGGATGCTGTCTTCACCGACATGGGAGCTGATAGTCTTTCGCACGGCAAAGTAAATATCATTCGTCCGGCCGCTTTCATCGAGAGGTGCCCCGTAGTCATAGCTCGTAATGACAGGCTCCAGCGAGTCGCCCCAGTCCGCTCCATTCTGGAACCCCCAGTTAGTGCCGCCGTGGAACATGTAGATACTGAACGACCCATTGTTGGATAGGATCCAGTCAAGATCGGATGTGGCAGATTCAATCGCCGCCTGGTCTCCGGCATCTGTGGTGAAGGAGTTATTGCTGGCCCATTGGTCGAGCCAAGTGATGTAGTATTCCCCGTCAAGCTGTGGACCAAGGCTGCTAGGATCGGTAACGTATGCGTTACGAGCAGCGAAGCCCGTCTTGGGATCACCGTCTGTTTCAGCAAGAGCACCCGGAATTTGACCACCCTCCAGCATCGATTTCTCGCCGCCATCGTTGGTGTACACCGGTAAACCGAATGCGTTTATAATAATATCCCGCAGGGCAGCAACGTACTGGTGATTATTGCCATAGGATCCGTACTCATTCTCAACCTGGACCATTAAGACCGGCCCACCGTTCGTAACCAGAACCGACTTCAGCTGCTCCGCAAGACGACTGATATATGACTGGGTAGCTTTGAGGAATGGTTCGTTGTATGTGCGGACAACCATGCCTGGTACCTCGCTGAGCCATGCTGGAAATCCACCCCATTCGTGCTCGCCACAAATATATGGTCCAGGGCGGAGAACGACATGCAGGCCTTGCTCTTGTGCAATCTTGAAGTACCGCGCGATATCGTTGTTGCCGCTAGGGTCCCACGAGCCCGGGGTACGTTCCAGCTGGTCCCAGTAGACGTACGAAAAGATGGTATTCAAGCCCATAGCGCGTGCCTTGGACAGGCGGTCTTCCCACAGCTCGTGTGGCACCCGCTGCGGATCCATCTGTCCGCCGATGATCCGGTAGGGTTTGCCATGGAGGAGGAATGTGTTATTATTCCAACCGAATGGAGCACTGGCATGCGCGCAGGACAAAAAGCCAGCGCAGGCAAGGATTAATGTCCAGAACCTGAGTAAAGACATGGTCGGGATTGACAGGAATTTCTGAACTCAAGACGGATGGAGCGAACTGGTAAGCCTCGCTATTTAACATGTGGCTTTCTGCTTGTCTTTTGGATGGCCCGATCCACAATTGCCCATAATGATGAAGATCTGCCAATTTAGATCGGCATGTCTCCACTGAGTCTGTTTTATCCGAATTGTTCCTGACGTCTCGACCTGCGAACCCCGCACTCTGTGTCGGAGTGTAGCGCCTTGATGTTACAGTCGGGTCCAGACAAGCTTCCGGGCCACGCTCAATTTTGCCGACCAACCTAAACGTGGACAACAATATGCCTCTGTTGATTGAGGAACGTTCATTGGCATTCTGTGTCAGGAAGGGTGTGACTTCAGTACTGACTAGCTAGCTTCATAGTGAATAAATTATTTGCAATTCATTAATAGAAATTCAGGGAATGGTTTCTCACGATGCACTCAGCCAACCAGCCGAACTTGATTTTTCTTTCACGATAAAAGAGGAGTGCCGCACGATCTCTCTGTCGGACCGGTGCGCATGTCAGATCAGACAGAGAAAGGACCTTCTAGAGTTGGACCTGGTGTGATGCTCTGTTGGTTACTAGCTTTGGATTTAATACTAGAGGCTCTATGAAGTCATTTACTTTTCTGTCCATTTTACAACCGTTTACCCAATTTCATTTGCATTGTGGGCTCCAGTTAGAAGATCCAAGCACACAAGTACTAACCTGCGCTTAAATTTGTCATGTTTTTAGATAACGCTGTTTATAACTACTTAAGTATTTGGCCTCGACATCTGTTTATATGTAGAAGCAATATCCCACGACCTGCCTATATACCTCTGTTTCAAACACTTGGATTATATATGCTTGCAAATTTATTTCTCTCCGTGAATTCAGCCATAATAACCACAAGCCTAGAATTCTTAACGATATCAAAAAAAAGTCAAAATTTCCGGACACTCGGGAGTAGATTGTCTGCTTGCGCATACTTCTTGGCGAGAGTATACACAGGTGAGGTCGGGATGTGGAGGGTCTCTGGTCAGGTCGGTTCCTGGCCCACCAATTTTGGTGGAATTCGTGCCCTCACTACACTCACTATGCATTAATGGTCTCTTGTTTCTCCACTTGCTTCCGGTGATCTACCCTATCCATTCCATGCAGTCTTGGTTTCCCCATGGGGAAGTGGATAGAGATATAAAGTCGGTGACTATTCCTGGTGCTCATACAATCAACCAGTGACAAGTAAATAAAATCAACTTCATGATGGTTTCTTCATCTCTATTCCTATTATGCCCACTGGCCGTTCTCGCATCCCTCACAATTGAAGATCCTTCAAATGTGATCAACCCCGAACTGTGGGCCGCGGACAATGCTATAGTGCCAGACTACAATGTTCCCTTCGTCAGCTCCCAGCCCTCCCCTAGTAAGTGGGCTTATCCTCAATGGAAATCAGATATTCACATGATTAAATAGTCAAGGCTGCCCACAAGTTCAATGGGAAGAGCACCAGCTTCAACCACATCTCCTGGTCCGCCCACGCGAATGATACGAGCGTGCTTCTCGTTGCCAATGAAGCTGAGTTTGCAGGATCTTACATCGACATCCTCAAAGAGGGGTACTCGAGTAACCTACTCGATGCGAGTTTCTACGGGTTTAATGCAGCCATCAATGTGGTTAGTAGAGTACTCCCATCAAGAGAAATTGAGCATGGTCTAATCGAGATTATGAAGGCCAATGCCTCGACAGCAGCATTCCACCATATCAACGTGACAGTCCACAATGGGGCAGCCAACATATACTCCTATGGCAGCGACACAGTGGTCCACGTCAACAATGCCTGGCTGTACTCCTCTGGTCCAGTCAGTCACGGGTTATACGCCAGCGGGAACGGGACGATAATCGCGCACAACGTGGCGCATTTCTCTGGTGGAAAGCGCTCATCCAGTTTCTCGGGTGACTCGCCCAAAGGCGATATTTATGTCTATGACAGTGTTGCGCACTCAGCGGGTATTGGATCTGCGACGTTCTATGCTCTTGGGACCATTGAAGCGCATAACGTTATCAGTCTCTCTGAGAATGGACCTGTGGTCTTTTCTGACGGTGCTCAAAATGTCACCCTGGTTGACTGCGATGCGACGGCGGGATTGCTGGGTGGTGTTGCCATGTTTAGCAGCGCGACACGGATCAGTGGTGCGAAGTTGAATCTCACTAATACCAAGTTTACAACACTGGGTGATACGATGCCGGGACTGTGGTTTGGCAATGTCATTGCCAACGTGTATCTAACTAACGCGGAGATCAACACGAAGTCTGATGTCTTGGTTGTCGCCAATTACTCCCAGATCACACAGGACTTTGATTACTACGCTGGGTATCCCGATAACAACAATCTCAAACCGGCAGAGGTCACTATCCAAGTCCACGAATCAGATTTGATAGGTGATCTAGTTGCTTATAACGGGAGTCTTATCTCCTGGAGTCTGAGCGACTACAGTACCTGGACGGGAGCTGCCTACTCGGGGTATGGAGATGCGACAATTGACGTCAGCCTCGACAAAACGAGTACCTGGTCCATGACCCGTGATGCGACGGTGAACAAGTTTGTGAATGCCGATTCTTCTTTGGAGAATATCCATAGCGGGGGACATACGCTTTATTACAATGCTACTGAGAATGAGTGGTTGAAAGGGAGGACAGTGCATCTTTCTGGTGGTGGGGAGGCGAGACCGGCTGAGGAGGGATTTGGACATCATCATAAGGGAGGTCGTGCTTGGAGCGCTTAAGATGATGCGTACAGACTTGAATGTCGTAAATTCGAGAAGAGAATCGTGTCGAGACTTCAGTCCAACTATACAGATTTTCCCTTCGGGTTTACTCGTCACATCCATCTTCGCGTAACTTCAAACCAGCTGCTCTGTCATTCATTCTCTTTCCTTCTGATTTTCTGCTTTAATTTTTTTCTATTCCAGCTTCTCCAACACTATCTTCTTTGTTTCCGGAATGTGGGCCACTACGTAGACAGGGTTCCCCGAGCCCTCACGCAGTGTTGACGATGAGTACAATCCATTCGACTACGCTGCGCCTTGGACCTGTTTATGTTCCTCACCCGCTCTTCTTCAGCGCCGGAGAATAGAGGCAATTCCCCTCCAATCCCGCAAGCACTGACCGTCGACAATGGCAGAAAATAATGAGCTGGCAGACACCAACACCGAAATGAACACTTATCTAATGACACGGAATTCCAATGAAAAAAATCGTTGGACACGCTATTTACATGCACTCGCTCTGGATCCGATGTATGTACAGTACAAATTAGAGGGTATCAAGCACTTTGTGAAGATGGTCATATCACCGGGCCGACCTGCCCATCAGTTCGTTTAGCTCATCGTTGTCCAGGGTACTCCGACGCCGGGTTCCTGTCCTGCTAGACACCTTGTCAGGCCGGCTTCGCTTTCGAGATTCGCGCTCCTTGCGTGATTGTTCGGCGGTTCGAGCGTCATCTTCGGCCCCGGCGAGCTTTTGGGGGATGCTTCGTGTATCTTTGGGATTGACCTGCTTTGACAATATATATAAGTATGAATTTTTGTCGTCATTTGTATGTGTTCCACTCACCTCACACGATAGCTTGGTTTCTGTCTTCCGTCGCGATGGTCTGCGTGTCACAGATGCGGCTTTGTGAGCTTTGATTTCCAGTGTTTCCTCTTCGGTACCAGTGTGTTCGGACGGCGATCCTTGTAGGCCAGGTGTAAAGGAGACTTTACGGGCCAAACGCTTCGGTGCGTTGTCGGTACGTTCTCTCAATGCCCGCTCGGGACGCACGGGTACCTTGTGGATCTTGGATCGTTTCTGCTGGTTGGATGTTTCGGATTCTGGTAGTCGGTCTTCCGAGTCGCTCGCATCTTCTTCTTGTTCGTCCTCGAGGATCGGCGAGATGTTTTTGGCTTCTGACTGGTCCTGCATGCTGCTATCTTGCATTGAGTTCACGAAGTCGAAATTCATGCCTCGCTTCAATTCTTCCGCTTGCACCGAATCCCCGCTGGCCAGGCGCCTCTGCCAGCCATCCATCATGGTCACAGCCTGCTTCCACCGGTTCTCCATCTTTTCCCAGCTTTCGCGTAGCCGTTTGATTTCTTCGTCGCGGATCTCGACTTCCTCGAGCGGCACAAATGACGGGTTGGTCAGTAAGGTCCGCAGGTGATCCAGCACTGCCGCCATGCGAGTTGACAGATCTTCACACGAAGTAGGAAGTGTAGTGGCAGAATCGGAAGTCGATTTCAGAGGTCCAACGCTTGCCATTCCCGAAATTTCCTCGTCATCACCAGCATCCTCAAATTGCGGCAACCCTTGCAGCTCCTTTAGCGTTTGCACTGTATTTCGCGCAAGCTCGATCAGCTGGTCATTCTCATCACTGAGATTCTGGCACAGCTCCGTCAAAAATTCGGTCGTCTCCTGCTTCAAACTGTACCCAGGGTCATTGACCTGTTCACCGCCGCTATTTCTTAGTTGCGATCTGTCTGCACCGGGATTGATATTGATGGTGGTCACACTCAGCCCTTCACGCTTGCCTCGTTGACGCTCGGCCAAATGTGACTTGAGCCTCTGCATCTCCAGGTCACGCTTGCGTATATCGTTGGCACATTGCGCGCGAACCTGCTGGACGGTTGTCTTCATACGCTGAACCTGTTCTTTGAGCCCTCTCGCTGTAGCTTCGGCGCTTGAAATATTTGATTTGAGCGCACGTTCCTGTGCTTCGGCTAGAGCCAGCGACCGCGCCAACTCGGAAGTTTTATTCTTTAGTTTTCCCTGCAGAAAACAGAAGCCAACAGTTAGAAGACTGAATTACCATCAAAGGACTGCGCACATACCATTTCCATAGTTTGCTCCGACTCACTTGCGCGCAATGTCCGTATCGTTGTCGCGAGGTTCTCGCGGTGCTCAGATTCGCGCTGTGTTACACTGTTAGCTTTTGTAGCCCAGCGTGTCATTGGGGTATCGTGCATACATCTCTCCTGATGACCAGATCATTGACCAGGTTGATTACTCGGGCCATGGTGGCCTCTGTCCCTCCTTCGCCATTGTCGGGCTCGGCGAAGTCAATCGGCTCCCCACTCTTCAACAGTCCTCGGGCCAGGAGAATGTTGTTGACATAGGTCGACGCTGCCTGCAAATTGTGCGGCTCCATGGTAGAAGCTGCCTATCCGCTGGACTGGTCGCTGGTTGCTGTGTGGTCGGATGATGGGTTTGGCTCATTCCCGAATGGGGAAGAAAGTAAACACGGGCCTACGGGTGGGCACACAAGCCAACTGCGCATTCGCGGAGGCACGTGCCAGCGCGCGCGCCTTCCATCACGCTTGTTCTCAAGGAGAACTACATACTTCACCGTCGACATGGCCCGTCAAGGTGGGTTGGGGTTGTGACGCATTAGATACGCGGAAACTGACAACTTTTTCAGATCCAGCGTCCAGCCTGCATCAGCGGGGCCAGAAATTATACCAAAAGGGCGATTTCAAGGCCGCCATCGAGGCCTTCAGTGAGGTAGCTGCCCCACTGCTTGTCCCCAACTGTCTTGCTAACAGTAAATCTCAGGCGCTGAATCAGAAAAATGGCGACGCAATTGGTGTCTTGGACAATCGTGCCGCGACCTATTCAAAACTCGAGCAGCTTGACCTGGCGCGTCGAGACGCGAAGCAGATGATCAAACTGGGTAAGAACAACGATGAACGTGTAAGTGTTGACCTCCGAACCTCTACCATGTTTATCCTCACGTGTGGAATTCAGGGATACCTGCGTTGTGCCAAGGTACTTCTGCTGGAAGGGAAAGCGAACAAGGCGCTTGAAATCTACGCCTATGGCTTGAAGATGCTCCCAGCTGATCATCCACGACGCTCCGTACGTACAATCTCCTCGTAGAGAGTAAGACTGTGGGATTAATTGGTGATCATATTGCAGTTTCTCCAAAAGTTTCACGACAAACTCTACGACAAGATGTTTGTCAATCGTCGAGATCCGTTTACGGCCCTGCCCCTTGAGGTGGCCTTTGAGATTCTCAAGCACTTTTCCTTCAAACAAGTCGTGTGAGTACGCTGAAAGAAGTTGAATGGTCATGTTGGCTCATGGCAGGATTCAGGGCAATCCTTCGCGTTTCCAAAACTTGGGAACAATTCTTCACCTCGATGCCAAATTTGTGGATGAGCATGGATCTTTCCGGGGCTCGAGGAAAGGTACCATGGACTGCCGTCCGAGCATATATCCGGCGATCAAAGGCCCGGATCACACATGCGACAATCAAAAACTTGGCAACTGCATCGATCTCAAAGAGCCTAGAGATCCTGAGCAGATGCCCGCAACTCGAATACCTTGAACTCGGAGTCACATACGACTACAGGGAGTTTTACAAAAAATTTCAAGGCTGCAAAAGACTGAAGACTCTGATTATCTCTGCGGATATGGTCGTCACCCAGGAATATTTCGGGAAGTTTATCAATGCCTTTCCCCATCTGGAGCGTATTGCTCTTTTGAATGTCAAGCATTCGCCTCGGCATATTCACGACGGCAAATGGCCTAGTTCTTTGCCAAACTTGAAAAGCATTACCCTGGCAGGGAAATTCCAGCAACCTCCGGGACACGATCACGAATACCCAATTTATATCCCATCTCTTTCAGAAGTAAGCCTCCTTGACTGTTTCTAACGATCTATTATTGATTCTTTTGGCTTAGAACCTCGAAACCCATACATATCCGAACTTAGAAGAGCTGCGACTGAACTGGAACCCACCTAAACTAGACCCATACTTCTTCACCCAATTATCTAATGGTGATGTTCTTCCCCCGCTTCGTCGACTAAGTCTCACCGGCGTGTCGATTGGTGAATCTTTTTATTCAGACCTTCCCACAACCATTGAATACCTCTACCTTGAGGGTGGGATGTACTCAAATTTCGGGACAGACGACACTGGGAAGACACTTCCTAATCTGCACACTCTCATGCTTGTGGATCTCAAGTGGCTCACGAGCCAGACCCTCAATGCGTTCCTCGTCCAGGCTCAGGCACCTGTCCAAACATTGCATGTCACCGACTGCGTCCACCTCACCGGCCAGGAGTTCCTCCACGTCATGAAGAATGCTGCCTCTGATGTCAAGTTGACCGAGTTAAGCATCTTCCACATGTTTAATGTGGATGATACTGTTGCCCGACATCTCCACACCCATCTTCCTGACCTGAAGATCCTTAACCTGAGTTTCACGAACATCACAGGCTGCAGCATCCGCATGTTCGCGGATGCCCGCGCATCAGATTCCCGTGAAGGGGCACGGCTTGAACGCCTGCGTGTCCAAGGCTGCGAGGAAGTCTCCTCAGATGCCGTGGCATATGGGCGAGAACGAGGGTTGGAGGTTATTACCCGTTGAAGTCCTCTGCTACTTTGCTAGATTTTTCATCTCCCTGTCTTGGGGAAAGCAATGCATAGAGCAGATTGCAACAAGTCGGTTCGTCTTCGTCATCACAAGTTATGCCGCTCTTCCCTAATCAGCTGTGCCGACCACTAGTTATGGGCCTGTGGCATGGGCGGACCAGGTGATAGCACTCAGGTGACCAGCGACTTTATGGACAATCCAATCAACCCACGAGGGGAACACATGAATGCTGTTTTCCTCCATTCACCGTTCCGAGGGTAGAGATAGAACTAATTCCCGGGAAGCGATAAGCCGGGGTCTGAGCGGGTCACGTCGGGGTATCTGTACGTAAGACCCGGTTAGATGTCGCTTTGAATCGGCTATTCTTATTTTTTACACTTACTTTTTAACACCGATCCGACCCAGGCAAAATAATATAGTGATAGCAAACAACCCGGAACTCCGTCGGTTTTCTATCTACATCTCGCCGAGCGATCAATGAGCCCACAATCTGTATATGAGATAGCACCGAACAATGAACTAAACTGGTCTAAACTTGGATATAATGCAATAACTACCGCATGCGTTTTGAGATGCAACAAGAGCAGAAAGAGGCTGCCGTCTAAACCCCGCGCTCTTTGCACCAGCGCTCGACCTCCTTCGCCAGCTTGTCCCGCTGGTCACGCACCCGCTCCATCATGGGCTCGACCTGTTTCCGGTGCGAGGCAATCAGATCCTGCTTACCGCTGGCCCCATTCGAAACAACAGCAACACCCTCTTTCGGCGCAAGATACGTGTCGTAGATGCTGACCATCAGGTCCATGACAGCCGAGAGCTGGTTAGGCAGCCACTAGAGCAATGTATTAGCTGATGTCCTGGTTTAAAACGGAGGGTTTTACTTACCGTCACAATAGGGCTTCCACCAGTGGCAGTCGGGTGCGGCGTGCGACGAATGATGTACTCCCGCGCGAAGAGCCAGTGGCGCCAGCGGAAGCTGCGGACATGGTCCAACGTCCTGAGGAAGAGCACGGCTGTCTCGGAGTCCTGGACTGCGTAGTCGCGCACGCCAATTTCCTCGGCCTTTTCGCGGATGTAGGTCAGGAACGTGCGATGAGGCAGGGGCCGGTAGGCACGGAACTCGTGCAAGATCTTGGTTAGGGGTGTAGAGGGCATGGGGATTTGGCACAGGTGATCGAGCAGGGGAATCTAAAGGAATTCATGTTAGTGGTGATCATTGGAGAATCAAGGCAGGCAAGACGACATACAATGCTGTCATTAGCACCGCTCTCGCCGCGGAAGTTGAGGGGCTTGTCGTCCTCGCAGCCCTCATAGATGACGCCGTTGGGGAACATCGACTGCGAGGTGATGCCGAAGATGAATACACGGAAGGAGAGATATTCGGCTGGCTTGGAGTTCCCCCACATGGCTATACAAGATGGGTCAGCAGATATTCGAATGAAGATCAGGGCCTGCTTACTCTCCATGGATTCCTCGATCTTCTCCATGGTCGTCAAGATCTCACGGAATCCATCATTGATTTCCTGACGATCGCCATGCTGCTCGAGAGTGTCGACCACTTTCAGGACACCGTTGATGAGTCCGCCAGTCTCTTTCACCATGTCGACGTGAGTCAGGATAAACCCTGCCTCGGAGCTCTTGGGGTCCAGGCCACGCTCAAACGCGCGGGTCAGGCGGAGGTTAGTATACTCCGCGAGGCCCTTTGCAGGGTCGGCGACATGGTAGTTGAAGAGGGCGTATGAGGCCGCATAGGACATGAAGGGTGGAAGGTCCAAACTACAAAGCAGATGTTAGAGGTACAAACTAGGCAAGACATGACTGAAAGGTTCCGGTGGGAAATACATACATTTGAGCAGCATGGTACATAGGGCGAGCAATAGCCTTGGGCAGAACATCCCGACCAAGACCGTACCCATTATCTGGGTTCTTGGTCCAGTTTTCCCAGCATGGCTCGAGCAGGTACGACGAGGCCAGGAAGGTATAGTCCCGGAAGACGGCCGTGATGTTGAAGAGGTCTGGCGACCCATCAGCGGTGACAAGCTTATCAATTTCATCTGTGAGGTCCGGGAAGTCCTTGCAAGCAGGGCCGAGCTCATAAGTGGCCAGCAGACCAGGCTTGCCGTCCTCCTTGACTACAGGCAGACGATCAAGGAGATCAGCCAGGGGCTGGAAGGCCTCCGGCAATGTAGTGGGTGCCGTAGCATAGGGTAGGAAGCCCGAAGAGGTAGTAATGGTGAAGGGGTCAATAGCATGGGACAGGGTAGCAGGGTCCTCGTGGATATGAGGGAACTTCTTCAGGGTAGTAGGGGAAGGGAAGGGGACTTGGATCCGAGTCATGATGAAGGACAGCGAGGTATATCAACTCAAGACTGTTATGTAGGTGTATAGGGAAAGATAGTTTGTGGAAGGGGGACAAGAAGGTATGGCAGATATATGTGGAAGGCTTAGGGTATATGCAAGTTGAGATCAAGGAGCAAGTCCAGAAGGAAGGAAGCAGGGGAAATGGGCCAAAAGGGCAAGATTTTGGTTTCCAGGCAAGTTAAGGATGAAAAGGAGAACAAAACTTCAGCTTTTGGGCGGGTGAGAACCACGTTCTTATAATACTCAGGCGACGGTTTTTATTCCGGCCTCGCCTATACTATTACGAAACAGCCCACAAGATGGCGCGGATCCGTGACATCAGGAAATTTGACTGTGCAGTGATTATGCTAGGGGCCACTATGAGGATAATGGGATAAAATGGACGTTCCCAGCCTCCATAGGGCAACTATCTGTACTCGCAGATGGTCTATATAGATCCCCAGTGAAGGAGAACATAGATTAGTCAAAGGGACGCACTAGGCCCGATCGAGTGCTGGGTAAGTGATGCGACATCTGTGATTTATCTGCGATTTAGTCCTCGGAGATGGATTAATGCCAAACAGCACAGCTCATTGACTCTGTAAAAGGTATTTTAACACATCCCACTCCTTTCACAACAGTATATCTGTAGCTCCGTCTCAAGTCGTTGATGTCAGGCCTCTCTATATTGCCTCCCGTGCCAAGACAGATCGTCCAGGTTCTAACTATAATTGGTTAGATAAGGCTCCACGAGGCCGGTTTGGTTCCGGCCAGACCAATCAGAACGTTTTGACCTCGAACTAGTGTATGCGCCCGTGAATAACCGGCCTCAGTTTAGCCGTGGCTATTAACGGTGGTCGGCCGTGAGGGCAATATGTTTATTAGGTTGATTCTCTCCATTATTGTATATAGACATAGGTTCTATCCACGACATACCAAACTCACACCTGCGAGGGGCCTCCCTAACTCAATCTACAGACTTTTGCGCAGTTTGCATAGCAAAGAGGAAGAACCAAATTTAAACCGCAGTAAACATTATAAAGCTTGATAGTAATTAGTATCAAGCATAATTAGTTGTTTGGTAGCTAAAAGCGCCGAAAGCCTCATGCAAAAGCACAACAACAGAGTTGAGAAATAGAGGCAACGAAAATCCACCATTCATCAGCTAGACCGAAGGAGCAAAGCAGACCGTGGTGATCACTCCAGAATGGGGCGCCTTCTGCATGTTGAGTCAGCTGGATTTGGACGTATCCGCGTCAGTTTGACCGTTCTGTTGTTTCCCCAATTCGCCTAATCATTTTGGCGTCAAAATTTTGATGATGTGAGCTTTCAGTCCGACCAGTGCAGCTTTATCCAGCCAGAGGATTCATGAAAAGAAGGGGAAAAGATATCACAACAGAGTACATCTCTGCCAGAGCGACTGACATAGAGTGTCTTCCAGATAGGCCCTGGAACAGTGTTACTTGCTTCATAGGACGGTGCAAACCCTTTATTACATAAAAAGGGCCGTGTGCTCCATGCCCCATCGTTGCTCTCGTTTGGAAACCAAGATCAACAATGCGGTCATCCATCAAAATTTGCCGCAAAACCCACTTTGAAATCCCCTGGAGGAAAATACTATCGACCTTCGGATTCTCTTGGGTGATATATGTGACGATGTCTGTAGCGCGTTCTCACGCGCAGGCCGATCCTGCACCAATGTTCCATGTCAGGTGCACTAGATCCCGTGGCCCATCACTGATTCGAGGCGGATTTGTATGGTTGCCAGGGCTATTACTCGTATTGTCACTTGTGGGAATAGGAACCCATTGTTGGGCGGGATGATGGAAATGATGCCAGGATTGAAATCTGGGAGAAGTGTCAGGGCTGTGTTTGGGAGAGGTGCGTCATGGAACCATGACAGTACGCCTAAATGTGCCCGCGTGTAGATATTCATGCGGTGATTGATGAGAAGGATTTTGAATGCAGGCTCAATGAGCAAATGTTGAATCAATGGGATTTGTTCGCCTGAGGCACCAAATCAGCAAGGGTTCCTGCTGACACATATCAGGCCCCCATCTCCAACATTGCACAGTTTACAGTTCATCGTTCATCTTCCTCCAGACTACGGAAGGCTTATGACACCCCGTGGAAAGTTTGGCCAGTTGGCAGAACCCTGAAGCTTGCCTGGGGCTTTCTTATTTGATTTCAGAAAGGCTTGGGGAGCTTGGGGAGCTTTGTCCAGACAGTTGCCATGTCGGCTACCACTCTCAATGATGACTGGGTTCAGTGTATGTAGGCTCCGCGGGTCACTCAACACTCTGCTATCCGAGCTTACGGGACTGCAGGCCAATCGGCAAATGCTCTGGAAAATGATGTTTTGACATGGACTACATCTCTTTCAAGAACCCGAGTGTCCACCGCAGATGGCCTCGGCTTTAGTGAAAACGTGGATACCGATGCTATGAACAGCCTCGAAAGCCTGCTTCGTACGGTACAACAGCTGAAGCTAAAAAAGTTTCGCACCGAGGGGCTGGAGGATGCTCGGTTTGTAGCTGCTGGGGAGACCTTTTCCGTCTCACAATGCAAGTATGAAGGGGCCGTAGTCGCCATTAAGCGCATCCGACTGAAGGAAGAAGGGAAGGGATCTGAACATCAACATTTCCAGCGGCGCTTACATTCGGTTCTCCGTGAGATCTTGATTATGTGCCATCCACCACTCGCCCATCATCCCAACATCTTAAGTCTTTTAGGATATGGATGGTCCGTGGAAAAACAACGGCTCTCGCCCTTTATTTCACTTGAGTTTGCCACTGGTGGCTCAGTAAGGGAGTTTATGAAAGAACGCCCACGGTCGATTCGAACCAAACTGATCCTCATGGGGGATATAGGAGCAGGACTCATAGCGCTGCATAAATGTGGGATTGTGCATGGTGACTTGAAAGCTGATAATGTGGTGGTTTCTGTTACACTGGATCGTCCGTCCATGTCGATTGCGAAAGTGTCTGACTTTGGGCATTCCATTCTCGAGAGCTCGGCACCAGAAAAGAGAACACGATACTTTGGGACAGCCCTGTGAGTGACCCAGATTTTGAAAATGACGACAGCTAACCGTGCAGATACAATGCGCCAGAAGTGGCTGATCAGAAGAATCAGCCGATTCCGGTTGAGCAACTTCATAAATGCGATATGTGGGCATTCGGCCTCTGTGTGTGGGAAATATTAGCAGATGGGCAAGTCTATTTCAAACGCAGCTGGCGGGAAGATCCTGCTTACCGACGCCCTCCCTCATACACAATGTCGACACCTTCGTCTGCGAACTTCAAGCCCCATGATGAAGTCTTCGCCGCTAAAGATGATCAAAATGACTTTGGCGCCTTCGACCTTTATCATCTGAAGGGCCTTGCGGTTGAATATCTGACCAACATGAAGATTCCAGGTATTGGGTTCGAGAAAGGATTCCTGAAGCCCCTGCTGAACGGCACACTACAAACCGATCCCTCCAAACGAATATCAGATCTAAGTCGGATGCCAATAATTGGATTTTGGAATAGCGTTCCAGGCGGGCATTCTCTTCAATCAAGTCTAGCGACCTACACTTTATCTGGAGACATCCGATATGCAATCTTCAGCAGGGATGGAGGTCCTTATATCATCTGGGAGCAGCAGCAACAGCTGCTGCAGGATTTCGAAACAGTGGCCCAACAGTCTGAGACCCCGAAAAACAACGGATCTACTGCGTTCCAGACGATGCTATGCTACGTGAATGCTTTTGGAACATCAAAAGATTTGACCAAGGCTGCACATTTTCTCGATAAGGCCAACGAGTCGGGGCACTTGCTGGCCCGTACTTTGGGTGTTCGAATATCCGATGGATTCTCCGAGAGTACTGTTGGTTGCCACAAAACCTATAGCGAGTCTTTGGCCTCAGGCTTTCGTGTTCTGGGACGGAGTGAACAGTCCTCCACAATCTCTGTGCAGAATGGCGAATCGGTCACCAAATTCACAGATTACCTCGCCATGCGAGATGCTTTTGTTAACGGAGGCACTCTTGTGGGCGTAGACCAGGATGATATTACGACCATCTCACTCTCCTTGAACCCATCTTCTGAGCGTTACAGCCTCCTAGAAATTGCCATACAGCAGGGTGATATTGAATTGGTCAACCTTCTACTCCCCATTTTTGGCGAGAAATTAAAAGAGATGAATACGAGGGAATGTTTACTGGTGCAAGCAGCCCATTACGGTCATGGGGCCATTGTGAAACGATTACTACAGGAAGGAGTGCCTGTTGCTCGCGATGCCTCAGACGCATGTCTTCTGCATTGGCTGTTCTGCCTCGACGAGGCTAGTTTGTTTGAAGTGCTAGAGCAGCTTCGCAATGCAGACCGTCGTGATGACCTCAAGCTGGCACTGAACAGTGCTATCATCCAGAAAACCACACTTCACCCTCAGTGGCCATTCCAAATATATGGTGTTCCACTAGCTACTGCAGTAGCCTCGGGCAGCATTAGTTCTGTGAAAAGTTTGCTGGAATTGAAGGCCGACCCGACAGCGGCTGCCTTTGCTGATGATGATGGGAATTCAGTTTCAACACTGACCCCCATTCACCTTGCTATACGATACCACTTCCCAGAAATGGTCAAGTTGATGTGGCATGCAGCGTTTAGGGAGAGAAAGATTACTACCAGTAGATTATACCTCACTCCTTCTTTAGGTCGGTTTCCCGTTGCCTGTGCCTTGAGCTTGATGACCAATGCCGAGCGGCTCGCAATACATGGTAGCAGCTTCAGACAGAAACTTCGAGAAACGATTGAACTGCTACCAATGGAGGCGTTGACTCAGTCATCTCCCGAGGGTAGAAGTGCCATCACGCAGGCAATTGATCTCGATGATGTCGATGCCGTGGATATTATCTTGGAGTACTATCCTGAACTTGCGGCCCAAAGGCTCAGCCAACCAGGAACAAATGAAATGTTTACATACCCGCTGCATTTTGCCGTTCAAATGTGTTCAATTCGCGACAGCAATGAGTCGGTCCAGATCTTGGAGTCCTTTCTCAGCCTCGACCCAACGGCAATCAACAGACCAGACAGTTCCTCGGTTCGGCCAATACATGCTGCAGCTAAGGGTACATCGGCTCGCATAATAAATTTCCTTCTTGGTCGTGGCTCTACCTGCCACGACACGGATGGTAGAGGGCAGACTCCCCTATTCTTCTGTCGCAGTGCAGGTATTGTCAAGGCCCTGCTTTTGCATGGTGCCGATATCAACCATAAGGACGACCTGGGCTTTACTCCTGTCCATGCAGCCACAAGCCAAAGTACAGACGAAGTCCTGCACGCGCTTATTGAAGGTGGAGCCAATTTGAGGTTCAGTGATAATGGAATTGGAGCCCCGCTGCATTGTGCCGTTCGGAGAAAGTCCATTTCGATGACAGAGATACTTTTGAAGGCGGGCGTCGAAGTCAACGCAAAAGATAGTCATGGTCGCACCCCACTTCTCGTAGCAATGGACACGGGTCGTTCGGATTTGGTCTCCATGTTGTTTGAGAATGGAGCTGACCCTTTTATTGAGGACGAACATGGCTCATCGCCCTTCCATATGGCTCTCTCCTGGCCCAGTGCTATCATTCTGAACAAGTTCCAAATTCACACGGTGCTAGCCACACTGCCCTGGGAGACCAAGGTGAAAGCGTTACATTTTGCGGCTCAAAGTGGCGAGCCCGCGGCATTGAAGCTTTACTTGCACAAGGCCTTCGGACCGGGTCTCAGTACTGATGATCCCTGTCATGTGTACTCTCAAGAGACCAGGATCGCTGTTCACAAAGCGGCATCGGTTTGTCGAGCAGACCTTGTTGAAGTGTTGCTGGCGTATGGGTTTCGAGTGGACGCTTTGGACGCCAGGGGCAATACGCCGCTCCTGATAGGGTGTCAATTAGGTCGAGAGCAGCCAAGTTTTAATTCATATGCTCGCACACAAATCTGTGAAACGCTTATCGACAACGGCGCGAATATATACATAAAGAACCATCAAGGACTGTCGCCTTTCTTTATTGCCCACGCTCACGCAGATTACCCACTGATGACACTTTTGCTCGAGCATGCCCTCAGATTGAGTGACCTTGACCCATCGATTCTGAAGTGCCGCATACTGGAGTCTATCAAAGATCCAGACAAAGACCGCCAATACTGCAAAGAGTCTCGAGAGCTCATTGGCGATGAGATTGTCGACTCTCAACTAATCCGCCAGGCTGCTGCAAAAGACGAATGGGACTTTTTTATGACCTGCGTCGGAGGACAGTTTGTGGGTAAAGAGGAGCTGCTCCGGGTATTTCCCCGAAGGACATGGTCGCATGGAGTGGACAGCGTGGACATTTTGAGATTCCAATCCGCCCGAAGAGACCGAGAGATAGTTCGCTATCTACATGACGCCGGTCCTTCGGGCTGGTCCGCCACACAAAAGGTTTCTCAGATTGGGGAACGAGATCTACAGAGAGAGTGTTCAGATTTGAGGGCTGGTCTAAATACTACGCTTTGGCCAAAGATGCAGAGGAAATTCTGGCGAATAGACGAAAGTGGCGAGACAGTGCCGAGGAATTTGAACGAGAGGTTCAAGAAGAGATATATGGAGTTTCAACCTCGGGATCCAGCGGACGGCCAAAGAAAATGGGGTTGGAGCTCAGATGGTCTCTCTGACGACCCGATATCTTCTGATGAAGAGTCTGAGTCTGAGCAGCAGAAGAAGCTGAAAATACAGGACCAAGCGAGTGATGTTGTGGACATGGCTGACGATGACCGGAAAGAGAACCACCAAACGGATGTTGATGAGCAGCAAGAGAAGGATAGCAGGGCTTCCTTGCCCCATTCGGCCAGGTCTTCTGAGGACTCTCTTGTTGTTGTATTGCGCCCATCCTTGAGTTAGACGGCACCATCAGGCGTCTTTACCAAATAGGTATTAGGAATAGTATAGGATATAAGAGCTAATAGGATGACCAGGATGCGTGAGGATGACGAGGCTTAGAAATGTACTGGGAAGCATCTAGTAGCGATTGATAATCCCGATCGGGACAGATTCCGCGAGATCCCCAGATCTAGATTAGCGAAGTGGATACGAGGCTCTGTTCGTTGTCGCCTAAACGTCCCCGTCAGCTTCTTTCGTTGTCTCACTTCTCTCCTTGTCTCACTTTCTCTCCTTGAACCCTTTCCAGCGCATTCAGTTTTCGTTCTTCAGTCTTTGCCTTGATCTGGTTTTCTCTCCTTGTGTTTTCAACTGGGCGATCGATAACGATGGGCCGCCTCCACACAGACGATCGCGCATCTTCCCACTCGCTTCATTCCCTCGAAGGAGACGACCTGCCACCTCCTTACACTGATGAAGACATTCCTCCCGTTCTGACCTCTACCCCCGGGGTCGCTCCTCTACCACTCCATCTCCATCTCGTTGACTCAGCCTACATTCTTCCCGACTCCGACTCCAGAACCGACATTAAGCGGGTAATCTCCCTCGCGCCGTCCCTCTCAGTGAACAGCGATGGACTCTTCTACTCTATCCGCAGGCAGATGAAGCTGCCCCCGCGACCGCTTCTTTATATCCGTGGCTCACACACCGAATCGACCAATGATGGAAAAAAAAAGGCAGTAACACCATTACCGACTTTGAGTTCAAGCTCGATCTAGCGGAGACCATGCTAACGGGATGGGAGTGCGACCGGACAATAAGCATAAATTGGGTGGAGGAGGAAGTACTCAATGATGAGGACTGCAAATCTGCCTATCGCGGTGGAAGAGCAAAGTCGCGAACATATAAGGCGCCCTCATCCCGCGTTCTTCGTTCAGAGGACAGCGATGCCCTTCTCGCTTCGGATGAAGCCCTCGGAATTGACGACGCAAATAACCAGCCCGCTACGGCCAATGAGGCTCAACTGAAGCTGTGGTGCGATAGATTCTGCAACGACCCATCTCCTGTCAAATCGTACGCTGCTCTCCTCTTTAAAACCTCGAAACCCCCAATTAACTAACCCCGCTGGCTATTTGTACAGGTTTACCCTCCAACGCAAACTGAAAGGCTTCAGTTGGAAGGCCATGCGCAACGTCCTTGACTCGCACATCCGCACTCTCAATTACCGCGGCTCAATCAACTTCAATTTTGTCGTCGCCCAGGAATCCGTCACCATCTATTCTCCGCATTGGATCAACCGCATGCGCGCAAACCGCTACATCTGGTGGATAATCGTCATCCTCCAGCTCTGGATCATTACGTGGCCTGTAATCTGGTTCCTGGAGAAGCGGTACGAGACGGTACACACGTGCTGGAATGCTTCATTAGACTGTGATGCCGACTCTGGTCTCGTCAAAATCTACGCTCGTGGTCGGGATGAGCCCACCCTGGGGGAGTTCTGGGCTCCGGCTGTCAAACAAATGGCGTGGAGCCGAAGACGTGGACAGGCCGATACACTGACAAGAATGGATGCGGAACGCGTCCAGGGGTGGACTACGGAACAGCTCCTTGGTCTCCAGGAACGGAGTGGCTCTGAGGCAGAACGGGAGCGGCGTGAGCGAGTCAACAGAGGTGCTGGTGGATTTGTTGACCAGGTGGTGGGACTTGTTCGGGGAATTGGAGAGGCCAGACAAGATTTGAGATTGTCAACGGGCTGGGGAGCCAATTCCTAAATGTGAATGGACAATTTCGGCGGACCGACCCGGCCCAAATCTTTCTTTCATATTGGTACAGCTGCACCGAGCCTTCTACTTTTCGAAGGTCCTGAAGCAAATAATTGATCATTCGCACATCTACTGGAGGGATTCTGATATGCGCTCAATTCTTGAGGCCATTAAATAAAAAAAAAATCCTAATCTTTTGTCGCAGAGTATTGTTCCGGCCTACCCGCCTGGCTTATTTTTGGATGCATGGGGTGAACAAAAGCGGCTAAAATTGCCGAATTGCCCAGAACGTGAGCAGCACTCGCACTATGCTCAATTCTGGATAACCACAGCGACGATGCCAAGCGATTGGACCAAACGATTGGAGAAGTCGGATGCAGCCATTTGGAGCCCACCGTATAGCGCCATCTCATTTGCTGGGTTTTCCTGTTCGACCAATCAATCGACATCGTTATACTTGGCATACTTGGCTCGACTTGGCTCATCTCCCTGGGAGAAAAAAGTCCAATAAACGCAAGGATAACCGAGTGAGGCGGACATAGTGTCATCGCAACACGAGATTGAGGCTTAAAAAATAAGAGGCAGTGTTGTGGCCCAAAATTGTCCGTGCCCACGGATCCGTAAGACCTTAAAAGAGGATCTGTTCCTTAGTTGACGACGTTGTTTCTCTATCTCGGCACTCAGACTTCTTCTGTTTTCTCCAGGACTGTGCATCTCGCTTGTTAAGTATTTCGCGAACAAAGACCAACCCAAGTCGAATACTGCACACAATGCATTTCCCGTCTCTCTTGGTCCCGGCCCTTGCGGCCTTGACAGCAGCGCAGAGCACCACCGTCATCAGTATTTTCGAGGCCTTTATCGAAAATCCTTATATCCCTGTCACGTACTCAACATACGCCAGCCTTGGTGGCAGTGTCGTTGCCATCAATGCGGAAGCAACCACTTACAAGGTCGCCTGTATGAGCGGCGCGCCCAAGTCGGATTGCAACGTTCGCGAGCCTTACACCATCGTCGCTGGGCCGACCACAATCAGCTTTGCCCAGACTTTCCCGTTTGATATCTACGGTGTTAGTGGGACCGCCAACGAGGATATCGCATGCTCGTTCACCCACTCTACCGAATCCGCTCAGTGCATCGCAACCGTCGCTATCACCTCCGGCGACGTGTCTACGTCAACTACTAGCACCATATCTGTCCCGACCGATGACATCTCCTATAAACCGATCACTATCACTGGAGGCCTCTCTCTGTTCAACTCCCCTCAGGCAACTGAGACCCCCGATGCCGCTGCTGGCCCCCACAGAGCTCTGGTCACTGCTGCTCCGCTGGGTGCTGCCGCTGCCATCGCTGCTGCCGCTTTCTTCTAAGCAGACTCCTCTACTTATGCACAGCCCTTAATGTATTGAGAATGAAAATATACGGACCGATAACTAATATCAAATGGTCTACGGACTTAATTGCAAGTAATATCTCTTCTGCAGTGTGGTAGTGGTCTTCTTTTGACGTTGCTAGGAAGCAAAAAGGAAAACTGAAAGGCTGTTACTCCATACTGCGATAGAAAAGTACGAAGTAAGTGGGATGACAAGTTCCGGAATGATATACTTGCCTACGAGATATTAAAAGCGCTTCAACCGATCGCGATTCCAACTCTTTTTGCCAATAATAACTGCAGGTAGATTTTGAAACCATCCAAAAACTTGCATAAAATATTTCGCTGTTCGTCGCTCTCGAATCCCATGCAAAGCTAAGAATATTCAGGGTTCTTTCAAGAACTTGGAAGTCTGTAGCCAGCACAATCTAATAGGCATCTTGCAGACCATCCCTTACATCCCTTTCTAAGGCCTAGTAAAAGCGTATCTCATCGACGTCGATCCCGAGGACCTCGTGAAATCGGTGGATGCCGCAGCGCGAGACCGATATCGTAAGATATGCCGGGGAAGTGTCACCTTGTTCGCAAAATCTGATTTCAAATACTCTAAAAGGCCAAATGTTTCGCATTTTTGATATTCGAGACGCTTTATCCAAGCTCAGAATAGTCAAGGCCAGGGTCTTGGCGGCTCAGGATACCTGAATAGTAGCGTACTTTGGGGTATATCATCCCGAAAATTGCTTCCCCGATATTTGCAAGCAATTCCAATAGCGACACAATGATTATTAATACATGAAACAAAACTATCACTATGATCTCAACTGCGAACTGATCAGAGGACCACTGTATCTTGCTTGTGTGGGTGAAATTTACCGCCACGCCCACGGCAATGCCGGTTGTCGGCTTTTCGGCATTGGCTTCAGAGCCGGGCACAGTATGAACTTATTCTACTACATAGATCGGCCTTATATTTCATTTTTTTTTTAGCCGACGGAATTGCAAGGCTAAAGCGGCAAAACATACTATGCGACCTTTCTTGCTCCGTTGAGCTTTAGGTTCGTGACTAACAGCAAGTCTTATAAATCAGGCCAAGTCACTGAGTTCCGTTAATCTTGAATCGCAATTTCAACCCCCACTGTGATACTCTCGTGCAGTACTTTCGGCGTCTGAGAACTAGGTTTGAGAAGCGGCAAGATTCTTGATTATGGACGCTCCGCCCAACCTCAACAAGAACAATGCCTTGGAGATAGGCGAAGTTCCAGACCGAACAAAGATCTCGATCCCATTGAATAATCAGCCAAGCTTTTCGCCACGCAAGTTGCGCGCCATTATCATTGGAGCGGGCTACTCGAGTCTAACACTCGTACACAAGCTGCGACATCAACACCCGGAGATGGAGGACATTCTGACGTACAAAATATTCGAGGCCCGGTCTGACATAGGAGGAACATGGCTTGTAAACACCTATCCTGGTGTCCAATGTGATGTGCCAGCCCATATATACGTATGTCACAGTCTCTAGGAAGCACTCATACATCACTCTTTTTTGCTAGTCTACTTTCAGGAATATTACTGACCCAGGGTCCCAGGCATTCCCGTTTGACCCCAATCCTTCCTGGAGTAAGTTCTACGTCGGTGGGCCAGAAATTCATGACTACATAAAGCGAACTGTGGAGAAATGGAATTTGGATCGCGATGTCGAATTGAATATGAAAGTCGTCGGAACCTACTGGCAGGAACAGCAGGGTCTATGGAAAGTTGTCGTGGAACATAACGGAGTTCAGCGTGAAGAATATGCCGAGGTCTTGATTTCAGGGCAAGGGTTTCTCAAGTACGAGTGACCCAAATCCCAACTTTAGTTGTGGAGCATCATTTACTGACCTGGGATATTCCTGAATACAGTCTTTGGAAATGGCCTGACATCAAGGGACTCGAATCCTTCAAGGGAAAGAAGGTGCATTCAGCCAAATGGGACCATTCATATGATTACTCTCACAAGCGAATTGCTGTCATCGGTAACGGCTCATCCGGAATTCAAATATTGCCACAACTTGCCAAACTGGAGGGCACAGATGTAACCAGCTTTCAACGCGGTCCCACCTGGGTCATCTCACGAATGTCAGCTGCAAAGCTTCTAGGTCGTGATGATATAAGCCCTAACCCCGAATATACCGAAGAAGATAAACGACGATTTACAGAAGATCCAAAGTATCATAATGAGTACAGGAAGCAGCTGATCCATCGTATCAATAGGGCGTTCAGAATGGTATTTTGTTCTTCCGTACTTACATTGAAATTACTCCTAACCCATCATTCAAGTTTGTCAAAGGTTCGCCTGCAAATCTGGAAGCCACAGAGTTTGCCAAGGAACAGATGTCAAATAAACTTGGCGATGATCCAGAGCTCTGCAGAAAACTGATACCTGACTGGGAATTGGGCTGCCGACGCATTACACCAGGTGAAGGCTACTTGGAGTCTTTCTTGAGACCAAATGTCCATCTTACCCAAAGTCCAATCACGCATATTACAGAGCACACAGTACACACCGCCGATGACCAAGCTATAGAGGTGGATGTCAGTCAGTGTTCCTTCCTATGCCTCTCCGGCACATGCACTAACATATTATGCGGTAGTTGTTTGCGCGACTGGATTTGATGTCTCCCACTGCCCACACTATCCAGTAATAGGTCGTGATCAGACCAGCCTTGCTAAAAAATGGGCGGACGAACCAGAGTCGTATCTTTCGCTTGCATGTCCTCAATTCCCCAACTACTTTATATTCACTGGCCCAAATGCCGTCGTGGGACATGGTTCGTTGGTCGAAGGACTCGGCTGGGTTGCTGAGTATATGATTAAATGGATTAAAAAGATGGCTACCGAGGATATCAAAGCTGTCGCGCCAAAGCAAGAAGTTGTGGACGAGTTCGTTACATACGGCGATGAGATCCAGAGAACCCTGACTTGGACAGGTGGCTGCAGGAGCTGGTACAAAAAGGGCCGCGTTGATGGACGGGTTACGGCCGCATTTGCCGGCAGTGCGCTGCTTTTCAAGCGGTTTGTGAGTGAGATACGTGGAGAAGATTTTGAGATCCAGTATCAAAGCCCAAATCGTTTCAAAATGATGGGAAATGGGTTTACAGAGTATGAGTTGGATGATGCCAATGATTTGGCATGGTATATTGAAAAGTAGATCCTGATGGCAGTGCGTTTCTGCTTTCTTCAGAGAACTACTATAACGCAGATATCGTTCCATCTTGAGATATATATACGTATGGAGAAGGATCTGAGCATTTTAACAATGAAACCATTATTTGAGTAGGCTTGATGTACCAGGTGTAACTCGAGGTAAACGGGCCGGCTAGTACAATTCGTTACCGGTCATTGCCGGCGCTAAGAGACATCCATTAGCAAGTATCCGTAATTATTTGGACAACCAGAATGTCCAATCTGTCAACAAGTTTGTATTTATTCCGTTTTCGATACGCAATTGGGACTCACTGCAGAGAATTCCCCTGGCCTAAGAAAGTGGAGGCTATACTGCCTCATCTTAGTTTCTATATAATTACGGTCGATTTATTCAGATGCAATAAACGCAAGTTAGCGAATTTGTATCATCTATGCTTGAATTTCTCATGTCATAATTTCCCAATCCCCCCAATATATGACCTTTAACGCAAGGTGGCCATCCATGTTCTACAGACTTAATGTTCAAATAGTCATAGATCTTTTACTTGGAAAGCCATTACACTGGCAATAAAATAAATCAACCTTAATATGAAGTATTTTTTTAGATAGAAAGAATACCCAGAAAAGGCAATTCCATGTGTAAGTGACAAATATTCTGTGAGGTATAGAGTAGTAATCATCAAGACACCATTCGTCCTCCATCTATGTTAAATCCAGATCCGCTATGAAAAAGGAAATTTCAGTTAAAATCAGACTCGTGAAAGCAGCCAGTACGACACTCACGTAACATAATTTGCCTCATCTGAAGCAAGAAAGGCCACCATCTGAGCGACGTCCTGTGGCTCACAAAGTCGGCCAAGAGGAATTGTATCCAGCCGTTTTGCTCGTCCTTCTTCGGTGTCCACTCCGCCTTGAACTCTAGAAAGCCTGTACAAGTTAGCGAGGGCGTCTGTGCTAGCGGAAAGATCGTGGCCTCTTACATAGCAGTGTTGCCAATAGATGGGCGAACAATGTTAAAGCGAATACCATCCTTTGCATACGCGGCTGCAAGCCCTTCGGTTGCCTGTTTTGCATTGTCAGATTGGAACAGTCGTTCAGTGCATAGTGTCTTATACCGTATCAAGTGCGCCTTTGCTAGCGCCATACCACACGGTGGATGGCCTAGGTCTTTGGGAGCTGATGCTGCCTATGGTAATAAAATGACCACTTATGTGGTTGCTCATCCAATGGGGCACAATATGCTTGACGCCCAGATAAAGCGGTTTGACGTTGATTTGCCAAAGACGGTCAAAGTCTTCCAAAGGTACACTATGCGGAGCTTGACCTAGATAGACAAAACCAGCACAGTTGACAATTGTCTCTGGAATTGATGAAAAGTGTTCCTGAGCAGCCTGGAGTGCGGCATGCCATGTTTTTTCAGAAGTCACATCGCCTGTTAATAAATGGTATCGTTCTGGCCGTTTGGCAGGGTTGCTCTCCTCGTTATCCGGCTCTTTCAAATCTATTCCGATTACCCGCGCATCTCGAGATAGAAGCAGGGCGACAATCTGGATATGGTCTCAGTCTCACATTATATTATCTGACTTTTTGTAGTGGAGTGACGTGAAGCATACCCCTCTTCCAAAACCGGAGGCTGCACCAGTGACAATTATAGTTTTTCCACCAAGACTTGCCATCTTGTTTAAGAAACCTTGAGACCAATTGATGTTGGATAAAGATAACGAACTTCCTAGATCTCCGCGGTCTGCGTCTTTGGGTTATCAAGTCGCTGTTTTAATGCTGCGTCTCTGATAAGTCTTACAAGGCTGGTTCGTTCGGTTAGACCTTCTTTGCCGAAGCCTAGCATTTATCAAATCCTTTGCCGTACCTTCCCATTCGTTCAAGGCCTCACATTTTGCAGACACTCGTCAGTGGCACAGTTAAGTGCTAGTCCTTGAGCGTTGCCAGAGCTAGATTCTAAATACTACTACGGAGTATTTTGCCAAGCTGTGTAGTTAAAACCTTCAGTCTGCTCTCGTCAAAGGAGAGTTGCTTGAGATTTTACCAACTTCTAAGGCTAGCCACCCTTTCAATCACGACTTTCCCTTGCTTGTCACTGTGTCCCGGGTATGGACGTCTCGGTAGTCGGGAAGACACTAATCCACCCCCTCTTTCGGATTTCATGCCGGAGGTGCTAAGCGTTCTGCGTTTTTACTTGTTCTCTCTTGTTCTCTCTTGTTTACCCCGGAATGTTACCCCTCAATGCCCCGCAAGGATGGAAGATTTATCCTTGCTTTTTTTTTGTCATTGTAAAGTAGTGCAGCTAGCTGTGTAAAAGGGATATTTAATATAGAGCATTTGGCAGAGAGTGCATGCCATTTCAAACAAATTTCTTATCTTCTAACTAATAGTCTAGTCACTGTACTGCAACAACCCCTGTGGCAGAGCCAGTGAAAGAGGAAACCCCGCACAGAAGTCGGACACAAGATTTGGCCCCATTATACTTAGGTCACTATACGGACCATATTTCCTCTGCCGGGTGGGGCTTTCCTTTTCCAGATGCCGCCGCTTTAATGAGGGCGCTCAGAGTCAGGCTCACTGAGTAAATTTCAGTCCGGGCTCAGACTCACTGAGCTGCTCAGAGACTGATCAGAGGCATCTACTGAGCACCCAGTCTTCGCTCAGACCATACCCAAAGGAGCAATCGGGCCCCACCATGCTGTTGTTTCGTGAATCACTTCTTGATGGCCCTCATGTCTCACTATGGCTCCCTTTTTGAGGCCGCCATCTTCCATTTCCGTTCTTCTTCCGAATAATTACGCATTAAGCTCGATGACGCGAAAATTGAGGGCTCAGGTCTGATCTTGCAAGTAGCGGCGCCGAACAAAAATCCCTTGATCATTGTTTAAAGATCTGTGCCTAATAAATGAAGTACAAATAGAAGCTATATCCCTCATCTCAGTTTCTCACCCAGCTATCCTTCCTCTTTCATTCCAGTCTCTTCTTATTCGGATTCTTATCACCTATGGGTCGAAGGATAGCCTGCCATATCTTCCTAGTTCGAACAATTTCAAACACGGGTTGTGAATCTCATGTGATAGTTCGACCGCGAGGAAGTCGATGTGGAATATAAGGCTGAGGGCGTTGCGGGAACAGTAAGTTAAGGACTCCGGTGTAAATCTCGTTTTTTTATGGATGATATCTGCAAGGGGAGAGAAAATTTAATTCATTTCATTGATGTTTTCAGATACAGAAAAAGATGTCATAGCTCATGAAAATTGGATTGAACGAGAGTAGAACTACTCGCTGTTCTAGCATCTAAACGAGGATATACAGAAGATGTTCGCTGATCAACTCCCAAGAAGTAGCCCCGATGTCGGAAACCCTCAGGCGTCCGGGTTTGGCCGCCTGATTGGAGAAAACTTCATGTTTAAAGGCCTTCCAAGATTTTAGGGATCAAAACCTCGTCGAATTTCCACAGCTGAGTTTGGAAATTCGCCGAGAAGGCGCCACCCGTCCACCATGTGGAACGAGAACCTTGCAGCTGGTACAAGTCCTGAAAGAAGCCACTCTTGATATCTTCAATTGAAACGCGGGCATGCATGGGACCATGGGTAGAAAAGGCTGTCCAACTGAGTTTCTGGTCTCGTGTGGATCCAGACAACTGACCGGCTTTGAGCAGCTTACTGAAGCTTTCCTGTGCTAGAACCTTGGATTCCGCAGCATTGGTAGTCTTATTACCAATGATCATCACGCGGAACAGGTGCTCAAGACCAGTGTATTCAAAACTTGCGACCATCGGCTCATCTTGGAAAACAAGAAGATTGTCAGGAGCGGCGTCAGATGGCAGGTTATAGTAATAATAACTCGTGTTAAAGACAGCATTGTTGACCAGACCAGTGAATTCGTTGGAATAGGTGAACTTGGACAGAGCGCCCCATTCAGTGGAGGTAAGATCCAAAGGCTCCATGTTTGACTGGGTTGGCTCGATGGCAATCAAGAGTCGGCGAGCGACGATCAGCGTGACCTTCTGGGTCTTGTGGTTGCGCACTGTAAGGAAAACGCCAAATTCGGTGCGGCGGCTGTCAATCACAGTGCTCGAATAAAGCACATCATCGCCAAGGTCTTTAGCAATGGCATCGTAAAGGACCTGGTTGCCACCAGAAGCAGGAGTATACAGGGCCATTTCACCGAGGAAGGCCCGAGCCATGTCCCAGCCGAAGGACTGCAGGACAAACATAGTAGTAACTTCACTCATATTACCCAATCCGAGACCAGTTGATGCATAGATCAGAGGGGTACTGTCCTCAAGACCATACTTGGTCAGGAATTGGCCAAAGGGGATAAGAAGATCTTCAGGGATATCTTTTGGCTCGGGGAAATTCCAATAGCCGGGACTCAACATCGACTCCCATGGCTTGATCACCTTGAAGAACTTGGCGATGGCGGCATTTTCCTTCGTGTATACAGGGGTTGTGAAGTCAACCGTTTTGCCAGTGTTGAAATCAATGTATTTCTGAGTTGAAGAGATACTGCTGGAATTGGTGGTAATTGGAATGTTGAACCGAGCGAAAAATTCCGTAGATCCGCTCACGTTGAGGAAGCTTTGGACACCAAAGTCAAAGGTGGCGCCAGTCTTCTCGTCCACATAGGTGTCGACCATACCACCCTACATATGGAAATTCCATTAGTTACTACTCTGACCACCGCTCAGAGTTGATGGTTTAACTACGAGCTTCCGGAATCAAGATTTTCAGACCTACCAGGATAGTCTGCTTTTCAATCAAGACAATGCTCTTGTAGAAGTCATCACGAAGGCGAACGGCGGCATAGGATCCTGAGGCTCCTCCACCAAGGATCGCGACATCTCGGTAAATGATCTCCGGCAAGCCATTTGCAGACACCAGCGGCAATGTAGCCCCCAGAGCAAGGGCAATAGGCGCCAGGGGAAGCATTATTGGTGACGGGAATGCACGAAAAAGGGTAGGGGATGGGTTATTGAGAGTGTAGGAACTTCTGCTTTAGCCTACCAAGAGAACAGATGCGACCTCGGACACTGCTTAAAATAATCCGGCAGTACCCCTGTTCAAGGCATGACTTCGGCAAATGAGCCATGACAGAATCCAATGGAAGAGCTGGAAATTCTCGATTTGGACTCCCTCTGCCGAATTCGCACGCTTGCTCCTATTGTTAAGTGGGGGAGGATACCGGGACGATCCGCTGATTATATCGAAACGTATTTCCGGCGGCAGGTATCATGAAATACCGGCTCAACCGAAATAAGAACATCTTTGTATGAGCCGGGAGAAGACAACATCGCCGGTAGACTTGGGGGGTGGCAGGGTATTAGGGAATGCACGGACACCAGGACAGCTCAGCTGGAGACCAAGAAACCAATAATATCTAATAAACACATCATTCATTTTGCTGCTAAAGTGGTGATTAACCGCCAGCTAGTTTCGCCCAGCGGTAATATAATAATTAATTCAATTAATCCAACTTAGTGATTTTTACGGCAAGAAAACGTTCACCAAGAAGTTCCTTCGTGGTTTACATGCGCATTTAGAATAATGACAAAATGAACGCGATATTACTGTGCCAACACTGCCTGCCAATAAATGTTGATTTTCTATTTACTTAACGGTGGTCAGATTCGTCGTGTGCATTGATCAGCACACATCCAGAATGTTGAAACCCACCCAATTTCCACGATATCATTTCTTGAAGAGCATCCGCTTCATGTATCTCCAGCGAATACGAGATATCAAACGCGTTGAATCAGGTCCAAGCCTCATGAAATTGAGCGGCCCGTCGATCTCGAGACACATATATTTTATAGCGCCCAGTATCGCCTTCATGTCGGGAAAACGCAGATACAGTACTCTTGTGAGATTAGACCGGAGTAATTGATTGTGCTTCCCCGGAGAGGGAAGGATCGGTGAGTACAAGGCACGCCTATTGTGAAAATCCAGACATTGGTATATGCTGGTAGACGTGGACGCTCTGTGGCGGACCTAGCTTTCTAGAACTGTCGGTTTGTGGAACGCGTAGGCAACGGCCACCTATGCGAATAATATAAAAAGGGGGCTTCCTCTTCGAATTATTAAGCCTGAGCCATCGAGCCCAAAGTCGGGCTTTGGCGCAGCCTATATATGACCGTCCATTAGTCTCCTTTAGTGTAGTGATTTGTGTTCGAAGATTGACGTCTAATTCGCAATTTCGAAGTCTCGAGGCATTCCCTTGCGCTGTAGGAGGTAGTAGTAGGGAGAGGGCCCCTTGGCACTGGCCGTGGTCGAGGTAAAGATCGTACGCGAGGATAATCATAATAATCTAAACATTCAACTATTCGCGACGCGTTCTACTAGTCTAATTTGGGAAAGCGGTATACGCCGTGAAGTACTTTATAACGAGTCGCGGACCCACTTGAAGCTGCACCTACCCGTGGCGCTCCGTCGCCTTGGATCTCTGCCTTAGCACTTTATTCCACCATGGCTCCTCGCACAAGAGCAACGGACCGATGCTGGACCTGTCGCCTTCGGCGCAAGAGATGCGATGGAGCGCAGCTGCGGTGCCAAGTCTGTGTCGACCTAGGAATTCCATGCTATCGCTCAAAGGATAAACCAGAATGGATGGATGGTGGGTCCCAGGAGAAGCAGATGGCAGAAACTATGAAGCAGCAAATCAAATATTCTGCCGGCCAACGGCGAGAGAAACAGTCCAACGTATCGAATGGAAGTCTCACAGGTTTTGTCGTCACTTCACAATCGGATTTCATAGGAAATCCCCCCAACTCCTCTTTGACACCGCCGACCATCCGGGCTGAACCATTTATTTCGACACAACCAGGAGCTATCTCACTACCAGCTATGACGACTGGGCCATTTTCAGCCAACAATATGACTGATAGCTCGAAGCCACTCGCAGTGGTCCCAGACCATGTGTTCGATCTAGGGAAGATGGACTCAACATTCCCAACCGCGTCCCAGGCATGGGAGTTAGACCTCATTATGATCTATCTAGATTATGTCTTCCCATTTCTATTCCCTTTCTACCGACCTCCCATAATGGGAACAGGGCGCGCCTGGCTACTCCGTTTTGTGAAACAAAATGGAACGGTGTTTCATTCCGTGCTCAGCATGAGTTCTTTCTTCCTTACCGTGGGGCTCAATGACACAGCGGAACTTGCCGACTTGTCATCCGGCCGTCCACAGCGTTGTCGGACAAGTATCTGGAAAGAAGTTTCAGAACGAGCAGAAAAGACATTCACGATGCTGCAAACGGTCATTTCAGAGCTTAATGACGATCCAAATCCTACGATATTGCAACGGGCGTACGTCATGGAATCTATCCTACAGCTTTTGATCTTTGACCGCTTTGTGGGGGTGAATAAAGGTTGGGAGGCGCATCTCACCATGGCCATCAATATCTTCGAGGAGATATACAACGAATGCTCTTTTTCTAATCAAGGACAAGACGGACTTATTTGTGTTCTGGAAAGAATGACCTGGCCCGGATCTCGAGTCATTGGGTTTGAACGCAGGCTATGGAATGCGGACCAAGCTGGATTTCGGTTTTTCACCGCAATCCTACTATACTTCGACATAATTGCCAGTACTTCCTTGGATAAAGCCCCTGTTCTATCTCACCTGCACTCTCCGCTTATCGGTGACATCCCACTCCAAGAAACTAGCGGTCGTCTGAACTTATTACATTTCGTGGGCTGTCACAACTGGGTTTTGATTGCTATCGGGGAAACTTCAGCCTTATCCGCATGGAAATCAGCCCAGGAAGATGGAAATGGGTTGTCCCAGATGGATTTGGTCACCCGTTCTCAACCCATATTTGCCAATTTGCAGCAAGGGCTTGAAGCTCTTGATGCAGAAACCGTGGCAGCTGCTGATCTCTGGCAAAAAAAGCCATACTATCAATCTGACGACCAAATCACTGGACATTCTGGAAGCGTCACAACGCGAATTTGGGCCCATGCAGCTCGAATTTATCTCACTGTTGTTGTCTTCGGATGGAGGCCACAGGACTCACAGATAATGGAAGATTGTAAAAAAGCAATCATTCTCCTTCATGAAATCGATTCCATTGCAAGGCTGCGAACACTTGCATGGCCAATATCCATCGTTGGATGCATCTCATATGACTTTGAAAAATCAGTAGAGCTTGATTCGCTCGTACGAAGGTCAGAAAAATCACAACTGCTCCACGCCATACGCGAATCTGGCCAAATAATCGACAAGTTCAGAAAAGCTGACACTGTCGATAATCCTGATCTCTTTAATTTCTCTTGTGCTTTTTTCAATGTTGATGATTCTAGCTATCCTGCCTTCTTAGCCTAGGAAACATTCACGCATCGACTTGCTTATAAATCACCAACGCATCAATTAAGTCTAGAAACATCACCCCAATCTTTAGCGCGTATACAACGCGTCCCCTATTTTATTTTTATTTTTTACTCACCAACCATGCGTCGGTTTGGGACTGAAAATAAGTGGAAATCGAAGCCAAATACTGAACTATGTGGCCCAACGCGCTCTGCAATTTTGTATGCGCTTGGACTAGGGCAATCGCCTACCAAAATCTCAACTGATTTAAACGTTTCTCATAGCACAATCTATAAGACACGCTATCGATTCTAATAACGTGTAGACGTCAAATATTGCCCTCGTACTAGTCGCCCTAAAGTCTTTACCCAATCTGATTGTAGATATGTCTTTCATCTCGCTCGTCGAAACATGTGGTAGACCTATAGGGTTCTCTCTGTAAACGTAGTCGGAAAACCGTGTCGTGAGACTTTTCGCAAAATTCAAAGGTAGTACGACCTTAAGAAATACAAATCACGCAAACGGATACCTTTAAACTATGATACTACTAGAAAGAAGATTCTAGCTTAGATTGCACCAAATACAAGCTGCTGTGGGCTGGAATGTAGACAGACAATGGTCGAGACAGCCCTCTCGCATCCAAAATATCCCGACTTATCGCCGGGACATCCGTCGCTTGGCAAAGAAGCCAGCACACCATTAATTGCAGTGGTTGAACTACCGCCACCATCAAGGTTGATGGCCTGAGTGAATCCTAGGTTGACCATCACGTCCGCGAGGGTAAAAAGGTCAATTCCATCCTGCCCGGTTCTGCCGTCGATTTGAACCATACCAAGGCGGCCGCCTTTCAGCAGTCCGATCGCGGTACGACCGGACACTTCAGTTGTGAAAGTGTTCACCCCGCTTGACTCATTGACATAATTCTTCCCATTGTTGACGAGCTGCACCTGGCCAGATGCGAGGGATCGAAAATACCACGGCAGGTCAGCGTCATTTGCACAAGATCCAGTAGAGTCGCATCGATCAGCGAGAGAAGCGAGAGTGTGACTGGCCAGGAACTCATTGTCCACGTAACCGATAAACCAATTCCCGTCATTCGTCAAACCAAAGTGAACAGTGCCAGTTGCGTCATGCTCGATTAAGACGTTGTCGCTGACCACAGCGCCGAGACAATGCGGATGGGTCGTATTAGAGATGTCGAAGAAGCCCATGTTCATTGCGACGCTACATCCTCGGTATCTCGCCTCGGCCGAAGTAGTCGTGAGACCGTATCCGCATCCCTGAATTGGGGGATAGATACTGAACAAGGTACTGTCGACGGCGGTGACGAAATGCCCTTTGGCAGCTCGCGTCACGCCGTCGTCGTCGACCAGCGGCGTGTTGATGACTTGGACAGTAGGTAGCAAGTCCGACCCACTTAGTTTTTTAGTGTTGAAGACGGGAACCAGCGTGTAGCCAGAGGTCCCTGAGATACCAGCGCCGAGGACCAAGCTCTGCATCGAGAGGAGACCTCCCGCGAGTAGTGTCGTTGAGAGACGCATTGTCGTTCCTGTCTGAAAAGGAATCGTGTTCGTGTGGTGGACCTAGTAGCCTCCATCGTCGCTTTATATATGTATTGGGAGTGATATGTGACGGGACGAGTAACGGTAACATCGTCGGATAAGTCCCGAGATCTGCAGTTATCTTGTCCCTATTCGGCACGGATCCAGGCACATGGGCGCCTCTATTCTCCCGCACTTCGGCGCACTTGTGGTCAGATAATCTTAAGTGGATACGAGACATCTACAGCAGTGTTCAATTACTCATAAGTTGCGGTCAAATGACATTCGTGCTCTAAATGCGCACGTGTAGTTACATGATTGTACAATAGGCTGAGGAGTAGTCTAATTTAATATAAGCTACAATCAAGCTGCACACGTGGGGGCCAGACAATACACACGTGCGATCAACATAACGTGTGTCTGGTCATACAGTGCAATTACACTGAGAATAATTCGACTCCATTACGCGATCGCGGATTGCGGGACGTTGCTGTCATCTGGAACAATAGCGCAGACGGGAGAGAAATCTACCACTCCCTTTTGGGCCCTTTACTATTTGGAATTAGATTTTAGCCAGGAAACCATAGTTGAGCAGTATTGTGTGAGACATGGGATGCTTTAGACCAGGGGACGATTGATAACCTAATTCGGTCAGTGCCTAGGCGAATTGCAGCTGTAAAGCGCGCAAATGGGTACTATACTAGATATTAGGGGTGCAATAGATAGAGAGAGAGATAATTAATTAATTGATGGGTTTTGGAGTTAAAATGTCTATTATGTGCTTAGATATATATATTCGAAAGTAATTGGTAAAAATGTGTGCATTTTACATACAGTAATCACGGACTGTTTCCAGACTTAATGGCATCTAGTGTACCAACACCAGTCCAGTCCCATAAGAAGATCACTCAGATAATCTGTAATATATTCCACTAATCTTTACCCTAGCAAACCTATCTTCCTTTCCAAGTCGCCATCATATCTGCTGCTGTCGTAGTCTTGGTATGGGGGAAAAGATCGTTCAGAGTCGTCCCATCACTTGGTGGAATATAATAGCCATCGATACCACACAATCCAAACCGAGAGAATCTGTGCTGCAGCACTGCCTTGGGCCTCATAGAGTAAATCTGAGTATGGAATGGTAGCTCAGTCATCTCCGCTCTCTCCAGCTTCTCACGACTATCATAGGCGACAGTGAATTTGGCGCCTGTGAGTGGTAAGCAATCCATTCGCCTGGGCTCAGGGTCATGAACTAGCCTGTATTCTTCTCCGCCAACTTCAACACTTCATTGTAAGTGCATATATCTCCATAGCAAAACAGACTCTGTTGCCATTCTGGCAAATCAAGCGCTGCGTCCACAAACTTCGCGATATCATAGGTGTACGTGAACGAGATCTTCTCGTCACCCGTTCCTGGTATAGCCGCCGCTTTGCTAGCCATGTCAATATGGATAGCAAAGATCCCCATGTTGCTCTTCACATGAGGGGTGCCGAAGAAATCCATGAAATAGCCATTGTAGATTGTCGTCCACTCCAGCTCTGTGGTTTTCAGTTCATCGATGGTGGCATCCAGATATTTTTGGTTCGGAAGATGGAACCGACTAATGAAGTGTAGTTATTAGCATAGCTTCCCACCATATGGAATGTTCAAACTCATGATAGACTCACGGGTTAGGGACAGGAATCGCCCACTGGCTGGCAATGAATCGCTTGGTCGGACGGGATTGGCTGGCGGCACGCACAAGATTGATTTCCATCGCGCTCGCTTCCGCAGTAGCCACTGGGATTGTCGAGATAATTGTCTCGATCGCGTTCTCCTCTAGCAGTTTTTCGAGGCCGTCCACATCGTTAGCGTTTACAACGCAAACAGGAGCGTCAATATCAGGAAGGGTAGTGGGCTAATAGTTTTACCGACGTGAGTAAAGTCTTACATGACAAGTAATGTCCGGCAAGGGTCTTACCTTGCGAGTTAACACAATTACATTGTGCTTTTGGTTTTGGGATAGAACCTCGACAATGGTCTTTCCCAGCTTACCAGTCCCGCCTGCAATTGCAACTCGTACCATGGTGAATTCAAATGAAAATTAGAAAGAAGTCGCTCTTCGAGTACTGATTCCCTCAGGGATGTCTTTAGAGGAGAACAACTCCATGGTGAGTAGCTTGAGGGGTTTTTATACCTTGTTGGACGCTCCAGTCGCCATAGACCCACATTTTTGATAGAGCGCGCGGGATTCCAAATTAGGACTTGCGCGCGCGAAAACGAAAGGGGAAAGGTTTCGACCATGAAAATGCAAATTGAGCAAGAATTATTTTCGTAGCTTATTATATCTCTTTAGAGGTTATGCGAAGCCCATCCCACATAAAAATAAAGCTGTCCCTTAGAAGTATGTACAAGTAGGATATCAGAAAAAACAAATCACATCGTAGTATTTGGATAGTTAAGCCTAGAGAAAAACATCGTAATGATCTCGCCATTAGCTTAATTCAAATGAATCTATATACTCTTCGCGACGTGCTCTACTAGGCTAATTTGGGAGGCCGTGTAGGTGGTGAAAAATGACGGTGTAGGGGGGGTGGTCACAGACTTTTGCTCTTCCAACTCTCAATTGCTCTACTGCAGAGGATCTGACGCTACCCTGGGTGTCCATCTCGGGTCAAATTGATAGGCAAGACTCGACAGAGTAAGATTTGTTTCGCGATCGCCATCGTTTAACCATATGACGGCCTCGAATCTTATTATGCATCAGGCATCCCAGCTAAGCCTTTACAGCTTCAGGTTGCCCCTCGCTCATCGATATTCACAATAACTAATAGCCTCAACTTGCCCTGTATATTGCCAGCCGGATCAACTCAATTTTTTCCGCAATGAGAATGTGAGGAAGGCAGATAGGGTGACCGAACATTTAGTTGTGGCTCCGAGCGAGTGTTAAAAGGAGACTTTGAATGCAGATGTTGAAGATATGCTGCGAACGAAAAAGAAATGTCACCAGAGAGTTCGACCTGAATGCACGGCAGTGGTAATACAAGTGAAGGACTGGTCTCAAAGAAATCTTGAAAACTTCTATTCTTCCTTTAATATTGACTTGAAAGCAGTGGAAGCAGTTGGCACAAATGGAGCAATCTTTCGCGCAAATGCCCAGTCATTTCAAGGACCTGCAATGGAATTTGAGCTTGAGCAGGCAGAGTCAGACGTATAACACACCGGTCGCGAGATGGCCAGAATTTCCGTTTCGGTGATCATACACTTGGATGCCAGAATCCGGGTGACTGAAAGAACTACCTGCTCCCAGATCAGGAACAAGCGCTCCCCATAATGATAGCATCCCAGAAGTTTCTGAAAGCTCGAAGTGGCACACTATATTGAGTAATCGAAGGGTAGATGAGTCTGGCTTGGACTAAGAAATGACTAGTGCCAACTAAGTGCTGAATTTGACCATACACATCGCTGCATTTCATTTTATGCTACTCATCGGATTTCCTGATATGGTTGGACCTGTATGTCTATTATGGGTGTACTTCCATTGTCCAGATCTATCCTATTTTCTTGGCACTAAAGCAAATCTTTAGTTAACAAGGGACGCGGAGCCTACGATACAACTGGTGTGAAGAAGCCAGGTGCGCCACCACCTCCGCCTAAGTGAGACCTCCCAGTACAGGGTGTATGCCGTTCTCGTGACAAGTGGCTCTCAATATTCTTTGGAAACCGAAAAACGTGTGTCTGTCTGGCTAATCCTCGGAATGCTCTGCTGATAGGGTAGACTCATCCAATTTTCCTGGCGCCGGTAGTCCTCCACAGCCAGATTAGGAAATCGTGGGACCAGTAGACAAAGTATTCCCAGGAGCATCTAGAATAGAATGGTAATGCTGATTTTGCTGATTTGGCGGCCGAGTAGCAGGCTCCATGGTGGCCATTTACTTGCAACCAGTTTACCAGGGTGTATGGTAACATTGATGATGCCTTGCCTTTTTTGATGGGGACTATCTCAAAGAGGAGGGATGCACGTGATGGGACTAGCGTGGTGCATTTTATTGATGTAGTTTACTTGGGCCAGCCATCTCTACGCTCAGCTAAGACTTAGTGAGCAAATCAGGACGGTCAGACGATGCTCAGTGAGCGGATCAGAGTGCTCAGGAGCGACGTACGTAATGCTCAGTGAGCGAGTCAGGGTGCTCAGGGGCGTGCTCAGGTTTACTCAGGGAGCGAAAGGCGGCCAGGGCTGAGCACTAGAACGGAGGGGGAAGCCAAAGGAGTGGCAGAGGAAATCCCCTAGGTAGGCTGTCAATCGGCACCACATGTTGGCTCCGGCATTTCTGCCTTGTATATACGATAACGGCTGAGCTTTTTGCGATGTATCCTGGCAGTGGGATTTCAAATCCACCACAGCCGGCTGTAAGCCGGCGTCGAGCTACTCTGACGTGTCAACGCTGCCATGGAAAAAAGGTCGGTGACTAGGCGATCGATTTCCATACACGGTCATCGTTTCTAACCATAGGCCCAGGTGAAATGTGATCTCCAACAACGACTGAAGAGTGGTGCAAATGGGCCTTGCTTGAACTGCCAAGAAGCACAAATTGAGTGCCGGTGGGTTTTGCCTTAGAACGACGGGTGATAACAGGGTAACTAAGTTTAACGTGCTTTGCTATGATAGAGTTCGTCCTTCGAGAAGAAATCTTCGTCGGAGGAAGAATTCGGAGTTAGAGAATGGAGGAATCATTAGATCCTGTGATCCGAATGGGGTGTCATCCCTTGACAATGAGCACTTTCGTTCACAACTGCCTGTCTCTACGCAATGGAACCCGCCCATGGCCAATATACCCAATGACCCGATTGGTAATCATGGTTCAGAGATGACCAGAGCCGGATTCTCCAGGCTGCCTCTGCCAGATATACCTCTCGATCAACCGCGTGAAACAGACGCGTCAATTTCGCCTAGGAGCAATGACCCGGTCAGTCTAGGAATGGGTGGACGGGTTGGTGTCGCAGATACGATGTCTGGGATTGTTGAATCGAATGAATCTGAGGGAGTATCCAGCTATTTGGGTGATTCTGGTTACATTACCATGTTTGTCCGAGGAGACACAAGTCGTTCTTCAGAGAGCAGCGTTCCGGGCAAGCTGAAAGAATTGGCGAGGTCGTTACCGATAGCCGTTCGCGATCATCACTTGCAGGTATTTGATGAGTATTGCTTTACTTTCTGCCCCATTCTTGATAGGAATATTCTGGAAGATCATGCATTCGGCCAATCACTGCTGCTTGAAAAGGCATTAACCCTGGTAAGCCGCAGAATCCAGCCGTCGCTGCTTGATGGTGATGATGCAGCCATCCTTTATAATCAAAGTAAGGACTTGTTTTACAAATTCTCAGAACCAAGCCCAACTGCTTCACTCATCTCGATCATGCTTTTCTACTGGTGGAGTACATGTTCTCCAAGCATGTTGAGTACAAATGGAACCTGGTACTGGACCGGAATTGCCATTCGACAGGCGCAAGAAATGGGCTTACACCGATTGCCGAGAACACATCACTGTCTTTCCCGTGGAGATACCCCGGCTCTCCGCCGACGAATATGGTGGACCTTGTTTGTATGTCACCAATGTTATGGCCATTGGAGAAATCCATCCTAATCTGAGCTATCTAGGCTCGTGAGAGGCTTACCTCTCTCTCTCAGGGTAGACCCTGCACTATCAATATCAAGGATTGCAATGTCCAAAAGCCTAAGGTCACCGATTGGCCTGACTCGAAGCGTCGAGAAGCCGATATCTTCATCCAATGGGTCAAGCTTTGTGAGATAGTTGGCCATGTGGCGAAGCATCTCAGACGCCATCCTGAAGCTAAGGGCAAGGCCCGGGATCTTTTAGATGACTTGAGGGTCTGGATTGCAAACCTACCCGAAGATCTCCGGCTGCCATATTTTGAAGGCTCTCCCTCCAATTTCGATCGAGACATCTGCCAATTACATCTCCCATACCTATGTTGTCTCATCTTGCTCGACCTAAGAAAGTCATCACAACAGGACTTGGGAGTTGACATTGTGGCAATTCTTGCCTCTTCTTGTGTTTCCAGGATCTTTGAGGACTTATTGATTCGAGGATCTTTGCGCTTTTTACAGGGTATGGCTGGCTGGTACATCACTATCTCTTTACTTGCCTTGATTCGAGCAAAGGAAATTCCTATCTTCGCGATTACCACACACGAGCCTATCAGAGTGCTTCGCGTGGCATTGAAGGACATGGCTGGGCGCTGGCCATCGGCGAAAATGTTTCACCATGGTATTGAGCACCTAATGAGCTCTCCGTGTGGGGATAGACCCGATGATAGAACAAGACAGACGGAAGAACAAGATACACAGGAGCTGCGCCAATTGGAAAAGCTAGACAGCTTTCGTTATCAAAGTCAGAGTCAGTTGGACCCAAATACACTGACCGCGGAGGCTGTGCAAAATTCCCTCGACTTTTTTCCAGGTGCAAATCCCGAAACTACACCCTTTTTTAAAGAAATGCTCTCTTTGACCGATCCCGTGGGTCTTCCACTCACTTCCGATGAATTCAATCAAGCGCTGTTGGATTTATTTGAGAACTCCTTTGACGGCATACCCATCGACTTCCGATGATCGATCGTTACTATCTAGCAACTGTATTGCAAAATGGCTTGATTGAAGGCATCCTTCAATTGTACACCTCCTTGAAAGTCGCTCAGGAACTTCCATAATGTCTCCTCCCGCCAACCCTGTCCTTTCCAATCATTTACCTTTCTGGGGAAGACGTTCACTACGCCCTTGAGAGTCGCATCGTGGGCTGCGATGAAGAAAATGTTTTCCTTCCCATCGGCCTCCTGCGCGTATGCGATTGTTTTAATGGCCTCGTCAAAATCACAGGTTATGACAGGATCGAAGAACGCCTGATCGATTTTGCGTCCTCGCGATTTTTGAAGCAATTCAAGGGCGTTGACCGCTTCCTTCTCACGCCCCTTTTTGGACACACTTGCCGCAGCAGATGCAAGGCTAAGGTATTGAGAAGGACGAAGCTCGCCTCCATGGTGAGTTAAATCTCCACCGAGAAACACAAAAGTGTCTGGGTCTTTAGTCGTGCGCACAAGGCCCCCCAAATGTCCCACTGCATGACCAGGGGTGTCTAGGATGTAAAAGGACCCGTCACCAAAATAATCCAAGGCTCTATATTTTCCAACAGAGATCGTCTCCGAATCTTCAAACGTGAGCTCTACTAGCTTTCGTCCACTATGCTAATTTTAGTATCCTTGGATCATAATCAAATGGGGATGCATTATTCCACGGCTTTTTGAAGGACTTACTCGAGGTCATCCTGCCGAATGGGTGACTCTGGCCCTATGGGATAGGCAGGGAGGAATTCTTTGGTGAATCCGGGGCCGACAATCAGGTCCGTGGATGAGGGAAATTGCTGAATGTCGCCCTGATGATCCCAGTGCCAGTGGCTAGATCTTACTATGAGTCCTTGACTTTGCTGCAGGAAGGCTTCCAAGATGGAACGTCTTTCATACCTCCAGATCACAGCTTTTATACTGCGTAAGTCGAGATTATTTTCGTGCAGAATCTTTGCAGTAGACTTAGACACATCAATGGTATATCCTTTAGTTTTGAGCCTCTCGGATACCACTGGAGGAAGCTTGTAAACATCCTGTGGGATTCCTAAATCAAAAAGCACTCTTCGAGCTCCTTGGGGAGTATCACTTTCGATCAGAAATGCCCAACTCGGTAGCTTGTTGAACTTCTCGAATGTAGGCAAGTCCGGTGTGACTAAATTAGCACAGGGTAGATTATCAATAGTGCCAGTCGTATCAATCATATAAAGATTTGCAACAGCACCTGGTGGAGTGGCAAAGACTTGACCTGTCTCGAGGGATGAAGTCATACTGGGGGAAATGGAATGATAAATTATAACAAAGTGACGGAATGGCACGACAGTGCGACGATATAAGGTGCGTGAGATCATTCTTCCACCCCAGTCTTAGTGAATGGCGTATTTCGGCAATGAGGCAACGTTATCCGCTTATGGCGGGAAATTCGGCACTGCCTCATTGCCGGAAAATGGCATGCCCAAGACGACAGAATGGGGACCACGGGTCTTTGAAAGGGGTGACACGTATGGCCTACCAGTCCCTTCTAAGGACGTAGCTCTTGTCTTATGCTGTTAGTGAATACACGCAAGAAACCCCAGAGTTTACAAACATAATGCATTTCGGGGGCCTTCCGAGGATCGGAATTTAGCCTGACAGTTTGGACCGAAGCATATTTTGGTCCAATAGTCCTTTTGGCAGTAGACATCATAGACAATCAACATATCGTACATTTTGGGGTATATCGTGCACACAATATCTCTATACAATGTGGCATATTCTGCCCTCTCGCGTGATGCATCAGTGGACATCAACCAGTAGTCGCCCGCAATACTAATAGTACACGCAGGCAGTACCCAAACATAGTAACCCTGTCCTCTCGGCTCGCATTATTATCGCCTTCATCCTGTCATGTCCCCGGATTATGCGGTGGACTCTGTTCGTCGGTAGTGCTGTGCACCGTCTGTAGCTTGAGGTATTCCTGCTCGAGACGCTTTTGAATTTCAAAGTCCGCTTGCCGCTCTTTTCGGATGCGTTGCTTCTCCATGTCTCGCTCCACGCCCTTATGCATGGCCTATTTCACCGACTTGGTCAGTTTCAAGTTGTTGCAACTGGAAAATTCGAATACATACCGCCCTGTCTTGCTCCTGTGCCCAGTGCACAAAGTAGACTATGCCGGCAGTGCCCAGTCCGGTAACAGCCAGCGTCAATTTGGACGCGCGGGACATGGCAACGACAAGAGTATCCCTGGAAAGAAGTGTAGCACAGAAAGAATCCTCCTCGCCCAGTAAGGCCATGTGCTCACCGCCCGGCAGTGAGCGCCCCACCGCCTTGGGGGTCATTCGTGGCTTCGAAGCTACCGCCGTCTGATCATTCATTTGACAACCACTTTCGACCCTGGAATTTTGAGAGGGTCCTCGGGCAATCATGGTGAGAATGATTTTGAAATATTCAGTGTTCTGGTGCGTGACTAACAATCAAGGGGATGCAGTCGGCTCAGAACTCCGCGGGCATCCAGACCCTCCTCGACGTACGTCTTTGGGACCGGACTCCAGACATGGCTTGTAGATACTGATCGCAGACACGACTTTTAGGCCGAGAGAGAGGCTCAGAAGATTGTTCAGCAATGTGAGTTCCCCTACTCTGCTCCCAAAACTCCCGATCACTGACAGGTTTCATCGTCCAGCTCGAGAATGTACGTCCTTCGGATCTCCCCCGCTCGGCATGCACAATTAATAACATACCCACCACGCAGATCGCACCAAGCGGATAAGAGACGCCAAGGCCGAGGCACAGAAGGAGATTGAAGAGTACCGGAAGCAGAAGGAGGACGAGTTCAAGAAGTTCGAGACCGAGGTGCGCTACAGTTCAGCGAGCTACGCGTTAGCAATAAGATGACTAACTATTTGTTGTGTCGATAGCACTCGAGCGGCTTCAAGAAGGCCGAAGATGACGCCAACAACGAGGCCCTGGCTAAACTCGAGGAGATCAAGGATGCCGGCAAGAACAAGGGCGACAAGGTCGTGCAGGATCTCATCTATGCGACCACGCAGGTGAAGCCGGAGGTGCCGGAGAAGATTGTTATCAAGACATAGAGTTGTTGCTGTTTTTCACTTATTTGGCGGGTTGTTTGTGAGGGAGACGTGACTACCTACCCTATCAATATCCTTTTCGGAAAATATGAAGATCTCATTGGGTTATTCTGCAACTGTTCATTTATCTGTTCGTTTCGGTAAATGGCTGGTCGCGAATGCTTTCATATTTCGCCAATGATAGTGATACCGCGTCCAACAACATCCACTAAACCGTAAATACTGGCTTGTACAACCATGCCCCGAGTTTGACAAGAGCAGAAACATCATGTTCCACACCTGAGGTACAATAGTCCTCGGTTTTACCGTCGATCTCGAACGTATTTCAGATGCGTGCCAACAAGCTGGCACCCTCCGAAATCGATCAACACAGGCATGCCATCTCTGTGCACCAAGATATTGTAGGGAGTCAGATCATTATGTGCCCAACCAAGCGTGTGTAGGTGCTGAATAGCCGATTCCAGTGCCGCCATGAGTGGTTCTTTCTCAAACTTCCCAACTGCCTCCTTCAGATAACGGTACAGGTCGTGAGTATGTCTGTCCATGACCAGCCCGGTGATATGTCCTCTCACAACTCCGCAGCCGTAATAGCGGACGATGTTCGGATGCGGATGTTTGGAAATTGCTGTCATCACCTCAGCCTCAGCTAAAAATTGCTGCGAGAGTTGCTCTTCCGCATTAGTGACGCCGTGACCTTTCATAATTCCATAAAGTTCCAGATTCGGTCGCTTGAGGTAGACCTCTGAAGTCAGAGTTTCTGGGGCTTCTGTGAGTTCCATCTCCAGGACCGGCCATTTTCGGAAAGAATTTGCCGTCAGGAACATGAGTGAGAGCGTTAGATATCTGATCGAAAGTGATGTTGGCTTTTGGAATGTTTAAGTGCCCATAGTAGAGGGTTTCATCGTTTAAGACTGCGAAGGATGCATGCAGGAACTTCTCTGTCTCTGGATTGCAGCTTTCCGATATGAAATCAAGGTCGACCAAGCTCTTTATTTCAGGCGCCGTGATTGTCATGATGTTGTTTTTTATGTAGAGAGAAGAATTGAATAGTGCAAGGGGGTACGGAGACGACTATGTAGAGCCCAGGAAGGATCAGAGAAAGTCTTGCTATGAGGCTGAATTTAGGAAAAATGGTTGATAAAACAAAAAAGTCCATAACTCAAGAAAAGACGGTGTGACAACATCCTCGTCTTATGAGGCCAAAGCCGAGGAAGTACTGAGATAGTGCGGATGGTACTCGACGCTCACTCCGATATCAATGCCCAGGGTGGTCAGCATAGCAATGTCCACAGGCCGCTGCACACATGGGACACACCGAGATAGTGCGGATGCTGCTCGATGCTCACGCCGATATCGATGCCCAGGGTGGTCAATATGGCACTGTCTGATATGTAACTACTGCGGGGTCCATCAGGTAGCTGGGATGGGACCGATCCTAGCATTTAGATGCAATGACTCCAGAAATCGTGGTGCGGCACAAGAATAGAATTAGCGTAGTTCCAGCGTAATCATGGTACAATTTGAGATAGAATGGATGAGGTATTCAATATTGTAGGACAATGCTTAGTGGCTACAAGTCGAGGTCCAGTTACTGTATAGTGTCCGTATCTAAAACAAACAGAGCAAATTGGTGCCTGCGGCGCACAGCAGGCATCACATAATTGATGGGATTAGCGCATCTTTAGTTGGCCTGCAGCCATCCATCGCCTGGCTGACAGGTTGCGCCCAGTCGTATAAGGATCAAGAAAAGGGAGTCGATTCCTAACGGTACCATCGAACAAATACACAAAGCCGAAGAACACATGTAGAGCGTAGACTTGATTATATAGTCCTCGCGATCGGTGGTCAGTATCCAAAGCCCGGAACCGCATTATAGTTCGGGGACGGGGCTTTTTATACGAGGCCTGTCCAAAGGAATCCTCGAGGACTAGAAATGCCAGACACTCAACGATTTTTATCTCATGAGTTCTCTATTGCCAAAGTGGCGTCTTACTCCATCTGTCTTTGACGTTGACATCGCTTTCTATTTCGCTTCGGAGCAATCTAAACGATAGTGGCTTTGCAATTTGCTGCCAATAAAAGCGTAGTGGCCTCCAAATCATTTCAAGCTTGTACTTGCATATTAGAATACACATATCTCATACTGGACGCTCGCCGTTCCTCAAATCCAGATTGATAATTACTCGCAAAATACCCAGACCGTAATTAGAACCTGTACCTAAACTCTTTATTCTGTCGATCCGTCAAGTCCAAAAACTCGATGTTCTCCTCGTGTTCATAGGGTCTCTGATCTCGCCTCTTATTTTCCCATTTGTAATAGAACAAGAGGATCGCGGTCAGCACAATAGTAACGGAATCCACTGCCACGATAGTTATTTTCGCGGGCGTGTAATTCGGCGCATCTTTGCTGCGGAATGTAAGAGGACCAAGAATGTTGCCGATACAGAAGCTCATAAGGATAATCGCGTTCACCGTGACTTTCTTAGTATGTCCCTAGTAATGGTCAGTTGAATCTGCCGAAAGAATCGATTTGCCACAGAAGTCCCATCGAATTCGACCATGACAGTGGTGAAAAGAGCAACTTACCGCAAAATTAGCCCCAGCAAAAGAGTATGCACAAGGTAAGAATGCCCCAACAACCTGGCAAAGGTAGTTTCCGACCAGTTTACCAGCCTTATTATCCTCAGGCAAGAATGCCAGGAGCGAACCGCCAATTAATCCTCCGATTGCCGACCACGCAATAATATTGAGGCCTCTAGCGTTGTATTTGCTCGCCAGCCATGTCGCAGAGAGAACACTCAGGACAGCAATAACACCACTAGGTATCTGCAGGAGTGTTGTTTGCTCATCAGCAAAGCCGAGGCTTGAAATGACAATACTCTGAAACGAGCTCACAGCTCCATTGGGAACGCTGCCTGCTATTGTTAACAGAGCTAGCAATAAAACCTGAGGGTCTCGAAGGCATTCTGCAATTTGGTAAGGTTTGAAGTGCTTGTTCTCAATGCCAGTGTTGTTTCCTCTGATGCGTTCGATGGCCATGATTTTCTCCGCATGAGTCAGGCGCGATGACATGGGATTGTCGGGCAACAACCAGATCACAAGGCCTCCGATTAACATAGTGAGAAGACCCACAATCAAGAACATGATCTGCCAGCTCTTGAAAGTTTGGCTTTCATAGTGCTGGAAGCCAAAAGAAATCAAGGCGCCTAGGATAGAGCCTGTCCCCACTCCGATGTACCACAATCCTACTCGGATGGGCTGTTCACTCGTCTTATACCACATGGTTGTGATGATAATGAGTGATGGACTGATCGTAGATTCGAACGTGCCAAGAAGAAACCGCACAGCTACCAGCGATCCGTAGCTGTTGCAGGCCGCCGTGCAGGCAACAACTGCGCCCCAGCACATAACCATGATGCCCAGGTATTTAGCAGCCGGGAAGCGTTGCATCAAATAGGCATGTGGAAGCTCGAATGCAAGGAATGCCACGTAGAATAGAAGTGATAAATTTGCATATTGGTTTGTGCTGATATCTGTGTCCTCTAGGAGACCCATCACAGAAGCATAATTCACTATGCACTCTATAGTCAGAAAATATCTCAATTTCCAGATCGTAGGAACTTACAGAGACTCTTGTCCAGATACTCCAATAAATAACAACAGAACATCAACGGCATGACCATCCAGTCAATTTTGCGAAGCAGTGCTTTCTCATCAACGTATTGACTCTCATCGCCAACCTCCTCTTTCCGCAGGAAAGCGAGGGCTTCGTCACTGTCTTTGACTTCATCGGGAGTAATGGCCTCTTGGAACGCCGGCGCGCTTTGTGTAGGCGCCTCGGCCCCTTGAGGCATATGTGCCATCTCGGGTATTGAGATGGTAAATGAAACCAATAATGACTTAAACTGCTCAGTTGGGGCGGAGTTTTGTCGAACTCAGCAGTTTTGGGTGAAGCAGATTTGGATACGAGACTAAAAATGCTGGGTGTTGGACTATTCTTATAAGCTACGTTCTTAACTATTGCTCCTACTTTTCCTTATCACAGGCATGGGTGGCTAGGCTCGAATACTAACCCTGAAGAGGAAGGTAGATTCCGTCAAACAAAATCTCCCCGAGCGGGGTTACCCCATACTGTACATTTCCCCAATAATTTCTTATTTGGGCTCGAAAGAACTCCCCGCCCGCATGGTTATTTTGCATTCACACGAGTCTCTGTCTTTCATAGTCAAGCGCTTGATATCCTCACTAGCGTCAAATGTGCAATATTATTAGAGAGTTGTTTTCCACGCCAACTATTCCTTTTCTTCCTGGTTTGGTCTGGTGCCCGCTATGTGTATTGAAGTAGCCTCGGTCGGGAGCTATCAGTCGGCACAACCCGCCTATTGCCAAGCAAGTCTATTTTCCCAGTATGGGGTCGACAACCGATTGTACCTGGTCCATTCCACCAAAATTCGTTTACTTGTGGGGTTGTTTTTGAGCAAACATTTAATTCCGATGGCCGTATAAGTTGGTTCATGCGGTACTGCAATCATTTTAGCCTGATATATATGGTCCGCAGGCGTGACTGCGATCTGGTTCTTGGGGATAATCGCGCTGGTGGAGCTGTTGTTCGGATAGGCGGCAAAGACCCGCCCTTATCGTCGGACTTAGGGGAGTAAAGATTCCTTACACTATTGGTCATGTTAAGCCGCTAGAAGAGTCATAGCAATTGTCCTTTCTCTAAGGCCTCGTTTCTGGATCCAATATGGTTCTTTTTCGAGTCAAAGTATACATGACTGGGTCGCAAAGGCCAGAGAGTGGCATTGGAGCACCAGCGACGCAAGAATATGCCACACTGAATGTATTCTCACCATTGGTGGATGCCATCCGACCGACAGGCAATGGCAGTTTCAACACTATGTGCACGATGCGATAGCCGACCACGTAAAAAACGACGATCCCTATTTAGGCGGCGTAGACTATCGGCATAACTGCTTCCAAAATTTTCGGATTTAGGTGATTCTGCGTCGAAGTTGCACGAACATGATTTGCTCTAGAACGAGGTCAAAGAATTGAGATGGATTAGCTGCAGCTGGTACCGATGCTACGGGTGGCATGGCTTGTATTGTGAATGGCACTATATCCCTAGCCCAAGGCAACGCCGCACAAATGTGTGTCGTTTTCGGCCTTCTGTCTTGATTCTATTCTTGTCTAGTTTAAGAGAAACCCATGACTGATTGAGGCAGTTTGCAAAACGAGCTCGAGGACTACGAAACTATTAGAAAGGCCATCGAGGTGATGGAAAGCACCACAGTACCCAGAACACTTGGTGAAGATGCGGCTAAGAAGCGGATCAAGCTAACCCTATGCCGTTAGCATCAATTTCCAGGTGCGGAAAAGGGGCGGGGGTATCGGATATCTGAAATCCTTCCTTACGACCAAACTGCGAATCCGAAGCTGCGAATTGCACCGCCGAAAGTCCATGTTAACTCACTACTTGGTGGTCTATTCAAACAGACTGTTAACGGAGAGGATAATGAGAGACAAAGAACTTTGGTTGCCGATTGCGATCTGTGACTCGCAAAGTTTTCAGCCCTATCCGATTTTCGGAAGAAAAGGCCAAGACAACCTTATTTCACCTCATCCTGCCTGCTAGTGTCAAAGCTCGGTCTGAAATATTTCGCGCTCTCCTTTGGGGCAGACATAGTTCTAAACCATCATGTCTCGCCCGCGGCGTGACTCCTTAACACAGGGAGAAAAAACACTACATGACCAGTCCAACCTCCTACCCAAAAGGAAACTCATTTTCTGCCTTTGTATTGTGTCTCTGGGCCAGCTTATCTCTTTCGTCGATCAAAATGGTATATCCACAGCTTTACCAACTATTGCTGCCGACCTTGACGCCCGAAACACCATATCCTGGGCTGGAACTTCTTCGCTCTTAGCCAATACCGCGTTTCAAATGATGTATGGCCGCCTGTCAGATATCTTCGGCCGCAAGACTATCTTTATCTCCGCCATACTGTTGCTTGCTACCGGGGACTTGGCGTGCGGATTGAGCGCCAATGCAGCTATGTTTTACGTTTTTCGCGGCGTGGCGGGTATCGGTAGTGGTGGGATCACAAATCTCACCGCCATAATTGTTTCAGATGTCGTGACACTGGAGCAGCGAGGCAAATACCAAGGGATCATAGGTACCATGATTGGACTTGGGAGTGTGACTGGGCCTTTCCTTGCTGCGGCCTTTGTGTCGCGATCGACGTGGAGAGGATTCTTTTGGATGTTAGCTCCGCTTGGGGCGTTCAATGCATTGATGGCGTTTCTATATCTTCCATCGAAGGAATCAGAAACAACATTGAAAGAAGGCTTGAAGAAGGTAGATTTCTTGGGAGTACTGGCATCGTCTGTCGGTACCATATTCCTACTCATCCCCATCTCGGGAGGTGGTGCGTATTTTCCATGGAACTCGCCCATGGTAATCAGTATGCTTGCTATTAGCGGTGCATCTCTGGTCGCTTTTGTGCTTATCGAGTGGAAATTCGCCAAGATCCCCATGATGCCGAGTCAGTTACGTATTTACTTTTTCAGGATCTATCAGCTAACACCTAAGACAGTTACTGTTTACCGAAGTCCCGCCATTGTTATATTGCTAGTTCAATCCTTTCTTCTTGGCGCTGTATACCAATCGACGGTATACTACATACCTCTCTACCTTCAAAACGCCCATCAGTTGTCGAGTATTGTCTCAGCCGCTCTTCTTGCCCCTCTTGGTGGCATTCAATCAGTATTTTCGACTCTCTCCGGTTTTTATATTTCTCGGTACAGGCGCTTTGGCATCGTAATTTGTTTTGGCTTCGGCATGTGGACACTGTGGGTTTTCCCTGGCTCTATATCAAAAAAGATTTGACTACTAACCCGCACATATCCAGTGGTGCAGGTCTAGCTTTGATCTTCAGGCGACAAACAAGTCCGGGTGTCGTCGTCGTACCTCTCCTCATTATGGGTGTCGGTGTGGGTTGTGCTTTCCAGCCCATGCTGGTTGCCCTGCAAGCCCACTCAGCTAAGGAGAGAAGGGCTGTTATCATTTCGAATCGTAATTTCAACCGCAGTGCTGGTGGTGCATGCGGTCTGGCCATTTCTGCTGCTATTCTGCAAGCACGACTCCATGAGACTCTCCCAGCGGAGTATTCGAACCTGGCTGAATCCACATATGCCTTACCTGACATAAAGGGGGGAATCCCATCCTCGGTGCTAGATGCGTACATGGCAGCCAGTCATTTGGTATTTATTGTACAAGTGCCACTGATAGGATTGTGTCTTTTGGGATCTTTCTTTGTCAAGGATCATGGTCTGGCGCCCGCGGATGAAGCGCAACCAACGGGTGTACTTGAAGATGGGAATGAAGATAGAAGAGTTTAGGGTGCCGACCTATTTCACTATAACGAACATGATGCTTTTATAAAAAAAAAAGAAAGAAAGAAAGAAAGAAAACGGCCCCCCTAGGGGGATCGACGCATCTGAGTTGCCAGTGATTATTGTTCTAGTAGAAGTTTGACCGAGGTAAAATTCAGTTGATAACCTGCCCCTGGGGAAGATATGTCCAATTGCCAACTGCGACCTCGAATGCGCCATTCTGACTCCCAGGTCGACCATTCGTCGTTGCATATGGACCTACCAATGTCCCCGTAAACCCCCAGCTCAACTGATCTCCGCGTGCATATCCGTACGTCTGCATAAGATGTTGAGCATCGCGCGGCCCTGCTGCAAATGAATAATGGGTCCAGTTCAATGCCTTTACCTCGATAGTGATCGGCGTGTCAATAGACATGTATGATGGAAACGGGACCACCGTCTCTGGCGTAGGAAACTCCGACATTCCACGGAAACGGAAAAAGGGTGCAGTTTCAGCAGATTTGCTGTTTTCTCCTGTCTGGGGAAGTAGAACGATGCCTAGGTCGAAATGGAATGTTTGTACCAAGAAGACGCTGACGCCCACTTCATCTTCCTCTTTGCTGAGATTGGAAGCGTTAATGTCCAGTGTGTACGAGAACAAGTTGTCTGTCTGCCGTTTGCCGATGAATGTCTGTCCTTTGCCGCCTGTGGACACTCCATCGAGGGAGGTCAAATTCAACACTGACGAACGAAGAACCAGTGAGTTTTCGTAACCTGGCGGCGATACAAGATAAGTATCCGGTGTTGGGAGTCGCCAGTGAATCAGATCTAACGGCAATTTGGAGTTTGGCGGAAATTTATAATGATCTGGTGCATCCACGAGAGGACCCTCGCCTTCAGAGACGAGTATCGGTTCTGAGGGAAGTTCCCATCCACTTTCCAAGCCGCTCACAGGCTCAAAAATTGGCCAATCGCCCTTGTTCCAGGTAACAGGGGTCAAGACTGTCTCCCTTCCCATCGGAGAGTTCGTGAGGTCAGGTCCAGCTCGTGTAGACAAAGCGACTGCCCACCAGTTGCCGTTGACATCTTGAAACAGATCAGCATGTCCCACTGTCTGAAAGAATGCCGTTGTGTTAGTCGCGGTAAGTAATGGATTGTGAGGCGCAGGCTCATAGTGTCCATTGAGACTCTTCGATCGTGCCATGGTGACCCTGTGACCCGACCCTGTTCCGCCTTCGGCAATCATCAAGTAGTAATATCCATCTTTCTTGTATATGTGGGGTCCTTCCGGCGCCAATGCTCCCGTGCCATTCCAAGGGTTGGTCCATGGACCTGTGTGACCCGTCTGCAAGTCAATAGGCGCAGTTTGAATACCAGGCCAGACTTGGTATTCATGACTCCCGGTCACGTAGACCTGTCCATCATCGTCCCAGAACAAAGAGGTATCATATCCGCCAAATTCAAAATGCACGGGATCGGTCCAGCTGCCCGAGTCGAAAGGGTCGTTTGTGCTTATAAAGAAATTCTCCCAACGCGAGGTATTATTGATTGCCATGTTATCAAAAACCAAAGTCGTACTGATCCAGAATGTGCCTTTTTTATCTCCGTGTCCTTCGCGGTACCTCAATGTCGGCGCCCATATACCGCTGGTCGACTTTATCGTCGTCGCCAAATCAGGCAGCATCTCTGGCCTCGAAATGGCATTTCCGACCAGTTTCCAGTTTCGCAAGTCCTTGGATGCATGAATAGGTATCCCTGGGAAAGCGTTGAAGCTGCTCGAGGCACAAAAATATGTATTATCCCATGATGGAACAAATATGCAGCTGGGATCGGGATGGAAGCCTGGTAGAATCGGATTGGTATACGTGCTGTTGTGGCCATTGGCACTTGCCAAGGCAAGGCTGCTGAAAAGCACAGCTGTAGATAATGATCTTGGCATATTCACACGAAAGGGGCCAAAAATGCTCCAGTTCAACTTACTGGGATAAATTTCCCTCATTATATACTCGGTCACTCAACTTGTGTTTTCTGGGTAAAAGACAATCACCCCGCAAAATCAGATCCCCGATTGTTGGAGAAATGATAAATTACCGTACTAATTCACTACTAAACAGCCTATTTCACTGTACATCCAGAACAATCAACAGCTCTTCTGCTTCTTTTTACCTGGCTTAACGATACCGATATTTAGCCTAAATTGATGTCTTTTTAATGGCCCCACTGCCGCGCGGTATCATAGCTACAAGCTGCCATCCCCACTAAGTACCTGTAAAGGAAGGAAGAAAGATGCTTGGCACATCCTTAGCCACGCCCCGCAATCCTGCGGCATGTTGGTCAAGCTCTGGGGGAAGCGTTAGTGTGAGAAACGCAATTACCTAATACAACTAGATCGGCTCATAAGCCGCCGAAGGTCTATCAATCATTAATGGAATTTGGATTTCATTTATATCTATAGTATCTCTATACACTGTATTCAAACATGCCCTTGGCTACATACTCTCATTTCAGTCGTAAAGCATAAAATACCGGTCGCAGTGGATCCCAAAATGAGCAAAGACCGTCAGACAACCTCAGCTCTTTAATCCGGAGAAACCACTATTTTGGGTGTATCTTGAGAGCCAGGCGTAAGTGCGGTAGGGCTTGTTTCGGTTATAGATGGTGCTCGGCTAACGTGCTCTTCGTCCGGAGTTGATCCCCCAGGTATACTTCGCGGCCATGTCGAGGGATCGCCATGCAGGATTCTGATACCATGCTGGCTACCGAACTCGGATGGGCTCCCTCTTGACGGTAGCGTATTCGAATGCTTTGGGCGGGTTGGTGTGCGTGCTGGATCCGGCAATGATAAGTACCTTGACAAACCCCAGGGCGTTGTCGAATTCCCTTGGCCGTTGGATGAATCGGATTCAATACTTTCAACGAAGCTGCTGGCTCTGGATCGAGCTCTAGGAGAGTGAATGTAGGCCTTTTGAATATCAGGTAAGTTCACATTTCGGAACACCTCGCCCGGGACTTCTGGAAAAGCTTCCCCTCCCTGAGGATTAAACCCAGAATCTTCGAATTGACTGCCCGCTTTGGCAGCCACACGCATGCTCGCCATGTTAAGAAAACGAGCCACTTTCCGTCTTCCAGCTGGGTCGTGAGATTTTTCGGATTGATTGGTCATGGTGCGCTTAGTTGAGGGTATAGAAGGCTGGGTGACTGTTCTCTCCACTCCCGGTGATGGTTGTTCGTCGTTGCTTTGAGAATTGCGTCGTGAGCCTGTACTAGAATCTGCATTATCGCTTGAAATAGCACACTGATCGCATCTTGCGCATCTTCCGACAGGCTGATTCTTGGGTTCTTCGTCCGGCGGCGCTTCTCCTTTCTCTTCAGCTTCCATTTCAGCCGCGAGAAGAAGATAGAGAGATCCGACTGCGGCAAGTCCAGTACCAACGATCGGTGCCCACTGGCCTAGAGGAATTGCAAATCTCGTTCAGTAACTGTGATGGTTGTATGACAGAGGCCTCGAAGGCGATATGACGGGGATGACTTACCAACACTAGCTATTGGCTCCGTTTGATACCTGACAGGCTCACTGAAGAAATTCATCTCACCCTTGACCAGAATGGCCAGAACTGCAACGGCGAAGACTGGAATCTCGATCAGCGTGAGCCAGCTTCGTAGCCTTTTGGCAATGCCCGACATCTGCACGGGAGTAGCTCCATTTGTGCCTTCAATCGGTTGCTGATCGAGATTCTCGGTTTGCCGATCTCTACGGACAATCTTCTCCCAATTCTTCTCCAGGATCTTGATCCATGTAGACACCAGCGACAGAATGGCGGGGATGCAGCATGCAGCCGCGAGAAGCGTAGCCGTACTGAAGGTGAGTTGATGGGGCATTGGGATCACATAGATGTTGTTGGCCGAGTATTGTCGTAAAGGCGAAAAGGGGCCTTTGTCTCCACAAATCATGCCGCAGTTGCTCGTAAACAAAAATTTGCCTGTTGAGATCCATTCGATTGTCGCTGGGTCATCTGGTGGGCAACGCGTTGGTTCAAGGCGAACGAATTCTACAGTCAAACTAAGGAGCCCGGCTAGAAGGAGACCCGTCCACAAAAAGATGATGTCGCGACCGGGGTTGTTGAAGTATGTCTTGGAGAGTCTCACGGTGGCCGGCGCGGTCAAGATACCAATTGCGCACAGCTGGAAAGCCCCATAAACATCCATATCGACCGCTCCTACGAACAATTAGTCAGTGTGGTCAGCTTGAGAGGAGTGGAACGACGTCTGCCGTGTGCAAGACAAACTAACTCACCTTCGCGATGGACGGCCGCCAGGACGATCGCGTGGATAGCAGCGACGGCAGGGAAAAGCAGCGCAGCCGCCAAACAAGAATTACGAATCCATTCCTCTTTTCGAGCCAGGACACAGGCTACCATCAAAGCATAGTATCTGCAATCAAGGTCAGAATTCGTCCATTTGCGGCCAGGCTTGTTGATGAAAGAGCGGGGGGTTCTAGTCATACAGGACTCGGGTCCCGGGCCCATATTGCCCGGACACAGGCCAGGCGCAAACAACCTCTAAAACTGGAGCAGTTGTGTTAGTGGAAATCGGGTCGGTGTTGCGATGCACGAGGATATTTCCTAGCAGCTCAGCGGGCGACGGAATCGCTGGCATTGCTTGTCATCCGTCGTCGCGGGACGGTGGTCTTTGAGACGAGGGCAATTGAAGATTCATGTATCAATCCGCAGACACTGATTCTGTTTGTCGAATAGTCGTGGCCCCTGTCTCAGTAAGGTGAGGGCAGCGGAGTAGGCATTTAATAGGAGCCAAAGTATATCTCCAGCAGACCCCCGGACGAAGCGGATGCTTACCCGGGTTGAGCGTCATCAAAAGCGACCTCCGCACACATCATGCATGACGGCTCGTCAGCCTCATATTGTCCATTCAGCTTCCCCATAATATTAATATTTCTTGAATCATGCAATGGCCCCGTGACTGTAGCCCCAACTCTAGTGGCAGTTAGCGTCGGGCGCCGGAACACGAGACGGGGCGGCCGTTGCAGGCCTGATTGGTGAACCTCACACCGCCTACGCTTCATACGGAATCGCGCAGTGGCTGTGCCTGCATAGTCTGCATGGTGGCCTTTCGCTCGGAAGGATTCTGCGCGATTAAATATCAGGGAAGCGAAGAAAGATTTTTCGAGAATGATCGATTTCGGTTAGTTAGGTCGACTATCAAAAGTCAAAAAGTCTTATTAACGGGGCTGTGAGTTTGAACGAGAGTTCGAAGGTTAGCCACCGAAGAATTCTACATTGGTTATTATCGCGAACGCGCCCAGGATTCGGGAGGGGTCGACTGGGCAAAGTCTTGGCTGGGTCTTGGTTTGCAGTCTTTTGACATTTCTTCCAACGAGACTTGGCTCGAGAGACCAAGTTCAGACTAATAGGTGTTGGGCTAGTAAGCTCGTGCGATTCTGATTCTATCTGATTGCTCGCTCGTCGATTGAGGCTTAGATTTTTGTCCGAAGATCTTTGCTCGGCGTTTTTGGGTTGATAACCAGCGCTCCCTTCTGCTGCTTCAGAGGCAGAATTTTTCCTATCTCATTCTTAACACTGTCCGTGGTGTTCGGCAGGTTCCTGCAGACCCACTGCTCACCGAATGCCACCGCTGATGTTATGAATAATTTGTGTGGAGTTATCTCTGGAAAAATGGTTCTGGGTTACGTTCGACGGTTCTAAGTCAACGAAAATTCCTCGTCACATTCTGGTATGCGGGCATCATCGGGTTACACAGTGGCCACAAGTTGCGCAATCACAATCTAACCGGACGCCTGTCCTCTGCAGTTCTTGCCGATATGCATGTGCCATTTCGCGCCTGCGACTGAATCCCCACGCGACGCCCACATTAAGGTCTTCCCCACCCGAGGGCAAGGTCCAAAATGGCCCAAGACCTGGACACCAGCCAAATCAAACATTGGCGATCCATCATAACTCTCATCACCTTTGTTATAACAAGTAAGTGAACGCAGGAGTCGGGTAGGGTCTGTGGTTCAGCCTAATTGTTGTTGGGCAGATATCGTCGTGCTTTTCCCTTTTCACGTCCCAATATACATCCCACGATGGCTTTCCAACGTCATTCTGGATGGCCTGGGTGCATTGCGCATAATACCCCGCCGCGAGATACCCTCGCAACCCGAGAAGAAACCAAGCTCGTTCGTGCGGCTAAGCCTACCTCTCAATTTCGTGACCGCGCCATTAATAGCAGATCTCTTCCTTCTGGCTATCCTGGCCATTGGTCGTCAAGAGGTTCATGATGGAACCATCGGTTCGGACAACATCTCTCCCATCGACATCATGGCATTCTTCCTCACATTGGCTTATATCGCCATCTCCATTGATGCGTCCGGTCTCATCAGATACCTGGCCTTCAAGGTACTTCAGAAAGGAGGCGGCGTGGGCCACCGATTATTTTTCTTCCTCTACGCCTTCTTCTTCGGGCTCGGCAGCTTCATTGGAAACGATCCAATTATCTTGTCCGGCACAGCCTTTCTCGCCTACATGACCCGTGTGTCAAGAAATATTGTCCACCCCAGGGCCTGGATTCATAGCCAGTTCGCCGTGGCCAACATCGCCTCGGCCATTTTGGTCTCCTCCAATCCCACTAATCTGGTTCTGGCTGGTGCTTTCAAGATTAAATTCATCGTGTACACTGCCAACATGATTGTCCCAGTGGTAGTAACCGCCATCGTCATTTTCCCCTTCTTGCTATACATCATTTTTGCAGACGTATCTCTGATCCCGCTCTCTATTGAAATGCACGAGCTCTCCGATGAGGCCAAAGCTAAGAAGCCCGTGAATCCTAATATTCCCAACGCCAGAGGTACCGACGAGGTGATTGAAGAGGAGAATCCCGAGCATGGCAAATCCCTTTCCCTAGAAGAGATTATGAACCCCTTCCTGGATAAAGGAGGCGCCGCGTTTGGCGCTGTCATTATGGCCGCCACCCTCATTACCCTTCTCGTGCTTAACGCCGCGACCGACTCTGGCCATGAGCGACCAGTGTATTGGGTAACCCTACCCGCCGCTTTTGTCATGCTCTGCTGGGACCTTGCATCAGGGTGGATTCACCGGCACGAGACACGCGAAATTGCCGCCAAGGGTCGGCGGGGGCTTGAAATTGCTCGAGAACGGCAGAAATCACTTTGTGCCTCGCCGGAACAAATGGCAGTCGATTGCACGCCATCTATTGCACATGACCGTTTATCACCGAGCCCGGATACAAAGCACGCAAATGGTGGTATATCAATCGATGCCGCCGCCGACGGAAGCACCGACACCAAATCGCCTCATCCGGACTGTCAAACGCCTGTGTCAGCTTCGGTCATTGCTGAAAAGGAGGAGCCGTTCCCCGATATGCTACCAGAAGCTACAATCGTAAATAGCTCGAAAGAACGGGCTCTCACATCTTCGCCTGAGGCCCTAGACGCACCACCATCCGATGGGATCGATGAGGAGACACGAGGAGCTGTGTACAATCCCGAGAAAAAAACGCCAACAACTCTGGTATCACTCGCTGCCGATATCTACCGGTGGCTACAGGAGACCTTTCCCACTGTCACAGTAGTAATGTCTCACCTCCCATTCCCGCTGATTCCATTTGCGCTGTCCATGTTCGTCCTCGTGCAAGCACTTGTGACCAAGGGATGGGTGCCAGTATTTGCCTATGGATGGGATCACTGGGTCAAGAAAACTGGGTCGGTTGGGGCAATTGGCGGTATGGGATTTTTGTCTGTGATCCTATGCAACGTGAGTATCTCAACGATACCCTTCATGTCCATCTTTCGACCGACTAACATCTTATTATGACCAGTTTGCCGGAACGAACATCGGGACAACCATCCTCCTCTCCCGCGTTATCCAATCCTGGGAAGAAATCCATCGCCAAAATAGAACCCCCATCAGTGATCGTGACTTCTGGGCTACAGTGTACAGCATGGCTCTGGGTGTCAACTACGGCGCATTTAGCACGGCGTTCAGTGCATCATTGGCTGGTCTGCTGTGGCGCGATATCCTGGCAAGAAAACATATCCGCGTGGGTAGTATTGAGTTTGTTCGTGTCAATCTGCCTATTATTGCTGTTGCTATGGCTGTTGGGTGCACTGTTCTGGTTGGCGAGGTCTATATTGTGAGGAAAACCACACCTTACATCATATGATGAGCATGATGGGTTGCTCGTGGCAGTAAAATCGGGGAGTAGACTTGATATTAGTTTATGACTGTTATGACGGCATGTTTTTTGAATCCGCTCTATTTGTTCTGTCTATTCTCAGTTGCTCAGGTAGAAGGCTACGATTAAGTACAAGACAAAACGAACCCGAATCCCATCAAAATAATGGGTACGCAAATGTCAGGGTTATGCACGGAGAAAGAAAAAAAATCTATTCGGCAAGCTAGATTTCTCTTGAGAATGAAGAATAAGATTGAGTTTCCTTAGAAGGAGAAAGGCAACTAGTATATACAGAAGTCTATGGGAACGAGGACGAGGCGAAGGACCAATGTTGGATTCTTTCTTAGTCAATTATTTCCGAGGACAATGATAGGTAATAATGAAACATGTTCTGACAAAATGGATGATTTGCATTTAGGGCGAAGCATAGTTAGTCACATGAGGGGATGACGTCGGGCAACAACAGAACATCCACGAACCGCTTCAACCACCCCCGGGACGATGAGACATGCTGTCGTCTTGAATGCGACCAAGCTAATACCATTGCAAAGGAGCATCCACTCTTCGACAAAACACAGCTCTATTCTCGAGCCCCGGTTAGAAGATCATGGCAAGGTCATTCGCGACGAATACTCGGTGATCCGCGATGATTACGGTTCGTTTCCCATCCCACAGCCACACACAGCTCGCTGCTCACCATTCGTCCATATAGCGGCACCAAAACACCCCGTCGTCCTCGCGCACGGTCTGCTCGGATTTGATGAATTACGACTCGCCGGCCCATATCTTCCCGGTGTCCAGTACTGGCGCGGGATCAAGGAGGCGCTATCCGCGCGAGGAATTGAGGTGATTACGGCCACAGTGCCCCCATCCGCATCAATTGAGGCGCGCGCAGAAAAACTTGCCCGACTTATTGAGATGGACGCCCGCGGAAAGGACGTCAATGTCATTGCGTATGTTCAGTGTTGCTTCCGATCTGGTCTGATAGTAATACTGATGATTATGCATACAGACATAGCATGGTATGGATTTTATTGTCTCTGAAATGAAAACAGTGTCTGATTCATCCTCTAGGGGTGAGATAACTATCGCGACTGGCTTCCGCCTTCTAGTGCAACAGCTAATGAGAAGCGCGAAGAGGGCTTGATTCACGATATATGATCAGTCGTCTCCAGCCCCAGAAATTCAAAGTACTGTCGCTGACTACGATTGCGACTCCGCATCGAGGTCTGTCATTGTTGTCCGCTCTCCCCCGACATCTCTAATTATGCGGACAGGCTCGGCCGTGGCGGATTATGTGTTGGAAACGATAGGAGGTTTGTTTGCCGGATCCAGTCTGATCACAGCCAAAGCTCATACGCTTTCCAGCCGATCGCCTACCGCAGATCTACTATGCACTTGACCGTCTAAAAGTTGAGACTGGTGCCTTTGAACAGCTAACCCGGAAGTACATGGGGGAGACCTTTAACCCGAACACGCCTGATATGGACGATGTCCGGTGCGTTTCATCGAAGATGACCAGCTGTCTCCATTGCTAAAGTCCTCCATAGCTATTTCTCGTATGGTGCCGCAGTAAAACCGAGTATCTGGTCCGTCTTCCGGCTATCCCATCGCATCCTAGCTGAAGCCGAAGGCCCCAATGACGGCCTGGTCAGCGTCGCCAGCAGTCGCTGGGGAGGCGAGCTAGGGTACAAGGGAACGCTGGTGGGGGTCAGCCACCTCGACTTGATCAATTGGACCAACCGGCTCAAGTGGCTCGCTGGGGAAGTGACAGGTAAGCGACAACAGTTCAACGCGATCGCATTCTACCTGGACATCGCAGGTATGTGATCTGATCCACCGTGGGGGCCAACCCTTCGGGCCGGGGGGCTGACGATCTCGGATCCTTAGACATGCTGGCTAAGGCCGGCTTGTGAGAAACACTGGTGCCTGGAAAACCTTGGAATTAGAAAACTACGTACATACCACGACGAGATGTCATAATCTATTATTGGAATAACGAATGCGCGAGGAACATACTTGTAGCCTTGAGCAGCAGCGCTTCTCTTGCCAGTGCAAGCACTATATAACTGCTGCACTGATCGTCGATGTAGTCGAACACCCTGTCTAGGGTACTACTGCCTGGTTCCGTCGCAAACACCGAACATTGCCAATCCAATCCCTGGACCAAGTGTGGCTGAGCGACAAGGCGCAGTTTTTCCTTATTAATAAACTTCTTATTTATATGAACAAAAAGGAAGAGTATTATTATTGATCGTGTGGAACAAACCAAGCTCGGGCAAACCCCCGGCCTGATCCGCCCCACGTCATTCTTTGCTCCTTCGTTGAGCCGCTTTAGTTCCTCTTCTTCCTTCCTCCCTCGTCCCCAATTCACCAACTTCCTGAGGGCTGTCCGCCCGTCGACCCTGACAAAATTGGCCCGCATCGCACGAACTGAGCTGAAGAACCGGGAAATCCGAAGACCTGCGACAGGGAGAGCGCACGCACCCTGAGCCTCGGGCGCTCGCCGCCATGTCCGCCACCATCGTGCTGGCCAGCCAGCAGCAGAAGCACTACACCAATCTCGACTACATTTCTGGCAAAGTCATTCTCAACCTCCCCACCGAAACAGCGATCGGAGGTATCCAGGTCAAGTTGGAGGGCGAGAGTCGCACACGTCTCTCCGGGCCCCGGAATCCCAACAATGTGCATTCCGAAAAGAAGCGAACAGAGCTAGAGGTTCACAAGGTGAGTTGAGGGTTAGCCCATGGGCTTTAGCTGAGCAGCAACACTGATCGTGTACAGATCCTCTACAAGGTCGCGACCGTCTTCCCCACGCCGGCGGTCATGCAGACGGGTTCGCTGGCAACCTCCTACACTTTTGCGCCGGGCTCCTACGAATATCCGTTCCAGTTCAAGTTCCCCTTCAACAATGCCTGCAGTACCCACAACAGCATGCTCACCAATCTCAACCTCAACTTGGCCGGGCTGAGGGTGGAGATGGCTCGCGATACGAACCGTCATGTCAAGAAGACTCTTCCCCCGTCATTAAGCGGGTTTCCCGGCATGGCAGATATCAAATACTATGTGAAAGTTACGATCATCCGGCCGCAGTTCTACAGTAAAAATATCAGAGCGGTGGGTATTATTTCTAAATAGGGTTGGAATGGCTCGCTGATTTGATATCTGGCAGACCGTGGGCCTCAATTTTCTCCCAATTGAACCACCGCGAACCGGGAATCCCAACGAAGAGACCTACGCTAGGCGGCAACATCAATTTTCAAAGGTCCAGGGAGGCCAGAAGAAGAGTCTCTTCTCACGCGCATCTTCTCGGGACGCAGAGCCTCCTCGCGTGGCTGTGGATGCACGACTTCCAAACCCTCCCATTCTCACTTGCAACGAACCAGTCCCGCTCCGGCTCCTTGTTAGGAAGGTCACCGAAACTTCGGAAACCATATACCTCCAGATGCTGCAAGTGGAACTAGTTGCCTACACCAAGATTCTGGCGCACGACCTCAGCCGCACTGAAACTGGCTCCTGGGTCATTATGAGCCGCAGCAACATGAATATTCCCTTAGGTAAACCCGATGAGCCGGTAGGCACCGAGTTGCCTCTTGATGCGAGTTTATGGAATCGCTGGCCTCTACCAAACACGGTAGCTCCGTCTTTTGAGACATGTAATATCGAGAGAAACTATGAGTTGGAGGTCCGGGTAGGCCTGACGCATGGCAGTCCTGGGAGCATGAAGGTGCGTGTATTCTTTGGCTTTTATTTTGGATTTGATTAACTCTGTTATAGCCTCAGCTCATTGTTCTTCCTTTGCGAATGCCGGTCAAGGTCTATTCCGGAATCGCTCCTCCGCAAGCCCTGTTGGACGCCCTAGCCGCCGCATCTTTACAACCTTCGCCCCCAAACACCCAACCCAGCTTGCCAGCAAACGCAGGCCAGTCTCGGCCCCTTATGCCCCCACGACCGGCGACATTACCAGCACCCGTGAGCGTCGGAGACATCTACGACGAAGCACCCCCTAGCTACGAGGATGCGATGGCAGATAATATAGGCCCAGTGGATGGCCCCCGCCGCGAGTATCACCCACCAGACGTCTCCTCTACCACTTCGGGGAGCACCATGGAATCTGGAGCTGATGCCAAGTCGCCAGTCGGTGAGGATGGTCCTGCGGCAGCGGGGACTTCAGGATCCGCAGCCTACCGCGAGCACCGCTCCTCCTCTGAATCCTTTGATATGCTGCCTACCACCCCTCCCGAATCTCCTTCGCCGCCTACCTCCCCCGTCGCACGCTCACGCAGTACTGTGAAAGTCCCCCGGAATAACCCCGACGATGACGAGAGTCCACCGCAGTATCAACCTGTTGCGGATGATCAATTGCAAGCACCGGCTGCGGTGGAGCGCAGACCATCGAGGCCTAATCTGGGCGTTCCGAGCCGGAAGCCTGTTCCACGTACTTCTGGCCGGAAGTGAGCTTAGCCGTGATATTCCTTTTACCCAGTTACTGTGACATTGTGACCTCGTTGAATGATACCTACAAAACAGAGGATGCAAGGCGTACAGCCGTACATAGGCACGCCATTGAACATCCAGTCATGGTTTTTGACCTTGCATGCCAGCTTTATCACGGATACCCCCTTTCTTATGTATATAAATGGTCTTTTTTTGCATTATATATTATTAGTGGAGTTGGGACTGTCAATCAATTGCATGAATCAATCATTCATAATCCATCCAAAATATAGATCTGTAAAGGTTCTGCCTGGGGCATTCAACATACCCATCGGGTTAGCGCCACTGCCTCCACGCGGTCGAGCTCCGTTTGATTCTTTCCTTGCGCAACTTCACTTCCATTGCCTTCGACTCTCCAGAAAGTACTCGGAGGAGCATGTTCAACCCAATTCCGACTCCTACATGGCAGTCGCCATAACTTTTCCTCCCTTAGTTCTCTCTTCTGTCTTTCCTTATTCAGTGTCGCGTCCTCAATCCTGACCCCGAGTCTGCAGACCGCGATCTTGAACAGCGACACAACCTGAACAGCACAAGATTCACCTATTGTCCCCGATGATCTAGCGCATTCTGTCTCCTACACACACTATGCGTTTCCACCTTGTCATCTCACGCCACGGCTTGCCCGTCACGCGCATCCTATGGACAACCACCTCTCCGGCCTCCGCAACAGGCGGGTATGGCACGCAAACCGCAGCATCCACCTCGGCTATTTCGTCAGCTCGCAATCCAAACATCGCATTTGCAAATGGCGGGTACACGGTTGCGCAACTCCTGGAAGATGTGAACGAGGTTGTCCCGCTCGAGACAGGGCCGTCTCTGTTCGACGCGGAGTCCTCCGGACAATGGGGACTGGAAGATTATGTTGTTGAGATAGGTGGCTCGGAATGTTTGCATTTCATGGAGGTGGAGGGTTTGTTTCGGGAGGGTGATGAGGTTATGTATGAGTTCCGGATCTGTCCTTCGCTACGGGGTTTTTGCTAATTCACGCTACAACAGTATCCGAGCGCTCCAACTTTCAGATCTACGAGCAAGGCGCTTATGCGGGCGCCACCAGATTTCGAATGATGGCAAGCATCTCATCGACGGTGTCCCCTTCGGGTCTCCATACCTGAGACGGACAACTTCCGCTCGACCTGTCATAAATATCCCCCCGCGAAAGAAACGGCGCACGGTTTTCTCGGGCTGGGAGTCCGATCATGCCCCGCAGTATCTGCCCCATGAGATTCACACGGATGCAGACGAAGAAAGCGCAGATCGCGACTGGCGGCCAGCGGGCGAGTCGAGTTTTGGCAAGGAACTCTCCGTCATACCCGCCGAGCATGAATCATCTGATATGGGGACTGTGATCCGGCATCCTATCCACGACGACGATGAGAGCGACCGCGACTCTGATTTTAACGAAGAGGAATTGGAGAACGAGCTTCAAGCTTTGAAGGAAGACTTCGAAGGACCTGCGTCTCAATTTAGCAATGTTGAAAGCCAGGATCGACCTGTTAGTGGGCATGCCTTGCGCTCGAGCTCGGCATCCAAGAGACCCTCCTCGGCGGAGACGCAGCGCAGGAGTTCACTGCGACCAACATCGTCTCTTTCTAACAAGCAATTCCATGGAGAAGATACCTCGCCGCGCACATCCAAAGCTGTGCGATTTAACGGAGGGGGTGGCACATCGAGCGATCTGCCTCAGCCTAATGGGGCAACTGATCGCAAATCTCCCATCTCCGAATCCTCTGCGTCCTCGTCCAGCGACTCCAGCGACTCTTCCGATGCTGACTCTTCCGACGAAGAAGATTCTGACTCTGATTCATCCAGTGACTCGGATGGCTCTAGCTCAGAGGCGTCTAGCTCAGAGGAATCGGAAGGGATCGAGGGTACTCCGCCTGCAAAGAAGGCGAGACTCTCGATTCTCAACCCACCTGGCCATGGATCAGTGCGAACTCGAAAAAGCAATACTCGTTACAAGCTTCGTCGCCGTCTATCAAAATTGAAGGAGCTCGGTATTCTGTCCACGGATGCAGATTTTGCCGCGTTACGCGAGTGGGAGCAAGCCAACGGAGGGTGGTACTTGCCCGTCGAGTCGAGCGATGTGTCCCGGCCTTTGAGCAAGGAGCAGAAAAAGGAACAAGCCGAGGCAGAGTTCGAGGCTCGGCGTCAGAAACTGCTCCGGGATCTTGCGGCTGGTGGCGTTGAGGTAGACGGGTCGTCGGAAAAAGAGAATGTCCCTCCCCGGCAATCTGTCGCTGTCGCTGATGAAGAGGTACCTGCCAATGGAAAAGCGGCCGAAGAAAGATCCCCGGCGACTCGTCGCACACTGGACATTGCAAGCTCTCGTCGAATGCTCTTTGGGTCTCTCGGGGTACGCACGCCCAAGAACAAGGAAGAAGACGAGGCAGCGAGACGCAAATTCGCTGCCCAAGCTAGTACCGTCCATTCTCGGAAGAAGAAAGAAGAGAAACCACCCATCGAGGAAGAGAGTGAGTCGGATATAGACTGGCAAGAAAAGCTGGTCATCCGTGCAACCGAGTGTGTTTTTGAAGATGTCGAACTGAGTGGGCCGCCGTTTCCGTTCAAGCAACGCTGGGATGCGGATGCTAATGCGATGATTCGGGAGCTCAAAGGCGGGGGCAAGAAGCGGAAAAGAAAGCAGCGAATCCAGGTTTACAACAACGGTGGTCAGGAAGATGAGTACGACGATGGGAATGCCCATTACGAGGCTTACTTTGAAGGCGATCATCAACTCAATTATGATGATGCCGAGCCAGAAATGACGGAGACAGACCCCAAGGAGAATGTTGAAGATCTCCCAGCTCTTCCAAGCGACATGACCTCTCTTCCCCATCTTGAGCCAAGCGATGTGAAAGTCGGAGTCATCATTGCCTTCCGGCAACTTGACATGTCGAAAGCCACAAACTGGCAACCACGAATGTCTGAGTATCGAGTCGCCGAAGTCCACGAAGTGGGTGATCATGACATGATCAAAGTACGACTTGCGCAACGCGATCGGAAACCCAAGCCCGTCGAAATGGACATGGACGATGAGCCCCGCCGGTACAGCGGGTTCGAAATGCCGGGATATGACGACGACGAAGAGGAGGATGATGGATTCCGGGAGCTTGCCTTTCCAGAACTCAGCGATCCCAAGCTTCTCCAGCCTGCGAATTTGCATGGCCAGGAGGATAGCGTGTCAGTCAATTGAATTTCTTCTTTTTCTCCCCGTCTACATTCTTTGCAATGTTCACGTGCTTACTTGTTTCCAAGTCTTGTATCTGTAGTTGAAGATTCTATGCCGAGTGCCCAGCCTGCTTCGGGTCTGGCTGGAATGGACGTCGATGAGGATACGCTTGTCACCGACAGCGGACAACCACTCTCCCCACCTAATCTTGCGCCACCATCTGAACAACCCTCGGCTCCTCCTCAAACAAACGGAACCGATGACCGTAGTCAGAGTTCACGGGTATCATCGCCCGCTTTTCTCGGATTTCCTCTCCCCCTGGTGGAAGTGCACTCCTCGCAGCGCTCAATTTCAGGACATGATCCGGCTGAGGCAAGCATGCTTGATGGGCAAACTCTTATCGGAGAGGCGCATCTAGCTCCGGCAGACAGTTCCAACCAGGAAATATCATTTTTGTCAAACGGGCAGTCAGGCGAACTTGATGCCCAGGTCGACGATCGGGGAGTCGTTCATCCTTTGGAGATGCAGTCGTCTCAGGTTGAGTACTACGATGCAGCTCTGAGCGCGTCTCAGGCTGAGCTTGGGGCATCACAAAGCAGTCTACGGTCGAGGCCGTGGGAGACGTCTCTGAGGTCGTTGAGGAACGCGACCGACTCTGAGGAACTTGGGGATGAGGAGGATCGAGATGGCCTCAACCTCTCACCAAACCCATCAACCGAGACAAAAACAACCCCATCCAAGCGCAAATCCCCACCAAGCGGCCAAAAAGATACTCCCACGCCCTCTCAACGTCTCCCGAATCTCGACGTCGACTCGCCGGCAGCCTCCACCCGCTCTCGATCCAGGCGTTCTCTTCGTTCCCGCGAATCCCGAAACTCTCAGGTCCAACCATCGCAGGCGTCTGTCGAAATTGACCTAACCTTATCGTCCAGTCCACCACCAGGGAACTCACAGCAGTCCCAGTCACAACCAAATAGCAATGAGGATGGCGGGTCTCAGTCGTCGAGACGGCGCACCAGGACGTCGGGCAAAGTGCGGCGGTTGTCATCCGGTTAGCATTGGCCGTCGCTAATTTGGATTTCTTCCTTCGTTTGTATCTAATATTTTCTTGTGTATCTTATTCACTCATTCACATCGGACAAATCATTCAGGTGGGAAGCATTCTCCGGAGAATCGATGTCTATAGTTCGATCATCCAGTATGCTCGGGTGGAATGGGACGATTCTCCCCTCTATACTAGTCTGACAACCTGCCCTACATGATTGGCTCCGGCCCGCATCCAGGGTGATGTCATCCCGAGTATATGAATCACTGCTGCATTCTTACCATCTAGCTGTCTCTCCTTTTTCTTCTCCTACTCTCTCTCTGATTGACCATGAGAAGAGCACTATTCTCTCTTCCTAAAACGAATCCCCGCCCACGTCAGCTCCCCACCCAGACCCGTCCATCAACCCCCAGACAGGGCCGGTGTAACTTCCGGCAGAGTCCCCGCCGTGCTTGTCTCTGCTGTGCCCCCCATTATTATTTGCCTTTAGGTGCTGCGTTTAACCCCTCACGCATATTATTACCAATCCTCTCTGCTGCGCCTTCTTCCCCAATTTCTTCGTCGCTCCTTCTCCATCTGAATAAATTCACCCGCACATTAACGACGAAATCAAATACAAAGACCACATCCACCAAAATGGCTCAAGAATACAAATTGAAGGATATCACCTCCTTCGCGGACATTGCTCCCACGGAGAAAATCGAGTGCGAGGTGGAGGGTGTCCCGGATGGAAAAGTGCTCGTCCTGAAATTCGACGGCCAGGTGCATGCCCTCAGTCCTCGCTGTTCGCATTACGGGGCGCCCCTCAAGGGGGGTGTTGTGGCGCCAGATGGGAGGATTACTTGTCCGTGGCATGGAGGTTCGTCTCTCTTCCCTGTCCCTTCTCTTGTCATTATAGCGAAAATAAAAGAAGGGAGAACGGGAAGCTGATTGATATGGATCAGCCTGTTTCAACATCGGCACCGGCGACGTGGAAGACGCCCCCGCACCCAACGCGCTGAACAAGTTCGATGTTTTTGAGAAGAACGGCGCCGTGTATATCCGCGGCACGGAGGCCGATATCAAGGCTGGACAGCGGAACCCGGTCGTCAAGTGCAGCGTGTCGCAGCCGGAGGAGAGAGTCGTGATTGTCGGCGGGTATGTTTGGGCTTTGTTTCTACACCGCATCATACCGATTCTAACAAGCAACCAGTGGAAGCGGCACTCTGGGTGTCGTGCAGGCCCTCCGCGAACTCAAGTACCCAGGCCACATCACCATCATCTCGCGCGAGCCGCATCTCATTATCGATCGGACCAAGCTCTCCAAGGCCCTGATCGCAGACGCATCCAAGATCCAATGGCGCCCGAAAGAGTGGTACGCCGAGGCAGCGATCGAGACGGTCTCGGATGAGGTGACGGCCGTGGATTTCGAGAAAAAGTCCGTGTCCACGCGCTCCGGCAAGAACTTCCCATATACGAAACTGGTTCTTGCGACGGGCGGCGTGCCGCGTGTCCTCCCTCTGCCGGGCTTCAAGGCCGGCGAACTGGGCAATATCTTCACGCTGCGTGGAGTCGCAGATGTGCAGGCCATTCTTGCCGCGGCAGGCTCGGGGAAGAAGAATGTTGTAGTTATTGGGAGCTCGTTTATTGGGATGGAGGTTGGTAATGCCCTATCCAAGGACCACAACGTTACGATTGTTGGGATGGAGAGCGCGCCCATGGAGCGAGTGATGGGCGCCGAGGTCGGGCGGATCTTTCAGAAGAATCTGGAGAAGAACGGGGTGGCCTTTAAGCTGTCGGCGGGTGTGGACAAGGCCGAGGCCTCTGCTTCAAATGCGCAGACTGTCGGCGCAGTGCATCTCAAGGATGGAACCGTTCTGCCCGCCGACCTGGTCATTTCGGGTGTGGGCGTCCGTCCCGCCACGGATTTCCTGCGCGACAATGCATCTATCTCGCTGGAAAAGGATGGATCCATCGCTACAGACACCCACTTCGCCGTGCCCGGTTTAGACAACTCCGTGTTTGCAATCGGCGATATCGCAACATACCCCTACCGCGGCCCCGGCGCCGATGTAGCCAACGGCGGCTCGCCCACGCGCATTGAGCACTGGAACGTCGCGCAGAACGCCGGCCGCGGTGCCGCGCGGGCGATCGTCCATTCCCGTCGCAGCTCGCTCTCTTCCCTGCCGTCCAAGGCATTCATCCCCATTTTCTGGTCTGCACTCGGGGCCCAGCTGCGCTACTGCGGAAACCCTGTACATGGCTATGACGACGTCCTGCTCCGTGGTGAGCCCGAGAATGCCAAGTTTGTGGCGTACTACTGTAACGGAGATACCGTTGTTGCGGTCGCTACGATGGGCATGGACCCAGTGATGGCCAAGTCGGCCGAGCTGATGCGGCGTGGGAATATGCCTTCGAAGAAGGAGATTGCGGATGGGGTTGATGTGCTCAAGGTTGGTGTGCCGGAGGGCATAAGCATGTGAAAATGAAGTAGTAGTAGTCATGATATACACGAATGAACTGTTTCTGTTTTAACTATAAAATTCGAAGTTTTCAGTAGCAAGCATGTACACATGGCCCTTCAAAGCACCGGAACGCCTTCCAATAATAACAATGGCAGATATATATGCAGACTCTAATTCGCCTTCTCCTTGTCCTTCTTCTTCGACTTGGACTTGCTTTTCTTCTTGTTGTCTGTGTCGACATCAATCTCCACCACGGAGACATCCTGGACAGCCGACGCCGGCGGCACATTGGTGATAGGAATCGCGCTGCTGCTCCTTCTCGTCGACGAAGAGATAAACGACAACGGCATCGCATGACCCTGCCGCTCAGCCTCAACCAGTTTTTCCTCTTCCTCGGCGGAGAGCATCGTCCCCTCGATACTCATGAATCCGCGATCCCGATCTGATCCGGGGATAACATCAATGTCCACGACGCGGAACTTCACAGAGCCGTGCACACGATGCCCCGAAACAGACTGGAAGTAGCCCGTCGCCGACTCATCGTCCTCGTCATCGCCATCGAGCGGAATCTCCTCCGCGGCTACTGTAGCAGGCTGGAAGTGCTCCTTGGCGGGATCAAAGCCATTCTCATGATCAGAGGATTCATCGTCTGTCGCTTCTGCAGACCTTATGGCCTTGCTGCCGCCCTCTTCGCCCGGCGGCACCCACGTCCAGTTCGTGGGGAGGCGCTTGCGCTCAATGCCGACAGAGAACAGGTTGAGCACAACTGCGCCCATGAATCCCTCGGACTGCACATTCACCCACCCGTCCAGGGTCTGTCCGCGCTGGGGATGAAACACCAGGAACGTGGCCGTCAGGTAGACGTACAGCACGCCGTACTCGTCAGCGGTCGTGGCGAGAGTGAGTGGTTGCGGATTCGGGTCTGCGGAGGATCTGGCCGCAGAATTGGGCGGCTTGCTGGCGATAGAGGCATTCGAGTAGGCCAGAATGATCCCCTTCAGCGGGGGGTAGTACGTCAGCAGCAGCGGGGAGAGATGCTCGGCCAGGAGCGAGGCGAGCGCATGCGTCGGCGAAATAGAGATGGGCGCGAGAGGTAGGTAGAGGGTAGCGGTGGTAAGTGCGAAGGGAGACTCAGGGTCTGCCGACTCCGGGGCTTTGGTCTTTTTGCTCTTTTCTCGCGATGCATCCGTTTGCTTGCGCTTTTTGGTCGGTGATGAGTCCTTGTCTCTGTTCTTGTGTTTGCGTTTGCGCTCGGAGTCTTTGTGGACGAGGGAGGAGCTGTCGATGTCCATTGCGTCGACGGCCATGGGGACGCAATTGCGCTCGACTGAGCAGGTGTGGGATAAATCGTGGAATAATCGAATTGAATGGAGTCGAGAACTTTTTTTTCCTGTATAGCCTAAAGTAGAAAGCGGTGTCCCGGGCGGAGTGCACTGACGGCACTGTTGACAAACAACGTTAAATGGGGGCCGCTTATCGACCCTTTGGACTCGCTGAGGACAGGTTGGAAGAATGCAAGACGCTTCAAACTAATCGTCCACTATGTCCTCCACCCTGTCGGCTATCCTGCCGTTTATCGGTTGGGGATTCCTTCCCGGCGTGAGTTTGTATCATCAGCTATTGGGCCAATCTTCTTGTCTAACAAACCCACCGATTAGTATGCCACGTCCTTCCTCCAGAGCATCTACTATGGCCTCACCATTCGCGCCGGCCAGCCACGACCCGCGCCACAGTCCCCCCGCTACCAGCGCCATCGCCGCCGGATCTACATCGTCGTGATTGTCAGCTATCTCTTGTATACACTGCTCGAGACTTTCCGCCAAGTCCAGCGCGATGGGGACTTCTACGAAGTGCTAGAGGTGTCGCCCTTTGCCGAGGAGCGCATCATCAAGTCGCGGTTCAGAAAACTCGCTGCGCAGCACCATCCAGACAAAACGGGGTTCGACAGTGAGTCCGATGCGTATTTCCGCTTCCTGCGGGGCGCGCAGGAGACCCTCGTGGACCCCGTCAAGCGCTTCGCGTATGACCGGTTCGGGCCTGATATGCAGAATTGGGGACCTCAGAAGACTATGCGGGACTATATCATGACATCGATCACTCGCTCGATTTTCCCGCAGTATTTCGGTGGTTTGCTCGTTATGATGGTGTTGAACTGGTTCTGGTGGTCGAATCAAGGGCGCTATGTAAGTCTTTCCTCTCGGCTCAACATGCTATGGCCTAACCATTCTGCAGTGGCGCTACTACACCTTGGCCGCGATGCTCACGCTCGAACTATTCGTCATCACTCATCCGCAAGCCGTGTTCATGCCGGGAGCCTACCTCCCCGGCGCACTACAGTCATGGTTCCCCGGCGCAACACGGTACCTACTTCCATTCCAGATCTTGACCCTAGCCCGACGCGCCTCGATCACCATGCACATTTTCATCTCCCAAATCGGACCGCGCATTGACCCAGCTACCGGCAACGGCGAGAAGCTGTCCCAGCAGACCATGCAGCGGCTGGGCCAGGTGGTGGCGCTGTCGCGCGCGGCAGACGTCGAGGCCACCCGCACACTGCAGCTGGGCCTGGTGCCGTTCCGCGGCGATCGCGAGATTGTGTCGACGCTGCGCCGCGGCATGAAGGAGGGGCTGATCCTGGCTGGCGTGCGATCCAGCCCGGAGGTGCAGGGGGCTGTCGCGCAGGTGATGGAGCGGCGGAAGGCTGAGAAAGCAGATTGATTGGATTGACGGGAGGTAGCTGTGTATAGACGATGGATGGTTTACAACGTATATATAAAGAGGGTTTTTTTTTTTTAGATGTATCGCACTCGATGATGCGGCATGGAATAATCAATCCCTGATTCGTGGGACATGACCAATTTTCTTTTGCGTTGGATCACTTAATTCACTAGTCGCGCAAATACCGTCCGGTGGCAATCGCTCAGCCTGGGTCCATGATCCGAGTGAGCAGTCCGTCTAGTGTACGCGTGAGACACGAGTCAGACAGTTCAGTCCCCTCGTCACCCGATCTGACTGTCCGTGTCTGCCGAGTGTGGACCGCCATTCATAGTTTCGGGAGACCGCGGGTGTGTCGAAGTGGTCGATCCATCCATCCGCCTCCGTTTGTGAGTTAGGGCTATCCATAGTTGGGTACAGATGTGTTGGCTTGTCCGGAATGTGCACTCGCCCTCAACCAATGCTCGCAGTCACCCCCACGAAAGACCAGCAGGGATGAGCAGTAAAACCGCCCCTCGAGGATGCGTCAGGAGTCGTCTCCGACGGGATGGATGTACAATCATGCCCAGTATTTGTGAGAGCCAAGGGATCCGTGCTGTAATATACTTGTCACTGGCTCGCCTTCTGGCAGGGTCACCCGGGTATATAATACGGTATCAAAACACGGACTGCGCTCATCGCCGCCAGATACTTCCACCTCTTCCTCACTCCCAGAATAATAGACGAGACCACAATGAAATCCACTCCCTCGATCCCTTTCCCTGCCGCCTCCCTTTCTTCCACTTCCCCCTTCCCTTCTCCCCCTTCCATCTCCATCCTCCCCCCATCTCATCCATCACCCATCCATCCACACTATGCTCCTCGCCTCACCAGATTCCTCCTTGATTATTCTCTATAACGCGGTCTGAGAACCCCGGGCCTGAAAAACAAATTCGGGCGGAAAAGACACATCACCACACCCTGACAGGCACTGCCTCATCGCAACACCACCCTCCTCGGCTCTCCCACCACCCCCTTTCTTTTGGTTCGATTCATCTACAAAACGAAAAGTCGCTCTTCCATCATGCCTGCCGCCGGCACCACCTCGTCCACCACCAACGGTCGCTCGGGCCGGGGCGCCGGCTCGAAGAACTCCTCCAAGGGCAAGCTGGTGGTGGTGCTCAAGATCACACCCGACTCCCTTCGCGCCTTCGTCGCCCCTAAAACAGAAAACAACACCCCCGACATCAAGGGCTCCTCGCCGGCCTCATCCTCGGCGGCCGACCTCCCTGCCGCCCGCCCTTCCTCTGCCGACAATGGCTCCGATGCCGATGCCACCTCAACACCGGCCACGGGGGCGAACGCGGAGGGCGACACGCCTCGCCGGAAGGGCATTCCGGGCCCCAAGCCGGGCATCAAACGCACCAACGGGCAGACTGAATCGAGCGCGCGGTCAAGGGGGCGGCCGGGCCCGAAGAAAAAGCCTCGACTGTAAGCTTATCGGAAAGAGAAATAATACATATGAGACCGTGCTAACACTCGTCGCAGGGAGGAAGGAGGCGAAACCTCTGGCCGGACGGGTGCTCCGTCCCGCCTGGGCCCCAAGGCCAACACCGGCGCGATCAATGCGCACCTGCGCTCGCTGGACCGCACTGGTGCACCATGTCGTCGCTGGGAGCGCAAGCCCTTGCAGCTGCGCAGCTTCACCGGCATCCTCTGGCAACTGCCGTCGTGGCGCAGCTACAAGTCTTCCAAGCTCTCTGAAGACCCCGAGGGCAAGGCGGCCGCGCTGGAGTCGGGCGACAGCGACACTAAGCCCACGCTCGCCACACCGGGCCAGGAGATGAATGGTAGCAGTGCGGTGCCCAGTGAAAAGAGCCATTCGGGGGATGTCACGCCTGCTCCGTCGAATCCCGTTGAGGCCTCGTCGCCGGTCATTGCCATGGCGGCTTGACGTGATTGGGTTTCTGCGATGATTTGCTGCTGTACACTATTTTTGTTTTTTCGGGTACTCATGATGATTCTGAGGTCGGCGTTGGTGGCGTGTTCTGGAGGGGTGCGAGGAGTGATTTTCACAGCACACACACCTCCTGGTCGAGATGAACTGTCGCTTTTGTATTTGTACATCATAGCTATGTCGGGAACTGCATTGCGCATTCTTTTTTCACTTTCATTATTCTATCTTCCATCTATATTCGTCGTACTACTTCAGTTCATCTATACGACCCTGTCTACGCTTCCTCTGTCCTGGAAAGGGAGGGGGCCTCGTGACTGCCCTTCCCCGCAACAGCGGCAGTCCCGGCTGGTTTGGTCTTCGTCTGACAGACTTACATAGTAGAAGTAACTAACGAGTCTACAACCACTTCATTCTTCTTTGAACTATACCGCCAGGTCAGACCGTGGCCAGCAGGTCACACAGCCTGCGGACCAGAAACGGCACACCTTGGTTATCTACACCAGTAATAATAACCTTTACTCCAGGCCTGACAACACTCTGGCTGCTGTCCCCGGAATCCGCCGTGCTGCTTCTTTCTTGCTTTGTTGCTGGCCGAAAGCAGCGGGTGAGGTGACCCGCTCGTCACGCAACCTCAACGCAACCGCCCCTCCAAACTGACAACACCAACACCACCACCATCACCACCACTCTTACCTCGCCTCGCTTCTTAAACAGCCAGTGAGTCAGCCTCTCGGTATCGATCTGGCGGGCGGGTGACCCGGACTGGCACCATGGACGCTCCTCCCCCCCAGCCGGTGGAGCTCGAGGAGGAGCTTCAACCACCTCATACCCCGGCCCCAGCATCTCCTCCACCCAACGTCGCTCCTCCTACGCCTCCGTCGTGTCAGGCACAGCCCTCTCCCCTCCAACCTCTGGCTCTCTCGCTCATCTCCTCAACGCCTCCTCCGCCTCCAACACGGTTTCCTCCTACCCACCACCCTTCCCACAGCCCGACGGCCGTTCCCCACGGCCCTGGTCCGGCGTCGACACCGACATGCACTTGAACACGGCCTGGCGACCAACGGCATCCCCGGATTCCCTGCCGGCATACTCCCGCAAATATGCGAGCTACCTACGACAAACAGACTTCCCCCACGGCCTCGGCGGCCTGGCCACCGACAATTCCTCCTTCTTCACTCCGTCCTACCTCCGCAACTCCCGTTACATGTCTCGTCTCGACGCCGCCCATCGCGCCAAGCTTGCTGCCCTCCAGCGAGAGACTGCCTCGTCCGCCTCGGCCTCGAATCCTCCCCTCTCCGCCTCGTCCAGCCATGTTCATTTGCCCCGCATGGTCCCGTCCCATCGGGGCATGGCCTATGAGATCATCGAGAAGGAACCCCCAGCCACGACGGATCAGACAATGCCCCTGCCGACACAGTGGAGCGCCTCAGACAAGTACGCCGGTCTGGAGATCTCGAATAATGGACTCGATGTGCGATACACCGGTCCTGTGAACAAGCATGATCATGAAGCGGCAGCGTTGCGGGCCGATCACCCCATGCCGCCACAATGTGGGATATATTATTTTGAGGTCAAGATCGAATCTAAACCGAAGGAAGGGTATGTGAAAAGCGCTTGCCCTATGTTGACGATCTACTGACACAATATCACAGGATGATCGGGATTGGATTCTCGAGCACCAAGGCATCAGTTGAGAGACTCCCCGGCTGGGAGCAGGAATCCTGGGCATACCACGGTGATGATGGCAAGTCATTTTTCGGCGAAAGCCAAGGCCAAGGAAGGCCGTACGGGCCGACCTTTGGGGTCGGGGACACGGTAGGATGTGGTGTGAATTTTTCCACGGGGTCTGCTTTCTTCACGAAGAACGGCGTTTTTCTAGGTATGTACCGCTGGGTGAGATACCGAATTTCATTAATTCTTTTAGGGAATGTGTTTCACGAGCTGCGCAACGTCAAGCTTTTTCCGTCAGTGGGAATGAAAAAACAGCCGCCGGTACATCTGCGGGCGAATTTTGGACAGGAGCCGTTCGTTTTTGATATCGACGGCTTGGTCAGGGTGCGTCACTCTCCCAGAAATTGGAAAAAGTAGGGACTGACTGTAAATAGCAAGAGAAAGCTTCTATTCACTCGGAAATCAGCGCTACCAGCACAGCAAGTCTCCAGCCGCCACTCGATGAATCTGCATTACTACAGGAGCTGGTCGCTCAGTTTCTGGCTCATGATGGCTACGTGGAGACATCTCGCGCGTTCGCTGAAGAGGTGGCTACCGAAGCGGCGGCTCTGCAGAATGGACGGGACGAGCCTTTGAAAAAGTATGAGGTAGAGGAGGACAGGGAAGCCATCAACCGCAATAGTAAGTACTCTCCTGAGTTTTCTGGATAATGTCTGACTCTCCAGAAATCCGCTCCGCCATCCTAGACGGCGACATCGATAAAGCTCTCAAACACACCAAGGCATACTACGCCAACGTCCTTGAAGACTACCCACACATCCACTTCAAACTCCGCTGCCGCAAATTTCTCGAGATGATGCGCCGCTCCAACGAGCTCGCCGCTGCCACGGCCGCAGCAGCTGCATCGTCCTCGAAACGAAACCGTGCAGCCACCGGCCCTGGGATATCCGACGAACATGCCGTCTTCGACCAGGAAATGGAACTCGACGACGTCAGCGATGGCTGGGATGCTACAGATGGGATGGATACGGAAGAGCAAGAACCTGAGACAGCAACGCAATTCAACGAGCTCCTCACCGAGGCAGTGCAATACGGCCAGCAACTGCACATGGACTACCCGTCTGACGAGAACGGCGGCGACAAGAAGATGCTAGATGATATATTCTCGCTGGTTGCGTACGCGGATCCGAAGCGCTCGGTGCATGGGCATCATCTCGACCCTGCGGGGAGAGTCGCTGTTGCTGAGGAGTTGAACTCGGCTATACTCGGTATGTCACTCTTTTTGTTTTTTTTTTCGATTCAGTACTGATTTGTGATGAAGTGAGTCTGGGTAAATCCTCAGCGGCAGCGCTAGAGCGTCTATACCAGCAAACGGAGGTCCTCGTCAATGAAATCAGCGAAGACGGCGGCGCCGGGGCGTTCATCAATGTTCGGAATGACTTTTTGCTTTGATTCGTTCGGCGCTGATACAGGTATCTGGTATCGGGTGCTGGGATTCCCTCATGCTTCATTCGGAAATAGCAGAGGGTCGGGTTTTTTGTTTCCTTCTTTCTTCATCCTTCTCCCTTTTCTTTTTCTTAGCCAGATTGTTCGATATTATCTATATTACCCTTCTTTCTACTCTTTTATATGATCTCTCAAGTTTCGAGGCCCCTTTCCATTATGTGCTGTGTTCAGTGCGTTTAGTGTGTTCGGCGATCTGCTTGTTTTACTCATCTTACTCGACTTGTCCTTGACATGTCCTTGACACATGTTCCCATCGATGGATGCGTGACTGTCATATGGTCGTTGCTCGTTCCATCGAAGATTGCGCTCTTATGCTCTGGATGCTTGTTCTTGTTGTCTGTGTGGTTGTGCCTTTGCGGACAGACGGACGAATGGCGGGTCTAAATTAAATAATCTGACTCTACTCTTTACGATCTGTTGTTATTTTAGGTTAAAATCAGACACTAGTCGGTTTCAAGCTACGCAAGATAAAAACTACGAAGCTATCTATACTATCACTGAAACGGATTTCTGGACTGGGACTTGAGCAAATGGCTATTGATTAATGTAGATACTAGTTATACAATTCAAGTCACCTACGACTTTCAAGGCAAACATGTTGATGATGCCCGGGAAGTTCAGACATCTTCGGCTGCGTTACTTCGAATGAATTGAGCCACATTGTTTTCTATCCTTCCTTGCCTCATGACCTGTTCATAACCTTAACCTAGTTCCAAATTACAAGTCCAAACTACCATGATCATGTGCAACAAATAGTTAGCTCGGATTTAATGACCCCCGCTACAAATAAGGAAATCACGCCGAGAATTTGCCTCTACATCTCTCTCCTCACGAGTGTAACAAGCCAACTCCTCTGCTTATTAGGCCAAACAAAAAGGTATATATAACCCAGTCCATCGCTCAATCCCCTCTTTCTTCTACTTACACAATCAAATCCCACCGCAGTACTGAGTTACACCACCCTCAACACATACTTCAAATAATGGCTCCTTCAACAACAACAACAACAACCCCCAACCAAGACGCTCCCGCCAGCAAAAGCAAAACCGTCAGCATGGAAGAATCAAAACTAAGCCCGCTCGAAAAGGCCGAACTGTCCCTCGCAGACAAATACAGCTCCCCAGACGTGTACATCAACGGCGAAAAGGACACCTGCTGGCACCCATGGATGGAAAACCTGGAACTTAAGCCCCTGCGCTTCGAAACACGCTCCGGCACATTTGTCGTCGTGCTCCGCAGCTCGGAGGACACCTGGCTCGGTAAACATCGGCATCGCGGGACTGTTACGGCTGTAACAGTTAGTGGGGAGTGGAATTATAAGGAGTATGTTTTCCTTCTACCCAACTAGCTTCCTAGATAGTTGGCTACTTCGCCGAACATTTATTTAACGTGTTTCTGATAGATACGACTGGGTTGCCAAACCAGGCGACTATGTCGTTGAAAACCCCGGCACTATCCACACGCTGCACATGAGCAAAGGAGCGGAGGTCGTGTTCACCATCTCAGGGAGCCTGGAGTTCTTCAATGATGACGATACCTTGAAGAATACGATGGATATCTTTAGCTATGCGCATTTGTATTATGAGCATTGCAAGAAGCAGGGATTGAAGCCGAATGATGGGCTTTGGTACTAGGCGATACTAGGCGATGGTTGAAAATGCCACGAAGAGAGGGGTCTTTTTGTGGGAGTGGGAGAGGGATATGGATATCATGGGTCTTCGATGTTAGTACCTACTATCAACTCAGATTGAATTTGCCTTGGTCTTCTTTTCTATCAATTCAGATGCCAGTGTTTAAATGGTGAGAGCCAAACCGTATCAGATGAATGGGAACATAACATGAATCATAACGAAACAAAGTATTTTGACACCAGAACATGGTAGTTTAAAGTTCAACCGAGCGCACATCTTCTTGGGAATTGGTGTATGTAAGACGACCGATGTGGTAAATGGCTCGGCGGGATGCCCTGTCTTCGCCTGGGTAACCTTAATATGGGAATCCCCCGCTCCGGCTAGGAGTCGGTTACCAAAGCGACCTCGGCGTGATTGCCGATTCGCAACATGTCTCTCCGCACAGGATAGCTCGCATATCTGCTTATTTCACCGAGCTCATTTTCTGTTGCTTGTATTCGGCTAACAGAACGGAAGATGCGTACGTGGACCGGTAAGTAACTCGGCATCCTTCACACGCCTTGATAGGAAATTCACTAATCGACACTAGGGTGGTAAGCGACCTGGATTAGTTATACTGACTGGCTGACTGATGAGCTAACACATTCCCAGCCTAACATGTCGCTCACGAAAGGTGAAGTGTGATGAGCATCGGCCCCGGTGCCATAACTGCGAGAAGTCTCGGGTCCAATGCATCTCCAGTGACCTACTTTCTTTTAAACAATGGCGCAATCCATCGCTTAGCCATACTCCTGGCAATGGAGGGTCCGGTGTCTTTCAGCCGGACCATATCTGGGTGGACATTAAGCCGAATGGTATGAGACCTGATACTTAAAACGTATAGGGTCGCCGCTTACCAGTCTATAGGCGAATTCGTTGATGAGACGAACGACATAACTGCTGAGTATCAGAAAGTCCTCCCCGAGCACACCAACGGGGTTCCCAGGACCGATGTCAATAAAATTTCGACGGAAGTCGTCTTACCGCAGGAACAGTTGAGAAACTGGAACTGTGCACTCTCGAACAATCATGAACGCCCAGTATCCCCACATAATAGGCTGGCTTCTCTATCAGACGAATACCCTGCCACCCCTGGTGATTCACCGGGTATTACAAGTCATGTGTCTCCTCAGAGAATTCCTACCAGATATGGGCTACCATCCACAGCTACGCCCAGTTCGGCGGAGCCTGTCACCGAGACCGCGAACGACGGAGCTCACGCCCTTCTCTCAATGAGAAACCACGATCCAGATCCCAGCTTTACAGTCTCTAGCTCTTCGCAGTGTTTATCTGAGCACTCGTCCGAGGAATGGACTCCGAATACCATAGCCTCGCCCATAGGAGTGGGCGTGCTCGCGCCCTCAGACGAGCTCGCCCCTCCGGGACTGCTAACCTCCAAGGTAGAAGCAGACCTGCTCCGCAAATTCAGCACGGAAGTAGGAACATGGATGGACCTCTCTGACCTCTCTGAAACATTCGCTAAGAAAGTCTGCCGCCTCGCGGTGAAAGACCCACTCCTCAAAGCAGCTAGCATTGCATGTGCTGCGAAGCAACAGTTCCTCATTGGAAACCTCCAGGACGGCATGCAGATTGCGCGAAAGAATTACGATACCGCCATCTCGCTTCTGATTAATCGACTGGGCAACCTGGATCAACCATTTGCGGATTACGGGTTTGCTGCCACGGTCATATGCTCCTGTTACGAAATGCTGGATGCGCCGACTTCGGACTGGCAGAGGCATCTAGATGGAGTCTTCTCTTTTGGGAGAGTGCATCGAGTGAATGGGTCGTCGGGAGGGATTGCACAGGCTGGGTTTTGGTCGATCGCGCGGCAGGAAGTGGTCTGCTCGATTATCAATCGGTCCACGCTGAGACTCGATCCTGATTTTTGGGCCGTGGACCTTGATCATATTGGACAGGAAGGCAGCGAGGATTTGGTGAACAATCAGTGAGTACTTTTCTTTTTCGATCCTCTGGTGATGCTAATAGGTGTATATGTAGGGTTCTCACGATTCTTGCCAAGGTGGTGAATTTCATGGCCTGCTCCGAAGGAAGCTCCCTGGCAGAGAGGAATCATGAGTGGCATAAGCTGTGTAGCCTGCTTGATCATTGGAGCAGCTCCGTCAAGGGCAAGGGCTACATGGATTCGGTTTCTGAGGTTGAGGAGGACGGTCAAGTATTCCGAACAATTTGGTTTGCCAGAAGCGTTTGCGGTAATGTCCCCTATGTATGGTTCATGAAAACAATCGCTCATCCACTACTGTCCTACAGCCTCGTCCTGGCAGATGTTCCACCTGGCCCAGATCCTGCTCTTGACCACGAGTCCGTACCAGGACTGCAGCTGCGTGCTCGCTTTTCGCAGAATCGAAGTTAGGGCAATCCCTCCCATGGGTGGTGCATACTGATCCATGTGCAGACCAAACTCCTCTACCATGCCAGACAGATCTGTGGAATTGCTCAAAGTAAGCCCGATGGGAGCTGTCGTGTCAATTCGGTCCAGCCGATCTATTACGGTCTGTTCTCACGCATCCCGACTTGGTCGCTTCGGAATTAACCTTGTGCAGCCGGGTGTTGTTTTAGCGATCCCGATGAGAGGAAAGCGGCGGTCCGACTGTTGGAAGAGATTGAAGATGAACTGGGCTGGGCAGCCAAGTATAGGGCGCGAGAACTCCAGGAAGCGTATTTAGGCCCATCCTGAGTCCATGCATTCATAAATCATCCAATGCGACCGTGGTGAAATTGAGATGGACCACCAGATTCGTTCGGGGGACTCTGGCGTTGACCGATGATGGAGTTCTAGAAGCTGTCGCCACTAGGCCGGATGCGGTAATATTCTACGCCCCTTTCCGCGTACTTCGCGCCCCTCCTTCCTTCCTTCCCTCGCGATCCACTTTCCAGGGCAATAGACTCTGGAGCATCAGCGTCACTGTGGAGCGACGATCCACCTTGGAACCACGCAACATGATTCCGAGGTGAATGATGCCCGTCCCCTCCGACCTTGCCTCTCATGGACCGAGAAGGGAGCCGGTCGCTCACCAGATCTCCGATGAATCAAAACGACTGCTTTCAGCTTCTCGGCAAGGAACATCGAGCTACGACCGGCTCCTCCAGGGGCCAGACCGCCAGATGCGGCTGGCCAGCGCCCCGGGAGGTCTGCTGATCGACCAGCGTGACCAGATAGCAAGCCGAGCCCCATAAAAAAAATCTTAAGCTTATCTAATTCATTCTTCGATGTGGCGGAAAATTTGGGGTATTTGAATCGCCTTTGGACCTGATCATTTTTTTTCCCATTCAATCAGTACTCCTTCATTCCGTCAATTCCTCTTATCACATTCACAATGGCACCACGACCGCCCCTGAAGTTGAACAACCAAAACTTGTCGCTCATTGAGGCGACCGGTGATGCCTCGGTCAAGAAGCTCCCAACCTACCAGCGCGGTGGCGCCGTCAAGGAGGGAATCGTCCACGTCGGCGTGGGCGGCTTCCACCGAGCCCATCTGGCTGTCTACGTTGATCAGTTGATGCAGAAGCATGGTGTGACCGACTATGCAATTTGCGGTGTTGGCCTGCAGCCCTTCGACGCCGCCATGCGCGATGCCTTGGGATCGCAGGACCACCTCTACACCGTCATTGAGCGGTCGGCCAAGGGCAGCTTTGCTCACGTGGTGGGCAGCATCAACTCCTATCTCTTTGCCCCGGATGACCGCGAGGCCGTCATTGCCAAGATGGCTCACCCAGATACACACATTGTCTCGCTCACCATCACCGAGAGCGGTTACTACTATAACGAGAACACGCACGAGCTGCAAAATCAACATCCAGACATTCTGTTCGACCTCGACCCGGCCAACGAGAAGGCCCCCGCACCACATTTGGCTTTCTCTACGCCGCTCTGGCACGCCGCCACCAGCAGGGCCTCAAGCCCTTCACCGTCATGTCGTGCGACAACATGCAGAAGAACGGCTCCATCGCGCGCCACATGCTCGTGTCCTTTGCGCGCCTGCGTAACCCTGAGGTCGCCGAGTGGATTGCCGAGCAAGGTGCATTCCCCAATGCCATGGTCGATCGTATCACACCGCAGACCTCGGCCACCGACAAGACGGCCCTCGCAGACACATTTGGCATCGAGGACTCATGGCCCGTCGTCACGGAGCCCTTCATGCAGTGGGTCATCGAGGACCAGTTTGCCGACGGCCGCCCACCATTCGAGAAAGTCGGTGTCCAGGTGGTCAGGAATGTGCACGACGTCGAGCAATTCGAGAAGCACAAGCTGCGCCTGCTGAACGGCAGCCACTCGGCGCTAGGCTACCCCGGCCAGCTGGCCGGCTTCAAATACGTCCACGAGGTCATGGAGAACCCGCTGTTCAGCAAGTTCGTGTGGCAAATGATGCAGTACGACGTGAAGCCCCTCCTGCCGGAGATTCCGGGCGTCGACATTGACGAGTATTGCCACACGCTCATCGAGCGCTTCTCCAACCCAACCATCATGGACCAGCTGCCGCGCATCTGCCTCAACGCATCCGGCAAGATCCCCCAGTTCATTATGCCTTCGATCGCCGAGGCGATTTGGGTAACGGGCCCCTTCCGCCGCCTGTGCTTCGTCGCAGCTGCTTGGTTCCATTACGTGAAGGGTGTCGATGACAGCGGCAAGCCGTTCGAGGTCGATGATCCCATGCGCGAGGTGCTCCAGGCCAAGGCCCACGCAGGCGGTACGAACCCGGCCGAGCTGCTGAGCATCAAGAGCCTGTTTGGCGATGACTTGCGCGGCGACGAGCGCTTCATCAAGGAGATGACCGCCGCCATGGAAGATATTGCCCGGGACGGCATCTTGAAGACGATGCCCAAGTATGTGGACTGATCGTCACGGACGGCTAGGTGTTGCGGTGTTGGTTTGGCAATGATTTTGTGAGCGTTGTTTATATTTTTGATGTCTGGTCTGTGCATGCGTCGATCGACGAGGGAGCGATTTCACCAGAAAAAGCACAACATAGAGATAGATGCACATCATATAGATTATGATAGATTAAGATTCCCTAATTCGAATTGAACCTGTTATTCAACAGGTACCAATCGCGCTTCTCTGGTTCTAGACAAGCAACCCAATAGTCATCTACCGAACCCGCTCGAACTAGGCAGTCACGCCGAACTCTTAGCCTTTTAGTCCATGGTTAGGCTCGATATGGACTAGTGTACAGCTAATAATAAGCATGACGCAAATTTTGATCGAATGATGGTGAATTTCAAGGTTTGCCAAGGTGGCTATCTCAGGATCTACGCTCCTGTCACCAGATCAACATGCACCATCTTGAACCATTCGAGAGCTTATGACATAATTGCTCAATCCAACCCCTTCGTTCTAGGATTTTTCCACTTTCAAGAGCTTTGTGGAAGCTAGTAGATCTTAGAAAGAAATTTTTTCACTTCAGCATCACTAACTGCGAAGTTGCCTAAGCTCTGACATATGTAGTGAAAGAGAAACGTGGGCAGCCCTCATTTAGAGAAGACTCTTCTGAGACTTTCCAATCTAATCAATCTCGTCTTTCATATATCTCGCAGCCCGAAGATCCCCGGAACGCGCATGTGCCTCAAAGTTTTCGGCACGCGCAGCCCGTCCACAGAGTCGTCCGAGATCCCCACTGGCTTGTTCCGATGTGACCTCTTGGTAGGTGCAGGTTTTCAGATATTTGCCCACCAGTATATCTAGCAGTTGTTCGAGTGGGAAGGACGTGGTTGGTGCCAATTACCTAGGTCAAACTTTGTCAGTCTCTGTATCCAAATTTTCCAAGGGGTACTATACGCACTTTATCTCCATACGAGACACAGGTCTTCTCACCAAGAAAAAGGGCTCCGAAATTGGTCATCCGGGTCAACGCATCCCGTGGGTTCTTCGTGAAGACCTGCACATGCTCGCTGGCATACTTGTTTCCCAATTCCCAAACCTCGTCCATGGTATCCACGACAATGACTTCACCAAAAGCATTCCATGATGTCTCTGCAACTGCCGCTGTGGACAACCCGGATCATTTAACAAGCATTTCCACTGCCTTGATGGTCTTCCGCCCAAGCTCTGGGCAAGTCGTGATCAACACAGCCGGGGTATCCGGACCGTGTTCCGCTTGGGAGACCAGATCTGTAGCCACAGTGAATGCATCGGCGGTCTCATCGGCAAGAATAAGAATTTCCGTAGGGCCCGCGAAGAGGTCGATGCCAACCTCGCCGAAAAGTTGTCTTTTGCCTTCGGCCACAAAAGCGTTGCCTGGTCCAGCAAGGAAATCAACTTTGCGGATACTCTCGGTGCCAACAGCCATAGCAGCCACGGCTTGAACGCCTCCGAGCAGAAAGATCTCGTCAGCGCCGGCCAGGTGCATGGCGGCGATTGTGCTATGCGGGATCTGGCCGTTGATCGGAGGCGTGCACCCGATGACATTCTTGACGCCGGCAACTTTAGCAGTCAGGATTGTCATGTGTGCCGATGCAAGGAGCGGATATCGACCGCCGGGAATATATCTAGCCAACACTTTTAGTCAGTGTAACATGAATCAGACTATGAGAAGGCTAGAAACATACGCGCCCACATTATCGATGGGGACATTCTTCTGCCCCAAGTGCACTCCCGGCCGAATTTCAATCTCGAAGTCTTGAAGAGATTTCTTCTGTGCTTCTGCAAATGCTCGCACATTCTGCTGCACTTCCTTGATATCGTTCAGTGTTTGTTTGGGGCAATTGGCCATGGAAGCGTCGATATCAGCCTGAGACAGCTTGAAGCTCTGCGGCGACCACTTGTCGAATTTTTCAGAGAATTTTCTGACCCCAGCATCACCCTCTGTGCGAATCGTGTCGATGACTTCTTTCACCACGGCGGAGACGTCGACAGATGGTGATGTCTTCTGGTTTGGGAGACCAGCTGCTTGTTTGAAGTATTGCCGGCCCATCGTTTTGGTTTTTGGGTGTAAACTGTAACTCAATGCTCATCCAACTGCTTTTAGAGAAAATGTTGATAGACAAAGTGACAGGATCTGCCCACGATATTTATATGGTTGAACCGGAGACAATTTGAAACAGAAGACGCTCTATTACCCTCCATATATCGGCCTTCATTCCGAATCTATGCCTACTTGCCTCGATATATAATCCGATAGTTAGTGTTAGCTTCAAAAATTGTGGGACGTTGGTATTCGGCTCGATTGCCTTGTACAAGATCAGCAGGACTCAGCCATTGCACGCAACCACGGCCTATCGGCAATTTAGTCTAGTAGCCATTATTCTTCTCCTATGCAGGTCCTATTTTCATGCTTACATGAAGCATCAGAAATGGACAGGACTAGGTCGTGTTGGAAAATCCCACCTCTATGATATCTTTGGTCTTTATACAGTGGCGCAAAAAGCACAGTTTATTGCAGCGTATAATTCACGTATGGTCATCTTGTTTCCCCCCATATCGCGTTTAACAACATGTAAACCGGCCTATATACTCTGTACATGAGCCACACAAAATTCATGCTTACAGGCCAAGATAGAAAGGCCCAGAAGCGGAGAGCTCAGTACTTTGTTTCCTGCTCATCAATCTCTTCGACGTGGGTTGCTTCTCCAGTGGATCTCAGTCTCAGCCCTTTATCCGCAGCACTTCTCTCAATAGTCCGGTCCTCACGCTCGATATACTTCTGCGGGCGCTTTCGAGAGATGGCATCCGGATCTGTGGTCACAATCAAAGGTGGATTGGTTCTGTAGTACGCATCCATGTCTTCGAGACTTCGGTTGGCTGCAAAAAACACTGTCAGCATATATGACCGTCACTGTAGAGAAGATGTTCTGAAACGTACCTGTCTCTGGGTAGAAGAAATAGAGGATTGGAAGGAAGGCCGCATTTGTCACAGTCCAAACAATCCAAAACTTCCAACCAATATTCTGGATTCCAATAGGGGTGACCTCCACAATGGCAAAATTAGTGATCCTGCCCATAAGTAATTAGAATAGTACCTCAAAATAGTAGGGAAGAGAAGACAAACCAATCTGTAGCCGTCGCAAGGGCAGCTCCCTTGGTTCTCATTGGCAAGGAATTGATCTCAGTCGGATACAGCCACGGCACTCCAAGCATACCAATTCCAAATGCTCCGTAGTAAAGGAAAAAGAATGCAACAGACGCCGAAGCATATTTTTGGCCTGCGGATCCCCCTACCTCGGAGAATCGAAGTAGGATAGTGATGACTAGGAAGCAGAAAAACTGGCTGGCTGTTGAGAGAATCATCAAGCCTCGGCGGCCCATTCTTTCAACTAGGAGAACCGCAAGCCCAGCAAAAAAGAAGTAGGAAACAGCATTGCAAGCTGCGAGTAATCGAGCAATTTCATCAGGAAGTCCGACGGACTATTTCCTATTAGTATATACTCGCCGCTTTGAGGACCCAAACCACGAAGTAAGTAGCTTCGAATATAACTCACATTCATAAGCACAGTAGGCAGGTAATATGACATAATGTTAATGCCGCCGAACTGTTGCATGAATTGGCTGCCGGCGCCAAGAAGCAGTCGTCGGAGGGTCTTGGTATCATTCTCCTGCTTCCGTAACTTCCAGAGGTCGCGCCATCGGACGGCATTCTCACGTTCATAGCGGACACTATATTCGATTTCGTCACGCTGCGCAACAATGAAAGGATCGTTGACCGGCTTGGCTTCGAGACAGCTAAGTACCTCCATAGCCTCTTCTTCTCTCCCGTGCGCTAAAAGCCATCTGCATAGCGTTAGATTCAACCCTAGTATCATATTTCTTCTTAGCACCAAGCAGTTCTAAAGAACTTACCTAGGAGACTCCGGGAGCCAGGGTGTTGTAAACCATAGAACAAAGAGGAAGATAAATTGAAAGGCGAGCGGAAATCGCCAAGCAACGGGACCACCAACGTAGGAGAACCCATAGTTGATCCAATTGACGAGGCAAAAGCCGGCGATATTCATCTGCATCTCGAGGATAACGAGTTTACCACGCCATTTCAACTGTGATGTCTCAGTCTGCCAAATGGGAGCAGTGGCCGTATTGATTCCATTACCAATTCTATTTATGGGTTAGAAAAGAATTGTTGTTCAGTTCGTACGCTAGAAATGGATCGATGTCGAGTTGCTTGACGTACCCAAGAATAACCCGTCCAACAAACATCTGCGGTAGACTGAACGAGCTGGCCTGGAGGATGGTGCCTACAGCCATAATAGTAGTTCCCAGCATAATTGCCTTTTTCCGTCCTAGTCGTTCGCCAATAGTGAATGCGATGATGGCACCGAAGAAACATCCTACGTCATAAATGGCTGTCACCGTGGAGAGGGCCTTCGTCTTTGTAGGCCCGACGAGATCATGGACCTCGAGGAAGTTTTGCGTGATCACCACGCCGCCTGCGATATGTCAATTGGGTCCGGTAATGTCCGCCGCAGAGTTGACTTACTGAAGACTCCCTGGTCGTAACCAAACAAAGACATGTCGGTAGCACAAGCCACCGTAACCCAGAAGGTGAGCCATCCTCCCGTGAGTCCGAAATAGGGCTTTTTCTTCTTCTCCGTTGCAACAGTCATGGTGGATAGAGGGCCGCGGGAATTGAGCTAATGCTATGACGCGAGGCCTGATTTCGGGGTTTCCTCACTATAAATACCCCCACGCTGAGAGCATGAGAATCGGCCTAGTTCCGAGTAGGCGTTCGTGAACTCCACCTTCAATCCTGCCGTGCGGGGGAGAACGGGGAAGCGTGGAGGAATATGGGGCAGTAACCGAAGCGAGCAGGATTGGTGCTGAACATTATTACGTCGTTTACTTGGTGGTCAATAAAGTGGGTTAAATAACTATACGGAGATGGTGATTGGAAAAGTCATAAGGTTTCGTGGCGCCTTGGAGCAGGGCTATGGAGTCATTCTTAGTAGCTAGGGAGAATTCTACTCGGAACTCACTTTTCCCGGCACTGCTCTGCTTTCCGGCTAAATTGACTGGGTTCCACGCCAGCCTCACTTAGGGGCTCTCCATGTACGGCAATCACGCCGAAGTAGCGCCTGAACTATCAGGCATAAATTAGGCACCAACATCTCGTGCCTGATCGTTACGTCAGCGGTCACCTGAGCAGCTCTCTCCGCATCGTTATCAGTGAAACTTGCACCTCGCATCGCATCGTGTCTCGGGCGGTTTCCTCCACCTATTCGCTCCGGTCAAGGGGCTAGCTATCCTCGCATTCTCATGCCGCCCATGGATTCCCGTCCGCATACCCCGGGCGCGGACCGCATCCCTAGCATTCCTAAACACTCGAGCGCATCATCCACCGCCCTGCGCTGCTGCTGCGGGCGCGATGACTGCGCCCTACTAGAGCACAATAATGTTGCCCTCGAGGGCCTCGAAAAGGACCTCGAGACCGCGGCGAGGTTAGGTCAGGTACGTGCTCTCTTTTTGATCGACGGTGTGACGGGCACGGGCGACTGCTGGACCGGCGTAAACTATGCATGTTGATACATCAACTATAACACTGGCATTCCAAAACTTCGATGTTCTTTGCTTTTTCTGTCCAACCCTATGTCCTGCGAATCGTAGGGGCACATTTGCTACACACTTCCTCTCTGTCTCTCTCACATACACATGGCCTCAGTCTTGCGGTCCCCCATTCTCTCTCGCTGCGTTGGCGTCCGTCATGGCTTCCCTTCAAGATTATGCTGCACCAGCAGGGTCTTCGGCGCTGACCTTTGCTTTGCAGGCCCTACTCTACCGCCATGAAAGTTACATGGCCGAGGCGGAAGAGGACCGCCACCGCCTAGTCGCAAGTATTGATGCGTTGGAGCGCGAAAAACGACAGGTTCAGGCCGAAAATGCTCGCATCGTCGAAGAGAACCGCAGCTTGCTTGACCAGCTGGACGGCTTAAATCAGGCTGTCTCAGAGTCCGACGATCGAGCCAAGATGCTTGCCCTTACGTTGGAAAGCACACAAGCTGAACTACGGACGTTGACCGGGGCTGCGGCGCGTGCGGCTGAGCTTGAGACGCAGTTAATGATGATGGAAACCGAACAGTCCCGATTACAGGACATCTTGCTCTCTGCACAAGATGATGAGAAATCTGCATTGCAGCGGTGGAAAAATGCAGAATCCACACTTCGAGATCTCCATGATCAAGTCGACCGTATCGAGAAGGAGGCCCGTGAAGAGCGCGAACGGCATGAAGATCTTGTGCAGCGCATGGAGCGAAAGAGAGCTGTGGAGCGTGAATTGGATAACGCTGCGGGACGTCTTAAGGGCGCGGCCGCGGCCTCCGACCTCGGTCGCAATCCTGAAGGGACTGTGGTATCTCGCTTTGTCAAGGATATTTTGCAGGACAACGCCAATCTACAAGTGGGCATCATGGAGCTCCGGGAGATGCTCGAGAGCTCAAACGAGGAGGTGCAGAACCTGCGCGAGCAGGTCATGTCTCACCAGCCGCTGCCCGGCGACGGGGAAGGCGATAATGTTGTACCGACTACGTCCACTACCTTGAGTGAAGAGCTGGAAGCCAAGGAGCGACGACGTGTCTCTCAGGAATTCCATATCCATCACCACTACCACTCACCGTCTGCGAAGAAAGACAAGGGCTCGCTCAACCGTCGCGTGAAAAAGAAACGTTCGCTCATGGGAAGCTCTGCTTCAGGAACGCAGTCACCTCGAAGACCTGGCCACCGCACTCAACTGTCCAACTCCTCCACGTCCACAATTCTGTCTCAGACCTCTGTCTCTATACCGCCACCTTCCTCCTCCCGCCGCTGGTCTCTGCAGTCCCGGGCTGCGGACTCCATTGCAAGTTCTCCTCAATCTGCCTTCCACACATCCTCCATCTTCGACCGAATTGATCGTGGATTCGATTCCCAGCCGACCAGTCCCGGCAGTACGGTATTTGGGTCTCCTACCATGGGGGCACGCAATGTAAAGGGCTTCGATTTGCCATTCCGACCTCTAGCCGAGATCGACGATATTGGCTCGTCACTTGACGACCCATCCCAGGCATTTGATGACGAGCATTTCAGCCGAGCCAATGGCAAACAGCCTGTTATCCCAGAAGAGTCAGAAGAAGCCTCCTCCGCACCCTACCAACATGCTACCCCAATCGCCGACGAAGGCGTTTTTAATATGCAAATGCCATTCACGCCTCTGCGCAGATCCACCTCCCATGACAGTTTGTTCGACACTGTGGCCGGCATGGACATTCATACCCCGACGAGCCGCTTCTCCCGGATGGGTGACTGGCGTGCTGGCATGCGCATACCCCAGCGCATGGTATCTCCTAGCGTTGAGCTCGTGTCTACGCCTCCTGTCGTATCAGCACCTATGATTACAGTGGACCGTGGCAAGAGCTCTGGCAAAACGTCTAGATCATTGTTGGCCTCTGTGGCTGCAGGCAATAATGTCCCCATGGAATCATCGTCCGTCATTTCTGCTGAGAGCACCAGCACCAGCTCGACAGCAACCCCTCGAAAGTCGGCAACACTCGGCCGTCGCATGGGCGGCTGGGTATTAGGGCGCTGGGGCATGGCCCCAGTAGCCTCTGACGGTGACACCAGACCCGATTCGTCGCCGTCGCTGTCCTCGTCAACCCCATCAGCAGGGTTTCATAACCCGGTTGGCCCTGCTCCACCCCGGTTCCGGTTCACAGGCGTGAATCAAAAGGGTCCAATTATGGGCTACCGGCCTCCGCCACGAGCTCCGATAGCCATTCATGCTCAGGGACTTGACGAGGACTTGCTACGAGAGAGTCTAGCCGAGGGAGATGGCTAGGCTTTCCTTTATCCCATCTTTACAATCTTTCTTTTTTGTAGCGATTTACCTTATATCTTGGTCATTATGGCATGACGCCACATTTCTTTTTGTCTTCAGCGCCCTTGTGATTACGTTTGAAAGGCGTTGCGTGGATATGATGATACCCGACACAAACTCATTTTCTCATTTTCCGTTTTTGGTCCTAATCAAATACATCTACAGTATATCAACCATCCCTTGTCCCGCTGTCCTTGAGTCCAAATACAAGGCATTATCTTCATATTCTACCGGAATCAACTGACCTCCTACACTCATTACAAGCCGGCAACTCAGCAATAAACCCCTCTCCAAGCTCATGCGGTCCCCGGTACATCCCGCTCCCCTCAGTCTCCGTATATTTAGTAATAGCATCATTCCCTTCAACCTCAACACAAGCATCCCGCCCATCCGCTTCAGCGGCGATCGGAACAGCCCTGTCAGAGTCCGAAGATTGAGCCAACTCCTCACTCTTCTCTTTTCCCATTCTCCTTTTTTCTTGTCTCCTCCAAACCCCAAAGCAGGCTGTCCCAAGCCACAGTAAAACACCCACGAACATGAGCGCGGCACTAGCCATTGCTGACTCGCATTGGCTTCTCAATTCCGCTGTATCCTTCAAAGCAGTGTCATAGCACTCACTAGCCCCATTAAAGGAAACGCATCCGCCTTTGAAGAGAGGGTTTGATCCTGTAGAAGAAGAGCTAGAGCAGTGTGTTCTCTGGAGGGCCACTGAGAATGCCTATTCCCCAGAAATATTAGCATAGCAGATCAATGACCATACCTACAGTAGATACCTATGTAGATATACAGCCCGGAAGAAGAAAATGATAGGGGAAAGTAAATAAAGACATACAATCCCACCAGCAAGGAAGACAATAACAGCCACGCCATCCAAAATGAGCAACAAAATTTCCTGCACGGAACTAATATATATCCCCACCACTCCTATCAGTGCAGCTATGACACCGAATGCACCCGTGAACGCGCCGAGGATTGTTGTCCCCGGGACATATTTGATGACTTGGCCTTTTGCGAGATCGATTGATAAACCGAGGATTGAGACGGAGAGAATGGCCTGTTATGCAGCTATGGATGAGCAATGTAGTTCCTTGATGGTGATAGGTGGATCATGTATAATTAAGAAGAAAAAGGAGGGGTTTATACTTGAATAGTACGCAAAATTCCGGGGATGATTCGACCTAATCTCTTCATCTTGCTGAGATACTCCATCAAAAGTGCTTCACGTGGAGGAGAGAGGACAGAGTGATAGAAGTGAGAAAGTGATGGGCTGCTTATATTGATTGGATTAGAGAGAGCAAACAATGTTCATGGTGACACAACCATCAATGCAGTGGTTAGCCGAATATGTTTAGGAATACTCGCGTATTTAATAGACACCATGACAAGCTGACTAGACGACTGTTTCAAATTTCTATAGAGAACGCATCCGAAACAACAGCTTCGAAAGTACAAGACCAGCATATTGATAGTTCTCGCCAAGATATCAAGCTATCAGCATAGGGCCTGCAGTAATCATCAGCGCAAACCGGCTGAGTCCTACCTGGTTGGTTAGGATGCAAAGCCACGCGTCCCAAGGCCGGGATTTCAAAGACTTCGATGCCTAGTTGGCCTGCTGATGGAACCGCAAATCGGTCTGCTTATTACTTTACTGTTAGTTATAAGTCAAGACCCCCCATCCCTAGGGATTTCTTCTTGAAGCGTACGGAGTCCATGCATTCCACACATATGCACAAAACTACTGTATAAACAGGAAATAGTTGAACAGAATCCGGGCCAATAAGAAGGCTTTAATTTCCGCAAATGATCTTTAACCCAAAACGGACTCAGATCCTACCGGAATAGGGAGTAAGAACTTAGGTACAACTTTTAATAATCATTAAAGATGGAGGAACATGTAACTACGTACTTCTGCTACCCAATTATTGCCATGCCTAATTGCTCAGTATGATATGTGAAGAAGAAAAAATTCCATGTAGGATTGAATTGTTCTCTTATCAGCAAGAATTCATGATGAGTTAATAATGCCTGCCTGATTCAACGCCAAACTCCAGCCTCTAGATCTATACAGAAGGATAAAATCCCGAGAATCAGACTAAACCTGTATGTCAACCGAAAGAGTCGGCACCGAAAATGTTGCCCAGTCATTCGACGAAAACGCCTCTGAGCCTAACTGGAACACCCCCAGATAATCCGTTTTCTTCGGGTACCCGTCTGCACCCAGGTTATACAGATCCGTGATGAGTGGCGAGATGTCCCCGTTAAATGTTTCCGCAATCTGGGTCGCGTTCCACGTGAGGACGGTTTGGCCGTTGCCGTTTGTGCCGCTGAAGAGCTCGCTACATACAACCGATTAGCGTCCGAGATTTTGGTCAAGGTCAAAAAGAAATGGAAGTGCCTACAATGTCGTCCCGTCCAACACATGACGGGCCACCACATTCTGATACCCAAGGGGCATAGTGGAGGGCCCGAACGCCGCAAACCAGATCATAACCTCGTAATTGGCCTTCAGGCTGTCCTGAGCGGTGGTGGAGTCGGAGTCGAAAAACATATCGATAGCAACGTTGCCATTAAAATCAGCGGCGTTGAGAGTAGCGAGGTCGGTCGACGCGGCGGTGCTGTTGCCCATGCCGTACGTCCAATGGAAATCAAGGTTGATACCTGACATCTGCTGCAGCTCGACGGGGAAGACGTTGTCGACCATGACGTTGGGGTATGCGTGCGTGGGCTGGTCCCCGGCGGCGGGCTCATAGATCCAGGATGCGGAGAACGCTGGGGCGGTGTATTTCGTTGCGTAGGTCATGTTGTCGAAGGTTGTGATCTGGAAAGATATAACGTTAGTTAACTTGTTCACACCCTTATGTATATAGATTAGATCCCGATGTGGGAATGGCCAGCCATCAGGCTCGGTCGACGTACATTCATACATAAACCTCCAACTGTGCTAGATGTGACGCCCCACTGATTTGGATTAACTGCAGACAGACAGTTAGTCAGGATGACAGTACAACGGTCAGACTCCTCCGACTCACATGTAAACTGCTGTCCCTTCGACTCCGGGGGAATACCAAGTGACTTGTTGCAATAACGCGAATTGGTGACCCCGTTATCAGTGAAATGAGTACCGGTATTCCCAGAAGAACCAGTGCTGCTGCCTCCAGATCCAGAGCCAGAGCCACCATTGTCGCCGCTGCCAGCGAAAAGAGGAGCCTGTCCGTTTGCCTGGCGGTGGGCTTCAATGCCCAGGATGGCGCCGATGGTACCCCCAATTGGGATGGCCAGGAGGCCGAAGTTGACGATCCATCGCAGAACCATCTTCTCGGACAATAACTCGAGCAACTGACGGTGCAATGACGAGAGAAAGAGAGTGTCAGAGAGGCTGTGCCTCAGATAAGATATCTTCACCGCCTTTGCCACCGCCTTTTCGGGATGCCCTAAAGAGAAAAATCTATTTTCGGAAAGAAATTAATCTGAGACAAAATGCATAACTAATCACTTATCATGATCCACTTATAATAATTAATCGAAACGGCCCTTTATCTATGATATTACATGGTTGTACACGTTGTACATGCTAGGCTAGAAAAACCACGAGTAGACAAACACCAACGTCGTGGCCACCGTGGAGAGAGAGTACTCCAGCTCAAACCAGGCGGCCTGGCCACCGAACCCGATCTTCTTGCTTCTCGCAGTCGGGTGCGCAACCCCTGTCTTGGGGTCTCGGATCAACAGATCCTCGCGGTCTGGCATGTTCGGGGGATCGATCATGTACGAGAGAGGGGTCCAAAGGGAGGTGCAGATGAACAGGAAGACCATCGGTGGCCAGAAGGCGTGGGTGATCAGACACAGGACGATCCCCTTGAAATCGCTGTTCAGGGCAAAACACCGGTAGGTCGAGACGACGACCGCTGCTAGAGTGACGTAGACAAAGACCAGATGGAAAACAGCCATATAGTTGAACAAGAGCACGGGCAACCGAACGAACATGGGCCGCCGTTGTTTCGGGTCTCGCTCGTTGAGGGTTGAACCCAAGGATCCAGTGGGCTTGAAGGCCTGTGTCTGGCCGCCAAGCCACCGGGGCAGAATGAAGGACCGGATAATGCACAGCGCAATATAAGGCGACATCCACATTTGGTATCGAGCACCACGCTGTCCGGTGTGGTAGCCCGCGGGACTGAACAGGACAAACTCGCAGAGGCGGTTCATGATGCTGGCCGCGAAACAAGCCCAGATGAGCCAGTGCAGCTGTTCCTCGTTCGCATAGGCAACCAGTCTCTTACCCCACAACAGAATGATGGGGATCGCGAAGAGAGATGCCGTGACCAAGATTGTATATAAACTGAGCGTAGCGTAGAGGAACCCCGAGAAGCGCTGGGCCACGGTCATCTTCTTGACGGCATCACCCCAGAGACAAAACTTCAGCTTGAAAGCAGTGTCCACGGTTCCGATAGCCCATCTCGTTCGCTGCTTCAGGTGGCCACCGTAGTCCTCAGGAACGGTACCAAACTGAAGCGGCTCGTGGATGTATGCCGTTCGCCAACCCCTACCCAGCATCAGCGTAGATGTGGCAACGTCCTCGGCCAAAGAACCCAGCGGGAAATGACCGATCTGATCGAGAGCCTCCCGCCGACAGATATACCCAGACCCAGTACACCAGGCCACACCAAGCGCATCCTTGATGGGTTCGATGACATGCACGAAAAAGTCCAAGCTCTGCGCGAGCGGATCGGAGAGCGGAGTATTATAAAACAGCTGGGGTGGGCATGCAAGGGCCATCATGGGATCGGCAACCAGGTGGGGGAGAACGGCACGCAGCCATTCCTGCTCCGGAATCTGGGGTATAGAATGTCAGTAAAAAGGATGCTCTTTGACAAGATTTTTATTCACTTACCATATCCGCATCGAGAGCTGCCATGTACTCGCCTGGTCCTCCCGGCAAAAACCGCACCTGGTCTAGGCCGTAGTTGAGATTGCCCGCCTTGAAGTGGTGTGGCTTGCCGGGGATCTTCTCGCGAGCCATATAGAGCACGTTGGGATGGGCCAGGGCGAGCTGTTTGACGGAATACTCGAGCGTTGCCGACTTAGCATCGTCCAGTACGATAACCCGGAACCGGTGGCTGGGGTAATCCTGGTCGATCGCGCCACGGACGGTATCAAGAACAACCTCATCCTCCTCTCCGCAGCAGGTGACAAAGACATCCACCATGGGGACATCATCACCCATCAGTCGCAGCTTTGGTCGCCCTCTCTTCTTCATAGCCATCATGGTCCAGCAGTTGTGCAGCTGGGAGGGGATCGCTACCGCGATCTCGATCGCGATGAACACCCACGCGGCGGCATAGCTCTCGCCCGCAGCCTTCTGGGCCGCGACCACGCAGAAGACGCGCAGACCCAGGTAGAAGAGGTACAACCCTGAGTTAGCGAAGGTGAAGAGTGGAACGAATTTAAAGAGGAAGCGCTTCCACCCTTTCCAAGTGTCGATGTCGTCTCGGTCAGAGATGCGGGCGATCGAGCCCGGCTGCACCCAGTCCTTCGCGAAGACGGGAGACGACGGATGAGTGACGAGGTTGGTTAGAGACTGGTTGCTCTGGTCGATTTGCTGCTGCAACAGTTTAGGAATGGCTTTCTTTCAGGGGCAGTACAATTGCATCACTCTTACCAACGAGGGAGAAGCGGATCGGGAATCATAAGGACTATGCACGAACGACGGCGCGGGCAATGGCCATCCTGTTGGGGCGCCGTACTCGTCTGATGGCGGGCGAGACGGTCGCATGGGCGACATGGGTTGGGATCCGTAATGGTGGTGGTGAGTCTCATAGTAGGGACTGGGCGGTTGCGAGTATTGCTGTTGCTGGTACACATAAGGGTTATTGCCGTGACGGGCATTCATCTCTATCGTCTCTTCATGGAAGTCATGATCGTAGCGATAGGTGCCATTCATGGTGCCGATGGGGAAAGAAAGAAGGACCCGAACTCGCCGACCATGAAAGAAAGAGAGCTGATGTAATGAATGATGAACGATGGCATCGGGAGAGAAAGCGATTAGAGATCAGTAATGAATAGCGAATAAAAATAGACTCAGCGCCACAATCAGGGCAGAGTTTTTCCCTCCGGGTCTTTGATTTGGTCCAGACTAAGAGAGCGAGAGGTACCCGAAGGCACTGGGGCTGGGTCAGGTCCACTAGGTACGACCGTATACTCTGGTACTATCCTACGGTAATGTCCTATGGTACTCTGTTACTAATAGACCAGTATCAACGACTGTGGGATCCTGTTCCTCTGAGCTCACCATCCACCGGATCCTTTGCGATGCTGCCTGTGCCAAGCCACCACTATCGATCATTTGCCGCGATCCGAGTGGTTCCTGCTTATCGGGCAGCACACATCCGGTTAGCGTGTCGCCTCTTGTCGTGGGTAATGGTGGATGCACACGCCCACCAGGCTGTTTGCGGGACCTCCAGATGACGACTACTTACACATGGCGTTCATACAAATGTGTCCCACAGTATAATTGGGCGTACCTGCCCTGATGTACCTCGGGTCCTCCCATACAGCGGAAATACTGGTCATGTGACTTTATTCTTACATTCCATCTCGCACACTAAACCACTCAGTTTGATCCTCAGTTCATCTTAACATGACTCGTCCACAGTGTGGTGGGAATTTCATATGAATAGATCACTTGGTAGGAATCTCGAAAGGAACAAAGCAAAGGAAAGATAAGAGTGGCTTAATACAACGCACGTCACCCAATGCAAACAGGATCACATGTCATCATCTGATTACCATCCTGACTCGCGTGATAAATCCTAGTAATTGGAGAGCCTTTTCTAGAAACGTCTATAAGGAAAGAATGTGCTGCTTTTGATTCAATCATTGACATAGATAGATTCAAGGGGAGTTTTGATAGTTCCGAGGAAAGATTAGTGTACTATGACAACGCGTAGTGTACTATGACAATGCGAGACCAAGGAAGGGTACATGAGGCAAAAGTACACTATATTCTACACTAGTACTAATTTGTATGGACACCATGTGCAAGTAACCTAGGCGTACTGCAAGCAGCCGTGGGGTGTGTGCCCCCAACACTACCCTTTTTGTCCGGCAGAAAAAATCGGCCGCTTCCGATGAGGCCGGAAATGGCAGTATAAATTATGGAGTCGTTTGATAGCCCCATTGTAAATAACACCACATTGGAGTTCGGGCTAGGAATAACCAGCAGTGGCACCTTAACGCAGTTGCTCATTCATGACGATGGCAAAATGCGATAGGTGCGGATGGGCGTGCTCGTCGAATGGAAGAATCCGGTTTGGGATTCGGAAGGTGCCGACTGAAAGGGGAGCTGCTCAACGGTGAAGGCGTGCGATTCTATTGAATTAGGGTTAGCAACTACCAAGAAAGTAGATATCTCACACGTACCACAGACACGCAAAAACGTCTGGAAAGTATCTTCGTTGCGCACGGTCGCGGAGATGATAAAATGCTGAACTCCATAATTGTCGAACAGATCCTGCACCGTGGACAACAGGAGTGGCACAAGATCCGCGTCGTAGATCTGGTTAGGGATGTCAATACAGGCACCGGGACAAAAAGAGCAAGGAAACTGACCAGATCAGCACCAAGTGCGACATCAAAGTTGGTCCATTCGGACACCGCATCCCCGCCGCCTTTAACGTCCAAGGGAGTCCCCCACTCCCAAACAGCCGGATAGAATGGAAGCGCTGCGGCAGTTTCGGTCTGATTATGAGAAGCACAGCGGTCCATATTCTCAATCAGAGTAGTTTCCCGATCCGTCGCAACAACCGCCTGAGCACCGAGATGTCGCGCACATAGTAGCGACAAGAACCCGGTGCCAGCGCCGAGCTCTATCACTCGCTTCCCGCGTATGAGGGATTCACCCATCCCAGTCACCAGGAACGACCCCAGATGGAGGGCTGCCTCCCAGGTGCGGAACCCCGTAGTGCCAGACCCGTAAATCAGCCCGCGCGACTCGGAGGTGATAACCGTGCGCTCTGGTGTGCTGTCTGTCGTATCGGGCTGCACCGGGGCCGTATATTCTACAAGTTCCAATTGCTGTGCTTGCTCCAGAGCTGGGGTCTTGGGCGTTGCGATCAGCGTGCTCCAGCAGGACATGAGATCGTCGAGGATCTCCTACAGGAAGACATACGTCAGATGGAGTGGTTCAAATAGAAATTCAGATGAAACATAGACATAAGAGTATAAGCACAGAAACATCAACCTACATCCTCCTCCGGATCACGGATTGACGCCTCAATGCGCGCCAGAATTAGCTTCAGCACGCGCGCGCGGTAGTTGGCCGGTGGCAGTGGGAACACGGTTTCCGCGAACATGCGCTCGTATAGCGCAGTCTGCACATCGGACCGCACGAGAACAGGGCCATCTGGGAGTGCCAGATCCGAGAGATCCACGAGCTGGAAGTACTGGGCGACCAGCTTGCGGATCATGGCCGTTCGACTTTTTGTAGTTTCGGCGATTAGTTAATTATCGGGAGGGATTAGATAAGGGCAACGTGTCATGTGATGTGATTATATAAACGACCCCCAGATAGGCTAGCGCCGTCGTAGCCGAGCCCACACGAAAATTGAACAAGAAACAATCGCCAACCGTCCTCTCCATCACCATCACCACCAAAATGGCCGACGCTCACGTTACCCTGCGGACTCGCAAGTTCATCCGCAACCCTCTGCTGGCCCGCAAGCAGATGGTCGTGTAAGACTCCCTTTTTCCACCCCTGTGCGAGGACTGTGCGATCGGTGTGTGGGAATTCGAGATTTGTGGATTGGCGTGGACGAGTCGACCGGACATTCAATACACGACAAGAGGAGGAATTCGAGGAGCACGCACACACAAACACATACATTCGATTAGGAAACAGCGATCTGATCTTTTTCTCTACAGGGACGTCCTCCACCCCAACCGCCCCAACGTCTCCAAGGATGAGCTCCGCGAGAAGCTGGCCGACCTGTACAAGTCCAACAAGGACCAGGTGTCCGTCTTCGGTTTCCGCACGCAGTACGGTGGTGGCAAGAGCACCGGCTTCGCTCTGGTCTACGACTCGCAGGAGGCCCTGAAGAAGTTCGAGCCTCACTACCGCCTGGTTCGCATCGGTGCCGGCACGAAGATCGAGAAGCCCAGCCGACAGCAGCGTACGTTCCTCGCCTCTTCCCCAGTAATCTAGTTTCATTGCTGATTTCATTGTGTACAGGCAAGCAACGGAAGAACCGCTCCAAGAAGTTCCGCGGTACCGCCAAGGTCAAGGGCCCCAAGAAGAGCAAGGACTAAACGCCTTCACCCCCTACGCTCAATCATCATCATGGAAGAACGAAGGGAGAGTGGTGTGTTCGGTACCTGGGGCTGGTGTTCGGTCGTGTACGTTGTTGGAGGATGGACAGCCTTTTACCATTCCCGCGGCTGAAGAAGGTGGATCGTGGACAAAAATTCCTGTGCTGCTAGATCTGATGGTTCCAAATGGATATTCCGAAAAGTGGACAAGGCGTGTTGTGTGGATTATCTAGTTGCTTTTGTTTTTTTGGATCATCAGTTTCCTGCAACACGAGGGCACATGAAATATCCGGGTTGAGGCTGTGGCCTGGAATGAATTCACTATTTGTTTCTCAAACATTGTCTGTCCAGTTGGTGGTGTCATTGGTAGACCGGTCTGCTCTGCTCTGTAATCCCATCGTGCCTGTCCTATCCCCTGGACACTCAACTCGGTACAACCTAACCTCACCTAGCCTCTCTGTCCATGATACGAAACAAAGTTAAGTATCTCAAATCACACATGCTCCGCAGGGGCGTGAGAGAATTCCAAATCATCAGGCAGCAGGACTTTATCTCTGTGTATCTTCCGTACAGACCGGTCCTCGAACCCTCCGGGAAGGTGAGACATGGGGGGGGGGGAGAGTGTCAGATCAGGTTGTGCAAGGCATGCTAGTGATTGCACAACCTTAATTTCTAAGTTTTGTTTCAATCTCCGTCCTTCGGTGGTGAAAGGCTGCATGTTTCATTTCGTTAGGGTTGGAGTTGGGATATATATAGGAGGAGGATGGAGGTGGTGGGTGGACTTAAAGAAGAGAGTAAAGAATATCCAAGGAGATGACCAGGTGGGAGGAATTGAAAGTGACAAATCATTGCTCTCACCGTGTTACCTACTCATGTATTGGATAGTCAGGTGCAGATACTATTCTAAATAGAGAATGGAATTTGCTAACTAGAGGTCAACAGGATTAGCAGTTATTCACCATGAGCACAATACTGGAAAATCGGAAAACGGCCATTACAGCAAGCACAAAGCCCCCTCCTTCCATTACTTCTCCTTCGAAACAAAAAGCCAACCCGAGCAGACAAATAAGGCACTCCATCCGACATGACGAGATAGGAAAAGGACAGAGATGGATACGGATGAGAGAACCACCCACTCAAATAACCCCGAGGGGGAGGAGATGTGGTCCACCATCACTCCCTTCTCTTCTCCATCCAGAAACACAAACAGGGCCAGAGATCCAACCTCACAAGGCCCAGACACACCCAGCCGTTCGAGGGCATGGCCAACCACACACTTCTTCGTACACACAACAAGGTAAATGAATGCAACAGCAGATCCAGTAGACAATACAAATAAAAACGCAAATATCAACCTAGCCTCCGCAACGGGGTCTGGGGTAGTAGGTGACCAAGTAGTGTAACAGACCCGACCCCTCTTCTTGTCCCTTATCTGGACCGGTCAATTGGTTTGGCGCGTGGATGTGGGCAATAGTTGTAGGACTTGTGGTGGCAATCTAAGAAATCGATGTAGAGAGGTAGAGCAGAAAACAGAAACAGACGAAAGCCCGTAGACCACAAGATTCTCTCTCCATGTTCTCCATGGAAGAGTTTCAATAACCCTGATTCCCCAAAGGAGAAACAGAAGACCGATTCATATTCACAGCCATTGAACGGGAATACTCCGCCAGCGAATCCGTGGGCAAGAGATTAAACGAAAACGCCGCGTTGGGCGAATCAGCGTGCCGGACTCGGGTGTAGGGCAGACCGTTCAACAGCGTGGGAGCCGAGCAACGAGTATCGCCAGCGTCAGTGCTGCTCCTTTTACTCCGGTTGCTGCTGGCATACCCGTATATCCCCAAGTTGCAGTCTGTGTTCAGAGCCAAGAGACGCTGTTGGCCACTATTGTTGTTGCTTGTGTAGTTGCGAGAGAAACTGCGTGCCATGCGGGTGTCTGTTGGCGGGGAAGATGAGGAAATGATCTGCTCCGGGCCTGGATAGGGGCAGTTGCTGCTGCTTGCGGAGGATGGTACAGAGGGTGCGCCCGACGAGAGAGAGGGAGTGGCGTCGTCGGTTGTGGTTGGCATCGGGAGGTATCCGAAGGCGAGATCGGGGACACTATTGGTGTCGGGCTTGATGCGGGTGGATGAGGGACTCGTGCTGAGAGAGGTGTCGTTGCTGCGGAGTATAGGAGTTGCTCGCTGAGTGGGGGATGCGCCGCATCGGGAATTCCAGAAGGAGCTCTTGTATTCTGATGATAGAGGCACGCTGGAGACGACCTCGGGAAGACTGGCCAGTCCGGTCTGGAGTTGCTGGGTCCGGCACGTCAGCGTGGGGAGAGTTATTCCGGGGGCCTCTGCTGATGAGGCAGATGCCATGGATGAGTGAGACATCTCTGTGACTGAAATTCCTTGACTGGGAAGCACGTAGTTGTATCCAGAGATAGAGCCATTGGTTTCCGAATCGGGGTAGGTACATTCACCGGTGGTGCCTCTGCTGGTATTGAACATGGAGCTCCATGCCTTGGGACTCCATGCGGGCGCTCCGTAGTCCATGATGCTGCTGGGCAGCATATTATGCTGTGACTGAGTGCTGTAGTTGGCAGACTGCTCGTCGTCGTAGTGAAGAGGATGGTCTACACCAACTGACAAGCGCGGGAGTCTATGTTGGACATTGACTGCACCCACGTCGTATTCGGCAGGATGAGTGAGTTCAGCTATTCGTGTCTGGGGCGAGCCCATCGAGAGAAGTGTTTGTTTGCCTGGTGCGTGGGCTGCGTATATCCCTGCCCGGGGCGAGGGTGCAATCTGGTTTCCCATAGAACACTGCCATCCATTGGAAGTGACAAGCATCTCATGCATCTCATTGAATGTCTTGGCTTTCATCTGGCCGACCCTTAGTTTGCAGGCCCCGTTGCTTTCGGAGAATAGAGACTTACTCGTAAGAACTGACAGTCCGTATTGCCTGCACTCCGGCAGTTGGAGCAGGCATGGCCGTCGCCGTTGTCACCGCTGCATTTGATCTTTCTCCGTCGACACCGGCCGCACTAAGGAGTGTGAGTACTAACATGGTTTAGAGTTGGCAAAACACTTACTGCAACAGGAACCCGGCGTCTCTGGGGGTTGCGAAGCTTGCTATCCAACTCGGCCACGGGGCTGATGCAGTTGTTGCTGCGCCGGTCACTCTGCTCATGATGGTTTGTCCTCCGCATCGAACGAGGACCAGAAAGTGACGGATCTTGAATAAGACCGACTTTCTCAGAATAGTACGGGTGAGCCATATCCTGCCAAATGGGTCAGCTGGATCCAGTCAGGGAGAGAAAGGATCAAAGTATACCGCTTGAGAAACAGCTGTCGTCTTTCAACAGAAGCCTCGAGAGTATAAAACAAAAGGCTATATGGGAATAGCGAGCATATTTGGGTATATTCTTGAGAGTGAAAAAGAAAGAGAGAGAGAGGGTCTCTGCTGGAGGTAAGGCTAGATTTAAGCTATGTTTTGGTAACAATCAGTGTGTGATTGCCTGTACTGTGTAGGATGCTGTTGTTGCCCCTTATAATTTTTTTTTTTCCGCCTCAATTTTATTATTATTATTTTCTGAATTCTTGCCTATGCCTATCTTAATCCGTCCATTTCCTGAATAGTAGAGAGGGGGGGCGTCCACGGATTGGGAGGCGTACACACCCAGTACATACAGGGAGGCAAAAGTACCAATGGGGGAGTGCTTTCGTCAGATGTTTATTTATTTTGCGTCCACAGTTTCGTAATTTTACTTTTCCTTTTTGCATTCGCTGTTGTTGTACCCAGGGGAAATGATATGCAGATTTCCGCGGTACCCCCAAGCCATATTCTCCTGGCTGGAGAGAGGAGAGAGAGAGGCATGGCGATGAAAGACCAGCCAGCAGGAGAGTCCCCGGCGTTTTAGAGACTTGGTTTCACAACGTAACGTCACACGGGGGGACATGACCTGGTAGCCCACCATGACGAGAGTCTAGCCAAGGAGATTAGAGTCTTGTCACTGCTGGGGAAATGTTTCAGCCAATCTTCTCCAGCTGATCTTGTCCCTTCTTTTATTTCCCCCGTCAGATAAACTCCGCAGTATTTACTTACACATACAATACTTCCGGCCAGGTTGGAGTGGATAGCGGCGGACAACTGCCGCCCTACGTTTGCAGAAAGGACTCAGAAGTCGATCCGGATCTACTGTTTCCGACGCCAGTGGGCCGATAGAGGCAAAGGTCCAGAAAATGGTGAATGTTTGCTACATGGCTGGATCAGGCAAGCCAGTCGAAACACTTATTGGTGTGGCTGCTGCAGCTCCGGCTTTTCTGGAGTCGGGCTAGGCCAAACAGACCAACAAAAAGCCCTAAAGCAACCCGAGATCGGCCCCGACACGGGGAAATGGAGGAAAGGACTGAGAAAATAATTGAGGGTACGTCTGGAACAAGCGCCCATCAAGGCAACAAACGCCGCTCGTCTTCTTTTCTCTCTCTTCGTAATGTCTCGGCGTATTGAAGGGGGGCTGGAAGTTTGCCATGTCTTATCATGACCCCAATATGTGGATAAATAATTGGCGCTTCTTTTTTTCTGACATCTGTCATTTCCTTAAACAGTCAGGTCCTTTGACCCTCCGCGAAGCGCGCTCTGGAAAAGCACAACTAGCAGGGATCTATAAGGTTGCGGGCCAGATCGCCGACATGGATGTGTCGTCGATCAGTAGATCAGCCTGGGCGCTGCTCTAGCGCTTCCGCGGCCGCGGTGCAGCTCGATGGAAACGGAAATGACAGAAAAAAGCAACCATCCCAGCGCGTCTAGGATATGTCCAATACACTGTCGCCACTAGAGCCGCTAGTCAGAAGACTTGACCTGATTTTCCGCGCTTGATCGAATGCGGATCTCGGTCTTCCACCATGTCTTGTAGGGTCGGTCTATGCAGCCCTTTTCCCACATGTCTTTTGTTTTTGCATCGGCCAAAAAGATGGTCAAATAGGGCACGCGATGAGAAACCAAGTATCAGAACAAGCGGCCATCGCACAGAAACATCTCACTCCCCAGGGAAGAAAAGTCGCACGGGATCGTATCTGGATTGTCTACTGGATCCGTGGGGAGGGGAAGAGGATCATTCCAAATGGACGAGTTCCATCGATGCCATACACGGTCTGACGATGCACAACACTTCGAGTGAGGCAAGCCAGATGACTCGTGTTGAGATTGAGACCGAGCAGCCTGATCGACAGGAAGGATGGCGTCGAGCGACGGCCAAAAGGGGAGATGGGGATCTCATCTCAGCACATCCACGAGGCCCAGCGATGAGATGCCGTTGGGTCCTGCTGCAGGAGGCCGCCCGTTTTGCTACCCCAACGTCTTGCTCTGCGGTGGAACAGCCCGTGAAACTCACCAGCAGTGTCTGGTCCGGGGAAGAAGACGAGGCCGACATTCTAGCTCTTTTGGCTGGGACTGCTGCTGCACTGGCCCCGTTCCCGTTCTGAGAAGCCGGTGAGCGCAGCAAACAGCCCCAGTTCGACCCCTTAAACCTCAATGATCCAACGGGGACGCCCGGAAGATATGCCGCTCGATTGACAAGGGAGCATTGCACAGAGAGGCACCGGGTCGATCATCTGAGGAGTCTTGACCTGATTGGAAATTAGTAATGTTGTGGGCGACTTTTTCGTAGTTAGTTAATCAAGTTAGCTAACTCACTGCTTAAGGAAGTAATGTATTTGGACTTGGCTTGGGGCTCTTGGAAGAGAGATGGGTATAGTATAGATAGGTGTAGAACTACAGGGAGGTAAGGGGTGTGGTATAGATGGCCCACCGATGATGACGCTGATTGGCGGCTGATCACTTTCTCGCTCGCTCCAACACGCGACTGACCGCAACCCACGCCCCGATTATGAGCGCGCTGCTGGAGACTTCATTGGGGGACATCGTCATTGACCTGCTGGTCGACGAGTCACCCAAGGCCTGTGAAAAGTGAGTGACACTGCCTGTTCCTGCGGCATGAACTGGCTAACACTGACAACCGCAGTTTTCTGAAGCTCTGCAAGGTCAAATACTACAACTTCTCGCCCATCCACAGCGTTCAGAAGAACTTCTCCTTCCAATCGGGCGACCCCCTAGGCCCAGATGCCCCCGACAGCGATGGCGGATCTTCCATCTGGGGTGTGCTGGACGGTCCAGCCAAGAGAACCTTTCCAGTCGAGCTCCCCCCGAAAATGAAACACACCGAACGCGGCACCGTCAGCCTGGCGACCGTTCCAGCAATGAACGATCCAGATCAGCGACTAGCGGGGAGCCAGTTTCTGATTACGCTGGGAGACAATCTCGATTATCTGGATGGGAAGGCGGCCATTTTCGGCAAGGTCGTAGAGGGATTCGACGTGCTGGAAAAGATCAATGACTCCTTCATCGACGACCGGGGCCGGCCATTGAAAGATATCCGGATTCGCCACACTGTTGTGCTCGACGATCCGTTCGATGACCCGTCAGGCCTGGTGGAACCGCCCGAGAGCCCCGTGCCATCCAAGGCCCAGCTGGCCACGGTGAGGATCGCAGACGACGAGGATTTGGACGATGACATGGATGAGGATGCGATGGAGAAATTGCGCCGAGAGCGTGAAGCCCGCGCGCAGGCGCTGACCTTGGAAATGGTGGGAGATCTTCCCTTCGCTGAGGTCAAGCCCCCGGAGAATATCCTTTTCGTATGCAAGTTAAACCCAGTCACACAAGGTATGTCGTTTCCCCTGCCCTGCCAGTTGCGGTTTCCTAATTACAATTCTATAGATGAGGATCTCCATCTCATCTTCAGCCGCTTTGGGCAAATCCTGTCTTGCGAGGTCATCCGGGACAAGCGCACCGGTGATAGCTTACAGTATGCCTTCATTGAGTTTGAGAACCAGAAGGACTGTGAACAAGCCTACTTCAAGATGCAAGGAGTCCTCATTGATGACCATCGGATACATGTGGACTTCTCACAGAGTGTACGTCTCCCCTCTCTCTATCTCCTTAAAAGGATTATGCTCACACCCCGATCAGGTTTCCAAACTATCCGAAAGCTGGCGAAATGCTACCGTCACGAAGCGCCGACAACGAGGCGGTTTCGGAGGTGTGGCCGACCTAGAAAAGAAACGGCAATACAGGGCGTTCGATGATGCCCATGCAGATGAGGATAAAGAGGACGGGTACGGGATGGTCTTTGACCGACGCCGCCGGGAACAGCAACAACGACAACAATCCGAGCGTCGTGAAGGCCGTCCTGACCGCAGTCCTCGCCGCGACTCTCGTCGCGACCGGCGAGGGAGTCGTAGTCCTCCTCGAAGACGAGACGATCACTACCGACGGCGATCGTACAGTCGGAGTCCTGGGCGGAGCTCGCGCAGGGATCAAGATCGGGATCGAGATCGCTACCGGGATAACCGACGGCAGCAGCGGTAGAAAAATGTAACTATCCTAGATTCTGTCTGTACCTTGTGTCCCTGATACCCCAAAAGGGAAAGAAAAAATCTGGATCAGGACCCGCTGGCCGGGTGGAATACCCAATGAAGACTCGAACATGTCTCAGACACTCAAGTTATTTTTACACTTTCATTCTTCAAGACTAGTTAACTAAGCCCGGACAGGGAGCTGAGCTTCTCCGCGATTAATTTACTTGCCACTCTTCCTTCCTTCTCTTCCCCCTTACACCTACCCTACCTGTTTTCATATTTTACTCGACCTACACCTCCCTCTTGTTTCCTTTGTTTAGTCTCCTCCATATCTCCAATCTTCCACTTTCGTTAATAAACAATCATGGCAGCCATCAAGGAGACTGTCTCCCACTTGATCGAAAAGTTCCAAGGCCCCGCCGAGGATGCGCCCCGCGAACCATCCGCTGAAGAATTGCAAGCGCTACAGAAGCAGTACGCTGACGCCGGACAAGGGCACGTGTTTACCTTCATCGACGAAGTGAGTCCCGTCGAGAAGGCCCGGCTCTTCCACCAGCTGGCCAACTTCAACCCCACCCGCATCAACGAGCTGGCTACCACCGCCCTCAACCCTCCCCCCACCACCGCCGAACAGACCGCCACCTCGCTGGAACCCCTTCCCGATGTGGCGACTGCGTCGATCCTCGACTCCAACCCCGCCGATCTCCAGAAATGGTATGACGAGGGCTTGAAGCAGGTCTCCCAGAACACCGTGGCGGTCGTGCTCATGGCCGGTGGGCAGGGCACCCGTCTGGGCAGCTCTGCGCCCAAGGGCTGCTTCGATATCGGGCTGCTCAGCCAGAAGTCCCTGTTCCAGTTGCAGGCGGAGCGGATTGCGAAGCTGCAGTCCCTGGCGCAAAAGACTCATGGCGTTGCGCAGTCGACGATCCCCTGGTATATCATGACCAGTGGGCCGACGCGGAAGCCTACAGAGGAGTTCTTTGCGAAAAACAATTTCTTTGGCCTGGAGAAGAACAACGTGTTTGTCTTTGAGCAGGGCGTGCTCCCGTGTATTTCTAACGAGGGCAAGATTATGATGGAGAGCAAGACTAAGGTCAGTGTGATCCTGTACAATCCTAGCAATCCTCTGACCCATGGTTATAGGTTGCCGTGGCTCCTGACGGCAACGGCGGTATTTACCAAGCCCTCCTGACCTCCGGGGTGCGCGAGGACATGCGCCGCCGAGGCATTCAGCACATCCACGTCTACGGCGTGGACAACTGCCTGGTCAAGGTAGCAGACCCCGTGTTTATTGGATTCGCCGCATCCAAGGACGTGGACATTGCCACGAAGGTGGTGCGGAAGCGCAACGCAACCGAGTCTGTGGGCCTGATCCTGCAGAAAAACGGCAAGCCGGACGTGGTCGAATACTCGGAAATTGACAAGGAAACCGCCGAGGCTAAGGACCCCAAGCAGCCGGGTGTGCTCAAGTACCGCGCCGCGAATATCGTCAACCACTGCTACAGCTTCCGCTTCCTGGAGTCGGTTGAGAACTGGGTGCACAAGCTGCCGCACCACGTGGCGCGCAAGAAGATCCCCTGTCTCGATACGGAGACTGGTGACGCGGTCAAGCCTGAGAAGCCGAATGGCGTCAAGCTGGAGCAATTCGTCTTTGACGTGTTCCCCATGACTCCGCTGGATAAATTTGCATGCCTCGAAGTTCTGCGCGAGGAGGAGTTTTCTCCGCTGAAGAACGCACGCGGCACGGGTCAAGATGACCCGGACACCAGCCGGGCCGACATCATGAAGCAGGGACAGCGGTGGGTTGAGAAGGCCGGCGGTGTGGTGATTACGGAGGGAGATGCATTTGGGGTGGAGGTGTCCCCGCTGATCAGCTACGTACGTTGCCATGATGGATGACCCTGCCCAATCTGATTATCTGATCATACTGACTCTGTGGTAGGGCGGCGAGAACCTCGAATTTCTTCGCGGGCGGGAGATCAAGGCCCCGGCGATCCTGGAGAAGGAAGAGTAAAACAACCAGCGGAAAACGGCGTCATCTCGGAAGCAATGTCTGGCTTCGCATACCGGGTGGAAAACTCGAACACAAGTTGGTATACAATTGCTGTGCTGTTACAAACAAATGAAAGAAAGAATTGAATGATTGCATGGCTCTGGAATGGATCTACCACCGTCATTTCTGGGAGATCCGGGAATGCAGGGTCAGAAATACTTCTTCTTTCCCCGAACACTACCTAGTCTCTATCTCCCACGATCCTCGTAGTATAACTATCGCTCTGCTGAGCATCGTAGTAGTAAGACCGATGTAGGTACTTCGCCTTACGCAATACGGAAACGCCCGGGAGCTAAACGGCCGTTTGCCTGGTTTGCAGCCGCCCACCATTTTCCTCCGCTTCGCTTGTCGTCTCTCGCCTTCCCTGCAATCCAATTCTCTTGATCAATTCTCTCTGCTGGCCCGGTGTGTGAGTGCTGAGAAGTGGTTTTCCTGCTGGTTGTTGTGTTGTAAGTCCATCCGAGGTTGCTTTTTGTGCGTTTTGCATGTTGCCAGCCCACTTTTTTTTCCTCTGCAAATTTATTTTGGTGTCCGTGGGCTGGCGAGAACGTGCTCGGTTTTCTTTTGACCCCAAGGTTCTCATTACTCTGGTTGCTGACCTGCCTTCAAGAGATCGACTCTGATTTGTTTAGGAAAGGCTGAGTGAGTACCCTCCACGCTGCTCGTTTCGTCTCGAGGTCCTGTCGCTCTGCTCTTTTAACCCCGCGGATCGGCCTTTTTCGCCCGCCCTCGGTCCCTGCATCGATGATTCACCCTGTCATCGACCTATCACTTCGATGAGGGTGATCTCGAGCATGGACACCATCCAGGCGGACTCGAGCGGATGGGCTCGGACGGATATGGCGATACGACTGATCATCCAGCGCTGACTCTCGTTCTGGGTAGATTCTCGACAAGATGATGTTGTCCCGTCGTGCGTGCTACAAGTGTGGCAATATCGGCCACTATGCGGGTTCGTATTGAATGGCACCCCTCCTCCGCGCCTCACACTAATTTCTGTGTAGAGGTCTGCTCTTCCTCGGAGCGTCTCTGCTACAACTGCAAGCAGCCTGGCCATGAGTCCAGCAGCTGCCCTCGTCCTCGCACGACCGAGAGTAAGCATTCTTCTTCTTTTGTTTATCAAGGACTCCATCCTGACAATCCTCCAGCCAAGCAGTGCTACAACTGCCAGGGTCTCGGCCATGTTCAGGCCGACTGCCCCACGCTCCGCGTGAACGGTGGTGCCAATGGCCGCTGCTACAACTGCAACCAGCCCGGACACCTTGCTGTATGTTGAATCATATCCAACATGTCAAGCACCATGCTAACTCGAAGGCCAGCGCAACTGCCCTAACCCGGCCGCTCCCGGTGCTGGTGCTGGTGCTGGCCGCCCCGCGGGCCCTCGTTTCCAGGGTGGTTTCCGCGGCGGCTTCCAGGGTGGCTACCCTCGCGCCGCGACTTGCTACAAGTGCGGAGGCCCCAACCACTTCGCCCGGGACTGCCAGGCCCAGGCCATGAAGTGCTACGCTTGCGGCAAGCTGGGCCACATCTCCCGGGACTGCACTGCTCCCAACGGTGGCCCCCTCAGCTCCGCCGGTAAGGTGTGCTACAAGTGCGCCCAAGCCGGCCACATTTCTCGCGACTGCCCGACCAACGAGACTGCCGCCCAGCCTGCTGTTGATGCTGCCGCTGCTGTTGTCCCTGCCGCTGCCCCTGTTGCTCCTGCTGCTGCGACCACCCCCGCTGAGGCCAGCACCGAGACTGCCCCCGTTGCGGTCGCGGCTCCCACCACCGCCGTTGCATAAACGCGCGGGTTCCGACCTTGTCTCTTCCTGGAATCGCCCGGATTCCCATTTCCTTCACCCGATTCTTTTGTATTACGATCCACATTGCCTCCCAACGTCCCAGTCGGTCCTTATTTCTTCCTCCAAAACGAACGCGACTTTCTCTCCACCCGTTATTTCTTCCTGTGCATATATTTAAAACCCCCGCCACCCTCTTGGGACGGTCTTGGCTTTGATTGATTCTTTTTTATGTATACGACGAACAAGGAAAAGTGTTTTTGTTCTGTTATGATGTCCCCATTCTCCGCATGGTCCCCGTCTTACGAATTGGCGTCTTTTGTCGATTGTTTCTCCGGATGATCTTTCTCGATTTTGATGAACCAGAAAACACCCTTCTTACCCTCTGATTGGTTGCGATTCCCCCGAATGGGCCAAGGAACGAGAGAGCGAGAGCGAGGAAGAGAGAGAGAGAAGAGAAAGAGGGCAGCAGCAACGAGAGGAGCACGAGCAGATGGGGGGGGGATGATATGTGTGGAGAGAAAGCGAATGATGAATGGCATGTGTGTTTTGTATCCAGATGGGTGACGGGCAGATGTCCTGGCTGAGATCATTCGAAGCGCGAATCCAACGAATTCCATGAGTCTACTTTTTATACTTCTATACAGTCAGTAGTCGAGTCCCCGTGACTTGGTCTCTCTCCATACACACCCTCTCTCTGGTCCCCTTCTTCCCTTTCCATCATTCCCAATCCCGTCTCTTTTCATCCATTCTCCTGTCCCATCAATCAAAATGCCCGAGTCTGACTACAACGACGAATCCAACGATGAGGCACATCCCCCTTTCTCCTATCCATCTCCAACCCCATCAGATACCTAACTCCAGCCGCACAGAGCTTCATCGTGGACATCGACAGCATCCAAGCCCATGGCATCGGCGCAGCTGATATCACCAAGCTGAAAGCCAATGGCTTCTACACCGTCACAGTTAGTATTTCCCAAGTCGAGTGGAATGCACTCTGCCTTCCTGACCCACGCTTCAGTCCGTCCACGGCGCCACGCGCAAGACACTCCTGAAGATCAAAGGTTTCAGCGAGATCAAGGTCGAAAAGATCAAAGAGGCTATTCAGAAGTGCCTGGTAATTTGCCCCGTATCCCAACGGTGTCAAATACAAGGTTCATGATACGGTGTTAGCCGTCCGCGTCGGGTTTCATCACAGCCATGGAATTGCTGCACCAGCGGAAGAAAGTTGTGCGCATCTCGACTGGGAGCAAGCAGTTCGACTCGATCCTCGGAGGGTGACCATAACACCCAACCCTCTGCAAGATCATCTCTAACGCAATCTCCAGCGGCTTCCAAAGCAAGAGCATCAGCGAAGTCTTCGGCGAATTCCGCTGCGGCAAAACCCAGCTCTCGCACACCATGTCCGTGGTCGCGCAGCTGCCCAAGGAAATGGGTGGCGCGGAGGGCAAAGTCGCCTACATCGACACGGAGGGCACGTTCCGGCCTGAGCGCATTGCTCAAATCGCCGAGCGCTTCAGCATCGACCCGGACATGGCGCAGGAAAATATCGCGTACGCGCGTGCGCTCAACAGCGAGCACCAGCTGGAGCTGCTCAATACGCTCAGTCGCGAGTTTGCCGCGGGCGAGTATCGTCTGCTGATCATTGATAGCATTATGAACTGTTTCCGGGTGGATTTCTGTGGACGCGGTGAGTTGGCGGATCGGCAGCAGAAGCTGAATCAGTTTTTGATGAAGCTGGCACATATGGCTGAAGGTGAATTCCCTCGGGAACCTTAAGGGGTTTCCTTGTGTGCTTGCTGACTCTGCTTGCAGAATTCAATATCTGTGTTCTGATGGTTGTTTTTCCTTGCAATTTATACCTTCATAGACCATATTACTGACTTTTGCGCCAGACAAACCAAGTCCAGAGTGACCCTGGTGCAAATGCCCTCTTTGCTGGAGCTGATGGTCGCAAGCCTGTTGGTGGACATGTTCTTGCCCATGCTTCCACAACCCGAGTTCTGCTCCGCAAAGGCCGAGGAGACGAGCGTGTAGCCAAAATCCAGGATTCCCCTGGTAAGACCACCGCTGTTGAGTGCTGCCATTTATTGATCTTTCCCAGATTGCCCTGAGCGAGAGGCCACCTACGTGATCACGACCGGAGGCATCAATGACCCTGACAAGATGTGAGACGACGGATGGATGGATGATTGATCAATTTGCATTTCTGAACGAAGTATCGCGGGTGCACCTGTTTTGATTTATTTATTTTATTTTCCGAAATGGCTGCCAATCCTGCCTGTATCTTTATACCAATTCAATGGATATTTTATTTTACTCCAGGAGCATGGTAGGGCCTGGCAAGCCCTAACATAGTTGTTGATCGGTCCACCGCCTTGACTTCCGCTCCATCCATAGACAGGCAGAATTTTGCCGCTGAAAAAAAGCTGCTCGCCTCAACAACCAACCACTCCCAAACCAAAAATGAAGGGAGAATCCGTGGAGATAGCAGGGTATACCACCCTCCCGCTGCTCCTGCCAGAAACTCGCACGTTCCCCAAGTCGGCAACACATTATCTCTACCTGCGCCCCCACGAGCCTCGCATCCCCGACCCGGATTCCTCTCGATCGCTCTTCGTTGTCAATATCCCCATCGACACAACAGAAACACACCTGCGCTATTTGTTCGGAACACAATTATCCGCCGGTCGCGTTGAGAGGGTGCATTTTGAAGATGTGCCGACGAAAAAACACTCCGGAGAAGCCGCCACGGAGGGCAACCTCTCGCACCGCAACAAGAAACGCAAGCGCATCACGGCCGACGACCTCCAGTCCACATTAGACAGCATCACTTTCCCCTCCACCTGGAACCGGAAGCTCCAAAAGAGCGGCGCACACGCCATCGTGGTCTTCGCCGACAAACCCAGCATGGAATCTAGCCTTAAAGCCGCGACGAAAGTAGGCAAACGGGGCCCTAAGATCATCTGGGGCGATGGAATCCCAGAGGACCGCATCCCCGAGCTCGGATCGCACCGGTATTCGAGTCACGAGCGCATGCGGTACCCCGATCGCGCGACGCTGCTGCGCACAGTGAATGAGTACATGACCGCATTCGCAGAGGTCTCTGAGGCGCGGAAGCGCGAGGAAATGAAGAAGACCCAGGAGCCTGACGAGGACGGATTTGTTACTGTCACGCATGGACCGAAGTTGAACTCTGTTGCCCGTGAGGATGAGGTCAAGGAGTTGATTGAGAAGCAGAAAAAGAAGAATGCGGGTCTGGAGGACTTTTATCGGTTCCAGTCTCGGGAGAAGAGGAAGGCAAGACAGAATGAGTTGCTTCGGCGGTTTGACGAGGATAAGAGAAAGTTGCGGGATATCAAGGACCGGAGGGGAAAGATTAGAGTAAGTTTTTCCCTTGTTCATTGTTCAGGTACTAACCAGTCTTTTGCAGCCTGAGTGATGTTTGTGCTATTTGGCATGGATGGCGTTTGGAGTGCTTAGCTGTGTGAGTAAGTCACTCTTTTTTTCCCTTCCTGTTAAATCTCCAAGGATGAGTCCGCTGGGGCCAGAGTAGCAAGATGCGCCCTGTTCGCTGTCATGCCATGCCTGCAAACACCAGCAATCCACTTCCAATCTTCTCACCTTGTCTGAACTGGAGGATTCATGGCGTTTTGATGACACAGAATCTTGTTTTTGGCATATACTAATGATTTGCTAGTTCACATAATTCGATTCTACTGTCTCTATTTTATCTCCTGTCACTACTGCATACTATCTGTCAATGAACATGATGTTATTCACCTAAAATCTATACTGTGGCACTTCCGCTTCGAAGCCGCTCTCGGTACCGGATTGAAATCGTGATGAGGAAATCGATTCAGATTCATAGTAACGTAGTAGATATAGAGATTATTATAATTGCCGAAAACAGCTTAGCCAAAGTTCCAAAAAATATCGTGCGCCCGACGCTAGCCGATAAAGTAAAGATATACAGGTCAGATTCCCTTCACGATGCCAGGACGAAGTATGTATAACTAACCACATACAATATTCACTTAAAATCTATACTCTGGCACTTCCGCACAGACCAATGATGAACCAGGCTTGGCATGACATCTTCACCGCCGCCAACCAACTACACCTAGTGCATCACAACATACCCTCACACTGCTCGTCAGTACACATTCACAGAGCGTCAAAGATAATTCAGATCCAAAAATGGGATCTAGTTGTCGGGGTTAGGGTTCACACACGGGCTGAGGCACTCGATCGACGACACCATCGGCGCTGACGAAGCGCACGGCAATCTATCTGATTATTTTGGCTGCATGGACACATTGCTCTTCTCTCACCTCTCTCATCCGTATCATCCGCCCGTTTCCATTCTCTCGAAATGTCGGAAACCCACGACTCCGAGGAAGATCTGGCGTGGGAGGACGTGCCTATCAAACACAAGCACGTGCCGAACAATCCAGATGTCAACATAATCATGGATCCTTTCCTGACCCTGAAAATGCATCCTACCAGCTCGGATACACACCTTGTTCGGCCTCCACCCGACTTCCCGCCGGAAGACATGTGGGTAGCCAATCCCATCTCCCTGCCGCCGCAGCGGGAGCAGCCTATCCCGGCGGGCTCGGATGAGGAGACCCAGACGCGTAACCGCCTTGAAAAAGAAATTGAGAAAGTCATCTATCGCGCTTCGAAGACCAGACTGGGTATTCGTGTCAGCAACGCGCCGCCGTCTCAGCGTGCCTACGAAAGCTACAAGGAACTGGCGCTGGATATGGACAAGGTCATTGACAAGATCTGGGCCTGTGGAACCCGTAAGTCTTCGCAGGTATCTACTGGTAAATTCCTTCGTTACTGATGGGAACATGTGTGTCCAGCTTCTCTCCAAGTCTGGCCCTTACTGGGTGTCGCAGATCAGTGCACCGCGTATCTCAAGTACTTCTGCTTCGACAGCTACTACACTTTGTGGCTGTTCAACAAACTTGACGTGGTCTTCTCCTCCTTAATCACCGGCGTGCACCCTCTCACCGGCGATCCTCTTCCAGGCAGCGAATCCGGCCAGCCCTTAGTGAACCAGACGCTGAGGGTTCGCATTCGAAGCGTGGCCGAGCGAGGCCGCGCCACTGTCCTGTCGCGCCTCCCTGATAACCAGGCCGAGGAACTCTATAACCCCCAGCTGGACTTCCCGGACCCATCCCAGGACGAAATGGACTTCTACAACCGTGACCGCAAGCTGGATTCTAATTCGAGTGGCGGGGTGAGTCGCTGGTACCTTGAAGCGAGCGCCGTCTACGTCAAGACGATCACCCTGCTGGGGGACAATGTCTTTTCGAACGAGACTCAGTAAGCATTCTTCGGAGTGTTGAGTGGGCTTTCCTGCCTTTTTCCTTTTCCTTTTCGTTCTTCGACATCTGCTGGTCTTCTTTTCTAACGTAAATTCCTGAAATAGCACCCAGTATTTCTATTACTGGTGTCTGAAGCAGTGCATTCTGAACGGTGCACAGAGCCGCAACCCTAATATCTACTTGTATCTTAAATGAGTTCGGACCCCTTTGTGGCGCGTTGCCTGCCAACTTTCCAGTCGGAAATGACGTGGAACTTGCTTTTTTTTTTAATGTGTGCATGAATGTTACGTCTCCCAAAGTGAAATGTGGATGTTTTTATTTACTTCCATGCCGTTAGTAGGCAGATTCGAATGAAATTGAATCTCCTCTTTACACGGACATGAAATTCTGTATTTTGTAGATTCAAGAGTTGCTATAAGTAGCTAATTAGCCTCGCTGGGTACATGTCAGTCCCCAAGCTCCGATGATCGCTGGGGTGTGGTATCAAAGTCGTCCAGAATCTGGCGAACCCTCTTAACTAACGATGCATCGACAGGGAGCTCTGTGGTCTTTTCCACGTCTGGTCGAGGTACTCGCATGGCTGTATACTCCTTCTAGGCCACTTTTGATGCCGAGGGGGTACATTAAAGAAAGATCATATACCTGTATCGCCACCCACCGGGGATCTAGGGCCAGAACGATGATTCGTCACCGGAATGTGAGGCTCTCTGTTGTGTAGGAGCCAATCAAACAGAATGCCCATGGCTCTAGCACAGCATCTTGCCTAAACTGGGAAATGCTAGATTTGTCTCAGTATACTTCCAGGCCAATCACATGATGTCAATAGACAAAACAATGTTGCGTGCAATTACTAGAACCATCTGGTCTTTGTATAAGCTTTGTAGTAGGCCGCAAATACTCCGAATCACTGTACAGTCCTTTCATACATGACTGTGTGAATATTAATATATTCCAATCGATGCACTCATAACTATCACAATACTTAATAATAATGGTCTGAGCCCTGAAAGTGGATACAAACTCTCTGCTCCGCCCCAGGGCTGGGTCGGCTAGTTATGTCCGCCTGCCGAGGAATAATAATACCTCGCATCAGTCATCGTTTCTGGGAGCTTCTCCGAGCATCGGTTGTTGTTGTTTGTTGTTGGGGCCAGCTAGGTGCTGCTTTCCATGGTTCCCGGGTGTTGGGCAGGTCATCACGGTAGTTGTCCAGCACAGACCGGGACCGAGGGATACCTACTGAGGGAGCCATGCAAGGTGTGCCCGTATGCAACCAGAGGAGATCAACTGATCCTCTCACCACCCCCTTGCTCATCTCGGCAGGCCGTCAAGCATCCTGACAGCTTTCCACGGAAGTTGAAAAGAAACTGAAGATGGAGTGCGAAATCTCTGCTTGGGCCGTAATTCTAATACGAGCCATTCGGCCCATCCAGCCCAGCCAATAAGCAGGCTTAAACGCCCTCTCGCAATCCCATGGTTCTGGTTCTGGTCGATGATGGAGTCTGCCGTCCGGCTGAGCCAAAGCCTGTGACGTGACGTATCTCGATGCCGGAGCACAAACAACGGCGTCCTTGCTTCGTGGACTGCATTGTCATGACCCGAGAAATCCCACAAACCATCACCCAAAAGCCTTGCTTCCAGAAGCTTGGCTCTGTATGCTGCCCGGGTTGATGATTTTGGTCTTTCCATGGTTCCGTGGCGTGTGGTGGAGTCCGTCTGTTCCGTTTGTTCCTCTCTTCAGCTGGAGCCTGCGAACGGCACTGGGCTGAGGTAATCCATCGAGGAAAGTGACGAGTCAGATTCTTTCGGGCCCGCGACAGGAGAGGTATCCTTGCATTAGTATTAGCGAGCTCCAAGCGTATGTACGAAGTAATAGTCGTAGTCGTCTGATTCAGTCCTGGCGAGAGATCGCAGTAGAGACCGAGATGGGGAGAGCAGCAGCCATGATTATACATCGTTAGATTACGGGCGTACGGTATTGTCACAGCCTGAGATTTCCGTTCTCTGCCCCTCTTCTTCTGCTCTTCTTCTTTCCTCTTTCCTTCTCTCACCCCTCTCTCCCTTTTTCTCGTTTCATTATTCACGGTTTGCGGATTTCGTTTCTGTCGTCCTGCCGTTTTTTTCGCTCGGGAGTTTGTCTTTGCTGTTTAGCTTCTCCTCGCCCTTCTTCCTTCGTCGTCGCATCTCGTCTCTTTCGGCGGAAATCTCCACGGTAGCTCTATCTGGGTGAGTCTCTCGCGTCCCCATCCTCAGTCGCATCTCCCGGTGTCTTTTTCATCACTGTCCCACCGATCATCCCTCCTGCCCCTCGTCCCCCGCGGTCGCTGTCTGGCTTCATCATCGCAAGCGTGCGGGCGCAACACCCCAACCACCAGCCCAGCACACACAACCCAACAGCTTGATCGCAGTGTTCGATTCGATTCTCAGCTGCGCAGTCGCTCTTCTGCACTTCCAAAGTCATCATCAGCGTCAGGAACACCGCGCCGTCGCTTCGCTCGCCCGGTCGCGGAATCGCGCACCACCCACCACCGTTCAGGACACGTCTTGCTGCACTCATCGCCATCGTGGAAGCACCCACTCTCAGCGGGTCGCGTGATGCGTCCCACGAGTTTGAGGAATTCGATGGATCGGAGATGGAGATGGTGGTAATCGCGCCGATATGGGAATGGACATGGCCGAAAACGGTGTGCGCATGGCGATTGCGAGCGGGCGACGAGCCGGAACGGGGGGGGAGATGGGTCTCGCGCATTCGAATCGAACAACCCAATCGTGCGTTGCCAGGCGACGCGATCGCCCTCGAAATCTCCGATCGACGATGCCCCCATACACGGTGTTCCTGAAGACTGGCCTAGGCGATTTCCAGCGTGACAATGCACCCTGCGGCTGAGCTCGGATCTGGCGCTGCGATCTTTGCCTTGAATGTGCTGGGGTTCCCGACGAGCCCGCTCCACAACATTTTCTTTCGTTCCTACCCATCTTTTTCTAACATAGACATTTTGCAGGAAACCTCACGCTCCGCGTCTGTTTTTTTCCGGGTTCTTCAATCTTACGCCGGTCTTTCCTTTAACGACCCTACGAAGTCTTAGTCGCCCTCTATCCTTACGTCGATTTTCTTGATCTCTTCGCCAAAATGTCGTTCCAGAACTTCGATTCCTTCCCGAACCAGGCTGATGGTGGTGCTGCCGCCGCCGGTGCTCCGGCCTCTGCCGACACCACCATGACCGGTCAGACTGACCCCGCTGCCGCTGGCTTCCAGGGTCCTGCTCCTGGTGAGCCGGCCGCTGGCTCCGTGCCCCAGCAGGGTGCCGATGGCAAGACCACTCTCTGGATGGGTGAGCTCGAGCCCTGGATTGATGAGAACTTCATCCGCAACCTGTGGTTCCAGATGGGTGAGCAGGTCAACGTCAAGATGATCCGTGACAAGTTCTCTGGGTAGGATCGGACCCCTCTCCTCAAATTGTCCCAAATGATCCTAATGTTGGTAGTAGGAGCAATGCTGGCTACTGCTTCGTGGACTTTGCCTCTGCGGCGGCCGCCGCCAAGGCCCTTTCTCTGAACGGCACCCCCATGCCCAACACCAACCGGGTCTTCAAGCTGAACTGGGCGACTGGCGGCGGTCTTGCCGACCGCAGGTGAGCATACTCTTGATCCTATCCCATGTAAAATACTAACCCACCTTCTAGCCGCGATGACCGTGGCCCCGAGTACTCCATCTTTGTTGGTGATCTCGGCCCGGAGGTTAACGAATACGTCCTCGTTTCGCTCTTCCAGAGCCGCTTCCCGTCCTGCAAGTCCGCCAAGATCATGACCGACCCCATCAGCGGCATGTCCCGTGGCTATGGATTCGTCCGCTTCTCCGACGAGAACGACCAGCAGCGCGCCCTCACCGAAATGCAGGGTGTCTACTGCGGCAACCGCCCCATGCGCATCTCCACCGCGACCCCGAAGAACAAGGGCCCGGCTCTTGGCGGTGGCCAAGGTGGCATGGGTGGTATGCCCGGCCCCGCTGGCATGTACCCTCCCATGGGCGGTCCCCCGATGGGCTTCTACGGCGCTCCCCAGCCCATGAACCAGTTCACCGATCCCAACAACACCACGGTCTTTGTCGGTGGTCTCTCTGGCTATGTTACCGAGGATGAGCTTCGCTCGTTCTTCCAGGGCTTCGGCGAGATCACCTACGTCAAGATCCCCCCGGCAAGGGCTGCGGTTTCGTCCAGTTCGTCCAGCGCCACGCTGCCGAGATGGCCATCAACCAGATGCAGGGCTACCCCATCGGCAACTCGCGCGTTCGTCTGAGCTGGGGTCGTTCGCAGAACAACTCCGGCCCGGCCGGCAGCCCCTACCGCCCTGCTCCCCCGCCGCCCCCGATGTACCCCTCCATGGGCATGCCCCCGGCTCACCAGTACGGCGGTTTCGCTCCGATGAAGGTTAGCAGTCACCCAGGCAGCCCGGCACCGGATCGCACCTGAAAGGACTTGGCTGACACTCGCCACAGTAAGCGTTCCCTTTAATTGAAAGCACCAGCAGGAGTTGTTTGCGTCATTCCCAGTGATGGTTCCCTTTGTGTGTCATAACAAATTTGCTCTGGTTTCTGTCCGAGGCTCGGCTCTATAGCTCTTGATGAGCATCTCCTCTCCTGTGCTACGCATTCCGTTCTACGTGAGCGCTTTTTCCTTTTAGCAGATCTGAGCTTCTCTCCCATTTCCGCTGATCCGTACGGTTGTTGTCGGTTTTCTTGTTGCCCTCTCTTGATGCTTTCGTGTTTTCCCGCCCTGGGCCTTTTGTGTTTTGCGTGTAACGGACGTCTGAATTGTTCATGCTTTTCTCCCTATACTCCCTTGGGTAGGCATCTGCGAAAAGTTTCATATCCCCCACCCCTCCCTTCTCCTATTTTCCTTTTGTCTTTTCCTTTCCCATCGAGCAGTCAAATTGAATATTGTCTGTTTTCATTCTTTCTTTCTTTCTGTTAGACTGCTGAGGACGACTTGACTTGTACAACACGCTCTCTGTTTCGTGCGCCTCCCGCGTTTGTCGATTCCCAGTTCTTTCGCCGTGGTTTGTTCTCCCTCTTGCATTGTACTGTGCCTGTCAATTTTCCCGTGTGGGCGAAAGGAACTGGATTCGACTCGTGCTGGCCTCGTCGTAGCCACGATTCCTGTTCTGTTGGATAGGCGTATTGTCCCGTGTTCGTAAGTGATTGGTTTGACGGTGGGCGTCAGTCTGTCTTTCTGATTCCTCTTTTGTCTGCTGTTGCTTTAATGGGGATAAATGAATAAACGCTGTTGGGTCTTCGCTGTATACTTCCTTCCCTCCTTCCTTCTCCAACGCACCTCCCCGGCAGGAGGGACTGGCTCTGGTGTTGATCCCTACGGCTCTGTCTTTCTCCCTCTTCATCTTCCTCTCCCGGTCTATCACCATGCGTTACGAAAACTGGGATGTCCTCCTCTTCCCGGAGACGTGCAAGACCCCCATCCAAGAGTTCAAAACCCAGTGCTTCGTTACCAAAGACAGAGGTCGGCTGTCCCTGCTACCCTGATTCCTGCATCCTTCCAATCATTCATACTAAGACCAAGGGCATACATAGAATCACCTTATCTCCAAAACCCTAGCATCGTCACCCCATCATCTTACTACGCCGCCCAGGGAAATTTCGGCCAGCTGCCCATCCTGACAACATTCGTCCCGAGTCTTCCGCCTGAGGCCCCGTTCCGAGTCTCAATCCATTCATGGGAGAAGCCACGACCCAGTCGGTTTATCGAATCCCTCATGCAGCCAGATGATCTATTGCTCTTTGAAGCGAGAGTCTTTGTGGATGGGATTTGCACTGCGTGAGTTTCAACGTTTTGGCGTTGTTGGCTATGGCTGGACTCATGCTGATTTGGGTATAGAGGGAGCATCTTCAGCCAGAGGACTGCTTGGCCACATGTCATTGGCAAGCCTTTCGGTAAGGAAGGTTGGCATACTGAGACTAATCCATTTGACAGACCTCAGCTCGCGCATCGATCGAAATGGCAACCAAGACTTCCTGCGATTCCCGCCGTTCCACCCTGAGATACTCGAACAGCGAGGTTGGAATGCCGAAGACACACAGGGCCGGATCAGAGTGGTCATTGCTGAAGGCTTCGCTCGTCCGCATCGCGACCCTCCATTCGAACGGGTGAAGGATGCTATTGCGCTCTCGTTTCAGCATGCGCCGATTGGTAAGCTTCTAGAATACCTACCTTCCATTACTTTTCTCTCATTAATCTATCAGATGTGCTGGAATACTCCAACATCGCCTGGCCAAATTCGTCCATGTGGACTCCGGCACCTCGGAATGCCTTCAAGTACAGCTCGGCCAATGGATACAGCGAGTTTGAACCAGAGGATGCTCATGCTCATTCGCCAAGCAAGCAGGGTCGATTGATGGCCCCGGAGAGCAGCCACTCCAGCGGCCAAATAAGCGGCCAAATAAGGGTCTATAACGCCTGGGCTCCCGGCCGTGACTTCCCCATGCCCATGACGCAGTGGCTCTACCAGCGAGACCCGCGGTGGGGAGGATACCACGAGCCGCCGCACCTGGAACCCGCGACTGCGATGGACCCTTATGTCTCTGAAGTTACCTGGCGCCAGCGAGGTGCCCGTTCATCTCGCGAAGACGTTCCCATGCCCGACTACACCGGATCAAACTCGTCTGGAAGCCGTGCGATCTCCAGCATGACTGGAATCAGCTACGAACACAGCAAGCAGCCCAGCATCATTGCTCCGATGGGTGATGACCAGTATCACCAGCTGATCCAGGCCCTCAGCCCAAACAAGACTCTCCCCGATGGTCATGTCAACTCGAATTCCTCGTCCGCCATCGTACCAATGGGTACGAGGCTCTCGGCTGCCGCTGACGCCCGCACTGCAAGCTATGCTCGGAGCAGTACTGCTGCCCGTTCAGCTCTGCGTGAGATCTCGCAGCCCAGCACCCGAGAAGTCTCTGAGTCGAGTATGAAATCGAGTGCCCCGGCCGATCCCACGCTGGAAACAACCACGCCTTCCAAACGGCATGTCAGTCCCAACAGTAATGTCAAGAGCCGGAAGGAGGGGTCTGACAACAAGGAGAATGAAGATGAGAGCCAACCACCGCGCCGACCGTCTGGAAAGAAGTGCACGCCGCCTTCGATGAGCAAGTGCCACACGAGTGCAAGCATTGAGAAGTCGAGCGAAAAGGTGAGGAAGCCTGCCGCCGCCGCAGCTAATCTTACCGATGCGACACCCACCAAGCCTCGTGTCACCAGTGACAACAGCACCAAGAGCATGCTGGGTGCGTTTGATGACCTCGAGACTGTCAGTGAGAAGAGCTCTGTTCTCGCAGAAATTGACTGAAGCAGTATATTTTACACTCATTGTCAGCATCGCCCTGTTCACTCGTTGACTGTATTGGTATGCTGGTATGGATTAGAGCCAATCCTCAAGGCATGGTATCCATGATAGGTCTCCTCTGGTATAAATTAGGATTCCACCATCCAATTAATAATATTATTCTAGTCTTCGTCGAAAGTCCTTTAGAGATGACATGACCTCAAGTATTACCCAGCTCTACTCCATCAAATAAAGTTGATGGTGTTGACGCTCAACCATATCATGGCACTGCTTGACGTGCCTTCCTCCTCTGTGCTTATATCTGTTTACTTCTGTCATCTCACACTCTCTAATTCCTTTCCTCTTTCCTCTTTTTTGTTCGCAACATGCTTTCCACAACCTCCACAGAAGCCGTCACATCGTTCCCTGGCCAGTCTGGGACTGCATTGACTGCAGGCCCAGTCCAGCGAAGCATCTCGGCATATGCCCCGTCGAGAGAAGCCTGCAGCAACAACTCATCAAGCATTGAGGGCTCAATGCCCGTCTACTTCCTCTTTTGCTGCTGCTGCTGCTGCTGCTTCGCAGGGGTTTGCTCTGCTTTCTTCTCTGAACGAGCTAGCGGCCGGGATGTTTCCTTGGGATCGGATAGGCTCAGCTGATCTGTGTCCCCAGCTTCCTCAGTCAGAATTCTAGGTAAGTGGAGAGTCCTCGAGTATCTTAATTCTCTGTATGTTCTCCCGCTTTCCGCTTCTGACAGCTCTCTACAGAAAATCTTGAAGGACATTGGTTGCTTAGAACTGGACCCTGCTTCTTGAAGGTGAGACCCATTTGATCATTGGCATGCATCAGCTAACTGTTAGCTTATTATAGAGCATTGCGCGCAGAACGGTCTGCCCGGTCTGAAGTATACTCCCACTCGCTCCCCGTATAAGGGTTCTAGTGCGATGTCTTGGTCAAAGGCGAGAAGCTCAGCACCTGGCGGCAGTGCTGCTCTGCGCACAAAGCCCAGCAGACAGTTGCGCACGTTGCAATCCATCAGCCGATGGTGTGAGAAGACGACGAGAAGAGAAATGGTTTGAATAGGGTACTTGTACGATTTGACGTGACTGAATGAGAAAGAGTCTTGATTGCATCTTCGAGTTTGAGAATTTGATGGAGCCCCCCAAGAGCAGGTCTTGCTCGACGACCCATCCTTGCATAGTCGTAACGCACCCAAATCTATCTATCCTCATGAAATAAAAGTCAACCATATACACAATATACAGTCTAAGGACAGGTTGTCTACGCAGTCCTGAATGGATCAAATGAAAAACGGCCCAGGACATATGGATTCGGCTCCAAGAAAGAAAACTGGAAACATCCACGGTGTGGAAAGATATGGCAAAAAAAAAGCATCAAGGAACACAGATAGACACAGAGCAGTTTGGGACCTGGTCCTGTCCCATCCAATCCACCTCCACTCCCGCACACCACGCACAGATGTACGCAAAACGCAAAGGTAAACAAACGCTGGCAAGCACCGAATTCCAACACCGATGGACAGCACATAACAGAGCAAGCTCGAGGCTTTGCAGAGATTTTCCAGCGTCACCCATCTCCCTATCTGCTCTCTCCTCAGGAGTATTTAGTACCTCTGTCAAGAGGGCGAGCAAGTATAAAAAGGAAAAGAGAAAGATGAGTTCGAAAATGGCAAAACAAAGAGAGAAAAGCCGATAAAGACTGGACAAGGAGCTTGACTTATACCGGAAATATCAACTTGGTGCTTGTGCAGACGAAGCAAGAATTAAGTAACCACATCCAAAGTAATAATAAATAGTAATAGAAAGAAAGAAGAGAAATAAAAGGGGAGACGACAAAGAAAAGGAACAAAACTCGTAGGTCACAGTGCACTTATAAATCTCAAATACAGAAAGAAGCTCCAGCCGAGTAGATCGAGGGAAAGCAGAGAGATGGTCAGGGAGGGATAAATGCACATCACACTAACGCCAATCTCACGATACATGCGCGCGCACATAACCAGGTAAGCAATCAAAAGACGAGAAATCGACAGACCGCGCGCGGAAAAACACACTGCAACGATGATGATCAAATGTACAATAACAAGGGTATATCGGAGGATAGTAAAGACCAGAAACAACCGTCAAGACTTTTACACCTTCACAGGCCGTCGGCCCCCGTCTCAACACCGTCCGCCGGGTAGGATATATTTGGATCAAAGCCGAAACCAGCAGTGTCCGCGTCTGTATTGAGGAACGTGTCGAAATCAAAGTTCTCCAGGAGATCCTGGTTCTCCAGTGGGCTGAAGTTGAGGCTGAAGGCGCCAACATCAGGGATACTGAGATCTTGGAAGGGTTGCTGGCTCTGATCCGGGGGTTGGTGGACCATCGGCGGCGGAGCCGCGGCCGTGGTGGGCGGCGCCTGCGCACCCGTGGTCGCGTTCGCTCCAGTCTTGCTGAAGGACTGAGGGTGCTGGGGCGTTGAGGGCGTCTGGGGAGTAGGCGGCTCTGCTGCCGCCGCCTCTGAGGATGGCGTAGCAGCAGCTGCGTTCGCGTTAGCGTTCTTCCCCTTAGGTCGCTAGGGTAAAATGTTAGCAACAGCCTCTCGAAAATTAGTGTGAGGAGACGACATACCTTTGCGTTCGCGGCCTTCTTGCCGCCCTTGGGCGCGGGCTTGGAGGCCTGCTGGGGCGTCGGGGGTGCATTGCCACCGGTCTGGGGAGAGGCCGGTTGAGTACGGCCAGCGTTGGCTCCAGCAACAGGTGGTGCTTGAGGAGGTGGCATAGCGCCTCGCTCCTGCGGAGTACCCGCCTGAACCTGGTTTACAGGAGACTGCTGTGGAGCCATAGGCTGACCCTGGGCGCCCGGCTGCCAGCTTCCGCTCGGCATTCGTTGGCCAGCGTTCGCGGGAATAGGCTGGCCCATCTGCGCCCCAGTAAACGCCGGGTTGGAGCTCGGAGGCCGCATGTTCTGTGGGAAGAACTGGCCTGCCATGTCCGGAACCATCTGACCACCATTCAGATTCATGGAGCCCGGCGAACCACGGTTCTGACCCATGGCGTCGCCAGCACTGGGCGATCCAGGAAGACCGCTCTGGGGCATCTTCGGTGTACCCCGCTTCATCTGATCATTCGGATTCGGGGACGCACCGGCTCGACTACCCTGTGGAGAGGTGCCTGGGGGCAGTCCCTGTCCGGGCATCGGGGGCTGGCCATCAGTACGGGTCATGTTGTCCTGCTCCTGACGGGCCATCATCAGCCGTCGCTTGTTCTGTTGCTCGAGAAGCATCAGTTGCATTTGATAATCCTGGAGTGCATGGTTGCCGGGCTGAGCGCCAGGCGTCTGCATTCCAGGTCGGACCTGGCCCATCTGACCGTTGGCGCCGAAGTACTCAGGACCCATGGGGTACATTCCTTGGCCGTCCGGCATCGGCATAAGATCTTGGTTGGGCATGACACCGGCGTTCATCAAGCCGCCATTCGGCATACCCTGGGGTGATGCTGAGCGAGAATTATGAAAGGAGAAATTTTGGGCGCGTACCTGCATGTTCTTCTGTTGTCCAGGCTGTCCTTGGAACTGCTGGAACTGGGCCTGGTTCATGCCTCTCTGGGCCATGGGGCCATTCTGCATGACCATTTGCGGGTTCGGCTGGCCTGGCATCCCTTGACCTTGACGTTGTCCGTTCGGTGCCAACTGCTGGCCATTAGGACCACCTTCAAGGCGTGGGCGTTTCGATGGCGACGGGGCATTGTCAGCAGATGCAGGTGACTGTGGTCGATGCCCGTTCATGTCCATATCAGACTGATCCCGTTGCATCTGGTGCTGCATGATCTGCATCTGCTGGTTCTTCTGCATCTGCGCTATCTGCTGCGGAGATCTGTAGGACAATGATGAGCATTAGATCACCCAGGCATATATCAAGCACTTACAGCGAGTTGTTCTGGAGCACTGTCTTCTGTAGGTTAGGGGGGACCATGCCATTGCGAGGGCGCATGTTCATCGGGTTCATTTGGCCGGGCATCAAGGGTTGCTGCCGCAACAGCTGGTTGTGCTGCTGTTCCCGCATACGCATGATATTCTGAACGAGGGTCAGAGTTGATCCACGTGGTAAGAAGCATACGAGCATACCTGGGTGTGCTGAAGATACTGTCTCACGTCGTTGCTGTTCCCCTTCTTCCGTTGAGCCCAGAAGAAGTCCCAGAAGAGACTAAACCAGTCGAGGAGGAAAGAGGACTGTTGGCCTTCGCTGGGAAGACTTGGCCGAGGAAGATCATCCGGGATCTTTATCTTCTCGCCATCCTTGCCGTCGGTCATCATATCGTCAACGCCATTCACATCGCGACTGCCCGGACTGGTCTTCCCGGAGTCGGTGTTCAGTTTGATGGATTCATCCTGGACGAGCGCGCGAGCACAGTCGTGGTAACCGCGTTTAAGGAAATAGTCGTAGATATAGGTGTTGAGATTGTTGATCATGATCTCGGGGTTATTCATGTTGCCGTCATTACGAGGAGCTGTCGAGCCATTGTTGATCATCGGGACACCGCCAACGGGGCCGCCGACCCCGGGGTTCATCCCAGCAACGTTCATCTGGTTCATGGTGGCGAACGGTGGGACTGAAGCCACCCTTGCCTATGGTTAAGATTCTTCAGGTCGAGGTAGCGGAGTCCGGCGCGCATCCACCTTTACAGGCAACGAGGCCTCAGGTGGAATGACAGGAGCGACGTGAAGGAACCGAGAAAGAAAGAAGCGGTGAGCGCTTCGAAGAAGAGTATGACGGAACAGGCGTGAACAGTCGTGTCCGATGTCGCAAGCGTCGAGTCGCGATCGGTAATTTCGGGGGCGAGACGCTTCGTCCGCGAAGCGCGCGACGAGAGAAAAATGGGAGGATCCGTCGGAGGTCGGGGGCGGTCACGAAGGGCGTCGATGGCCTGGGACTGGATAGATGATTTAGATAAGCGACGGTCGCAAGATAAAGCTCGGAGTGATCAGAGTGCAAGAGAGTATGCGCGGTGAATAGGATGGGCTGGGGGTGCGATGACGGAGGTACCAGGAGGCGGGAGGCGCACAGGCTGGGGGAGGTTGGGCTGAGGGCTTCACTGACAGCCCGAACGGGGGCCAGGTCGAGGGGGGAGAGACGAACAGAAAGAGACCCAATAATTTAACATGCAAGAGCGGAGGAAAAGAAAAGAAAGAAAAGGAAAAGGTCCTGGGGAGGGATGAGTCGGAGAGAGGGAGGGTGGATCTCACAGTGGAAGGGGAAAGGATGAGAGGGAGGCCGGGGGGGGCGGGCGGGTGGGAGAGAGATACGCCGCTGGCAGAGAGAGAGAGAGACAGAGCGCGCAGTCGGTCGCTTGTTCGGAACGGATTAACTTGTTCGGAACCCGGGGCTGGGGATGGCGCTGACGGGCGTATTTCTGGGCATGCACCGAGGTGATTGATACTCATTGACCACGGGCAGTATCAGAGCAGAGGAAATGGGTATGGGAAGATGGTAGGAACAAGATCAAAACACGGGCGTGACCACAATCAGACAACCAAAGGAGATGGTGGGAGGTTTGATACCTGCGATGGGCCCTGCGATGGATCCCAGCGGGAGTCTAAAGTATGTAGGGCAATGATAAAGTGGCTGTCAGCGACCACGGATGCAAGATGGATCGCGCGATTTGGGGGGATCGAGCCAATGGATGGCGAGATCAATGTAGCTGCTGCGATGATGAAAAGGAGGGCGAGTCGAGGCAAGAGAAGCGCAGAGGGAAAGGAATTTGGATCTGTAGAAGAAAGATGGCGAGGGGCGATCGGTAGTACAATACAGGCCCGTTTGTTTGGGCCGGTTAGGAACATGTGCATAACCCCGTGGAGCGGTAATATTCAGCCCAGGTATTCTGTCAGGTATTGTTCTTTCACAGTACAGGTATCTGATTTCTCCGAACGGGCACTCCCATGTGTCGCCTGGGACTATGGCGATGGTGAAATACAAGTTGGTAAATCGGCGAACAAGATAGGTTTCGATCGGAGAAAAAAATAATCATCTGCTGGACCCATCGGGTGGCGGGCATACCCGCCGATAGATCAGAAAGCCTAATGGTGATGTCTTGGAAAACCAGCCGACCATACCACGGAGATATATCCTACGCGGAAGAACGGAAAGAGGAATAAAAAATTATAACCAATAAAGAACCCCAAACGCCCGTTGTGTGGTTGACAGGTTCACTATCTACTCTTCCTCCGGCGGCATCTCGTCCTCGATATACCGCACTAGGGACACTCGCATCTCCGTCGTATCGTCACCACGCAGCACGTCACTAACAAAGTGCGCCTCGATCTGCATTTGGACCTGGAAATCGGGTCAGCGATCGGACCCGGGGGAGCATCAGTGACAGGGGTACATGTCAGTGAAGAGGACAGACCATCTCTAGTGAGCCGCGCAGAACGCCGCACAGGATGTTGGAGAACCACAGCTCATCCTGCGAGCGCCCGTCATCTGGCAGCTCGACAAAGTCGGCCAGCGGGTTTTCGTCGAAGATGAGCGAGAACTGGTTGTTGTCGCTCGTCCAATTCGTGACGGTTGGCGTCACGTTCAGGAAGATCTTAAAGCCCACCTGGTGTGGAGGGTGAGCCACCAGACAATGTTTCCATTTCGGATTGACGGGGAGCGCACCTTGGCAATCATATCGGCCGTCTCCCGGAAGTTGGCGCACCGGCCCACGCCTGATTTAGCCAGGAAGTCCTCGATCAGCCGCATGCCGATGTTATAGCCCATCTTGTCCAGTTGCTTGTTGACCTCTTGGTAGTCGCTATCGTAGTCCTGGCATAATTGCGCCACGATTGTCCCGTAGGTTAATGTGACCAGCTCTGCATTGACTTTATCGACCCGCGTCCTGAACGGGCATGGTCAGTCGCAGCTTTATGACAGTGCAATGGCCAGGTCAATCGGTAAAAACGACGAAGGGTGCCGCAGCTTACTGACTTCCAGATTCTACAAGAGACCGTATATGTTAGCATAGTCCAGACAGGCCAACCGCGAGCACGTACTCTTCCCCTATTCTTGAAGCTTTCGTCGTAGATGACATGGCTGCTTGTGGAACTCGCCTGAATATCGGTCGACAAAACAAGCGCCCACCGCAGAGACCAGCAAAGAGAGAGTGTCAATACGGTTAGGAGTTCCCCCCAAGGTTGGGCAATTCAGGCTCACCGCCCGCCCATACCAAGTGGGTTGGGATCATCTTTCTTCCTCTTGGTCTCGTTCCGCCCTCAACACCTGAACACTTTCTCTCTACAATCGCCAGCGCCATGATGTCTGGGGAGAAACGTCCGGCGCAAGAGGACTTTGGCTCCTCTAGCCAGGTGGTGAAGCGAAAGAAGTCCGACGCCGGTCTCAATGCGGGCACCGCCGTCGTCAAGAGCTCGGCGCAAAATGGAACGCTGGTTCAAGCAGTGCGTACACCACCCCACAGTATGCAGAGGTCTGGCTGACATGGGATTGCAGGTGCCTCGCACCAGCGGGCTGGATGCTCCGATCATGGAATTGACAGGTGGGATCGTCGGTAGTTGAGTCGGCCAGCAGGAAGCTAACAATACCCAGGTCACTCTGGAGAAGTCTTCACGGTTCGGTTCGATCCGACAGCTCAACACATTGCGTCTGGTTCAATGGATCGATCTATCTGTACGTCAGTCGCACACCTTGGATAGCGTCAACTGACAACCCTCTGCGTGACATAGTGCTATGGAACACCTACGGACAATGCGAAAATTACGGCCAATTGACAGGACATCGGGGGGCGGTGTTGGATCTGCAATGGTCGCGAGACTCCAGGGCCCTCTTCTCCGCATCTGCAGATATGACACTGGGCAGCTGGGATATAGAGACTGGCGAGCGAGTGCGTCGCCATGTCGGCCATGAGGAAATCGTCAATTGTCTCGACATCAGCAAGAGAGGCCAGGAGCTGCTGGTCAGTGGCAGTGATGATGGGTGTATCGGCATCTGGGATGCGCGACAGAAGGATGCTCTGGAATACCTGGAGACGGAGCTGCCCATCACGGCCGTGGCCCTCTCCGAGGCCGGCAACGAGATCTACAGCGGTGGCATTGACAACACCATCCACGTTTGGGATCTTCGAAAGAAGGCGGTGGTCTACTCGATGGCAGGACACACAGACACCATTACCTCGTTGCAAATTTCTCCGGACTCGCAGACTCTCCTGTCCAACTCGCATGACTCGACGGTTCGTACCTGGGACATCCGGCCGTTCGCCCCGACCAATCGACAGGTGAAGACGTACGACGGCGCGCCTGTCGGGTTAGAGAAGAATCTCATCCGTGCCAGCTGGGATCCCAAGGGTGAGAAGATCGCTGCCGGGAGCGGCGATCGAAGCGTGGTGGTGTGGGAGGCCAAGACGGGCAAGCTTCTGTACAAGCTTCCCGGACACAAGGGCACCGTCAACGACGTGCGGTTCTCCCCCAACGACGAGCCTATCGGTGAGTAGTAGTCCGTGTGTCGGTGGTGTACTTTGGCTAATGTTCTCCAGTGGTCTCTTGCTCGTCCGACCGCAACTTGATGCTCGGCGAGCTGGGCAAATGAGCACGTGCGGTCTACTCTTGTCCACCGAGTTAGTGATGGCTGTCAATTCCCATGTTCGGTCTGATGAGGATTTCTCTGGCATGAAAGGAGTCAATAATCTGGCGTTGTGTTTTGTACGATAACCAACTATCAAATAATACCAAAAAGCTGTATCCGATGGTCCATGCGCAATCAACCCGCTTATCTGGCCGTAATGCATCATCCCTTCTCCATCCACTTTTCACTCCCGCTCCGGGTTGTCGACGACCAACGGTACATTCTTATTGTCGATTTCTCATGCCCCCGGTCCCTGTGTCTGTTTGGTGATGCGCACGCCATGCGGGTGGGCGCGGAGGATGGGCGTCTGGGCCGTGCTACTGCTGCTCTGGCTGGGCCTGGCCGAGGGCATGCGAGAGCATCAGATTAAACAGTTGAGGTGAGAATGAAGTCTCGAGCTACTCCCGAGTCCCGATCTGACCCTTGACCGGGACAGGCAAGAAACGGAACAGATGTTCTACCACGGCTTCGACAACTACCGGGCCCACGCGTTCCCCGAAGACGAACTGCGCCCATTGACCTGCGGCCCTCTCACTCGCAACCAGACTACCGATAGCGCGCTGACTGATGTCCTGGGCAATTATTCATTGACATTGATTGACAGCCTATCGACACTGGCAATCCTGTCGTCGAGTCCCGAGAACGGAGAAAAGTCCTTGTCGCATTTCCAGAATGGAGTTCGGGATTTTGTCAAATTGTATGGAGACGGGTCGGACGGTCCTGCTGGTCAAGGAGAGCGGTCAAGGGGGTTTGACCTGGATAGCAAGGTGCAGCTGTTTGAAACGGTCATCCGAGGATTAGGTGGCCTTCTCAGTGCCCATCTCTTCGCGGTGGGCGACCTCCCCATCACCACCTACGATCCACCAGAGCATGAAGTGGCCTTTGCAAATGCATGGGATAAAACCTCGTTTTCCAAATCAGACCACGGTATTACATGGAGTAATGGGTTGATCTACGATGGTCAACTTCTTCGACTCGCGGTGGATCTGGCCAATCGTCTCCTGCCAGCGTTCTATACCGAGACGGGCCTTCCATACCCTCGTGTGAATCTACGTCATGGTGTACCGTTCTACACGAACTCTCCTCTGAATACCAACTCTCCCAAGTCCAAGAAAGAGTCAGAGGACGAGGCTACGGAGACATGCAGCGCCGGCGCGGGTAGCTTGGTGCTCGAGATGACCGTCTTAAGCAGGCTCACGGGGGATGGCCGATATGAGGATCTAGCAAAACGGGCTTTTTGGGCGGTTTGGGTTCGTCGAAGTGTAATTGGTCTGATTGGGTTTGGAATCGATGCCGAGTCGGGTAAATGGATGAGTCCATACTCCGGGGTATGTCTCTCCCCAAAGATCGCAAAAACTAAGATACTAATATACCCTTTAGATTGGTGCTGGGACTGACAGCTTTTTTGAATATGCGTTCAAGTCCCACGTCCTTCTGTCCGCTGGGGAGCATCAACCATTCGATTCCAGCAATCCTTGGGTGGCTATGGATGATTATTATGCTCCCTTGAAAGAACAGCAGCACTCAGCGGAAGCTTTTTTGGATGTCTGGGAAGAATCTCAAGAGTCCATCAATCGCCATTTGTATCGGGGCGAGGGCTATCAATATCCCCATTTTATCCTAGGGGATGTCCTCACCGGTGCTACCCGCGGTTTCTGGATCGACAGCCTCAGTGCCTACTATCCAGGGCTTCTCACCCTAGCCGGTAAGGTGGACGAGGCCATCGAAGTGCATCTGCTGGCAACTGCCATCTGGACGCGTTACTCCGGTCTTCCTGAGCGGTGGAACGTGGCTACGGGCGACATCGAGGGCGGTCTTGGGTGGTACGGTGGTCGGCCCGAATTCATCGAGTCCACCTATTATATCTACCGGGCCACTCAAGATCCCTGGTATCTACACGTTGGGGAAATGGTACTTCGCGACATCAAGCGACGGTGCTGGACCAAGTGCGGTTGGGCCGGCATCCTTGATGTCCTGACTGGTGAACTCATCAACCGGATGGAGAGCTTTTTCCTGGGCGAGACGGCCAAGTACCTATTTTTGCTTTTCGATCCGGGCCATCCGCTCAATCACATCGATGCCCCGTGGGTATTTTCTACCGAGGGCCATCCGCTCGTTATTCCAAAGAGAACAATGGCCTCGCGCCAGCCCCGTTCTCAGCAAGAGCAACCGGATTGGAAAGTGACTGACGTGTGTCCGGTCAGTCCTCCTCTGGCACTGGGTATCTCATCCACTGCCTCTCGTTCTGATTTGTTCCATGCCGCCCACTTGGCCCGTTTGGATCTCATGCCGACGCGAGGTCTGGCCGAGGGACCTATTTTAGAGGACTCACCGGATCATCCGAGTGTGTCGGTGTCCGATCTGTCGTCCCCAAGCAACTACACCTTCTACCCATGGACGCTGCCACCGCAGCTCGTGCCTTTCAACGCAACCAGTGCGCCAATGACTCTCCGTCCCACGCTCGACATCTCTTTTCCGTCTTTGCCAGGCAGCGTCAATTTAGGGCCAGGCGCGCTGGAACGAGTACAGGACGGGGTGTTTGTCAAAACAATCGGTGGTCTGAGGCTCAGCATGGTCCAGGATGGCCCGTATGATACGAACCGTCACGGAAACGAAGACGCATACCGGGTCCAAGTGGTCAACAATGTGCCTCTGGGCAAAGATGAGAAGGTATACCTCTCGCGCGAGATCACGTTTGATGTCGTTGATCCCTCCGATCCCAACTTCACCCGAGTCCGCGACACCTCCATGCTTGACCTCGTCATTGACGTTCTTCCAGAACCCGCTCGCCGACGCAATGGTTCAAATGCTCCACGACCTCAACAGTCTAAGGCAGAACGTCCAGAATCTGGAGAAGCGCAATTCGGGCGGCGCAAACCCGCCCCCTCCATCGTCGACGCCGGGCCGGACTCGGCCATGAAAACTATGCTTTCGTCACTGGTCAATTCCATGTCGTCCTTTTTCCAGGATGAGCCGTCAGCGGACACGGTGCGTCTCAGTTTACCGGCCAGTATGGCCACGGGCGTCGGAGCAGCTCCAATGCCCGACGTCGAGGACGCCACCACCGTTTCGATCACTCGCCTCCCATCCCTCAGCCGTCTCTCATGGTCCACCATCTACTTCGCCGACGAACTCTGTCACGAACGCCTCCTGCGGGAGGCCGCACAGACCCACGAGGTGCTCGTCATCAAGCGCGGCGACTGCACCTTCTCTGAGAAACTGCGCAACATCGCCGCATTCCGGCCATCGCGCTCAGCGCTGAAGCTCGTCATCGTCGTCTCATATGACGAAGGTCCAACAAGTCATTCAATGGATGATGCAACCCTCGCCGCCGTCCGCGCAGAGCCTTTCCTTGTTCGTCCACACCTGGAAGAAAGCCAGATCACTGCCGGCGGGATTCCGCGTCCGCATCCTATTAGTTTAATCATGCTTGGCGGAGGAGACGAGACGTACGAGCTCCTGCGGCATGCGACGGGCATCGGTATAAGGAGACGGTACATGATCCACTCGCAGGGAGTGCCGGTTAACAACGTTTATATCCTGTAGTGGTTTTTTTTTCATTTTGAATGTGCTTTGTACATAGCAAAAAATAGAACATACGCTGTATATGCAGTCAATTTCGTGTCTCGATGCATGTAACACTGGCAACTCTCCCTCTGCGGGGTTTACCATCTCCAACTCCCTGACATCCCAGAGACATGCACCTCACCGACCCTCCAGAGACCATCGGAACAGTAGCATCTACTGATCCCCAGCTCCAAGATGATGCATCTTCAATAAAAAATGAACGACCGCTCTATTTCGCCTACGGCTCCAACCTCTCCCCGACCCAAATGCACCACCGCTGCGTCTACAACCCAACTCACTCCGCAAAGCCACTCGCTATTGCCGTCCTCCCGCGCTGGCGCTGGTTTATCTGTCAGCGCGGGTACGCGAATGTGCTTCCGCCGAAAGCGCTGCGGGTGGGATCGCAGTCGGCTTTTGTTCCCTTGACAGAAGAGGCAGAAAAAGATGAGGATGACGAGGAGGTTTACGGGGTGCTATATGCTATGCATCCGCTGGATGAGGAGAAGTTGGATATGTATGAGGGTGTGGATCATGATGCGGCGTCATTGGAGGGATTGGAATGTGCCACTGAGACTACGTCTGAGGAGGCTAAGAAGGGTCAAGATGGATACGGGACTGTTCGGCCCCGCGCACAGGGGGATGGCTGCTACAACAAATGGTATACCGATGCGCAGATCGTGCGTTGGCTTGTTCCATCCCGCGAGGAAACGACAGTCCGCGTGCTGGTTTATGTCGACGAGGAGCGGGTCAGAGAAGGCTCACCCAAGACGGAGTACATTGGACGCATGAATCGGGGTGTTCGAGAGAGTGAAAAGCTGGGATTGCCGGCGCAATGGGTGGAAAGCACGATGAGGAAGTTTATTCCTCATGAGACATGAATGGACTATAGTGAAGGGTGGTGGTGATGGCATTAGCGAGATTATAACATTCATTAAAGCAAGGTACCCAAGAAACACATCATCCATCGCCGAGGTATCAACTGTCTATCATTTGTATATTTTTGTTTTGCCCTTCTTTTCCTGCCGGATTCCGATTTTTCGGGGTTTTTTCCATGTGGAGCTGGGAAAAAGACCGTCCACTCCACTCCGGATGGGATCGTTCAGGGCTCTCGGGTCGGGTTCATCGGTCGGTCGGGTTCGTCCCAATGACAGAAACAAACTTTTTTTGTGCAGAGGTATTAAATAAATCTAGGCTTGGCCCGTGAGAAGCGTGCACACCGGTGCCGGCAGCTTGTCGCGTCCCTTGAGGAATTCCAACTCGAGAATGAAAATGAAGCCGAGCAGGTCGCCGCCCATCTTCTTGATCAGTTCGCCGGCGGCACAGGCGGAACCACCTAATCACATCAGTACCGTGTATAGAGAGAGAGCCAAGGAAAACCAACCAGTGGCAATAATATCGTCAACGACAATGACCTTCTGGCCGGGCTTGATCGAATCGGCCTGCATCTGGAAGAAATCCTGGCCATACTCCTTCTCGTAGGCCTGCGTCTCGCAAGGACCGGGCAGCTTTCCCTGCTTGCGCACAGGAACAAAGCTCGCACCGAGACGCAGCGCCAGACTGGGGCCCATCAGAAAGCCGCGGGCCTCGAGGCCGACAACGACATCGGGCTTCTGGCCATTGTAGGAGGCGAGGATGTGCAGCTCGAGGGAGCGGAGGAGGGCCTCATGCAGCGTTGGGTCGGCGAAGATGGGCAGGATATCCTCGAACAGAATGCCCGGCGAGGGGAAGTCCGGGAACTGGCGCAGGGCAGCGCGCAGCCTTACTTTAAGACCGGCGAGTTCGGCGGAGGGGGAGGGATGGGCGGCGGCGTGTCCGGCGACTTGGGCGGTGGCATCGGGGGTGGAAGTGGACATGATGAGAGAAGAAAGAAGGAAAGAAAGGAAAAAAAGACGGAAGGAAGGAAAAAGGGCGGGGTCAGAAAGGATGCAGGAGAGCGAAAAAAGTGTGAGCGACGGCGGAAAAATCAGTACCGTAACGGTCTGCGATAGCTTATCATCCGTTCTTCCACGGTTAGCCTGAGGTACGGTATCCTTCTCTTCTCCTATTCTCTGATTCCGGGCTCTGACTCTCTCTCTCTCACACACACATTGGGATCAATCGGCGGTGTACCAATCGTCAATACCGTCACGCCATGCGGTTTCTAGAATCCGCACATGCAGGGATCTGAGCGTATCACAACCCGAGGCTGGACAACTGCGCGGGCCAGACTCGGCGGGGCGCGATCGACAGACAGCCATTGATCCACTTGGAGGGGAGAGAAAGAAAGAGTTTGTCTGTGAGTGAGAGTCGTATTATTATTGTTCTTCTTCTTTTTCTGATAACCGATAGCGGTCTAGGACTATGGTCCAGGGCCCTATCGATGCGTCGGTCGAGGGTGCTCGGCTGGTAAACCTTCCCTCTCGGGGCAGCTTGCCATGCATGAAATGTGTAGCGCCGAACCACCATGCTCCTGCAGATGCGCGATAGAGCCATGCTGTGGACACTGCGTTAGCTTGAAACGTGCCAACAGCAGAAATTATGGGCTCTGACTCCGTTCCATTATGCCGAAGAACACTCCCCTCCAGCGCATCGCTCACGCTTTGCGCCGACATCAAGGGGTCACCGGGTTGTCCGTCTTGTCGCTACACTTGTTGCCCTGGATCGAGCTCTGGCCGGGTGGCACGCTGCTCTGTGGCTCGGCTTTGGACAACGCAGCCCTGGCGGAGACGTTTCGGGTCATCACTGTATAGAGCAAGTCCGACAAGTCTGGCCAGTCCGCTGGATTATAGAATGCATGGAATCTCGCTCCTGGTTGTCGCTGGGAGCGATTAAGGAAAGATACCAATTACTATCAGTGGAAATACTGGTGAGGGCTCAGCACACTAGTCACTCTACCCATTCAGTCTGGGAACCACCGGTCTCGTTTATGTGCGCATAACATGCATTCACATAATTGGTTCACGCCGCCCAGAGCTACCCCGAGGCTGCATCGGACGCGTTGCAAAAAGACGGAGCTTGCATGCTTGCCGCCACTATAGATGTCTTGCCGTCTGCCATTTTGTCCAACTTACGCTTAAATCTCGGCTCCAAAGCAGCCATGTAGACCATAGAGTCTTCTCCCGCCGCACTGGAGTTGAGCAGACCTGAATTCCCGCATGACTGCTTGAAGGCGGGTATCTTGGCGAGCTGGAGAGTTGGAGGTTTGATCTGTATAGTCCAGTGGGACATCTAGGGCTGTTCATACTTCATCTCCATTTCCAGTCAATGCCGCCGCCCCCGCGGTGTGCATGTCGAGCCTTTGCTTGGCCTTCGCGCGAGGCTGACTTCGCGGTCGGTCATATTGTGCAATAAAAAAAAAATAAAGAAAATGCAAAAAAAAGGTCTCAAGATGTTCTTAGGAATAGCCGAACGCGGGGGTCGAACCCGCAGCCTTGAGATTAAGAGTCTCACGCTCTACCGATTGAGCTAGCCCGGCAGGGCTTAGAGATCGTTGAAAAATACTGCTAGAAGGGCTACAAAATCAGGATACGCCGAGCGAGGACTAGAGGAAGACTGGGGAGCAATAGTGCTGTGTAGAATTTCGAGATCAGTATTGAAAATTTTTCGCTTTTTGATGGTAAAATAAGTGGTGGGAGTTTCTTTGTCTCTCTCTTGTGATGAGATAAGCTTTTTCTTTAGAGAAACAAACATCATGTTGATATGGGCTGGGTGCTTTTACATGTCAAAATATATAGTTGTGCTTGTTCTTCAACCACGCATAATATGTGCCCACTTGAAACATGAATGTAAGCCCATGTCAGGGGGTATTATCTGCCTGGAAATCCCACGCACACCTGCAGATCTCTCTGTCACAGTGCACAATAAATATCCAACCACAAAGGCAATATGCAAAGCAAATATATTGTGTAAAGCAAATAGTTTATTAGGGCTACGTACTGCCAAGGAGCATCAGGGGTAATGCAGTTAAGCCACCTAAATAGACAGGCCATGCCAGACCAGATCAGAGCATCGAGTCCGTAGTATGGATGGCAATGTTGGGAGGTAAATATTCGACTATAAAGCGCCATGGCACCGACTCAGCGACAATATAGGCAGCAAAACAGCAAAGGGTGCCTCCAAAAATCACCATCATCGACACCCCACATCGCCAACACCACCCCACTTCCCTCAAAGAAGAGACACAAGACTCCTCAAAGATAACCACTGACCAGTCCTGATGTCTATGCAGACAGGTACGCTCTGCTCGTACTGCTGCACTCGGAGCGTCGCACTCCATGCAGACTGGGCGGCCGCCACTCGGAACTGGCAGTCAGTACACGTTAGACCATTCATCTACTCGTCAGGTTTGTTTCTCCGGATTGGAGAATATGCTTGGGATAGTAAGCAAGTGAGGAGGAACATGGGTCTACAACTTAAGAGAGACAAGCAATATCACGTGGCATTTTCGCTTAACGTTTTTCCGTTTTTCCGGGCTCCGCAGGCGGCCATAAATAGTGTTCTTTCTCTCTCTCTCTTCATCACTCTCACTCACTCACTCTCTCCCCCCCTGGACACCATTTACACTACACCTCCCACTGCCGTATGCAGCCATCCTCCCTATGACTATCCCATGATCTTGTAATCACTTGGCTTGCATAATGTCACCAGCCCCGATCGCCCCGGAGATGCAGCAGGATCTGCACCATGACCAGCTCCAGGCCGTGGGCAAAGCCTTCGATGCGCTGCTACTAACCGTATACCAACTCAGCTGCAGGACCAATGAACTGAGGGAAAGGTCCTCAGATATCCACCACGAGGTACATATACCATTTTTCTCTTTTTGCAGCCTGCCAGTCCCATATGATGAGAAAAAATGATTAGCTCTAGATCAGGAGTCACATTTGTGGCGTTGACGGAAACATCATGTATTATCTGATGAGACATGGCACTGCTCGTTTGTTTGGTGTGTTTAAAGACATGCTAACGCCCATGATACAGCTCCTTAAGGTCTTGAACCAGATGCCCGGTGAACATGTACTTCCCTTTGAGGGCATTTCGAAGAAGTTCCTTGCCCTGAATCGGCATTTCAACGACCCTTCGGTCGAGACCGAGTCCCTGAGTTCGGCAGATGTAATCAAGACGCTCACGGGCAACGCAAACGTAGACGAGAATACCCTCAAGACCATTGTGGCGGGCATCAAGGGCTGCAAGTCTCTGCTTCGCTCCCAGGGCAACTCCCTGGATAACTCGTGCATCCTGGCTCGCAGCCCGAGTCCGTCAGCTCCGCTGGAGGAAGACTTCACCACCAACGGCACACAGGGCAACCTGCGCTGTCCCCTTTCCAAATCTAGCCGGACGCATTCGGAGACACGGAATGGGAATGGAGATTTACCAAAAGTCGAAATTGAAGACACCTGTGGCCATGAAGACCTGGACCCGATCAAGGCCGAGCAGCAAGAGCGACGGTCCAGTCACACCCCGTCGGTCAGATCGTCTAACAACCAATGCCCCGTGTCCCGATGTCCGATCCGGTTCTTGGACCAACACTCCCCGGAGGAAATTGCGGAATATGTTGAACAGCACAAACATGAGATCCCGCGCAGTCATGCCATCTGTGTCAAGCGGTATCAGCGCGACCCGCAGAACATGCGGCAGCTTGATGCCAAATATGGAGGCCTGATCAACATGATTAACGGTCTCAGTGTCAAGCACCAGGCATTCCTGCCTAACCGCCAGACAGATGGCGAGGGCGGCGGTGATGGCCAAGGTTCTGCGTCAACTGAACTCGTCGAGAAATGGGCCGACGACGTTGACCCGGTCACCCCGGGTCCACAGAATGAGGACGACAATAGACAGGGCCACTTTGACCGTCCGCTGCGTGAAGTTCGCGTCGGGGAATCTCCAAGCCGGCCTTGGGGCATTCCTGTTCCCATCACCCATTCCCCCCCCGGCCTCGAAGCCGTTCCCCGGCTCCGTTGATCCTCCACCCAAACCCTCCGCCACCACCGAATCACCTGCCAAACCGGCTGGCCGCTGTCCCTTCGGTCATGATGCTCCGAAACCGAAGACTGGCGAGCCCGAGCTTTTCAAGGCTCAGGGGATCAAGCTGGATGCTGGCGCCCCGAAACCAAATGCACAAGACCTAGACACGGCTCAAAGCGAAGCAAACTCTATCCCGGCGAATGTCATATTTAACGGACCGGTGTTCTTTGGCTACAGCGCTGAACAGACAGCCAGTCTGATGCAGCAGCTTGGCCACTTGGGGAAATCGTGAAGTTTCCCATAATGCCTGATGACGAGACGACCTGAACAGCGATCAATTGCCCTGTATATACATAGCCCGTAGCTATTATCATTATTATTATATCATTATTATTACTTACCCTTCTCCAACGAATATTATTCTGGTTCTGTTGTTTTCCTCGGAAAACTCCACCCCACCCGGCGGGGCAGTTATATCTTGCCTTCTTCCTCAACAACCATGCGTTCTCGCATCTTCTGTCTCTCTCGTCCTCTTCTGTTCACCACACCCATCCTCCATCTTAAGCCATCACCGCTGTCCGTCCCCAGATTTCAAACAACAATGTCTGCCGACATGTCCATCGTCTCCGCCAAGGACGCCTGCCCGCGTAAGTCACGAATGATCTCACCAGAGCGATTAATCGCACAGTTCTCTCTTGCTTCCTCCCTCACCCGCAAAGTCAATCACTAACACTTTTCATTCTCTAGCTGCTGGCCCCTACGTACGTCTGACCTCCTCCTTCTTCCCGCGACGATAGCTCCTCCCCCTTGAATGGAACCCGAACTAGCCCACGTCATCGAATCCCGCCCTCAATCAAACCCAAGACTACACTCTTCTCACCCCCAATTCAATTCATATACAAATACAAACCCAAAACCAAATATACGTCCCCACTAATACCCTGTATAGTCCCAGGCCATCCGTGCCAACGGTCAGATCTTCGTCTCCGGCCAGATCCCCGCCGACGTCTCGGGAAACCTCGTCGAGGGTAACATCGGCGTGAAGACCCAGGCGTGCTGCGATAACATCAAGGCTATCGTGACTGCGGCAGGATCCAGCGTGAGCAAGATTGTTAAGGTTAACGTACGTGTTTACCTCCCGAAGAGGATGATCCCTGCCACGCGGATGAGATGAGGAATTAGGAGCTAATGATCGGGACATGTAGGTCTTCCTCACTGACATGGCCAACTTCGCCGAGATGAACGCCACCTACGAGAAGTTCTTCACCCACAAGCCAGCTCGTAGCTGTGTGGCTGTTGCGCAGTTGCCCAAGGGTGTGCCTGTTGAGATTGAGTGCATTGCTCTTGAGTAAATTTGTCTGTTATTAGAATGGATGGATTTATAAAAAATCAAATCAATTGAATGGAATAGAAGGTGTATTGTTGTGCTAGTAGAGTGATGGTTTCAATCCGATTATTTCGTTTCCTCCCGTAGTGTAGTGGAATGGACGAATGCAAACTGTGAACAGGCCAAGATGGGAATCATCGCAGACAAAGTAGAAAAGAAAAGAAAAGGGAAGATATAGCGCGACGTATGCATAGGAAAAGGCAAGGAAAAGAAAGCCCGGGAAGTAAACTCAAGAGACGTTGAACGCTTTGTGCTCCATGGGTAGATAGGTCAGCGTCGTGGAATGGACCCGCTCATTCTGCTTCCAGCACCGGCCATCAAGCTCTGTTTCACAATGGCATCAGCCGCTGCAGCAGCGGCGAGTCGTTCCTTTTGACGGCTCCGGTCACGTAGGTAGCCCGCTGCTTCGGGGCGCATGCGCAGGATGCGCAAGATCATGTCATCGTTCGGGTCGGCTTGAGCCTCCCGCCGCTTCTCCTCCTTGGCCTTCTTCATCGTGCCCAGGTTGCGGGAGAGCATGATGCTCTTAGCACGGCGCGCAGCAGGGACCCCGAGACCGCCGTACCCGGGACCAGTGGCACCGAGGTGGGCGGGTGCAGAAATGCGGTTGCGGTTTGCATGCTGGCGGTTCACATTGGCGGAAGCCATACGTTCCGACGTCCGGATCAGGTTATCGGTTGGCTCGAAGTAGAAGAAGTTCAGGCTCTGGATCTCGTGGTACTTGGGAGACTTTAGAACGTCAATCGGGACGCCATTGGCATCGCCTGTCTCCTCATCCACGGCGTTGAAAAAATTCAACAGTAGCACGAGCCAGCGTGATACAATGTCGACTTCTTGAACCGTCAGGGGCTTCTGGTGGGATGGTTTGTCCGACAAGGGCGGGACCAGCAGACTCTCAATGGTAGCAAGCACTTCCTTCCACAGACGAGCCATGACCATCCGCATCGCTTCCGAGGTGAGGGTCTTGTTCATGATGGCAAAGTTATCGTTGAAGTAGTTGAACAGCGGAGTCAGCGCATTTTCAATGTCTGTCTGCGAGGGCGCAACAGTGGTTGTTTGTGCTCGGTTCCGGTTCAAGAAATTGGATACGGTGGAGCTGATCCCACGAGACAGCAGAGACTTCAAAGTCCGACGAGACAAGCTGTAGTTGATGTATGCGGAAAGCTTCTCTGTGATCTTGCGTGTCATGTCCCTTTCAGTGCGCTTAAGCGTGCGGAAAGCCTTGCCAAAGTAGAATTGGATGTCATCCCGCTCGCCTTCCATGCTGACACGGAGCAGAAGTCGGCCTTGTGTGTCCAAGTCTAGCCAGTACTCTCGTGGCAAGAAATCGCTGAAGTGCAACGGATCCAATTTGATCGAGGTTCGACCAACATAGTCGTGATCACCGACAGCATCCCAGTCCCAAATGGTCGCGATAATATTGAGCGGTCCTTGAGTCGTGATATCCACTGCGTCTTCCCACCTCGGATTGAGATTGTTGTAGATAATCCGGGTTTTTGTGATTCGCTTTTGATATTCGTCTGTCAAGACGACGTACGGGTCACTGGCTCCATTGATGTCGCACGCCTTGAGATCTTCGCCTTCCACCACCTTGATCGTGAAGACATACGTTGTGGCCTTGCGCGTCTTCTTGAGCTGTGGAGGGGTATTCCGCGCGATGACTTCGGCGCAGCCATCTACATTGATCTCTCGCTCCAATCCGTCCAATTGGGAGAGTGCATACTCGACATTGTTCAATTTCACTAAAGACTACCAGCGAGTCAGTACAAAAGCTGGCAATAGGTTGGGAATCCGTACCTCTGAGGAGAACTGGAAGGGTTCAATCTTCTCCTTGCTTGTCCATGTGTCCTTGGCGAACTGCATGAGCTTTTCCTGGGTAGTTTGATTCAAAGCTGCTTCTTGATCCGGAGTGAGACGGTCCATCTCGCGGGAGAAAATCTGCTCCAGCGTTTCGCAATACTTTGCCACGCCTTTGCTAATCGAGCTGGATAGAGCCGTCATGAATTTGGCATACTGGAAATCATCATCCCATTCCAGGTGCACCAAGTCCTCTACCACCTTATTGAATGACCGAAAGATGTCAATCGCCGAGACACTATGCCGAGCATCCTCTGAAGCCATATCGTTCATTTGGTCAGCTCGGACAATGAAGGCATCTTGTCTGGTAGCCTGGTTGACCCATTCCAAGACACTCTGGTCGGTCAAGCGAAGCCAACGCCAGACAAATTCCTCTAGCAGACTTTCCACATGGAATGGAAAAGGTACTCTGACTGAAGTCAGTACAGTTCTAACATGACGGAAATTGGGGACCTCATACTCTGGAAGCGCAGTGGAAAAAATGCGTCGGACCGTGGCAAGCTTCCGGTAAAGGTCAAAGCCATCCTCGACATCGATCTCCTCATCCCTTTCCTTTGTTTGTTCAATGATTCTGATAATCATTTCATGTGCGTCTTCAGCGAACATAGGTAGCACATTGGAGCAGAGAGTGATATAGGGGTTCACACTATTTCGGGGTTAGACATGACCGCAAAACTAAAGCATTCAAAACATACCCCATGATCTCCGGATTATTCCTGTACCGCTTCTGGATCTTTTGCGCCAGCTTCGAGATGGCATCACCAAGTTGGATGACATTGTCTACCTGCCATGCGTGCTGCTGCACGGGTATTAATTGGCTAAGAAAAGACTGATACTTTGCCGTTGCCTTCTGGGCGAGTCCGTCTTGCACATAAGAAGAAAAGCGGTTGATGTCCTCTGGGTCCTCGATATAGTTCGGATCGGCCTGGATGTGATTCTCGAGGATATACATCACTGGCCCAATTGGACGTGGTTTCGCTTCGAAGCAGTCCATCATGACATTGTACAGCTCCCGCAGCAGGGCTTCGTGGAGTTTGGATAGCAGTTGCTGCATCGTGCAGATATCTTGCACAGTCCACCACTGTCGATCCAACACCGCCGAAGGCATGAAGCTGCCCCGTTTACTCTTACCTTCGGTGGGAGGCAATTCCTTCACAAACGTGAAGCCCGAATCCAGGGTGTTGAGATCGATTTCGTTGTCCACGAATTTGGCTTGGATCACATCGAGAAACAGCACAATCCGGGAGAAGTTGGGAATCCGCCAGCGAAGACATATTTCATTCAGCAATTCCGTGGACTGCTTTGAGAGCAGCTTCATCGAAGGCACATTAGCTGTGGCCTGGGACGCTTCGAGCTCCCGATCGCGCATATCGTAGCTCAGGGTGTGGCCCAAGATGAACTTGTACATCTCTCTGGGGTCTAACGGAATGAAAGTGTAGGTATCTGACTCCTCCGAGTCACCATCAGACCCACCGAGCGACAGAGAGCTGAGATCGAACGGTTGGTCAATGACATACGATGTTCTGTTTGTCCGATCGGAGGATGTCCGTGACAAGTTGGCATCATCGACGGGGGACGGGTTGAATTGGGGAAGAGTCCCCGGAGTGCTTTTGGCAAGCTCGGGATTTGACTGTACAATTGCCAGCATCATTTGCGATAGATCGGGGCCTTCGCCCTTCTTCCAGTTTTCATATGCCTCGTCCGTCTCAAAGTCTTCTCTTGCCAGAGTTTTTCGAGTTTGAAGATTCAGATGGGCCTGGTATGTCTTGAGATCTTGTAGAGCCGACTTCTCCGTCCAGATTGTCTTGTTCTTGTCAATTTCGGACTGCGCTTGGGCGGGTGTCATCCCGAAAATTTTCGCTACATGCTGCACCAGCGGCATGTCCTTCACATCGTAGCTCAGCGGAGCTATAACTCCCGTCGCTGCAGAGCCATTCACCTCCATCAGGTCCTGATCCTGCACCAGAAGTTTGTTTTCTAACACCGACAGTCGGTTGGCCAGCTCTGGGCGGTCTTTATCCCAATCATTGCTCTTCAAGATGAGCGCAAGCAGACGGACGAAAAGCGCAACGTGTCGATCCACCATGAGCTTCCAGCTGTCATCGTCATTTTCCTTGCCCTTGCTCAGCTCCTTGATGGCATTCGAGTAGAAGATAAGCACCAGATCCTCAGCTCGCCGATCCTTTTCCATGCGCCTTCGGAAGGATTGCTCCTTGAGCGCATTGAGAAAGGCAGCGAATGTGCGCACGACCAAATGGTCCTGATACTCTTTCCGCTTTTCTTTCCCCATCAACACTCCCGTCAGCCGCTTTTCGAGCTCGGCCACAAACCCATGTGGAATCCTTGTGCTCTTGGAGTCCCTGACCAAAGAGAAATCGCCCATCAAGTCGTGAATGGAGGTTGAAGCTTTTCGTTGACGCGCGGCTGCAGCGGGGGCATTCTGGACGCGGCGCGAATGGGGGTTGAGCAGATAGGCCAGGTAAGCTACCCGGAGAGCATGGGAACAAGCGACGCTGGCGTTGAGGGGCCGGCGGCGCGAGGCCGAGGAGGAGGTGCGCGAATGGTGACCTTCATTCTGGAGGCTGTTGATCCGACGGTTGACTCCTCGGGACCGGCTGGATGCCGTCGACATGGGGTGGTGGGGGTGGTGGTAGCGGTTGGTCGGAGATGGTGCGGCGGCAGCAGCAGCAGTCGGAAGGGAGAGCGCGACCAGGAACCATGAGATAGGGAAGAGCTCCAGGCAGCATCGACTGTTGGCAGAATGAGTCCCGTTTCTAGGTGTTGAATGGAGGAAGGGAGGGATCCGAGGTTGGAGGCAAGTGTGTTGTTTATTGCGCAGAAAGGAGGCGGAAGGAGAGGAGGGGGATAGATGAAACAGGTGGGCAGACTGACGTAGCCGCGCATCACCCTAGATACGCTTTCTAGGATGAACTAATTAACTATACACCCCGTTATTACTTATTATTATTATTGCCGGTCTTTGTTTTGATTTCTATGACTGTATTTGTCTAGCTTTTGGTCCCACACTATCCTTGTCTTTGGTTGCGATCACCGGTTTACCCGCGCCGGTGCCAAGGGAGCGCAAGGGTGAACACGACTATTATTGACCACTACGAGAGCCATCTATGGGACTGTTTCCACACTGTGGAAGGTCAGGAAAATTTCTCTTCTTTGATCCATGACAATGTGAGAACCGGCCAGTTGGGGTGGCCGACATCACTTCCAAGAGCTACAAGTGTTGGCAGTTGATCTGGATCACTGACCGAGACTCCGGCTTTACTTGTTTAAAGTAGACCGGAACGGTGGCAGCGGATCGATATCAGATCTTCAAGTGACGCCGAAAATAAGAAATCCTATTGGTATTTACACACACACATACACACACACACAGGCAGACAAAGAACGAAACGGAGATCAATAATCACCACTTGTCCTCACTGGGCTTGCGAGCCTAGGGTCAATTGTTAAATATGAAACTCGATTTTCAACGCATCCAAAGGGGGACCATGACGTACCGGCAGAGCATTCGGACCGCCTAGCTCCTTCTCCAAACCACCCTCATAGGTCTTCGGGGCACTCGGCCTGTCAGGATAGTAGAGACTCACAACTCCACAGAGTGACAGGAAGGTCGCAACAAAGACGCCGAGGTGGAAGAAACCCTTGCGGGAGGAGACGTGGGTGTACTGCTCCGGGCTGAACACACCCAGGATTTCGTTCTCCTCGTGGACGGGCTCTCCGAAGTTCCGCTTCTCCTGCGCATCCCACCATCCGCCGTGGGGATCTCTGAACTGACGCTTCACTCGAGGAGGGTTTTGGTAGCCGCCATTCTGGTATCCAATTAGACATCATTGCGATCGGAAAGGGAGAGAAGAGCAGGCTGTGAATTGTGACGCAATTGCCCTGTGACGGGGTCGTACCTGGAGAGGATCTTCGATTTCGGCAGCTTTGAGGACTCGAGCCTGGGAGAAGGAGGCGCGGGGGGCAGTAGCGAAGCGAGACGCAACCTGGGGGAGGCGCCGGGCCACGATGCGTTGGGGCAGCATCTAGGAGAGAGAAGTTAGAGACAAGTCCGACGGAGAAATTGACAGACAGAAGTGAAATGAACCACGCGGACGGAGACTTACACTGCTGGAGCAATCGAAGCCAGAGAGTGGAGGGGGGTGGGTAGGTAATAGTGAGGAGTGTCCGGAGAGGGTCGAGAGCCGTAGTGGATGGAGGTTTGCGGAATGTTGATGCCTCAGGCCGTCACAGTCACTGGACCAGCGGCGTTAGTTAATCTGTACTGACGCGCTTACCAAACACCCCCGTCGTCCTCGTCCGCCCCAAACCAAAAAACCCCATCGTCACGCATTTCACCCTCCCAGCTCTGTTTTCCATCACCATCCACGCCCCCGACCCGATAAGGATGCCAAACTTTACCTGGCCTCTCTACTCGATCCTGCCGATTCGTTGATGCCCAGATTGCCAATTTCCTTTGCGCCATCGTTGCGAACACTGGGGTCAGCTGTCCGGAAGGCCCCTGTCGTCCGCGGCTACAAGCCATGCAAAACGGTAGCCCGAATGGCCCATCGATCCAAGATGAACGCGTGATGCCGGACTTTGATTCTGCGCCTCTTGACGCGTCGCTCCAGCAAGAATCCGCCGATTCTGGCACCCGCGAGCGAATCCCTTCCGAGCCGAACCTCGACGAAACCGTCCCTGAAACCGAAGGCCCCCGTCCAAGAAACGACGACTGACTGATTCGCAACGGTTGGCACCCCGGGCTCCTTCCCCCCCTGGAAGAGATTCGGCTTCGAGGGGCCAACGTCTTTCCTCTCAGAAGGCAAGCGCAGGTCCTCGCGCACAAACACGGTCCCCCTTGAGCAGCAGCCTCCATCAGACAAGAGACAAACGCGAGCAGCCCAGCAGCAGAATATAACCAAGGGAAGTCCCCATGGCTCCAAACCGGCAACCTCTTCCCCGCTCTCGGTCACGCAGTCGCGTGCGCAGGCCAATGGCAAACTTGGTGGCAAGGTAACTGCGAACGGATCACCGAAGACGGTTCCCAAAAGAAGTGCGACTGTCAAGCAACCGCGCGTATCGCAGTCACCTGCGCCCAAACCGACCCACTCGCGCGCTAGGTCTCGCAGCTCTGGTGCCAATGTAAATGGTTTCAGCCCTCGTCCTCTGCGAGACCGTGCATCCATTTCGGCTACGTCTACCGGTGGCTGGGAGACCCGTCAAGAAGAGCAGGACCAGGGACTGAAGGTCCCACGGCTGCGGATAAAGGTGAAGAAGCCAACCCTTTCTTTACAACATCCCGGCCATGTGGCTGCTCCTCGAAAATATGGATCGTTCCGGGAATGGGTCCACAGCGAAGATTCGAGTATTGGTGGCGAAGGCATACTCTCTGCCGCGGAAGCTGTCGAAGAAGCTCGGAGACGACGCGAAGTTGAGACAGCTGCTGAACCTGGTGGCCCACTGAGCTCAGACCTTTGCTCTGCATATATCACGGAGCAACAGGAAGAGCCGCCTCCCCAGTACTCGCATCACGATCATCTGGTGGCACATGCATTGTATTTCCAAAAGCTTTTGGATAAGGAACACAAGCGCCACCGACAAATGGCTAAACTGTTCGCGCAATGGTGCGCCGATGCCTGGCGGAAGCGTAACAAGGACCCGGAAGATATCCTGCGAGAACAACAAGAAGAGATGCGCGGAAAACGCAAGCAGCTGGCTAAGGATCTCCAGAAGATGTTTGATCTGACACGTGCTGAAATTGATCGAATCCGGTTGGCCCGTTGGGAGGAAGAACGGAAAGTGGAAAACCAGCAGGCTCTCGACAGCGCAATCAAAAAATCTACGGCCCTGTTTGAAAAGAGGCGATCGGAGATCTTGGGCGAAGTTCCTAGCGATGCTCCTGCTTCGAGTGAGGAAGATGATGCCGAAACAGATACCTCGACCGATTCAGACGAAGATGATGAGAGCAACATGTCGACCTCCGAGTCTGAAGGGGATGATGAAGCCAATGTGGATGAGCAGGTGGATGAAGATGCGGCATTGACGGCGGAGGAGCTACGATTAAAATACGCTAACTTGCCGGCCGATGAGGCTTTGGATCGCATGTCAGTGGCATCGGACAGCACAGCTGTCACCAATTACAGCGATGGTCCCCGCCGACAAAGCACTCGAAAAGAAATGGATTCTCAGCCCGCAGAAGATTCGCAATTAGACGACGTGGACTCGGTTCTCATGGACGATAGCGATCAGTCAACCGACATGGATGACGACATGGGCGACAGTGACGAAGACGCAGAATCTGATGAGGACGACGCGTCTGACGAGGAAAGCGATGATGCGCCTGGTTTACTCGGCTTCTTCGCACCCAAAGACATTGCTGTCCCTCAAGATGGTGAAGAGGCGGCCGTTGATAGCGAGGGCCTTGAAGACGTCAAATTGGTATCAGAAGCTGGTGATGACAACGACTTTGAAGACCCCGATGAAGTCTCACTCATCCCCAATGGACCAACGGCCGACAAGCACGGGTCAGAAGCTGAAGGCACGCCCCCAGAAGTCGTTGAGGCCTCCGAAGCCTCCGCCATCGGCGACGAGGAATCTCCTTTGTCTCAAAACATCGAGTACAATCAGGCTGCCGAATCTGCATTGGCCGATGCCACTGTTCCTGACGTCTCCGAATCAGCGGATGAGGTGGAACCTGTCCTCGATACCCGGCCAAGTGGCGAAGTATCCAGTGAAGCTTCTCCCGGGACCTTCGCGACCAAACCCTCCGAACCCGAATCGGTCTCTTCCTATGAACCTGCCGCCGAAAAGTCCTTGCAGACAGGCTACTCTCCTGCACCTGGCTTGAAGACACCAATCCCACATCTCTTGCGTGGCACCCTACGTGAGTATCAACACTATGGACTGGACTGGCTTGCGGGCCTCTACAACAACCACATCAATGGCATCCTGGCCGATGAGATGGGTCTCGGTAAAACGATCCAGACAATTGCTCTCCTTGCCCACCTTGCTGTCGATCATGGAGTGTGGGGCCCACACTTAGTGGTTGTGCCAACCAGCGTCATGCTCAACTGGGAGATGGAATTCAAGAAATGGTGTCCGGGGTTCAAGATCATGACCTACTATGGCAACCAGGAAGAACGCAAGGCTAAACGCCGAGGCTGGACGGATGACAATGCCTGGAACGTGTTGATCACTTCGTATCAACTAGTCCTGCAGGACCAGTCGTCTCTCAAGCGCAGAAACTGGCACTACATGGTTCTCGACGAGGCGCACAATATCAAAAACTTCCGGTCGCAACGGTGGCAAGCTCTTCTGACGTTCAAGACCCGGGCTCGACTTCTCCTTACCGGTACTCCGCTTCAGAACAACCTGACTGAGCTGTGGTCTCTCCTGTTCTTCTTAATGCCTTCCGACGGAAAGGGAAATGGCATTGACGGATTTGCTGACCTCCGAGACTTCTCAGAGTGGTTCCGCCGACCCGTGGAGCAGATCTTGGAACATGGACGGGAGACAATGGATGATGAAGCTAAGCGGGTAGTTACCAAACTCCACACTGTCCTTCGTCCGTACATCCTGCGTCGCCTCAAGGCCGATGTCGAGAAACAGATGCCCGGAAAGTATGAACATGTGGTGTACTGCAGGCTCTCAAAGCGGCAGCGTTTTTTGTACGATGGGTTCATGTCCATGGCTCAGACCAAAGAAACACTCGCGTCGGGCAATTTCCTCTCGATTATCCACTGTCTCATGCAACTGCGCAAGGTTTGCAACCATCCCGATTTGTTCGAAACCCGACCTATATCGACCTCGTTCGCCATGCCCCGATCTGCAGTGACGAACTTCAACATGAAGGAATCCCTCGTACGCCGAAGGCTGCTCTTCGAACACCCTCTCACCAAGATCGACTTGGACTTTCTGAATCTAGCACCAATCTCTAGAGAGGAAATCTCCCGGCGTCTGGCAGACGATAGCATTCGACTCATGGCCTCTCGCCCCTTCAAGACTCTTCGGGAGCGTCAGTACCAACGAACCAACTGGCAGATGGGCTTCGACGGTTCCAATATGCAGAGCATTTTGGATTCTCTAGAGAATGCCTGCCGAATGAGGAGGATGGCTGAGCTTGAACGCTGTTTGTATTTTGAGTCCAAACGTCACGGTCGCCGGCCGGTGTACGGCAGCAGCCTCGTCGAGTTCATCAGGGCCGGGACCAAGGAGCATGCTCTTTCTAACGCTCCTTTGCGAAAGCGCTCCATGGCCGACTGGTTGTCGAGTCGGTCCTCTGTCCTCGCATCGATGATCATGTCCATCGAAGAACGCTCCATCGAGATGGATGGCTATGTCCAGAGATTCGCCTGCGTCACTCCTGCTGCCGTCGCTGCTGGCATGACCGAAGCTGCTCTCACTCCTGTCGAAACTCACCTATTGACGAACACCAAGAAGCATCAGCCCTACGATCCATTCCACGAAGCGCAGATGCGGCTGTCAATTGCATTTCCAGATAAACGACTGCTGCAGTACGACTGTGGTAAACTGCAGCGGCTCGACAAACTGCTCCGTGATCTCAAGGCAGGAGGTCATCGCGCTCTGATCTTCACCCAAATGACAAAGATGCTTGATATTCTGGAACAGTTCCTCAACATCCACGGACATCGCTACCTTCGACTGGACGGAACTACGAAGGTGGAACAGCGACAACTGCTCACAGAGCGGTTCAACAGCGATCCGCGGATTCTGGCATTTATTCTATCTAGTCGATCTGGTGGTCTTGGAATCAACTTGACTGGTGCCGATACCGTCATCTTTTACGATCTGGACTGGAACCCAGCCATGGACAAGCAGTGTCAAGATCGTTGCCATCGAATTGGGCAAACGCGCGATGTTCACATCTATCGATTCGTGTCCGAGTACACCATCGAATCCAACATCTTACGCAAAGCCAACCAGAAGCGCATGCTGGATGACGTGATCATTCAAGAAGGTGAATTTACCACCGACTATTTCACCCGGCTGGATGTTCAAGGCATGGAACAAAGCGATGAGCTGGACGGTCACGACGAAGCGAGTGCCGCCATGGATCGCGTGCTCGGCAACCGCGTCCCAACTAGCACGCGTGCGTTCGAGCAAGTCGAAGACAAAGAAGATATTGACGCAGCCAAGAATGCGCAGAAAGAGCTAGAGCATGCCGACGATGGTGACTTCGAGGACCGTAGTGTATCACATGGGACGCCTGCTCAGGCCGGCACTCCGATGATCTCTGGAGCAGAGGATGTTACTGCTGCTGCTGGCGCTGTCTCGCAGAAGCTGGCCGATGAGCTTGCTCGTGAACCAGAGCCTGCCCACATCGATGACTACCTTCTCCGTTTCATGGAGTGGAACATGCGCGATGAACCACTGGTGCTGCCTCGCGACAAGAGCAAGAAGAAGTCCAAAAAAGGCAAAGAGCACCGTCTCAGCAAGAGGCGCCGCTAGGCCTTGTGCAGATAATCGTTCTCTTCCGGAACCGTTTCACACTCCAATCTCTAGGAGGGATATAAAGACGAAGAAGCCGCAGGACTTGGACGTGGATACCGCTTAAACGAGAATCAAGCTCTGTATGTATGTATACTACTGTTGGGGTCGGGATTGAGAGCGTTGTTTTTTTTTCTTCTTCTTTTCTATTCTCCTTTTCTTACTCTCCCCCCTCTCTTTTTCTCTGTACCTGTATTACTCTACCAACATTCAACCCTCTTTAGTAATGTGAATCCTGGTCCACTTAAGATATCCCGAACTCTCAATCCATTATGAAACCTCCAGCCGACCACGAGCTCTTGACAAATACTTTAAATTAACTCGACACGGAGAATATACTCGACTTGACAAGTGGATCCGTTTGGTGGAGGCTTCACTCTCAGATCTGATCGTTGGACACTACCGCCGATCATCATGCCCTGGGGCTGGAGATAAGACCCGTTGATCTTCGTGGTCGGATGAATGGCAGAATCCAGCCTCCATTCTGCAGCACTGGCAAGGGAAAAGGTGATGATATTATGATATGTATGTGTATGTATGTCCAAGCAGTCTTTTCCCTTGCCCTCATTCTACGCCCCCAAACACATGTTGCCGAGCTCCATTCTGTAGAAAATATAATCTTCCCGCAGGAGTAAGCCCTGCAAAGGATGCCCTGTGTCCGTAGCACCGGGTCGGCCCCCGTGTGGATCGTTTGTCTTGTCTCCTTACCGGCGAGCGGAGTTTGTTTGGGAAATGGATTATTGGCTTGTTGACCAGTTTGTATAGTTTTGCAATTGAACCACGGTTCGTCTTCTGCAGGGGTCCGGAGACGAGAAACAGTGCTTATGGCGAATATTCACCAGGTCCTTCGCGCTCTACCTATCTTCTCCCCACACAGCCCGCAATTTGCCACTGATCCGCAGTACCCATTCATGGCCCTCTGCACTATTGCGAAAGTGAGGGCCATGGATGGCGGATATTTCTAATCAGGAGAGCTCCGGGGATTGAGATTCCGAGGCAAGGTGCTAGGGCCACATCCACGAGTCAAGAGATCCCACATGGAGTGAAATCAATGAGTCGGGCAAAGCTCTTTGAGTTGGGTGGGTACGGAGATCCGGCAGACCCTCTAAACCTGTGTTGGGCTCCTTCCTAACTACGACATATTTGCATCGGCTAAGGAATCCTCATGCTTGCTTGCTTAGTTTCAGGAACTAAATTTATAAAAGAGGGCCAAGCTCCAATGGAATCGGACGAATTGTCCGGAGCAATTTTCGCACCCTGTCATTTATTTTATTCGAAGGATACTCCCCGCAGCCCTGTCCAACCAGGCCGCACATACTGCTGTGTTCTGACGCACTTCCCTCGGCCTAACATTGCTGGTTTAAGAAGATCCCGTTGGTACCGCTGATCCAGGGTCTGTCTAGTAGCCCACCCATAGTATGCGTACGTACGTACATTAGTGCTACTTTCCTCCATGCACTGAGACAAAGAGATTAGAGTTTCGGCGCCTACCATCTGTGGCTCACGGCACGAGAGCTGAGACCGAGCGGAACAGGAATAGTGCATCTAGATTCCAATATTTAACCAGACGTAGTTACAGGTTTATAGTAATGTCATTGTCATGGGGCAATTGATAATAAGAATTGCCCAAAAAAGACAGTGCCCCCCTCTTAAAACAAAATACACTAAGGATGTGACAGACGCGCGCGAACGCGAGGCAAATCATAGATGCAGGGCCTCAATCCATGCATAGGTCTATCAAGTGGGTACAAGAAGAAATATCAAAGAAAAAATCGAGTGTTTTGCCATCTCGGGTGCGCCTCGTGTCGCGATACGGTAACGGAACCGGCAGGGATCCGAATCCTGATACTCAGGCTGCCGGTACGCGCTATGCCCACTATCGAGGAGCTGGGCAGATCGTGGATCCTCATTGAGGTCCATTGGCGTTCTCACGAACAGCTTCTCCACGGGGAATATGGCCATTGGTCTGATCGACGAGGGGTGGCGGACTAGTTCAGAGACCATCGGCCTTAGCCAGCTTTCGGATTAGAGCCCCGGAGCCGTGTAATTGCCCTAAGCTTGGTTAGTCTTTTGAACAAAGAGCAAAGGGCAGCCGTTCATCCGTAGCGTCTTGGGCAGCAGGCAAAAATGTCTGCCTCCGCGGCAGGATCGTCATTCCTGTTTACGGCCTCCGGGCTCCACGAGCTGCTCGGCTTTACACATGCTCCAGGTTCGGGAACGCTCCCAACGATTTAGGATCAATTGACGAGGCGATGAGATCGGCGGGTGCCTTGGCTTTGGAGTTCCAGACTAGCTGAGCTCATCACGAGCGGAACTGGTGTTTGATTTTGCCTGTCCCGACCTTGTCTGGTGTCAGGTGTGGACAGGTCGAGTTGCGCGAGTGCAATTTATGGAACTGTGTTGATCCAAACGCTTAACAAAGCATAGAGAGAGAAAGAAAGGTCCATGGCAGGGAGAAGGTCCATGGCAGGGAGATCCGGTTGATCAAGAGTTATCGTCATGGCGCAGATCGACCCTGGCCACAACGAACTGAGAGTCCTAGGGTGAGTGACAGACCACCAACCCGAGACAATGGCAGCCGTGGAGATGGCCTCAGGAGTTCTAGCCCTAACACCATCTTAATAATGTCCCTCGTCCGGCTCTTTGTTTCCTTTGCCTGCTGTTTTCTTCTCTCCTTTCCCTCTCTCCCCCTCCCTCCTGCTTTGTACTATATCCCTCGAGATGAAAACCTCTATCTCGTCCAATGTCTGGGAGACGAAGAAAGCATTGATTTCTCGGCTATACATGGAGGAGGAATGGCCACTCAAACAGGTCATTAAGCAGATTCGGTCTGATGATTTTAATCCGAGGTCAGTGCTCTTGATTTCTACTGACCTCTCTTTCTAAAACTCCTCTAGTGAAACCCAGTTACGCAGCAGATTAAAGAAATGGCGAGTCACTAAGCCATCGCGTCAAACACACAAGAAGCCTCAGGCCCCAACACGTTCCAAGCATGATCCAGATACCGAAAATAACAAAAAACGTCCATCCTCGCCGCGGCCAAAGGATCCCCAACCACCACCGCCCTCCTTTACTGAAGTGCCGTCGTTGACGACTGAGTGGACTTTGAGCCTTCCCGTCTATACGCAGTCCAAGTTGTCATTGTCGGCACAGCCGTTGACCCCGAGTCCTTCGTCAGGGCAACAGACTCGGGCTGCCACTTCCTTTACAGATCCGAGTCCCCATGCTTCCTTTGCCGACCCATGTCCGCATGACAGCCCTTTCAACCAAACGTCTTCGGTGAGCGAGGGCCTCATTTTTAATACTCCTACCTGCGCCTATCCGACCCCGGGCTATCCACTTTCTCCCGACCCGTGCTTTGCGAGCCCGGACACAGCTCTTGCACCACCGGGAATCGCATGGCCTACCCGTTCTCTGTCCGTCGACTGCGGTCTCAACCCTGCCGTGAGCGCACCATCATGGTACTCTTTGACCGTGGGAGCCATCACTCCCCCGCCTGGTGTATCCCATTCCGCCGCTCCCCTAAGCGCCCCGATAGCAGGACAGATGCATGTCGTGGGTCCTCCAACTCCGGATCAAGTTTATTCACATCCAGTCACTCACTATCAGAGTGAAATGCCTGGATTTGCGCACGGCTACGCCGAACCAAGGATATAGAAACGCGCCATGTCCCTGCAGTACAACCAGATGCCGGGAATGGAGCCGCAACAAGCAGGCTTGCAGTGCGTGTCAGGCTTTTATGTTAGCCAGAAACATCTGGTGCAAAAGGCTCCAGGTGTCAGATACTAGTTTTCTGTTTCTTTCTTTCTTTTCCTGTGGATGTCTGTCTACATATGGGTGGCTATGTGTTTTGGTTTTGTGTCTTCAGCAGACGGCGTCCGAGGGTGGTTCCTGTGATTTACTTGTCTCTATACCCGCTGGGCTTTTGCCTTTACTGTTACTATTTATTGAATTAACTACGAAAAGTTGAACTATTGCCAAGAATGCTTAAGTTATCCGAGCCGCAACCTCGGCATCTTTTCCACGCGGGGAACAACCAACGCCAACTCCGCATTCTTTCAACTTCTTCAACTATTTATTATTCCAGACGATACTACTTGGTTTGTCCTGGGACTTCAACTCATTCACAATGAAAGCGGTGCAAATCAGTGAATACGTCAAGGTACGCCGTCGGGATCCCCAAATTCCATCTCCTTCAGCTGGGTAGCTAAAGGACCTCAATCTAGGGTCCCCTGGACCTAAAGGTCAGCGACGTCCCAGCACCAACCCCGTCGCCGGACAAATACTTGATTGAGATCCACTCCGCGGGAACCAACTTCTTCGACATCCTCCAAATCCAAGGTAAATACCAGCACCAGCCGCCGCTGCCATGGGTGGGTGGCATGGAGTTTGCCGGCACGGTGCTCGCCACGCCGACGGCCTCAAAGACACCGTCAAAGTACCGCGTCGGTGATCGCGTCTTTGGCGCTAACCAGGGTGCGTATGCGACGCATGTCCTAGCGGCTGAGCAGACGCTGCTCCCTGTTCCGAACGGGTGGAGTTTCGAGGATGCTGCGGGACTGTTTGTTACGGCGCCGACTTCGTACGGCGGTCTTGTGCACCGTGCCGGTGTCAAGGCTGGAGATTGGGTTCTGGTCCATGCTGCGGCAGGTGGTGTCGGTCTCGCTGCTGTGCAGGTGGCCAAGGCCAAGGGCGCGACGGTGATTGCTACGGCGGGCACGCAGCGCAAACGTGAGATTGCGCGGGAGTTTGGCGCAGACTATGTGATAGATTACCGGGAGAAGAATTGGCCAGAGGAGGTGAAAAAGTTGTGCGCGGCACATCGTACGGGCAATGGCAAGGCGGGTGTGGATATTGTCTATGATCCCGTCGGCATGATCGATGCCAGTCTCAAGTGTGTAGCGTGGAATGCGCGCTTGCTGGTGATTGGATTTGCGGCCGGAAATATTGAGAAGGTCGCGCTGAATCGGGTGCTGCTGAAGAACGTGAGCCTGGTCGGCTTGCACTGGGGCCAGTATGCCCGGTTCGAGACCGAGGCTGTGGGAACTGTCTGGCAGGGGATCTTTGATCTGGTGGCCCAAGGCAAATTCAAGGGGACGGCCTTCAAGGATGAGAGCTTTTTTGGTCTGGAGAGTGTGCCGCGGGCCCTGCATGCGCTGGGTAGTCGCGAGACCTGGGGCAAGGTTGTGGTGAATGTCGTGGGTGACAAGAAGGCGAAGAGCCGGCTGTGAGGCAGATGTCTTACGTGTATGTATGTATATACGGAGATCAAGTAACATAGATTGGAATTGAATATAGTAAGTAGTATGTAGGTGCGCAAGGAGTCATGCTCTCGTAGAGATTGAGTGGAAACTCGAGCAAGTGAAACATGAACTATGAAGGCCCTGTTGGTAGTCTTGCTCTGGCAACATGGACAGCAAGGTCCGCTCGCAATCCAGCTCCAGTCAGACACAGCCACAAGACGTGGAACTTGTGTCGACCGTCCTAGGAAGGGTCCGTGGAATGTCCGGTGGGACGGGGACAGCTGGATGGAAAAGTTGCGGATGACGTGGTCCGGGTATTCAGTCCGTTAGTATTTACTACAAAATAAAATGATAAATGCAGAATGCGTCATTAGATTCTGGACAATTGTGAATAGTGTGGTGCTGAGGAGAGAGGTTGAAGGAAGAAGTTAGCAGTTGAGACGGAGGAAAATTGACGGGCGGGTCGGATTTATTTATCCCCGGCAACCCTAACTAACAGAGAGGAGAGACAAGCAAGAAGATTATTTTACATTTCCCCTGTCAATAATGTCTCTCATGCATCTGCACCGTCGTGGTCCAGCTTTGACAGCACTGTTTACTCATGGTATGCCCACACCAGCAGCATTGCAACCCATAAGGTTGTTGGGAAAGAGGTGATGAGCGCCGTGGCAGAGCCGGTGAACTAGGCATGTCGATAAACGGCTGATATGACTCTGCCGGCATGTCGTGCCAAAATTGACATTGGCAACAGATTACAATGATCTTGGCAAGAACTTGATCCTTTTGTTGCAATTTCAGGGGCTTCCGCCTCAGGACATTCACAGGGCCATTCAGTGGAGAGAGTAGGCCGCTATGCTCGATAACCGTGTATCCATTCTTCATAGAAGTGCCGGGAGCAGGGCTTTGTGACTGGGTGTCAGGAGCCCGGGTCTGCACAGCGCAAGGATGTGATATGGGCGAATCCGGGGCGGCTTCATCGGCAGTGTCGTAATCGGAGCGGGACGAACTGAGAGATGATGAACGGCTGCGTGTCTTGTTTGGTTCATCATGGTTTCGTCGAAATGATCCCTCCCCGGAATTTTCGTTTGCAGTGCGATACCTTGGTGTTCCATTGGTCATGCTGGATGGGTGCTTCTTTGTCAAGCGGCGCGAATTTCTGTCGTAGATGCCACTATCCAGTCGGGCTTGGGCTTCTTCTAGGTGTAGTAGCCTTTTTTCGAGCTCTCTTCTTTCTGCTTCCAGGTGTCGCGTGGCTCGCTTCTCTTTGCGGGCTGTGTTGTTGTTCCAGGTTGGAGACGCGCAGATGTTGTTTCCGAACTGGTCGATATCTTTGGTTGTTTGGTCTTGACCCTCATCGTTCTCTAAGCCGACTGCAAGAGGTTGAATTGAGTTGGTCGGATTTGCGATAACAAGAACTGTGAGTTCCGTGGTGAATAGGGAAGTGAGTTGGGCTCTGCTTGATTCTGCAACGAGTGTCCTTGCGGAGATGTCACCGATGGGTTCTGGCCGTTGATCGGGAACCACATCATTGTTTCTAATTACGTTGAAGCTCTGTCGTCTCTGCGGATGGTCAGGACTTGATGGCACTCCATGGTTGTTAGTTAGGGGTTCCACCTTGTCTGACCGATCATGGTATAGAACCCGATGCATCTGCTCCGAGATCGACGATCGCCGTCGTCTGCAGGACTCGACTGACATGTTGAATTAGGCTGCGGCGATGGCACAGGCAGGATGGGAAGAAAGAGCAGGCAGGAGGAGCCATTGGAAGACAAAAACGAGGGAGAAAGAGAGAAGGGAAAAAGACAGGAATTCGAATCGCCACTGGTTGCACAACTAAGACCTGCATTGTTTGTTGTTCACACTCCAATCCTCCGTGGTTCCGAGTGTAATTATTACTGATCTACTTATAACTCCTCTAAGTCATTATAAATTCTGACTCTGAAATGAAAAAGAGGGAAGTCGACGTGACGGACACGAACAATGAATAAGATGCCTGAGGGGTCAAGATAGATCGATCTTGGCCTTTTAAGAGATCCGTAGATCGTCTGTACCTGAATCCAGCGGCGGTGAACTCCGGACTTGCTTCGTTCTAGAGAATCCGCGGTGGTCTGAAACGAAGAACCTCCTGCCTTATGAATCTTGTTTCCGTTTTGATTTCTTGGGGGTAATCTGGAAACCATGGATCAGAATTCAGATCCTCAGATGGGGCGGATGGCGAATCAGTATCATGAATTGAAAGTGCTGCCGATTGACAATATATTCTCGCTACTAAAGATATAAAAAGCGTCGTCCTTACCTTTGCTGTGTTCGTTACAGCGATTTCAGGCCGCGATCAGGCAAATACGCTACGTTATCCCCATCCGCTCATTCCCAAACATCTGTCGTGGGTGAGGACTTGCAATTAGATTAGTATAGAAAGCCCGGGGGAGAGTGAAGACGGCTCAATTTTTATAAGTTAGTTAACTACGCGCAAGTAAAAACCGACGAATGACGCCCTTGGCAAGCGTGCGGGTAATAGCATCCGCATGGAAATACAAAACCTACGAATTCCACCTATCACTAATCATAGCCACGTACCGAAATACCACTGAACCACCATGTCAGCTCCACCCAGCTACGACGAGTCCCAGGCCCAGCACAAGGCACCCCCTTATCACAACTGGCAAGAGGCCATCCCAGATACGGCGACCTTCCCCCCGCCGCCAGTGTCGGGTTACTACGCTTCAGGCACAGGAAATGCATCCAGCGACGATGCGGATCGGGCCCATGCTTTCTGTGACAACACGCCCTTGTGGAAGCCTGTGAGGCCCTCACCTGCCGTATATCGCGCGGTGCAAGAGTATGACATCCGACCTGTGCAGCCCCGCGAGCTCAGTGGGTGGGTTGTTCCCCAGCCCCTGCCGGCACGCGAATGGAAAGGAGCAACTGCAGACCGGAATCGCGACTGTGCGATTTTGACGCATCTGCCTCTCTACTTCGCCGCGGTGGACTCGCCGTTTGAGCGAGAAACAAGCAAAACCATCTATTTCGAGGTGACGCTACTTGGTCTGCGCACCGTGCCTGGTGCAGACCAGAGCGGATTTTCCATCGGCTTTGCCGCGCAGCCCTATCCCTCGTGGCGCTCCCCCGGCTGGGAACGAGGAAGTCTGGGAGTCTGCTCTGATGATGGCTGTCGCTTCGTGAATGATTCATGGGGCGGGCGAGATTTCACCACTGCGGTCAACGTCGGTGAAACCGTTGGCATCGGCATGGTGTTTACTCTGCCGGACCAGATAAGTGCTGACTCGAACGACCAAAGGAGATGCGAGGCTAAAGTGTTTTTCACTCGCGACGGACGAAGGGTAGGGGAGTGGGATCTGCATGAAGAGGTGGATGCGGAATCTGGGAGCGTCGAAGGCTTAGAAGGAGACTATGATCTGTACGGGGCCATTGGTCTGTTTGGGGGCGTTGACTTCAAGGCCTGCTTTAGCCCTGCAGGTTGGCGCTGGAACCCCTAAGGGGAAATGATGGATATTTGCATAGGGCTGAAATTGGCGCTTCTGACTGTTTGCCATACAAAATATCTCTGGCGATTTTGGTTCAAACTGCGCTGGCTTTTAAGCTCGAGTCTTTCCTCATTGATGGGGGTTTGGGGCTTTTATATCAAGAATGAATGCAAATCAATTATTGCTATATCCAACGGTCAAAAAGAGTCCTGCTAATGACTCTAACCAGCTGCACAAGCTCCTTCATCGGACGCATTCCGATTCTAGAAACGGTGGGCCCAACTGCCCCCAAAGCTGTGCGCATTAGTGCCTTCGGGGGGAAGCACGAGGTGCAGTTCCGTGATGCGTCAAACAGTTTCATCGTATGCACTGGAGGCAAGAAAGGGTAAGTGCTCATGCAATCCATAGCCAGGATGCATGAACAGGGCTTGGATGGTACATCGTAGTAGTATGTATGCAATACTACTTTTTTGACGTCATGAAGGAGGGGCCATTTGGACTTTACGGCCAGGCAAATGCTGATGATGATTAAGACGATGACTGAATAGAAGCGCAACACGAGGCTGAACCTTTCGGCAGGAATGCGAGTGAAATCCGAGCCAGTGGTGGTTTTCTGGGCAGCGCCTTGACCTACAGTAGTTGCATACCATGCGCACTGACAGATACGCTCGGGCGTCCTGGGGAACCGTGTGAGGAGAAATCAGCATCGACCGGTAGGAGCGTCGTGCTGACAAGAGGTATCCTTGCCCAGTAATGTCGCTCGCAACAGGTGTATAAGTCGCCGAGGGTTCGCCCTATTACCAGTCTCGGTAACAGATAACTAGGAACTCGCTGTTATTATTAAGTAAAGAAAAGTAAGCAAAACCGAGGAGCCCCGAGCTCGGGCATAGACCGAGCTACGACTGCAAGCCAATGCAGTAGATCCAGACAATAGTAGGCGGCGTGGCTGCAGCTAAAAGTTGGGAAAAAGCTACCGAACCCCTACGCCCAATCGAACCGGCTCATCAGCACGGCGCTCGCAGGCCGTTTCCACCAGATCGTGCCGTCTGGGCCTGTCTTGATGCGACACGGTAGGATATCACGACATCCAAGTCAGACATGGTGGAGCGGAGTTGTTTTCAGGCAGCCCAAGAGGGGGGGCCGGTCTCCGAAGATGCCCCCAGACGCCCCGATCCACCAGCGTTACTGCGCTTGTAACGCACTACCATCACGCCCCACTCACGGGAAGACGATCTGGATTGTGCTTCTGCTCGCAACACAACTTCGTGGGGGTCGGAGTGTATGTAAGCCGGTTCGAGGGCCTGGCGATGCAGCTGGAGTGGGCTTCTTTTCGTCTCATTCTACTGGGGGGATCAATCAGTCCGGGGTCCCTCATAAGTAATGGATTGCATGAGAGGGGAAGACCTGGCTTGCATCTGATCGACCGTTCGAGCTGCATGTCATCCGTCTTCCGTTCTTGACAGTTGGACGCCGTTGTCTGAGTGGCCACTCCGCCGACGGTGATATAATCACGCTTCCCCCCACTTCAAGTGCTACTTTTTTGGGAGGGGGGAGAATTTGGCCGAAGCAGATCAATGCGTTGAGGAAACTAAATCCCACAAGACACCAGGATGTAGTGGGAAAATATGGTTATTATGAGTCAGTGGAGCCGGGGCTGACCTAGTGTCCGTGCAGCCGAGAGAGATTGTGAGTACGCGTCGGTTTCACTCGAGCACTGCTCTCTCGAATAATCTGACTCTGGAGAGACGGGCACCCGACCGTCTGGGCGGAGGACACAGTCAGCCCTTGCCACAGCGGAGCAAAGTACCGGATTGCGCGGCATTATGGCGGTTGCCTGAGGGTCTTCGTATTTATGTCGTGCGGCATGGATAGGGCATCCCAATGAGGCCTTTTGCAGATGCGAGCCATGGGCAGCCCGCTAGGGCTGCCCAGCACGAGGGTCGTTAGACGCCAAAGCGACTGGCGCGCAACAGCCCCCGGCCAAGCAAGACTGGGTTGGTCATTATTCCTGGGTTTCGCCAGAAAGGAAGGAGTCTTGCACGAGACCCTGTATTCACTCCAGGGAACGTTGCCTTTTTTCCCGCCCCGTGGTAGCCCATGTTTTGTTTCATCCCGTGTCAACCCTAACGCTCCCCCCACCAGTCACGAAGTACTAACAAGGAAGTGAAAGCAACAGCGGCTGCACGGGTGTCCACGGGATATGGCGATCGTCGCTAGGATTACCGCTTTCCCCTAGGTCCTCATGCACACGACCTCTGAAGAAACAATAGAGCTAATCGGATGGTGATCGCTGATAGTTATGTATGTACTAGACATGACCAGGGCGGGCCTCTCTCTCCACGCACGCGTTTTACCCGATTACAGAGTTAGCCCGTCGATGGTACCTGCGACAGATAAGAGCGAACATGGTATTTTTGGAAATACTTTGCCATCCAGCTGATATGGTCGAGTAACTTTTGCCCCCCCTCATTTGCGTTCGCCCTCGGGCCATCGGCATCCACGTAGGCTGGAATGTATTGGGCGAACTTTATACCCTAATAATAATCCACCCCCCTCCCTCGCTACTGAAGCTGATTTTTGCTGGGGCTGATAATAATAATAATAATCAGTCATAATAATCGTTCGCAGTATTACCTATTATTACACTCATACACCACTCCACTTTGTCCATGCCATGTCACTCACTGCATGGGCCGCCGCCAATCCGTCTCCACCGTCGCCTGCCTCCATCTAGATCCAGGGTCTCTGACGCACGAGGCAAAACTACACCTGCAGCATCCTCAAAACGACAATAATCATAAATTCCCTGCATGTGCTGACTCCTACTAATACTACAAGCCCTGGTTGCCTCGCCACTTCTCTTTCCTTTATCTTTTCCTTTTCTCTCTGTTCCTGTTCTCTGGGCTGGTAGAGGAAGCATTGTCTTCTCGACATTCGTTCTCTTTCCTTCCTCTATCTCTTCCACCAGCCCATTTGCAGGACCGCCGGGCGGAGACTCCCGGCCAAGTCAAAATAAGGTGCGCAAATTTTTTTTTCTTTTCAAATTAGTACTCGGTCTGACTTGGTAGGTGGTTCAGTGGATATCCTAATTGGAAACAGAATCCCAAAAAATCCCACGGGGAGAGGGCAGTAAAAACAAACAAAAAAACCATGGCTTTTCCCTTTCTGCGGGCCTTCATCGCGCTATTGTGAGTTCTGAATACCATCGGAGTATAACGTCCGGGCTGACACCAGCAGCGTGTACCGCTATTTCCGCCTCGTCGTCAATTTGATTTCCTTCTGGACGTTTAAGCCGATTCCGCCACCGGAGAACCCGAAACTGACCTCGCAAGATGTCTCGGTAATTATTCCCTCGCTGGAGGGCTGCGGCGATGAGCTTTTCGAGACGGTCCGGACCATCCTCGACACTCAGCCGTTCGAGGTGCTGCTGGTCACCATCGAAGCCAATCGGAAGAAGGCCGAAAAGATGTTGAGTGCGATGCCAGCCTCTAAATCCCGAATCCGATTGTTCACCGTCACGCATCCCAACAAGCGCCGGCAGATGACAAGAGCCATCCCCGAAGTGCGGACGGCCATTACCATTCTGGCGGATGATGATGTGAGTTGGCCGCGGACGGTCCTGCCCTGGATCCTGGCGCCATTCGAGAAGGATGAGATGTATGGAGGCGTGGTGACCTGTCAGCGACTGCGCCGCGCCATTGCGCCGACTTTGTCGGAACGTATCTGGGGATTTCTCGGCGCTTTGTACCTGGAACGGCGCAACTTCGACTGCGGCGCCACAACTCATGTGGACGGCGGCCTGCCGTGTATGTCGGGACGGACTGTGGCCTACCGGACGAAGATCCTCCAGGACGAAGGTTTCACCTATTCCTTCACCAACGAGGAATGGTGGTGGGGCAAGTACCAACTCAATGCCGACGACGACAACTTCATTACGCGGTGGATGGTCTCGCATGGCTGGGAAACCTACATGCAGTATCACCCGGAGGCAGAGGTGCTCACCACGCTCGAAGACAACCCGCGGTTTTTGAAACAATGTGCCCGCTGGTCGCGCAGCAATTGGCGCAGCAATCTCACCAGCATGTTCCATGAAAAGCATATCTGGTAGTAAGTTTTTTCTCCCAGTTCAGCCCCAATGGATCTATCTTCCTTTCCAAGCCACGGTCTATACCACACCAGTCTCCCTGCCGCGGGCATCCCTACCCGTTGAGAGGGGCTCCGTGGAGGCGAGGGCTTGGGAGCGTGAGTGATCCGGCACGACCACAGCTTTTCCATAGATTTTCTTCCGAATGGGACCGACGTCTCGCTTCCGCCGCTCGCATGCTAACGGATTCTACCCATCTAGTCGGCAACCATGGAGTTCCTATGCCGTTCACTTGACGACCTTGTCCCCTCCGGCTCTTCTGGGCGACCTGCTGCTGGTTTGGCTGTGCCATAAGGCAACCGGCCCATGGGGAGATGTCTCCCACAGCCGGGCCATGACGGCACTGTACCTGTGGATGTTCACTAGCAAGTGGATCAAGCTGCTTGGTCACTACATCCGCTACCCGGTCGACGTGCTGCTACTGCCCGTATCGATACTGTTTGGGTATTTCCACGGCATCATCAAGGTGTACGCGGTGCTCACTCTCAATGTGGTAAGTGTCTCGTTCTACTAGTTCGCGCACGTCCCCCCGGTCCTTGTACGCTTGGATCACAATTCTCCTCCCTCGCCCTCGTGCAGCTGGACCTTTACCCACTGCGCCGGCCGATCGGTTACGTTGTGCGGCGTTGATTCGGCATTGCTCCTTTCCTGTCATCCCTCGACCAGTGCTTTCGAATCTGATGGACATCGCTGACGTGCCTTTTTGTTTTTTCCCCAGACCACATGGGGTAGCCGTGATGGTGCAGATGATTACGACGCCGAGCGCATGAAGAAAAGAACCGATCTCGACCGCATGAAGCAGCCCTATTACCCTAGTTTCCTCACCAAATAACCAATCCGACTGTCCAGAGACGATTCCTTATCCTGAGGGAAGCTTCCCCCTCCTCGTTCCTTGCCACCTGTTGTCCATGCTGTCCGGCTTGGCATGTTGACGACGCCATGCCCTAACGACAATTGCCACTTTGCTTGCAGCTCTTTCTAGATGTGCCCCGTCCAGCGCTTGATGTTCTACGCTGCTATTTATGGCTTAGCATTTGGATTTTCGTTTTTCCCCTCTCGTTTTCTGCATATTTCCCGCATCTGTCTTGTCGCCGATATATCCGGAGACGGTTCTTCACTTCTGTACCAGCTGTGTGCCCATGCTCCTTTTTCCTCTTTTTCTCTTCTCTGCACATCATGGCTGTCCAAAAAGGTGGTCGCTTTTGAGCCTTTGAGTCTTTTCTATTTGTAAATTACAAAAGCATGGGCGGATGTCGTCGTTTTGCGTCTTCCTGTTCCTTTACGCTTTGTTTTTGCTGCTGTGGTTTTGAATGTACCGAGTTCTCCGTTCTTGATCGCATTCCATTCCGTCTGATCTAGATACGTGATTGAAGGCTATTCTGCTTTTTGATTGTTTCTAATCTTCAATAATTCACCTGCCAGACGCTGATCACCGTGTCATCGTGCATGGGCTTGATGCGATTGTGCAGCGCCACTCGTACCCAACTCGGACTGTCTAAATGGGCGAGACCTTGCTAGCGTCGTAAAAACGGGCCATATTAGGTGGTAGTAACTGCCTGTTCGGGTGTTCGTACCTGCACGTAGTTTGGTGGTTGGGGCGATCGGGCCGAGACTGACGGGACTGCATCACTAATCGTCGATTTCTCTCTTCTTTCTCTCTCACACTTGGCGCACCACAAACACACATCAACCAGAACCACGACGACTTCTACAATCCTCATCCATTCACTGTTCTTGACTCCGATTATCGCACATGGCAACCCTCCCTCGCACGGCTGCATTGCCGTCGCGGCTCTTCTCGTCTGCCCGGCTCAATGTCTCGCGTTGCCGGCGCATCCATTCCTCGCCCGTAAAAGCAGCAGTTGCACACCCAGCCACGGCCCATGGCCCACCTCCGAAAGCTCCGGCGCCATCATCAGAGTTCAAGAAGCATCAATCACCACCGGAAACCTCAGAGTCCGCAGAACCAGCCGCGGAGACACCCAATCCCGTGAAGCCTACCAGCGCGCTGAAAAAACGGTTCTGGAAGGATGTTCATGTCCATGGGATGCCAGGTACGTCGTGTCTGTTGGTGTCGGGACAGTTGCACGCTAACCGACCTCTTCCCTTGTCCAGAGGAATACCAAGTTCTGCTTGACAAGCGTCCCGTACGAACGCCCACCAAAGAAGTCCTCTCCATTCCTCCCACGAAGCCTCACCTTGCACATGCGATCGCCCTCGAGTGGGATGTGATGACCTCTGCCCACCAGGCACTCAAATCTCATCTCATTCCCTTGACTTCCCTGTCTGCTCGCGCGGCCGACATTGCGCGCGAAGATGCTCAGGGCCACACCACCACCCGAGAGCAGATCATCAAGACGGCCATGCGTTACCTTGAAACCGACACACTACTATGCTGGGAGCCGGAGCGGGAAACCGGACCGACCCATCTACTAGAGAAGCAGGAGACCGGGGAACGAATTGAGACTCTACGGGAGATCCAGGTACGGGTGGCCAAGGAGATCATGAGTTTCTTGTCTACGAAGGTATGGCCGGGTCTGGATATCAAGCCCATCCTCGACAGCGACAGCATTATGCCCGTGTCGCAGCCGCGGGGGACCCGGGACAGCATTCGTATCTGGATTGCGGAGCTCTCAGCGCATGATCTGGCGGCGCTGGAGCGGGGGTTCCTCGCATCCAAGAGCTTGTTGATCGCGGTCCGGCTCTTGGTGGAGTGGAGCGAGAATTTCCGAGCGCTGCAGCGGGTTGAGAAGAAATTCGGAATCGAGGAGGCGGCCGAGGCATCGAATCTGGAGGTTAAATGGCAGACGGACATGTGGGGCGAAGTCGAGGACACGCACGATGTCGACTGGGAGGATCTGAAGCGGCAGCTGGGCAGCGTGGTGGTGCTTGTGAGCGGCGAGCGGCGATAGAGAGAGATCCTTTTAGTACTTCAAAATGTATAGTAGAACAACCGGGTCCCTACATAATATGTGGTAGGAACTGCCAAGGCGGCGATCAAGAGGACCTTTTGCCCCCCCCAAAACACTAACGCCAACCCCATTACCACTGTTTCCTCCCTTTTCTCTCTCTCCATATTTCCTCCCAAGATCAGGCGCACCGTTGGAGCATGTCTGATAAACCCGAAGGGTGAGTCCTGCTTATTGCTGTGATCCCCATCGTTCGTGCGCTGCCAGACCGAGTCCTCCCCACATCGGGCTCGAAGGTTGTCGGTCGCTTTCTCCAGTCTCCAATCACCACTTCGTGTGTCTGCGCATGGACGAACTGGCGATCGCATCTCCCTACCTTTGCCCCCCTTGCGAAGCTCTGCTGACATGCCACCGTATCCTAGCCACAAACGCTCCCGCAGCGCGTTGGCACTCGCCCTGCTCCACCGGGACAAGTCCAGGGGTGAAGATAAGGACAGTGTCGACGACGACACCGACAGCCAGTCGATCGGCTCCTTGCCCTCGAGTGGCTCCTTGAGACACATGCGCAGCGCCAGTCGCCATAGTCGTCGCAAGCAGCATAACCTCGACACCAGCCCTGCTCGCGGCTCCTCCCTAGAACCCCTCGAACACGCAACCTCCAGCCAGAGCATGGACACGATAGAAAAAGTGCCCTCGATGCCTCAGATAGAGAGTGGCAGCATGTCTCTTGACCAGTCTGTTCGCACCTTTCGGTTCTTTGAGATTCTGCGCAGCGGAGACACCACCGCAATCTCGAAAGCGATCAAGGAGACCAAAGACCCACAGGCTGCGAACGCTCTATATGGAACTACGGCTCTCCATTTGGCGCTCCAGTGTGCTGAGCCCGAGGTGGTGGAATTTGTGCTGTCTTCCGCGGACGACGAGGATATCAACGCGCGGGATCGTGATGGAAACACTCCCCTCCACCTGGCCGCTCAGTTGGGGCGTGTTCCTCTGGTGCGTGACCTGCTGAGCCGGTCTTCGGTCAACGACGCGATCATCAACTATCGCGGTCAGATGGCCCTCGATGTCGCCCGCACGCCCGAGATCTTCCAGCAGCTGCAGCTGTCTCGGTCCCTGTTCATTGATTCCAAGACACAGGAGATCCAAGCACTGATTGCCAAGCGCGACTACGAGAACCTTGAGAAGCTATTGGAAGAGCCTCGGGTGGAAGGCATTATGGATGTGAACAGCCAGGAGCTCGTGACGGATCGGACTACTCTGCAGTCGGGTGGCACTCTCCTGCACGAAGGTGCCCGAAACAAGGACGGACAACTTATCCAGATTCTACTCACCCACGGAGCGGACCCCTTCCGGCGTGATAAGAAAGGGAAGTTACCCCAAGATGTCACCAAGGATGACAAGACCAAGGCGATTCTGAAGAAATCACCAGCCGCAGTCATCGCCCAGCGAGGCATTCAGGAGAAGGCAATTCTTGGAAACAACAATGCTCAGGGCCTTGCCGGGAGAGTTTCGATGGGTGAGGCGCCGCTTGCGGGTAAAGACGCTCGGGAGATGAAGGGATATCTCAAGAAATGGACGAACTACACCAGTGGTTACAAGTTGCGCTGGTTTGTGCTGGAGGATGGCGTCCTGAGCTACTACAAGCATCAAGGTAAGCTACTTATATCCAGACCAGACGGATGATGCTGATTTGTCTCAGACGATGCCGGCTCTGCCTGTCGGGGAGCGATCAACATGAAGATTGCACGACTCAGTATGGATGCGCAGGACAAAACTCGCTTTGAAATCCTTGGCAAATCATCGGTCAAATATCACCTCAAGGCGAACCACGTGGTGGAGGCAAAGCGCTGGTTTTGGGCCTTGAACAATGCGATACAGTGGGCCAAGGACGAGGCCAAGGAGGAAGAACGGCAGCGCACGAAGAATGCGGAGGTCCTGCGTCAGGCCAAAATTGATCAATCCGAAGGACGGGCACCGGACACTGCATCTGAATCTGGTCTCACCCGTAAACCCAGTGGCAAGGGTCTAGTACCCCCGGTGCCTGGTGGTAGTGAGAGTCTCAGCATGCAGGGATCTCGCACGACGCTTGATAGAGACGAGGAGAGTGTCTATGGTGGTTCGTATGAGCAAAGCACTGCACAGCACGACGTGAACCGAGTGATCAGCCATGTGACTACGGCGCCCGATGTCGACGGTGACGACGATGACTATGGCGACTATACCTCCAGCCGAGACATGCCCGCCACCGACAAAGATGCTCTCAATATCACCGCACAATCGGCCAAGCTTCAACTGGATCTCCTGGCCAATGTGGCTGCTTCATTGCAGGCTGAGAGGTCAAAGAATCCAGACATGACGATTGCAGACCCGGCAGTCATACAGGCTCTTGGTGCGTATGAAGCAGCCGTCAGCAGTCTGAAGGGCTTAGTGCAGAATCTACTCAAGATCTCGCGAGACCGAGACTCCTACTGGCAATATCGACTCAACAGGGAGGAACACCTTCGCCTGATGTGGGAGGAAAGCATGGCCCGAGTCGCTCAGGAGCATGAAGAGTTGCAGTCAAAGATGGGCGAGTCGGAAGAGAAGCGGAAACGAACGAAGAGAGCGCTGAAAGAGGCTTTGGAGGGTGCAACAGCCAGCAGCCGCTCCATCAGCGGCGCTCCCTTCCGCCTGCCGACGGAAAGCCAGAGTGCTATGGAAAGTAGCCAACCTGATGTCCGTACTCCGGAGGCAGAGGCCGAGACAAACCAGTTGAACGAACAGACAGTTGAACCCACCGTTCACCGAAAGCCATCTATGCTCTCCCAGATTAACAATTTGTACGATTCCGAGTCTGATGGGGACGAGTTCTTCGACGCTATTGACGCCGGCGAGATCGAGGTGGAGGACCTGACCAAGGTTGGGCCAAAAGATCAGGAAGAGCCGAAGAATGAGAGTGCTGAGGTCCGTGCCATCAAATATTCTGTCGTTGAACCATCCTTCCGGGGTTACGAAGAACCCATCCGAAAGCGGCTCAAGATGGACAATGACAATCGACCCAAGATTTCTCTTTGGGTAAGTGTTTTTCGTACCGCTCAAAAATAGGCGTAAAAAGCTCACACTTGTTGTTTCTAGGGCATCCTGAAGTCTATGATCGGCAAGGACATGACGAAGATGACTCTTCCGGTCTCTTTCAACGAGCCTACTTCACTTTTGCAGCGTGTGGCCGAGGATTTGGAATATACTGACCTTCTTGATATCGCTGCCGATCGATCCGACTCGATGGAGCGTCTGGTCTATGTGGCCTCGTACGCGGCAAGTGAATATGCCTCGACGATTGGACGTGTGGCAAAACCCTTTAACCCTCTACTTGGCGAGACTTTCGAGTATGTCCGGCCCGATAAGGGCTACCGGTTCTTTGTTGAGCAGGTCAGCCATCATCCGCCCATTGGAGCTGCGTGGGCTGAATCGCCCAAATGGGATTACTGGGTAAGTGTCGATGCTAGAACTTGAGGTCCATTATACTCACAACTGCACAGGGCGAATCTTCTCTGAAATCCAAATTCTATGGCAAGTCATTCGACATTAACCTGTTAGGCACTTGGTTTCTGAAATTGCGGCCCATCACTGGCGGCGAAGAACTGTACACCTGGAAGAAGGTCACATCATCCGTCATCGGCATCATCACCGGCAACCCCACAGTGGACAACTACGGTCTGATGGAAATTAAGAACTGGACGACGGGTGAGGTGTGTTATCTTGATTTCAAGCCACGAGGCTGGAAGGCGTCCTCCGCCTACCAAGTAACTGGACGTGTTGTCGACCGGGATGGCTCTCCCAAATGGAGTATCGGCGGCCGATGGAACGACAAGATCTATGCCCGCCACACCCCGGGCTTCGAGGCGCCGGTGTCTGGTCAAGACCCGGAATCGGCCAAGACATTACTTGTCTGGCAGGCTCACGAGCGTCCTACCGGTATCCCGTTCAACTTGACACCCTTCGTGCTCACGCTCAACGCGATCACCGAGAGTCTACAGCCATGGCTTCCACCCACCGACACTCGTTTGCGTCCTGATCAACGTGCCATGGAGGACGGCGAGTACGATCTTGCCGCTAGTGAGAAGCACCGTGTGGAGGAGAAGCAACGTGCCAAGCGGAAAGAGAGAGAGACCAGCGGTGAGTTGTACAAGCCCCAATGGTTTATTCGGGCTAGGGAACCGATCACCGGAGAGGAGTACTGGGCCCACAATGGCAAGTATTGGGAATCGCGAGACAACAAGGATTGGAGCCTAGCACATGACATCTTCTGAGGGAGGTTGTTTTACTTTTTTCAGGTTGTTTATTCGTTTATTTGTACAAGATTTTTTTTCTGATGCCACACATACATATCATTGGCTTGCATCGCATCAATAATCTGAAACGTTTTTCTTCGTGGTCATGATGCAGCGTGTAAAACACCCAGTAAATATTGCCAACGATCACGTGCCCTGCAAGAAGTCCCTAACACCAAAGCCGCATCCACTTCGTTGCTCTCCCACCCGCCATTCAACCATGACAGGTGGCTATACCTGTTCCCGGTGCCTTCAGGGCCTCCGGAAGGGCGCTCAAGCCTCAAGCCATCGCATTCGTCTCTCAAACCTGCCCCATTCCCGACAAAGGTGCAGCGTCTCTCCGTCTTGGGTCCGCAGCTTTGGCTCCCAACGCAATGGACGCTCACCGGGAACAACCTTGCCAGAGCAGGGCAAGGCTATCTCCGGAACGTCAGGCACGTCCTCAAAACTCACCCCGACACCCTCGCTCGCCCAGCGCGCTGCAGCCTCCACGACAGCCGGATCCTCCGTCGATACGCGAGCCCTCCTGAAACCAAACAACCTGTTCCACTCGTTCTCCAACTCGCCCGCTCCAGGCATCCGTCAGCGTGCGGAATTCATCAAGCAGAATGCCATTTGCCCTCACCCGAGTCACGGGCAGACCCGCGCCCCCGTCTCGCCGCATGATCCGGAAGCGCGCAAAACGAGCGACAACACAAGTCTTGCCCCCGCGCACTCTCACTTCGAATGTCCCGACTGCGGTGTTCCCATTTATTGTTCTGAAGGCCATTGGATGGACGATTTCGAGGCCCATCTCGAGATCTGCGACACTATTCGCCAGATCAACGAAGATGACCACGACCTGCATTCTGGTCGATTTTTCCCCGAGTTCTCGTACCCCGGCCTGCAGGATGAGAGTTTCGTGATCAACATGACCAACTGGGATACCTTTCTCTACACGCGCGAGTTCGATGCTATCAACTCCGATCGCAGCATGCGCCAGGTCACCCGCATGCTGACCTACCCGCAAACCATTGCTAGTGTCTTGCACGAATTGAGTCCCTACAGCTTGCGCAACAATGGGCGATTGACAGCGGAGGGCCTCAAGAGTGTAACCGGTACGTCGGAAGTCTTCCCAATTTATTTTTCGCATCTGCTAAATGTGCTTAGCTCTCCGCTACTCCCTGCATCCCCCCAAATCCGGTGAAGGCACCGACATGAAGGGCCTACGGCTCAAGGCTCCTCCAGTCCGAATCTTCATCCTTGGTGCCCGTGCCGAGTCTTCTCTCCCTCGCGAAGTGTGGCTCCAGTTACAAAACATCTTCCCGCGCGCAATGCTGCACTTAGTTTTCATCGGCCCCGAGAGCATGGCCAACCGCGATTCTGAGTTCCCGCTGCCCGAGCGCACGCCTGAGAATCCCTTCGGCGCCATCGTGGAAGATCGTCTGGGCGGCCAGATGAAGATCAGCACATACGTCGACTACTTCCACACCATGTACAAGGCGCAGTACTTTCAGCCGTTCGATCCCTACCTCGACTGCATCATGCTTTTCCACCCTGGCCTGGGTCATCCTGCTAGTTCGCACGAGTGGGAGGAGACGCTGCCCCAATTGCTGGAGACTAAAGTTCCCATCTTATGCACGGGTTATACGCAGTTCGATATGGAGCGCGATATCAACTGGGTTCATGAGAAATGTGCTGGCGAGTTTGATATGCTTCTTGAGCCAGGCGAGAATATCTTCCGCAGTCTGCGCTGGGATCTGAATGACCTCGATCCTCATGATATTTCTTGCGGGAACTGGGGATTGTGGGCTTTCCGAGGAAAAAGGTATGTTTTCTTGTGCGTTGGGTCATAGAAATGCCCACTAACTAGTTGATTGCAGATACGAGGCTACTTTTAAAGAGTAGGCGCAGCCGATTGCATTCTGTATGATATGTTGGGCTCTGGACTAAGTAGATTAGTCTGTTTAGTTCTGGCGGATGCAAGCTCTCCTCCGCTCCCCTGGCGTTCTGTATGATCTAGATCAAATAACTTTTGGATTCAAGTGTTCATTCATCATCGTACGATCTACGAGGGCCCATGCAAAGGCCCGAATACATAGCCCTGGCCAGGAAAAGTTTAGACAAGTACCAATAAAAAGTGGATTAAGTTCAATCCCTAAATGTACAAATACTGGGCCGCGAGATCATGGAAAACACCTCAAAAAAATAGTCAAGGTAAAAAGCTCGTCAGTCCTACACTCGTGAGATCAAAAGATGTATGACAACCCCAAGCGCCCGCAGTGATGCGCGCATCCCTGCAGAAAGAAGAAAAAAACAGGTTCCCCGTAGTCAAAGCATATAAAACATCGTAGCTTGGGTTGGCCGGATTGAACATGGGGAAGAGAAAGGAAAAGGGTATAGACTAGGCATCAGGAAGTCGGAGAACTCGTTAAAGATCACCGTGGCCCAGGGAAAGAAGTATATCAGTAGAAACAGCAGAATATGTGAAAAAGAAGTCAAAGAAACAGTCCCCCAGTGCGGGACCAAGGGCTTGCAAAGCCATCGTGCGTACAGCCACCGATTAAGGTGGCTTCTTGTGTGTCCACCTGTCCAACGCCCAGCCTGTCAAGGAAGAGATCTTCGAGATCCACCCGCGAGATCAAATATTGACACTCTTGTCAAGTGATGAGATGCGTTTACGCCAGCACAAATCCAGCAACGGCCATCGCACCAGCAACCATAGCGCCGGACAGCTTGAGCGACGAGGCGCCGTTGGCCGCGGTGGTATGCGTCGAAGCGGGTGGCGCGGGCGCGGGGGCCGAGGGGCTGACCTTCACGGTGACGGAGCTGAGAGGGGTGCTGGACACGAGCGGAGTGCTGGTGGGCGTGTGGGTGGGCGTCGGGGTCCAGGTAGGAGTTGGGGTGCTGGTCGGGGTTGGCGTGGGCGTGTAGGTCGCAGGCCACAGAGTGAGAGTCTTGTGCTGGGCTGCTGGGGCGACTGCCTGAGCGGCCTCGGCCGCGAAGGCGACGGGCGCGATGGCCGAGAGGAAGAACAGAGCCTTGGTGAACTGCATTATGGTGGTTGTGGTAGGAAGTGATGTTGTTTGTGGTTGTGAGACGTTGTTTACTCGCCGGAATGTGGGAGAGAGACTGAGTGAGTGACTAGGGCTTCTATAGAAAAGAATGCGGGCCCAATGGGAAGTTAAAAGAATGGCACTGTTTGGAGCGAGTCCAAAGACAGGAAAAATGATGGTATATGATGGGATGGGAGAGAAGAGAAGGAGAAGTGAGAAAGAACACAGAGCGAGAGGAACAAGTGGGTTTCAGGGGGAACGAGATTGTTAGGGGCGGTGCCTAACCTGTTTGGGCTGGTGCGGCGGTAATCAGGTTACATAGTTGGTATTGAAGGTTTTAGGGAATGTTGATACTAATATGACAACTACCACTCCTGTCTGTATCATCATCATCATAGCCATGGCAATTAACAACAATCAAGCAAGGGTATCCAGCCATTAATTCATCATCCATCCCATCCGCAGTAGACTAAATACCCCACACCGCAGCGGCCACAACAGCCACCGTGACCAAATAACCGCCCAGATGCGCTGGCACCGTGGCTGCGGGCGACGCCCCGGATGCCGCCGTGGTCCCGTTGGGCAGCGTGCCATTGATATAGATGGTCGTGGTGCCATTGACATCCAACACGCGCACATTGGTCGAGTTCTCAGGCCGGTCCCCGTGGAAGAGCGAGGTGTAGTAGGTCTGATTTTGGTTGTCGCCGCAGCCACACTCGCTGTACTGTGCGCACACGCATTCCACGGGGTACGACTGGTCGTTGTACAGGTAATTGTGCGGATAAGGGTAGAGGTAGTAGCTGGCGCCGAGCGCCAGCCAGGCGCCCCCCAGGAAACCCAGTCCGGCGCCGGCCACCAGGTGAGGGCTGATGCCACCGGATGTTTTGCTGCCGGAGCGATAGGGCGTGGCTGCGCCCCCGGCATAGTAGCTACCACCACCGTACTTGGGCTGGACGCCGGAGCCGTGACTCGTGCTGCCGCCCAGGTTGCTGGACGAACTCGTGCTTCCACTGCTGCTGCTGCCCCCACGACTGCTGCCTCCACTGCTGCTGCTGCTGCTGCCGGACGAGCTCGTGCGTCCTCCACTGCTACCTCCGCTGCTAGCGTGCCCTCCGCCGCCACCACCACCACCCCGTCGCTTCTCCAGATCAATCAGATCCGAAGTCTCCGGGTTGGGGTCCGCATGACGCGCGACGAGATCATTCAGGTTGGGGATCGATAGGGACGTGACCCCGGAGAGAAGCAGGAACGCGGGTACCCAGGAAAGCTTCATACCGACCGACGAAAATATAGAGTTATAGGATGTGTCAGAATAGGCGATGAAAGAGAAACCCGGGGAAGAATGAAAGTGGTGGCTGTTGGACCCTTTTTACGAGTAATCTCGTATCCCGATTGTGGCTCAGCGGCCCCTGACAACCACTGGAACATACAACACAGCCTCTTCCGCGCTCAATATGGCCTAGTCACCCACGGGCGTCCATGGCACCGCCTCGATGAGATTCCACGGCCTTGTTCACACCGAGATTATTATTACAAGGAAGAAAGAGTTTTTATCAACACCTGTCCAGGTAAATTGATCTAGATCTAAAGGTATAATAGTTAATTAGCGAGGATGTTTTATCCAGGCTACCCAATTCCGTGCTCGCGATTGAGAGCACTCCCAACAATCATCAGACAATACAAAGCCAATAAGAAAAAGAAAAAGGTATCTGATAGGAAAAAAGGGCAGTGATTGACCACCATCACATGCCGACATAATGACCATGATCATTCAAATAGCAAGGAAATAATATAGACATGCGAGGATCGAGGCACTCGACTATCCATCAGAGTGTCTCCTGCGTTCCGTCTCCAGGATGGAACTCCGAAGCAAATCATAGCCCGGACGCAGATGACACCCCGTATGTATTTAATCAGAGGCATGCTTCTCGTCGCTATCGCCACTGCTCGTGGCGATCTCCACCTTCTCGGCTTCAGAAGCGACGTGCAGGTCCTGGATATCCAGGCCCAGCTCTTGCTGCATTTGAGCGATCTGTTCAACGGAGAGCTTGGGCAGCTCCTGCGCAACCTGGTACGGCCACTTCTTCTCGATGTGGGCCTTGGCGAAGATGATGTCAACCTCCTCCAGATCACGGCCTGCGGTCTCAACGTAGAAGAACCAAGCAAAAGGAATGGCGATAAAGTTGACCAGGGCGAAGAAGAGATAGATACCCCAGGGGCTGGCGGAAGAGAAGACGGGCGTGAACATGACCACGGCGAAGTTGGTAATCCAGTTGGTGCAAGTAGAGGCCGACGCCGCCATGGTACGGGTGCGAAGCGGGTTGATCTCGGGCGGGTAGATCCAGGGCAACGGCAGAGTCGTGAAGGCGAAGAAGACGATGAACAGGAAAATACCGACGACGGCACCCTTGGAGTTCTGCTTGTTCGCATCAATCAGGCAAGCCATGGTGATGATGAAACTGGAACCTTGACCCAGGAAACCGATCAAAAACAGGTTGCGGCGGCCCACCTTCTCGATCATGAAGAAGGAGGGGATCGTCGCCAGAGCGTAGACCGTGGCGAAAACACCGCCCAGGACCAACGAGAGCTTGCCTTCCATGTGCAGGTTCTGCTGGAAAAGCAGTGTCGAGTAGTAGATGGCGGCGTTGCAGCCCGTGAACTGCTGGAAGAACTGGCCGGAGCAACCGATCATCATACGCTGGAATTCCTGAGTCTTGCCGAAGGTGAACAGCTGCTTCCAGCTGGCCTTGTTGCCCTCGGTGGCCTTGAGATCAGCCTTCATCAGGTTGAAATCCGCGAGCACATCCTCGGCGTCGGGCTGGCTATCGTTGAGCATGGCCAGCACCTCACAGGCCTCCTTGTCATGGCCTCGCATGACAAACCAGCGCGGGGACTCGGGCAACATGAGAGCGCCGACGCTCACCATGATGGCGAAGACAATCTGGAAGGCGACCGGGAAGCGCCACTGGGCCGATGTGTTCACGTACGAGAGACCGAAATCGATCCAGTAGGCGACGAAGGTGCCGACGGCGATGATGGCACCCTCGAAACAGACGAGGAACCCACGGTTGTGAGCCTTAGAGCACTCGGACTGCCAGACGGGAATGGTGGCCGTATCCATACCGTTTCCGACACCGGAAATGACACGGCCGATGACGAACTGGCCTAGACCCCACTGGGGGCCGAAAGCAGCGGAGGAGATCACGGTACCGAGAATCATTAGGAGGCCACCGGCCACCAGCAAAGGCGTACGGCCAATGCGTTCGCCGTAGGTGAGGGTGAAGATGGCACCAAAGAAACAACCCAGCTCATAACAGGAGGTCACTGCACCGCGGAGGACTGAGACATGGGAGAGGAGGGTCGGGTCGGAAGGCGTGGCCAGCGGCGGGAACTCCTTAGTGAACATGGGACCCGAGATGATACCAGACATCAAGCCTTGATCATAACCGAAGAGGGAGAAGCCTACGACGGAGGTGAAGGTGATGGCGAGACGGAGCTTGCGGCCCCGCAAGCCGGATGCGTTTGTCCACATGTTGGACGGTTGATAACCTTGACCACTCTACCCAGGAGGGACAAGAAGGATAAAAGAGGGAAAAGATATAACACAAAAGGGTGTGGGGTGACACCTTTTGTACTATGTATTAGGTATGAGAGAAAGGAAAGTAGGGGATGCAACGTCAACAGTATCCGGGGGAGGGCAGCATCCCCCTCCTTTATAGATCTCGCAACCCAACCAACCCCGGCGAAAGAGAAAAAAAGAAAAGAAAAAAAATGCAACCACTTCCACATGCGAGTGGAGATCGCCCCCCCGAACCAAGGCGCTGAAAATTCCGGGACTACTGTAGTGGGGCGTGGCGGAGACGGCAGGATTGAGTGGGATAGTGATTGGTGCAAGGGACGGGTTACTAGCCTCTTTGAGGGAATCTATAGGAGTACGAGGACTAATCGTGGTGGTAGTGAATAATATCATCGTTCGTTATTCGAATATTTCAAAGCACAGTGAAAAGAGAATACAGTTGGTCTGTATAGATCGAGGCCTAGGTAGAAGACAGTCCGCGCAGTGAAGGAAGTGCGGGTGCCCCGGACTGCTCCCCGTCCCGGCCGAGTTGCCTGTTTTTCCCCTTGGCCCCCCCCCCCGGCCATCTCCCCCGGCTGACCTACGCTCCCCGGCTTTTCTCCGTTCCCGCACTCGCCTTCCTTCCCGATACAATGAACAGGTACATACTTCATTGTTCTTTGCATCCTTCCCGATTGATTATTCTTAGAACTTCCCTCCCCCTCCTCCCGGCCCTCTCTCAGGGTTCGTGACCTGTCATCCTCTGCGCCCGGCCGATAATAGAATCGGGGGGTCTCCGCCCCTCTTATTTCACTGCGTGGAGCCTCATGAGCCGCCGACGACTCAAACGCCAGCGTTGTGACCCCCAAGTGACGACGCTGGAGCCGCGTGGCGGCATACCTTCTACGTCCGACCAGCGTCATTCGCTGCCGAACTCCTAAAGCAGCCGCTTGGCACGCAATAGTGGGTCGCTACGGTGGGTCGGTGGGAGTCCCTGAGGTTAAGGCGTGTGTGGCGTGACGACCCATGGTGCATGCCGTACTTTCCTCTTGCGGCTCCGACCAGTGCCCGGCAAAGGAAAGTATGCCGCCTTCGGACCAAAAGCCACAGCCGCTGCTCATCGGAAGTCAATCTCATCTGGTGCCACGGTGGCGGCGGTGCGCTGCGACAGGGCGCAACACATCACGGATCGCAGCAGTGGGATGATTGATCCTCAGTGGCCGATATTCTTCCTAGTCTCGCTTGCCCTACCTGGAACGAAAAAGACCAACAGAACGCACAACTTTCCTGGTGATGATCCACCAGCCCGGTGGAGCTCACGGGCCAAAGCGATGTCGTAGATGGCTTGGGAGTCCCACGAATCACCCCACCGGGATTGATGCCCCTGGTCAGCCCTCCCAGGGCAGGCCGGGTTGTTCCGATGGCCGACTGCGACCGGTCCGACGTGGACAGTCCTCTTCAACGCCGTGGCCCATAGAAGGTAGGTTGACCCGGAGGTGTCCGAGCCACTCTCCACGACATGCCGAGGCGGCCCCGAGGGGTTGCCAATGCAGGATGGCGTCGGCGGCGGCGGGCATGCCCAATCTTTTCGCTGGGCCAGCGGATTCTAAATCCCGACACCTAGGGCCGCTTCGGAGTGGCTCGCTGTTCGACGAGGCCGTGGAGCCCCACCACTTTGCCCGCTACCCCTTCTCCGGCCTCCAGATTCTCCCCTCATTTTTTCCTCTGACTACTGCTTCGACCGTCGTCATCGGCGTCCGGAAGGCGGCTACACCAGTTGCCATCCGAGAACCCCTCGACCACTCACGTTGGAGTGCTTTTGAAGAAGAAAAAGAAAATTCCACTAGTTTGCCACTACGGCTCCTTCTGCAAACGAACTCTCAAGCGTTTAACTCTAATTAAACAGGCACGATGCCGCAGGGTTACCAAGTGGAGTTTTGATTATGAAAGAAAAAATCGGGCAAAAAAAGTCCATCCCCTGGCGCGGTCTTGGCCAACGTCAGCAGTCTGTGTCTGCGACGACCTCGCCCAGGTGGATAACCATCGCATCCAAGGATAACAGAGTGGATGAAACCGAGCTCACTTCGCGTGGCCTGTCCTAACGATGCTTTTTTTTCGGACCCAACCGCCGTCCTCTGGAAGAGGTAGTAAGTATGTGCAAGGGGCCAGAGCGGAAATTCCTGCGCCGGTTTGTGAACACCAATTTGTCTCGGGAGCCTTGCACGGGTTGAGGTCGGTTCCTCTCGATGCTCCAGAATTGGGGGTTGGTTTGAGTTACTACAAGAGGCGTACTGTACTATGTACTGTAGTTAACTAGTAGATCGTGCACGTCTGTCTGTCTGTGCATGGCATGCCGGCAGAAGAAGCTTTCTAGAAAACCCCAGAAGCCGATCTTGAGATTATTCAAGAAGTGTACATACCTATGTCCTCTTGTTCTGAGAGATCGTCAGGGGCAGCAGAGAATAGAGGGTGTCTCTATATCCACCACTCTCCACTCCCACGCGACCATCAGAAAATGAGAATTTCAGCACATACCACTTGGTCGACATGGGAGGGTAATAAGATACTCCGGACAAGGGCAACCAGCCATGGTTGGCGCTGATTGAATTATTTTTATTATTTCGTGCACATAGTTACAGCCTCCGAACCGATGGAGCCATGTTAGATTATTGTTTCCGCGGTGGACCCCCTTCATTAGCCGAGGCGAGATAGCGTGAGAGACAGTTTCAACCCACTCTTGTGCCCTGAGGCCATTATTATTATGTACGAGTATAATGTGAGTTGGCCCGTCCTTCTACAATGGTCCGGCGTTAGGTTTGGATTATGACCCCTTTGCGCCCCATCGCTTCTTCCATGTGAAAGCCGAAGACCAGTCGATACAGGTCGCGCAGCCACGAATACTGCCCGCCGTGCACCATCGCTTGACATGCATGTGCGACGTCGACCGCGCTGACCCGGGCTTGTTGGCCGGCCGTGCGGAATGCGGGATCAAAGGTCACCAGCTTACGGTAGTTCTTCAGCAATGCGGTTTGCCAGGGCGCCGCCCCGAACGCATCGGACGAAAGAGACTTGACAAAGGCCGAGAGGTTCTGCGTGCCGCCCCGTTGATAGCCACTATTTATGGCGGCTTTGGTGATCAGGATTTTGAGTCGTATGAAATTGGGGTCCTCGGACACGGTAGTCACCGTGTTTGAGGACGATGCTGTCTGCCCAGACGATCGTGACTTCTCTGAGATGCTCGACGCGTTGGAGGACCATTTGGCATGCGCGCTGTGTCCGCTGCCATGCCCCAGCACAAGGATATTTGGTACCGGCGCCTCATCCGGGGAGATCGTTGCCATATCCTCGAATATGGTCGTGGGAGTCTCGGGGTTGCCCGCTTGGCCCAAGGGGTCATCTACAAAGTCCATCTCCGACTGGGTCGCTTGATGGAATGCCTGAGTGAACGTTGTCTGGCTGGGCCGCGGGGTCCCTCGATCAGAATTGCGCAGATTGTGGAGCGTCCATCCCTCGCGGAAGATGTCGCAGAGCTCCCAGCATGCTTGCACCGCAGACCCGAGCAGATCTTCATCAAGGGGTTTGCCCTCTCGTTTGCTCTGGCGGATGCTAAACAGCATCTCCGCTAGGGTCCAACACGCGCTGAGGAGGGAGTCGGTTTCGGTTAGTCGGGTTCGTTGTTTCATGAGTCGATGGCACAAGGTAATGTAAAAATCCAACGTTCTTTCTCGAAACGCGTCGGGCAGATTGCGGTCGTGCGTATTATAAAGGTGATTATTGAGCTCAAAGCTCACGCGCAAGACCGAGTCCGCCAGGTCACTATCGCGGACTCGAACTTCAAATAACGCTTGACAGAAGTCTCGGCACAGGTCCAGGGTGGGATTCACCTGCGATGCATAATCATCGTCACGCGTGTCGTATAGTTTCTGGCACAACCGCCAACATGATCGCCACGCATCCTCTTGCATGTCGTCCTCATGAGACTTGAGCAGTCGTTCTCGATTGATATAACTTAAACTAGCCAGCGTATTGCAAAGTGTCCAGCATTCGGCGAGGGCCGTCCTTAACGCATTGATTTCGGCTTCTTTCCCGGTAAAATTGCCTAGCGAACGGTCAGATTCGTTGTCCTGCTGTAGTCGCAACTTGCGCACCTTCGGGTATATCTTCAAACTGGGTCAGTAACGGGGAGAGCCTGCCGCATCCGGGGGATCGCATACCTTCCAGGCTGCTTGAACGAGTACGTCGCCCGGCTTCTTCAAACTCATGTCTTGTTTGGGCCCGAGGCGTCGCGCGGTCCGACCAATCTTTGGCGGCAGTGATCGTCGTTGTGAGCGGCGGCGGCGACACCGGACTGCAGCCATACTAAAACCGGTCAGTAGACTGCGGTGTGTTTGTGGGATGAGACGACGCACCCGCCTGGGCGTATCCGTGACCGTCGTCGAGCCAGTCAGACCTGAGCTTGGTAACTGTTCTTCCTCCTCGTCGGCCGCACCCGCCGGCTCAACCTGCATCTTGGTCTAGAGTAGAAGGGGCTCTGGTAAGCAATGTCCCATATTCGTTGCTGAGGGTCTTACGAAGTCGCCAAATCCCGGCGGAGCATGAATCACCGACTGGGGCGGCTCATCGTCGTCCGATCTATTGTGAGACGTAGGCGAGGTTCGAATCTAGTATTTCCTTTGTCAGAGACGGACCGAGGGCCAGCTGGTGCGTGCACATACGGTCAACTCTGGCTGGGCATTCTCGCTACTCTTCGTTTCCAGAGCTCCATTGACCGCGCCATTTGACGACGACTCTGAAGTGGCGAGAGTGTCGATCGACGACTCGACGCGATAGGACACGACGGGCGGCGGGGACTGGACGGCCATCCTACTCGGGGATGGGGGGAGGAAGGATGAGAGAGAGGAAGACAGAAAGCTGAGCTGACTGCCTCCTTCCCCGCTTAACAGCTCAGACCACCTATCACTACCTAGGCACCTAGGTAGACTATGTTGATCGAGAAAGATAATAAATGTATTGGCAATGGGGAACAATAATCATGATTAGGCGCCGGGGCGTGACGAGCAATGCATTCGGGCCACTCAGCGCCCGCGCGGTGAGCCCCCGGACTATGCCGCTTAGGGCATCACGGCGCTTGTTCAGTACACCACATCCTGCCCAACGCCAGATCCAACGCCGAAGTAATGCATGGATGGACGGACCTGTCCATCCCGACAATGTTGTCTTGTTGCTCCTCCACTCACGATTGGCCAGGTCAGACCCTAGGGCTCTATCAAGGAAAAGTCCGGCGATCGTGGAGGATTATACGGGGGCTTTGGCCCGATCCTTCTCGGCGGAGTTGTACCTATGCAGGAGATGATGAGTGTGGTGCTCGGACAGGACTGCGTCAACGACTAGCTAGACTCACCGCAGGAGCTTCTCGATCAGATCAACGTGGGTCATGATCATCCGCCGACAACAGTAGCGGCGGCAGCCGAGTTGGTCCATAGCATCGCTGAGCACGTTAGAAGAGACCAGACAGAATGGGGCTTGGAATATTCACCCATCGGGGACTCCATCATCCAGCAGCTGCAAGTAGCGCTCCCACAGGTCGCCGACGACCTAGGGCGTGAGTTAGTGGCTGGTGAGTGAATCTCTCAAGGAGGACTAGTTCATCATACCTTGCCACAGGAGAAGCAGCGGACGGGAATGATCATGCTGAACGAGGGTTTGAGTCGATTTTGAATGATGGAAGAGGGAGATGCTTTTTTTACCCTCGCCCGATCACGGGTCCTGCTTATGTAATATTTCTCGGTTCTGCCGCCTGAATCCGCCTCCAAGAGGAAAAAAAAGTCTACGGGAAAGGCTTCATGTAGTTGTCGCAACAAAGATGGCGGGCTCTGCACGGAAACAGAAACGCTCTCGGCTCAGCGATGCCGCCTCTGAAAAAACTCCCACTCCCAATGAGGACCGTGTCAAGCGACGTCGGTTCTCTGAGAACTCCGTCTCGATCGACAAGTCCGGCAGCCAGGCGCAAGACGTGCCTGCCGTCCAGTCATCGGATCCTCAACCCAAGAAGACACAGCCATGGCTGTTTACTCGTCCGGTGGGTGGACGCTACACAAACCTGGACCCTCTGGTGACCCCCGATGAGGCGTGAGTGATGCCTTTCTGGGCTGTTCTTGAGCATGCTGCTAACCACCTCGGCCACAGTTATCTCTTTGTCGGGCTCGAAACCGCTGTTCAGGTCTATACAACCGCTACCTCGCGCTTGTTGCGTACTCTGCAAGTGGAAGCCGGCCACAAGGTCATTGGGTTCCGAATCTGTCCGGTCGACCCTGAGCATCTTTATATCTTCACATCCTCTGGTTTCGTGACCAAGTGGCATTGGCAGTCTGGGAAACGGCTGGCGCGTTGGGGCACCGACTGTCTGGCCATCGCGGGTGACTTGATTGTGAACGAACGCGCCGATCACTCTGATATCTTGTTCTTCTCCTTGCAGCAGAAGGAAGGAAAGCGACAGATCGTGGTGAATACTCTGGGTGATGGAAAGCTTCAGGGCGCGGTTGTGATGCAGACCGCCAAGAGAATCAGTGCCTTCACAGTTGCTCGAGAGGGTCGAGTCATCGTTGCGGTAGATGGCCATAATCTGATTATGGGCACCACCACGAGCTTGGATCTTGAGAGCATCCAGTCTGTACAATATACTTGGAAAGAGGCGAGTCTTCCGGTGCATGCGAAATGCTTCCATTTGCGGGACAGTGCGCCAGAAGCCCAAAACACACTTCATGGCTCTAATCCGCTCGACCTCGCCGTGGGAGAAAGTGGTGGTTCCATTTTGATCTACCAAGATGTTCTCAATACACTTTTTGGCCAGGAGAGCGGCCGCGATGCGGAAAAGAAATCAGTTGTTCGGAAATTGCATTGGCATCGGGGTCCTGTTAATGCTGTGCGCTGGTCAAAAGATGGTATGTGTACTCATACTCATTGGTATTGAGAGAACCGTTCTTTTCTTCGTTTTGCTAACCATCCCTTTCAGGTAACTATATCATGTCGGGGGGAGAAGAGTCGGTCATGGTCCTATGGCAATTGGATACGGGCCGCAAGCAATTCCTGCCTCACCTCTCCTCGCCAGTTTGCAACATTGTGGTCTCCCCAGACGGCGATTCCTACGTGGTGAAACTGGCAGACAACTCGGTCATGGTTTTGTCGGCCCGAGAACTTCAGCCTTCTGCCACCATTACCGGACTGCAGCTGTGTCCGGAGCCGTCTTCAACCATTTCGCCGGTTGCTGCTGCGCTACATCCGCAACGCCCAGAACAATTGCTTGTTGCTGTCCCAGCATCCCATCAATCTTCCCAACATGATTCTCAGCCGGCAAGTCGCGCCGTGCTCCAGACCTACGACATCCGCTCCAATTGCCATATTTCGCGTCAGGCTTTGACGCGAACTAACGCCACCACTCTAAGCATTGGGCCAGAAGGGTCTCCAATATTGGCACCAGATGTCAGATATCTCGATGTCGCGCATGATGGCAAGTGGTTAGCGACTACCGATACCTGGACTCCTCGTTCTCAAGACACCGAGGCCGTCGATTCCAATGTCTCAGGCGTTGCTTCCGCTAAGCTTTGTCGCTCGGAGGTGTTTTTGAAATTCTGGAAGTGGAGCGCTTCCTCTGATACCTGGGAATTGGTCACACGCGTGGATGGACCCCATTTCACTGACTGTCGCCACTCCGCCCTGTTGGGACTTGTGTCCCGTCCGGGTGCTCATGAGTTTGCGACTATCGGTGAAGATGCCTTTGTTCGTTTCTGGTGCCCTACTGCCAGACATCGCAGTGGCTTGAAGACAAACGATGAATCCCATGTGCAACTAGATACATGGAAGTGCCGCGGTCTCATTGACTTGAAGGGTTTCCTTAGTGGCGCCCAAACCACATCTCTTGACACGGCTTGCCTCGCTTTCTCGGAGGATGGGTCTGTTCTTGCCATCTGTCTTTCGGCAGAATCCGCTGCGACTGGCGGTCTTGTCCTTCTGATCGATGTGCGAACTTGTACGGTACAGTACCGAAGAACTGGGGCTTTCCATGGCGAGCCCTGTGCGATGAGCTTCCTGGGTAAATATCTGATCATTTCTTCCACTCACTCGGTAACTGTATGGGATACAGTCGACGATATTGTCAGGGTCATTCAGTCATCAGAATCGGCTGGTGCCTCCGCCTCCGGAAACCCCCAGCTCCTCGCCGTGAACCCTCGCAATCAGACCTTTGCAGTTGCAGCTCGGGGAGCCGATGGTTCTTCGGGTGATTCAAGCAAGAAACGGCGCAAGAATCGATCTCACATGCGCATCTACGATGTCCCGTCCTTCCAATTGATATTCCAGGAACATTTACGAAACCGTCCACTCGCATTGCTTTCGGATGTCTCTTCTGGCGACTACATTGTCATCGATGCGGCAGCTCATGTGCAGCGCTTAGGCTGCGAGGAAACAACAGCCCAGAAAAGTGCCCAGCCTCGGGATTCATCCCATCATCTCAATGCTGGATTGACGAGCCTTTTCAGTCGGGGACATGAGCGCAATTTCGCACAACCTGCCGTCCTGGATACTTCATCACAGGCCAAGGGGCTGGAAAGTGTATTTGGGAGCACGCCCTCGTTCTCTCTACCTGCCATGAGCGTTCTCTTTAGGAACGTGGTTCAGTCTTTCGGCGCCAAGTGAAATTCTGCTGCTTCTAGCAGTTATGAAACCTCCCTTTCATGTACCATGATCCTACAAAAGTGGTTATCCCTATTCCCGGCATCATTGTACATAGTATTGGCAGGAGTGATGTACAAAAGATGTCTATAATCTCTCGGGGGTGTGGAACATGTTTTATTTCGGCTCGGGTAGAAGAGCATTTTTATGTGAATTATTGGGTGTATCATGATATCCGGAGCGGATCGAGATCATGTAGCCCGTGAATAAGTGCGATGGTTTCGCAGCAGCCAGTACAGAAATAATTCTTCCCTAGATCTGGCCCAAAGTCAAAACCAGTGACGCCTTTCTTCCATGCACATGGGTCAGGTATGCGTCCAATTCATGGTCTTCGTCAATGAGAAATGGGATCACATTCCCCTGCTCATCCCGATCAATGCCTTCAATTTTGGTGATCGTTGAGTAAGGATACCGAGCAGCAACGAATTGCCTCAACTCGTCGATAGTCCTGGTCGTTAGCTTTTCCGCCCAGGTCTTGGATGCTACCCCCGGCACCTGGCTCTGGGGACTGATTTGTAGATAGATCGGGGTATGAAGCAAGTTTGGATTGAGCATGGGGTCCACGTAATCAAATGCACTGCCAGTATCATGCTGGGCACTTGCTGAAAAGGATGGGTCGTTAGCCGCCTGGAGTAGAGAAGGGTCGATCTGCATATCCCCAATATCATTTCCGCTCATAGGCGCACTCGCAAGCGCCTGGGATGCAAGAGTGCTAATTCCATTACTGATCCCATTGCCCAGCATGTTCCCAACAGGATTGTTGGTGAGTGGGGGATTTGGGGACTCAGTGCGTGCTCCGGATCGCTTGCGGGCAGGGTCTCGTTTCGTCTGTTCGTCGCGAAGTCGTTTCATTACATCGCGACAAAGAACTTCCAAGGCCTTCTTCAGTTCAGTAGTGTGGCCGGGTTCTGCGAAACCCGGTGCTAAAATCCGCTGCAGAAGTTCAGAATTCCGGATCCATTGCTCTTTCATCTCCTGCCAGTGTTCATCGCCCGCCTCCAGCTTGCTAGTAAAGTGGTCCGCTTTAAGAATATCATAGAATGCGTTGCGAATCTGGCGGCTCTCCTCTGGATTGATTCCCAGGGCGTTCTTGGCCTCCGCTATCGTCATTCGACGCTCCAATGTTCTCATGCGTTTCGTAACGTCCGTGCAGACCACATCGAGGGCAAGGGTTTTAGCATCGCGTTGGTTTGGTTCGGCGTTGAAGACTTGTTGGAGATGGGAGGATTCTTGAATCAATCGGTCCTTGGCGGCCTGCCACCGCTCCGGCCCTGCCGCTGTTTTCTTAATGAAACCGGCCTCCTCGCAGATTCGCTGGAAGTGATCCCGCACTTGACGGTACATGGCGTTATCCAGGCTGAGGTACTGCTTACTCTCATCAATCGTGGTCTCCGATGGAAAGCGTGGAGGCCCCGGAGGGTCCGCCGGCAAACCAGCCCACCCACGAGTACGACGGCGACGCTTTCTCGAGGCCCACCGCTCTGCACTTTCTGTCTTAAGACGTTCAAGGCGCTCTTTGCGTTTCGCGATCACCTCGGGCGTCAGACCAGGCGATGTAGAATGATTACCAGCTGATTCGGGACGGTGGGAGTTGTCATCGTCGAACCCGTCATCATTCTTGTATACTTCCTGTTGTAGTGCAAGCAAGCCTGCGTCCTCTAAGTGAGTCATTCGCGCTCCAGCGTTAGACTGGGACTTCATCCCATTGGGGACACGGAGAAGCCAGCGATTCTTTGCACGCACACGCATCAACTCTCTTTCTTTGATATCAAAGCCCTCTTCATTCAAGATCCGCAGCATGTCGCGCTGTGTTGTATTCGTTTCCCAGAGCTGTTTGATTCGCGCAACGAGCTCGACATTTTTGTGAGCAGGGTTCTGTTTCGACGGGAACCCCCAGCGTTTGAACTGGTTTTGGAAAGCGCGTTTGCTGTGAAGAGAACATGATGTCCTTAGTGGCGAGTCTCGGATAGCAGGCAGGTGTCAACTCACCTCGGTGAAAACTGATAAGCGGTTCGCATGTGCTCCATGATATCCTCCAGGGCCTTCTTGTCCTGGATATACATCTGGTAGCAGATGTCCCGCTTCCCCGCCCAGTCGTACACCATGGTGGCTGGTGGGAAGAGACTCCCCGAGTGGGGGGGAGGAGGAAGGTGTTTGCGGAACCACGCAGCGCGAGGAGCTGGTGTGGAGCTAGCAAGGTGGTGGTGGTTGTCGCTGTGCGCCGTAGGGGAAAAGGGCAAGGGAGGAACGGGAAGCAGAAGCGCACAAGGCGCAGTTTGGTCACGTGTGGGGTTGAGTATAAGAGATTTGGTAACTGCAGCGTTGAACTGGATTGGATTGTTGGAATTGTAGAGAATAACCAGACACTGTCCGAGTCTTAAGAAACGATCATCGTCCTGCGATGTAGTTACTCCCCCACCCAAAAAGAAGAGCGCTGTGCACAAAAAAAAAAAAAAAAAAAGGAAGAGTGGCCACAAATGGCCAGACGCCCGTCGCCGACCCCGAAGAGAAAGGAGATAAACGCGCTCGCTAGTAGGCTATGAACAGAAATGGAGAAAAGGGGGAAACTAGCGAAGTTTTCGTGCTTTCCGTCGCAGCTTAAACACCCGTGTTCGCAGCCACGTCACGAAGAGCATCCAGGTGCTCTTTGACTGGGATTTCCACGATGCTGAGGGTTGGCGCTCATGGGATTTCGGAGTGCCGGCTTGCGGGGGCCGGTTGGCCTTCTCGGACATCTCATGACTAGAATATACAGGCAGCGACTCGCGGTTTGGGGACAGGTGTCGCTTCTCCCGACGCCGCGTTTGTCTTTCTTCTGCTTTGATCTGCTGTTTCTCAAACCGGCGAGTCTTGGCGGCTTCCTTCTCCTCGAACGCTTGGCGAGCGGCTTGGATTGCAGCCGCTCGAGAAACGGGGTCGGTGCTGGTCCGTGTGCGCGATCGAAAGGCAAAGTCAAGAGACGTCCTCGAGATTGGGGACGCGGTGTCCAAGGTACTCCCGTTGTCCCTGGAATAGCCAAACGAAGGCCGGCTGGCGATGTTGGTTTGTGAAATCCCCGGCAATCGTGTAAAGGAATCATCTTGAATGTGTAGTGACAGTCGTGGGGGTGGCCCAGACGAAGATGCATACATCGGGTTGCGCTGGGTCTCCGAACCGGGCAACGCTGAAGATTCGGTTTCGGGGCTACCATCTTCGAGGTCGCTTTCATGGGCCGACGCTTGATACGACTGGCCTAGTGGTGGTGTGAACGCGCTGGGCATCTGCCGCATAGGATGGACGTATTGCGACCCCGGCTTGCTAATACTCGAGCCGGTGCCCGTGGAAAATTGAGATGTCCCGCTGGTAGACCGATGATGTAAACCCGATGCTGTTCTTCGGTATGTACTTCCCGTGAGCGATTCACTCCGGCGCCGATCTCGATCGAGGTTCCAATAAATGCCTAACCCGTCCTGTTCGGTCGATGACCGAGAGAGGTCAATTGACGCCGATGGTGCATCATCCCGGGACATCCTCCGGAGTATCGGTTTGATGTGAACTTTTGTCTTGGCTGACATGCCCTTCTGTAGTCGATGGTCCAGTCCATCAGAGGATGTATTGAACTCGGACGCCATCATCAGATGATGAGAATCTTGATTCCATGATTGTCCGCCTGCGCCGATCTCTGGCATAAGAATGCTCGAGGTCCTTGAACTGCGACGTTTGGTATCGGGCGGGGAATGCGACTGTTCGGAGAGGGCAGGGGACGGGGCCAAAATTTGAGCTGCGCCATCCAAATCAAGTGGAGCATGAGGCATCAGATGGGTGTCATTCTGGAGAGCAGTCCACTGGCCTTCGGTGTTGGAGACTCTCGGAGCGCTTAGGAGGCCATTCTTCTTCGAGTGCGACAGCGACTCGGAATCGGTCGAGGCACGACTCCGTGAAATCGGACGAGCCATTTCATGGGCATGGTGGATGTCTGTACGGGTCATTATCACCAGCAGTGAACACTAATGCCCGTCCTCCAGCGGCTAACTCTAGGGAACAGGTGTCTTATAGATGAATTACGCGGCGCATGGTGGTCACTCGGGTCAGCTTGTTGCAACGGCGAATCGGTGGTGTCAGACGATAAGACGGCCGGTGGCGGCACGCAGGAGCCAGTATGCTTTGCGACGGACGGGTGGGTCGAAGACTGTTGAGCGATGGGCTGGGGGGAAGACTCAAGCGATGCGACACCATCAAAGACAACACTGGATCAGCACTCCTCGGATATGCGCACGGTACAAGGGCAAGACAAGTTCCGGAGGGGAGGTCGGAAGGTGAGAACCGGTCAGGAAGCCAGAGTGATAGATGTAGCCAGGTAGAGACAGAAAGTGGGTGTGAAAGAATATGTCTGCATGGGAGGAAGAAAGAGAGCTGAATGGATGGTGAGTGGGAGAGAGGAGGAAAGATAAGGTTGGGGAGCGGTGAGGCCGCAGACGGTGGGAGAGGCCCGCATGCGGTAGGCTCGGAGTATTGTGCCCAATGTAGTACTGGCAGAGCCAATAATTATGACTAGATCGAATGTCCTGGTTCCGTATGGCTATACCTCTGTCTGGTCAAGTGATGGCTTGTATCCCCCTGAACTCTCCATTGTCTCTACTATGTAACCATACGTATATATATCGCGACCTCACCACATTGCATATACACACGCCCAGCCACTAACATTCACCCCCCCCGGACCTTTGCTGTTCGGGGGAGGGGGATGGGATTCCCCTCCCCTACAAAAAGGAAAACACAACCCACCAAACAACACTTGGAAGAAAACAACCAAAACACAATGCCGCAGACCTGGTGCTTCTTCCTCCTAATCGTGCTCCTCAGCTCCGACCACGCCCATGGCTTCGGCGCTGGAAATATCCCATCCCTCTCCTGCATCGAAGGCCAGAACTGGCGCCATGGGGATATCGAAGATGCCTTGTTAACGCTTTTCCTAGCCCAAGTGGCAGGCGGCCGGAAGTTCAGTAAGCTGGATGTGAAGCGCGTGTACCTTGGCAACTGGCTGCGGGATTACAGCCAGGCCGTTGATGTAGGCACCGTCAAATATGTTAGCGCTGAAGCCATCCGGATCTTGGTCTGGGTGCTGGGCTTCATGAGTTTTGGGTAAACCAGTCCGGAATAACCAGAAGAGATTGTTTGCTGACGCCCGGTGACCAGCTTCGGGACTCGAGAATTCGAGGTGACGACGGAGCGCCTAGGGTGTTATCAGCCCACCGAGCACATCGATAACCCCTTCGGATATGCAGAGGGCGAAGATGCGCGCTGCTACGATTGTCGACTCCGAGGTCCTGTGGACGGAGAGCGAGAGCTTGCAGTAGATCCGCGCACAGGTATGCGCTCACCCTGCCACAAGAAGGCTAGACTAATGGAGAGAATCCATACAGGCCTAAAATTTACATCGCATCGGAAGATATTGGGATTCCCACGTCAGCGGCATTGGTCCGTCGAGTCCTGGGTCGTTCAATCCAGTTGGGTCGTCGGTATGCCCGGTCACGGAAGGATGAAGATCTACATGAAGCCCTTCGACTGATGGGTACGGGTCTACACTGCCTGGAAGACTACGCGGCGCATTCGAACTACACAGAGCTGAGCCTGATTGAGATTGGTGAAACCGAAGTGTTTCCCCACGTTGATCAGAATACGAGGCTTCAAGTCCGTGGCGCGCGCGAATATGTCTATCCCATTGTGACAGGTACATTTGGCGGAGTCGACTTCTTCCACTCCGTGCTAGGGGAGCTGTCAGATAAAACCATGCAATCAGAAATCTAATCACTGGAAGACATCATCCCAAAAATCGCAAAACGGAAGCCCGTCAGAGAGCTTCCTGCAGGACTTGCTGAGCAACATCCCGAGTGGGCTGGTCGGGAACAGTGCTAGCCAGGCAAACCAGATGGATGACTTCAAGACCAAGGCCGATATTGCGCAGAAATCCAATAAGCAAGTCACTCCTCGTGAACCCGAACAGTGGACTCGCTACCTGGACAACGTTCAGAAGGAAGTCTACCCAGTTTTGGAATGGCACGATGAACTGCTGAAGGCAATCCATGAGACCATTGAACAGATACCAGTCCTACCCGAACTGATTGAGTAGATTCAGGACCAAATCGCGGTCTTCGTCTTCTCTATCCTGGCACCATACGTTCTCCCGATCATCAACCATGTCAAAGCCGAGCTCGAGACCGGTTCTTCGGAAGTAATCGAAAGCAGCAGAGAGCAGCAACATGTTGTCTTCAATGACGACTTTGCATCAGACCCGACACACTCCATGCTTTCCAAGGACCACTTCTCGAATGTCCTCAACGAGCCCGCGGGCCGCATTGCGTCGAATGTGGTCAAGTGGACCGTTCCTCAACTGATGCAATGCTGGGACAATGAGGATGTCGATGTCGACCGAACCTTGAACAGGATTATATCTGGGGTGTTTCATCATCCTGCTCTACGTGAATATGGGGATGATGGAGCAGCTAATGTCCGCCAAATCATGTTTTCGACAGTCGAGAAATGGTGGCGAGGAAAGACCGAGGAGGAGCAGGACATCCTGCATAAACAGCTGAGCCGGGCCGGCGTTCTCAAGGGCAAAATCACAAAACAGGGGTGCACGACTCTGGACGTGGATGTGGCAAGACCTTCGTAATTCCGGAGGGCAAAGGAAAGCATGGTGGAAATCATCAGTCTGGTGATGCCGGTATTGAGAAGCTTGCCTCCGAGGCTGTCGGAGGAGGCGCACTGGGAGGCCTAGTTGGTGGGCTCGTTGGGGGAATGGGCGATATAATTCTCGATGAGGCCGGTCCCCAGTCTGGACGAGGAACTCCCGAGTCCCTCATAGGCGAAAAACACGGTACCCGACATGGCAAGGGGCATAAACAGCACAAAGAGCACAAAGAGCATGTCCGACCCCACCCTCGACAAGACGATTCTGATCGACACGATACGGAAATACCTCCTCCATACAGCGGGTACAAATATCAGAGCGAATCGGCGTATTATGAACGCTCTCCAACGCCGCGCGACGATTATCCCCCAGTGGAGCGCTATAGACGGGAGGAGTACCGGCAACAACAGCAAGACGATAGTGAGGAGGGTGGTCACCATCAACATGAACGACGGGAGATCTACCATGGTGGTCGCCGGGAATACGAGCACACGAAGCGCTATGAGTATGAGCAAAGTCAGGCTTACAGTTATGTTGATCGGAGCTACATGCGCGAAGGTAATGACCGGTGAGTGGGTGTTTATTCTGAAGAATTATCATGTATTGACGTCCTACCTGGCACGCAGAACACAGCGAGACTATGATACGTATGGAAATACTGGTTATCCATCTCAGGAGTATGAACAGGGACTCGACAACAGCGCCAGAGATCATGTCGAGCCACACCGTCGGCACGAACGACGCTCTAGTGGAGAGTCCCACAGCGATGGAGGTGATGAGGAAAAGCGCCGTCATCATAAAAGGCACCGACATCGGCACCATGACCGATCCGGCTCTGAAAGCTCGGACTGAAAGGTCAACTCGAAGCCCCGAAGGACAACGACAATTACCATTCTTTGACTTCTCCGGCCGCGGGCCGCTCCGTTCGGACCACCTTGTCACAGTTGAGCAGACGGAGTGGATCGAAGGCCAGTTTCAACTGAAAAATGTTCAAGATAGTTAGTGTTGATGTTCTCCATGACTGTAGACAGGTATTGTAGATGAGACCTACACGGCGCATGGCATCCACGGTGGATTCGCCCAGTTCGTGCTCCAGATAGTCTCGTTTGACAAGGCCAACTCCATGTTCTCCTGTTACTGTGCCCTCCATCTCCACGGCCCGCTTTACCATTCGGTGGACGACACCTTCAGCAACCTTCCTTTCGCTGTCGCTGAACAAAATAATGGCTAATGCGAATTAGCTGGATTCGGAGTCCTTCACGACACGGAAAATAAGCTCACCATGAAAATTGCCATCTCCAACATGGCCACAGATGCCGGCCAGCAGCCGGCTTTGCGTCATGTCTTCTTTCGTAGCCTCAATGATGTCGGGGAGTTTGCTCATCGGGACTGCTACGTCTGTTGTCCAGACATGGTCATCAGGGCTCCTCTTCATCGCCATGACACTCCACAGCGCCTGCTTGCGAGCGCTCCAAAGCTCCTGCATTTCTTCTTCTCCGCGAGCGAACTCAAATGATCGGCCGGCGGCTTTAGACACAATCTTCTGCACTAGCCCGATCTGCTCTTTCACTGCCACGGGGGTGCCGGCAAATTTAAAGAACAAGGTAGGCGACTCCTTCCACTGCCGGCTGGTGGTCTGGCTGGCATTGATGCACTTCATCTGCACATCGTCCAAGATCTCTAATCCGGCGACAGGGATTCCCGCCTCCACGACCCGTGTCACGCACTCGGCCGCACTGTGAATGGACGGGAAGCTTGCAACAGCAACGTTCTGACTCTGAGGCTTCACGGTGAGCTTCAACGTAGCCTCCGTAATAAGACCGAGGGTACCCTCGCTCCCAATGAATAGTTTGGTGAGATCATAGCCAGCACTTGATTTCCGAGGCCGCTGTCGAGTCTTGATGATTGTTCCATCGGCGAGAACAACGGTCAACGAGAGAACCCACTCACGCATGGTCCCATATCTATAAGCATTTGTGCCGGAGCAGCCGGTACCGACCATGCCTCCGATCATGGCCCCGGGCCCGGGGTCAGGGGGAAGAACAATCCTTCCTTGGACAGCTCCTCGTTCAAGTCCTCCCAGCCGACGGCCGGCTGCACCACCACATCCAAATCGCGCTTGTGAAGCCCCAGTATGCGATCCATACGACGGAAATCAACGCATACGCCTCCTCTGGTCGAGGCAAAATGGCCCTCCAAGCTCGTGCCGCCCGAGTATGGCGTGACGGGGATGACGCGTTGGTGGCAGATTTTCATTATCCGAGAGACTTCTTCCGTGCTCGACGGATATAGAATCAGAAACGGCATTTCGTTTTTCCCGTGTGAGTAAGATGACCAATCCGAGCCCGCGTGCATTTCCAAGTCGCCGAGCGCAGTCGAGACGTTCTCCTTACCGAGAATATCAATGAAATCCGCCCACGCCGCCTGGAGGTTGGAGGGCGAGACATTGTGTTGGGGAGCGTCGATATCTGCAAGCGAGCTTGTTGACGACTTGGGGAGAGCTGCCGGCTTAAGTGACCCTAGATAGTACGCACTGCCGGAGAAAAAGACCAAGGCTGGACCGACGTCAGCGGGGATGGGGAAGCTCCGGGTCTGGGGTACAAGCGCATACCAAACATCAGGGCGGCATAGCGACCACCAGGGGCCTGGGTCTGATATTGGGCGAATCGCTCCTGCTCGGTGCGCTCGCGCTTGAGTCGTTGCTGGGTGCTTTCATACAGCTGACTTTTGAACGACTGCTGCGGCTTTTCGTTCCGGCGGACGGTCGAGACACTGAAGAGTCGGAAGTGCAGGGAAGGCGGAGTTGCTCTAAAGCCACGCAGCGCCCTGAGGGCGACAGCATTGGCGGGGAGCATTGGGGGTGGATGATGATAACCCAGTACCACATGTAATAATTGTCGGTTACACAGGAGGTCACCCGTTGGACACACCGCCTTGGTGACGAGCACACGGGTAAAAGGCGGCTAAATCGACAGCCAACATGGATCACTTGACACTTTTTTGGTCTACTACCAGCTATTTCTTTCCCTCTTTCCTTTCTCTTCTTCCTTTCATCTTTCTCTCTCTCTCTCTCTTCTCTCTCTCTTTTCCTCCCCAGCCATGTCGTCCCAAACTGCCAAGGTATTTATTGATCTATCCCTGATCCACTCCCCTCATCTCCCGGCTAATCAATCACTCAATGGCGGGGCAGAACCTCTCCTTCATTCTCGAGGGCATCCATCAGGTCAAGTACGAGGACCGCCCAGTCCCCGACTTGAAGAACCCCCATGATGTACTCATCAACGTCAAGTACACTGGGATCTGTGGCAGCGATGTAGGTATCATCAATTGCACGACCCGCCGCAGCAACTAACCCGGCATAGGTACACTATTGGGAGCACGGTGCTATTGGCCAATTCGTCGTCAAGGACCCCATGGTTCTCGGGCACGAGTCGGCCGGCATTATCAGCCAGGTCGGGTCCGCAGTCACCACCCTAAAGGTCGGCGACCGCGTCGCCATGGAGCCCGGCATCTCCTGCCGCCGGTGCGAGCCCTGCAAGGCGGGCAAGTACAACCTCTGCGAGAACATGGCTTTTGCAGCTACTCCGCCTTATGATGGCACGCTAGCCAAGTATTATGTGCTGCCCGAGGATTTCTGCTATAAGCTTCCCGATCATCTGTCTCTGCAGGAGGGAGCTCTGATGGAGCCTCTGAGCGTGGCTGTGCATATCGTCCGGCAGGCCTGCGTGAGCCCCGGCCAATCGGTCGTGGTGTTCGGCGCCGGCCCCGTGGGCTTGCTCTGCTGCGCGGTGGCGACGGCATTTGGGGCGTCTAAGGTGATAGCGGTGGATATCCAACAGCCTCGCCTAGACTTTGCCAAGCAGTATGCGGTGACAGCGACGTTTCTGCCGGGCAAAGTATCGGCAATGATGAACGCTGATCGGCTGAAGGAAGAGAATGGACTGGGTGCTGGTGCGGATGTGGCGATCGATGCTTCGGGTGCGGAACCCTCGGTGCATACGGGTATCCACGTCCTGCGAAATGGCGGCACGTATGTGCAGGGCGGTATGGGCCGGAGCGAAATCCAGTTTCCGATCATGGCGGCTTGCTCCAAGGAGTTGAACATCAAGGGCAGCTTCAGATATGGAAGCGGGGACTACAAGCTGGCAGTTGGCTTGGTCTCCTCGGGCAAGGTGGATGTGAAGAAGTTGATCACTGGCACCGTCAAATTTGAGGAGGCTGAGCAGGCGTTTAAGGAGGTCAAGGCCGGAAAGGGCATTAAGACTCTCATCGCCGGCATCGACGCGTGAGTGTGTCTAGGCAAGTTGCAACAACCCTCTGGCGGCAAGTCAGAATCCATAAAAAAAGGAGAGGGAAATGAATGATCCAATTGGCTTCATTGCAGAAGCGCCCATCCCAGAGGCGCCATCACCAGCATCTGTAGAAATGTTAAACGAACGACAACAGAGGGGGTATCAAGAAGTAAAACGAAAGACCAGTCGCCAAAAAAATCCTGGTCAATCTGTAGATCAACAACAACGATTCCTCCGCGATTGAGAACCGCCCAAGCGAAACACGTCCTCCCATTCTCTCATCCCGCTTCTCCAGCCATGGGTGCTACCCCCCTTGCCTCGCCGCCGTGGGGTTCTTCGTTGAAGGGGCAGGGCGTTGTCCTCGAGCGTAGCTCTGCTTCGGATGCTCGAGCCGTCACTGGTGCCGTGACCGTAAAGGCCACCGTCTCCATATTGGATGCCGCTCTGCGGGTCATCCGGATCAATTTCGCCCAGTTCAATCTTAGTCAAAATGATACGCGCCAGCCGGTTAAACACTTCTTCAACACCATCCCCCGTCAAGGCGGATACCTCGACGGCAACAGGAATATTAGACTGGGCGGCCCAGCGCGACGTCTCCTCGGGGCTGACTTCCCGCCCCTCGGGGGCCCAGGTAGCAGTCATCCTGGTTCCCGACCCCAAATGGCTCGCCGACCGAACCGAGCTACTGGTTTCAATTGGCAGTGATGATTGCTTGCTCGACGTACTGGATGGGGTAGGTGGGAGCCGAGTAGAGTCGTCGACCAAGTCGGATTGCGGCGCGGTATCTGTCAGGTCGGATTTGTTCCCCGCCAGGATGACGGTCAGGTTGGGGGAGGCCAGTGCCCGCGCATCCATCAGGAAGGTTGGGAGCGACGCGAAAGAGGTGTGGGAGGCGACGTCGTAGATGAGAATCGCGCCTGCGGCTCCGCGGTAGTAGGAACGCGAGACGGATCGGAAACGCTCGGTCCCAGCAGTGTCCCAGAGCTGTAGCTTGATCCGCCTGCGTCTGGAACCCGATCCCAGCTTTACAATGCGGGATGAGAATTCGACACCAATGGTTTGTGACGACAGAACGCGCCCTGGGAGAAGAGGCCGGGGGTTAGCCAAGACAGGGGAACAGGGGAAGCGGTGGTCGTACATTCATTCTTCACGAACCGATGGAGTACACAGGACCTGAAAATAGATCAGCCAGAGTCTGGGATCGTTGCACGGGGTCACTCACTTTCCGGCGCCGCTCGGGCCCAGGAGGATGACTTTGGCGAGGTAATCGTACATACTCCCCAGTTCCTGGCATGTGTTAACTATTGCGGCAACCTCGGCGAGTACGTGGGGAAGGGCGACATACTTGGTCCTGGTCGGGAACAGATGAAGTGGCAGAAGCACTCGACAGACCTCGCGGGCGCACCATGGCGCGGGCTAGGAGTAATGAAATAATGGAGGAAGAGGATGAAAAAGTTAGGAATGGAGGGGGGACCTTCGGGGCCGAAGATTAGTTAGCAGTTACCCCGGTAGTTAACTCACTAGTGGGCACGGACAGTCAGTCTCAACGAAAGTACCTATCATGACTTGTTTATTTTTATTTCCTTGGCCCTCTTCCTATTTCCTTTTCAGCAATGATTCGATAGAGATACTACTAATGCGGTATTAACGAATCCCTAGATTCAAGAAAGGCTATACGATGGTATATAAAGAGACTATTCTGGGCTAAACATGGATATGTGCGGCACAGAAGGAGACTAGGCAGCATGTGCACTGCTTGGTACTATATTGCCCTCTTGGACTGCTCATATTATTACATGAAGATCCACACATTACTAGTTCGTCTTTGTCTAGAACCTGAACTCTATCACAAACATCTAATATGCTGGGCGAATAAGACGATTCGATCGCATGGGGTATTTTATCTCTCAGGGCCCAGGAACAGCGTGAAGAGCAAGATATCCTCTATATATCTTCTCCTGCGATCGGTCCTACTACTTAAGAAGTCGTCAGCTCCTAACGGAGCATATAGGACCCAGCCATACGATCTATCTTATACATACTTTATCTACCACTACTATAATATCCTGGTTAACCATGGATGTTGTTTTTCTATGCCTGGTTCCTTTCTTCCCAGTACTCCTAGGGTAATAAAGTAGGACCATTCAAGTAGTTCCGTCTCGATCAGAAATGTTACGATTAGTAGTATAGCCGCCTTTAATTGGACAAGGTTAGTGAATAAGAGGGATAGTGATAGGCATTTCGTATCCTCTAGCGCTTATCCCTAAACAAGAGGTACCAGAGTAGAACGTATTTTAGCATCTACTAGCCTATATAGCATATATAATCCAGTAAGTCCGCTTTTTTACTCCTCCATAGGTAACGGTTTATACTAACGGTATTAAGTTGGATCTAGATTACGATCGAAGCTTAACACTTTCCTTTAGCCCCACTAGAACTCCAAGTATAAAAGAGCTACTTGTTAGGGTAGACACCTGCTAGCTAGGTAAATAATGATATGCTAAAAGGATGCTAATATAGTTACTATTAAAAGGAACTAAGGTAAAGATGTACTAATTATTAAAAGAACTAGGGTCTAACTACAGTTCGTTTGTACTTAACTATAGTAATAAAAGTATAAAAGTAGAGTAAGTATATATAAGCAGCACATGATATTAGTTAATTCCAAATGTCTTTATAAGTTATATCCAATCTATAATAATTATGGCCCCCGATATAGCGATAACCCCAGGAGCACTATGCATTCATAAAATAGAAAGGAGATGAAAGATATATAAATATAGAGCGAGTAATTGAGGATTTAGTAGCGGACCTTATAATTTCGTAATGATCTAGACAATGTGATCTAGGTAGGGTAATAAAGAACAAGTAGGTCAGAAAACCAACTACTCTTATCCTAAGTCAATTAGTTAGACCACTAACGCCATTAATTTCAAAATCCTACCTACTAGGCCTACTAGGCTTTGCATTCATACCTAACTTGATTATAGTACTTGGTAACTGCATCACCCAAGGGGCGCCTGACTAGCTATGAAACTTATGTATCTGCTTCTGCCCGGGTGGTGGGGGGGTGGTTAGGCCTCCTTAGCATGTCTTGATTTAGACTATTGAATGCGTCCCTACTACATATCGCCGCAAGGGATGAACAGAGTATACAGAAATATCTCGTCTCTCAAATGCCCCCCTACGGGCCCTACCCCCATAACTTCCAAATCCATCTAATTAAGTAATGTCCCCTATAGATTTCTAGTGCTGTTTATTTGTGTCTTATTCGCAGCCCATAAGTCATAAAATTGTTAGCGAAGGATTGCTATGCTGTGCATTGCGATCTTTTTTAGTATTTTAGTATTATATCATACGTAAACATATATTTATATAGTATAACATGCAGTCTTATTTGATATATGTAAACGTATATGTATAAATACATTATTTAAACTCTGAATTAAATATACAAGCAGAGCTAAAAAATTAATCTGATATATTTAAGGTTTTATATTATTTTATAAAAAAATCTATAACGTTAATTATTTATTAGAATAAAAGGTAAGATATGTATCTATGTACTGTTTTTTATTTAAAATTTTTTATAGGGATAACATAAATTAAATATATATAATAATTATATTTAAAGATGTCCGGGGAACTCGAATCCCTTTATTTCGATTTGCAATCGAAACGTAATACCCACTACTCAAACACCAACATATATAATAATTATGTATGAAAAATAATACTTACAGTCTTATATAGAATTATTATTTTTTAATAGCTAATTCTATTAAACTATTTTCTATTATACTAATAACAGGTACTATTACAAAGTAATGTGCAAAGTATAAAACAGTTGATATTTGTCCAAGTTCAATAAATGGTGTTTCAACGTGTTTTGCACCTATTTGCATTAATATTAAGAAATTAGCAACAAATACATAGAAAGCTATTTTACTTAAAAGGTCTAAATTGTACTCCTCTTAGTTTAGATAAATCTGTTATAGGCATAACTAATAATGCTAATATAGCTGCAAACATAGCTATAACATCTAACAATTTATTAGGTATAGATCTTAAAATTGCATAGAATGGTAATAGATATCATTCTGGTACAATAGCTGGTGGTGTTTGCATAGGGTTAGCCATAACATAGTTTTCACTATCTCCCAATGCGTTAGGCATAAAGAAAACAAATAGGCTAAAGAATATCTACAATTTCGATAGAACTAGCTCTAGCCCCCATTTCGTATAGTATAGCTGTTAAGAAAGAGTGAAGAGAACTATACTACTTAAAGACGATAGGTAAGTTAAATAGTACCTAGGAAATCCTTCTTTGAGACTAAAATAGATCTACGTTGGTAGAGTATAGTTAGTAAGAGTCGCTCCTTGCTTAGTCGGATGACTATTCGCTATTTTAGTTTAGTAGCATATCGTAGTAGGGTGTTAGGAGAGCTAGATCTCCACCCTATTAGTAGCCGCTCTTATCATCCTTATCAACAAGGACGCCACGCTATTACCATACTAAACTCTGTTACCTTCCTCTCTAGCTTCCCTAAACCACAAAGTCCTTAAACTACCAATTTCGTCTATGAGACTTTATCAATTTTGTGATCTGGATATATATTTTCCATCTACGTAAGTAAAGCATAAATAACTTCCTGTAATGCAATAAAAATTATTTTTATTTTTAAGACTATTCATACATTCTATCATGTTTACTGATAGTACCATACCAATAATAAAAAAAACTAATATGTTGAAATACCGAGTTGTATAAATAATTCATTTAATATATTGTTTAGCATTGATTAGTAGGTCGCTTACCGATTCCATTATAGAAGAAAGCTGCCAAGTAGCAAATTACGCTCTCTTCCTCCTCCTCCAGAAAGCTAATAGAAGGTTTTCAAGGTCGATTATAAGTTTAAAGGGGGACATTTGATAAATTAACAAAAGGCTGGAAGGAAATGACAAAATTGATGCGTAAGTCCCTTAGGGGC